AAACATTGACTTTTCTTACAACTACCTATGAACCATAGGCAATTGAAAGTAACCGTAGTACCCAGATTGATTTGACAGATCAGGAACTTATTCTCCCAAAAGCAACCCCGATTTGTATACGGAGTACATGAGGCTCAGCAAGATAAGGTACCTAGGTTGCTATGACAAAAGGTAGAGGGAACGGAACCTAAGCTTCACGATCTAACTTGAACCGTGGCAGGCATCACCTCCAGTATGACCAGGGGTCCAGGCACCACATACTCAGGCCTAGAACCAACGGGGCAAAGTCTGAGTACGGCATCTGTGGTGTTATTAGCATTTCCATGATATTTGTGATAGATTATGAGTTCGAGTGTAAGCCACTGGAAATGAAGAAGAGAAGGATACAGAAGAGACGGAGAGAAAGTAGAAAGTCGGACGGGTTGAGGCTAAGACAGACCGGTGAGGTCTTGGCACCGTCTTGGACCCTTATTATGCAACCATGAGCCATGGCTGACATCAAATTCAATGGACGTTGGTTTAGCAATGACAATGCAATCAATGCAAAGGACATTCTATCGTGTTCCAGCCTAACCTACGGCCACGCCTACGATAACAGATGCAGTGCAACAGGGTCAATGGACGATCAATCACGCTTTGTTGATTCAGCTGTATCAATCCGGCGACTCAAAGGTCGTCAACTTAAAACGTTGTATGGCGTGGCTGCGTGGGTTGCACATCCCTGAGCTATCTCAAACTTGCTTGAGCCGCCCTGTCAAGAGTTTGTCACTGTGAATGAGTAAGGTACCTAGCAAGTAGTAATCACTCACAAATCGTCTCTGTTGCCATCCGTAACTTTCCTACTTTCAATCAGGTACATTCAAGATTGTAGGCACGGATATCAGACCAGACAGTACCTATTCATTCATCCATTCATACCAACTCGCAAAGACTCTCTTTCTCCCCTCTCATGTCCCCTGGCGGAGTACCCTTGTCTACCACCCCCCCCTCTATTGTCATCCCCAACCCCACTTCGCGCCCACCAAGCTTCCTACGCAAAAGGTGGGAGTGAGTGAGTAGAGAGAGAGAGAGAGAGAGAGAGAGAGAGAGAGAGAGAGAGAGAGAGAGAGAGAGAGAGCATGGATGGATGGATGGATGTTTTTGAGACGATCGTGGACTAGAGGAGGCTGCGCTGCGTTAAAGTCCCGCCAGTTCACCTCAGTGAGAAGAATGGAGCCAGGAGCCTACGCCTCCATAGGCGATTGTTAGTAGTGAAGGCTACCTACCTCTAGGCTCTGAGTCTGAGGTAGGTAGCTTACAACCGCCTGCGGACTGCGGGTCCAGCGACGAAAGACTGCACCCTCCACCTCCACCCACTTACTCCACTCCATCCATAACATGGGAAGCTGGGACCATCCACACCATAACTTTACGGATACCGCTTTGCCCGCCTTAGCCTTTGCCCATTCAAGGTACCTTTTTCCAGTATCCAGCATCTGGTGCCAGCTCGACGACTACATATACAACCATCTCCTCCTCCCTCCCTCACCTTTCTTGTTCTGCTCTTCTCTCCTCTTTCTCCTCTCTCATCTACACCTTATTGCTTCTTGATACCCCCTTCTCAACTCTCCCGCCTGTTTCCTCTATATCCCCCTCCACACATCCGCTCGCTTTCGGCTCTGCTCTCACCGACCGTCTCTTAACGAACCCATTGTCCACGTTTTTCTACCTCAAAGAGCTCAGTCAACATGTGGTAAGGAAGCTTCCCCGTCACCGCCTTTGTTACCGCCTAGCTTCCTCTCTCTTCTCTATTGTTTTCCGCCATCCGCCGAGCTTCCACCGATCCTAGCTTGCGACAGACGCAGGTCAAGAGGGGAATGGATGTAATGGATGATGGTACAATACAGAAAGAACAAAGAAATTGGCGGTCAATTGATCAGGTGGCTCAATATTAATGGAACCGCGATCGCTAACCACACCGCATCAACAGTGGTATTTTCGGATACATCAACTACCTGGTGGAAAAGGACCGCAAGTTTATCCTCGACACTCTTGTCAACGGTTAGTTCCCATGTCCTTGCTCCCCCTCCTCAGCTGCCCCTCACCACCCCTTTTATCAGCCATGCCCCGCCCCGCCATTCACTGGTGAGACGTGGGATCGGCGCTCAGCTTCGTGTTACTCACGCAGCCTTTTGCAATCAGGTTTGTCCCGTCTCGAGTACCGTGGATATGATTCCGCTGGTCTAGCCGTCGACGGTGACAAGAAGAAGGAGGTCTACGCCTTCAAGGAGGTTGGCAAGGTCGCCAAGCTCCGAAAGCTCATTGACGAGTCCGACACCGACCTCGAGAAGATCTTTGATTCACATGCTGGTATCGCCCACACCCGATGGGCTACTCACGGTCCTCCTTCCACCACCAACTGCCACCCTCACCGGTACGTGTTATAATCGAAATGCTTCAACTCAAATTTTCAGGTGCTCATCCTTGTTTGTCCTTGTACGAGACACAAGGATTAGCTCAGAAACCGAGAGTCAATCCAGACACCGTGTGCTAACCACAAACCCCTGAGTGTAGATCTGACCCTAGCTGGGAGTTCAGCATTGTCCACAACGGTATCATTACCAACTACAAGGAGTTGAAGACTCTCCTCCAGACCAAGGGCTTCAAGTTCGAGACCGAGACCGACACTGAGTGCATTGCCAAGCTCACCAAGTACATCCACGACCAGCACCCTTCCATTGGCTTCACCGACCTTGCCAAGGCTGTCATCCAGGAGCTCGAGGGTGCTTACGGTCTTCTCATCAAGTCCGTCCACTACCCCCATGAGGTCATCGCCGCCCGAAAGGGTTCTCCTCTCGTTATCGGTGTCAAGACCGAGCGCCGCATGAAGGTTGATTTCGTCGATGTTGAGTACTCTGACGAGAACGCCGCCCTCCCCGCCGAGGCTGCTGCCCAGAATGTCGCCATCAAGAAGAACGACCTTCTCGCTCCCGACTCTGGCCTTCTCGGTGCCCCCGACAAGTCCCTCCTCCACCGCTCTCAGTCTCGTGCCTTCATGACCGATGATGGCATGCCCATGCCCACTGAGTTCTTCCTCTCCTCCGACCCCTCGGCTATTGTCGAGCACACCAAGAAGGTCATGTACCTTGAGGATGATGACATTGCTCACATCCACGAGGGCTCCCTCAACATCCACCGCCTCAAGAAGGCCGATGGCAGCTCCAACGTCCGAACCATTCAGACCCTTGAGCTTGAGCTCCAGGAGATCATGAAGGGCAAGTTTGACCACTTCATGCAGAAGGAGATTTTCGAGCAGCCCGAGTCCGTCGTCAACACCATGCGTGGCCGTCTCGACATCGCCAACAAGACCGTGACCCTTGGTGGTCTCCGTTCTTACATCTCCACCATTCGTCGATGCCGCCGCATCATATTCATTGCTTGCGGTACATCTTACCACTCTTGCATGGCTGTCCGTGGTATCTTTGAGGAGCTTGCTGAGATCCCTATCGCCGTTGAGCTGGCTTCCGATTTCCTTGATCGACAGGCCCCTGTCTTCCGTGACGACACCTGTGTCTTCGTCTCCCAGTCTGGTGAGACTGCTGACTCCCTCATGGCTCTCCGCTACTGCTTGGAGCGTGGTGCCCTGACCGTCGGTATCGTCAATGTCGTCGGTTCCTCCATCTCTCTCCTCACCCACTGTGGTGTCCACGTTAACGCCGGTCCCGAGATCGGTGTCGCCTCTACCAAGGCTTACACCTCGCAGTTCATTGCCATGGTTATGTTCGCTCTGTCCCTGAGCGAGGACCGTGCCTCAAAGAAGACTCGTCGTGAGGAGATTATGGAGGGTCTTTCCAACGTCTCTGCTCAGATCAAGCATATCCTTGAGCTTGACTCCTCCATCAAGAAGCTCTGCGAGAACTTCAAGAACCAGAAGTCTCTGCTCCTTCTCGGCCGTGGTAGTCAGTTCTCTACTGCTCTCGAGGGTGCCCTCAAGATTAAGGAAATTTCCTACCTTCACTGCGAGGCTGTCATGTCTGGTGAGCTGAAGCACGGTGTCCTGGCCCTGGTCGATGAGAACCTTCCCATCATCATGATCCTCACCCGTGATGACCTCTTCAAGAAGTCCCTCAACGCCTACCAGCAGGTTATTGCTCGTGGTGGTAAGCCCATCGTCATCTGCAACCCCGACGATGAGGAGTTCAAGTCTTCCGAGGCCGAGAAGATCGAGATCCCCAAGACCGTCGACGTTCTTCAGGGTCTCCTCAACGTCATCCCTCTTCAGCTCATTGCCTACTGGCTCGCCGTTCTTGAGGGTCTCAACGTTGATTTCCCTCGTAACTTGGCCAAGTCGGTCACTGTCGAGTAAGCTCGTCACTGGTTTGACTAGTTGTCATGTACAGTATGAGTTTGGCGGCTGCTTGGGCTTCTTCTCCTGCCGAGACGCAGGAGGTTTATGATGACTTTTGGAGTTGGGTTTCGGACAGCACTGGCTTGCAATGAGAGTGTCAGTCAAGTCCTTTGTGTTTTGTCCACCTGAATAGCATGGAACAAATATTTGGCAAAAATGAATGAATAAATGAGAGGCCAGAGACCAGGCTGGTCTGGTCAGTTTTAGATAGTAAACCTCGACATGGGGTTGGATAAGCAAGTTGGCTTATTAACGATACACTAGTTCCAGGCAATGTAATCACGAATATCAAGTCTTGCAAACTAAACCACCAGCAGAAGCATATTTCGGGTGCCGTGATTTGTCTGGTCAAATATTGTTACAATTCCACCAAAACTCGTGACTGTCTCATGGTCTACTGAAGACGAGGAATATTGAAAGATCCTCTAGCCTATGGCACCGCTATTCACTGTCCGTTGGTCAAGTACCATTCGTGACTGTAGCCACCCGAATCTTTTCTTATGTAACAGAAGGCTTAGTCTTTTCGACCTGAATCATGGGATAAACTCCATCGATTAATGTGTGACTGGGCTTGGTCGCACAGTATGTTCTCATTTAACAGCTGTCCTAGTCTTTAGACAGTCTGGGTACCGTAGCCCCGAATTCTCTCTGCAAAGGCCCAGCTCTGGGCCTCGAGCTGCAAGCCTTCGTTGATCTCTACACCCTCCTTTGTGACAATAGCCATCGAGTAAGAATCCAAACTGCGAGCATCACGGTAGTACAGGACCTTCATGCACTCCTTGATAATCTTGACGGCCTCTTCCTTATCCAACTTCTGGGAAGCCTCCTCGTCGGGCACATGGCGACGCATAATGGGCTGAGCCAGCATGGCACCGAAACCGGTGGCCAGACTGGGGGCACTGTAGGTACTACCAAGAAGGTCGGCAGCGGCGAGGAAAGGCTTGTCATCGTCATCAAGACCAGCGACGAGGAGATGGTTCCACAGAGGGTCGAACTTCGAACGACGGCGGTAGAGAAGCTTTGCAAGGTAGGTGTGAAGGTTGGCGGCGTTGAGGCGCGGGGTGTCGGGGGAGGTGTAGGCCTCGTCGAGGGAGAGGTCGATGAGGTGGCGGTCGAGATACTGCATGTCGGAGATGTCGCCGCTGAAGCCAACAACAGAGGTACCGGCGAAAGAGCGGAGTCGCTTGACGTCGGTGAATCGGGCCAAAGAGCCGTATGAAGCTGTGGACATTTAGTTTTTGCTGTAATATTGGTATATAGACTGGACAAACCTAGGTTATCGGCGGCCATGACAACACCATCCTTGTACTTGATGGCGATGACGGAGGTACCGGTGACGATAGGCTGCTGGGTGTTTTGCTTGGGGCCATTGTCGCTCATGAAGGTGGCATCGTAGGCGCCGTAAACATCGTCTCTAGGCTGTTTGAAGAAGGGAAATGTTAGCTTCATTGGAATTGGTGGTGGGTAGCATTCATGTGGGAGGTCATACACGGCCCCAAGCTTGCGGACGGTGATCCATGTTTTATGTAGTTGAAGTGGGAGATAGTCGGAGAGAAGAGCCGAAAAGGTTTCGGGAGACGGTAGTAAAAGAGGGTGAGGATATAGTTTCCGGCTGAGATTTTGGTCGTTATCGTTGCAGTTGATGATGTTGATGATGGGAGTTGAAAGAGAGCTATGCTCTGGGCCAGCCTTGCTTGACCTCACTGTCGCGTCCAACGGCAGCCTGCGACCAGTTGGACCGGTTGATGTTAATGTGGATAGAGTTACATAAGCCGATTTCGAGGCAACGATTGGGCTGCCCCTCCAAGCTGCAAGAGCTGTAGCTCAGCGCTCAGGCTAGCAGGTAGGACCCTCAAGTAAAGAGTACCTGACGTTCCAGCCATAGAAGGCCTTGGCTAAGGGTATCGCTACCGTGGAGCTCTTGCATGAATTTGAGCCCACCTTCCGAGGGCGGGCACTGGAAACTGCCCAGAAAGCGTAAAACATGAGGTAGCAGGTCAACACCACCAACCTCATCTTGAACTAGACCAGTTCCTCACCGTACACAAACCCAGCCTCGTCTCTGACTATCGCTCGCTCTGAAATCACTACTGCGCACAAGCCAATTCTCTCCAATTCAATCCCTTCACATCGCAAAAATGCTCACTTCCGTGGGCAGGGCCTCCGCCCGTCGCGTCCAAACATCCCGCTTTACTACTTCGACGCCCGCTACCACCCAATTGTTTTGTCGCAAGTCGGCCATAACACCCGCGCTTCCTATTCGAAGCTTCACGGCCTCAGCATGGTCGCCTTCTCCTGCGGCAAGCGATAAGAAGCCCGCCAAGAAGACCACCAGCACCACCAGCACCACCAAGATGGCCGCTGCCACCGCAATCAAGCCTAAGTCGAAACCCAAGTCCAGTGCTACTGAGACCAAGACCAAGCCCAAGTCCAAGGCTGCTGTTGAGAAAAAGCCCAAGAAGCCCAAGAAGGAGGTCGACCCTGAGAAGCTCAAAAAACTCGAAATCAGGGACATCAAGAAGTGGACACTCAAAGAGAAGTTGACCACGCTCCCAGCTTCCTCATGGCTCCTGTACACATTCGAGCACAGAGCAAGCCACCTGGGCGCTGGTGGACTCACTCAGCAAGCCACCGCCATGGCTGAGAAATTCCGCCAACTCGACGAATCTGAGGTCCAGGTATGTTGTCGTTCCTCTGTTCCCGGCTATGCTGGATTGGATTAGCTAACAGAAGACTCAGGAACTCACCCGTAGAGCCGCTATCAATCGCGAAAAGAACGTTGAGAACTACAAGGCTTGGGTAGAGACCTACGAGCCGGCGCGCATCTTCTTGGCGAACAAGGCCCGCCGTCGTCTGGCTTTTTTGACTGGCAAGCCGCAAAAGCTGCTCACTGATGACCGCCTGCCCGTCCGCCCTGCAGGCTCGTACGCAATTTTCATGCGTGAGAACTACGCAGCTTTCAGCAACCCTGATGCTCAGGAAAAATTCAAGGATCTTGCTCAAGCGTGGAAGGACATGAGCCCGGCCGAGAAGGACCAGTACGAGGAGCGTGCCGCCGAGCAGTCCATCCAGTACAAAGCCGAGACTGAGAAGCTTGAGGCGCGAGCAAAGGCTATCCAGAATGGTGCTGTTGGTGTCTAAAATAGAGAACTAGACGGGCTATCTCTTGAAGAGTGCAACGTTATGTACGAATAACCGTTTCCCAAATGGCCGTTGTTATGCCAGTATCGGAATCCGGTGGTTTATGATCTATGTATGGCTGTACTGATCGTCAGGGAATGGGTCAGGGGTCTTGGGGTCGGGGAAACTTAGGGTTTGCTTTGTTCTTTGTCTGTTTTTTTGTACTTGATCAAGTATATGGTACTGGAACTTTTGAGAGACAGTGATGCTGAAAACCAGTTGAGCTGGCGGCGGCGGGTATAGTCACTTGAAAAGTCAGAGTACCCAACGTGCGTTTCATGTCTTCGTAAAATCATATAAAATTCGATGAGCAAGTCCTACCGCCCATATTCAGATGCACCTAATACTAAATGCTCGTGGCATAGAATTCTATGGCCCGGAAACCAACGAGCGCCTGGCCTGTTAAACAAGAAAAAGGAAAACATCCCAGTCCTGCTCAATACCCCACTCCGTCATGCCTCATGCTATATAATCCAAATCAGATCTGCTTTTCGTAAGGCGGAATTTTCAAAACTGCTTCCCCATCAGCTCCATACCATTTCGCACCGGTTGCCTTGACGTGTCTTCCACTAGCAAGGTATAGAAGCAAGTATGTATGTTTTGCGACATGACCCCAGCAGTACAGACGGATCCAGTCGTGAGTTTTGTCTCTACGACACCAGGTTCCCCAGCCTGCCAATCCGCTTTTGAGGTAATTGTTAAGGAATACCCAGGTGTCAAACCGGACGGTAGAATTCCAATCTCTGCAGTCAAGCAGCCAATATCCTCGCTCGAAGGGGTCAACATCCCGAGTTAGTGTCGGACGATATCGCGACGACAGGTCACGAGCGAGTTTTGCAAGCTTTTCGGATATCAGATCTGCAGGATCGATATCATCTACTCCAGCAGATGGGGATGGGGGTCGGATCTCCAAGCTGCTGCTGATTTGTTCCACCTGCGAACTCTTCGTTGACAAGGACGGCCCTGTGTCGCTGGAGCTCCGGACAAGGTCGCCATGTTGCAAATACCCGATCTTGGATCTTTTCGCTGGAGGTGGCTCCGATCCTGCGCGAGGTGATCGGGCTGGTGAGCGGCTACTAACCGCAGTGCTTGCTATATGTGTGACATCCGGGCACAAGTGCTCAAAGGCCACAACATCTGTGTCTGCCGTGGCAACGGGAGTATCAGGCCTTTCACCCTCTTGCTGGGTTGTCGGGATGAAATTGACGCGCTCTATTAAACCAGGTGTTTGGGTAAGGAGTGATTCCCTCTGAGTGGTACCAGGTAATAAGGAAGGTATATCTGTTGCATGTCCGAGATTGAGTGTAGGAGCAGGTCTTTTGTGCGCAGTTGGCGACGAGGACAGCATAGAGGCCTGAGATGACTGGGTTCGTCCAACATAGCGTTGTAGTATACGTGATGGTGAGACGTTCAGTAGCCCAGCGTCTGGCATGGGATAGGAGTCGTTGATTTGACTAGGGGGTGCACACCAAGAACTAAAAGATCCAAAGCCCCCGTCATCCGATGAAGGTACTATTTCTTGGACCAGTCCTCCATACGATAGGCGTGGTGAACAACGATTGTCTATAGCGCCTTCAAAGCTCAAATCTTGAGATGTGATCTCAAAGGACCTTCCAAATGAGGTGGCTACCTGGTTCTGACTTGGCGACGGTGCGCCTCGATCCCAAGCTGGTGCAGGACATTCTTCCTTGCTTGTCGGCGGTGACGCCAAAGATATCTGTGTGCGCTTCTGAGGCTCGAAAGCGAGGTAGGCTTTTGCGAGCTGGCGATAGAGGACATCATCTGTTGAGCGACTCGGCGCTGTAATGTGGACGAGTATCTCTGCGTCGCCCGAGCTGTTGCCTGCCATATCTTGAATGCCAGTAAAGCATATCGTCTGATGCTCGTCGAAAGACACTATCTTGTCGAGCGAGTAAGTGATCTAGGGGTTCTAGGCAGGGAATAGATAGTATAATAAAGATCGATATGTTGTTTATATCCAAAGTCGTTCCAAAATATAGGCACAGGTAGCGAAAGAGCACGAGCCAGGTGAGACAAGGGTCAAAGTATACGGAATGGAGTGATGAGCAGGCAACAAGAGATGGGGGTTAGAGCAAAGAGGAGAGGATGTTGTGATGAGGCCAATAACGCAAAGTGTTGGTGTTTGGGGAGGAAAAACAAAGTCTCGTGACGCACGATGTTTGTTCACGCCGTTTAAGTGCAGAAGTTGAAGTCGTTGAAGAAGAAGGTTCAGGGCCTTGAACTACTGATTGGTTCCATTGCTATAGTAGGCATCTTAGAGCCCCCACCACCCCTAAAGAGAGTGCTGCACATCCACTATGTTTTCATTAGGCTAAGGTGGCAACCAGCCACACAGAGAGACCCTTGCTCGGGCTCACCTCCAAATCAACTTAGCCTTAAGTGTACCCCAGTGTACAAGTACTCAGATCACTATCACCAAGAGCCTCTCGTGCATGTTTCTCTCTGGCTTACTCCTCCCACCTCCTCGACTCTGACTGCTACCGATTCTTACGCTATACACGTAGGCATACACACACACACACTCACGAACGCGCGCAAACAATCATACAATGGCTGAGAAGACACAAAGTAGAGGCCCCCTGGGAAGAGTCGTTGTCATTGGCGGCAATGGCTTTCTGGGCCATCACATCGTTAACCAGGCCCTCGAGCAATGGACAACCACCGCCGTCATCGGCGTCGACCTGCGATGCGAGCGCAACCGTAATCCCGCTGCCGAGTACCGAGAGTGCGATATCACCGATTCCGAGCGTCTTCTGTCACTATTTGAAGAGCTTAAGCCCGACGTTGTCATCCACACAGCGTCGCCTGTCGCCGTCAACCCCAAGATCGGCCACGATATATTCAAGAAGGTCAATGTCGACGGCACACAGGCTGTTGTTGACGCCTGCCAGCAGATGGGTGTCAAGGTTCTCGTGTATACAAGCTCCGCTAGTGTTATCAGCGACAACGTGAACGATTTGCTCAACGCCGATGAGCGATGGCCTTTGGTTCGTGGAGAGGCGCAGACTGAGTACTATTCAGAGACCAAGGTATGCTCACGCCACATCAGGCACCCGTTATAGACAGCCCAACTTACAAGTTGCTACCCACAGGCTCAAGCTGAAGAGATCGTCCTCAAGGCCAACCGCCTAGACGACTACAAGCTCCTCACAACCGCCATTCGTCCCGCTGGCATCTTTGGTGAGGGCGACGTCCAGACCCTCGCAGGCATCATGAACGCCTACAAGCGCGGCAAGCACACAATCCAGGTCGGTGCCAACGAGAACCTCTTCGATTTCACCTACGTTGGCAATGTTGCACATGCCCACCTCCTTGCCGCACAGCTCCTCCTCGCCACCGCGGCTTCTCCCACCGTGCCCCTCGACCATGAGCGCGTCGACGGCGAGGCCTTCTTCATCACAAACGACACTCCCGTTTACTTCTGGGACTTCGCCCGCGCCATCTGGCACGCTGCCGGCTGGGATAAGGGCACCGAGGGTAACTGGGGTCTCAACCGCGAGCTCGGCATCACCTTTGGATATATCAGCGAGGTCCTTGCCAGCATCCTTGGCAAGACACCCACCCTCACCCGCAAGTCCATCATTATGAGCTGCATGACCCGCTACTACAACATCAACAAGGCCAAGCGCGCCCTGCGCTACCAGCCCCTCTGGACTCTGAAGGAAGGTATTGACCGCGGTGTGAACTGGTTCCTTGAACAGGATAAGGCTGCTGCTGTCAAGGCGTAATATTCCAGTAACGTGATAAATGGTCAAGAGGAGGGCAACTTCTTTAATGAGATAAAACAGGCAAATGGAGTAAAAAGGCTTCAAATTGACCCTGCATTGTAAACTTGTGGTCTATACTACAACAGGCGAGCCTTTTAATTATAGCTGACGATGCTTTGACTCGTAGCTTTTCTATAATTCGACAATATGATTTTGTTCAATTTGTTTGTGTTTGAGTATAGTTGGTAACTGTACAAATACTTGGGTATACTCACGCGCACTTGTTCTTGTGTCACTCACCTTCATTCAAATCACACGAGAAGCACAAAAAATAGCAAAATATAATCATCAAGTCATGATTAACCAATCGGAACGGAATCTATTGTTCCTATCTCGCCGTCACTTGGATTTGTGACCAAAATCCCATCTGATTCCAGAATGAAGCCAACATGTTTCCACCTTTACATCTGATCCGACATCCCCGCGCCTGTGCACGACGATGGAATGACCCTTTCTTTGCATCCTCGCCTTGTCCCGTCTCCTCACACCAAAGGGAATCAACCTACTCGCATGGTTTACTCCATCCAACTCAGGTATAGAAGAAGATGATAAGAAGAGAAACAAAGAAAAAAAATACGACAAGACCCTCTCTTGAAACCCTTTTTGTTTTCGTAAAAGAAAGGTATAGTCCTCCGAACCTCTCCCCTCGCCATGCCGATAAAAACACTGAACCAAGAAGAGGCAGACAGATTTCTCACATGTCACGTAGGTGATAGGAGGTTGAAGACGGCATAGAGCTGAAGGTTCGAAGAGAAGCATACGTGGGATAGTGATAATCTCTCTCGGGAATGAGGAAACTACCCTGCTTGGCGTATCGTGTAGTAGTGTAGAAAATCGATGAATGTTAGGGGAGTTTTGGTAAAATGCTTTCCCCTGCCTTTTGGAAAGGGGCATGCATGCATAGGATGGCATATACAAGCCCGAGGAAGAAACGAAGAGAAACGCCATCGACTATGCAAACGACTCTCTACTCCCAAGCCATGCCTCCCCTGACCTGCACGCGAAAGGTGAAACGAAGCTTGACGCTGGGCGATGCCTGGCCCAGCTACGATCAAGAAATATCATTTGGAAAAAGAAGTATCATGAATTGCCGGACACACCAAGTCCGCTGCCTTGACGTCCCAGGCCAGAGTTACGCCATTCTCGCCTCTTGCTATGCTCAGCGCTATCGAGTTGACTGTCCGACTGGTTGAACTGATTGACCCCATAAGGCGAAGTGTTTGCCAGATCGTTCCGTCCTCTAAATCGCGCCGGAGGTGTTCCATGCCCATTGTTGGTGTTGGAATAAGGCATTGAAGGATCTTGGATCGTACGAACAGTGGCTTCACCCTGCCATATCGCTGGGTCAGTTTCTACTCGCCGAGCTGGTGGTCGGGTGGAGTTGTCCTGACGATTGTAAACCTCGTTCACGTCTGCAATAGAAATCTGTCCCCGTCGATCTTGGAAACGCTTCAATATGTCTCTTGTTGTGAGGTCTCCACTGTTGCTGAAGATGTAGGGGTCATTCATAAGACCAAGAATCTCGTCAGGAACCTGGGAGGAATGTTAGTTCGGTGTCACTATGTCCGTAGGCAAAGTCGCTGCTCCTTACCTGGCACATTTCTTCGATATGTGTGATCATCATTTCTACAGCATCAATAACATAGATAGCCTCACTGTCCAGGGCCGGTGCCCTATTAGGGTTCGTGAGGATGTTGGGCGCAATAACGGTGGCCAGATTTCTCGTGTCCATCTTGGAACCGAGGTCCTCGTCCAGTTGGTGGAAGGTTCCAGCCCACTTAAGGAAACTGAACAAGATCTCAAGGCAGTCTCGGTGACTCTTTGGCAAAAGACAGCAAGTCAAGTGCAGACATTGCTTCCTCTTGTCAGGGTCTGAAATCTTGGCTGCACTGACCCATAGCCTGTATAGCTTGTGGGTCATTAAGGGATCAGGCAGATCTCGCAGATAACGCTTGAGGAGAGCAGCAAGCTGAACAACAGGCTGCTCCATAAAGTTGACGACGTCGCAGCCTTCCGTGTTGATAGTCTCCACCAAGCCGTGCTGCTTCTTGATGTTGCCGTTCTTTCGGAACACACCCTCGACAGAGAGATCCATCTTGCGCATCGACGTTACGATGTCGTCGACTACTGCCGGAATTCGGAGTGTGCCCGGACCAACCCCGTCTGTCGAATCCGCACCATCCCTCTCGATGATGATTTCCAGAGGTACACCGAACACGCCCTTCTTCTTGACACTCTTGTTCTTGTCGTTTTTGAAGGCTTTCCCGAGGTTCTTCCAGAAAGTCGCCTGCTTGCGCGACTCAATGAAGCTGAGAAGTTCCTCGAGTGTAAACTCCTGCTCAACCATGGGCTGCATGGTAAGAACAGCGAGATGGCGGACGTTGAAGTACTCCAGGCCAGAGAGCTCAGAAAAGAACTTTCGTCCTATTCGCTGTGGCATCATATCCGAACGCTCTCGGTCGGCTGATTGGGTTCGCTCATGTCCCTGACCTCCGGACGACGCATCTAGCGAGCGGTCTGAAAAGGGCTGTGGAGCTCTCTGTTGCTGCTCTCGGGACTGCTCGACAGCTACTATCCTGGGGATATCATCCAGGGTAATTCCATCGTTCTGTCCAAACATGATATCGGTAGAGCCTTGGAGGCCTTGTCCACCTTCACCAGATGAACCTGGGCGTGGTCCCCGGCCATCGGTGTCCATCACCCGAGAACTTCTAGCCTGTCGGGCGCTAGAAGACAGATGTCGATCAAGTCGCGTACTTCGTAGTCTGCGCACATCATTCAGAGTGTTCTCATAAGACGACTCTCGCTTGCTGCCGCCGGGTCCTCGTGACTGATCTCCTCCTCGCGACCTAGGATCGCCTCCTGGGCCATCACCAGCACCATAACCGTTATTATCAGAGTCATCGTTGGATCGTGGGAGGGTGCCATTGGCCTTTAGGATATCCAACAACCGAGCCAAGGCTACCCGAAGTAAGAATACGTATTGTTGGAGTTTTGAGATGTGCTCAAGTGTTGAGCTATTGGCCCCTGCGCAGTTTGTGCAATATATTTTCCGGTCAAGAGAACTGAAACGAGCTTCCTGTAGTGTCCGGCCAACATCCCGCGAACACTTGGAGCACCTGACACAATTAAGATGCCATCTCAGGTCGCCATTCTTGGCACACTCGTCCTCAACGGATCTATGGCAAAGAGCGCAGTGGTCCGAGTCGTTCGCGGAGAGCTTCCCACCACTTGCGGTTACTGCCAACTGGCCGTCGTCGTTCTTGACCGCATCGAGGTCGCTCAAGTCGTCAAGAAACTGGTATAGGCCATTTGAAGCACTGGCTTCGCGCTCCAGGCGTAGCGCACCTTGAAGGCATATTCTAATAAGAAGTTTAAGATAATGAGCGAGACCGGTAACAAGTGACAGAAGCTCCTGCGTGACACCAATCTTGTGTACAGTGCTGTCTTGCGTCTTTGAAAGTAGAGAGAAAAAGGAGACAATCTTTTTGCATAGTAGTTTGGCTTCTCGCCCGTAAGACATGCCTGAGAACAAGTTAGATTTAATGCGACGCCGTTTAAAGCCAATGGGTGTTTACCTTTCTCGTTCAAGCCAACCATAGTCGCATCAAGACGGTCTGCTGATTGGAACAAGATCTCAACATGATAGATGAAGCGCTTGGCTACAAAGACCCCCTCAACATATGAGCCGTTGCTGACATGAAGCAGCATGTCAGAGATGCACGCAGCAGAAGACTCTTCGAAGGTCGATAAGACACTCCATATGCGGAAGACCTTTTCTTCCATGCGCTCTTCCTCCTCACGGATAAGGTCTCTGCCTGCTGCATCATCTGAGCTTTCAAGCGCAGGCATCGAATCCGTGGGCTGGGCCAATCGCACATTCCAGAATTTGTGTATCATGTAGCACTCGGGGTGCCAATGCTGATTTTGTCCATTTCTAAAGATTTCGACAAACTGTTTTAAAATGGCCGTTTGGCAGCCGTTGCACCGTTGCGCAAACTGTGTTGAATAATGATAATGGCAGTAAACGTTTCCGTCGTGTTCGTAGTAGCTATCTTGGGCGCCGAATATCGTTGAACATAATGAGCAGGTAAAATGATCGACATGGTACTTTCGGTCTAGGGCGGTGATGTATGAGCCACGGAGCGCTCCCCCGCATTGATAGCAAAGGAGGCCGAGTCGGCGGAAGTAGTCGGTCTCGCACAGGGGATATTGGCCCCGGCCGTTTTCGTCCTCAGCCGGGAAGAACTTTGAAGCTACTATTTCACCACAGTCCTACAAGTTGAGCAGGTTAGTCTCCGTCTGTCGTAAAAGTGAGATGGGGGACGGCTGGGAATTCGCACCTGACACTTGAAACAGTCAAGATGGAATGTTCCATCAAGAGCTCGCACAAATTGGCCCGTCAAGGGCTCCCCGCAGGCCTGGCATGTCCTCGTCTGCCCGCTGGCAGACCTTCCTCCTCGCCCTCGCGACCTGTTCCGTTCAGCACTTTTGCGGGGCGGCTGGTCCTCGGCCCATCCTGGAGGATTGGGGGTGCCAGGAGCTGAGGCGGGCGGTCGCGGTCTATAATTGTTATTGTCAGGTGTTCGGGCTCTGTAGCTGCCGTTTTGCCAGTTTGAATCAGCATGCGGGGGCATGTCCTGAGCGTGATATTCGTGGGAGTGGTCGCCATGGCTGTGTTCGCCGAGCATGGCGTCGTCGTAGCTCGACGCCATCGTGAGAAGCAATCCAGGTCGTCAAGATTCGCAATACCCCCTCCTCACTCCAGACCAATCAAGCGCGAATAGTGTATCAACACCAAGTTTCCAACAGAGATCGGCGGATGTTTGCAGCGGTCGGCATCAGCACCAGCTGAGGGAGGCGGCGACGGCGGCAGTAGCAGCAGCAGCAGCAGAAGAAGTAGAAGCAGCAATGACTATGTCGAGGTCAATTGGCGTGATTGGGCAAACAATTCAGTAGACGATAAGAAGCGGTATCGGTCGAGGAAGAGATGTGATCGAGTCCGTTTTGGTGTTCGTGTGACTAGAGCCAACATAAGCCCGCCCAGTTCGGACTGGGATAATAGAGGCGGCGGGAGGAGCAGGTCGGTGGCAGTGAAGAAGCAATCCAACACCAGACAGCTAAGACCCGGTAGACTTAGTACCTTGTGTTGAGAGAGGCTGGAGCATGTAGTCTATTGTATAAACGGCGACGCTGCAGCGGAGAAGAAAAACAAGAGACAATGGAAGAAGATGCGATCGGATCGATACAAGGCGCGGCGCAGCGCGTCTACGGCGGCGTAGGATGAAGGAGCGTGGGAGTAAAATCGAGGCCTATCGTGAGAGAATAAAGTGAAGTCGGGCAAGGTAAAGTGAGGTACGGTGTATGTAGGTATGGAGTAGATAGCAGGAGGCGCCTGGTGGTAGGGGAGCTGAAGTGCAGGTCGGGTGGAAACTGGCAGTGGTGGTGGTAGTGGATAACCCAGGGCCCCCGTGGATTGAGGACAAGACCTCCTGGTCAGAGACTGGAGGTAGGTACCTATTCTGCATAGGGGATTAGCAGCCAGGCTGCGGTACCCGTGGGACCTCTAAATACGGCCTACTAGGTGCTGTCTAGGGGCAAAGGGTCGAGGTCGGGTACTGGTGGATGCACCTTGGCGGGGAAGAGTACCTTTGACGAGAGATTCTGTGCTAGATCAGCTGCCTCTACCGTACTAATAAGGGACTGAAGCTAATTAATAAAAGACATCATAGGCTCAGGAAGGACAAGGCGGGCACTATCGGGGCAAGTCTTGAGGTGGGCGATCGGATAGTAGCAGCTGCAGCGAGTAATAGTAGTAGGCAAGCCTTAAACTTGAAAGACTTGAACATAAGACCTAATGTCGTTAAAAAGTTCGGAGTACATGCAGAGTACATTTGACTCAATTTCAATGGCAAATGCTGATGCCAATGAATTTACAAGGTACCGCTGCCTTATGCAAATGATGGGCTTGACCAAGGCTCAACGAACGAGATGTGAGATGCGAGATGCTGGTGGACTCAGATGGGGGGCATAGAGTGGACCCTATTGTATTAGGGGCGTTTGAACACCCGTACATGGAGATAATTTACTGCAATTTCCAGGCCATGAGGATCCACGTCGAACCTACCTGGGTGAAGTCTTGAGGATGCTGAGGGTTCTATTAGTATTAGTTCACGATCCATACGCTATAAAACAAAAATTAACGGTGAATGAATGTTTCGAAACTCGCGCTCATCCTTCCTCAGGTGCAGGTGTAAATGCAGATGCAGATGCAGATGCAGGTCGCCGTCAGCACATCCTTCGAAGGATATTATTAGGCACTCACTCTGTCACTCTGTCACTCTACCATGGTGTACGGATAAGATCCCAGGTCAGATTCATCACTAGTCCAGGCAATCATGATGATGAGCCGTTTGGGATCTTGCCTCTTGAGTAAGTCCTACAGATTTTCTCTCTCTGCTATTGGATAAGGAGAAGGGGGCGAGATTGAGAATTCCTTATTGTCATCAAATATTAGGGTCCATCTCCATGGATTGGATATGGATGTCACTCAAGCAACTGCCTGGGTGCGGGAAGATTAATTACAGTCACATACCTCCTTGACTCGGAGAGAGAATAATGAACCCCAGAGCTTAAGGTACTATCCACTAGACTACTGGACCACTGGACATTGCTGGGAATGTCTCCGCCTGAAGTCAGCCTGAGCCTCTAACCAGGTAGGTAGTAACAAATACGTGCTATCCGTACAGAGTACTCCGTGGCAATATGAGCAATGATCCAACCTTGACCTGGGAACTCCATAGAAGTATAATGTATTATCCTAGGTATCATGGTCAAAGCTGTCGCTAGACAAAAAAAAACATGGCTTACAGTATCAGTCTACCAATACAGTACCACCTTGTTTCTTAGTTCTTACGACGGTGAGTTTATGAGGACATTCCAATCCCCAGATTCCTCCCCCCTTTAAGCCCAGGGGACATGCATCCATTTACTGTGGTGATCGAAACAGGCTAACAAAAACTGCTTAACCACTCGTAGAAGAGAATAAAAAAGACATGTGCCTCAAGAGAAGAGGGTCAAGACTCAAAAGGAAGGAAGCACAGTCAGATTTGTTTTGACTTGCTATTTGCAATGCGCTACTGCAAATAACCTTGGAACCTTGCCGTCTTTGAAATTGCTGCAATGAAGATCTCATCACGTGTGGTCTTGGAGGTGTGGAGGAGTCCAGGAGAGGAAGAGAAGGGGGGGCCACGTCCGAGAATGCCAACACAATCTCATGCACTAGACAGCTGTCCAAGGAAATGTCGGCAATGGGAATAAATGCCATGATCGTCAAAGACTTTATGCTGTACGGTCAACGGGCAATATGGAGATGTTGATTATAGGAGAGGATTGATATATGTAGATGTTCAGCAAGCGGTAGGTAATATATATAAGAATTACAATTAACGTATGCTATGAGTAATTACGGCTACCTGCATAAGAAAACCAGCATAAACAATGCCAACATCGTTTCAAAGTGCGCATCGAAAAAGCCTAGAAACACGCATTGCTAATGCTCATCCACTCGCGTACAAAATCAAAACAATACAATGTGACAATGACAGTGACAGCATACTCCATGTTTCCATGACCCAATCCAGTCGAATCCATAAGATTGCTCCACAATCTTCCCGTCAACCCCCCGTCTTGTCAGCATCAGGCCGGCCCTGGTATCTTGCTAGACGTCTCCAGAGTGTTGATATACACTGCACGTGCAAGCTGAATGTGGTATCTGAAATCTCAGCTCAAGGCATTGATCATCTTTAGATACGCTCAAGCATGCACCAACTCTTTGAGTCTCTTCTCAATCTTCTGTCGGCCTTCAAGGGTATTCCAGACCTCGTGAGGCGCCCCGTCGACAATGTCCCAGCTCTTCAAGTTCTTGGTCAGCTTCGTCAAGTCGCGCTGCTTCTTCTCCCATGTATGGCTATCTTTGATGTGCTTTCCGGAGCTGATGACAACAAGCGGGGTATCCTTGTCCTGGATTTGACGGCTGGTCTGCGCATCTCGTCGGGTGAAGGAGCCGGCCACGAGGCTTTCCTGCAACTTGGCAAAGATGAACTTGCCATTTTGTTGAGCTGATCGTCCGTAAACTCGGTCTCGGCTTGTTCGTCCGCGAAAGACAGCACCAGGCAGTCGGTCCAAGCCGAGTGGAGAAATAACGCCCCAGAGCCAAAGAATGAATCCGCGACCGGGCGATGCGACTTCGTCGAGGAGATCCTCATGAAGGGGATCGACGAGGAGCAGACCTTTGACATGATCTCCATGGCGGGCCGAAAAGACTCTCGAATAGATCGATCCAATGCCAGCACTTGCAAGAATCCAAGGTCCGCTCTCACCAGCGCTGGCAAGAGCCTCGCTGAGTGTGTCGACTACGAAGCCTGCTGATGAAGGTGATGGTGCATTGTCTGACCAGCCGTAGCCAGGACGGTCGGCAAAGCAATATCGTGAGATGGATCCATTCTTGACGGCGTTGTCGGCAAAGTTCCAAAATTCGTATTCGACAGTTCGCTCGCCAGCCTCGAACAGAACGGTAGGCAGCTCGTTACCCTTGGAATCGGTCTTGTTGCCGTGGCAGTAAACGTGAATGCGGTATTTGCCGTTGTCGACCAAGTGCAGCTTTCCTGGGTGTGACACACCTGCGTCGAGGGCTCGGAGGATAATGGTCAATGTGATGAGGAACACAGCTACTGACATGATGGCATAGGCAACAGTTGAGATCATCACCTCGGACCACTCGAAAAGAGTTCTTCGGGTCTCAGCTCGGCCGGTCAATCGCTGCTCTTCCTCGGCCTTGCCCCATTTCACGGTGCGATCAACCAACAGAGTCCAGAGGCTGGTGAGCAGAGCCCAGATGACACTAGTGGCGCCAACCCAGCTCTCCTCATATCGAGTCTTTTGCACAGACAAGATGAGAACCACATCAAGGAGGATAATACCCTACCTGGAGCGTGAGTATGAACGGTAATATTCGGCGGGAATTAATCAAACTTACCGACAGGAAGATGGCCAAAATTCTTACGGACTTTGATGGTACCTCAAAGAACAGAAGAGTAAAGGTGAGGTTCACGAGCGTCCATGTTGCGAAGCCAAAGGCGAACCAGGGACTACCGCGAGTTCCGATACCAGGTGGCGTCACGAAGGTAGACACAAGAAGCAGGATCCACCAGACGAGAGTTATCAATGTAAAGGCAATGGTCAAGTATCGCAGAGCGCGAATGCTCCATAGATTGTAGGGAGAGACTGCGGGATCATCGGGGGCAAGATAACCGGCCTGAGTCGAATCGACGCGATTTGGGAGCAGCCGAGTATGCTCATCTGGAATAGCTCGTTCACCATCTTGGGGATCATAGGCAGCGCCATTTGCGCCGTTCGGTCGCCTTTCGCCGCGCTCTTCACTCAAGTCCCTCTTGGGGGATGAGAAGAGAGGCATGTTGAGACAGGGTTGAGTTTGTGTGTGAGAGAGGGGATAGGGAAAGAGAGTATGAGGTGAATTCTTCAGTCGATGTTACAATCGTGATGATGCTTCGCGTTGTTCGTGAGAGGAACGTATTGTGGTTTATACACCTTTTCGCAACAACAGATCAACAGTCGTACAAGAATTAAGCAACATTCACAGAAAAAGCCCCTTCAGGTCGAATTCTTCAGATCCAAAAACCAAATCAACAAACCTGCCTCCCCAAGGGCTGTATATAAAGCGAGAGCCCAAAGACTAGCTAAACCAACTGCAGAAGCGTCGAGGAATCCATGATGAAGGGGCTAAAAGATAGAGTACGTCATATCGTAGCCATTCCAGCTGGCCAAGTCGCCAATCATCACCTGCTAGCGGTACACAAAGCAGGACAAGGGGATCACTAGCGTAGACACAAGCTTCCGGTAGATGGAGCTTGGAGCTGAAGCTCGGGCTCTTGGCTTTTTGTGTCGATCATAACACACTTTTTGAGGTGAATCAACCGTTGTTTGCGGTCATGGGAGAAAAGGAACGCAAATGTTACATACATCTTGGCTTGCTCAATGGTGTGCATAATACACAGGGGACTGTCCCATACATTAAATAACCCTCTAATCAAGGGCAGAAGAAAAGAGGCCTCATCTGATATCTCCCAATTGATTGCGCAACAATAGATAATATGTAATCACTTTTCTTAGCCTCGCCCGAATTCGCTCGGCATCGGCATCACCCGAGTCTCCCTGATGACAGCCACACAGCATCATGATGAGCGTCCAGCTCTTTCACATGGCCATTTCATGTTGCACAAGAAACAGGAATTACTTGAACCTTTATTCCTGCCAAGGGATATTTCCCCCCATACCCCGTCGCGTCTACAGCGCTTAACAGCTTTGTACTTCACAATCTCGATTGTACTCCGAGCTTAACCATATATAACACTTCGGGTTCCAGGTTCGTTAGACCATGTTTCACTGACGGCAAACACTTGTCACCAATCGTCATTTCACAGAAGAGGCATTCGCTAATAATAGTAATAATCATTTTCACCTCAGTCATTGCAGAGTTGAAACAAGATATCAGCTAAGCTCAGTCGCTGATAATTGATAGGTATTACAACTAAGTAGTCAAACAAAAAGTGGTTAGAGGCCAGTCAAATGTAGGCCAAGTATATCCCAACTCCATAAATCACCATAGGGTATGAACATCCATATCTATCTCTTTTCGTTTTCGACCAGACCCTCGACCAATTCCAGCACGCTCGCTTATGATATAGGAAATAAATCATCCAAAGGTCGTCTCTCCCATGGAGCCATTCGTTGTAACACATTAGGTTCCATCATATATTGCCGACTTCAAGAGTCCCAAGGAGTAACAGGGTTATACTCCTTGGCACTTGGAGCCGTGTTGATGCTGATGCTGCTCGACACCGAATGAGATCCCTGGCTCGATCCCGAATAAGACTGTGCCATTTCTCGCTGTTGCCGTGCACGCTCAAAGGCCTTTTCTGGGCTTGGTCCTCGAGTAGAAGTGATGGCGTTTTCGGGTATTTTTTCGATCGGTAGGTGCAGCTTCACCGCGGCTTGGGGATCCTTCATGTCGATGCCGTGCCGTCTGAACGTGTTCTTCTTCTGCTCCTTCATCGCCTGTGCCGAAGGTTCGCTCACGGACAGCCATTCTTTAACGTGATTCAACCATCTGGATTTCCCTGTCTTGGACTTGTTCGTGCCTGTTGATGACATGGAAGTGCGTGGTTGCTCACTTCCGCCGCTGATAGAAGGGTCGTATTCAAGCGTTGGGGATCGTGGTATGAAGGCCGATGACCGGGGACTGATAAAACTGTCGCTAGGCGATCTGGTAGTAGGAGACATTTTTGCTGCTGTTGTCCTAGTACTGGAAAAGCAGTTGGTTGTGATGTTGGTTGATATTGGAGTAGGCTTTCTTATACCCAAGAGTTGGGTCGACTTGGTAAAACAATACACTTGGGAGGAAGGAAACTGCGTCTTCAAGTACTATTACCAACAATACTATTCGTAACGGGCCTTGATATACGGATGATCGAATGTGTTGAGCGTATCTGAAATAGGCATAGTCTTTCGCGTCAAAGAACCCTCTCGTGATTGCCAAGGGATGGTTTTCGCCTCTCAAGACTTTGATGCCGTAACAGCCGTTACCCTCAAAAGAACAAAAGAACACCCGAATACCGTTTTTGAGGAATGCAGGAACAAATTCAACAGCCGCGGGCGTATGGCCCCAAGCCTTTGGCGTTGGACGTCAACGGCGGTAGTCGTGGATGATGCAAGTGCACGACTCGTGCAACACGTCAAAGGAAACAATGCCGACGGCAACTAGAGGATCGACGGACGGATGGAATGTTTAACTGCACTATTGCTTTTGAGAGAGACGGGAGAAAAAAAGAACGATAGGCAGCGAGGCTATTGACTGGATTCTTTCGAGTTGAGATTGAGGAAAAGGTCGGGAAGATGTCAAGAACAGAAAACAAAGAATAAAGAACCGGTCGCCAATAAAAGACGAGGGGATGGCTCATAAAACAGAGAAAGAAGAGAGTTTGAAGAGGGAATCGGTCACATACCGACTGGCCGCACAAATGTGCAATGTACCATACCGCCCTTGTCAACGGCCATAGTAAAGATAGTGTCACGAAAGCCTGCGGCCGGGCCATCCAAAAGTACATTCAAAAGGTACTATTAGGTTTACTTTTGCATCCATTACCTTACCCACACCCTCGTCTGTTTGTCCCAAGCCTCCGGCGTCACTACCGCATGCGATCTTGGCCAAGACAGAGCTGAAGAGCTGAAAATTGTGCACAAAAGCTGTTGATTGGTTCACGCCGGGCATGAGACCGAGAACCTCCTTGCGGAATGATGCAACGGGCGAGTTCCTCTGGCGGCGTCCACCAACACATTCTAGACAGTCTGGGCAATGTATCCGTAGCGTCTGATGAGATGTGAGTTGGGTATCCCAGCTAGTGGCTTTTAACGGTGGTTTCAACAATGTGTCCCAGAGACTAAAACACGAAAGGCCTGCTTTGGTTTAACACTCAAATGCCGAACTGCCAGGCGCCACAGTATTGGTCTTGATTGTGTGTTTTTTTTTGCCTCGCCGGCTTCTGAGGCCGAGCCTTCAAACTGCTTCGAGGTCTCGACCCGAGAATACGGTTTTTAATAATAAACAGTCAAGAGATGTCAGACGCCTTCTTGCGACGATCTTTGACCAGATCGGACACATTAACGTTGCTTTTGCGGCAAAAAGACGCATTAGTGCTTGTGTGCCCAACAGTCCCTCCATCAGGTGACACGCAGGAAGCAATTGTGCCTGCGCTGATCAGTTACCAAGGTTTGGATAGCCATGAACCTTTCTTTCTTTCTTTCTTTCTTTTCGTAAGACCCATGGCGAGTTAAGCTTCTGCATGTACCAGTTCCCATGCATTTGGTTATAAAACGTACTACCAGCCAAATCAATAAAACACACGCCTCGCACAGCACAACAGAGTTTGCTACACCACCACTAAGCCACCACTACTCCATTAGATGTGGGTATTCGCGGATTGCTCTAGCCTCTACCGTAGCAGAGTTTACCGTCTTCCACTTTTGTCCTGGTGCCCCTGACTACTACCAACGTCTTCACTACGGGGTTACACTTGTTGTCCACTTTTTAGAATTACCAATATCTAAAGACTCAATCTCACCATGGCAAAAGTAAGAATGCCATCCCCTGTGTGCACAAGGCATAAGCAGCCGTGGATATATAGCCCCCTGATGCATGTGGGTGTTCATGTAGAAGGTCTAGATCTGTCTTGGTGATATCAAGCCGGACAAAGGCAGACCAGGTACTCCGTATACCTCGGTCCCTTGCTTGAACACAAAGCATTTTCAAAAACTTGGTAGGAGGAGATCGACACACCTAGGTCAAACATGCAGATTTCGTTGCCCAATGGTAATATAGGCATCCATATAGATACTCGAGCTTTTTCTTAGTATCGAAGCCGCAGGATATCCTCCAGTCCAGAACTACGGGAGGATACCTAGAATACGCATGTCTTTCCACTATATCAATGCTGTGACTGGTCGAAGCCCGACAATAGAGATGTTGTGCCTCCAAAGTCTCGGCTGACAGCCAGCCATCCACTTCTGTCTAACAGGGCGGCTCCATGACATGGTTGCAGACGTTCATGCATGTGTTCATACACAACATATACTCGTCGTTATAACTCTGTGTTTCTCATTTACCCCCATACGGGCGTATTGTAACATTAAAATCACGCTTGTTACCATTTGCCTTTGTGCTTATGTTCACCACCAGAAATGAAATAAAAATCATGTCTGACACGGGTAATTTACGAGATGGTCTGTGCTCAAATGGCATCGAAGCTGCAGAGATCTTGTCCGATCGCTGAAAAGTGGAGAAGGTCTGAGATCCATCTTCGGCCATTTTCAGCAGGGTCCACCCTGACAGTCTCGAGTCTGGACCTCCTTCCCTGTTTACTCTTTACTCCGCTCGCCCAAAACACACGGAAACTGAAACGTTCAGAAGCCTCATACCTAACACCAGCTCAAAGTGTCAAAAATTGGCATGTCCAATACGCTTTGATATACTGCAAATGCTTCTTATCACAATTCACATCAACTCGAGCACTAAATCCTGGCCCAGAGTTTGGCACAGTGCATATATGGCCATCTCTTGATCTTTCTTCACTGTACAGCGTCTAACTCATCACGCGTCTGACTAGCCCGCCAGAAGCTACTGTGGTTGGAGTTCGAGGCGGCATATTATTAGGTACTAATTACAGTGTCACAAAGCTAGGAACCTAGCAGCATACATACCTAGATACCTACCAACGTATCTTGTTGCGACGTCTATACCCTTCACCCTTCGTCTACGAAGCGTCTCGGTCCCGGTCCGTTCCTCTAATTCCTCTGATTTGTCCCGCCCGGCGCTTTTGTTCTACTTGGCCATTGGCTCCACCCCCGTCGCCGCTATCGTCCGACCCAGTCCCGGACCTCTGCCGTGACCTCTCCGTTCTTCGGTGCCTAGCTCCCGCACTTGTTCAAGGTCTCTCAACGTCTCTCGCCGAGTCAACAAAGCAAACATTCACCGCGGCGCAACTCAATCATGCCCGCTCTCACAGTCAACACCGACAACCCCCCTGCCAACCCTCCTTCCCCAACCCGACCGCCTATCTCTCCCATCACTCCTCCGTTACGTCCAACGCAACTTCCCGGGACAGAAGCCGCCAGCGCCGCCAGTCGCTCAAGTCTTGCGCATTCGCAGCCAGACCAGACTGGCATACCCCCACCGGCGCCCCAACCGATAGCCTTCCATTCAAACCCGGACGTTATTGCGCTCAAGTCTGCGATTTCTATCTTGCAGATACAGCGACAGCGCGCCACTGCAGACATTCAAGCTCTTAGTCGCGCAAAGGATGAGGCTGTCCACAATCCTGAGGCCTTTATAAGGGACCTTGCCACCGGCAAAATCAACGCGCCTGCGAACGGCGATAGCGACAGCGACGATGACGACGACAACGATAACGACGATGCGGAGATGGGCGGCCAAAGCGCTGATGCACAGAAAGGCCCCGGTCTAGGTTCCTTCAGCCAGCGCATCACTACCGAACCACCAGCATGGGCGAATATCCCTCAGCCGCAGAATGTTGTTCGTTGCCCACCTATAAACTGGTCACAGTATGCCGTCGTCGGCGATTCCCTCGACAAGCTTCACCATGAGCAAGTCACACGTCCAAACCAAGGCACACCAGCCAGCGTGGGCGCAAATGGCATGTACGAGTTTAGAGGTGAAGGAAAACAAGAGAGATATCAAGGTGTTGCGGCGCCCTATGCCCCAACTCAAGATCGTTTGAACAAGAAGCCCAAGAGCAGAAAGTCGTAGGAGATAATGACACAATTACACGATGATGTTATGAAAGGGTTATTATTACGTGGGGCATCAGTACCATCTTTCAGCGAGTCCTTTCCGTGGTGGATTTATCCCATTCATATCGTGGCGTTAACTTATAAATGGAATGGCGTTTCAGAGGGTATCAGCAATATACCACAATGTTGCAATTTAGTATTTGGTCCGTCTAGGTAAACATCTGGTAGAAAGAAACAAGAAAGGACCTTTGGAAATATGCGAGCGCACACTACCACCGTGAAATGACTATGACCCTCCCTCATTACTCGATGGATAACGGAGGTACCTAGGTGGATGTGTATAAAGAGCAGTGCTGAAATCAAGGTTTCATTTATACGGCAGATTATTAATAATAATTAAACGCCGGCGTATCAGTTGCATCGCAGTTCAGTCCAAGGCGGAAAACAAATACGCCACAGCGAGATCTTTAAGGAGGCTACAGCGGCTTATGTGGCCATATTGTCTGCTGCGTTTACCTAATACCTAGGTAGATCAAGTCGATCATATGAAAAGAAATGGCACAATCCTCAGTTCACGCCGATCCATCGTGTCCGTCTTGTCCGATAGACCTTAACGCCATTTGAATCCGATAATCCCTCGATATTTCCCCATATACGCCTCCCTTGAAATTTGCAAGTCAATCCCTAAACCAAGCACGACAGAGTAGTCGAATTATTCTGGAAAGTCCCTGTGTAACGAGGTTAGTTCACTTTTTCTGTAGTCATGCGGACAGAAAACTTACTCCATACTCTGCTGCACTGATCGACGAAGACGCCGGTTGTACTTTTTCTTGTCATCTGGGCCTCCGCCCCAATACATCTTCGTAGCCTCAGGGTTAACAATCTTGCGAGGGTCGTAGGCGGGTTCATCGTCTTCAAGAATGGCAAACACAGCCTCAATATGCGATCGGACGTCTTCCCTCTTGCTGGGGTTCGGCGCGTAACAGGCTGTGCCATCTGCTGCGATATGGTGGTGGAAGATCTTTGTCTCGAACTTGACTCGAGGCTGCTCCTCGGGAAAGCGAATGCTGAAATTCATCTTGATCCTAAACAAACCTCCGTCCAGGTTGGTCATAGGGCGCCCAAAATAGGTTACCGCCCAAACGAAAGGGTTCTCTTTTTCAAGGAAGACATCATGCGGCATATCACTTCTTTTTAACGCCTCTACAACTTGCTCGAACTGGTGTTGAAGGTTGACAGCAACAGTAGTCTCCCGTATTTTGGCGTTCAGGCCCTCCGCGGCCCAATCCTGAGTTTCCCCATCGATCGCGGCCTTGATAGTGTGCAGGCGCCGCTCCAGCTCAGGATAGTTGAATTTGCCATCCATGGAGTTGTTGCCCGGTGTTTCAAATGGCATCCTCTCGAATGTCTGGTTGGGTTTGGTTTCCGACTTGCCTTTCTCGATGGCTGCCAAGTATGACTCGAAGTACCACAGGAATCGGCGTTTGCACAGGTCTTTGAATGGTTCAAATGGTATAGCAGACTCGTCGATGTCCGCATCCTCCATATCACTCACTGCTGATGCATTTGACTGCTGGGAGCCACTCGCGTTGAGTCCAAGATAGCCTTCCAGGCGTTGGATGACACTGATACGCAATGTCTCGTGACGAATCTAGCAAGTCAGATAGTTGGTTTCCATGGTAGTATGCAGTCACGAACCTTTTGGACGTAATCCTTCTGAGCTTTTTTATCGAATTCCTCATGGGCGTCTTCAAACCCTGGTTCGTTTTCGTAAGGATTGGAAGAAAGAAGACTTTGGATGGACAGCAGGATAGACTCCAGTCCTTGAGCTGAAGACCACTCCTCTCCACGTTCTCCACGCCATGTACTAATATTGGTCAGTTCGTTGTCCAGGTATATGGTGCAGTTTCCAATACCCTAAGATAGATCTAAGAACTTTAGTTTATATCATCAATAGTAGGTGATCCGAGATGACTTACAGGCAGACTTTGCCATTACTGTAAACATTTGGGTTGAAGCGACAACGTCCCCCATTTGTTGTGACACAAACTACACTCGGGGATTTGGATGGATAATCTGTCACCGAGAATAAGACTAAGCTTTGTCGTGGAAGGGGGAGATTCAACCTTTGTGAAACCGAATGGCAAACTATCATCTGAAGTCAGTCGATTGCATCGCCAGAGTAAGCAAACGGGCTCATGCTAACCTCAAAGAACCCAAATTCGTACGGGGTCTCGTGAGGGCCCACGATTAAAGCCTTCACATTACGGACATCGATGTCGCGACATGCGACAGCGAGTGCTATAATATGATATCATAGTGTGTCAGCTGGTGTTCTTCTAGATGGAATCATATGCTAATGTGAGGGTGGCATACACAAATCGCAGTTTTTCTGAATCTCTCCAAGCTCCTTGTTATTGTATTAGTGTCTTATCATGAGGCTGAAATGGTGAACAAAGGGATGGTGGGAGTGCAGGCGGATGCGGGGCAGCCAACCTTGGAGATGCGGATAATGGACTGGTCCATGGCGCCTCGTGCGTTGCAGTTCGGATATTGGTATCTAGAAGTGAGATTTTATTGCCAATAACGACGCACATGGACAGATCGCGATCGAAATCTGAGTTGGGGCTGATGGTGTTAAGTCTTTGATAGAGTGAGGTGAGTGTGGATGTTGTAGTTGCGTGGTGGGATGAGTAGGCACGTAGGTATCGTTTAAGCCGAGCGCGGGAGGAAAGTGGGGAGGCAACAGCTTCTTTGGGGCAGGCAGCTACAACTTCACCACTACATTAGTACCTAATGCCATCATACCTGTCACTATAGATGCATCAGTAGGTACCTACCTTAGTTAGTAGTTATTGCTGGATTATACATATGTATTCATTCCTTTGTCTTATCAACATCGTGGTATTCTCGCTTGTTATTCATCAAGCCTGTAATTCTCTTTAACAATGAGGAACTGGGGATCCTGCATATACAGGATAGGTGCATCAGCTATTCACTACCTACCTACGCAATGAGGACTCAACAAGACACTTAATTGCTTCTCATGAAGCCTTTGTTCCGTTGTTTGTCTAGGTAGACTCTCATTTAGTGTTTTAGCCACGAAATACATCTTAACTCTGAATAACCTTTTCATTTAGCCCTCCCGTATGGATATCTCTTATAGTTCAGTATCAATTAGTGACCTTCGTTGTCAACGCCACGCCCTTTGTTGCTTTTTTTCCCCGTTCGTTCATATTACTACTAATTGGAGATATCTAATTATAAGTGTGAACACATGGGAAAATCCAGGGTATTGTCGTTGATTCAAAGCCGGCGACAAAGGTCCCCCCTCCACCAAACTGATGCGTATATACTTGAATCGTTCTATTCCATTTCGGCAGTATCACACCTGGATATGTACGTTACTAACTAGTTTTATAGATTCCTGGAAAATAACTAATATCAAATTAAAGGCACGAATGGTAAACTAATGACCAGCTGCCCGATAATCCAAGCATAACTCTTCTTTACATGCTTTTGAACCAGACAATTAAGCCTGCCCGCCTACCCGATACTGTGAAGGAGTGGGGCCAGCTAACGGGATCACCGCGGGGTTCAGGTGCTGCAACCTAACGTTAGCGGTTGCCATTAGTGACGCGCTGCGTGTTTCCTTACGCGTAAATTGATTTTCCTGAGCTTGCCATCAATTGATGCAATTTGGTGAATTTGATATCTCCATTCAGCACACCCCGATAACTCCGTTTTGTGATTGAACGCCTATCACGTACGACTTGAATCTCGAGCAAAAACTTAAATCGAGATGGCTAGCTTTTTCGACCTCAAAGCCAGAAAGGCTGCAGCAGCTGCCAATGGCAATGCGGACCAAAAACAGGACAAGCCTGCTAATGCTCGAACCCAACCTTGGGTCGAGAAGTAGTATGTTGATTTCAGGACAGAAGCTGAACCACAAAGCTGACCAGTTGCAGTCGACCAAAGACACTCAGCGATGTTACCGCCCAGGACCACACTGTCGACGTGCTCCAAAGGACACTTCAATCTTCCAACGTGCGATCATCTCGCTCCACCACCGAGACTCCTGAATACTAATTCTCTCTAGCTGCCTCACATGTTGTTCTACGGGCCTCCCGGTACAGGCAAAACCTCGACAGTCCTCGCACTGGCCAAAGAACTTTATGGTCCCGAAATGATCAAATCGAGAGTCCTCGAGCTCAACGCCTCCGACGAGCGTGGTATCTCCATTGTCCGAGAAAAGGTCAAGAACTTTGCGCGAATGCAATTGACCAATGCGGCTCCGGGATACAAGGACAAGTACCCTTGCCCCCCGTTCAAAATCATCATTCTCGACGAGGCCGATTCCATGACACAAGACGCCCAGAGTGCGCTGCGACGAACAATGGAGACATACAGCAAAATCACCCGTTTCTGCCTGATTTGCAACTATGTCACTCGAATTATCGATCCGCTTGCTAGTCGATGCAGCAAATTCCGATTCAAGAGTCTCGACCAGAGCAATGCAAAGAAACGACTGGAGGAAATCGCAGAGAAAGAGGGTGTGCCGCTTGAAGATGGCGCCGTCGATGCACTCATCAAGTGCAGTGAGGGCGATCTTCGAAAGGCTATTACCTACCTGCAAAGTGCCGCCAGGCTTGTTGGCGCCAGCACCGAAAAGGAGACCGACGGCGAAGGGGCAATGGATGTCGACAAGCAGGCGGTTACCGTTAAGATTGTTGAGGACATTGCTGGTGTTATCCCGACCAGTACCATCGATGATCTCGTCAAAGCGATACGTCCAAAGAGCTCGGGATCAACGTTCCAGGGCATTTCTGATGTCATTGAGAAATTGGTTGCAGATGGTTGGAGCGCGGGACAAGTCGTTGGACAGGTAAGTTTGTTGATCGTCTCGAGCCAAGCAACTATTAACATCTTACAGCTTTACCAAGCTTTGACCTACGATGAGACAATTCCCGATGTCCAGAAGAACAAGATTGTCTTGGTCTTTTCAGAGATCGACAAACGGTTAGTCGATGGAGCAGACGAGCACCTGTCTATCCTCGATCTGTCAGTAAGAATATCGGCTATTATGGCGAGAAAATGAGCTCGTGAGCTTGGCATGTATCGCGTTAAATCCAGCACGAAGAACGGAGTTGTGGTCAGATATGGATTGGCGTTTGAACTGGTTCTATACTACCAGACATTTATTGTACTTGACGTTATATAACTCTAATCCTAAACAGTGTCTTCCTGGCCGATTAACCCAAGGTTACCATGTAAACTAGACCATGCATCTTTTGAATGCTCCGCTTCTTTGCTCTTCTCTGTATGTTTTCTCCCCTTGGTTGGCGACTTAGGACCAGCTTCCATCCAGAAATCTTCTGTGGTATCAGCCTGAGCCTCATTTTCATGTGTCACTTCACCCTGTCCCAGAAGCTGGTCGATTTCCTGCAAAGTCTGCATAGAATTCTCCAACGCAAGTTGCCCGCCTTCGACCTGCTCTGCCACATTTTCGAGCGTAGCAATCTTTGCTGAATCTGCAGCTAAAACCCAGGGTTGAACTTTGCCCGTCAATCCTGACCGTTCTTCTGAGCCGAGGAACTCTCCTAGAACCGACCGTCTTCGTGATGACGGTGCCGCAGAGTATGAAGGGAGCAGCTGGCTTTCTTCTTCCAGATGACTAAGTGACTGACAGTTGCTCTTGACTTCCTTGCCGAGGGTCGCGTTAACATGTGACTTTTGTGATATCACGGCCCTTTGTTTTTTGGATAGCGCGAGAAGTGTCTCGATATATGGTGTAAGGAGATATGTGCTGGATGCAGGCTCTGATTCTCCAGCCTGTTGCTTGGTGGCGGATGGCGCCAATACAGGAGCTGCCGAGAAATCGGACCTTTCGCCAACATAGGCAAGAAGAGACCGCCTGGTCGCAAGGTATTTGGCGTACTTCTCTTTTATGTTGTTGAGTTGGGTGTTTATCGTTGCCTGATCCGCCGTTGATTGGTTGTGGCTCTTGGAACCGCTGTCGTCCCCTTCTTCGTCTCCTGAAGCCTTGCTCAGTTCAGTTTCAATCCAGCTAATAAGCTCATTCCGTGTTGTATTTAGAGCATGTAACCTGATGCCGTTGCTAATAACATCGGGGATGCTTTGGGCATTTGTCCTTGTTTCACGGAGCAGTTGTTCTTCTCGCCGTAGGAGAAGTTTTGCTCTTAAGACAGTCTTTTCGAGTTGAGCAACTTGCTCTGTCAAGTCGGTCTTCTGAACGCTCTGCTGTGCTACTAGGCCATTGACCACTTCTTTTGGGACGCTTGGCCGACTCATGGCTTCGTGAAAGACATCCTCGGGATCCAGATATTCAGGTGCAGCGGCAGGTTTCTGCATAAGAGAATCGAGATGACCCTGAACAGCTGATAGTCGGTTCGACTTGGCTTGAAGCTTTAGAAGCGATATCCGTTCTTCCAATAGCTCGTTGCTGGACGATGTATCTTGGGCTGGAGCCGAGGAGGCAATATTTGATTGTGCAATATGTTCATATTTCCGACGCGCATCGACATTGGATTTTAGAGCTTCGATGTATTCTCTGTAGATTCCTTTTGAATTTGGATCTGGAGTTACGTCGCGCGCCGGATCAGCCAGCGACACTGGCTGCTTGATTGGGCCGTCATGAGAACATGTTCCAAGATGTAGTGCTAATACACGCCGAATATAATTGACTTGCTCGCGTGGCTTGATGAATGGATCAAGCGTTTTCTGAAATGCTTCAATGGTCTCAGAAGGATTTGTCATTGTGAATCATTTGTTTGTCGGTGAAAGGGTCTCTAAATTTGGCTGGTTGCTGCGGTCCCAGCGTAAAGTAAATAGACGAGATTCAGCAGCTTCGATTGATTGAGTGTGGCTAGTGTGAGCTTCCATTATCTCGTAACGGCCCAATTGAACACGCAAGAATCATAAGATATACGAGATGCTAATAGATAGAAAGAATTTTACGTATTCAACTACAAAGTCATCTATATCCGTTACAATGATTTCACTTCGGAACGAAAGCACTGCGTGATGATGTATTGCTTGGAGGTTCAGCCACATATGCAACCGCGCCACAAACGCGCTGTAAGCTCCATGCTCCTATCCGAAGCTGGTCTAGCGCATTATCCTGCTAGGCTGAGATCTGAAATTTATGATCGCGACTTGAACTCTCCAACTAAGTGACGATTACAACCAAATTTCAACAACTGCGCATCAATCGCAGAACTTAAAGAGACCTAGGCAGCGGCTAATTACTTCATTTGGTCGCGTTGGTGGCAAACTCATGATTATTTAAAAGCCTAGCGCCCCCAGGCTTTGTCGAGAGCATCGACGTTCTCCTAATAACAACATAATAATCTAGCCACCATGGCCGACGGAAATCGAGATGTGTCGCAGTACAAGTACTCGGCGATGTCGAACCTGGTTCTCCAGGCCGACCGTCGATTTGTCACAAGACGAACTGATGAAGCCACGGGTGATCCAGAGTCGCTCGCCGGGCGCTTGAGTATTCGAGATATGGGTGCTCGAGTCGCACGCGACGACGCGCCGAAACAAAAGAAGCAACCTGGACCTCCTGACATCGAGCGAGGCAGCCTAAGAGAAGGGGAGGATATCCTAGCACGAGAACAGCGCAGACGAAAGGCGGAGGCGCCCCAATCGACCGGTGTTCTCGGCGCCAACGACCTCTTGGTGGAGGGCATCACATACCGACCCCGAACCGCAGCGACGCGAGCGACTTTCGACCTCATTATCACTATAGTAGCCCAAAACCTCGGCGATGTACCACATGAGGTTGTGCGCAGCGCGGCGGATGCTGCTTTGGAGTACCTGAAGGACGACGATTTGAAGGATCTGGATAAGAAGAGAGAAATTGACGACATCTTGGGAGTAACACTAAACCCCAAGCAATTTAATGAGCTTGTGAATCTCGGCAAGAAGATTACAGATTACGACGCCCAGGACGACGACGACGACGTTGCTATGGGAGGTGCCGATGGCGACGATGCTGAAATAGACGAACGCCAAGGTGTCGCAGTTGCTTTCGATGAAGACGATGAGGATGAAGGCGACGGGATTGTTCATGAGGTCCGCGATGAGTCGTCCGAGGATGAAGAGGAGGAGGAAGACAAGGAACAGAGTACCGAAGGCAAGGAGGAAGATGCTGTTGCCGATGTTGGGGATGAGATGATCCTCGACTCAGCGCCTTCAGGAGGTAAACGGGATGAAAAAGAAAAGCACAGCGTACCCGCCCGGGACATCGATGCGTTCTGGCTACAGCGTCAGATTGGAGCTCTATATCCCGATGCTCACGAGCAAACCGACAAAACAAAGGAGGCACTCACAATTCTGTCTGGAGAGCCAGGTGATGATGGTGAGGAGAAGTCTTTGCGTGAAGTTGAGAACGATCTCATGGAGCTTTTTGACTTTGAGCATCACGAACTGGTACAGAAGCTAGTCGAGAACAGGGAGAAGGTCTTCTGGCTTACAAAATTGGCACGAACGGAAACTCCTGAGCAACGCGCTGATGTCGAGCGAGAGATGGGCTCGGAAGGTCTCCATTGGATCCTCAATGAACTCAAGGGCAAGGACACAGCTGATGCCAAGAAGGGAAATATGGACATCAAGATGGACATTGATGTTCCGGCTTCTTTTACTGCCGACGGGCCCAAGACTGAACGTGCCGATGGTCAACTTATTGGTGGACTCCAGCCTCGAAAGCTCATCAACCTCGACAACCTGGTTTTCGATCAAGGAAATCATCTTATGACAAACCCCAAGGTCCGGCTGCCGGAAGGCTCAACAAAGAGAACCTTTAAGGGTTATGAGGAAATCCACATTCCTACACCCAAGAAGCGTAATGAGCCTGGCGATGTTTTGATGCCCATTACCGATATGCCTGAGTGGGCGCGAACCCCTTTCAGTAAGAATCAATCGTTGAACAAGATCCAGTCAAAGTGTTATCCCTCAGCATTTAACGATGATGGAAACATGCTTGTTTGTGCTCCTACTGGTAGTGGAAAGACGAACGTGGGTATGCTCACGATTCTTCGAGAGATTGGAAAGCATCGCAATCCAGAGACTGGCGATATTGATCTCGATGCTTTCAAGATCGTCTGTATCGCTCCCCTCAAGGCTCTTGTCCAGGAACAGGTCGGCAACCTGGGCAACAGACTTGAGCCATATGGTATTCGTGTTGCAGAGTTGACTGGCGATCGTCAGCTTACCAAGCAGCAAATTGCCGAGACACAGATTATCGTCACTACACCTGAGAAGTGGGATGTTATCACCAGAAAGTCCAACGACTTGACTTACACCAATATGGTGCGCCTCATCATTATTGACGAAATCCATTTGCTTCACGATGATCGCGGTCCTGTGCTGGAAAGCATTGTCAGCCGAACTATCCGCAAGACGGAACAGACTGGCGAGCCAGTTCGAATCCTTGGTTTGTCTGCCACACTTCCCAACTACAAAGATGTTGCGAGCTTCTTGCGCGTGAATACGAAGAAGGGCCTCTTCCACTTTGATGGCTCTTACAGACCCTGTCCTTTACGACAGGAGTTTGTTGGTGTCACTGACCGCAAAGCCATCAAGCAGCTAAAGACTATGAACGATGTTTGCTACAACAAGGTTATTGAGCACGTGGGAACAAACCGCAACCAGATGCTTATCTTCGTGCACTCTCGAAAGGAGACCGCCAAGACTGCCCGCTATATTCGGGACAAGGCTGTTGAGTCAGACACGATCCACCAGATCCTTCGTCACGATGCTGGTAGTCGTGAAGTCCTAAGAGAAGCATCTGACATGGCGACTGACCAGGACCTCAAAGACATTCTGCCCTACGGTTTCGGTATTCATCATGCTGGTATGAGCCGAGTTGACAGGACAGATGTCGAGGACCTTTTTGCCCGTGGTGCTATCCAAGTCTTGGTGTGTACGGCTACGCTGGCCTGGGGTGTGAACCTGCCTGCCCATACAGTTATTATCAAGGGTACGCAAGTTTACTCGCCTGAAAAGGGTAGCTGGGTTGAACTCAGTCCTCAGGATGTCCTCCAGATGCTCGGACGTGCCGGTCGACCTCAGTACGACACTTACGGAGAAGGTATCATCATCACAACACAGAGCGAGATGCAGTACTACCTCTCGCTTCTAAATCAGCAGCTGCCAATCGAAAGTCAGTTTGTAAGCAAGCTGGTGGACAACTTGAATGCTGAAGTTGTGCTTGGTAATGTCAGAACCCGTGATGAGGGTGTTGAGTGGCTTGGCTATACATATCTTTTCGTCAGAATGCTCCGCTCCCCTGGTCTTTACCAGGTTGGTGCAGAGTATGAGGACGATGAAGCTCTGGAGCAAAAACGTGTTGACCTGATTCATTCCGCCGCTATGGTTTTGCGGAAGTCAAACCTTATCAAGTACGACGAGAAGACCGGAAAGCTTCAGTCCACAGAGCTTGGTCGAATCGCTTCTCACTACTACATTACATTTGGTTCTATGGAGACTTACAACAACCTTATTCAACCTTCTATCACCACTATTGAGCTCTTCCGCGTCTTTTCTCTGAGTGCCGAATTCAAGTTTATTCCTGTTCGCCAGGATGAAAAGCTTGAGTTGGCTAAGCTACTGGGCCGAGTGCCGATTCCGGTCAAGGAGAGCATTGAGGAGCCTCATGCCAAGATCAACGTGCTTTTGCAAGCGTACATCTCACGCCTCAAGCTCGAGGGCCTGGCTTTGATGGCCGATATGGTATATGTAACACAATCTGCTGGCCGTATCCTGCGTGCTATCTTTGAGATCGCGATGAAGAAGGGCTGGGCTAGTGTCGCCAAGACTGCCTTGGACCTCTGCAAGATGGCTGAGAAGCGCATGTGGCCAACCATGTCTCCTCTGCGCCAGTTTCCCACCTGCCCTAAGAGTGTTGTTCAAAAGGCTGAAAGAATCGATGTGTCTTGGAGTAGCTATTTTGATTTGGATCCTCCTCGTATGGGCGAGCTTCTTGGTCTGCCCCGAGAAGGTCGAACTGTTTGTGGCTTGGTAGCCAAGTTTCCTCGTGTCGAGGTTCAGGCTCAAGTTCAACCCATGACCAGATCGATGTTGCGTGTTGAGCTCAGCATCACTCCTAACTTTGAATGGGATGATTCTATTCATGGTGCTGCAGAAAGCTTCTGGATTCTGGTCGAAGATTGTGATGGAGAAGATATTCTTTTTCACGACACCTTTTTGCTGCGCAAGGAATACGCCCAATCGGAGCAAAACGAGCACATTGTGGACTTTACGGTTCCTATAACAGATCCTATGCCCCCTAATTATTTCGTTTCTGTTGTCTCTGATCGATGGATGCATGCTGAGACCAGACTTCCTGTTCCTTTCCACAAGCTGATCTTGCCTGAGAAGTTCCCTCCTCACACAGAACTTCTCGAGCTTCAACCTCTTCCCGTTTCTGCTCTCAAGGTGTCGAGCTACGTTGACCTCTACCCGTCATGGAAGCAGTTCAATAGGATCCAAACACAAACATTCAACTCGCTCTACAAGACGGATCAGAATGTGTTCATCGGAGCTCCCACAGGCAGCGGCAAGACTGTGTGTGCCGAGTTTGCTATTCTAAGACACTGGACCAAGGGTGAGGCTGGCCGAGCCGTGTATATTGCTCCCTTTCAAGAGCTTGTCGACTCTCGTCTTCAAGATTGGCAGAAGAGGCTCGGCCACCTTAACGGTGGCAAGGAGATTGTAAAGCTCACTGGCGAGACAGCAACTGATCTCAAGCTTCTTGAGAAGGGTGATTTGATATTGGCAACACCAACTCAATGGGATGTGTTGTCTAGACAATGGAAGCGCCGCAAGAACATTCAGACAGTTGAGCTCTTCATTGCCGATGAAGTTCACCTTCTCGGCGGCTCGCAAGGCTACGTGTACGAGACGATCGTCTCTCGCATGCACTACATTCGTACCCAGACCGAGCTGCCCCTGCGAATTGTCGCATTGAGTGTCTCGCTAGCGAATGCCCGGGATATTGGTGAATGGATCGACGCAAAGAAGCATGATACCTACAACTTCAGTCCCCATGTCCGACCAGTGCCCCTGGAGCTTCACCTTCAGTCATTCACCAACACCCATTTCCCATCTCTCATGTTGGCAATGGCCAAACCCACTTATGTGGCCATCACACAAATGTCTCCTGACAAGCCTGCTATGATCTTCGTGCCCAGCCGTAAACAAACTCGAGCAACTGCTCGGGATCTCTTGGCGGCAGCCTTCGCGGATGATGACGAGGACCGTTTCCTTCATGCCGAGGTGGAGCAAATGCAACCTTTGCTTGAGCGTATCAACGAGGAGGCACTTGCTGAAGCTCTCTCGCATGGTGTTGGTTATTACCATGAGGCTCTTAGCCAGAGTGATAAGCGAATTGTTAAGCATCTGTATGATAATGGTGCCATTCAAGTACTTGTTGCCTCTCGGGACGTGTGCTGGGAGCTAAACAGCACTGCTCATTTGGTCATTGTCATGGGCACACAATACTTCGAGGGCCGAGAGCATAGATATGTCGATTACCCTCTTAGCGAGGTGCTGCACATGTTTGGTAAGGCTCTTCGCCCGTCCAAGGATGGTCGTGGCCGTGGTGTTCTCATGCTGCCCCAAGTGAAGCGTGAATACTACAAGAAGTTCCTCAACGAGGCTCTTCCCGTCGAGTCGCATCTGCACAACTACTTGCACGATGTCTTCGTGACGGAGATCAGCACCAAGATGATTGAGTCGGGTGACGATGCGATCAACTGGACCACATTTACCTACTTCTACCGAAGACTACTTGCCAACCCCAGCTATTACAGCTTGACAAGCACAACACATGAGGGTCTAAGCAATTACATGTCTGACTTGGTTGAGACGACTCTGCGTGAGCTCAGCGAATCGAAGATCATTGACTTTGATGAGGAGGATGGATCTGTGGCGCCTCAGAACGCTGCTATGATCGCCGCCTACTACAACATTTCGTACATCACAATGCAGACCTTCTTGCTCTCATTGAGTGTCCGTACAAAGCTTAAGGGTATCATGGAAATTGTCACTTCAGCCACCGAATTTGAGTCGATCCAGATCCGACGTCATGAGGATGGCCTGTTGCGACGCATCTACGACAGAGTCCCTGTCAAGATGTCTGAAGTAGTTTACGAGTCGCCTCACTTCAAATCTTTCGTCCTGCTTCAGGCGCATTTCTCTCGCATGCAGCTGCCAATTGATCTGGCAAAGGATCAGGAGGTCCTGCTATCTAAGGTTCTAAGTCTTCTTAGTGCCATGGTCGACATCCTGTCTTCAGATGGTCATCTCAACGCCATGAGCGCCATGGAGATGTCACAGATGATCGTGCAAGGCATGTGGGATCGAGATAGTCCCCTTAAACAGATTCCTCACTTCTCGACGGAGGTTGTCAAGGCGGCTAATGAGTTTGGGTATGTAACAAGCTATGATTTGGGTGTTGAACCGCGAGCTAACTTTCTTTGCAGAATCAAGGACATTTTCGATTTCATGGAGGCCATGAATCCGGACGAGAATGCCGATTACAACAAACTTGTTAAGCGACTTGGTCTGTCACAAAAGCAACTGGCCGAGGCTGCCAACTTTACAAACGATAAGTACCCCGATCTGGAGCTTGAGCACGAGGTTCTGGGCGAGGACGAGATTAGGGCAGGTGAACCAGCCTACCTGAACATTAAGATTGCTCGCAACTTGGAGGAGGAAGACGGCGAGTATGACTCTACCGTACACGCGCCATTCTACCCCTCCAAGAAGATGGAGAATTGGTGGTTGATTGTCGGTGATGAAAAGACCAAGAGTCTCTTGGCCATCAAGCGAGTGACAATCGGTCGGGAACTCAACGTTCGCCTCGAGTACACTGTACCATCACCGGGTGAGCATGACCTGAAGCTGTTCTTAATGAGTGATAGCTATGTCGGAGTGGACCAAGAGCGGGAGTTTTCGGTTACCGCAGCCGAAGGCATGGACGTGGATGACGATGAAGAGGACGAGGACGAGGACGAAGACGAGGAGTAGAAGCTCGAAGCTCGCTCCAATTACCACCGCGATTGCCAGTGATGGCTTTGTACAATATTACAGACTACGAACGCGAATTTAGGAAGATAATATTCGAACATTACCACTAGGACGATGACATGGGATGTTATATGTGACTGAGATGTGCACTATGAGATGAGTTTCACCAGCTGAAGCTGACTTGTGTGGATGCTCAATGGCGCAACACGAGTAAAAGAGGCGCGAGGGGGTGCGATCAAGTGTTCACAACGCCAAACGCGTCTATCTACGGTTAAACCTACGACGTGACAATTGCCAGTGGGAGGAGGAGTAAGAGGAGGGCCAAGATGCTGAGAAATGAGACTACAGACGCGTCTTACCGTTGATCTCGTATACTAGGGCGTCGAATCAGCGTCGATTACGGAGTACGCGCTGGGCCTTTGATGTTGTTGCGTGTGAGAGGAAGACCCGGGGGTGCCATAGATGGCTGATGACGCCGCTGCCGGCCATTCATTCGCATCACGTGACCCTAATATCTCTTGGTGACGTTTGAAAGTGCTTCCCTTGCTCTTGCTCTTGCTCTTGCTCAGGCCCAGCCCATCAACTCACGCCAGCGTTTTTTTCTCTCGTCACCCCCCAACATCCTAGCACCATTCGAAGAGGCGCATATCAGCATCAATTGCGCATTCAATCTCTAACATAACAACACCATCGCACTACGAATCTTGCGCTCCATCGACGCGCGCAATAAACCACCAGCTACGCGTTCGCCCATCTTTTGCGAGCTGGCATTCCACTTTTGGCTTTTGTGATTTGTGACCAGCGAAATATCATCACCATTGTCGCCATGGCCGACCAGGTCACCGAGAAGCCTGAAGTTAAGGCACCCGCTCCTGATGCGCAGGAAGCACCTGCTGCTGAGAAACCTGCGGAGCAATCGTCGACCGGAGACAACGCCGCCAAGACCGAAGGCGAGGCATCTAAGGAGGATACAAAGGTCGCTCAAGGTAAGTCATGATTAAGATGCATTTTGCGTCTGTTGCGCATTGGGCTGCAGTGTCCTTGAAATCGCGCCCCGATTTCTCGCGTGCTCCATCTCCTCGGCGCGTCCTTCCCTTTGTCAGACCCGTGCTGACCATTTCGCTTCAACAGATACTAAGGAAAGTGGAAACGTAGAGAAACCCACCGAAGACAAAGACGCGACCGAAGCATCAAAGGAGGATTCAAAGCCCGTTGACGATACCGCCGACACCGAAATGAAGGACGCGCCTGAGACCTCGGCTGCTGAGGAGACCAAAGTTGAAAACTCCGCTCCATCTGCCGATGGTGAGACAGCAGCTGAAAACACCGCTGCCGAAACTCCTTCAGCAAAGGGGAAAAATAACCGCCGCAAGTCGACTGGTGGTGCCACCCGCAAGAGTCTGAGCAAGAAGGCCTCCAAGGCGCGTCTCACGCACTTGGATGCCAAGCCTGGAGACCATTTCTTGGTCAAGCTCAAAGGATTCCCTGCCTGGCCCGCCATTATCTGTGACGAGACAATGCTACCTCAAGCGCTGGTCGATAGCCGTCCTGTTGCTGCTGCACGACCTGATGGCTCCTACACCGAGGCATATGCCGATGGTGGCAAACGTGTCAACGACAGAACTTTCCCCGTTATGTACCTTCACACAAACGAATTGTAAGTTGTCGTAAATGATGTTCTTCGGACACTCGCTGACCCGATTACAGCGGCTGGGTGCCTAATACCCTACTTACAGAGCTTCCACCACAGAAGGCTGAGGAGACCATCACTGAGAAGATGCGCAAGGACCTCAAAGAGGCATTCTTACTCGCGGCCGAAAGCAATTCTCTCGAACACTACAAAGACGTGCTTAAGCAATTCCAAGACGAGCTGCTTGCTAAGCAACAGGCTGCCGCGACCCCCAAGAAGTCCAAGAAGGGCAAGGCCAAGGCTGCCGACGAAGATGTTGACATGGAGGATATCGATGATGCTACCGCGGAAAAGCCAAAGGCCAAGAAGCGTAAAGCCGAGGATGACGTGGGCGTGAGCAACCCCACCTTGTGGTTCGTGATTGACAGTATTGACAATTGGAATTTTAGACACCACAGCGACCTGATTCAGTTAAGAAGCCTAAGATCAAGCTTAACACCTCAACCCCCAAAGCAAATGGCACTCCCAAGGCCAAGGAAGAATCTGCAGCCAAAGCTAAGGTCAAGGTTAAGAAGTCTGCCGACAAGAAGACCGAGGGAGCCAAGAAAGCTAAGATGACCCCTGAGGAGCGACGACACCACAAGCAGGTGAGATATACCAGTAATACAATAGTGATGTGCATTGCTGACCCCTTTTATCAGAAAGAAGTCTTGTATCTTCGTCACAAGCTTCAACGGGGGCTTCTCACAAGGGATCAACAACCCCAGGAATCGGAGATGGAGCAAATGTCCGAGTATGTTACTATGCTAGAGAACCTCAAGGACCTCGAGGTGTCCATCATTCGCGCGACAAAGATCAACAAAGTCCTCAAGGCTATCCTGAAGTTGGAGTCAATCCCCCGTGAGGATGAATTTCATTTCAAGAATCGTTCGCAAGTTCTTCTTGACAAGTGGAATGAGCTGCTGGCCACTGAGACCGTAGCCCCTGCTAGCGAGGCCACCAACGGCGTGAATGGCAAGTCGGATGCCAAGGCAGACGACAAGCAGGATGACAGTGGCAAAGAGAACACTGAAGAGCCCAAGTCTGAGACCTCCAAGGCCGACGAGTCCAAGGCTGAGAAAACCGAGGATGGCGAGAAGACTGAGGAAGAGGAGAAGATCCTAGAGACACCACAAGCATCAGCTCCTGAGGAGAAGAAGAACGACGTAAGTACCAATTGTGACGCTCAGGAAGAGTCCAACTAACAAAGATCAAGGCTGTCGCCCCTTCCGAGCCCGTTGAAGCCACGGCTTAGACTTGCTACCTCGTAATGTGGTTCGGCTCATGGTGATTTAGAGCAAATTCTTTCATGGCGTCAGGGTTATGGTTTACCAGTTCTGGTCTTTTCCGTTTCTTTTGCTATTTCTACTGCTATTTTTTTTCTTAAGCAATGGCAAAAGTGACTTCGTCGCGTCTTTCCGGTATCTGTATGAATATCTGCCAAATCAGGTGGCAGAGGTGCGTCACGACTCGCCCGAGTCAGTCATAATGGGCACGTCAGGGACGGAGGCAAGCAATAACTATTTTTCGGGATTGTACAAAGGGCAAAAACAACGATATTGGACCGGGAGACGGTCGTCCAACGTGGGCTTTCCTGGGCCTGAGGGAACAAGGAGATGCCATGCGCATGGACAAACTGGGAGGGGTCATGGAGGTGAAGGTCAAAGAATGAGATGCTTTTCGAGAGGAGGCGTATGAGAAAGTGGATTTGGCCAGCAACAGCATACAGATCATGAACGGGACGAAGAATTAGATGTATTTGAGAGGATGAACTCATGCATTTTCTCGAATAATTGATCGTACACATACTTGCTTCTCCTTGTTCTGTTGTGTCTGTGGTTCATGTCTTGGTGAAGCAGAGACTTAGGTAGGTAGGTAGTGAATGGTGTACTGTAGCTGGTCGTTAGGATACAGTGCGTGATACAGTGCTACTAAACACGTCTACCGTCACAAAACGCGTTGACCTAGAACTTGTATCCGAGCTTCAGGAGCCTCATCTCCAAGACTCTTCTATTTCCTGCACCATAGAGACTTTGAAAATGGCACGTGAAGAGCTCAAACAGGAGACGTACACCCAAGAAGACCACCAGGTAATAGATGACACTGTTCTCATGATTCTGCCCCCTGTTGATTAACGCAGCGAATAGGTCGCCTACATCTTTGACCCTGAAGATGATGGGACACGCCAGAAGCCCGCCAAGCGAAGAAGAGTATCGAAAAAAGCTCAAGATGGCGCGGAATCCATCAAGGACTTGTCATCTTTTGTGCCGCTACTCAATGGTGCCGAGAAACCTGAATTCGTCCAGCTAAGGGAGACGTTATTTCAGGAGAGGTGGGCCAAGATTGATGAACGTATTGAGGTGAGTGAACGAGACCCCTTGGCTCGAATTATTACTGACAAAATTTAGGGAATCCTAAAAACTTCAAATTTGGAAACTCTCCATGAAGTCAGCGAATTCATTAAAGAAGCTGTGACAGATTCGTAAGAACCCAGCCACCCCTGATATATATATGTGTATATATGCTGGACAGCCCCTAATTCTTGTACAGTGGGGATAGAATCCCTTCAGCGTTCATCATCACGGGACCCAACATCGCATCACAGGATCTTCTTTTCCAGCAACTATCAGAGACACTCCAACAAACAACATCGAGCAAGTTTGTTGGTCTACGGTCGTCAGAAGCCACGACACTGAAGGCGACGTTGAAGAAGATTATCCGGGATGTCACGGCCAAGGTTTCCAACGACGAGGACGACGACCTCGAAATGGAAGATGGACGAGAGGTTAGTTTTTCTGAGTCTTTCCATATGATTGTATTGCAATTCTCACACGGTTTAGGGACGAAGGTACCTTGACTACGACCTAGAGGCTTTGCACGCATTTATCAAACCCCAGAATTGCGAGCATGTTTTTGTTGCTTTCCAGGACAGTGAAGGCTTTGATAGCAGTCTGTTGTCAGACCTACTTATTCTCTTCAAGTAAGTCCCCTCTGCCTTCAGATCCAGCCAGCCTGCTAACTGCGTACCTAGCTCCTGGCGTCCACGTATTCCTTTTACACTGCTCTTTGGTATTGCCACATCAGTCGAGCTACTTCAAGCAAGACTTCTCAAGGCTGCGTGCCAGCAAATATATGGAGCTCAGTTCGACGTGATTCAGACTTCAGCCATTCTGGAGACCGTTTTCAAAACAGCTGTGGCAGCATCCGATGCTCCCGTGTTATTGGGACCGTCGCTCCTTCACAGCATGCTAGATCGTCAGCATGATCAAGTCTCCGGTATTCAGACATTTAACATGTCACTAAAGGTGCGCTCTACCCGGCCAAAACGTGGACGAATGATTTCTAACGAGCAACAGTACGCTTATATGTGCCATTTCTACGCAAACCCACTCAGTGTTCTCGAGCATGCTTCAGAACTTCAACCTGAGCACCTCCAAGCTATACGCCATTCAAGCTCGTTCAGAAATCACGTTGAACGAGCAGTCGAAACCGGTAACTTGGACAATGTGGAATACGCGAAACGATTGCTTGAAAACGACGAGTATCTTACTTCACAGGTTCAAGACAGCCTTACGCACCGTCAAGAGCATATCGAGGCATTTTTGCGCGCACTGCTCGTTCTCAGAGAGGCGGAAGGTCAAGATGGTGAGTTCTCGAGAGCCTATGTCGAGGCCATGAATGAGGGTGTTTCGGTCACCGAGAACTCGAGGACCATTGAGAAAGTGCGGCATATGGACATTGGAGAGCTGGTGGCTATGTTGCGTAAAGTAGTCACGATTTTGCGAGATGGAGAGGTTGACCTACTCCTTAGCCCAGGAACGAGGTTACGAGACGTCGAGTTTCGAGATGGGCTAATAAGACAGCTCACCAAGTTGGAGAAGCTACAGTCAAAAGCGCAAGAGCACAACATCATACTGCGAAGCAAGTACAGTGGTCAGATCAAAGTGGCGCGTACCACAGTCATTGCACAGAGGGTCCAATTGAGCCACGACTCTGCTGCGCTTACAGATGAGGACAAGCAACTCACCCAGGCTGTGGACGACATCACGGCGCTGTTGGCCACCCACGTTCAATTTCCCAAGCCTAGCTCTCTTTTGGTGTCGGAAAGCTGGCTGTATGATTCTCGAGCTCCGTCACGGGACGTGTTCGTGCCTCGGCCACGATCTGTTCTAGAACGCAGCCTCGCAAGACCCCACGACTACCTTGCGTGCTCATGCTGCAAGCCAGGCGGCGAAGGTACGCCGGCGACATTGCCAGCCACGGCGCTTTTATATCGCCTCTATACAGAGACTGGAAACCTCATCAACGTGGCAGATCTATGGGCTGCGTTTGCTGCACTGGTGGGCGACGAGGAAACAGACGAACGGAAGTCGCTGGTTATGTTTTACCGTGGACTGGCAGAATTGAGGGCTTTGGGATTCGTCAAAGCGAGCAAGAAGAAAGCGGACCATGTTGCCAAGCTGAAGTGGCTCTAATGAAGGATGCGTTTGCGTTTTGTGTTTGTGTTTGCATCGCATTGGTTGTTAGTTGATGGGGGTTTGGGAGCAAAGAGAGACATGGCGACTAATAAAGACTGGAGAATGAAGACTGCAAGCGCGCGCAATGGGTGAACAAGCGAACGAGATGGGCTCTTTGTAGTTCTGAGAACAGGTTTTTCTTTTGTGTTTTTTTGTTCTCAAGGCCAAGGGATTGGTTAAGCCAATGGCCACAAAGAAAAGTGAAGTGTCGTCAGTGTGAGACAGAGAGAGACAGGTGAGACAGGTGAGACACCAGGTGGCTGGGAGTGGTTGCAGTTACAGACTACAGTTGGTTTAGTACTTTGGTTAATATGGCCAACGCAGCAGAAGAATCCAAGACATGCAGCTAAAAGGTCTTGGGACAGGGGAATTTAGACGCCGGGAGCGGAGGGGAACTGCATGGTACAAAGCATCATGTGAATGGCAAAAGACAACGAATAGTTACGTAGTAGATATGCTAACTACCTAGAGATTGGATGCTATATCGAGATCGAGTATTGGGGTGATTGGCCTGTTAAAGGAGCGAAAGAAGAATTAATGAATGAATTGATCAAAAATGGAAACAAAAGAGAGAAACTCGAGTTCTATTCTATTCAACTTCATTGACCGACTATTGGCCATTGTCTTGATGGGCTCTTTTTGAGTCATGACCACTAAACTTACCTACTAGTCACATTCCACGCCATGCCCATGGTTTGTTTCTGGTGTCTCTCTCTGTCTCTTTGACCCTCTTGTCTCAAACTTCCTTTCTGCTTTCTAGCCTGGGACCAACTAACTTTAGTCCCTTTTTTGGACGGAGCCGGCTTCTTTCTTGTTCAAGCCCCCGCAAGCCCAAGCTTGATCGAGCTCGAGTCTCTGTCTCTCTCTTTACAGACCCCTTTGCCCAGAAACAGCTTTCTCGTCTAGGATAAGTCTAAAAGAAAAAGAGTGAAGGAAGAAGAAAAAAGGGTGTGTGTCAGTAACTTACGTAGTAGTTAGTAGCTTAGTTATGTTCCAAAAATGAGTGAACCGCTTCGGTCACAAAGAAGCCCTCCCCCCTTAAGACTAAGACTGGCTGTTCGCGATCCTAGCTTCTAGTATCGTCCTGTACAAGTAGGGCGGGGGTTCGCTCCAGAAGGTTGTGAAGTCATATTCTGGTTCATGATCTATCAACTGTATCTCTTCTTCTTCGTCTTCGTCTTCGTCTTCGTCTTCGTCTTCATCTCATTCTATTCCTCTTTCTCTTTCTCTTCTTCTTTGCTCTGCCCTGCTCTGCTCTGCTCTGCCGTGCTCATTACTTCTCCTCTCCATCTCCAATCCCGTCTCTTCCCATTCTGGCTAAACCACAAACCTACCAGCCTCTACAGATAAGCCCTTTTACAGCCAAAGTAATCGACTACAAAACTCAAAAGACAAAAGTCTCTGCTGTCATTCACTGCTCGTTCTACGGAGAAGGCCGTTGTTGATAGCTCACCCCGCCAGAGCCAAAGCCAATTCACCATCATCACCACTCATATTCACCGCTGATCACTCTCAAGAGCTTGTGCTGCTGGTCTATACCTAATCAGAAACGTCAATCGTCAGAAAATAAGAGACTGGTTGTTATTGTTGGCTGTTGCCCTACAAAAGCTCGAGTGAGGCTCAACTATCTACTTGCTTCTCAACTCTAATCTTTCTCCTCCTCTACCTCCCACCATTCACTACTACGTTATCACCACCTGCTCGTAACAACTACCGCCATAATGATGCGAGGCGAGATCCCTTCAAGGCACCGCCAGGCTTTCGGTCAGCGACGACTTGCAAAGAACCCAAGTCTCCAGCGCAAGCTCGAGCAGATGGCCCTACCTCTGGCACCTCTCGTCCAGCTCACCACAGGCGCCGTCCATCCGTCATTTCCAACCACCGTCCTCAACTTCTGGCTTCTCACTGACGAGCAGCTCGAGTCGCTGGCTCACTTCTACCACCAAAGGACACCCAACCCTTGGACAAACCAATACCCGTGCCCGGTCAACTGGCGGTCCGATCTGCCTCTCGAGGAGAAGCGTCGCAAGATGGGCAAGTTCATCGGGCTCAGAGGCTGCGAATCACCTATCCTGCTCAAGACTGAGGAAGAGATCTTGGCAGAGGCACGTAAAGCGAGACTTGCTGCCGAAGAGGACCTTTGGAGGCGAAAGCACTTTTCCTGATCAGCACGCATCAAGCCGCCTAGGTTTAAAGGGCGTTCATACTATTAATGGTGGTAGGTAGTCTGCTTCTTGTCGTTTCTTGTTTCTCGTGTCCTGTTGGTGGCGTTTTTTTGTTTCATAGGTGTTTCTGCATATGTCTCCATAGTCGTTTGGTCTGCATCTAGAGGGCTGCATTGCAAAGACATCAGTCTACACGGCCAGCTAGCCAGCGCGCGCATCATTGCATTTTCAGAGGAGTACGAGGAAGGTCAAATATAGCCATATATCAATAGAGAAGAAGCCCATGCTACTGTTTTCAAATCAACCGCAACGCCGCCATATGTTGGTTCCCCCCTCATTCTCCCAATACGCACCAAGAGTGTGCGCCTTACAAATAAGTGATATGTGTTAATACTATACAAGCCAAGACTCAGAGATATAAGCTTCGTAGCCGTGTATATGTAAATACGTCTTTATTCTCACAGCCGCCCCGCATACGGAGATATGCGCCCATCTACACGTTGCCAGCCTTCTGGCCATTTCCAGGAGTGTCGACCATAACACCATCCTCGCTGGTAGTGTTTGCAGAAGAGCTCTGTTCGGAGCCATCAAGCTCCTTCATGAACTCTGTTTGGATCTGTCCGCGGCGCTTCTCCCACCACTGCTTCTCTGACTCGGCCTGGGCGAGAATTTCCTCGATGGAGCCGCGCATAGCAGCATTGGCAGTCATCTCATGGGCAGACTGGAAAATCGACTGGCCCCAGTTAGGTGCAAGGGCATTGGCCTGTTGAGTGTTAGCATACTGTTTCTTCCGCATGTCCAGACGAATGCAATCTTGCGACTGCGCAGAAGGGGCAGTACCTCTGTGACAACATCTCTCAACTCCTCCTCCATCTCCTTCTCGGCGCGCTGGAATCGCTGCCACAAGTCATCACCCACACTACCCCGTGCCAGCAAAGAGCCACATGCTTGCTTGGCAGACTTGATCTGGATCAGACGGCGGATGTCCTCGACGGCGCGGCGCAATAGGGCAGCACGTAGAATGCTGTCAGGAACCTTGGGGCCCTTTTCTGTGTCGTCCTCGAGGTGCAGTAGGGAAAGGTAAACGTTGCGCTGGAGATGAGGGCCGAACCATGGGGCCAGGTTGGCGCTCTCGGCTGTAAGAGAATTGTTAGTATTCTTTCTCAATTTTGTTCTCCTTTAGAGTTCTGGAGGAAATGGTGAGCCATACCGGCCTGTCGCTTTCGGTAGATCGTCGAGAATGTCATGAGTGCGCTGCCGAGTACCAGAACATAGGCAAAGGGGAGGGCAAGGCCCTTCCAATCGATGTCGAGCATGATGAAAAGAGGTTGTGAAAGAAAAAAACACGATTATTTGCGTGCTGTATTAAAAGAGTGTCGAGAAGGAAGTCAAACCAGCCGTGGACTGGGACGTTTGCGAGTTTGTATGAGTCGAACCTTGGTTGTTTGACACTACCTTTAATCGACACGACTACAGATTACAGTACAACTCGCTGGCGGTGTGGCGCAGTAAAACTTTAGGCCAGATAACGCTTCCGCTTCGACATGTGGCACTATAAGTTGTGGCTGGTGTCTTCCTTCCAGGCAAGATGGGCCCTGGATTTTGACTGCCGTGCGACGTCACTCCACCATTAGATAATCATTTGCAGGCACCTTCTTAGATGACGCTGTGCTAATTAAAGGTACGTACCATTCTTTGAGCTACCTTACCTAGGTAGAGGTACCTGACCTGCCTCTACATCTATCTTTCCGTCTTTTGTATTCCATTGAATGCCGTTGATTCATTAATGTCCAGCTGCGATCTCTAGGCCCTTCTTCTCCTTCTACACTCGTCTTTCAACGATTCTTTCTCTCTGACTTTCTCACTTTCATCCTTCAATACCATCAAAGCCGCACAGCTCGTGATCCACGACAAAGAGCACACATATAAACCCCCACCAGAGACAATCACCAGCAACAGCTCTTCGAAACATCGCCCGCCATGTTGCTGCGACTTCGGGGCCCAGATGGCATGGCCCGTCTGACCGTCGAGGCTACAGATACCTTTGGAGATTTAGGGAAGCAGGTTTGTCATGTCTTTTGCTTATGCGCGTTCGCCTTGTCCCCGCTGACGTCGGCCATGTTTAGCTACTCGATCAACTTCCCAAGACCGTCGATCCTAAGACTATAGCCCTGTCCAACGCACCAAACGGAGGCGATTCGAAGCGACTAGGAGACATCATCAACTTCAAAGTTGGTCAGATTGGTCTTAAGTTAGTGCACGCTCATGACACAGCGGTCAACAAGCTAACCTCATAGGCACGGCGACCTCATCTTTCTCACCTACCAGCACATCGACCAAACAAGCGACGATGCTCCCGAAGTTTCGAACACCTCCGCCAGGCTCAACGGAAAGCCTGTCCTACCGACCGAAGTCTTGCCCATAAACCCCAAACCCGAGAGGATCGCCAAACCATGGGAGGTGGTGCGTCAGTCTGCCCTGGACGACCGATTAGACAGACTCGACGGCAAGATTCCTCGGGGCATCAATCGCATGTGTCGTCACGGTCCCAAGGGCATGTGCGACTACTGCCAGCCGCTCGATCCCTTCAACGCTGAACATCTTGCGGAAAAGAAGATCAAATACTTATCCTTCCACTCATATCTACGAAAGATCAACGCCGCAACGAACAGACCCGAGCTTGGGGCTTCATACATCCCTCCTCTGGTCGAGCCCTTTCATAGAGTCAGGCATGACTGCCCTTCCGGTCATCCCCCATGGCCTGAGGGTATCTGCACCAAGTGCCAGCCCAGCGCCATTTCTCTGCAGCCGCAACAATTCCGAATGGTTGATCACGTCGAGTTCTCTTCACCTTCCATCATCGACAGTTTCATCGACACCTGGCGAAAGACAGGATCTCAGCGTCTAGGATATCTTTATGGCAAATATGTTGAGTACACTGAGGTCCCTCTTGGTGTCAAGGCTGTTGTAGAAGCCATATATGAGCCTCCTCAGGTGGACGAGCTTGACGGCATCACAATGAATGCATGGGAGTCGCAGAAGGAGATCGACAAGTTGGCCAAGCAGTGTGGTCTAGAGCCCGTTGGTATAATCTGGACTGATCTGCTCGATTCTGGCAACGGAGATGGCTCAGTGGTTTGCAAGCGTCATGCCGACTCCTACTTCCTGTCTTCTCTCGAGATTTGCTTCTCTTCGAGACTACAGGCTCAATATCCCAAACCCTCCAAGTGGAGCGATACAGGCATATTTGGCTCAAATTTTGTAACATGTATTATCACTGGTAACGAGGATGGCGAAATCTCTATCTCGTCTTATCAGATGTCTAACGAGTCTGTGGAGATGGTTCGCGCGGATATCGTTGAACCTTCAGCTGATCCTAACGTCATGCTTGTACGGAACGAGGAGGAAGATGACGGTTCCGTCAGTCGTACACGATACATCCCCGAAGTCTTCTACCGTAGAGTCAACGAATACGGCGCCAACGTCCAAGAGAACGCCAAACCGTCATTCCCCGTCGAGTATTTGTTTGTTACACTAACCCACGGCTTCCCTGCCGACCCTAAGCCTATGTTTACTCAACAAGGTTTTCCTATCGAAAACAGAGAATACGTCGGAGAGAGCCAAGAGCATTCCGCTCTTGCCAAATTTCTTAAACTATCGCCTGGCCAGAAACCCACTGGACAAGAAGTGTCTAACTTCCATCTTCTCTGCTTCATTCAGCAGATGGGCGTCCTTTCCAAGGTGAGCTTGACGAGCCGCAGCGTACAAAGCGACTTGCTAATATATGTATAGGACGAAGAAGCCCAGCTCTGCCGGGTAGCGAGCCAGCATGATCTTGCTGATACATTCCAGCTCCGTTCTACCGAGGGCTGGCAGACCCTTCAAGCTATTCTTGAATCGACTGGTGAGAGACTCCCCAAGCGTCAACGGGAGGACGGTGGTGTTCCCTCGCCCTCCTCCTCTTCATCCTCTTTTTCACAAAACACTATTCGCGACTCGGGTGAACCCCTTGCTAAGCGATTTGCTGCCTTCAGGCTAAACGAACGTGGGACCAAGTCCGCCCATCCACCGCCGCCCTAGTCGATAAAGAGATGATATTGGTATAAGGAAGAGAAAGCAGGTAGAGTTGGGATGTGACTTGACAGTCGTATAGATGCATCGCGGGAGTGGAAAGTCGCGAGGCTGGAATTTTTTTGCTAGATGTTTAACCTTCCATTATGCGGAGGATGATATTGCATGTGTAGCTGGGGCGGCGTTTGGGACAGGGATCGGAGCATAGTTAGACGATGCATTCGTCAGGTGGCTTCCTCGGCTTAAATACAAAGTGTGCTGTACATGTCTTGATGTGTTATTTGTGAAGAGTCAAATTTGATTTATCCTAGGCGTGGCAGCTTGGGGTGTCAATTCAGCAGTGCCTTGATCCATAGACAAGTCTCGCCAAGCCCTCAACTCAATTGGCACTGCAAACAGCTACATTTCACAATAGTAGTCCACATTGCACTGATGAAACCTGTTTCATTTCCCATACTCCCGTCTATAGGTACAGAGGGCGGCCATATCATAAGCCCAAGCAATCATCACAAACTCCCAAAAACCTGCCCTCTCTTCAAATGAAAGATTTCACCAAAATGCTCCTTCAGCTCGGTTTTGAATCAAAAACCCTCATCTTCCAACATCAATGAAACGCCAAAAATTCCTTCCCCTTTGTCCAGACGCTAAGCTGGCATAGATGTTTTGAAATAGGGATTAATATTTTACAGGGGCTTACCTCCAATGAAGTCGGACCATCGGCGGACTTCACCGGGGATGCCTTCAGAGCGAGGAAGCTTCTCGCTCATGCACTGAGCAAAGAGGATAGCGGTCTGTCGAATGAGTTAGCTTGGTTGTTCGTGGTTGGCAAAACTGATTAAAGGGGGTTCTCACCTGAGGCTCCATGAACAGAGGGACGCCAAAGTCGACGGCATTTCGGCGCATGACATAGTCGACGTCCAGAGTGGTCTTGCCTCGGGCAGTGGCAAGGTTGAAGCATCCGCGGATATCGTACTTCTTGAAGACCTCTCGGAGAGCTCGCTTATCCTCCTTGGGGAACTCAATGACCTCGACCTCGACCTTGGTCTTGGACTTGGCCTCGATGAACTCTTTGACCTCGGGGCTAGCAGCGTACAGCTTGTAGCCGAGAGGGGCAATGTAGTCGACGACCTGGGTGAGCCAGGGCTTGGAGACGTTGCCGCCAAAGAGGAGACCCTCACCAGGCTCGGGCATGCGGAAGTTCATGGTGGACTGGAGAGAGGTCCAGTAAGCCTCAACGAGATTTTTACCGAAGCAAGCAATCTCACCAGTAGAGGCCATCTCGACACCGAGGAAAGGATCAGCGCCAGCAAGACGGGTCCAGGAGAACTGGGGAACCTTGGTGGCAACGTAGTCTCGTTTCTCGGCCATGGGGTCAGACTTCGCAGGAACCTCCTTGCCGACAAGAGCCTTGGTAGCAACATCGATGAAGTTGGTTCCGAGGACCTTGCTGACGAAGGGGAAAGATCGCGAGGCACGGAGGTTGCACTCAATGACCTTGAGTAGGGGCTCGCCACCTTCGGGGTTCTCGGCCTTGATGATCTGCATGTTGAAGGGGCCGGTGATCTTCCAGGCCTCGGCAACCTTCTTAGCGATCTCCTTGACACGCTCCATGGTGGTGCTGTCAAGGTTGGCAGGAGGGAGAACCAGGGTAGCGTCACCAGAGTGAACACCTGCCTGCTCAACGTGCTCGGAAACAGCATGGAGGATGAGCTCTCCCTTGGAAGAGACACCATCGACATCAATCTCCTGGGCTCCCTCAATGAACTTGGTGATGACCACAGGGTGGTCAGGGGAGACGTTGCTGGCAGCCTCAAGCTTGTCCTTGAGATCTTCCTGGCTAGAGATCACAGTCATGGCAGCGCCAGACAGGACATAGGATGGGCGAACCAGAACGGGATAACCGACCTCGTCAGCGAACTCCTCAGCAGCCTTGACGGATGTGAGCTCCTTCCAGGCGGGCTGGTCGACACCAATGCTGTCAAGAATCTCAGAGAACTTCTGACGATCCTCGGCCTTGTCAATATCCCTGGGATCAGTGCCAAGAACGTTGGCGCCACCGGTCTCCTGAAGTCGGAGAGCGATGTTTTGAGGCAGCTGGCCACCGACAGACACAACAACACCCTTGGAGTTCTCGAGTTCGTAGATATCCATGACACGTTCGTAGCTGAGCTCCTCGAAGTAGAGTTTATCAGAAACATCCGAATCGGTGGAGTAGGTCTCAGGGTTGTAGTTGATCATAATGGTCTTCTCACCCATGTTTCGGAGAGCCTGGGTAGTGCTGACAGCACACCAATCGAACTCAACGGAGCTACCAATTCGGTAAACGCCGCTACCAAGGACAATAGTACCCTTGTCATCGAAAGTGACATCGTGGGTAGAACCGTTGTAGGTGGTGTAGAGGTAGTTGGTGTTGGCGGGGAACTCAGCAGCCAGAGTATCGATCTTCTTGACCCAGGGGCGGATTCCGAAGCTGAGACGGTGGGCTCGGACCTCATCCTCGGTACTCTTGACAGCGTTGGCGATCTGTCGGTCAGAGAAACCCATCTTCTTGGCCTTGAGGACCTGATCTTTCTTCAGGTTCTGCAGGCTGCCAACCTCCTCAAGCTCTCGGGTGCAGTCAACAATGTTCTGCAGCTTGTAGAGGAACCACTTGTCGATCTTGGTCAGCTCGTGGACCTTGTCGACAGAGTAGTTCTCGTGGAGCATAGCCTGGCCAACAGCGAGCCATCGGCGGTCGGTAGGGTTCTGGAGCTCAAAGTCGAGGTCGTCGAACTTGTCACCCTGGAATCCGAGGAACCGGGGGTCAACCTGACGGATGGCCTTCTGGAAGGACTCCTCAAAGGTTCGGCCAATGGCCATAACCTCACCGACTGACTTCATGGCACTGCCAATGTCGCGCTTGACGTGCTGGAACTTGGCAAGATCCCATCGGGGAATCTTGGTGACAATGTAGTCAAGAGAAGGCTCGAAGTTGGCAGTGGTGGTCTTGGTGACAGCGTTGGGAAGCTCGGGGAGGGTGTGTCCAAGACCGATCTTGGCAGCGGTATAAGCCAAAGGATATCCGGTGGCCTTGGAGGCCAGAGCAGAAGATCGAGAGAGACGGGCGTTGACCTCAATGACACGGTAGTCGAGACCATCGGGCTGGAGAGCGTACTGGACGTTACACTCGCCAACAACACCAAGATGACGGACGATCTTGATGGCAGCGCTTCGGAGCATGTGGTACTCCTCATCACTCAGGGTCTGACTGGGAGCAACGACAATGGAGTCACCGGTGTGAATGCCGAGAGGATCAAAGTTCTCCATGTTGCACACGGTGATACAGTTGTTGTTGGCGTCACGGACGACCTCGTATTCAACTTCCTTCCAGCCCTTGAGCGACTTCTCGACTAGGATCTGGGGAGAGAGGGTAAGAGATCGAGCGGCCATGTTGCGGAGCTCCTCCTCGTTGTTGGCGAAACCGGAACCCAAACCACCCAGGGCATAGGCAGCTCGGACAATGATGGGGTATCCGATGGTATCAGCGGCCTCGAGAGCCTCCTCAACAGTGCCGACAGCAATCGACTTGGCAATGGGGATGTTAATCTCATCCAAAGCCCTGGCGAAGAGGTCACGATCCTCACTCAGTTCCAGAGTTCGGACGCTGGTACCAAGGACCTTGACGCCGTACTTTTCGAAAAGGCCAAGACGTTCCATCTCAACACCGAGGTTGAGAGCAGTCTGACCACCGAAAGACAGGAAAATGCCATCGGGCTTCTCCTTCTCGATGACATAGGAGACATACTCGGGGGTAACGGGGAGATAGTAGACCTCGTCAGCCAGACTGTGGTTGGTCTGGATGGTAGCGATGTTGGGGTTGATAAGCACAGAAGAAACACCGGCCTCCTTAAGCGCCTTGAGAGCCTGGGCACCTATTATGAATGATGTTAGCTCATGTTTTAGTTTTGATGTTGTTTCGGTTGAGTCGGGAGAGGTGTCGGTGAGATCATTCGGAGTGTCTCACAGGAACGGCACGATTGGGAATGTTGGGACTGTTGGGTATGCTAACCTGAGTAATCGAATTCTCCAGCCTGACCAATGGCAAGACCACCACTTCCAATGACAAGAACCTTCTTGACATCAACAGTCTGGTGAGGCTTAATAACTCCACTGTCAAGGTAGGCCTTGGGGTTGGGTGCGTCCTGGATAGCGGCGGAGCTGTATCCGCGCATAACCTTGAGGGTTCCAATGCGCTTCGAGTTTGCAGGGCGAGTAGCAGCGATTGAGACTCGGGCGGAGGCGGCGAGAGGGCTCACGGAGGAGAATGAGCGATAGGGCAAAGCTCGCGGGACCCTGCGTCCATGACGGAGCAGGGCCGGAGCTCGACCAGCGAGAGTGGTTGCCAGGTTGAAGTTGAGAGGCATTGCAGCGGATAATTTGCACGTATCAATGCGTAAGTTGAACCGTCCCGCTGGCGAGGTTGCCCTGGTGTATCCCTTAAGCGTCTAGGATTGGCGATATATGTGAAGGACACAAGAGACGGTGACTCTGTGGAATTGGGTTTCCAAAGAGGAGTAGGGGAGTTGGGGGGTTGAAGTAGGGCGGCTCGTCTGAAGAAAATGGCGGGACCAGGTACAACTGATAAGATAAGAACCTCCGAAAATTATTCTGTGACTCTACAAAAAAAGAAGGAAAACCTGGTTGTGACGCACCTTTCCTCAGAGTTGCTACTCCTACTACGGAGTACTACCTTAGTACTCACCTAGGTAAGTACCTAGTAGGTACTGCTACTGCCGTAAAGGTATTTCCATACTATAATCCTACTGGTTGGTTACATCTGGTTGCTATCTGAGACCTGCCGTCTGCCCCAACATTTCGGCCGTAGTGAGAAAATTAACCATCTCAAGATTCGATGGAGATCGTCCATGACTAGCGGCTTTCCCAAGGGATCTGAGTAGTACTGTTTGGTGCCTTTCATATTAAGTCCACGAAGATATTACACTTTACTATGCCTTTTCTATGTTCTGTTCAACATATCCATCTCCTTATGTGCTGTATTAACTCTGTTAACCCAAGCTCAACACTTATTCACGGCTGTCTTCTAAGAGAGTAAGTATCCGTATCCGTACATGCAGCTCATATACCGAATATGACCTTGCAGCTTATCATCCTTGTCCAATGTCCCACTGAGCTCCCCAGATCCAGCTAAGCTATGGGTCCGGTTACGGCGACCTTACAGCTTAAAACCCTGACCCAAGAAGAAATCAAACAGGGACGACAGCCCAGACAACACCTGTCAGCAACAAGGAAATGGATTCTACTGGTGCCAGTACTACGGATAGCAGGCGTCTAGAATAATTGACCAAGTTCCTCAGGCCCCATCGAGAAGGGGGGAAAAAGTGAAGCTGGCCAATGTCGTGGAACGTCTGCCAGGCTAAAGTTGTTAATTGCCCGATATCGCCGCCAGTTCCGTCGCATAGGCGGGACCGGCGGAGGCAATACACCGCCGATTCCGCCGCTACGCAGCGCTTTGGGCGGTAACAGAGCCGCTGGTCAAGGTTTTTGAGTCATGCAGGGCTCTAAATACCGAGTATTTTTATTGACTGCCGGTCGTTGGTGATATCATTCAATATATGTTATCGTCGCTATGAATGTTTATTTTCCTAGAGTGCATATCATGCATTCTGAATGTCAATAACTGCTATGCCCGTCTAACACAGTATGGCGCTACGTATTTTGAGCCCCTTGTGCTTTGACGTAACTCAAGCTTTCTCTGGTGGCATTTACCTAGACAGCACATCATGATAAGATACTAAAACTCAACCCACAGATATGATGTTACTAAAGGACAATATAAACCCAAAAGCATACTCGTTGTCTCGACAATATGGACACAGCAAATTGAAACTTTAAAAGCTTACTTGCCAAAGAGGGGCTACCCTATGGCACCCGGTAGTAAGTTATTGGCTCACACGCGATTGGCCAATTAGCTCACATGTACAAACTAAAAACCAACCACCAACCACTACCCGTGGATCCGACGAAAAGAGGCCCCACTCAGAGAGTACGGATAGGCGGCAAAATTATAGAACAAGGGCAAAATCGTAAGATAAGCCTGTAAGGATAAGGGAAGGTGCCCATCCGGCCAAAAGACCAAAAGATCAATCAGTTCAGACATAACATGTCTGAGCTGCCTTCCACATCAGTATATAAGGAGCCTCGGCCACACACACAGGTATGACACAGTAGGTCTTATAGGCCTCGGGCCAATAACCTTACAAAGCCTTTTAGTAAGGAAATTATACTAAAAAGAATTATCTTTTACTTTAACCTGAAATTTCTATATAATATAGCTTTTTAAAAAATAAATATTAAATAGTTTTATATAGCTTAAAAAAAGCTTTTTCTATTTATATAGGTTATACTTTAATACGATTTTTATTTAATTTAATATCTTTAAAATAGTATATTTTCCCTAAGAAAACTTCCTAGTAAAAATCTCTATTTCCTAAGAAAATAAAATCTGTATAAAAATGTAAAATAAATAGCTATAACTATAAGAACTAGTAAGTAGGTTATAAGAGTATTGTTACTTAATAAGCGACTGCGCCAAAAGGGCAGTCTTAGCTCTTCTTAATGTTATAGAGACTAAGCTTATTCTGGTATATAGAGGTAAGCGAGCCGAGGGCTCGCCGACCAATCAGAGGGCAGATCCGAGATCCTTACATAGGTTCTCTAACCTTTATATATTAAGAAACTACTTTCCTTTTTATTATAGCTATTCTACCTAATTTAATAGAGAATTTTAAAGTTATTAAGTTTAGTATGTAATTCCTATGAAATATACCTAAAGGCTTGTCCTACGATTTTACCCTTATCTCATAATTTTACCGCCCACTCTCTGAGTGGGGCCTCTTTTTCGACGGATCCACGGGTAACCTCCAACGACGTGTTACGATGTTGGATGAGAAATCGGAGACATAAAATAAAAGGTTTCCAGTACGTTATAGCGGTACATATGGTAAAACACCATGCGTTACCACACAAGTATACATGTGGTTTTCTTGACATTCAAGTGATGGAGATCTGATTTTTGATGTCATATATCCAAACCACGTCTAATACTTAGAATCGCATCTGGTGACTCGGTAGAAACACCATATGGTACAGTTTCAGTATAGTGTACTGCCAGTAACACACTATCATATCATGTCAGTTGAATACCATAAGTATCTTGAGAGTTGTATATCATCACGTTCTGACACTTGGGTCTTTTGCATCAATTGGCCACGACACCCGCATCTTTTGCTAAACTGATGCATCGGGTTGATAGGGGTAATAAACACCAACAATCCTATTGGATTGATACAGAAACATCCAAGATGAAAGTATCAAGTGGCTTTAATATGTCGCATGTACTTTATTGTTCCCCTCCGAACATGTTAACTCAATTCGGCCCCTGACAACACTTCAGCCTCCTTAGAGCGGCCGGACACACTTACATACTTCATTCACAAAGGGCGAAGATGACGAGGCAACGAGTTAACTTATATTACCAACAACCCCATAACTTTGAACCTCAACTCAAAGTTGTTCTGTTCGTGAAGCCTCAGCCAGTAGCTCTCCTCCTTCCACCCGAGGCGCGACCTCCTCTGTGGAAGTTACGCTACAGCCCCATTCTCTCACCTCCAACAATATGTAGAGAATATGAAGGCAGATTGTTGAGATATCTTATCCTCAGCCACCATGTAAACGCTAATATTTGCGTTTATAAGAACGAACGTTCTGTCTCCTGCTTGACCCTTCCCTACTTTCACCACCAGACGAGTATATACTCGGCCTTCACACCCATTCAACCATATACCTCCTTTCATCATTACAAAATCATATATCTTTCCTTTTCCACGACCACAAGATTATTCATCCAGCTTACGGAAATACCACAAGATGAATCTCATTACAATCCTCCTCGTCCTCTCTCTCCAGCTGGGCATAGTCCTAGCTAGCCCCTTTGAGCCTTCCGACTTTGGCATCCGAAATGTTTCCCAAGAAGGATACGGCAATGAATGCGACATTTTCAAGGAAAGCTATGTGCATGGTGCCCCAAGTCCGTGGCAGTCTCTTTACAAGGGGTTGGTAAGATGGGTTGCGGAAAGAAAAACCGCAAGGACTGTAGATGCCAATACCAAGTCCAAAAGGCCTCTGGAGACTCCGGTGGCCGATTGGGCCGAGATGTGCAAGAAGATCAACCTCCATGATGGCATTCAGAGCGAACATATGAGCATGATCGATCACGCGGAGGCCTGCCATAGACAAGCTCTCGAGATAATCAGCAGTCCCAAGGGTGTATTTACGGAGGAAATGGCTAGCGGCCACACAGATCTTGTTGTGAACCCGAGGGTGATGGCGAAGCTGATTGTCGAAACCATGAACAGCACTCTCAGCACGCTCGAAGACGAATTCGGAGACGATGAAGAGGATGACATGGCATGGCCAGGCCATGGATATCCTAGATACATGTGGTACTTCAAACCAAAAGAGGGAAAACGATATTCTATTCGTTCACCTGAACAAACGATTGAAGAGGTAAGACAATCTCAAGGTTGCCAACGTTCAAAAGTACCAGGAGCTAATATATATGAACACCTCAGATCTTACAGTTGGAAAAAGAAATGGCGGAATTGGAGCAGAGGATTCTGGCCAAGAAGCTGAAGGAAGATGGTGGCCTAGGAGGTCGATATCTGGAATTCACTGCTCAAGAGCAGCTGGCTCAACTCAGCAATATTGATTGAAGCAGTATGGCACCACGGCGGAAGTATCTCCACGTAAAGTTCCAGGCTGGAACCTGCCTCCCTGATAGTGAACTTTGGAGTTTATTACACCTTTTCTCTTTATAAGCTCGATCCTCTTGGATTCTGTTCGATTATCCACATGGCTATCTTTTAGCTTCTGATTCACACTCCTGTTAGCGACTCGAATGCCTTATAAGTTGGTCCATGTAGCGCGGTTATTTTCTATTGGATATTCTCTATACCGAGACCTACTTCAGGAGTAGGCAGCCAGGTTTGATCAACGAGTCTAAGACAGCTGCGAGTTGGTTTATAACTTACAAAGCTAGTCAACCTAACAAGTCCGATATGAAGTTCAACTTTGTTTGTTCAAACTATACTGAGGTCATAAATGTAAGTGTTCTTGATCTTCTGGTGGCGCAAAGCCCTGATTATGCCTTGCGCCCTGAGCTCCTGAATGATCTGTCACTCCCTCATTATGCAACAAATCACAAATTTAAACAAAGAAATTCACCAAAAACACAAACAGAACACAAGTAAATTTCTGCAGTGTTCACTTCCTATAGCACAATGTCCATCCTTGTCCCCCAACAAAGAGATGTGTTCATGTTACAGCTTGCTAAGCTAGGAGACAATATCACAAACCACTTAAAAACTGACATGTTTCCCTCCACATATTAATATCGTTGAAACAACCGTTCATCAAATTGATTAACTGACATCAAATTGTGAGAGATAATAACTCCGATAAAAAACCTTAAACACTAGCACCCAACACTCAACATCAAGCAACAATCAACAAGCAATTACACCATGTGCTACCAGATCGCCAACTTCCAATGTCGCCACATAGGACGCGTTCGAGTTCCCTGCAAGAAGATCAAGGAACGTCGCGAATCATGCTTTCGGCTCCTGCTTGACTGGATATGTCCAGTTCGACCTTGCAAAGACCTGCTGAAAAGCGCACAGCGACCAAACCACACCTGCGAGACATGTAGGTTCAAGCCTGCTGGGGAGCAGCGCCCGCAATCGAGGCAGAAAACCCTACCTCAACCTCCGCCTCGAGCAGTTGTAGATGCCTCTAGACGGGCTTAGGAGACCCCACGAGTACTGAATACCAAAGACCCAACAAATTTTGCCTTCTCTCTTCCGCCAGTAAAGAATGTGCGCCTAGAACGAAAACATCGAACCATGTCGGATCAAGCAACCTTCAGTCCACAGCTGGCTGGTGACTCTGGCTTGTGGGCGCTTCGAAGTCGTCCAAACCAGCGACGCCCTCGCCCCTCAACACAATAGAAGGCGCAGAAGGTTCGAGATCAACTAACTCTACACGGCAAGCCTCCGGTCAAAGACTTGAGCGAGGCCCAAACAAGAACTGAAAACCAAGGTTTGAACAGAGCCAGTATCCAGACCAAACTTCAGAGACCCTTCGTGTTTGGGATTGAAAAAAACGGAAGCGTCGCCGAGAAACTGGCTGACTTTTGCCAGAAACACAAGCTCTCGGGTGTCTACATCCAACAGAATTTGGCACACAAGAAATACATCATTCTCCCTTCTGAGCGCCGCAACTCTTTGTAGGTGCTGCCTTCTCGTATTGATAACGAGGAGTGAAGTTGAAGAATAGACAAGAACTCATTTCTATCCGTGACGAAGCTAGCATTGGCCCGTTCCAACGGACGAGAGATAGCAAAAAAAGGTAAATCGAAAGGCTATCTATTTTTAAGTAGATACCGCATTGATAAATAATATAAATAGACGATGTTGCTACATGCTTGATTGATAAATGCTATTTTAAATGCAATGGACACAACTCCGTACACCACAGGCGATGTTGAGCCGGCCAATATGGCCAATTCATCTTCAGACCCTGCCTCCTCCTTGTTATGCACGCTCATACAATGTGAATCCCAAGACAACCTAACGGCCGTGTAAGCAAATTAAACTGCTCCCAAAAACATTAAGTGCCCAAGTAAATAAAACGGTGAGATCACTGATACCAACTTCTTCCACCGCAGCGAAAAGGACACTGGCGTGGTCCATCCGTTCACTACCCCCACGACCTATGAATAGGCGTGCTCGTTACTGATCAACGGTTGGTGATACCTGAAGTAAACTCCTACACACCACAGAATGGGCTGTCACGATGCTGAAACCAGTCCTATATATCGAGCACTGAGCATCAATCGCCCGGACGATTTCTGACGCTCAAGATTGATGTAATAAGCAAAATTGAGGGGTTTACTCTATTGGGCCTTACCATTCTTGGCCCTGAACTTCTCAATCTCGATCATGACCTTCTTGTTGACACGAGCTCGAAGCTCAGGTCGGTATCCGAACTTGAAGAGGATCTCAAGCCACACAAACATAGGGGCCAGGAAAATGGCCTGGATAAGGTTGTCGAGCAAGGCAGGGGCACGTCCCTCATATTTACCGTGACCAATAAACTGGAAGATCCAGCAGACAATGTGAATGGCCAGGGCAGCCTGAAAGGTTGTGTCGGGGTCCTGCAGGCGGAGGTAGTTGGCGAAAGCTGCGCCGCTCATGCAGAAGATGGCCAGAAGGAAACCCGCGAATGGCTCCAAGAGCAGGTACAATAGAGAGTAAAGACTGGCGCCAATGATGCCAAAGTTAAGCTCCATGTAAGGGGGGGTAATCCAAGATGGTGTTGGGATGAGAGTACCACTGTACGTGGCCTGCAGCGTTGTAAGTTTAATCCAGATGATGAGAGAATAAATAGACTAACCATAGCGAATCCTGAGATGAGGATGAGAGGAATGCACACCATGTGAATGGCAACATTGACCGAGTTATGGTGGTAAGCACCATACTGAAGCATGTTAGCATATACTCAATATATTACTTGGTGAGACGAGAGCGTCGAAGTGGACTTACAAAGGTGAGATGGCTTTCAAGATCCAGAGACATGGCGAGAGGGGCCTTGGCAGAGACGATACAGTGGTAATGGTTGCAGTAAACTCGAGGTGAGCGAGAGAGGTACGAACAAAGGCCTACACGTTGGTCTCAACTAATGTGGACAAGCGACTCGAAATCGAGGTGGTCCGTGAGGTGGACTATGTAGTATTTGACGATTTCTGAGAGCGCCAAGGTGTCAGAAGATGCAGGGCGACTGAGAGCCAGATATTGAGAAGAAGGCTGAGAGAGAGGGCTGATGTAGATGCAGATGTAGACGGTGATTTGCCAAATGGTGCGATGTTGAAATCGACTAAAGGATTAAGGTAGGTACCTAGGTAGTGCCTTCAAGTAGCGCAATGGAAGGTAACACGATCCGAGACAAATGGGGAAGAGGGACAGAAGGAAGGTGAATTGGGAAGCCCCCTTCTGGAAGGACAAGGACAAGAACGGAACCGAGGCTTGAATGCAAGAGCAAGCGCAACCGCGTTTGGTGATGTGCTGCAGAAGATGCAATAAAGAGAGTAAGTGAGTACCCAAGTGGACAAAGGGAGAAGGTATCCGTAAGTAAAGTCAAGTTCGGAGTATGAAGGTATGAATACGACAGAGCGAATGGAATGATCTGCTTGCGAGTGGCTTTGCTGAGCTGTTCATTCATGTGCTTTCCCTTTTTTTCCCTTTCCCCCATTGCCCGGGTTTTACCAGCCTCACTCAACACACTCTCAGCCTGTACCCACTGCAAAAAAAAAGGGCCAATTCCACCATGTTTAGGCCCCCAACCCGGCAAAGACCCGCCCCAATGCACCGCCGCAAGCTCCTTGTGTGGGGCACAGTCCCTAATTTTTGGGAGCCTCCTTTCTTTCATCCCCTGGACCCATGTTCACGGTTCGTTTTTGGTCGTGTGCTCATCTCCTTATTAACTTGGGTGAGTATCGCAAACAATAGTTTAATCCTAGTCAAGAAATATACGAGTCTTGTTGTCGTACTGGTCGAACACTTCTATTCCCCTTGTTGATTTCCCCAGGTTTTACACTGCCGATTCTATCATCTGGGAGGGGGACAGGGTTTTGAGAAACTTCCATTCACTTCTTACAAAATCATACCACATCCAGGGTTCTTCTGGAAGACGCCGAACACTCCCGGTATCCTTCTACTACTGACCACATCGGCTGAAAATATTAAAGATTCAAAGTGCCAGGGACAAAGTTAGAGATGAACCCTAAGACTGTCATGAAACTACTAAAATCTAGTCTTGTTCTAAAAGACTCTAGACTCCAGAGGTATAATATGTAAGAGATACCTTATTTCAGGCTTTTCTCGAGTCGTGAGTGTCGATTGGGAGAGGCCGATACCTCGCTAGTGAACATCCTTCGCATATATATGTAGGGTCTTTCTTCTTATACTGAGTGATAGTCAAAAGCAGTGTGATTGTGCAATGCATATGATTTGTGCCCATCCATTCAATGATTCATTGTGCCTGGGTGACTACCTATGTATTAGTTGTTCAATTGAGATTACACCAAATTTAGCAAACTTATACTTCTCCTTCATTGATCTGCTTTGTTCCAACTCTGTAGAAAGTGTCAATTTGGTAACTCTTATTCACACTTAATTGTTGATTTAATGTTACCCTGCTACCGTATTGTGTCTTTGGTAAGGCCCACCATAGCTCTTAGACGCCACACATGTGGCTGAAGTTCTCAAAGACCTCAATTTCTGATTGGACGTACCCATATAGGCACGCATGGGCCAGCTCAGCCTCGTCGAATCCATATCCAAACTTGCACCTCACTTGGCATTCTTTCATCCAAAGAACAAAGAACCTCCCTTGCGCCCGCGTCAAGAAGGTCAGCAGTCATATTTTGACTCGATACGCCGGGGCCCTTTCTCCTAATACATTCTTTAGCCTTCCTTCCCCTCTGGTGAAGCATAAAACACCATTACGGCGCGTTTCCCTATCCAAAAAACCACGTCGACCCGTCGCTACTCGTAACCTTTCGCACGCGCTCCCGCCCAGTGCATACTTCTCGATCGATCGCATAACTCTATCGCAGCAATACTTATTAGCTTAAGCTCTTGCCTCATCAAATATCCACCTGTTTACGTACTTCTCCTCGACCATCCCATCATATAACCACGTCGCAAACATCTACTCAACACAACATCACCATCCGCTCGTCACCGACATCTTTACTTCCTCTCAAACTCATCTTTCGTCATGTTTTTCCTGTATAATCTGGAGCGCAAGGTCACTTTGCATCCGTCCTTCATGGGACGCAACATGCACGATCTTGTGAGAGGCAAGCTCCTGAAGGACGTTGAAGGCACATGCGCTGGCGTCTACTTCATCATCTCCATCATGGACGCTTTCGACATCTCAGAAGGCCGCATTCTTCCCGGTCTTGGCATGACCGAATTCACAGTGGGATATCGTGCCGTAGTATGGCGGCCCTTCAAGGGCGAGACGGTAAGGCTGCTACTGCTAAGGATTGATGATTCAGGAGTCTGACTGTAGTCAGGTCGATGCTGTTGTGCACTCTATAAACCCGCAAGGTTTCTTCGCCCACGCAGGACCCCTGAAACTGTTTGTATCGGCACATGTGCGTCACCTTCGTAGCAGCTGGGTGATCTCTGCTAATCAATACTACAGCTGATTCCTAGTGATGTTAAGTGGGATCCTAATGCGACTCCACCCCAATTCACGAACAACGAGGATACAGTCATCGAGCCACAGACTCATGTTCGGGTGAAAATTATTGGTCTCAGGACAGAAGTTGGAGAGATGTGGGCCATTGGCAGCATCAAGGAGGATTATTTGGGGTATGTTGATACACTTTGGTCAAGTCCTGGTATTTTGGTTGCTAACGTTACTTGTAGATGCTTGCAAGCTTCCTAGATGATCGAGCGCGGTGTTGAGTAAACACGGAACCGATAATGACCGAAGCTTCTATCTCAGCATCTGGCGTGACCGAATATCTGACAATAGAAGTCAACCACTACTGGCTATGACTAAGAAAACTGCTCGTGCGGGAGATCTATAAACATCATACCAAGCAAGGGCGGTATTGCATGTCGCATCCAGGACGAGAGATTCATCAGCAGATGGGAGGGCTGCTGAAGGCCGAGCAGAAACCGCTCGTAGGCCCACATCTTGTTTCTTTTCTTGGTATAGAGAATATCACGATGGCCGCGGAGTTGAAAATGATTGACACAATTTGCTACAAAAGAAATGGATGTTGTCGCTGTTTTATTTCGGCAGTGAGCAACTAGACAATTACACGCAAGTTTTACAGTTTGCAAATCAAATAATAGAAACACAGATACCCCGATAACGCTTGTTATTCACGCCCTATTTGTGAAGGCCATCCGCCCTACAACACGAGTCTTTCTAACGACCAATTGCAAGCAGCGTAGATAGGCATCGGCTTCCTGAAGCAGTTCAATCTCCCCCACGAAACCCCGCAATCTGTGACTCCCCGCTTGAAAGCCGGGAACCGGGGAGCTCCGGGGAAGTACATGATATTATATGATATATAATACTCGGTGCATGCTTTGCCGAGCATATAGACTTTCTGTATTGTCTATGACCACTACAAGAGTTTGAACACATACAACATGAATAGAGTATGGACGTCAGCAACTCTCCGGCTACGACCGGCTCTTACAACCAACAAGCCACGGCCACTGAGTATAGGCAGGAACATGTCTGCCATGCAGGCATCTAACAAACTGCGGACAGCACTCTTAGAGGGTAAGAAAGTGTTTGGTGCTTGGCAGATGCTGCCTGGAGCAAATGTGTCGCGAGTGTTGGCAAGATCAGGTGTCGACTGGGTTCTGGTGGATTGTGAGCATGGGAATCTGGATGGTAAGAATTCCTTTATGCCTCTATGGATGAATAGAAGGATCCTGACATGTGTCAAGACGGCGCAATGCACGATGCCGTACCAGCAATTGCGGCGCTAGGAGTTTCGCCCATTGTGAGATTGCCTGATATGCAAGGATGGATGGTAAAGCGTAAGATATGTGGACATATCCGTGACTGAGTACGCAAAGCTTATATCTCCTAGGCGCACTTGATAGCGGAGCTCATGGTGTAAGTAAGGACGATCGAGACTCATGCTGCAAGTGACTGACTCTGACAAGATTGTCGTGCCGCTGTTACGAACTCCAGAGGAGGCAAGACAGCTTGTCCAGTCCGCCAAGTTTCCGCCGCTTGGCCGCCGAGGGTTCGGATCCCCGATTGCCACTGAGCGCTTCCATCCTGAGCCAAGTTTCACGCAGTATCTTCAACAGGCGAATGATGCTCTTTTGACGATTGTCCAGATTGAGACCAAGGAGGCACTTGAGTCTATTGACGAGATTGCTGCCGTGGACGGAATCGATGTGTTATTCATTGGTCCATTCGATCTAGGTAAGATATTCAGGCGCTAGCATAACCAAACAGATGATATTAATACACAGCAGGAAACGCCATTGGCCATCCCATCATTGAGGGGGTAATGACCTCAGAACTGAAAGAAGCTATCGCCAAAATCCTGGCTGCTAGTCAAAAAGCAGGCAAGAAAACAGGAGTGTACTGTACAGGGGGGGAGCAGGCAAAGGTATACGCTGACCAGGGGTTTGATATGATGAATGTGGTAACGGATTACACGTCGTTGGGCTTAGTAGCCAAAGAGCAGCTCGCTTTTGCTGATGGGAGTGTCGCACCGGCCAGAGGAAAGGGGTATTGAGTAATTGTGGTCAACCGACGAGGCCTCAGTCTTTCTCTACTTTATCTATTTGAGCTTCGACTTGTTCAACGGTGAACCTGTGCATCAGCTTGATAGCTTTGCCAACCTTGGAGGGGTCTTCCTCAGGTGCTGTGGCTTTGCTGATGTGTATCTGCAGTAGAGTTTAGCGCCAGTTAATGTTCAGTAGAGGCGTATGAGGCTAACCACAGGAACGTCAAAGTCGTAGATGTCTCTCCATTGTTTGGACTCTGGCTTTGGCAGATCGACGTTGACTTCTGTGTAGGCAAATGGCTTCTTATCCCATACATCAGACAAGACATGCTTCGCTTGGTTGCAGAGACCGCATGTTTCGCGAGTAAAGAAGGTTATCCTTGTCGATAGTAGAAGACGGCGAGTAGCAAACATGGTTAGATATTGTAGATATAACTTGCACTTCTTTTCAATGGCTTGTTGAAGAAGTATAGGTACGTAGTATGTAAATTCCATCATTAAAATGGTCTGAGTGTAACAAATCAATTGAAGTTAGCTGCAACCCCGCACCGAAATAGGAAAGCGGTGAGCCCATAAATAGCTTTGTTTCCAGCATCGTCATCGCCTCCACGGTTAGTAGTTAAGAGCTTGAATTCTAGAAGCTCCCACCCCACCAAAGCCTGTGATACCCAGATCTTCTTCTTTCTCCTGTCTCTTCCATATAAACTCCAAATTTTCAATCCTAGTCTGTGGAGCATAAACCCCATCTTCTTTACGAAATGGCTCAAAAGTGTGTCCATCAAGGTTGTGGAAAAGAGTTTACGGACCCTGAAGAGAAGTGCGAGTACCACCCCGGTCCGCCTATTTTCCACGAGGGGCAGAAAGGTAGGATTCATCAAGCAAAAGCAGCCGCTCTTCAGCTTTCCATTGTGTGTATATATATGTGCTAACTCGTTATACAAAGGATGGAAATGCTGTAAGCCTCGAGTTTTGACCTTTGATGAGTTTATGGACATTCCGCCTTGCACGACTGGCACCCATTCCACAACCGACAAGCCGCCCCAGATCGAGGAAAAGCCTAAGCAGGATGATGCTGTACTCGCTCAGAAGATCGATGCGTTGAACGCCACTCCCTCCCGTGCGCCAGTCCCGACCGCTCAGCATGCTGCCACTCCGCCTCCGCCAGCTCCGGAGTCAGAAGATGACGACCCCAGTATCGAAATCGCCAATGGTGTCGGCTGCAAGAGGAGGGCATGTGGCGCAACTTACAAGAAGGGCAGCTCAAGAGATGATGAAGAGTGTGTTCATCATCCCGGTGTGCCAATTTTCCACGAAGGCAGCAAAGGCTACACCTGCTGTAAGCGGAGGGTGTTAGAGTTTGACCAGTTCATGAAGATTGAGGGCTGTAAGACCAAGAACAGACATTTGTTCATCGGCAATGGGAAGAAGGACAGTCCCGATAGCGAGGAGGTCGTTTCTGATGTCAGGTAAGTTGATGAACCACCCCATAGTTACTTGTGCTGACAGTTTCAGACACGACTTCTACCAGACCCCGGTCAACGTTATCGCATCCTTCTTCTTAAAGAAGATCGATAAGAGTGCATCTAATATCGAGTTAAAGCCGAAGCAGTTGAACCTCGATCTCACGACAACCGACTCACCTCCCAAGCGCTACACTGCCGAAATCCCCCTCCATGGATCGATTGACCCCGAGAAGTCATCGTACAGAATTCTTGGTACGAAGCTGGAGTTTGCTCTTTCCAAGTCAGACGGTACCTCGTGGCCAGTATTGCGTGGCGACGAGGCCTTGACAGGCGAGATCCTGCAGATTGGCCGTGCTGGGAGGGCGTGAGAAAGGTAGTTGCATATTACGAAGAGATGAGAGAAAGAGCATGGTATGGAGTTTTACATGATCGATATAGCGTTGAGGAAGACATTATAGGAGAATAAATCTGCCTCGCTGGAGGTGTCACTGATTCAGAGCGAATGAGGTAGCAAAACAGAGGATGAAGATGGAACATTTGCATAGACGGAGAACAACAGTTTGCCAAACCCCACTAGTTTCTAGCGTATCGCCCATAGTTTGTTAAGGAAAACAAAGACTTTGAAACTGATCCAATGGTTCACATTTTGTTTGGGTGACTTCAAACTTCACTCTGTTCATATTCTTTATGTTTGCAAGTCATGAATTGCTTAAAGCTCTTGGGTTTGCAGCATGAACTCCCGTGAGAACAATTCAATTGCTTGTTGAGGGTGAAATATGCATAGTTTTGGTGTTTACTGAAGCAAAATAAGGTAGATCCCTCGTTAACAGCCCTGCACCAGGCAGTTTCATAATGGATCAGCGCTCATTGTCATGGACTATGGAACTGTGGATGTTCATGCTGACTAGGTAGTTTTAAAATTGAGATAACCAACAACCAACAACCAACATGATCTTATTTTTCACTCGATGCTACTTTTATATGTGGTGCGGTCCCAGAGTGTCTATCTTCTGGCCATTGTAGCCAATTTTTGTTAACGATATACTCATTTTATAGCAGAACGATATGTGGCATTCGTTTTTGTTCTGTCTTGTTAGTGCGGCTCAAGCCTCAACGTTGCAACCACGAAATGATGTTTCGCAGATAGCTCGAAACGTTTCCGGTTTCACAGCATATGATGTGTTGAACTACACAGATACAGGTCTCGATAAGGCGCCAAAGTTGGAAGTACCTCTTCGTATTCTCTGTGTCGGAGACTCTATTACAGAGGGATGGGGAAGTGATGCAAATGGTAGTGATGGGAATGGTTATCGACTTTCTCTTGCGGAGCATTTATCACGCAAGGCTTCCCCTCGTCGCGAGATTGTCAATGGAATACTCATATTGACTCATGTTTAGGAGAAGATGTTGTCTTTGCCGGCACTAGGCATGGCGGTTCAATGAAGGACAGTTATCATGTGAGTGAAATGTACCACAGCATCAAGGAATCATTCTCATAACCCGCACAGGCGGCCTGGTCTGGCAAGACGATTCAGTACATCAACAACCATATCAATGAGTCGTTGGAGCAAAGACCCAATGTTGTCCTTCTTCATGCTGGAACGAACGACTTGGACATACGCTCATCCATATCTAAAGAGGGCAGTGACCCAAAGGACGCTGCCCTTCGTTTGGGTCAACTCATTGATAAGATCATGGAATACTGTCCAGACGCAGTAATTCTCGTCGCAGTACCTCTTTCATCCTGTGACGGCTACAAACCCAAGATGCCTGAATTCAGAGCTCTGGTTCCTGGGGTTGTGCGACAGCGCCGACAAGACGGAGAGCATGTGCTTGCGGTCGACTTTAGCATATTTGACCTCAAAGACTTGAGAGACTGCTTGCATCCTACTAACGCTGGGTATAGCATCATGGGCGATTACTGGTATGCCTTTTTGACGCAGGTGCCGGATGGTTGGATCAAGAAGCCCGTCGGCGATGATCCAGAGAGGGGAGAGGAGGAGAATGGGGTTGGTGGAAAAATAGAGACAGGCAGCAAGACTTTTCTTGGTGTCGGTCTATGCTGGATATTATATTGGCGTGTCGTAGAGTTGTTGAGATGATGTTTTGAGAGTGGCATGGCAGTATATTGTGTACATACTTAGGTTATTATATCTGTTCATAGTCAACGCCAAGTTCCTGGTGTCAGCCAGTATCAATGAGAGCTTGTGAATCAATTTCAGGAACTGTCGAGAAAATTAAACACCGCATCGATATATCGAAACGTGCTTTTGTCGCTCGCAGCCAAGGAAATTCACAGTCAAAGACTTGTTTTCATCCAAGGCCAGGTCAAAAAGATCCCACCTTTGTCCAAGAATGTGAATGCATGGTTCCTGATAAGACGGGATTCTTGACCCGTGGCCGTGGAAATGAGATGCATTGGAGGATCGATAAGTTGCTCCCCCACATTAAATTACCAAAGCTCTTCAAATTCGGATACGTAAACAGACTCTAGAGGACGTCTTCTTACTGGCCAAGCCATTTCTACCACCATCACACCCTCTCTGTCACTCCTGTCATCGCACGTGCTTGGCGCCAACCTAGATCTTCAGTGCGCTGTGTCAACCGCGATTAGTGACCGTGGACCTGAGTTTTAGTTGACTCTAGCAGCTTTCTAGGCGCCCTTGGCGGCAGTTGTTGCTAGGTCCCGTCATGCGAACTGATAAGGGAATTCCAATTTGAGTGATACGTAGTGATATCGCCCGAGCAAGCTGATAGATAACAGCCCTGCCATGGTTTTTGATCATGATGCCATACCTGTTCCTTATCAAAGAAGGTCTCAGGCAGGTAACGAACAAACAAAACAAGACAAGCTTAACCTGCCCTGCCCAGCGGCTGAGGTGTGCTGCCCGTCCGCCCGATGCCGGTGACGGGTGACGAGTGACGAGTGCTATAAGTTAGGTTGTCGCCATGCCCAGGAACCTCTCTGACGCCTGAACGGCCGATTTTTCATGTCAGACTTATAACAAACCCAACTACCAATTCGATTTCACAGCATAAACGCCTACGACATACCCACGTCCACTTATCAGTCAATATGTCAACTGAGGTTTCTCACGGCCGCGGCGGCGCGGGCAACTTCAAGCACGATGATACTGAGTACGTCGATGGCGAGGTCGTCCGTACTGGTATTGTAGGAAGCCATGGCGACGGCGCATACAGTTCTGGTCGAGGAGGTAAGTAAATGCTGATATCTTAATTCCTTGCGCAAGGTTGTGCCGTCACAATACCCTACATACACAGACAGACCCTTGGCCTTTAGCCTTTGCGCATTCGCATTCGCCATCCAAGTCTTTGACTCTTCACACGAGAGGCGCAAACTACTAACGAATTCCCAAACATAGGCGCTGGAAACATCGCTGATATAGGCACACCAACCACCGACCGCAAGGATCAGGACATCGTCCCTGAAATTGCTATTCGACCGAGCCAGGACGGCCGAGACTATCACACCGGCCGTGGAGGCGCAGGCAACGCTATGCCCGGGACTCCAGAGCCTAAGCCCGAGGAACAGGAAAACCTCGTGTCCAACAAGGCCCCCGTTGGCCTGGCCGACAAGCTCAAGTCCAAGCTCTTCGGTGGCCACAAGAAGTAGGATCTTTTGGTTCAAGACAGGGGCAGGTTTGGAATGGCGAACTCGAAGAAGAAATTGGGCGCCTTTCTTGGGCTACGTTATTGTTGATGATGTTGGTTCTTCCGGAAATACCCACGATGTCATACTGCTCTTCTGAATAATTGGCACCTTTTTTTTTTATAAATATCGCGCACTTTATTTCGCTCGTATGATTGTACCTGACAGCCGATACCACATGCCCAGTAACATTAAGAAATGGTGAATACCCACCGTCTTTCGTTGGACGATTGTCTGACCTGCAGAGTGTTCCCCAAATAAAGATATGACAGCTGCTGACAAGAAGATTGCTAGAGGTCAAATCAGAGCGTCACTTTCAGGGCAATTTAAGCTGAAATAAGAATATGCATAGTATGCATGTGCCAAAGAGAACTTCACTTTACTTCCCGTTGGGCTGCCATGACGTCTAGAAACTTGAGTCTTATCCTGTATCCACCAAGGATCGTCCCTCTTTGTCTCCCGAGTCTCCACTTCCCCTCATTCTTGTCTTCTCTTCGTTAATTAATTACAAAACGTTGTTGCAGTGAGATTGAGCCTTTATTAATAAAAGAGCGGAGTGCCCCATGTCTCCGCTAACAATTGAAGGTGCTCAAAAGAGAAATACGACATTCTAGGATTGGCTGTGCATTGTGGGCTTTCACCACGAAAGGCTGAAGCTAAACCAATTAGGCATCGAACAAATGCATGTCCGAACCAAGGGAAACTGCAAGTCTGCAAGTCTGCAAGCACCTTGTTACTAGTGCCAGAATCGTCGTTAAAGACCCTGATAAGAGTACAAATAGCTCAAGGATCGTCCCAAGATAACCATGATTATGGCGGCTTGCAGCGATCACGTAGGTAAGAAGACCCAAAATTAGCGAATGGGCGCTGTGACAGGCCCGTTGTGATTATGGCAAGACTCGTCTCGTTAGTCTTCTTTGGCATAAAGAGGGTCTTTTATTGACCCATGACTGGACGTACATCGTCGGATAGACAAGATGGATGTGACTATGTGACTGACTATGATGGTCCCTGGCTCAAGGCAAGGTGCCAGCCATCCAATGTTTAAGAATACGACGATGCGCAATTCCCACAAATAATTATTGCGAGACTTTTCTTTTTCTGCTGCTCCTTGAATGTCATCGTGATTCTCACTCGAGTGACTGCTTCAACGATAGTAAGCTTCATTGACCGCACATCCATCCATCTTCGCTCAACTTCTCCAGCAGAGTACATGGCGTACCTCACACCTTGTAAAGGGCAAAGAACGCTCTATTTCATTTGGAAACCGTCATCAATCTCTTGAGAAGGTTCCCGGCGTTGAATTCACCCGAGAGTCTGACCTCATCCTCACCTCACTCGGCCTTGTGACGACAATCACGTGCACCTGGTGAGATCACGGGTGCGACATACCTCGCTGTAGGTATGGCGCCAAACCTCCAACCTCAACCTCAGCGTCCGCGCCTTCAAGACCACAGACCGTGGTCGGGACTTTCACATATTTCAAAGCGGTCCTTCCGATCTTGCGCAACCTCTGCTTTCGAAGCCGACGACGAGCGATCCTCTAGCGACGGCGACATGAGCCCTCGCGATAGCGAAACCGGCGTGCGACAACCTGTTGTGCCGCGTCACTCTGGTCATGATGCTCGTCCAACCAGTCGAAAAGAGCTCATGGGATGGTACGCATACGCTTTTGCGTCCGAGACATACGTGATTTGTGGAATTGGTAGGTTCACTTATAGATGCGCCACGTCTACAGCTGCTTGGAGATCGACCAGGGCCTGCTGCTAATACCAACCCTCCAGCTTCCTTCATTCCCATCCTACTAGAAACACTCGCCAGGGAGAACGGCGTGCTGCTCTCGGATCGAACAACACCATGCGGTTCAAGTGACAGCAAAGACAAAGACGACGGCCAGTGTATTGTCTTGGTATTTGGGATGGAAATCAACACTGCAAGTTTCGCCATGTACACCTTTTCGGTCAGCGTCTTGATCCAGGCGCTACTCGTCGTCAGTATAAGTTGCGCCGCCGACCATGGAAACTATCGCAAGAAGCTTCTTCTCACCTTCGCATGGATTGGAAGCTTTGCGGTTATGTCCTACATCTTCATTACCAAGGACAACTACATCCTTGGCGCTCTGTTAACAATTGTTTCCAACACATCCTTTGGTGCATCCTTCGTGTTGCTGAACTCGTTTCTCCCCCTACTAGTGCGATACCACCCCGATGTTATTGAGGCTAATGTTTCTGCTACTCCGGATCTCGGCAACTCTGAGTTTGAGTCACGTCCTTTGAATGAGCCAGTGGGTGATCCTGAGGACTCTGGAGTATCAGCAACGTCACCTCTGTTACTCCCAGAGGACGGCGAGCGACTGAAGCCGACAGCAAGCCATGCTGAGATCACATCCAAAGAGTTACAGTTGTCAACGCGTATATCAGCCATTGGTATTGGTACTGGGTATATCGCAGCACTCTTTGTACAATGTATATGTATCGCTGTTCTTATTGCACTGCACAATACTACATGGGGCCAAAGAGTCGTACTGTTCATGGTAGGACTCTGGTGGACTGTTTTCACTGTTCCAGCGGCCCTATGGTTGCGCCCCCGCCCCGGACCTCCACTGGCAGCGAACGGTCGGAAAGGCATCATGGCAGGACTCGCATATATCTTATACGCCTGGAAGAGCCTCTTCAAAACGGTCCAGCAGGCTAGACGACTGCTCGACATAGTCTTGTTCCTTGCTGGGTGGTTTCTCCTATCCGACGCGATCGCAACCACGTCATCAACCGCGATTCTATTCGCCAAGACCCAACTCCACATGAAGCCTTGGGCGCTTGGTATGATTAATGTCATTTCAACAATGGCAGGGGTGTTCGGCGCGTTCGGATGGTCATGGATATCGCGGCTCTTGAACCTCCAGGCTCATCAGACCATCCTCGTCTGTATTGGGTTATTTGAGCTGATACCCTTGTATGGTTTATTGGGATATCTTCCTTTTGTGAAAGAATGGGGTGTCTTCGGACTTCAACAGCCTTGGGAGATGTATCCCTTGGCAGCTGTATATGGGTTTGTTCTGGGAGGATTGAGCGGCTACTGTCGTTCTCTGTATGGGGAACTCATTCCGCCCGGATCTGAAGCAGCCTTCTATGCTTTGTACGCTATTACGGACAAGGGTTCCAGCGTCTTTGGGCCGACAATCGTCGGTGCTATCATTGACAGGACTGGTACAATCCGTCCAGCCTTCTGGTTCCTGGCAGCGTTGGTGGGTCTGCCTGCGCCCTTGATCTGGTTCATCGACGTGGAGCGCGGTAGACGAGAAGGCGTCAAGCTTGCTGAGTCAATGTCAGACCCAACTGTCCATCATGTGGACGATGACATTGATCATGAATCTGAGCGTCATGGCATGTTGGCAGATTATGAGAGAAGACAGGACGAGGGTGTTGTTGATGAAGGCGCAAGACAATAATTTATATGGCTTGTTGTTGAATAGATTAGCATAGCATCGGCGTATAACTAGATGATCTGTTACTTTATGGAGAGGCTGAATGGATATTTGATGGAATAGGTATGACAACAAATCAACCACCATAATTCATAATTGGGAGAAACTGTTGTTCCCGACTGGATGTGAGGTATAATGGACGAAGTGGGATTCATCTATTCTATAAATATTAGATACCTTGTTAAGATATCTATAAGATATATAAGTCTTAGTAAAAAGGTTACTGTCCACTTGTTTTGAGTAATAATTATGATAACAGTCATTTTACTTAGGAAAGAATGTATTTAGATTATTCATGTGATGTTGAAAATGAAATCACGGATATATATCAGATTGGTCGGATGTTCTGGAAGGGCACTTCCCCTGTACGGATCCCAGTTCCGGCACCGAAGCGTGAAATGCAACGCGCCTGGCTTTTACCCTTTCTGCCTTTCCCCTCCCAAGTCCGTCCTTCCCGCTTTGAAACGGCGAAACTGCAGGTTACGTTGACTAAAACTTTGCACTTGCAAGCATCCGCATCGCGTCTCCTCCATCCACTTTCACCTTACCTCACCTTACTTTTAACCTCCAAGTTCCAACCCGCCAAAACAGATCGCGAAGCGCAACCAAAAGACTGCGCCCAGACTCGAACCAAACTTATCCCGACGCGTTGCACAGCTTAGCTCTTAGGTCGGGCTATTACTCCATCCATCAGCTTTGGTGGCCCCAGTGCCAGCTGAGTCACGTGACGGCACTCTTCGTGCTTTTGGTTCTGTTCGTAGTTCTTTCTGCTGATTGCGACGTTGCTCTTCCCGACAAATCGAGCCTCTCGTGCGCACAGGACATCGAAGCAGGCCGCGGCTTGTCGCTCAAAGACAGCTTGGGCTCGGCTCAGCTCACAACGCGACATCGCAAATTTACAACACTTTTTTGACAATCCATCATCTTTTCATCAACTCGTCGTTTTCTATTCCTTTTCTGGCCTCTTGCATCGCGCGACTTGTTTGCCTCTCGAAGCCCCTCCCTCTTCTCTCCACTCTCGACGCGGTCATACCCAACCTCATCAAAACGCCACAATGAGCAATCGAAAGCGATCGCGCTCTGTCGGGGAGGAGAATCGCGCAGAATGCCCCTTCACAATTTCTTACGCGAATAGTCCGTCGCGCGCCGAACAGGAACGTCACAAGAACAAGAAGCGAAAGCGCGACGGTCAAGATGATGATAAACGAGTCCAAATCCAAATCTCCCCCTTCTCCCCTACCGGCAGCTTCAAAACCCACGACACGATGGACCTGTATTACACTGTTGAACCTGGCAAGCGATGGCAAGATATGACGCGATACAATAGTTTTGTTCGTAAGTATTCGATGATGTTTTGTCATCTCTCAAACTTTGGCTGGCTGGTGGCTAACTCTTCGTAGTTAATGGTATAAAGTACTACAGCGAAGGCTTCGTCTTCGTTGCGAACGAGTCAACTGTAGAGCATCAAAAGCTTCAAAACGATGGTAAAGGTGGCTTCAAGAGATCTAACGATGAATGGGTTGCGCGCATCCTCGAGATCCGAGCTTCCGATGAGCACCATGTTTACGCACGTGTTTACTGGATGTACTGGCCCGACGAGCTTCCTCCCGGTACCATCGATGGCAAGAAGACGGTACAAGGCCGTCAACCGTATCACGGCGCTAATGAACTGATCGCCTCCAACCATAGTATGTCCCAGAGCACTCGCTGATATCACATGCAGCACGACTAATAGAATAATCCAGTGGATATCATCAACGTCGTCAGTGTCACACAACCCGCGACAGTGAACCAATGGATAGAATCAGATGACGAGGAAATCCAAGACGCGCTTTACTGGCGTCAAGCGTATGACTGCCGTAACTCACAGCTCTCTGTATGTTATGCGATACTCTATCTCACTTCCTCTGTTGCTAACAGTCGTACAGTCTGTTGACATTATGTGCAAATGCCAAACCCCCGCGAATCCCGACAGAACTCTGATAGGATGCACAAGCTCGGAATGCGGGCAATGGATGCATCGTGAATGTTTGGCTCATGAAGTTCTCATGCAAGTCTACGATCGACTAGGCGCCGATAAGCCTCACCGAACCGAGGGAGCAGTTGTCAAGGAGGAAAAGACAGAGGAGGCAATGCGCCCTCTGTCTCCCACCGACGCTGAGGAGAAGGAGACCCAACCTACGATCGATGTTCACTCTGGGGAGACCCAAGATAACGTGCACGTTAAGAAGGCGATTCGAGAAACACCCCGAGAGACCGAAACACCAACACCTGGACCAACGCCATCGAGATCTATCGCCGCCGCGTCGGCTAAGGGATCAGTTAAGGGATCAGCCAAGAAAGGTCGCAAGAAGAAGAGCGCAGATCATAAGCCATATCTAGGACTCTTTGAGGCCAACCTTAAAATGCAAGACGGTCCTACAGCATGGGAGATACGCGACCTACGCGAAAACGTTACGGGTGGCGAGAAGACGTGGACTGAGAAGGCTTACTGTCTGATATGCAATGCCGCTATTGAATGAGTACTCAATAAGAGGTAGCATAACTCGGCTTTGTCTGCCCAGGTCAGCAGGCTCTTTTGAGTCCTCGAAGACGTAACTCAACATTGCGTAGGATAGCTATCGGGGTTCTCCATACAGCTTACCAGTACTATACACAGACAATATGGCTAGCTTGACCTAGTTGCTTACTCGGTACGGCTTAGATGCCTTACATGGGTTTTCTTTTGTCAAGATTCGAGGTCACTTGGTTGGTGATTCGCCCATTGGTGGGGTTTCCGGGCGCGGCGTTGGAGGCGAAACGGGCTGTATGGCGAGTTTGGAAGATTGACTGGTCTTGGGCTTGTGAGCGGCGAGCGACGAGCGAGATCTGTTCTCTAGTTTGCAAGTCATTCTTGAGGGCGAGGAAAAAGGGAGGACGACGTAAAGAACGAGAGGGATGCAGAGTCAGCGCGTTGTCTTCCAGATGGACAAGTTATGGGAGGTTTTTGGGGAAATGTGAACATATTATTGGCAGGGGTCTTGGAGGTTCAGTATACTGGCTGCTGAACGACTTGCCTCTACTGACTTTGTCGTGTAGCATGGTAGTGTTTGTCTCTCCCGGGTATTATCGAGGGCCATATTTCTTTATGAATGCGTATCTGTTTTTTAACCGATTTCCTTTTCGTTTCGTTTCACTTACTACTAGGACAGTAGTTCAATTTCGAGTATGTAGCCCTGACAAGACTATGCATGACTTTATTGTATATGATCTATAAGACCTCGTGTAGCAGGACTGAGATCATCCGGCGGGCCTGTTTCCATTACATACTTTCCATCAATTCCTTGCCATGGTTGATACCCGTCCTCAATCGGGAATCGAGCTTACATGGATCAGGAAGTCTAATAGTACGTACTCCACAAGGAGCTCCAGGCGACCCCGCTACTCCATAACGTCGCAGAGCTTCCAGGTTCACCTCGACATTCAATAGGTACCTACCGCCCAAACCACCAACTCATAGGTGCTTTCTTCACTTGACAAGAGCATCCTCTCTATCGCTCGATTCTCTAATACAAATAACGCGCGAGTCTTCCAAAATGGCTGTTGACCCTTTCGACTCCGCTCTGTAAGTGCTCTCCAACCTCGCGCGCAATGATGCGTTGCACTCGTAGCTGACCGTCTTCTCCAAAAAGCGACCTTCTCCGTCGTCTCAACCCCAAGCAGACGACCGATCACCTTAATGCCATTATCTCCATCGCCCCGGACCTGACTGAAGATCTCCTCTCGTCCGTCGATCAGCCCCTTACCGTGCGCCGCTGCAAGCAGACCGGCCGAGATTACCTGCTCTGCGACTACAACCGCGATGGCGACAGCTACCGCTCACCGTGGTCCAACCAGTTCGAACCGCCCATCGATGAGTCTAGCTCTGGGGGCATAGGATCTGGCGGAAACGAGGGCGCTGGCGAGGGTGCGATTCCTAGCGAGCGCGTTCGTAAGATGGAAGTCAAGGCCAACGAGGCTTTCGACGTTTATCGCGATTTGTATTACGAAGGCGGTGTGAGCAGTGTTTACTTTTGGAACCTCGACGATGGATTTGCCGGAGTTGTGCTTCTGAAGAAATGTAGGACACTCTTTAAAGACCCGTTGTACAATTGAGTTTGGAGGTGCAAGCGCTAACATGAGATCTACGTACAGCTTCTCCCCAAGGCGGTAGCACTGAAGGTGTTTGGGACTCCATTCATGTATTCGAGGCCATCGAGCGAGGACGAAGCACACACTATAAGCTCACATCAACCGTGATCCTGACGCTGTCCACAGCTGGTGGAAACCTGGGCGAGATGGACCTCAGCGGCAACATGACACGCCAGGTCGAGCAGGATCTCCCTGTTGAGAATGATGATAGCCACATTGCCAACGTTGGACGCTTGGTTGAGGATATGGAACTCAAGATGCGCAATCTGCTGCAAGAGGTTTACTTTGGCAAGGCCAAGGACGTGGTGGGTGATCTGAGGAGCATTGGAAGCTTGAGTGAGGGAGCACGAGACCGTGAGGCACAGCGAGAGCTTATTGGCAGCATGAGGAGATGATTGGGTTGAGAAGACTCCCCCAGATCAGTCTACGTTGATGTTTGCTACGAATAAGAAGTTCGAGAGACCGCGTTTGATATGTATGTACTAGGCCAATGGCGTCCTAGGCCAATGTTGTCCTCTGTACTGTTGCCAGGGTCAGGTTAGATGTGGCCGCTGATTACTGTAAAAATCTCTTTTTAAACATGGCCATTGTCTGGACCTCCGTGGAGTAGATTTCTCATGTTTCTCATTCTGTAATAAGGAATATGGGAAGGACGACGATAACAAACATGAGCGATCTCGATTTTTTTCTGAATGGAGTTAGACTTTCCCCACGATATTGGTTTGTTATATTCGTTCGTACCAAGTCTATACATATATCTACAGTAAGACCGAGTAAGCATATTTGGCGCTTTTGTGCTGCCCACCATCCCGCACTCTTAAACCTTGGACACCAATGGAGATGAAGCAGACGATATGACTCCATAGACGTCGGTTCTGCTGAACACGCTTTCAGGGATGAGCCTGCAGGTTTATTGGTACTAGTTCAACTCTAGACGTCGATCAAATATTGTCGTCAAGGCGGCTAGATAGATCGTAGGATATGCTATCCGTACTTGTAGGTTATCCAAGTCGGTGATGGCCACATACATAAGAGGTAAATGCTATCTGCGTCGGAGACAATCAATGACATGTAAACTTTCAACCGAAAACACCTGTAAATTTGCAATTGTCTACTTCCATTCGACTTCGTGCTGATGTTCGAAGTGCTGTCCAGCACTCTAACTTAACTCATAAGGCTCTGCGGCACGGAAGTTGGTGGCTTGACATGGTCAATCTGTGTACGAGCGCCAGAGCGCTAGGTTGCACTAAAGGGCATTGACTTGCGGCTTTCTGAGTCAGAGAGATCACGCGTTCTGCAGAAATAGATGGACTTGACTGCGGCATTGGTGGTAGGCCGCAGGCTCTGTACTGCAGGCATACTAGACATAGTAATGTGGTATAGTAGAGGGGTGAGGCGCTTTGAAGGATTCTAGTGATGTACGGGGTTCCATCCTCGAAATGGACATGGGCGCGAGCTTCAGGCCGGCTGAGAATGGGGAAGTGGTTGCAAGCTGCAGTAGCTTTTACATGCTCCGTACCGATACTCCGTCAGATGTGACAGAATCAGACGGCATCGTCAGTTAGTAAGGCCTTGGCACTCGGCAGGGGAGTAGCTGAGGAAGACGACCAAGACCAAGGATAATAAACTGGTTCCAGAAATCACAACTTCACAGGTGGTACTCGGTAGTCTATGTGAGGCGAGGCGAGGCGAGGACAAAGACAGACAGGACATCGAATGCTCCAAAGCCATGTCCAACGGTGATGTGAGAGCGACAAGGATCACATTCTCTTCGATAAGCTCGATCGCTTTCCCTTCCTCTCCTTGCCTTGCCTTGCTTCGCTTGCCGTCTGCCGCTTCATAATGCGCCCCCCATAGCCGCAGTGAGGTCTGTGTCGTGCATTTGCCATGCAGACAAGAGTTGCGGATCTTGGGGCTCTAACTTAGTTGTGATCTTTCTGCTCTGCAAACTCAATGGTCTGAAGAACGTGCTTCAAAGTGCCGCGTGCACTTAAAGCAATGAGCATACTATTAGACGCTTGGACTGAGTTGCTGGTGATGGTGGTGGCATTTGTCTTTTTTTTCTTCCTTTTTTTTTTTTAACTCACTAGCCGCTGGTATTGACGATGCGGGGCGACTTAGATAGAATGCTGTAATATGAATTTGAGAATTTGAGGTGGAATAATCAGCCATCAGTGCTTGCTAAGTAAGTACTATGTAACTGGTTTCTTAGAAGGCAGGTGGACAGGGCCCTTTTGTTTTACCTGCCCCCCGAGGTCAGGTACCTACCAGTACCTATGTGGCGGGAGGTACTCCATAAGGTAGTAGGTAGGTCGTACCTGACTTGGCCAAACACAGGATAACTATTGCGAAACTGCTTCATCAAGGCAGGCATTGATTACGTCTGGCAACATTCTATCAACTGCCACAGCAATTTCCCCTCCATTCTTCATTTCCTCGACGACTCCCAGTGCTCACTCTAGTCTCTCTCCCTCGTCATTGGTACGCTCGGCGCGCAAATGGAAGACTTCTAGAAAAGTCCCCGCATCGTGCGGTCTCTGTTCCTGCCGCTTGCCACATGCTACCTGGCAGAAGCGTGCCGTGCCCCTGAATCTGATCATTTCTCTCCTCGACGTACCATGTACAGGGCAAATTGCAGCGGAATGCGTTGAATATCGTACGTCGAAGTTTAGAGTTAGACGACTAGCAAGCTCAGCTACATAGAGTAAGTGCAGCATTTATTCAGTCATACCCAGTTCTGGAAGAATCAAGTTAGATAGATACCCAGGTAACCATATTGCGGCCTGGACATGACCTCGGGTCTACATGCATACCACCATCCAGCGCTAAAGCCAAGCTCGAGTGCTGAGCTTACCAGGTACACTATGCTACAGGAGCTGATGGTTTTATTTCAGGCGGTTGCTGGTAGGTAGAGCTTATGTGTCCGCAGATCATCCAGAATCCTCAGCAGGTACGCCAAAGCTGGCGCAATATATAAAGAGTCTGCGAATCTTCAAATAAAAATAAACACGCACCAGGCCTATTTACATACGAAGAAGCTCACAATTCGAAACAGTTCTACGCCATATAGCTTCGAGAATGTTAAGCGCCGTCACCAGCCGTAAGTGTTTCCCCTTGATTACACAAGCCGTCTTGGATTTTCCTTTTCAAACACGCCAACATTACGGGTAATAAAACACGTTACAAGAACAACGCACAAAAATAGGAAGACGGCTGACATGCTTTCCCTTTGTCCCAGGCGAGTTCCTGAGTTGAATGGTCATTTGCACTTTGCCAATGGAAAGTAAAGTCCTGATAGAGGTCGTCTCAGACTCTCAGGCATTGACGGCGGGTGTCATGCTCCAATACCCTTGTCCCCTGTCGGTGTCGGCATACCCCTGTCGTAAAGACAATGACGAACATGGAGGCCCACAGCAAGCTCGGTAGCTAAGTGCTAGCCTGGCGATATGATGAACAGGACACCCTGCAAGCCCGTCCTGCAGGTCGCTCGTTGATGGTCCAGCCCGCCAATTCGCATCTCCGCCTAGCTACCGCATGGGACGGCTAACCCCCACCGACCCAATACAGTTTGGGTATCTACATTTTGCAGCATTCTTCGGTCCTGACTCGCACCTGAAAATGAAAATGTACTTGTCAGCTCCTTCCCTATCAAAAGACTGACAGAAACGGTCAAAAGCAACCGATCATGATAAACATAACAGCAAGCAGCCAAGAAAATTGCTGCACGTCTTAAGGAGTCCTGGGATCACCTAACAGGTACCAATAGACTAATTACAGAGTGATCGAAACGGGTGGTCTTGACGGTACACCCATGTACAGGTACGCACACATGTACCTAATTACATAGAAATCAGAAAGACCCCTCCATAGCCCGCCCACATATGCAGTCTTAACTCATCTTTCAGGCCATTGTTCCCTTCAGGGTACTGTGCCCGTTTTATACATACATACATGGCAACCATCGATTCTGCCCGTCACTCAAGTACAGAATATTGGGATAACCTATAGTAGTTATATCCCAGGAGTCCAATGTCGCCCAATGCGAGTTGTGAAACAAGAGTCTCAGTTGCTTCTGAGACTGAAGGAATAAGATGAGCGTAACATCTTGGTGCCTGCCAGTCAGTAGGGCACAATTGATCAGAATGTCAACCTTTTGACAGGGCGTCTCGCGGCCGGCCATAAACCCACAGCACGCCCCTCATTAAACTAAAGAGCGACCAGCGTCAAATTTTGGGCCCCTTCGCTGAAAAAGGAGTCCACATGGCATGCCACTCGCTCTTTACTACTAGTCTACACTCTTACACTGATCGATTCTCCCCTCGTTTTTGCCAGCAGGATATCCACTATTATACTGCTTCAGTGCTTTCCAGTCAGCCGGTCTATCAAACCTTCGACACGGTTTCAAAGAACCCGAGGTCTTGCTTGGTGTTTCTCCCCTGGTTTTGGTTTTGGTCCTGGCTCTGGCCGGTCTGGTGGTCCCGTTGAAGAACAAGAAGAGCCTGGGAGGAGCTGGGTCTCGGATCTCTCTGATATTAGTTTAGACCCCTTGTCACCCATCCATCGTTCGTCCTAGAAAGCGGTTGGTGCGCCGCCTTGTGCCCTCGCAAAGTTGAAATTACTACATCTGTTGATCGTGTTTTCCTCCACTCCCACTTCTCATCCCGCCCATCTGGTTCCGTCTTCCGTCCGTCCTCCCGTTGCCCTTCCCGCCTTGGATCAATCTTGTTCCCCTTTGCTCCCGCACATCGCTTCTACGCCGTCGCTGCACCAGCATTTTCAGGGTTCGATATAGTACCTACAACAGGTAGCAAGTACTAAACTTGCACTATTGTATGTATGCCCTAGCACCTGCTCCTTAATATCCCAGTATATACTTACGTGCGTGACCTAATATCAGATTGCGGCCCTTCTCTCTCTCGATCAAACTACTGAGCTAGGTCATTGCCCAGCCCGCACTCTCCCACGAGAGCCCCAAATCACCTCGCTTCGACCAACGCTAAATCACACCGATCCTCGCATAACTATCCATCCACCTCCCTCTGGCACCCCGTGGAACTTCTTGGCTGGCGTACCGTTTACTCAGCTACGACCCTCTATATACCCCCCTGAAGCCGAACAAATTCGTTCTAGTACCCAGACTCCGGACTCGATATTTCTCTCACAGCAACCTCTGGTCTGCTTCGCGAGTATACAAGAGCTACTGTCGAAGCACACCACTCAACCTACGGAGTTCAAGTTTATTTTGCCTACCTGTCTTCACCTCTACATATATCACCTTTGCGCCGCCGACGTCGAGGCATCTGTACCCTCGTCTTGACCCCACGTTCGCGTACGATAGATTCCGAATCGACCACCACAAAACTCACGATCATGGCCGAGAAGCCTTCGGTCTTGATCATCGGGGGGCTTGGCTATATCGGCCGCTTCCTTGCCCTCTATATCCACCAAAACGAGCTTGCTTCCGATGTGAGGCTCGTTGACAAAGTTTTGCCCCAATTGGCATGGCTGGCCCCTGAGTTCTCTGAGGCTTGCTCGCAGGATAAGTTTATGCAGGCTGATGCCAGCAGACCTGGTGAGTTGTTTTGTGCCGCTTACTCTGTCGTTGGGTACCCCGCTTGTTTGTGCCAGCGGGCTCCCAACTGTGTCTAATTAGCTGCTAACGGGGTGGTTTCACTATTCACAGAAGGATTAGCAAGGATCTTCGACCGGGCCGACGGGAAACAATGGGATTATGTTTTCAACTGCGGTGGCGAGACGAGATATTCGCAGGAGGACGAAGTTTACAAGTTGAGGTCTTTGAACCTCTCTATTGCGGTCGGAAAAGAGGCAGCTAAGAGAGGCGTCAAGGCCTTTGTCGAACTGAGCACAGGCATGGTCTACAAGTCGGATTCATCGCCAAGCAAAGAAGGGGACAAGCTGAAACCGTGGAACCGGATTGCTGTGTTCAAGTTGCAGGCTGAGGAGGAACTTTCTAAGATTGAAGGGTATGTTGCGACACAAACTTTTGACACCGCATACACTGACATGCTGTACAGGTTGAACCTTATCATTGTACGCCTACCACACGTGTACGGGCCTTATGCTTCACAGTGGGTTGCAACAGCATTGTGCATGGCCCGCACCTACCAACACCTGGAAGACGAGATGAAGTGGCTTTGGACTAAAGACCTTCGAACCAACACAGCACACATCGACGACGTGACGCGTGCGTTGTGGGATATCGCGGTGTGGTTTGACGCTGGCAAGTCAAAGTGGGACGAGGCTAGCATGGGCAAGATTCCCATCTTCAACATTGTGGATGAGGGCGCGACGAGCCAAGGGACCATAGCAACCATCATCGGCGACATTTTCAAGATCGAGACCGGTTTCCAGGGCCAGCTTATCAGTACATTTGCTCGACTTAACCTCGATAGTGTCGTGGATGACGTGAACGATGAGCTTCTGGGACCTTGGGCGGACCTCCTTTCCGACGCGGGCATCACGCGGCCGGGACCACTGACTCCGTTTATGGAGAAGGAACTGCTTAAGGATACGGACCTCAGTATGGACGGCACACGACTCAAGACACTATTGGGTTTTGAGTATAAGAAGCCGGCTCTCAACAAAGAGTTGATCGAAGAGGTGATTGAGAGCTACAAGAAGATGAACTGGTGGCCTTGAGAGCAAGTTGAAGAAAGCGACGAAGATGACAGACGCGACACGACATAACATGATGTAGCATGTATTGGATGATATCTGCGTGGAATTCGACTTGTTTCTTGCATGAACTCGACTTAGCGAAGACTCCGCCTGTTGCTGGAAGAGACGATACCCAGGACGATGAGCCAAATGTACGAAGAGCAGCGGTGAGGATACTCGATAGAGCTGAGCTGCAACTGATTTGATGTCAGAGGAGGGTTGACGTAGACCGCAGATGATTGCGATGCCTGGGGGATGGGGGATGGGGGTTTAGATGGAAGATGTTATACACACCCACACACGACCTACCTCGATGAGTTTTAAAGGTGAGGCGGGTCGTGGAAGATGAGTGAAGTCGAACTAAACGGTCGGCTACTAATGTAGGCAAATATATACTAACTACTGCATGTTAAATACGAGATTCGTTATGATTGTTGCGTTGCGTTACATTGCATTACATTATGTTGGATTGTGCCATGGCTCTATGTATGGTCTTTCCGTTCCTGAGAATGCTTTATAACAGAGGATTATAGATAGTCAAGGCCCTAGGAAAGAATTTGAGCCGAGGTTTATGAACGATATGGATAATATTAGAGACATGTGGGAGTGAAGTGGTGAAGTTGAGTTGTGAAGGTGGAGATTGAGAATTGGCATTGTGGGGAGGGGGACCCTGTAATTAATTTGGTCGACGTCGTGAACTTGAACTTGGGGCCTTTTGTTTGAATTGGATATTAATGATGATGTTGATGTTCAACAACACGGATACAAACCACCCACCTACTAAAATGGGACATAGGCCGATACTACTAGGTATTCTGTCATAAGAGGTGCACAATAAGAACCCTTATTAATCAACACCAGTCATCGTAATTGTAATTGTGCAACATGCTCATTCTGGAATTATATAGGGTAGGTAGTACCTGGACATAGGGGTCTCGGGCTCAAATACAAGTCCGATGCTTGGCAACTTGGAAAGCGATGGTAATCTACGGCCCTGGTTTCCTTGTTCGAACCATCCTCGGCCTTTCAAGCTTCGAATTGACTTCGCCCTGTTCTCGTTGTGCATTGCCTGTCTCTCAGCACCGTTGAACCCCGCACTGGGGCTTCTTATACGTACGCCTATCATATGTTGTCCACGCTTGTGAAGATTGAACACCTACTACTTTGGTATAGTTACTAAGGAATCGAAGCTCGATATGTAAAGTGTCGTCTTCAGGAGAGAAACAAACGTGATTGTATTATTGGTCAGTTGAATTGACCTCGGCGACATGCCTGCGTCATTGCTCGGCCTTGCTTGTGATTGACACGCTCAGCCTCACCCTTGGAAAACTACCTATCGAAATATCAGGTATAAAAGAGATGTGATTGGCAGTCTCTGTTAAGTTAAACATCAAACACTTCGTCATATATAATTTCCGAGTTTGGTAACCTTAGGTGACTTGTGGTGTATATATCTGAAGGAAAGAGCATCTGCACTTCGCATCCTTGGTAGCGTCATTTCGATCCACCAACAAACAGCACAGCCCAGCCTTATCAACGCCTCAATAGCCCATCGTCTCAGCTTACCTTTCCCAACTACAATATTCTTCTCCTCAGATCTACTTACACAGAGACGCAAAGTACCTCATATCAATACTCAATTCACCATAACAATGGCTGCTCCTGCTGAAAAGACCATCACCGACCTCAGCGGTAAATGGGTTCTCGTATGTTTCACAACCCCCACCTCACCATAAAGCGAGTATCGAGACTGACATTATCTCACAAATAGAACAAGACTCTGTCCGATAGCTCAGAGCCTATCCTCTCCCTCCAGGGCATTGGATACCTCACTCGCAAGGGAATTGGCATGGCTACAATCACCATCGATGTTAACCAATACAGTGCCCCTCCCAAGGCACCCAACACTTCCACCGACGTCGTCACCCATATCGACATCACCCAGTCTGCCTCTGGCTTGACAAGCACACAAGAGAACCGCTGTCTGGACTTCAACGACCGCGAGCACTCTGATTGGCTGTTCGGCAACGTCAAGGGCCGCTCCCGCTTCGTCACTCTTGACGAGGTCGAGGACGACTTTCTTAAGCAGGGCTGGCTCGTCGAGGACGAGGGTAAGCTCGTCCAGAGCATCGCCGAAAGTCTCGACAATGGCTGGGTCGCTACTCAGATCTGGGGCTTCGAGGATGTCAAGGGTGAGAGGAGGTACGTGAGGCATGTGCTTGTGACTAAGGGCGATAAGAGAGTCACTGCCAAACTCATCTACGACTACCAAGGCTAGAGATGGGGGTTCTCTGCTACTTAACCTATATGGATGAATGACTGATGACATGGGTCTGTATGTCTGCCTGATGCCCTTAACAATAGTTTGCTCATGAAACAAATATAATTGATTGACCGGGATGCGATCATCCCCAAAATCGAGTGCTCATACGCAGCAGTTGAGCTACGCCAGTTATGTCCATCGGGGTATATCATCCCCCGAATATTGCGCTATGTTGAAAGGAGCTTTCTAACTTTAACAAGTCCACTATGATCTTTATGATGCGCAGTCCATTATTACCCTAACGCCCATCAATGATGCTTATTTCCCTTTTATCTTTCTCCCTTGCACTCCAAACGTAGACTCGCGAATTGTCTTCTTCGACGTGGTATGCTGGGCCCTGCCGTAATATAACAGCACGCTGTCAATAATTCCCGCATCAGAAGATGCCACCATCTACTCGGGTCTTCGCTTCACAAACTCCTCAAGGTCCTGCACCGTCGCAACGCCCAAGACAAACCTCCTCTTCTCATCAGTAATGACAGCAAACTCCTGCTTCCAGGGCCCGTCAGGAACTCCGCCGCGGAAGAAACTTTCGAGCTCCTCGAGGGTGGTCTCCATCGTAATGACCTGATAGGTGCGGCCCTTACGTTGGAATCGTGTCATGGCGGCCGAGAGCTGGTCGTCAGGCTTGACCTTGCCTGAGTCGAGCAGAGACTGCAGATGTGGGATAGAGAGATAACCCAGAAGAGCGCGGGTTTCGGAGTCGGCAATCGTCAGGTGCGTGTATTCACGCTCGAAGGCATGTAGGAGAGCGAGGGAGATAGAATCGGACGGGTTGAGGGAGAGTGCGGCGGGAGGGTCGAGGTCCTCAACGGTGGCCTAGAGTGTGTTGGTCAGTATCAGATAATTATTACCAACTCAAAGGTATATAAGGTTCCGATAGAATATACGCATGTAGATCGAAGAGAAAGGTGGTGTCATGAGCAATTCAAGACAAAAATAGACATACCCCACGATATCGAGAAGACCATTTCGTGACCACGGGCTGTGTCGTAGCCGATTTTGTAGTAGTAGCAGTAGCCATAATGTATGCGATGTGTGTTTGGGAGAAGGTGGTTTCGTTTAATCAAAGAGTTGAGAGCTGAGCGGTGTCCAAGTTCGGTATGTTCAAAATGACAGGGAGTCAGAAGTGATGGCGGGGCAGGCCTCTGCAGTAAGGTACTGATTAATTAACTGGAGTCAAGCAAAAGGCTCTTAGATGGTGGGGCAGAGAGAGAAAAAAAATAGTATTTAGCTCTTCTTACTAGCATCATGACACATACTAAGAATCGATGTCAACAGACACTTTACATTGCGATTTTTCATTAAAGTAGATATGATGTTGTCAACCTCATAGAAATGTATCAGCGATTTTCTCAATTTGGTGTATCATCGCGTAGGTACAACTCGAGACGCTCGACAGACAGACAGAAGTGGACGTTCAGGATAACTGGGGTTACTTATTCTATCACCCCACGCATGTTGCAGCATGATGTCGAAATAAACCGCACACCGGATTTAGCAGTAACGAAACCATAGCTGTCCCCACTGCGCAATGGAGATGACTGGATCGTCCCGCTAGGGGACTTTTTAATTAGTGCCAAGGGGAAGATCGATCTAAGCGGATATGCTCATGTATTTCTTGTGGAAGTGTATCCGTAGGTAATAGTTCAAGCTGTACTCTATACATGCCTAGATAAGTACTTAGGTACCTAAGTAGGTAGGTAATGAAAGACAAGGCGTCGCTTTATCGCAAATAAGCCAAGAGTCCAACTTAAGAACCGAATCCAGACAGCAAGAATGATGGGCGTGCCATAAGTGTGATGTCACCCATCGGATCAACAGACTATGCATGCCACGGAATTGGCATACGCCCACCTACCTATCTTCCTGTTAACTCCGTGAGATAAGGTAGGACCATATACGCTACACCTGATCCTGATCTGACCTGCCTTCTCTCGATAAACCCTGATTTCTCCCCTCCCTCAAACGAATCCTGCGATATTTAGTTCTTTACTCTTCTCACGGCACAATAACTTACTTGCCTGTATCAAATCCCTCCTAGAGTTGGAGCTGCAACACAGCAGGTAAGCAATGTTCAAACAAAGCAATCCGTTCCTCCCGTATCACATTACATCGACAGGTAGCCGGCTCAATCGGGCACAGCACCTCCCCTCGTGTTCGCACATCTTGCAGTGTTTCTCTCAGACCTACCCATTCCTCTGCCGCTCTCATCTCAACTCTACGAAGCACTTCACTTCAGTGAAAGTGGCCAATTGATTGGCCCCACTCCCGACTTATACGCACACTCACTAACAAGCCAGCAGAACAATAACCTGTCCAGGATAACTACGATGTCCCCGTTGCACCCATCCAAAGATGCTCTCCAGGGGAACTTCTACAGTCCTCTTCTGGTAAAGACCCGCACGCCCTATCAAGCTCGCACTGAGCTATTTCCTGCCCATTCCTCGGTTGTCGAAGATGCAAAGGGCAAGGCTAAGCAGCTGAGCGCTGAGGCGACTGCCGAATTCGAAAAGGCGAGCGCAAAAGCCCAGGCCAAAGCTGGACATATTGAGCTGTACTCGGGCAAATACTACGCTGCCTGTACTTTTGGTGGTTTGATGGCTTGTGTAAGTACTCAGTTGTGAGTTCGGATGAAGGAGAATTCTATGGCCCAGAACTAGCAGTCAATCGCGAAATTCTACTAACCTCATTCAGGGCCTCACTCACGCTGCTGTGACTCCTCTGGATCTCGTAAAGACTCGCCGTCAAGTAGACTCTAAACTCTACACCAGCAATTTCCAGGCTTGGGGCAAGATCTACCGGGGAGAGGGCATCCGTGGCATCTTTACTGGATGGAGTCCTACCCTGTTTGGCTACTCTGCCCAGGGAGCCTTCAAGTACGGTTGGTATGAATATTTCAAAAAAACCTACTCCGATATGGCCGGCCCCGAAGCCGCGTACAAGTACAAGACCGGTTTATATCTTGCCGCATCTGCATCAGCTGAGTTTCTTGCCGACCTCGCGCTCTGTCCATTCGAAGCCGTCAAGGTCCGCATGCAAGGCTCCATCCCCAACCCCTACACCGGGACATTCCATGGCATTAGCACAATTACAGGAAAGGAGGGCGTTGCGGGTTTGTACAAAGGTTTGTATCCGCTCTGGGGTCGCCAAATCCCTTACACCATGATGAAATTTGCCTCATTCGAAACCATTGTCGAAATGATCTACGATCGTTTGCCCGGCCAAAAGAGCGATTACAGCAAGGCTGCTCAGACTGGAGTGTCCTTCACTGGTGGTTACATGGCTGGTATCCTTTGTGCTATCGTCTCTCACCCTGCCGATGTCATGGTCAGCAAGTTGAATTCGAACCGCCAACCCGGGGAAGCTTTTGGTAGCGCCATGGGCAGAATATACAAGGACATTGGATTCGGTGGTCTTTGGAACGGTCTTCCTGTACGGATCGTCATGATCGGTACCCTCACAGGACTCCAGTGGATGATCTATGTAAGTATTTGGGCATGATCTCCTTAATGACAATACCCCTTCTGCGATACTATTTACTAATGCTGTTAATAGGACTACTTCAAGATTTTCATGGGACTCCCAACCACTGGCGGCGGTCCACCACCGGCCAAGAAGCAGGAGTAGACCATGTCAGAATAGCCTGATGAAATTGCGTTGCTTTGTGCTCTGCGTAAATCACGCTTTGGTTTATCCAGAAATGTTTCGGGTTTGACTCAAGGGGCCGTCTGTCTTTGACAAAGGAGACGAAGTTAGTACTGTCAGATGAATGAAGCAAACCATTTCCTATTGACACACTCGGGTCCCGAACATGATCCCAAGTATTTCCAGAATAGCATAACGGCGGGACAGTCGGGTATATGCAGAGCAGGTTATTTCATCGCGTGGGACGGACGTCGAGGTTTATTACCCTGAACCTGACTCTGATGGTCGTGTCTACACAGTCGTGTCACCGAAGGAAGTTCAAGTAAGTCCCACCGATCTTGTGAGGTTGATGACTAGAGCTTAGTATTTACCATCTTGCTCGTTCCTCATATGGGTTATATGACAAGAACCCGGGAACCCGCTGCCAGTAGTCCAGGAAGAGAAGGGCAATTGGGGGTGGCCACGACTTGTAGTTCCCATGCTGCCAGTAATAGATATGGTGATCTGGTTATGTCACGAGCTGGATGCATGGGACAGCCCGGCAGGGTTGTGCTGACAACAGGGAGTGAAATAACATGGTGACAGGAGATGCTATAATGAGGGATGCTGATATTATCTTCTGTACCTAGCTTTCTATGGTAGAAGTATTAGTGGATATCAAAATACGACTTCCATATTCGACTCTAATCAAGAATCCACCTTATCTCATAGCTATATCGCTGATTTATAATGCCAGCATGTATAGTCATGGTTGCACAGTATGTCAAGCATACATAGTTGTGCTGTGTTGGCTCTGAAAATACGCTGCACAAAAGTGGTCGCACCCAACCAAGCCAATGTCGTCATCGCACATGACCTAGGTTGGGTGGGCACCGCGGGGAACACGGCAAGGACTTTACGTGCGTCGATGCGCGCTGTGATAAGTTACGCAGCCAGTTGCGAACCTACAGAGCGCTAGGACAACTGACATGTGTTCTGGAACACTGCTACATTGGGCCAGCATGGGATTTTTTAGGTAGCATCGCCAACGGCAGCCAGCTTGGCCAACATCTCTTCTCAGTTCGAACTTGGCTGTAGCCATGTCGCTACAGCTGACACGAGCTGTAGAAGAATATGCGCCACCTTTTACCGTATCGAGAATTGGTATATATGGAAGACCTCGAGGTTGATGTCTGGTTCTCAAGTCATACAAGTAACGTGCCATACAGGCCTGAAAGCCGGCTATCAAAATATATGTAGTCAACGCACGTGAGGAGTTTGATATCCATATTAGCTAGATTTTCCAGTGAGCAACGTGACGGATATGCAAGCGAAGCTGTAATAGGCGCCTGAATAAGACGGATGAGGTCGAAAGACTGCCCGTAAACATTATTCAGGTCTACAATGCATGGGTAGACATGAAAACATTAACGGACCGACTGGTTGACGATCAAGATGGGAGGAAAATGAAACTGATAGGATACCGTCACCACGGTTGGGAGCGGAGGGTCGAGTCATTGGTGACAGTGCAGTCGCGAAGTGGGCCGAGTGATGCGCCGCATGGCAACCCCACACTCTAAACCTCGAATGAGGGGTTGGTTGAGCTGATTCCTTTTGTGAGCCTCAGGTTGAACTGTGTGCAACGAGGAAGGGCATACGTATAAAGCGACAACACCTACTTCCTGGCAGCAAGTTCGTTACGGTCATCTCACAGATGATTTGTGTTGAAGCCCCTGAGGCGAGTGAGTATGCGTAGTGTTGTCGAAGTTCAGAGTCTGTATTTGTCAGTCAGCTTCCATATCCGTTTTTCTAACAATGCCAAGGAACAGGGGTTAAGGCAGGGGAATGATTCCACTGCAACAGTCCCTCACTTTTTAGTAAGATGACAGGGTGATAAATACCTGTCGTCAGGAATCCGAATAAAGAGCACGTTACCTTACAGCAGGCAACGTCTCTCAGGCTGCAGAACAGTAATTACCCGTTCCCCCCGACAGGACAGCCATGCCAACAGCCTAGACAGGATGTGTAGAACTGTAGATGCGGGATTGTGGTCTAGTTAGTCCAGCCCACCTCAGGAACCAGACAGACATGGCGTCTAACTTGGAGGGCGGCCGTTGGCCATTTCAGTGGGATGAAATGATGCATGTTGCTTTGGTCAGCACCATTGCGCAGTGTACAATATGCGCCCGACTTGGCGGTGGCTGGTCCGTCTCGGCGTCCACTTGCTGCAGAGATCTCGTAGTAGGTAGGGGACTTATTGCTCGGCTAAAAGAGATATCCAAGGAGAGGCAACAACCTCTCACCGCACATGTGCCCTTGATCTTGACTCTGAAGTCGATTTGAGCCAGGGGTTGGTGATGGATGAGTTGTGGCGCCTCTAATCTACTGTAGTAACAAGTGGAATTAGCCATTGACGATGTCATGGCGACTAGCGAATTGACAAGTCTCGCTTCTAGACTGCGGTTTACACAGTAAATGTATAATTGTTCGCCGATTCGCGGTTAGTAGCTGGGTTGTTCCGGAGCATCTCGAACCTCAGAACCGTTGGGGGGATGTTAGCGCAGGGTGTGTGCACAATTGCTGTAAGCGCATGAGGGACTTTTCCCCTAACTATCACGCGTGGATCCTCAGTGTTAAATGACAAGTTGAATGACGACGAATAGGTAGGTAGGTTAGTAGTTTTCTCTCGCAATTTTATGGTGGGAGGAGGTTACTTTCTGTTATTTGCTACAAGACTGATGTAGTTACCTCACTTTATCTTTGTATCGGACTTGCCGTCAACGTTTTCAAAGGTCACAATGCATGTATGAGCCAAGGTAGGCGTTCCTCTAATGAAACCTTCCCCGCCAGTAAATTCTGGACGCAAATCCACGATCTGATCTTGATCCTTCCTCTACATGCATCGAACTTGACCCGGTCAACTAGTACCGAAGCTTTTTTGAATAGGTACCTTAGCAGGTAGCCCGTAAATATACTCCGCCGGTCAGTGATTTAGACAGTTTATATGTCTCTAATATGACGAACACAAGTGTTCGGTCGCTTCAAAGTGGTCAAGCCAATGCCTGTTCCAAACCCCATGTCGAGATGTACACTTTAGCCCTGGTTGTGTTTGGCTCTACATAGTACGGATACTAGGTATGTATTGCACCAGCCAATGGAGCCTAGACATGGGACCACCGTCTGGCATCTATCAAGCAACAACCTTCCACACCACGTTCAGCTACGTCTCTGGCTGCATCTATGTGTGTATCGCATCCTAGGCCTCTTCTTAGCTATGATGTCGGCAATAGAAATGTGGCATATGTGATGAAGGGCTTCTAATAGAGAACAAAGATAGCGCACCGCTGCAAAATCCAGCTGTCAACCGCATGTCATGATGGGAAGTAACTCGCTAGGTACTTACTTGCCTCATGATCTCACAGAGCGCAAGGACTCGAGTTACCGCGTGTGCCCCTAGCCTAGCGACCTTTCATGGTTCTGATTCTGGCTATGGCTCTGGGGTGTTAGCCTCTCAGGGATCCACCAGGTGCACCATCATGAGAGCCTAGCAAGTTGAGGGGGCCATTTGGGGGCTTCGAGGGTCTGGGCAAACCGGGGTCGCGCGAGCCTTTTTTCGTAGCTCGATGCAGGAGGGGAACGGCAGCATTTCCGGTTGTCGGACGGGATATTGATTGGAGACGACAACCGTCGGCTTGTCACATAACGTTGTTGAAGCAACTGCTGCGTTATCCATAAATTTATTAACAAATGTATTATCGAGAGTAGGTAGTCACCGAACCATGGAATCCCATAGTATGTGTTGTATTCTTTTCGTCATCCAGTCCAGGGCTCTCGTCCCCATGGTAGAAATCCTACGGGACCTAACCTTACAGCACTGAGCACCTACCATGTTGGGGCCCGGTACGGTTCCATCCAACCACGAGGCCACCGATCCATCCTTCTCGTCCGTCTCGAGCTTGCCTAGGTTGGGTCATTTCTCCTCCACTATTACACTATCTCCCCCAGACTCTCACTCAACCTCCCCGTCCCGTACAGGTAGGTAATCCCTCCCGCCACCAACCACTCTCAACTCTAGTCTCTACCTAAGTACCTAGGTAACTTAGTACCTCGTTTTGGACGGAGTACCTGCGGCCCTGTGTTCTTTCTACAGGCTCTAGCTGTTTTGTTTGCTCCTTCTGCTTCTGCAATTCTAGTGAACTGGCACTTCTTTTATACATTCGTTCTCAAGCTGTCCTTGGAATCACCATTCCATCACTAAACCGTCTGCTCTTCCTTCTAGCTCATGCCTACAGGCAACGACTGCTTCCCGTCGCTTCGTCCCCGGTTCGGCGTTTAGATCAGTACAGTAGCTCCGTCCGGCGCTATCGTGTCCACGCCACACATCCGCGCCTCGCTTTCCCCAGGGCAGCGCCAAGTTCCAACGCCGACAAGCGTCTGCGACTGCGCCGGCATCAGCGCCATTCTTTGCTTGCTCACAACTCGGCCACTTTAAGATCGACTTGGCCTACGATATACTCACAGTCTACGCATTGCGCGGTTGTTTAGTTGTCGTCTAGCAATACAAAGCCATCCGCGCATGGTTCTTCGACCCAATTGCGACTGCATTCGCTGAGGTGCTGCTGCCGCGCAGCTGTTGCAGGTCGGCCGTTGACAACGTCCTCGATCGGCTCACAAACTCCGCGGCCTTTCTACCGAACCGCCACTACTGACAACATCACAACTTCGCCATGGCCGGCTTCTTCAACAAGATAAAGGGTTCTGGCACTGTATGTCTTGGACTTGTTCTCCGCCCATTCTTACACCAGATTGCCCCAGCTGCATCAGCTCTTCCGCTTCAAAGTTGCGCTTAGATTGGATTACATGACTGACAAAATGCCTCTCGCTTTCTGCTTCTAGGCCACGACTACCACGCCCAATAAACAAGATGCCATAGCAAAGAAGAAAGAGGAGCCTGTGCTCGACCTCACCCCGCTTGAGAAGATGCTCCAGAATGCAGGTCCACTCCGAGACGACGGTGCCGATCGCTTCTTCGGTCTTGAGAATGTACGTCGAACCCTATTCACATCTGCCACACATCCTCCCACCTATATTTGAATGCCAATACGATATTACTGCGGAGAACTCAACTAACTCGATAATAGTTTGGAAATACATGGTACGGATCTTGCCAGGTTACCTAGCCAAGCTATTATACTTATTGACCATTTGCGTAGTTACTGCAATTCGATTGTCCAGGCTCTGTTTTACTCCGAGTCGTTTCGCAACAATGTTGTCAACTACCCTTCGATCTTGTCGTCAGAGACGAATGGCAGCCGACCAAAAGTTCCTATCACCATCAGACCCCCGCCTACCGACCCCGTAGAGACCTTACCCAAGCAAAAGGGCCTCAGCACATCTCAAGTTATCAAGCAACGACAAAACATGAACCACCAATTACCTGGTCAGGTAGGGATCCGACCCGAGGACAAACCTGATACACCCGAATATAAGAAGAAACAAGCCATGATCAAGGGACCTATTCTGGAGTTGGCACGAGAAAACGCGATTTCTCATGGTATGGATGAATGCACGTTCACCGGACTCAAGGACATCTTTCTGGCTTTGCTCGAAAGCAACACACACACAGGAGTGCTAAGCCCCCAACGATTTCTCGAGATTTTTAAGCGCGACAACGAGATGTTTCGAAATTCAATGCACCAGGACGCTCATGAATTCTACGGCTTGGTTTTGAATGATGTCATAAATAGTGTTGAAAGCGCAGCTCGCCAGATGCAGTTGCAAGCACCTGCTGACGGTCTGGACGGTCTGGCAACATCAGTAGGACACGCTCTCGGATCGGCCATGGCGAATCATGCGGCCGGAGTAAATTCCCCAGCAACAGGATGGGTCCATGACATCTTTGAAGGTGTCCTCACATCGGAAACGAAGTGTCTGACTTGCGAAACCGCCTCTCAGCGCGACGAGACATTTCTTGACTTGTCTATCGATCTGGAGGAGCACTCATCCGTGACATCTTGTCTACGCAAGTTCTCGGCCGAGGAGATGCTTTGTGAGAGAAACAAATTCCACTGCGACCACTGTGGCGGCCTTCAAGAGGCTGAGAAAAGAATGAAGGTGAAGCGATTACCCAAAATTCTAACACTTCACTTGAAGCGATTCAAGTACACCGAGGACTACAGCCGCTTGCAAAAGCTCTTCCACAGGGTTGTATATCCCTACCACCTGCGAATGTTTAACACAACCGATAATGCTGAAGATCCGGATCGATTGTATGAGTTGTATGCGGTTGTGGTCCACATTGGTGGTAATGCCTACCATGGTCACTACGTATCCATCATCAAAGTCCCCGGTCGAGGATGGATTCTGTTCGATGACGAGATGGTCGAACCGGTAGACAAGAACTTTGTCCGCAACTTCTTTGGTGATAAGCCAGGAATGGCTACCGCATATGTGCTATTTTATCAGGAAACGACGTTTGAAAAGGTGCGCGAGGAACAGGAGAAGGAAGGCATGGAGGAGGTGAAGCTTGCCAGCGAAGCAGCCAACTTGGCACAGGAGAACGGAGACAAGATCGACACATCACCACTCAGACGACAAGCAACACAGCCCATGTCACCTCTCTCACCCCTCTCACACCAGGAATCCATGGCGAATCTTGCGCACGCGAGAACCGCCCCCGTTATGCCTTCGGCTCCTCAGCCGGATGCTTCGCCCCCGGCGGCAGCCATGGCAAATGGATTGAATCGCGTCAGCACACAGAAGGAAGAAGTTAAATCGAAAGAAGACAAGAAACGAGAGAAGAAAGAACGCGAAGCTGCTGAAAAGGCAGAGAAGCTTGCAGAAAAGGAGCGCGAGAAACAAGTTAAACTTGACGAGAAGAAACGACGAGAAGACCAGTTCAAAGCGATACAGACACGTCGAAACGAAAACGATGAGCTTGCCAAGGTCCTCGAAGCCAGCAAGAAGTCGGCGGCACAAGAAGAGGAAGGGAGAAAGAAGGAGAATGGAACACCCCAGGGCAACGGAATTCTCGATCGGACCAAGCGAGGCAGCAAGTCGATGTCGAGGAAGAGTTTCTCGCTTTTCCATAAAGACAAGACGGCTGGGCAAGCTCTGGACACTCCCAATAGCGACTCGAGCGACAAGCACGAGAAGCTCAAAGATCGCCTTAGCTTCAGTCTGGGCCGCAAGAAGAGTACAAACCTGCTCTCATAATCTTAACTCGCATACTTATAACATTCACCTATTTGCAAGGAGAGAGGGGTGTTTTTGAAACTATTTCTTTTTTGTCATTGTGGTCTTTGGGGTTTTGACGGACAGCAGGATACCCATGCACCCTGAACGAAGCTGTCATTACCTGAAACAAAAGCACAAGAACGAGATAAAACAGCTCTTGAGGTGAGCAGTTACTATTGGCATACATATCTTGGGGTGGTGTCCTGCCTCATTCGGTCTCATGGAGTCGAAGTCAGTCGTAGCATTGTGTCAGGAACAAGAACACCTAATTACAAAGCACGAAGCATAAGATGGAATATTGGGGCAAAGTGCGAGCTCGGTAATCATTGCTGGAGTGAACCTGCTTATTCAGGTCTGGACAGACTTCGTGGAGCACGATCTGCGACGTGGCAGTTGTATTATACATTGGTATTTGGAGGCCCAAGTTGGCTTAGACGGGTGTGATATCCCGGCCTTTGAGTAGACGTTGAACAAGATGAGACGCCTAAGAGCGAATCTAACGTGTCGAAATAGTCCGGCCCCCCATCAACATTATCTTCGGTATCATGGAGAGGCTACCTCCCTTGCAAGCATCATAGTGTTCTCCACCGTATTCACATCAAAGTAATAGAACTCCCGCGCACGGTTTGCCATGTCATATCATCAACTAAAGCGCCAGCTCCAAGATTACCGGTCCATTGATACCGAGAAAAGGTTACCGTGTCCTCTTTTATAACCGCGCCGCGTGTGTGTGTATGTATGTGCGAGTATGGCACCCCTCGATCAACCAAGTATCAACTCGTACAGGATGATGACAGAATTGACAAAAATAAGTGGCACTGCGGAATATGTTAGTGACCCTCGACGCATTACAACGACAGTCTTCGATCCGGATCGCACTGCCTGGATGGTGCCGTTTGACGTACTCCTCATGATAGTTCGAACGCTTGCGATGAGATTAATGACCTTGGCCTTGACGCTGGCATCAGGGCCTGCGCCGAACGCGGGGTCGTATGAAGCAGGAGAGAGGTTGACTGGAGGTTCAACAGTTAGGTATAAAGTGCGCATATTTAGACTCGAAAATTGGAGGGGGTTTTCGTACTGCGCGCGAGGAAACGATCTTCGGAAAGGACAGCGACGGCGTTAATTAGGAGGATACAAACTAGGAGCGAATTAGTTAACTATATCCATGAGAATGAATAGGAGGAGGATATACTTACCATAAAGAAAACTTCCAAAGAACCACATTTTTGGCGACGGCGGTGGAGGTTGGAAAAGCAATCAATGGAGAAGGAGGAGGCTTGGCTGTAGAGAGTTGGCGATGATGTGTAACTATTTTAAGGGCCTACAGAGTAAGGTACTAATAGAGGTAGGTACCTTAGGTGATCCCCGGTTCAGGTACGTACCTCAGCGTTCTTTCCACAGGCAGCTGCCATGCCCAATGGCTTTAAACGGGGCGTGAGAAGGAGCATGGGCAAGGGGAAGGAACACTGCGGGGGATTTGTTAGGCCGATCCGAAGACCCCTAAAGAGGTAATAAGCTCTAGACAATTCATGTTACAAGAATAGAATCTGGCATAAATGATAATTATTGATTGAGAGATGTTGAATTGGAGATAGGGAGTACCAGGTAATGCCATTTACTCGTACCTTTTTATATTGTCAATATTTCCGATACTTTGGCACTGCAACGAAGATTATCGACCTACACCAAGCTTGAAGCTATAACAAGTAGTAGCTCTCACATTGAGAGCTCTCAATATCAGCCAAGATGAAGACTTCAGGTACATCATACTATTCTTCACTATGCTCATTCAAGTAACAAGAAATATCCATCTAACTACTCTCAGACATCCTCTTAACTTGTCTTCTCATCACCATCCCACTCACTCACCTCCTCGTCTCGCCTTACACCAAAGTCGAGGAATCCTTCAACATCCAGGCTGTCCACGACATTCTCATATACGGAACGCCAACCTCGGACATTCATGAGCGTCTCTCTCACACCTACGATCATTTCACCTTCCCTGGAGTAGTACCCCGAACATTCGTTGGTGCTGTACTCCTCGCAGGGCTGGGCCAGCCCATCATCGCTCTAGCTGGCTTCCAGCATGCGCAGCTCGTCGTGCGAGGCCTGCTTGGTGCAGCCAATGTCGCTGCGCTTCTAACATTCAGGTACTCTCTAAAGAGAGCTTATGGTACGGGTGTGTCGGCTTGGTGGGTAGTATTTATGGCAAGTCAGTTCCATATCAACTACTATCTCTCACGGACATTGCCAAATATGTACGCCTTTGGCCTGAGTAAGTCATACAACCATGGACGAGAACTTGAAATTGCGTCTACTGATAACTGCAGCGACCCTCGCTTCGGCCTTTCTCCTCCCACAGCCGTCACCTCAGCTCTCATTCGTCCGCCAGAAACAGGCAATTGCTCTCTTGGTTATCGCAGCAGCTGTGTTCCGTTCCGAAGTCGCTGTTCTGCTCAGCACCACAGGGCTCTATCTGCTTTTCACCGGACGTATCGCTCTGCGCCCCTTGATTCTCACCTTCCTCGGCTCTTTCACCGCTTCACTTCTCCTTTCGGTACCGATTGACTCGTACTTTTGGCAGAAGCCGCTCTGGCCCGAGCTGTGGGGTTTTTACTTCAATGCTGTCCTCGGGTCTTCGTCAGAATGGGGCGTCTCCCCATGGCATTACTACTTCACCTCGGTGCTTCCCAAGCTGTTGCTCAACCCTATCGTGCCCATATTGAGTGTCTTTGCACTGACACGACCTGGCACTTCTCGAGCTGCGCAAGCCCTGCTGATCCCGAACCTACTCTATGTCGCCATTTACTCAGCTCAACCTCATAAGGAGGCACGATTCGTCTTTTATGTTGTTCCATCTCTTACTGCTGCTGCAGCGCTTGGTGCCAATTTCCTGTCCTCGCGCGCACCAAAATCTGTTATTTACCGCTGTGTCTCTGCTATCATCGCCCTCTCCGTCCTCGTCAGCTTCGCAGGCAGCACTGTCATGCTTTTGTTCTCTTCTCTAAACTACCCAGGTGGGGATGCCCTTCAGCAGCTCTACTACATAGCTCGTGACGATCCAAGTCCTGTCGTCGACGTCCACGCTGATGTCTTGACTTGCATGACTGGACTTACGCTGTTTGGGCAGAATCCATCGGCTTATCCCATTGCCTATGCTATAACCCCCGAGCCTGATTCTACAGCCCCTACTCTGGTCTTCGACAAGACGGAGAAGGGAGATCAACTGTACTGGTCCCGTTTCTGGGAACGCTTCGACTATGCTCTAGCTGAGGACCCACGCAAAGTATTGGGTGGGTGGCAAATTGTGGGGGTAGTCACAGGCTATGATGGTCTTGAGATCCTCAAGCCAGGTTCGTCGGCTCTAAGTGACGGAACCGAAGAGGGAACAATTGGGGGTGAAAAGGTTCTTGGACTGGGCGCCCACGTCGCCGCTGTGAGGAACTTGGTTAGGGGTTACACGGGTGGTTGGTGGGCAGGCCCTCGAATGTCGCCCCGAATTCGAATATTGAGACGCGTTAGTTAAACAGGCACAACAAGACACCACCATATTCAACCACGTTTCCATAACCGGGTATTTACAAGGAAGTGGCTTATAATAACTATATAAGCTAGTTTTCGAAGGCTTATCATGTCATACAAAACAATGGATGCGTGCGTGCGTAGACTCCTCGAGGCCGTCCATTGCCTTCGAACAAAGAACCCATCATCCCAGAAAGAAAGAACTCCCGGCAGACAAAGCCGCCAGTTATCACCATTTCCTTAACCCCCCCCAAAAGTCAACGCCATGTACTTTATCTTCGACCTATTGTCTTTTCCTAGCCCAAACATAAGCCCGAGCACACCACATACACCTCCCATCAGAGTGTTTAGTGAATAGAGAGCAAACCTGTACCACATAAAATTACCATGAAAGAGTCCCAACACGTTCTCCCATCGTTTGTGCTCAATAGAAAAAAGCGTTCTGTTCAACCTCCCCAGGTCGTATTCCTCATATCACGTGGATGATTATAACATATATAAGTGCTCCGTTTCGGTTCCAATGGCCCCAGTCATGTGAATCACAACTCCTGCTCTGTATCACTACCCTCTTCGGTGTCAGGGTCGTCTTCGTCTTCGTCTTCTTCTTCACTGCTTCCAGGGCTAGAGCTGGGCAGCTCGCCATATCTTCTCTTGTACCGTGCCAACTCGTTGGTCTGGGCCATGAACTGGTCCAGAATGTCAGACATTGGACCTTTTAGATCTTCAAGTTCCTTGATAGTGCCACTGCCGATCGCAAGGTGTCGCATCGCCAGGGTTGAGATGCATGTCTAATATGGTTAGCAAAGTTGCATCCAGAACACTGATCCTTCCAATTTCAACTCACCTCTATCCTGCTCACTTGATGCTCCAGGAAGTTCAGTAAGAATCGATCTGTGACTTCGCCTCCGCGTTGTTTGATCCTTTCAAGCAGCTCGGTCTCTGGTGGCTGCAGACTTGGAACCTCGTTTCCTTCCAAAGAACTGCAAAGCATCTCGAGACGCAAACTCAGACGCCAAAGATTCCAGATGGCGTCAGGGTCGATACTGAGTTCGCCTCCAGGTGCAAGGACAGCTGGCTTGTCGCCTGTCTCATCCTTCCTCTCGTGGATTTCAATGCGGCCAGCTAAAGCATGAGGGTAGAGAGAGTACACAACTTCAGGGTTTTCTAGACCTTTTAGCTTCTTTTCACCCATCTCCTTGACCTCAAAGCCCTGGGAGGTCAAGGATCTCAAATCTTTCCGGATGGCGCTGGCGTAGGTCTCATCGTCGAATGTATCCTCAGAGCCAGAGGCATTACCCCGATCTGTGTCTTGGTAACTCTCTAGGCATCGCTGGATCTCAGAGATGAAGTCGGTCGAGACAGTGATTTGTCCACCATCTGCCACGGCGGAGATTCGGGCGGCTTTGTTAACCATGGGTCCAAAATAGTCCATACGTCGCGTAACTGGATCCGTCTCGCTCACACAGTCGCCAAAGTGTATACCCATTCGCACCGACAGTCCCTTAAAGATCAAGGTCTTGTCCTTGTCTTCCACGGGCTTGCACGATGGTGATTTCAATACTTCTTGAGGCCAATTAACGTCAAGAAGAGACATCTGAACGGCAAACGTCCACAAAAGTGCAGACGTGGCGGTGGGGAACGATACCATAAAAGCATCCCCTTCAGTCTTGACTTCGTAGCCACCAATGCGCCGCAGTTGCCGGCGCATTACCTCGTTGTGGAGTTTGATAGCTGATCTCATGGCACTGGGATACATCTCCCAGAGATTGGTAGAGTTCTTGATATCGGTGAAGACGATCGATACGTTGCCCGTAGGTGCTGGGATCTCTGCTTCGAGCCTGTTAAGCGACGAGTCAAGAACAGGCATGTCTTTGGCTCTTCGGCCCCTTCTAATATTGAGGACCTGAGCATCGTCGGGGACACCACTTGGATACAGCGACATACTAGCACCGCGATGAAGCCTGCTTCGTTCCACTCGTCTCTTAAGGTCGGCAACGCTAATCATCATGACCATAATCTTGCCGGACGCGCCGTATGCAATAGCCAGATCGCGAAGCTTCTGCGCGGCACGCATAAGATCCTGCCGCTCGGCTCTTGCAATATCTGTTACCAAACCAGGCGACAGGTACTCCCAGAGCTCGCCAGTGGCGATCATGATTATATCGTCTCCCTCTCGAATAGTCATGTTACTGATGTAAGGGGCCGCTTGTACAGCTGGCATCAATTCGACATATCCGAACGCGCGTGATACCTGCAGCAGATCGTTCAGCCTTCCGTTGCGAGAGACCCATCCACCAGCTTCACGAATGCGTGATCGTTCGCTGGGCTCCGCAGGATCGTGCTTGCGAGTAAGCATTTTGTGACTACCATCAGTTTGAATAACCATCGCCTGTGCATCTCCAACGTTCGCAACATATAGCTCTGTGCTCTGAAGGTACACCACGGTTGCTACACCACCAGAATTGAGATCTTCCTTGGTGAGTATCACAGGCTGACCGGAGCCCCTATGCGTCTTAAGCGGCCGTTCTTCCGAGTGCTGGATGGCGATAGTAACCAAGTCCTTGTTGAGCGCCAAGAACGAGCGCCGCAGTGCATCGACTGGTGTCTCGTTCGAGCGTGTTTTCAATGCCTTCAGCTCGATGGTGAAGATGTGGCCGAAGTTCTCGTGGAGATACTTGGCGATCTTTGATCCACCACTAGACAAAGCCTGGCCATCAAATAGACCCAATAGCATCTCCGTTTCTGATGAATTAAATCGTGGCACCACTAGATCAACCGTTGACAAATGCTCATGCTTGCCCAAGGTATCGGCCATACCATAAGGCAGATGGTTAGCAAGTGACCCGGACGTGCGAACACGTCTGTCCTCGCTTTGGTCCGGGATGCTTGGCTGAGTGAGAGTTACATCCATCAGACCCAGAATGCGCAAGTTGAGCAGACGACTGAAATCTGTATACTCCTCACGATTGACAGCGCCGGGCCCAAGCGGACCTGAAGCTGTCTGTTTGATTTCCAGACGCTTGTTGCCAGACAAATTCAGATATCTCAGGTTGGGGTTCAGATTCCAGTTCCAGTCGTAGGGCACGTTGGAGATATTGTACTTCAAATAATTACTGCCACAGTCGAGAACAGCGAGGTTCCTGGCTCGGGAGATATCCGCTGGTAAGTTGGTAAACCTGTTGCCGTTGATGTAGAGGGCCTGAAGCAGACTGGACTCCTCCAAATCATCAGCAGGCAGTGATGTGAGTGCGTTTCCAGACAGATAGAGCTCGACAAGTTGGGGCCAGCTCTTGATCGATCTCTGGGGCATATCGCTAATCTCCTCGTTGTAAGACAGATTAAGCACTCGAAGCTCTGTAAGTAATGTGATCTCATCAAATACGTCATCATCAAGACGATTGTCAGCAAGATGAAGGTTTCGAAGTGATCCAGCGAATGTGTTATTAAGTCTGGATGACATTCCAGAGTCTTTTCTCGCGTTCACAGATTGTGTAGGGGCAGACGGCGTAGCGGATCTTGACACAACTGATGTCTTGCGACCGCCCTTTCCATAAACAGACACGACGGAACTCTTACGATCTCCAAGATTCAGAGGAGAGGGTCCAACACTAAGGAGCGTGCTCGAGTTTTGGCTGGGTCTTCGATCGTCAGCTAGCTCTTCCGAACTTGCAGTTGCCGACAACGTTCCGAGAGGAGCAGCTCTGCCGTTGACCGGAGGAGGTGCTTGCTGAGACTCCTCTCCCGGTACTCGTGGTGCTCTCGAAGCCGGCTTCGGGAAGTGCTCCAAGACGTTCGAAGAGGCGTTGAAGGTCTCGAGTCGGTTTGCCCACCACAGCTCCATAGGTAGTTTGGATATGTTGTTTCCTCGAACGTTAAGCACTCTCAATTCGGTAAGGCAGCCAATTTGAGCTGGCAACTCTCCAACTGAATTATTAGCGATGCTGAAGTGTTCGAGCCTGCTCAAAGTGCCGATCTCCTGAGGCAAGGAAACGAAATAGTTCTTGTCTAGAATCAAATGCTCAAGATTTACCATGTTGGCGAATGACGAGTCGATGCTGGCCAGTTGAGCGTTGGAAAGATTAAGGGTCTTCAGTGTAGGCACTGGGGCCACGATCTCAAATTTGTTAAGGGGATTCGAGTTCAGTTTAAGTTGTCGGAGGGACTCAAACTGTCCAACAAAAGCAGAAACGCAATTGTGGTCGGCGGAGAGAATTTCAAGTCTCGGGAGTTCCGAGATGGCATCGATACTTGAGATACCGTTGTACTTGATGTCAAGTTCACGAAGACTGACAAGCTGTCCAAACGACGACGGGACAGCGTGGGTCAGTCTGTTGTTTGTTATCAGTAACTTTTCTAGGTTCTTCAAAGCGCCGATCTCTTGAGGGATCGTTGCAATAGCGTTGAAGCTCAGATCGAGATCGACCAGACTGGGCAGGCTGCATAAGAATGTTGGAAACTTGTCGAGGAAGTTGGATGAAATGTTAAGCGAGCGAAGCGAGTGATATGCGCCAAAGTAAGAGGGCAAGTGCTTGAGCCGGTTGTTTGCTAGGTTCATCTTAAGCATACCCGTAAGAGCGTTGAGTTCAGCATGTTCCAACTGCTCAAGCCTGTTGTTGGCAACATCCAAGAACGTCAGTTTGTTTGCTCGGCTCAAGCTGGGTGGCAGCTTCCTGGCTTCGTTATTGTTGAACTTGATATCTCGAAGATGCTTGCAAGACTGTATAAAATCCCGGGGTACGTCAAGCGATAAGTTTCGCGAGAGATTGAGAGAGATAATCTCCATGGCCTTCGAGTATAGGGATATAGGTATTGTGACGAGGTTGCGACCGGAGAGGTCTACATAATTAAGCTTCTGAGCCCGGGCCAAGCCCATGTCGGTGGTTTTGGCGTGGAAATCACTTTCTCTTGCTGACAGAAACATGAATCGACACAGGTAGCTGTTGTCTTCACGTCCGAGGTCCTCGATTCTGTCCTTTTCCTCATAACCGACTTGTTGCAGCAGTCGCTTCTGCATAAGCAAGGGTCGTTCCGGGGGTGTCAAAACCCGGATAAGATCATGCTTCTTAAGGATGATATGGTAGTTTTCTAGCCCGTCAACCACATACGTCTTCTTAATGACTTGCGAGATGACGTCGGTAACACTCGACTCTAGGGGCATCGAATGGGTGGAAAATGTGCCATCTGAACGAAAAATGCGAATACAATATGGTGAGCCCTTCTCCTCTGGTCGAGGTGGGCTGCCAATCTCGTCGAGCTCAGGGCCATTATAAGAATTATCTTCAGTATTGCGCCTTACTGCCCAACTGTCCGGAGCATCCCAGCGACCTTTTGGTGCTGTAGAAATAATGGAGTCGTGGCGTTCAGGCTCGATGTTGTTGACAAAACTAGTGTCCATAGGGGTGAGCGGAGGAGGTTTTGTCAAAATACCCTCCATGTCGTTTAAATTGGTGTCGAGATGGTACATGCCATTAGGATCGCTACGATCACGATCAGTCGGTCCAATTGCTTCCTCAACATAATCATGAGGCCGGTGAGGCCGTCCCTTCTTGGCAAACGGAAACTTATTGTTAAAAGTGGCTCCGCGTTGCGCCGTGGCTGGTCGTGTATCAGGGACATCACTTGTTTCGCCAGGCCCAAAAGTCCCGGAGAGAGGTAACGTAGAAGTTGATACATCACTAGGGCGATGAAGGTCGGGCTTAGAGGTCTTTGGCTGCAGAGATCTTGTCGATGGGGGAAGATCGCGAAGTCGGGCAGAATCATCCTTGTCTTTGTGGTGGTGCCTTCTAAGTCGTCCAAAAATTCCACGCTTGCCGTGATGGTGACCTGGTGAGGTTTGTCCGTCCATCTGTGAAGACTTCGTGCTCCAAGCCATCCCTGCACTTCTAGTGCTGGGCGTCGGACTCTGTCCTCTAGATTTCGTTGAGTACATAGCGGTGGTGGTGCTACTACCCCCACGGTCGCGCGAGGACTGCGTGCCAATGGCTGTGTCATCTCTGCTCATTGTCGGCCGCAATGTCCTAGGGTCATCGTTGCTCTTATGGTGTCGATGGTGGCCAGGCATATGAACAATAGAATGACCAGACCTTGACGATGAGGATGTCTTGGGAGGGATCTGTGAGGAGTTGTCGGCCGCATATCGCTCTCGATCAGGCCCGGTCATGATGTCTCGCACGGGAGCTTCGCCATATCGTGCGATGTCCTGTGGCAGTGGAGTTAGTGGGCCAGCGACGCTGGCGAGAATGCTCTAAATGACAGTTGATAAATGAACTCGGCACTAGGAAAATAGATCAAGGGAGAAATTCGGAGAGGAATGTATGGATCGCGGACCAGACTGGCGGGGCATGGGGTAGTCTGGACAATGAGACAGATGAGTGGTATATACTTACACTGTTATCTTGGTACAGAAAAGGCACCACCTCTGGCGCAGGAACGGGTGTTCTTGGTCTTGAAGACGATGGCGAAGCATCGCGGGTGTAATCCGTGGCATTGGAATAGTTGCGATCCCTATGTGTGGGGCGGCTGTGACTGTAAGAGCGCCCACGCTGGTCCTTGCCGGCGAGCGAAGTGGGTAGGCTACCCTCGGAGCTATCGCGCCCAGGAAATTCCTCGCCAAAGAAGCCCTGAAGCTTGCGAAAACCACCACGGGTCATACTAGTCTTGCTGCCCTGACTGCTCGCAGTAAGGATACTGGCAGCCGATGGCCGTCTGCCGTCAAAGTACGATCCGTCAGGAGCATCGTGCTGTGAGGGGTGTGGGGGGTATTGATATTGTTGCTGCTGTGGCTGCTGCTGTTGTTGTTGGCGATTATGAGTCTGATGACCAGGAGAAAGCTGAGAGGCGAGAGATAGGTTGTCGGTCGAGTCATTGAAAAAGGTGGTCTGCATGTTGGAAGAGTTCGAATGGGAACCAGTCTGGTTCATCCAAGGTGCTATTTGAGGGCTCGCACCACCGGTGGGCGGAATTTGTTGGATTTGAGGGACTCGGGAGGTCTCGAGAACGGAGAGTTCACGTCGATAATTGGCAAGGTCGCTCATGCGACGGTCTTTAGATTGAGCATTGGCACCGGCGCGGGAGGCAAAGGTAGTTGTGGTAGCAGTTGGTGAGACCTGAGGCTCATCCTTGAAGGGAGACCTGTAAGATGCGGGAAAGCGTTTAGTTGGATGGCGAAAGGTAAGATGAACGGCGACAGGGCGGGAGACGGCAGCGGGGGAACAGGAGGCGGGAGACGGCATGCTATCATAACTCACCACTGGTTGCTCAATGAAGCATTGCCATCGGTACCGAGAGCAGGAGGATGGTATCGACGAGGCGTTGAGGAGACAGTCGAGGGATTGGTATTAGAGGTGGCAGCGAGGGAAGCTGTCGCAGCAGGAATGGGAACAGCGGCAGTGGATGATGGAGTAGGCGTTAGAGCATCTCGTGCCGGATTGGGAGTAGGCGAGTGAGCGGGAATGGGAGTGGAGATGGTTGAATCGGAAGCGGGAGCGGGAGTAGTGGAGGCAGTCAAGAAGAATGGCGATTGCGACTGCGATTGCGACTGAGACTGAGACTGCGACTGTGACTGCGAGCGAGACTGCGATGGCGACGGCGAGGGGGACGATGATGGCGATGAGGGTTTCACGGTAACGGCGGAGTATATGTTCTCAGTGCTCGCTGATTTGACAGTACCAGGGCTGTTGCTAGAGCTCGCGAGAGAGCTGATGTGACTGACGGGCTCATTCCTGGTCATTGTCGCCGAGGCGTGGATGGCGTTAATAGCAGGGCCCTAGCCTCTAGGCCATGGAGAATATGGATAGGGTCCGGATGAGGACAGGGCAGGCACGGGGCAGCTGAGCTGGAGCATACACGGTGGGGAGAGAGAGAGGCTGATAGAATCGGAGCGCGAGCCAGAACAAGACCAAGAACCCGGTCAATCAAGGTCAATCAACGACGGACGGGCTTCAGGGTGCAAATGGTGAGCGGCGGGGGGGTGAAGGTCCAGGCTACGTAAGTAAGCAGGGAGTATAAGTTCTGTGTAGTGGAAAGAGTAGTTCGTAGCTATTAGACACGATGGTAACAAAGTAAAATGATAATGGATGTACGTATATAGGAAAGGTGGATAGGTAAAGACGACAGTGGAGAGCGGGAGTAGATACTACCTACTAACGTAAGTACCTAGGTAATCCTGGGTACTAGTAGGTAACTAAGTAGGTAAGGAAGGTATTAGGTAGGTAGGTAGTGTTTGCCTTCACGTCATGTCTGAGAATGTCTAGAAACAGAAGGCGTACGAGGAGGCTGAGCTGCAGTTCCAGTTCCTGGCGATACCCGTGGAGAGAGAGATGTGGTCAAGGGGATATAGTAGATAGAGGTAGTGTTGCTGAATTGAAGTATAATCCAAAAGAGAAGAGGCTGAGTGGTCGAATCAAGAAGATGGGATGAGACGAGATGAGATGAGGTCGTATCCTTAGGACTAAAGCGATCTCAAAATACAGTGCAATAATCCATCCCACTTGGTAGGTACCTATCCGTAGGTAGGCAGGAGGAATCAATGAATGGTTGGCGGTGCTGGACTGCCCGCTTTGGTCATTGGCGCTTGGACTGGACCGAGGGTTTATTAATGTGACCAGGGTCTATCAATTGGAGAGGCTGGTTCTTGGTGCAAAGTAATTCGTGATTGGCTGTTAAGTTAATCAGTCGGCCCTCCACTGGGGGTAATCCCAGGTCCTCCACAAGCTCCATCAATGAACGGCCCGCCTAAAGTCGATGACTCCAGCGCCTTTAGCTCTGAAGAAGCATAAGGTATTACATCCAATGGAAGCTAAGCGTCCCGCAGCAGCAAGGTAAGGTACCTACTGCCTGGTTACACCCGACCCGATCCAAGATTCAGGTGTACCTGAGTCCCATGGTTGAAACTTGACTGGGATGCCCTGGGGGCGTGCGTTAGGTAGTCGGGGGATAGGTACTAAGATAGATAGGCATTGGATGGTTGTTGTTATTGTCGTTCAGTTGTAGGTTAATATCTGCAGAGAACGGTTTTTCCGGTAGCATACTTTATTTTATTGTACCTCTGTATTCAACGTTAAATTCTTGTTTAGACAACTGCTCACCTGGAGCTAACACCTGAGGTACTTGTGTGCGGAGTCATTGCATGCTGTGCCTCCGGTTGGTTTGTCCACTATTCACATGGATCTGCAGTAAAAAGAAAAACATTGGGTGCTTTCCTATAATTGATTGTGCATGTTGCCATGGGCAATTCAATTGACATCGAGTTCAGGGCTACACGTAGTGTACCCCCTCCGGTATTCGTATCTCTTCCTACTACCTTAGTAGGTAGGTACGCTCACTTGATCCGTATTAGACGTACAATCAACTAAGGAACAAAACATGTTGTTCTTTGTGCATATTCGTAGCAAATGATTGAACGAAAGGTCCCCGGGGCTAAGAGATGACAGTCATGTGCAAACAGAAGCTCATGTTCCGATCCCGTTCAGGTCTTTTCTTTGCTGGTAGATATTTGTTTCTGCTTTGGGGGATCCTTTGTTAGTAGACCTCGGTGGTGAGGGCTGAACCGGGGTTTGTGAGACAGCCTCTTTCAGCAGTCAGTTCTTTATTTGTCCTCCTGGACCCTTCTCACGCAGCTAATGACTCATTTGTAACGTTGAGTGCTGTGTGACTTGGGGTGCTATATTCCATGACCGGTGTATGTCAGTGATGTTTACAGACACTGTCTAGCATCATAGGCTGTGGAATGGATAGCTATTGTGCCTTGTGCCTTGTGCCTTGTGGCTGTGCAATGGAATGTATTTGTACGCCTGACCCCTGGAGGTAAGCAGCAATAGCTCAAGTTACAAAAGTAACGCAGTAGAAGATGCGCCATGGCTCAGACAAGCTTCACCATGTTGTGGAAACGATCATCGATTGGCTTTAGAGAGCTTTGGTATAAATTTAGTAGCAACATGAAACCCCTCATGTAGGATCTGTAACATTGACAGAACACAATGTTTTCTTTGTCAAACTCAATGATCTCTTGGTTCACTCGGCACATGTCATCGGCTTCCATTTTATTTGTTTTCGTCCAAGTACGGATATGTTCATTTATACTATATGCCATGGTAGCACTTAACATTTGTTCAAATGATTTATACGTTAACTTATCATATATCTTATTGCCGGTTAGTTATTGGCAGATGCTTGCTGTGAGGTCCGCTGCATGGATGCCGTGGTAAAGTAAAAGTCCTGCATGTTTCCCGCTGCGATATATACAAATATAATCAAACTTTATTAGGCTTTGAACGTCTGCGTCTGTCAAACCTTTTACAACGGTGCTACCGGTTTGCATAACGGGTTTGTCAATTTGGACGGAGCACAACAGGACCAGTTTGTATCATCATTATTCAGTCCGTTTTATTTATACCACCTTTACTATCCCCATGATAAAGTCAGTTATATTCGTATTCTGTAATGTTCTAATATAATTAAGCGCTTCTATGTAGTCCGTATTGGTAGTTAAAGGTATAAAAACCACTTGTTTTTGCAATGTCGATGCGTGGAGGGTATGGTTGGTGTTCTCAAAGCTCTGTTCCGTTGACGCGTTGTTCGTCTTTGTGAGGTATTCACAATCGGCTGCCAAAGTTCATGATATCTTAACTTTGTTAGCCTCCACCGCTCTATACTACAACTAGGCCAGCCTGATAAGAACAAATCAAATAACAAATCAGGCTTTGAAACGTGGTATTGCAGATCTCATGCCATGCTTTAAATATCTCACACTACTCTCTCTATCCAGCGAACAATTTACCCTGGAGAGGGGCACCAGTTTCTCGATCCGCAGAATCTCTCCGGGAATTACTCCGTGATGTATATTAAAAAGCATGAAAATGACCGCTATGGCTCTTCTCGCCGTTCCACGGCTACTCGTCTCACGGAAGATCTGGGCAATACGTCGTGTAACAATCGTTGGAAGCTCCCCCGCATCTTAACGTCAGCTGTTGTGTCAGAGCCTCAACATTGACCTCACGTCTAAGACAATAATCTAAACGCCACGTCCCTGCTTCAATACTACAACGGATATAAGCAGGAATATCCGAAGAGCGCACGGTACTTTTGACCAAAAGCGACTCCATTGGTCGATCGTGAGTATCTGTCTGATCACGAGCAGCCATTCTCACGTGCAGATGGTGTTGGGAGATGTATATAAGTGACTAACTACCTGCAGACGAGACTACGACAAGCGCCATCCGTACCAAGAACCAGAACAACTGACAGTAATCATGGGTAGTACAGAACATAACCTGAGGGCCTGGTGGAAAGAGAGCTCGGTATACCAAGTATACCCTGCGTCCTACCAAGATTCTACAGGTTCTGGTGTTGGTGACCTTAAGGGTATCATTTCTCGAGTCGACTATCTCAAAGACCTGGGCGTCGATATCGTGTGGCTTTCACCCATCTTTAAGAGCCCTCAGATTGATATGGTCTGTAACCCTTCTGAAGTCGGAAACGCAGTATTGCGATGATGTACTAAACATAACTTCAGGGGTATGATATCAGTGACTATTACACTATCGACCCGCCATATGGTGATGTCTCAGATGTTGACGTCCTTAAGGATAAGCTCCACGAGAGAGGCATGAAACTGGTGCTTGACCTAGTAATGAATCATACCAGTGACCAACATGAGTGGTTCAAGGAGTCTCGCAAGTCCAAGGACAACCCTTACCGTGACTGGTACATTTGGAAGCCTGCAAAATACGATGCGGAGGGGGAAAGACATCCTCCCAACAATTGGGATGCTCATTTCCAAGGCAAGCAAACTCTTACCCCCCTAACCCCAGTACTTAGGCTCATCCCAATGTAGGAAGTGCCTGGGAGTACGACGAAACCACAGATGAATACTACCTCTGTCTCTTCTGCAAACAACAACCAGATCTGAACTGGGAGAACCCAGCTGTTAGGAAGCAGGTCCACGAGGTCATGCGTTTCTGGCTCGACCGAGGCGCCGATGGTTTCCGCATGGATGTCATCAACTTTGTTAGCAAGGACCAAGCATTCCCTGACTCAGACAAGACTGTGCTCCGTGGTCACGAGTACTACGCCTGCGGCCCCAGATGCCACGAGTTTCTCAAAGAGATTGGAACTATCCTCCAAGAGTATGATGCTTTCAGCGTTGGCGAGATGCCTTGTGTTCACGATGAGCGTGAGTTGATCAAGGCGGTCCGCGGTGATCGTGGGGAACTCAGTATGATTTTCCACTTCGAGCTGTAAGTTGGGCTATCCCCACCCGTCTTTGTCATTGGTGAACTGAGTATGACTTAGCATGGATCTCGATCATGGTATCAAGGGAAAATTCACACCTAGAACCTGGGACCTGTCTGAGCTAAAAGCCACTACCCTCAAGTGGCAGAAGTTCATGTACGACAACGAGGGATGGAACGCACTATACCTAGAAAACCACGACCAGCCACGAGCAATCAGTCGTTTCGCCTTCGATGACCCTGAGCACCGCGTTGCCAGCGGAAAGACGATTGCCATCTTCCTCGGATTCCAGTCAGGCACACCATTCATCTACCAAGGTCAAGAAATTGGCATGACCAATGTCCCCAAAGACTGGGATCTGGAAGAGTACAAGGACCTTGACTGTCTTCGTCACTGGGAGTAAGTCGGAGAGTGGCCCGATGACCAAAACCGTACACTAACAGCTCCTGCAGTCTCCATAAGGATGACGATATCACAGCTCGTGAATCTTACAAGGTTGAGTATCAGAAAAAGTCCCGCGACAACGCTCGCACTCCCATGCAGTGGGACGCAAGCCCCAACGCAGGCTTCACCACAGCGGATGCCAAACCCTGGATGCGTGTTAACGACAACTACAAAGAGGTCAATGCAGCATCGCAGACTTCAGATCCCAATTCCGTGTACAGCTGCTATCGCAAAGTGTTGCAGAAGCGCAAGGAACATGTGGACGTCTTTGTATATGGCAGCTTCCATCTTGTAGATGACTCTCACGAGAAGATCTTTGCTTACTCCCGACGAGCTGACAATGGGGATACTGCTCTCGTCGTATGCAACTTCACTACTGACGCAGTTGCATGGACCCTGCCCAGCAAGGCTCGAGAGGTACTGATCAGCTCAGAGGGAAGAACACTGGAGGATGTGAACAGCGCCGAAATCAAGTTGGCTCCCTGTGAGGCCTTTGCGGTCCTTCTCAAGTAAGACGAATTACCTAAACAAAGGCAGTCTAATTTCCGCCATACGGAACAGAGAGACACTGCAATAGATTAGCTACCGAATAAAACCAACCAACATTCAAACATGATAACGGGTCGGATCTTGGGTACATGCAAACTTGTAAGCAAGACGAGGAAGTGCAATCTCATTACCCAGCATGTGATGTCAGCTGAGTATCTATTCATACAAGATACATAAACCACTGCTTGTCCTGCTCTATTCTTGTAGATTTTTCCACAACCAACGCTCTAATCTTGTCGCCCCTTTAGTAATCGCTTGGTAACCTTGTCCTTCTCAATAATGTAAACATGAGCGCCCCAGCCGGAAAGGGCATCGCGGTCGACAGCGTTAAGCAAAGACTGGGAGATGGTCTCAAAGAGGGCATCAGGCTCCTGGAAACATTTGTTAGCGCATGTCTTTTCCTAACAGCCAATGCTCAATAGGCATAACTGTCAGTCTAGTCATAATAATACGCACCAGATCAGGCTCCCAAAGACCCTCACACATGCCAAAGAGCTGCTCTGAAGCAGTACCAGAGACAATAAAGTCCTTGGCAAAGTCAATGCAGCCAATGCTGTCAAAACCGCAGATAAAAGGCTGACCAGTCTTGGGGTCGAGACCAGCAACAACTGGAGACACAAAGTAAGGTCCGAAACGCTTCTCGTAGAGAGATGAGGAGACGAGGTTGGCAAAGGTGCGAGGGGCAATATCGCGCTCCTCACGAAGGCGATACATGTTGACCTTGTAGCGGAAGAGATCGCTCACAGTGTTGACGTCGGTGGCCAGGCCGGTCAGGCCCAGATACACGTCGCCGTACTGGAAGACCTTGGGGAAGTTGTTGGAGACTGTAAGGGCCTGGAGACCAAGACGAAGATCACATGCGATGGCAACACAGTCCTTTCCGACCATAGCGACACAGGCGCCGCCGTCTACGAGGGAGGGAGGTTAGCTTTGTATGAACATCGAGATGACGGTGGGCGGATGAGACGAACTTATCGAGAAGGGAGACGACTGTTTGAAGCATGGCTGTTAGTTCTCCAAATCAAAAGCGGTTGGCTGGCGCTGACGTACCATGATGACTTCTTAAAGATGGATAAGTAGTTGCAAGGTCGGGCAATCGACGTCAACCAGCAACCGTCTTATCGAGAACGCCGAAGACGACTTAATTAGATGGCCCGTTATATTAAGCCACAAGTTTGGCTGGTGCTAATTCGAATCGTATCGTCGCGTCGTGGGGGTTGTTGAAGAGTAGTTGACGTGGAGCAGATGGAGTGCAAGATGGATGGTTGAAGCTCCCGTCACTGAGGCTGGAGCTACAGATGGTCCAGTGCAATGAGGTTGCTGCTAAGGTCCGTGGTACGTACAGGCGGGCTACAAGGCAAACACGGTCTGGCGCGGCCGGGAAGAGAGGTAAGGTAAGGTCCACGTCGACTGGGGCAGCCTTGAGCGCTGTGGCGTTTGAGGCTCAGTAGCTTGCATTACCTAATCTTGCAAGTTACCATTTCATGAAGAAATGTTACAACAGTCCATTAGCCATTCATTGTTGGTACAATTACAGAATGTTGCCTAGTGGTTACTTAGATACCACCATCCATTGAATCTTTGCTAACTTTAAAAAATGACGAATCCTACCTCAGAACCTCTTACCACGTCGTATAAGATTCTGATAGAAGAGTTCTGTTCTGTTCGATCCTAGCTTATATAGTACCATGCACCCCAATGAAGCATTATCTTAAATAGGCGGAACCTTCTAGCATCTTTTAGAGCCACCAGTAAAGGGGCATGTGGTTAATAGCTAAATACTGGAGGAAGAGATTCATAACTCGTGGCTGCCTGCCCGCCTAGCTGCCCGTTCTATCCCACCAAAAGATCAAGCTCAGGCCAGGTCCCTCAGCTACGTAACCCCGCTGTTGGCCGCTCACTGTTAGGTATTCGATTCGCTTACATCACCGCCGGCCAAGCTCAACTCCCCGCGATCGTTATTAACGGAGTTGCTCCTACAACGGTTTCGGTTCTAAACATCCGCTTCTATTTGACCTTCTACCTCGATATACTTTTCGATAATGGCGACCAACGTCGTGGTCATAGCTACCGACTTACGGCGAGCTACTATAAAAGTTCAGCCGGGAACCTACTTGACTGACGTCTTGGAGGAAGCGTGCCGCAGACTCAATCTTTCAAGTGACAAATATATCGTCAAGTAAGCCTATCCTATGACAACACTCTTGGCTGTTCGACACTGACCAAATACTTCTAGGCATCGACAAAGAACAGTCGATTTATCTGTCCCCTTCCGTACATCTGGTCTCACCCCCGGCGCAAAGCTCGAGCTTGTACAAAAGTCGAAATCACCCTCTGCTATCCAAGTCGCCCTCCAGGTCCCACTCCCAGAAGGTCACGAAATACCTGGTGGACGGTTGATTCAAAAGTTCCCAAGCGATCTCACTATATGGAAGGTTCTTCGCCAGTTTGAGAGCGGCCAAGCCAGCAATGGAAAGAACATCAATATCACAGCCCGTGGGGTTGCGCATATGAGCAATGATTCTGGAAGCGGGAGCGGACAACTATACTATGAAACTCCTGTTCTAAACATCATGGGAAGAGAACTGTCGTCCTTCACCGACTTTCAGAAGACATTGTCACAGCTCGGCTACAACTCTGGAAGTGTGCTGATCAGGTTGTCCTACCGACAGACAGACAAGACCCTATACGATGCAATGACAGATATTAGCCAGTTCTTCAAAGAGACAGAAGATGAAAACCAGAACGGGGGAGAACCAGTACCCAAGGTCGAGCCTGTACCAACGGAGGAGACAGAGAAACCCGAGGAACAAGCACCCCAAGAGACGGCAGGCTTGCAAGCCACTGATGCTCAGTCAGAACAAGCCCGGGAACAAGGACCAGATCAACCGGAGGAGGAACCCCAGACTGTGGCCGAAGACAAGATGGATATCGATCCTTCAGAATCCAGTGATCCACTAGCACCTGTTAATGTGTTCCTTGCTCCTTCGGGGTCAACGCCCGCAGCGGCCTTGACTCCTGCCAATGAGGCTGATTTTGCTCCTTCAATCGCCCATGCACAGCTTCACCAAGCTCGGTTACTGGAGGATTCAAGGAATAAACGACTACTATCGGATCGGGAACTGGAAGATAAGGCTGCGGCAGAAAATGCCAGAATCAATGCCATCAAGTCTGTCCTTATCAAAGTCCGTTTCCCAGACAATACAAGCAGCGACTGGGAAGTGAGCCCAGACCATACTGGCCGATTTCTTTACGATGCTGTTCGATATGTTATGGCCCATAACAGTCAACCCTTCCATCTTGTCCTTCCTGGAACTAAGATCATGATCAAAGATGATCATAGCCCAAGCAACGGACTGATCAAGGCCTACAAACTGTCCGGACGTACTCTTGTCAACTTGGTTTGGGACGATGCCGTACCATCAACCGTACGGAAGGAACCTTTTCTGAAAGTCAATTTTGCTCAGAAGGGCCAGGAAGTCAAGGTACCTGAGCCCATTGTTTCGAATGAGAAGGAGGAGGAGGTATCTGTTGCTCGACCAGCACAAGCAGAGAGGGGTGAGGGATCGGGGGATAAAAGTGGGAAGAAGATACCCAAATGGTTGAAGCTGGGCAAGAAATAGACAATAACTACGTGGTTGACTGTCTAGGCATAAATGCTCATTGGCGGCGTTGGTTAAGGAGTTTTGCATTTATCTAATCAGCCCATGAAAGCGAGGTTCACAATAGACATGGCATTTTAAAGACTAGGATAACACATCACTGAAAGACAAACACACCGTCACGAGAAGGTGATAAGAACATGGCTTGGTCATTACGCCATAACATTGCTTGAAAGTGTTGGTATTCCGGTGAGCCGCAGCTTAATCCCTGCCGCAAAGCATCAAAGCCGTTAATTTTTTAATCGATCAAATCGTGACCACGCCAATCCATGCGAACCCCATTCGGTGCCAGATTCCCAAAAATCAGATCAAGACGATTTAGTGACCAGTGCGGCGAGACTCAGCGATAACGCGCTGGAGCTCGTCGACCTTGGCCTTGGCACGGCCGAAGGTACCGAGCTGTGAGATGAGTTAGTATGTATATCGTGGAGGTTTCGGTGTTTCGTTCGACGTACTCTCTTCTTGGCGAGCTTACGGGCACGCTTGTCCTTGGAGTTGCGGAGCAACTCAATAACTCGGCGCTCGTAGGGGGCAAGACTGTGAGAGATAGTTGTTAGCAAAAGTTTGACCCTAGTTTCAGAACGGTTCCTCTATGACCAGCAGAATCAAGCATGAGCACCGAGATTATGCAGCACCTTGAATCAAGGCCACAGCACAAATCATTCTCGCCCATCCTTGCCCAACCCGGCTTCCAGATTTCCCCAGAGAATAATGTTGACTTACCCAGCAACCTCCTTGACGACCTCACGGACGAAAGCGGTGCGCTTGCTCAGGTGGCCCTTGGTGCGGGAGACACGGGGCTTGACGACACGGCGGGTGGTTTTCTGTAATATCGGCGACAAATGTCAGCGTCCATCGTCTGCTATAATTGGATGATTTGTCGAAAGCCCTCATCCGTCGCGAAGGCGAAGCAGAGATCCTCCACGAGGTGAGACTGCGACAGGGAGACCAAGACGTACGTGTCCCTTGTTGAGGCCAACGGCCAGACCGGACTTCGCGGGGGTTTCAGCGGCCATTGTTGCTGGATTGGTTAGTCGGATGGGTTGACAAGAGGAATTCCAACTCGAAAATCGAAACAAGAAAAAAGAAGAGGGGATCTTGAAAGTTTTGCGTACTTTGCCAAAAAGCTGTGGGTCACGTGCTGGAGGGTCAAGCGATTTTTTTGTGCGAAGCTAAAGGTTTGCCTGAGGCCATCTGACAGCAACTTATTGAGTCTCTGCATGAGTGGGTCTGAGTGTGAGGCTCAACCGCTTCAAGATAAATGATATGAGTCTTTCAACATGAGAATCGTACAAACATTCGCCAATCTTTGACATAATCATTTGTGTTGTTGTTGTTGTTGAAGGCGGAATGTTACTCGCCGTTTGCTCAAGATTTATTAAACACCGCATCCTTGATGGATTGCGATCAACAACGATGGCTCTATCTGACATCTGAAGCCTTACAGCTCAAAGTCTATAACACCAAGAATTAACTATAATAATGATTTACTGAATCCGAACTCACAATATTAAACCATTTGCATCTGGGTGGTGTGAGAACGGAAGGTCAATTCTTCAACGCATAATATGGAGAGCAAATAATGGTTACAATAAGATCCTTTGCGCATTACGATCGACAACCGAGCCCTTGACAGAGCATCCTACAATCTTGCGTGTGTCAAAACGAAACTTGCAAATGCGCATCGTCATAATTCGATAGGTACCTAGGCCATCGCTTCTCAGCCCAACCGTTTTCTCACGATGAGGTCACGTTTCTATTGTTGTATCACTCGACGAGAAACAGCCTCGCCCGTCTTTCCGCTTTGTTACCAAGAATAACACAACACGCCTGAGCCTTTGAGCCTCCTGTGCAGTAAAAGTAAACATGAGCTGTCCTTGAATCCACAATAATAAACCTCCGACCCAGCAAACATGAAACAAGACCGACGGCCAATCAACTGCACCGCCTAGTTGTCAGATCTTCGCGTCCGATCCTTCAACTCCAATGGTCTCCTCGCAGGTGCAGAATGATCGGCGGGCGGAATAGCATTGCACGACGGGGTTGGACTTGTTCAACAGGCCCGGTTTAATGGGTTATTAGGCCGCGTGTTCGGGAAGACAAGGAGAGAGGTCAGTCATGGTAAAATACTAACTCCTTACTCTGACGTCGTCTTCTCCATATGGCTTGCTTGGTACACTTATAAACTAGTCATGTCTCGATTTGAAAATCTGCTGTTCTGCAACAACGCTCACTACTTCATGAACTGATCCTATCATAAACGCCTATAACCTCCATAACTTTATACCGAATTCCTTATAACATCTCACTTGAATATCACATCTTCACAATGCATCTCGGACTTGTCATTCTATCCGCCCTGCCTACCACCTGGGCCGCCCACGCCTACGCAGTCCCTCAAAGTTTGTCTCTCATGGAGGCCAGCGCCGAAGACAATGGTTGCACACTCCCCGATACCTATCATATTCGCGGCTTCAAGGCAGAGTCCAAGGACAGCGGCAAGACGCTCAGCGGATTCGACTACACTTTCTTCGACGAGGACACCAAGTTGACGACTGCTTGCCACAAGAATGCCTCCTCAAAACCCATTGTGGGATGGGGCACGGATCGTTTTGCGTGTGACAATAACAATGTTGAGTTTATCTGGGACGATGAAACTCACAAGCTCTGGATGATGGAGAAAGTCTGCAGCACGAAGGATGGGTAAGTTCTTGTTATTTCCATGCTATTCGTAACGATATATACTAACCATGACCCAATAGAGCTCCCGCATATGAGGCCAGCGGTAGCGTTCTGCTCCCACTCATGTGTGCTAGAACTGGCAGTTGCTCCAGCAACTCGACAGACCATCGTGCGACTTTCACCAGCCTTCAGCCGCCTAGACAGGCTCCTCCTTCTTAGGGGGGTTCGTCTATGAGATTGGAAGATCTTGTGATGGTGGGTGTTGCACAGGATCGCTAATGATACTCGGTCAGATGTGCTACCTCGTCACTTGTACAAGAGGGAAAGGATTTTAGGCATCGGTTTAGAATTGAAATAGAAGAATAAGTAGGTACCAAAGAGTACCCACCTAATGAATAAATTCTTCCTAGATTCTCCCAAAGGCCCTGTATTGATTTGTTTATTAGTGAATTAAAGTCAATCATTCAGAATGGAAGCCAACCCTCCTGTTACGTACCTACCGTCTGTATGTAGTGGAGGTTAATGTGGCGGGGATCTGCAGAATCCGGGGTAGTACAGGTTCAACAGCCACTCACAGCCCAAAGCTCAGACGACCGCTACTTCTACAGTGGTCATTTGACGGATCAATCAGGTACCACTTGTCATTGTTGCAGTCCCAGCCGCAGTCGCAGTCACAGTATGACCTCAACATTTTACTGCCATCTCCTCACGAGACCTGTCAACCCTGATCTTCACGCCTTCATTTAGTCCTCTAAAGATCCCACCATCATTGCATCCCTCGGAATTGAATCTGCTAAATTCTCAACAAAAAACAACACATCTATATCATGCATAGCTGTCCCTCTTCTTCCACGCGCTACCTCAATCCGGCATACCTCTGAGTCGTGATGAGAAGTTGATCTATACGGCATAAGGCTGAAGACTAAAATCCTTACCCGATAACTCCAGGTACTCCTCTCCACGATTGGCATTGTGTACGAGCCCAATTCGATTCTACGTTTCATGGCTATCAGTATGGCAAAACTCTTAACCCTTCAACTTATTCTCATCACTTCGTGTCTCGCTCTCAACAATTCTCTCTCGCTACTGAAGCACAACAGCCCCGACCCAAGCATACCTACATCAAATGGCGTATCACTATCCTTCTTCGCAACCCTTGAACGTCTGTCACGGCTTGTCGACATTGCCTACTGCATCGGCACCACAGGCGTGAGGAAACCATTCGAGTGTGTATCCCGCTGTAACGACTTCCCCAGTCTGGAACTCATCAACTCATGGAATACGGGTCCTCTCCTCAGTGACAGCTGCGGGTATATCGCTGTGGATCATGGTGTGAGTCAGCGAGGTGGTGGCGACACTTTCAATGCTGTTGAGCCTGCCATTGTGGTCACCTTCCGCGGAACTTACAGCGTCGCCAATACGATTGTCGACTTGAGCACCATCCCACAAGAGTATGTGCCATATCCATCTCCCGACCATGGAGGAGGAGAGCCCTCCGAAGAACCTGAGCATAAATGCACGAACTGCACGGTGCATATGGGCTTTCTCGCATCGTGGAAGATCGCTCGTCACCTCGTTCTCCCACAACTGAGGCAGCTAAGACTACAATATCCTTCCTACCCAGTCCAGCTTGTTGGACACAGCCTTGGAGGCTCAGTTGCATGCCTGGCTGCATTAGAACTCAAAGTTTCTCTAGGGTGGCAGGATGTTATAGTCACCACGTTCGGTGAGCCACGTGTTGGTAATGAAGGGCTCGCCCGCTTCGTAGATGAAGTCTTTCATCTAGATGGGCAAGATAACCTCGAAAAGCGCGAATACAGACGGGTGACCCATAAAGAGGACCCTGTGCCGCTCCTCCCTCTAGGTGAATGGGGCTATAAGTCACACTCAGGCGAAGTGTATATCGCCAAGCAGGAGCTCGCTCCCTCAGAGTCAGATATCTACTTGTGTATCGGCAACAACGATCCAAAATGTATATCTGGGGCAGATGACACATTATGGATGACCATACGCCGTTTGTTCCATGCCAAGGGCTCTTTGACAGCCTCAGACAAGTTGGCAGAGCCGAACGGATTTCCTTCAAGATTCAAGCTCTGGCAACTACTATTCGCGCACCGGGACTATTTTTGGAGACTAGGTCTTTGTGTTCCAGGAGGAGATCCTGCCGATTGGGGCAGAGGGCCATATCAAGGCCCAGAGACCGATGAATTATGAACGCGGTATTAGCTTTTGGGGTAGACTAGAGTTGACTACGGTTCTGATATTACCCAAGATCACGTCCTGAACACATTGTTGTCATTAAGTTTTTGAATTTAGCAGGCAACGGCGTATATAAGCAGCAATATTGAACTTATGCTTAAACTTGAGTTATAATCGATGAAAAAGGGTGGAAAAGCGTGACAACGGCATATTTAAAGCTAGTAAAGTGCATTAGGTGTAATAAACAAAAGCCAACATGTTTTCAAATCATTTGCTGCGTCTTGATGGATGAATCGAATGATATGCTTGTCAAGATTTACAATCATTTCGCAATCATATTACTCGCTGTCAACGGAATACTGAGACAACAAAGAGGCAACTACGGATATAATCATTCCATACTCTTCTTTATTAACCACGAGCGAGGGTTAGATGCCAACTCACATCCCCCCGGCCACTCCCGCAGCGACCATGGGCTAGACCGAACGGAAAGCTCCACCAAATCAAGCTGTACCAGGATCATTCCAAGACCTTGTCAAATGATCACGAAGGGTATTAAGCTAAGTGAGGACCCTGAAGAGGGGATGAATGAACGAATAAATGGTGAGAACCGAAACAGTTGAATCAAGTTACATCATGTGCTTGTGTGGAAAGCAATGATTACTCTAAACTCGGATACGGCTACGAGCGAAGACGAGCAAACCAAGAAAAAACATTTGTCTATCCGTAGCATATACATATAATGGTCATATGAGCCAAAACCGGCTTCCACGGCTCTGGTGGAACCTGGGCTTCGGATGATTGCAGGTTGGGCCGTGGGGTGAAAAAGAGAGAATCGTTGTGTTAGTTGGCAGGGGTTTGAACGAGAGACAAGACACAGCCCAGATTAAAGAATGAAGGGTCCATTTGAAGACAATCTGCTCTGTACGGAGTAGCACCTCGGTTGTCAAGTCAGTTGTGCAGGTTGACAGTTGGAGAGCTTGTTCTCCAAGATTCAAAGTTCTTTGAAACAAGCCAGGATACATCGTCGAACTGGACCTAGACAGTTCCTGCATCCAGGTCCGTGGATTTCTAGTCTAGGATAAAGCGTGGACATGGGAGGGGTTGTAACTTGTAACGTTAAGTGGCATTGTGAGAATCTCCAGTGTCAATCAGAATCAGTCAGTCACCACGCAGGGATTGTCCTGTCGAAAGCGAGATGGGCAGATCTAGAAATTTGATGTATGGTAGTGATGATCTTGACGAGAACAAAGTATGTACGTACAATCAAGACGATATATTGTACGGAGTATGTCTTGTATGAGTCAGCTTGCTTCAAGTTTCAGTGAGAGGGTTGACTCTTGGTTTGACACAGACATCGCAACAGCTGTCTCAGAGTCAGGATCAGGTTTACAAAAACCCAGACTGCTGTGCTGGCTAACAGACAGGCTCATTGGGTTTCAAGACCTCTGTAGGCGCTGGAGACTGGAGTGGGCGGCTAATATAAACAAGACAACCGCAGGAAATGAGTTCATCTCGTCCCAAATCTCTTGTGACTTTTGCCATGTGTCGCGTGCGGATGAGCTTAGCGAATCTCTACGGTAGATTGCCATCAAGTATCAAATGCCTCCCGTATCTCAGACATGATTTTACCTATGGTGAGATGCGCCATGCCGTCTATGACAGGCAAAAATAAATAGCCAGGATAAGAAAAGGGGACCTGCTCAGCCCCAACGAGGCTGACTTGAAAAGCATCCAACCAGTCTAATATAGTGTATTGAATGCTGATGATGCAGAGACAACAAGCATTGTGTGAATTCTGACGAGGGGAAAGCCAACAACGGGCTCTCTGCCTCACTTCTTGTGTTCATATTTCATATTTCATATTTCATGCGTACATAGGCAACAGACATGTGCCTATTACCGCTCCCCCCTGTGAATTAAGTAAAGGGGTCCGTCGTAAACGAACTGGAGGGATTGGCGAGCCAAGGCCAAGGGCCACCTCGACTCTCAAGCAACCAAAGGCTGGGCTGTTTCGTTTGGTGGAAGAGGGGTGAACAGGATGGAAGGCCCTTTGCGGGTGGCTCATCTCTGTCGTCACCTTTTTTGCTTTCTTTCCTTCTTTTTTTTCTTTGTTTAAAAAAAAAAAAAAAACGCTCACGTAGGTTCATTTGCGGCATAGGCCTAGCAACAAATCCAGGCGGGCAGGTTCCCATCAGTTTCTAACACCTAGTGGTTAGAGGCGCACCACCATCAAATTTGATGCCTCACCAAAATCGACTTTGCTGAGTGTGCTGTAATTTAGACGCGGGGGGCAGTTACAGTGCCCATGTTTCCATCTGGACTTTTCAATGGGGGCGTGTTCCGCTTAACGGGGGAAATCTACTGTCTCCCCTTTTTCGCCTCTACTCGCAAGTTAATATCAAGTATCGGTTGTGTTGCGAAGTGGAAGATGTGAGAGCGGTGACTGGGCTTGTGAAGAACTAAATGCAGGCTAACAATTGTCCCTGGGTCTCTCAGCGGGTGTCAATAAGACTAAAGCCCGCCCGGGCCTGGATTGGGTGGCCCTTTAGGCGATACAGCACCCAAAAATCAGGCGAGCATGGCCCCTCCACCCGCTCTCGCTCTCCGGGCTCTCGCTCTGACACTCAAGCCGCCAGCCCCAGGTCCCAGGCCCCAGAGCACATTCAAATTCTACCTACTAGACCTATGCAGTGGATGGATTAGATAGTATGATAGGTACGGAGTAGGTTACCTACGGTTAGTACCTAGTAGGTAAGGTACGTACCCGCCTTATCCGTGAGGCGTCAAATGAGTCCCAGTGATGGCCTGTGCTGGCCAGTGCTCGTTCCAGGCCCCCACCTCCACAGCTCCCTCTCTTTCGACCTTACCTGAGGTTACTGCTGCCTTTCACTCGCCATCCTATCCTCTCTCTCTACTTATCCACCCCCCCAAATCTCAACCTCTAAACATTCTCTTCTCCCTCTATTTTCTCTGTTACGACCGCTTCCTCTTCTCTATCAAAACCAATACCCAAAATCTTCCACAATGGCTACCGAGGTAAGTTTATTTCTCCCTGCTGTGTTTAAATGTTTTCGCATCTTCGAGAGGCGTCATGCGATGCCCTTTTCTCTCTCTCGGTCTTGTCTCCCGCACATGTCCGCACAACCCCTCAGTCGAAGCCCAACATAGACGGCATCAACACCACAAAATTCCTCGTTGATAATTCACGATACATGACCTTCAGGCACTCGTTGATGCACTTCACGATTATCGACGAGTTCTCTCTTTTGCCATACATTCGGTGCTGGTCGCTTCCACTCCCCTGCTCATATCCCCCTCATCCCTATCTCCCCAATCAAGATGGTCTCGATGCTGACTCTTATGGTGTGATAGCGTGAAAGGTTTGTCCTGATGGCTCCCTCCCGCCTCTTTCTCGACGCTATCGGCGCTCAGCCGCTACCTTGGCTTGTCGAGGATCCAAACCCCCATCGGAGGACGCCGTATCGCTGACTTCGTACGTGTTACCTGAATATAGCAAGACCTTCCTGGCCCGCCTCTGCGAGCAGGCCGAGCGCTACGATGAGATGGTCACCTACATGAAGGAGGTGGCTAAGCTGGGCGGAGAGCTCACCGTTGATGAGCGTAACCTCCTCAGCGTTGCCTACAAGAACGTTGTCGGTACCCGACGTGCCTCGTGGCGCATCATCTCCTCGATCGAGCAGAAGGAGGAATCTAAGGGATCCGACAAGCATGTCTCTACCATCAAGGACTACCGCAACAAGATTGAGACCGAGCTCGAGAAGGTCTGCCAGGATGTCCTCGACGTTTTGGACGACTTCCTTATCCCCAACGCCGCCACTGGCGAGTCCAAGGTCTTCTACCACAAGATGTGCGTTTTTATCTTCCCCGCCTCTAGCCTGAGGCCCCTCGGCTCCCACTCTTTTGTGCTCATGCAGCACTACACCCATTTCGCCTCATGCGTGCTTTTTCCTACGGGGGGGAAATCGCAACGCACTTGATTTTTTTTGCATCGAGAAGCTGACCGAGTTTGTCTCAATCCACAGGAAGGGTGATTACCACCGTTACCTCGCCGAGTTTGCCTCAGGTGAGAAGCGCAAGGGTGCTGCTACCGCTGCCCACGATGCTTACAAGGTAAGGCTTGATTGAAGCAAATTCCCCCCACCACAGTCACATGCCGCAAGATCCGGGCCTCTGGTGCCCCTCGCTGACAGTTGTACCCAACCACAGAGCGCCACCGATGTCGCCCAGACTGAGCTTACTCCCACTCACCCCATCCGTCTGGGTCTTGCTCTCAACTTCTCCGTCTTCTACTACGAGATCTTGAACTCCCCCGACCGTGCTTGCCACCTCGCGAAGCAGGCCTTCGACGATGCTATTGCCGAGCTCGACTCCCTCTCTGAGGAGTCTTACCGTGACAGCACCCTCATCATGCAGCTTCTCCGCGACAACCTTACCCTCTGGACCTCTTCCGACAGCGCTGAGGGCGAGGCTGCCGGCTCCGCTGATGCTCCCAAGAAGGAGGAGGGCGAGGCCGCTAAGCCCGCTGAGCCTGCCGCCGAGGCCGCTGAGGAGCCTGCGCCTGCTGCTGCTTCCTAAATGCATCCATAATCCCCCTCGATACCACGTACGTCTCGGCATATAGGAACCGAGATGTATTCTTGCCCCGGTTACACTTGTCTGCCCCCGGACACACGGATAGCTGGGCCTGTCTTGGGCGGGCTGGATGATAGTACGAGGCTTGTTCTTTTTGCGCAGTGCGTTGCTTTTTTCATGGCGATGGAGAGGGAGGAATCATAAGGGTCTGGTTCTGGCAAAGGGATAGTGTACGGTGCGGAATCCTTTCATCTCGTTCGTCCGTCGGACTGAGAAAGAAAATTGACCGCCAACCTCTCATGTTGACGGTTCTTGTTGTTTTCTTTTCTTTTCTACCTGGCAGATAAATCGCAAAGTTTCCCCCCCCCTTTTCACATTGTCCTTGGCTTGTCTTCCATGTCCAACACCTGTGTATCTCTCTCACCCCCCTGTTTTTGTTGGTCATTAAGAAAGTGGATGGAGTATAGCCCGTCTTGATGGATCGCCACGAAGAAGGCTTTCTCATGTTAAACGCTTTCCCCCTTGTCTTACCTTACGTCTTGATGTTTTTTTCTGTTCATGTCTATTGGTTTCGTTTCCAAGCGCACCCTGATGAGAGGCAATGGAGATATGAATTGTTTCCCGTTGTTTCTAAAGACTTCCTCCTCAAAAAAATAACCCCTTTTACATTTATACTTAGAGGTACTGAGAAAAGAGGTGGTTTAAGCTGCCTCCCCCGGGTTTTCCGGCCTGACGCCTCATGCAGGACCTGTCCTGGTGCTGTTTGTTCTCGAATGGCATTTGCCCAATGTCTTACCTGTTGTGTTACCAAATCTTCAGGTCTCGTCTTCTCCTGATGAAGCTCGCGTATTGCAGGATGAACAACGTTCATGGAGTTGGTAAGGTGAAACAGGCATCACATGTCAGTCTCGTACCCAAGATTAGAAAGACCGGTTGCACGTGCGCATATGCTCGCCTGCAGCTGTCTGTCAAAGGACATTGAATTAATGAAGAATAAATGCTATATCATGACACATGTCGACATGACTCCGGGCTGCCTATTAAGAAGTATGGCCAGCCTCGGGCCTTTCGTGAACAAAAGAAAGACACTTTTTATCGTGATGGTTGTTGATGCGTAGATCAACTAGACGGTCACAAATCCCCGTTGCGACGGTTGAGTAACCTTGCTGCTCGAGCCAACCTTTCCTGCTTTTCTCTCAGCCCATTTCCTTCCTCGCTATCCCTCTCCAATATGCCGCCCTCTGCCTCCATTGTGTCGTCAGCTCTGGCCGTCCTGTTCTCGAGCCCACGGTACATAGCCGTACGACCATCAGGGGGTAGTTCAGCAGCGGCGGCAGCCATGTTGGCCGCAGTACGTCTCTTGGGTCCAAATCGCCAACTAAGACGCTTCCACAAGCTTCGTGGTCTGGAGCCTGCCGGTGACGGGGGCGTGGCAAAAGAAGCATCTGGGTCAAAATCTGGGGTCGCTGCGGATGAGGACGAGACAGATGATGAAAGGGATGGGGCCGTTGGGAGGTGCAAGGCAGATGCGACTTCGGTGCGCCAAATATGGATACGTTCTTGCTTTGCCGGCGGCATAAGCGGGTTGTTCCTGATTCGAGGCTCTGTTGTACTGGCCATGGTTGATTATGTTTTTGTTAAAGCATAGAATGCACTGTTGGTATCGCTATTTAACGGAGCAGATTTCTTTGTCGCTCTTTTAAAGAATAAACGATTGGCAATATGAGATTGAATTATCAGTCTGTAAGCCGTATGTATTGTGCTGGTCCAAGTCCAAGTCCAGTCGGAGTCGTGGTTACCGCATTCAATGGTTTGTCGGGGGTGGATATGAGGAATTGCCGAATGAAATCTAAATCTCAATTGCTCACGGGTAGTCTTTGCTTTTGTTGTCAAGTGTGTTCATCCGTTGCTGCCAATGACTCGCGTGGCTCGCAGGATTAAAAGGCTTGTGCGTATTGTTGCTGAAGGTATCTCGATCTCGAGGCAAGACCGGCATGGACTGTTGCAGCGAATCCGCAGCAGGGTATCCAAAAACCAACACAGCAAAAGCAAAAGGGAGTAAATATTCCTGTGGAGAGAAAGAAGAAGGGTGAAAAAAAGGGAGAAATTAGATTCAATGTTAAAAGAGGCAAGGTAAGGTAGGTTCGGCTCGAAAGTGGAAGTGGTTGGAGCTAATGGAACCGCGGACCGGGGACGATCTCTCTAGGCTATGATTTTGGGGGGGGGGGGCGGGTTTTGAGCGCGGGCCAGAGCCAATGGGTCCCAATAAGTAGTACGAAGTAGATGTTGGCTCTATAGTTAACGAACGAGTAATTATAGAGGCTGGCTCTGTTGTCGAGTATTAGGTCAGTATTTGAGGATATTCCGATATGTATAGGAGAGAGTATGTGGTAAATGGATGGCGCCGAGATGGGACAAAAGAAGGAGAGAAGGGGTAGGTAGGCAGGATGGATGGAAAGAGGATGTGACATGCTTGATAAAGTGATCGACGCTGGGCAATGGTTGGTCTAGATCGATCAAAGGCGGGCAGGTCTCGTGCTCACGACAGGGAGCGCGGGAGGTACAGTACAGTAGGTAGGCAGGGCTGGCAGGTAGCCTGAGGTAGGTGCAGCGCAGTATGAACTACCTACTTACCTACTACCTATGAACGGTACTTTCCTTCCCAATGGGTGCATGGATAGCATCCTCTGGATTGGATTGGATGGATGCGATGCAATGCACCTTCCCTACCGACAATGCGCTGCTGATCCAGGTCACTTTCCTCAACTGAAGAGTGGATATCGTTAACTGATATGAACGCCCTGGACCCCCCATTGTAGGTATCTACTGCCCTGTACGGATACCCAGTGGGCGGTAACTAATGCTCTTGTGGGATGGTTAAAGCCGTGTTGGACAAGGCTTATCCCGAAGAAGTAAATATCAAACGACATTGCAAGAGTCAGCAGAGCAAGCAATTCTCAACCCTTATATCCAAATCAGCAGATACAAACCAAGACAATCACCAAAACTCATCACATCACATCACCCTGGAGATCGCATTCGTACACCGGTTGTCAGCCTGTAACTTATGTCTGCATCTGCGGGGATGCCGGTCATGCGACCTGGTGCACAAAATCCCTCGCTTTTACCGTCGCCTCTACAGGGTACCTGAGCAACATGCGGTCTAAATAAATAACACCCCGACTTTTTAAATCGTGGCGGCACCCCAAAATGCAATGCATCACCCGACATCCAACCATCTAAAGATAATAGGGTTAGTTATGTGTCTTGGCGATGGCGATAGCGATCAAATGCTGTCCACCTTGACCTAAGATGCCGCTATCTCCATACCCAAGGCTGGTCGTGACCGACTCGTGGCTACAGAATTTAGTAACGCATGATTCAGTTGCTGGTTCACCTGTCGTGTAACATCTGCTCAGTATATAAACACCACGAGCGAAGTCAGAAACCACCACAGTGTTAATTGGTCAACCTTCAAAGATAATAGCTAAACTGTACTTGTACTTTTAATCCACACCCAGAGCCACAGTAAAGACTCCTAGAGACATACACCAAGTAAGTCATTCAGACTCATCAAAACGCTCCGATAAACCAGGACCCAAACGCCTACGCATCCAAGCATTATGTCTTCCAAGCCACCCAATCATCCTCCCTAAGCTCTTGTGCTCGGCTTCAAAGTATCCCATCCTCCTACATCTTGACCATCACCCAACGAGCCCAGTAGATCTACGGATCCCTGCCGTTGATGCTGATTCTGCGCTTGCTGAGGATGCTGCAATTGCGGCTTCGGCTGCACGGGGGGCGCTGGGCGCCGTGACGGCACTCCACCAGTCATACCGGGCAGCCCGACCGCTCCGGCTGCCCCGTTCTTCCCAGGGTTCGGCGGGCCCACAGGCTTCCGTGTGGCGGCCCCAAGACCTTGTGCGTGAGGACTTCCCGATAGACATCCGGTATTAGCTCTTGACGGTAACGGGGGTCTAAAGTCATCATCAAGGGTTCCCTGGCTCAGTGCTGGGCTCGAATGAGGCGATGTTGTAGCTAAATGTGCTGGTTTCTTTGCGACTGGCGGCGCTGGTTTACCGGCCTTGCCATTTTGTGAGAACTGTGACGTATATGAAGTATATGAAGCTGCTGATGTCGGCCTCAGGGGTGGCGGCAGCGGATGTGTCTGGACTCTGCTAATACTGAAACCGTTGCCTGGTGTCGCCTGTCCCTTTGGCCCAACAGTTGAAGTTCCTCGACGCGGAGGGGGAGGGGGAGGTGGAGTTTCCGCCTGACCCATAGGAGTGTGGTCATCCATAAGATTCATATGCCCGACCTTTGATAGCAATGCGGATGGATCGTAAGGGGGAGGTAGCTTTCGAGGCGGGACACTCGACGTCGATGCCGACGCCGACGCCATGACGTTGGGTAAGTTGACCTTTTCAAACGGTGAACTTGACATGCTGGACAACGATGCCTTTGACGATGATCTTGGGATAGAGATCCAGTCTGGCTCTTCCGTGATACCGAAAGGGTTCGAAGGACGATTCGGGTTGAGTCCAATAGTCTGCCCATTCCTGGGCTTAGGCACAGGTACAGCCGCACGAGCGGGCTGCTTGTTATCGAGCCACCATTTCTGGCGATCAGAGCTCGCAGGAGGCAGCCCGGGCTCGATAGAATCATACCCAATCAGATCTTCATCATCGCTGTCCTCGCCAGTACCAAGATGAGCTGTTGCATCTCCTACGTCGACCTTTCGGCGCTGATACAACTCCTTGCTGATCGATTCCCGCAGTTGCTCATCGACAACACTCACCCGGCACTCAAAGGCTGCGTGAACTGGCCGATGATCAGAAAATCTGAGAGGTGCCGAGTTGTACAACAGTTGCCGGAGGTTAGAACCTTTCCGGAGAATGCGATCGGTCCACGCAGGAATGCGAGCTTTCTCACTGTAAAACAGTTAGCATACTCGATCGTATCTTCGGTATAGAATAGCACGTACGATGTGTCATAGTTGTCAGTTCCAAGGTCAAACTTGTACGTAGGCGGGAATGTGATGCGAGCTTCGGAGTAGAATGGGAACGACAGGCCAGCCACCATCTGGAGATTAAGCTGATCGTTCTCATACAGCGTCTCGAAATCATGCCTCTTTATGAGCGCGCGTGCAGTCTCCGAGTTAAGGCCGATACGGTAGTTGAAATCACCCAGCCAGATAATAGCGTCTACTCATATCAGTATGTGGCCATGAGGGAACAGCAAATTCGGAGTAACTTACCATGGTCATCGATTCCACGATTCCTTTGGAAGCGCAAACCGTGATGGATTGTAGCATAGTCACGGTTACGCTCGTCATAGTTTGAAAAACCGGCAGCCAAATGTGCCGTGACAAAGCATATGTGAGTGTTGGCATAGTCGAAGCGGATCGCAACTGCGCCCTTGTTTCCAGCCATGCCAGACATGCCCGTCTTTTTCACGCTGCCTTCGACGTTCTTAATGTTGGCCAGACTAGGTGTCTTCACAAAGATACATAGTGCTGCACCAACGAGTTGGCCACTTCGAAGCAACACATACCTCTCACCACCCAGTCGCTTCTGTCGTTCGTTGAGGTTGCGCTTCACAGCTTGTTCCCACAGATTCTTTCGCGACGGATCGCTGTTCATGATCTGCTGTGGACTTAGCTCCACGATCTCCTGGAACCCGACCACGTAAATATCTGGCTGAGCTTTGCCCAGAGTTTCTGGAAACAACCAAGGACCGAGATCGTCGTCAGCACCCTCAGTACGGCCGTTGAGATTGAATGTCCCAACCCATATGGTGATGCTATTAAAGGAGGTAAATTCACCACTTCTCTTGGCTAATTCAGTTGACACAAAATCGCTGATAGGGTCAAATAACAGGACTGGTGCCTGCCCGACAAGACGACCTAGAAGCATGTCGATAGTTATTTGGCGAGAGGGGTCGAGAAAGTTGTTGTGGTAGATACGTTGCACAGACTTGCGCACATCGGCAACAGCACCAGCAAGAGACATCTTGCCATGGCGTGTGAAGGACGACTTGAGTGCCCCCGTACCGGCATATGTCTTGGATAACGAATCACCGTTGTCTGCCCAGAGACTGGAATGTCTCATCCAGAAATCAGAGGCAGCAAATTCACCCCTGTGTCCTAGAAAAGCCTCAACCGCCATCTGTGAGATCATCGTCTGGATGAGGTTGGTTCGATCCAGACAATCCAGACAATTGGTTCGGAATACACCCTCTTGCTGAAGCACAACCACCATACGGGCATGTCCGGATCCATCTTGGCCATAAATCGGCTCATTCGACTCCTCTGCTAGAAAGTATGCAAAACCATCGGTAGAGTTCTCGATATAACGGCGAATATCTCGAGCAGCCTCATATCCCGCAGGCCCCTTTGTTTCTGCGTGAAAGTCGTAATTTGTCTCCCGCAAGAGGGCATGGTCCGAAGATCCATTCTGTCCTGCGCGACTTAAAGGGCAGTGTTGGATACCGTTATGGTAAAGTGTGCTAAGCTCGACCTCACCAGGCTTGGTCTCACTAAGAAGGTTGATGACATGGACGGCTCCATACGATTGCTCGAGGTCCTCAAAATGCTTGTTGAAGGCGGGCTGTGTTCCGTCGGGAGACCTGGTAACCGTGATTTTCTGTCGACCTGGAATAAGGTCGGCTGCCTGCTCCCAGAACACAGGTACCGACCCGCGCACTTGAGCGTATGAGAACATTGTTCCTGCTGGGCTCCAGAAAGTTGTTTCCGTCTCGACAAAATTAGCAACATGCCCGTCATCGTCAATACCTCGTGAATTGAAACGAGTTCCAGCCCTGCGACAAGACAGGCGCGATATGAGGGTCATAAACGAGGGCATGCCGGACTTGACATTCTTCAGGGGTGAAGAGCTCAGCGGAATGGTCATTGTCTTACAAAAGCCCCGAATCGCTGAGGTAAGTATCCGTGAAGAATCAAGGGCTGTTCTTTCATGGGGCAAAAGCCGAGAGCGAAACTGGACGAGAGGACTGATCATGAAAGAGTTCCAGAGGAATCCATCGTCAAAATTATCAATCTCGAACGAGTTGGAGTTAATTGGTCTGTAGTTTGTCAGCCCAGTCCAGTTAAGACTCGCATAGCAACACACCTGTCCTGAAGTCGATTCGTAAGATCAAAATCGGTGCTGTAGTAAAATGTTCCATTGCTGAGCAGGTTGCGCAGCTCATGGCACGGGTGCTCAACGGCCACCTCTCTTCGTCCAAGACCCTGTCCATAAGGGGCAGACTGCACTGATGCACTGTCCGAAAACTCCGGATCAAGCGATTCAAGAGGAACGACGTCGTCGTAGTCCGCACTGCTCAAGCAGTAAAAAGCCACTCCACCTATGCGCTCGACAGTCTCCCCAGGCCGCAAGGTGGCAGCTCGTGTTGCATGTGTAATGACAGATAAGAAGACCTCGCTGTTGACTGTGATCAAGCCCAATGTCCCATAGATTGGTCGATGGGTCAGACGACGATAGTCTTGTAGTAGGTGCTTCGACACGGGCGCGAACTCGACCATGCATTTCGATATCAAGGCTTCGCCGGTGTTCCCGCGAGGTCTCGTTGGCGCGGCAAGAGATGTAAGCGACCCGTTCGCGATGGCTTCGCTGGTGGAGGTGGTATATCGGAGAATCAGAGTATGGGAGGATGACACGATGGCAATGGATCGATGAGGATAGTCGCGTATGTAGAGTTCGCATGATTTTTCGGGGGAGGGAGCTTGGGAAGACCAGGTCGCTGAAGAATATTCCATCGTGTAGAGGAGGATAACATGCGCTGGGATAGGACAATTTCAGGGTTCAACGTGTCCGGCGCAACGATGCGATTGTAGAATAATTTAGTGTTTCACTAGACTCATGATCGATTGGCAACACGGAGAAATAGTTGTAAAGACGAGATACTTTCGGGCAGAAGACGTTGGGCTCTGTAGGGTTCAGCTAATGTTTGGAAGAAGCGTCGAGGTTTGGGCATTAGACAAATGTCAGAAGCACTCCATGGATTGGATTGGACGTTATGCAAATGACGTTTCTCAGCTGGGGGTACTACGACGGGATGGAACCCCTGGCTGCTAATAGCAGTGGACGTAGTGGACGAAGCCCCACAAGTAGCGTCCAGCCAGACGCTAATAGTCGAGATTTGAGCCCGGAGCATTTGAGACTCCATAGACAAGTAATTATGAAGGATGGTAGGGAGTAAGAAACTAAGCAGGCAATACGGCATTTATATCTGCTGCCGTGATGTATGTTTTACGAGCCTCTTGCCGAGTTTTGGCAGAGCTTAGATACGGCGGAAAGCATCGTTGCTTCTTTACCACATGTAAGTCTAACATGCGCCCAACGCTACAATCATCTTGTTTTCTATATAAGGGCGAGTTTGCATCGAGAAATAAGGCACAGCCGTGACAAGTAGCCGGGGCTTGAGTGTGCCCAGATTAAACATCGTTCTAATGCGACGCATGTGATTTCTCCATGATCATATCTAAAGATAATAATCATGGGACCGAGTTTGCCGATATTCTGCCTATAATGACTAAAAACAAGGCATAGTGAATCAAGGATCGATAGCCGTTAATTCAGGACAAAAGCTTGAGGCACATCCAGCTAATCGAAGCCCAAGAGTTTCGTCATCAATGACCGAGACTCCGAGCGGATGATATGTATTGTCGAAGAAACAAGTACTTTGGAGTCGCGTAAAAAACAAATAAAGGTTAACAGAGCTTCAGATTCGAATTTGAGATCATGCTCTCTAAAAGAGAGCGTTCATTCTCTTCCTATCATATGATTATGTGAGAATCATCATAAGCCCATTTTAGGATACAGAAAAAAAGAAAGATTCTTTCATCTGCACCCGCTTTGTAGGAAATATCTGCAAGCTCAAACCAGCTGAGTCATCAGACACCGGCAAATTGTTGGACCGGAGCCATAGGTACCTACTACACCTCAAGGCCCATATCAGCTGCGGAGACTTGGCACCCAAGTACAGACCTGCTTGCAGCAAGGCCCTGGTAGCACTAACCCAGGACTATTTCGCGCGTCTTTCCCTAGGCACGTGCAGCAGGAGCTCTTTAGTAACCAGTCCATAAAGTACCTACCGCAGAAAAAAGAGCTTGTCTGCAGCGCGAGCTACCAGCCCCTGCCTTTCGCGACAGACGTGAGCATCAAGCGTCATCTCATCTCCTATCAACAAACTTCTCAGTTTCATAAACACCCGGCAAAATCGAACGACAATAACCTTTCCGCTTGCATATCAATTGAACTTCGCGACACAGGAGAAAAGAAAGACAGGTTATTTCAGCATCATGAGCGACTTCGGCCAGTTTGGCTCCGAGGAGGAGTACGCGACTGTGCGCAAGCACAATGCTGAGGTGGTACGTTTTGCCTTGGTTTAGCTCCTCTTTACACTTGGATGTAGTCACTAACATGTTCGCGAACTAACAGGAGTCCGATCCCGATAACTTCGAGCACTGGGAGAACCTCATCAAGGCTTGTGAGACATTGGAGGGTGGCTTGAATCGTAACTCGAGCCCCCAAGCTCTTGCGACCTTCCGCGATGCCTACGATAGATTCCTCATCAAGTTTCCTCTTCTCTTCGGATACTGGAAGAAATATGCCGACATGGAGTTCAATATCGCCGGCCCCGAGTCTGCCGAGATGGTGAGTTGACCTGCAAAGTCACCTGCGACATGGCTGATACCATATATAGGTCTATGAAAGAGGATGCGCAAGCATCACCAATTCTGTCGACTTGTGGACGGACTACTGCTCCTTCAAGATGGAGACGACCCATGACCCACACCTCGTCAGAGAGTAAGTTCCATTTGGATGGTTTCCTTCCCCTTCCCTTAACATGCTTTTCGGCGCAGTATCCCGCTTGACCTGAGTGGTCTCGGTCGACGTATCCGCGAAGGCTCTACACTTCACTATCAAGGTGTCTGATGGTGAGATATGCCTGCGATAGCCCCTTAATCCGGGATGCTCTCTCACGCTCGCTGCCAGGCTCTGTTGCTATTCCATCCGTGCTTGTTCTCAACTCCAAAGCCGTCCCTGCGTTACACACGTCACCCGCTCGGTAGAACATGGTCTCGGTTTTGCTACTCACTCGCACAACCATCTTCCCCTGTGTATTAATCCTCTCCGCCCCCTTCCCTGAGTTATCCCTTCCACAGTGAGTACTCTTACTAACATTTTCCTCTAGACTCTTTGAGCGAGGATCAACCTTTGTCGGTCTTGATTTCCTAGCCCATCCTTTCTGGGACAAGTACATAGAGTACGAAGAACGCCAGGAGGCACAGGACAAGATCTACGCTATCCATGCACGTATCATTCGCATACCGATGCACCAGTATGCACGATACTATGAGAGATTCCGATCGCTATCACATAACCAACCCATTACCGAGGTGGTGCCTGCCGAGGACCTTGCGCGTTTCCGAGCTGAGGTCGAGGCCGAAAACATAGCATACGGCGGCGCTCCCAAACCTGAGCTGGAGATTGAACGCGATGTTCGCGCCAAGATTGACGCCATGTACTACGAAATCTTCACAGCCACACAAACTGAGGTATCGAAACGATGGACATACGAGTCAGAGATTAAGCGTCCCTACTTTCACGTCACCGCTTTAGAGCACAAGGACCTAGTCAACTGGCGCAAGTATCTGGATTTTGAGGAATCCGAAGGAGACTTTGCACGAATCGTTGCGTTGTATGAACGATGTGTTGTCACGTGCGCTTACTACGATGATGTCTGGTTCCGATACGCTCGATGGATGTCTGGTCAGGAGGGAAAGGAGGAAGAAGTTCGCAACATTTACATGCGCGCGGCGACGATGTTTGTGCCCGTCAGTCGACCAGGCATTAGACTGCAGTGGGCCTATTTTGAGGAGAGCACTGGGCGGGTGGACGTTACCCTTGCCATTCACGAGGCAATTCTTCTGAGACTGCCTGACTGCATTGAGGTCATCGTGTCGTGGGCCAACGTTCAGCGACGACAGAACGGAATCGACGCTGCGATCCAGGTATACAAGGATCAAATTGATGGCCCCACAGCAGATGTTTACACTAAAGCTGCTTTGGTCGCAGAGTGGGCTATCTTGCTATGGAAGGTCAAGGGTTCTGTTGATGAGGCGCGCGAGGTGTTCACCGAACATGTTCAGTGGTATGCCGACAGCAGATTGTTTTGGGATCGATGGTTTCAGTTTGAGCTGGAGCAGCCTACAAGCGCCGAGTCCGAGGCTCAACACGGTGAGCGAATGAAGAATGTGTTCGACGAGCTTCGAGAACGAAGTCGACTATCTGCATCGGCCAAGAAAGATCTGGTTCAGGTATATCTCAACTACCTGGTTCAGAGAGGTGACAAGGACGCCATGAAGGTGTTCTTGCAAGTCGACAGAGAAGTCTTTGGGTAAGATACCATGTTCCGTTGTGCCAACCACTGTTAACTCTTCATAGGCCATCATCGGTAGCAAAACTGTCCACGGGGCTTGGTGCCAAAGAGAATGGGGCTGCAAGAGGAGAATTGGACGAGGCCAACAAGCAACGGGCCGAAGCTCAGTACCTTCATTTTTACGAGATCCACGGGGAGCCAGACCCCGACGCGCAAGGCAACGCAGATTTTAACTAGATGTACCGAACAGGGGTTCGAAGCGAAAAGTGTGGAAGGCGCCGAAACTGAGGAGGATTTAATCACGTATGGGTGGGTTCGAGGTGTACTATAAACGAGACAGTGCCCCTGCATATAGCAGATGTGGCTTGGATGGTATCTGAGGATTCGGCAGCATATTTGCTGAATTTCAAATGATTGGACGTGGCTTCTGATAGGCAGAGAACAAGCATTGGCAGACGATGAAAGGCAGTAGATGAAATATATATTCAAGATTAAGCACAAAACAGTCGACAAGTGGGATATCTTGGATCCCTTGGAGTGCACCAAAAAGCACCTACATTAATCTGAAGGAAGCAGTCGACATTGCTGTCTTAGCTCAACTAACAAAATGCCCCCATCGGGGCATTGTCGGAATGTCTTTTACGGAGCTCGGCACGTTCAAGTCGGATCGAATCTGGTGAAAATCTGGGGAAGAACATGCCACATGGATTCTCTTCGCTTGGGATCGAAGAACCAAGAGCAAAGCGAGCATGTCAAAGAATCCATAATTCAATGGTGTTACGATGCCTTATTCTAATGCATATGTTACACAATTCGAACTGGGGTATAATTTGCTGATATGACGACAGATCACATCACATGCGACGAAGTACGTAGTACGCGATTTGGAATCTTTGGGCAAGACAAAGTCCAAGTGCAGACCCCTGTTGTCGAGAAAAGATTCCATGTATACCCACCCGGACTGTGTTCCCCAGGCACTGGACTGGGAGGACTTCTTATTCTGAATAGAAGCTAGGTTTTCATCAACAAGCGAGTCAAGTTTGAGGAATAAAGTTTTTCTTCAATTCTGGAGGATGGTAAATCTGTCCAAAAATTGTACAATGAACGGATGACTTTGATGGAAAACACCTGTCGGTTCGGTTGACATGCCGTGCCCTCCCGCTTCGGAGGGATGACTGATGATGGATGGCTGTAGAGGGTTACCTTCAGGGTCCTGGTGCATCAGAATTTTCTCCAATTGCGACTAGTTGAACTCCCAGAGTTATGGTTGGTCGCCTCGTGGTTCGCAGCCGAAAGTGTCTCCCTTTTGGGTCTGACACATGGCAACCGTTTTGACGACTCTTCTTGAGCCTCTTGCTAGTGATGCTAATCACAAGCGGGCATAATCTTAGCGATGCTTCAACCAACGACCCCTGCTCTTCCTCTCAAAGGCCTCAATATCGACGGCCTCTCAGAGGCAAGCAAATCTTCATTACCAAGAATCCCCACCGACTCCACCCGATCCATTAGGGCGTCATCCCCCGCCGGGCTTTCGATAATACTGGGGCTGAGATATAACATTGGCCAATCGTTATGGTTCAATTTCGAGACATCGCGCCGGTTCATGAAGCCGGTTCAGCTCCGAGGCCGCTGTGCCTGGACGTGGGGAAGCGATGTTTGGAATCACTAACAGTAGGAAGTCAAGGGTCCATAGATGAGTTCGTTATCGTGGTCAGTGAGTATCTAGGAACTATGTTGCGAAACGTACGAAAGGGTTGACAGTTGAAGGTTAATAATCTTATGATGGATATAGAAGATATTTGGACTGACAGGCGATCAATGGAAGCTGCTTTCCCTGTTCTGTTGCCTTCCATGAATCGCGTTTCGGCGAGAATTAATCAGTCGGAGTTGGGCAAGCACTGACAAGCATTGACTGACACGGCAGGTCCCCCGTCTTGCTCTCGGCTTCCCGCCACTTGAACCGACGCTCTCCAGGTACTTATTAGGTGAGTGTACCTTCTCGTCTCAAACCGTCTTCCTCCTTTCTTTCTTTCCCTTCATATCATTTGTTTTCTTTCTGCAAAGTTATACATCGAAACCTCTCAGTGTCTCGCACTCTTTCACACACAAGGTACGTTCAATATCACCTCCTCCCGAAACAAGCTCCCTGCCACCCAACATCTAGACGACAAACAGCCCCGTGCTTTTCGCATCTGTCTTTCCACCCCGTCAATCTTCTCACTAAGCATTGTGTATTGATATTTGCGCCTCACAGATGGCTTCCGCTACCCGACAGTTTGCCCGTGTGGCTACTCGTGCTACTCGCAATAGCTTTGCTATTGCTCCTCGACAAATTGCCCGCCAGCAAGGTCGTCGCTACTACTCCTCCGAACCCGCCCAGAAGTCTTCTTCCACCTGGGTCTGGTTGACCGGTGCTGCAGTTGCTGGTGGTGCTGGCTACTACTTCTACGCCAATGGTGCCTCTGTCACCCCCAAGGTCTTCAACCCCACCAAGGAGGATTACCAGAAGGTTTACAACGAGATCGCTGCCCGCTTGGAGGAAAAGGATGACTACGACGACGGCAGCTATGGCCCCGTTCTCCTCCGACTTGCCTGGCACGCCAGCGGTACATACGATAAGGAGACTGGCACTGGTGGCAGCAACGGCGCTACTATGCGATTTGCTCCCGAGGCTGACCACGGCGCCAACGCCGGCTTGGCTGCGGCTCGTAAGTTCCTTGACCCTGTGAAGGAGAAGTACCCTTGGATTACCTACTCTGATCTCTGGATCCTCGGCGGTGTTTGCGCTATCCAGGAGATGCTGGGTCCTGTTATTCCTTACCGGCCTGGCCGCTCCGACCGCGATGTTTCTGGCTGCACACCCGATGGCCGTCTTCCCGACGCCTCCAAGCGATCTGACCATCTCCGAGGCATCTTCGGTCGCATGGGTTTCAACGATCAGGAAATTGTTGCCCTATCCGGTGCCCATGCCCTCGGCCGCTGCCACACCGATCGATCCGGCTTCGACGGCCCCTGGACCTTCTCTCCTACCGTCCTGACCAACGACTACTTCCGTCTTCTCATCGAAGAGAAGTGGCAGTGGAAGAAGTGGAACGGCCCTGCCCAGTACGAGGACAAGTCTACCAAGTCCCTCATGATGCTCCCAAGTGACATTGCTCTCATCGAGGACAAGAAGTTGAAGCCCTGGGTTGAGAAGTATGCCAAGGATAACGACGCCTTCTTTAAGGACTTCTCCAACGTTGTCCTCCGACTATTCGAGCTCGGTGTTCCCTTCCCTCAAGGTACCGAGAACCAGCGATGGACCTTCAAGCCCACAAACGCGGAATAAGTAACCAGAAGCAGGGGAATGACCGGAGATGTGCGTTGTGGAATTTTTACGGGAACTGAATTTGGTCGTCATATCAGTTGATGACTTGAAGAGCGATATCCGGAGTTTTTTGGTTGTGATCATGAAGTGCTGGCTTAGATTGCAGCCTGGCTATAGACCATGTGATGGAATTTGACAGCATAGATTAAGCATGTTGATAGATTAGATGTCTGCCTAGTATATGGGAAAGACGAATAGAAAATTTATCAACGTTGAAGTCGTGTCATTGTGATAGACTGAAGCCTTGTGTGATTCAGAGCCACGGCACGGCCCGCGGGCTGTGGCCATGACGGTTCATGACAGCAGCTCACGTAAGTGTCTGAAGATGATTGGGTTTGTTCCTGCATCTGCCACACCAAACCTTTGACTTTGTCTAAGCTGCAAGTACTAAAACCACTATATTTGTATTTGTTTGTATGAAATATGTGTACCTAACATATATGTCATGCCAACTTTAAAACTTACTAATCGTCCATCTCGGTTCTGAGAGGAAAATGTCCCAATAGCGATTCGTTGGCTGGTATCATGAGTGAGTCTTGTTGTCCTGATAAGGAACACCGGGCAAGGTTTTCTGAGTGACTATTGGCTGAGACAAAGATGGTTGCATCTTAACAGTATGACATGAGGCTTTTAGGCGTACAGCAAATGAATGGGTTGACTAAGATAAAATATGTCGACTACTGGTAACAGAATTGGGCATGCTTAGATATCAAGTCGAACCAAATTGGAGTTGATTCTGCAACTAGCAGCTTGTTTGCCTCCGAACGTACAGGCCTGTATGACTACTAAGGTACTCAGGTTTACACAACACCACCATAACGTTATGGACACCAGCATTCAAGAGGGGGCACGGCGTGGCAGCGTTGGATTATTCAGCTTTATGTACACATCGGAGAGCAGAACCCGAGCAGGAAACACGGCGGGGCACTAGAAGCGAATGTTCGAATTAATAATAAGCATTCGTGCAATAGTGGCCATTCGGAGAAGTGGTAGTATTCGCACATCATTTTTTGCTTCGTTTAGCAATTTAGATCCCGAATCTAAGTCTGCAATGATTCAAGATCAAATCAAAGATCGCTCTTGGCACTCGGTGTAGTTTGTATAAATATATCCCTCGCCTTTGTCCCCAAAACTCGTGCAATATACTCAAACTTAAGACCTTTTCTTTTCTGCAACTATTCCCACCTCGCGAATACGGCTAGCCTAGTTGAACTGCATACCCGAATTGCAAGGAACATACTCTGTACATACGTTTCTATTCCGATTTTAGTATAAATACTTGCAGTTCACACACCTTGTTCAACCATCGCAACACATAAAAATATCTCAAGATCGTCAGAAAGAAATCATGGGTATCGATATCGAGAACAAGGCCGCCTCCGGCGTTCCTTACTTCACGCCGGCTCAAGAGCCTCCGGCCGGAACCCCGCTCAAGGCCGAGTCGGCGCCAACTCTCTTCAAGCCCCTCCGCACTCGTGGTGTTGAGCTCCAGAACCGCTTTGTTGTTTCTCCTATGTGTACATACTCTGCCAAAGATGGTCACTTGACAGATTTCCATCTTGTTCACCTCGGCCAGTTTGCCCTTCAGGGTGCTGGTCTTGTCTTTGTTGAGGCGACGGCCGTCGAGCCCCGTGGCCGTATCAGTCCAGAGGACTCCGGGCTCTGGGAGGACAGCCAGATTGTGCCTCTGAAGCGCATCACGGATTTCATTCATAGCCAAAACACCAAAGCTGCCATACAGCTTGCACATGTATGATCACCTTCACCAACAAAAACGAGTTATGATATTGGCAAACTAATAAATAATACAGGCTGGCAGAAAAGCGAGCACAGTTGCGCCTTGGATTGGTGGTTCCGTTAACAAGGCACTCGCCACTAAGGAAGTCGGAGGCTGGCCTGATGATATTGTTGCGCCCAGTGCCATCCCTTTTGCTGACGACTTTGGAACACCACATGAGTTGACCACTGAAGAGATCAAGAGCCTTGTGCAGAAATGGCAGGATTCTGCCGTACGAGCTGTGAAGGCTGGATTCGATGTGATAGAGATCCATGCTGCTCATGGCTACCTTCTGCACCAGTTCCTTTCACCTCTCAGCAATGTAAGCGGTCCCAGAATACTGAATCGAGACTTGAATGACTGATATGCTTTACAGAAACGAATAGACCAATATGGAGGCAGTTTCGAGAACCGCACTCGCCTTCTTTTTGAAATCACTGAAGCCATTCGTGCTGTTGTTCCCAATGAGTTACCTATCTGGGTACGAGTCTCTGCTACTGAATGGATGGAGTGGAACAACGAGCCTTCCTGGGACCTCGAAAGCAGTATTCGTCTCGCCAAGCAACTCCCCGCAGCAGGAGTTGACGTTCTCGACATCAGCAGCGGTGGTAACCTGAAGGCACAGAAGATCACGATTCATCAGACTGTTCAGACTGACTTGGCAGGCAAAATCCGCGAGGCTGTGCGTGAGGATGGCCAGGAGCTTCGGATTGCAACAGTGGGATACATCACGGATGGCAATTTTGCTCGGTCCCTTGTGCAGGAGAATGAAGATCCCAAGGCTGATATTGTGCTTGCCGCGAGACAGTTCCTCAGGGAGCCAGACTTTGTACTCAGCGCGGCATACCAGCTGGACGTTGATGTGAAGTGGCCCATTCAGTATCATCGAGCACCACCAAAGCTCCGAACACCCCATAACAAATGAGTGGATGTTTGAAACCAAGATAAACTAGGGTGTTGTGAAGTATAGATGGCAGTTGAAACAGACATGATTACGACCAACCCTTCCTATATCGTAGTTGGCTATTCCCCCCCTGAGAATGAGTCTTCTAGCAGCCAAGCTGTTGTAATACGTAGAAACATCCTCCTGCAAGCCTATATAGACACGTCGTTGAGTGAGAGTGAGAGTTGAAAAGTGGGAGGTGGGGCCGTGAAATGAATACGTGGGGCCGATGAGCTGAGTAAAGCGGGATGGTTTCGCCTCATTTCTCAGAAGCGAAAATGATTATGTATGTATCGATTGATCAAAGAGTATTGCCAATAAATATTGCCCTGCAGAAAGAGGCGCGGATATGCAATTAAATCATCAATATCATCAATATCATCAATTCGACTGCTATAGAACTGTAATAGTAGTGTCATGGTTCCAGAGGCAATGGCATGAAGTGTCAAGCCCAAATATAGAACTCTAGAGCCTCATGACTGGCATTAGCCGGAAGCCGGAAGCAGGAAGAAACCCATAGCTTTTGTCACACGCGATACAGAGGACAAAACTAGGATTAATAATTCAAAATCATATCAATAAGCAGGACAGCGGCAAGACAGGTAAACTAGTGGTTCCTCCCTTATGTTAGTTTGTTTAACCTTGACGAGGCTGGGCTGTGCAGTACACTCAGGGCATGCACAGTACCTCTAGGTTAGTACCTAAGCAGTGGCAGCTTGTCAAAGAGACGTGGCCTTTCTGGCCTGAGACTGGCGTATTGCCACATCAACCTTGAACCTCCAAATGACAATCCATGGGAACTTTACGATATGAAAAACGCCTCACGTCTTTCGGAGCATCGAACCCCGTCTTTGGTGAGGCTCAATTGGGCAAGTATTCTTGCACTTCCCTAATTCGTCATTATCATGGTTTCAAGGGAATGTGAGGAGTTAAGAGCCAAACATTATAATCAAAGAACAAGAGGTATTGGCCCCAGTCATAAAATGATTAGAGGATCTTACCGCCAAATCCTCAATGTCATCAATTTACGTTTCGCATGATCCTTTGATTTACAAGACTTGTATGGAGTATCACCTTCTTAATCAACATGCCTCGGACTACTCTCTTCGCTTTGGCAGAGCCCGCTGACGATCGAGGGCCCCAAGGTCCCTACAGCGGGCTGAGGGGCTCTGGCGCATCCTGTAGGGCAGCGTCGTCCAATGAGAAGCAGCCCCAGACCATCCCTCTGCCCTAAAGAAGCTTAGAGCCCGGTAGGGAAGCCCGCTAGTCTGTCCGCTGCTTTGGAGGGGCCGGCCCTGCCACTGCTCTGGGCTGCAGGAGAGTGCGTGAATGTCGTTGGTCCAGTGCAGGCGGCGGTATGGACAGGCTCTTGATCAACACTCACAAAAAAAAAAAGCCCGTCCAAGAACTGCCACCAAACAAAAGGGACACTTGTTCAATTGAAAGATGGACCCCCCGGACAGTCCCTCCACCTTAGCCCGCAATCCACTGCGGAAGTAGTCTCCGAGTGGGGGTGCGCCAGCCTCTCTCTCTCACTGAGACCAACGTACAATACCGCACCGCCGCACCGTATTGCGCGGGCTGTTGCACCACAGTACTGTACATGTGGATTGGATGTTACCTGTCCTTAAGCTCCAACTACAAAACTCACGTCCATCGTCCCTCCACTCCAAACCTCCATTCTTCATCTTCCTCCTCTTATCTTGTCCTAGCGAAGCCCTCTCTTTGTGTTTTCAGGATACCCCCCCAAATTCAACAGATAGCCCATCATGCAGCACAAGAAGATCGCTTCCAGCTTCATGGCTGCTCTGGCTGCCTATGCCTCTGCTGCCGACTCAGATGTTACCCAGCTGACCAAGGACACCTTTGACCAGTTCGTCAAGGACAACAACCTCGTCCTTGCTGAGTGTAAGTCTTGATTGACACTCTGCCCAGCTCCCATCCCCGCCAGTTGCTAACGAATCCCTTCTACAGTCTTCGCTCCCTGGTGCGGCCACTGCAAGGCTCTGGCTCCCGAGTACGAGGAGGCTGCTACTACCCTCAAGGAGAAGAACATCAGACTCGCCAAGATCGACTGTACTGAGGAGGCCGACCTCTGCAAGGACCATGGCGTTGAGGGTTACCCCACCCTCAAGGTCTTCCGTGGCCTAGAGAACGTCACTCCATACTCCGGCCAGCGCAAGGCTGCTGGGTAAGTCGACACTTGTCATGATCGGCCAAGATAACAGCTAAATCAACCCTCTAGTATCACATCCTACATGGTTAAGCAGTCCCTCCCCGCTGTTTCCATCCTCACAAAGGACACCCTCGAGGAGTTCAAGACCGCCGACAAGGTTGTCGTCGTTGCCTACCTCAACGCCGACGACAAGAGCTCTAACGAGACCTTCTCCAAGCTTGCTGAGGGTCTTCGTGACACATACCTCTTCGGTGGCGTCAACGACGCTGCTGTTGCCGAGGCTGAGGGCGTTAAGGCCCCTGCCCTGGTTGTCTACAAGACCTTCGATGAGGGCAAGAACACCTTCACCGAGAAGTTCGAGGAGGAGGCCATTTCCTCTTTCATTACCACCGCCGCCACCCCTCTCATTGGCGAGGTCGGTCCTGAGACCTACGCCGGCTACATGTCCGCTGGTATCCCTCTCGCCTACATATTCGCCGAGACCCCCGAGGAGCGCAAGGAGCTTGGTGATGCCCTCAAGCCCATCGCTGAGAAGTTCAAGGGCAAGATCAACTTCGCCACCATTGACGCCAAGTCTTTCGGTGCCCACGCTGGTAACCTGAACCTCAAGACCGACAAGTTCCCCTCTTTCGCCATCCAGGAGGTTGTCAAGAACCAGAAGTTCCCCTTCGACCAAGAGAAGGAGATCACCCACGACAGCATCGCCAAGTTCGTTGAGGAGTTCAGCGCTGGCAAGATCGAGCCCAGCATCAAGTCTGAGCCCATCCCCGAGACCCAGGAGGGCCCCGTCACTGTCGTCGTCGCCAAGAACTACAACGATGTCGTCCTCGATGACACCAAGGATGTTCTGGTTGAGTTCTACGCTCCTTGGTGCGGTCACTGCAAGGCTCTTGCCCCCAAGTACGACGACCTCGCTTCTCAGTACGCTGCCTCCGAGTTCAAGGATAAGGTTGTCATCGCCAAGGTTGATGCCACTCAGAACGACGTCCCCGACGAGATCCAGGGTTTCCCTACCATCAAGCTCTTCCCTGCTGGCGGAAAGGATGCCCCCATCACTTACCAGGGTTCTCGCACCGTCGAGGACCTTGCCAACTTCATCAAGGAGAACGGCAAGTACCAGGCTGAGATCTCCATCAAGGAGGAGGGCACTGAGGAGGCCGCCCCTGCTGCTAGCGAGGAGAAGCGAGAGGAGGCCAAGGAGGCTAAGGAGGCCAAGGAGGAGGACGTCCACGATGAGTTGTAAAGATTTGATGTCATATTAGTTAACAAAACGGGGTATATCTGATTTTACGGGCGCGGGTATTGATGGTGCTCAAATTTGAATGCACCTCTTAGGTTTTCTAGTTTCCTAGGTAATGGAAATTTCACGACTTGATTACTTACTATTCTGAAGTCTTCACATGAGCCAAGCCGTGATTCGATAAGTCCCTTCGTATGCCGACTGCAGTGATATTTGTAACATGGCTGTAGGTGGGCTCGTAACATAGTCCATGATGATACGAATCTCCCCAATCGCTTCAGATGAAATTCCATAGCCCATATACTGATAGGAAACGTAATGAGAGATATCTTGATTCCACCATTTCCGTCTGGCAAGCTATGATAGCCCCATTCTGCTTTGCAATTCGAACTATTTTACACGCTTTTCCCAACTCTTGTCATCTATTTCTTGCCCTGACTTCTGGACTCGAGAGCCTGGACGTGGTTGCTGAGGCGGGTGATGGAGGCCTGGAGAGTCTACAACATAGCTGTTAGCATTTGAAAAAGCTCAAGAACGGGAGATTAATCAAGCAAGCAAGGCCTTTGCTTATCAATTCACTCATCATTTTGGCTACGTACGTAGATGTCCTCGGTCAACAGGTCGTTGGCAGTCTTGTACTCCTTGAGGAGATAGCTGTAGGCGGCGCTACCGGAGAGGAAGCTGCCGAGAAGGAAGCCGAAGAGTCTGGTCGCAAGGTTAGAAAATGCGAGTATCCCCTGAATTTGTACCTGAGCCATCACTCACCCTCCACGGAAAGCTCCCAAGGGTTTTCGGGCAGGAAGAGGCGTGGCATCGGCCATTCGTCGAGCAGAGGTGCTAAAGGTTCGTGTAGCGAGCGCGCGGCTGCTGGCGGAGAGGATTCTTGAGGCCGGAGACATTGCTGCGATTATGGGTTCGGAGGCGCACGTGAGTGGGAGTTGTGCGAGTGCGGTGTTTGGATACTGGACGTGATGGCGACAGCGATAGCGATGAGCGTCAGAGGCACGGCAGAGCTACGGTAGGTCCAGTCCTTTCGGAGCCGGGTGGTCGGAATATTCTGAGCTGGGCAAGGTTGCTGCTGTACTGAGCTTTTCTGGCTCGTGATTGGCTACGTCATGTCACCAACGGCTCTGTGGTGGATCTTGGCGATCTTAACGAACCAAGGCCCACTCGCTCTTTGTCATGTCCTCTCTCTTCTACTATTCCTCATGATAGCTAATCATACGCGAAAATGAACAACTTCGGGGTCATCGAGCTCGCCAGCGCAAAGACAACCTCAGCGCCAGGCTGGGCTTACGTCCCCGACAACACCATCAGTCGCTCGACAGCTCCAGCCAACAGGAAGCGCGCCAGAAATGTCCCAGGTCTTACGTACAGCGACCTGACAGCTCGACAAGACAACAAGATTCGAAAGGAAGTTGAGGCTTTGGACAAGGATGGCGGAAAGGATAACACGATACCATTGCCCGTTAAGAGTGGAAGAGGTATGTACAGAGAAACAATCTGTTCGTGTGGTTCAAGACTAACTTCTGGTAGCGCAAGGGAAACATGCACCCAATGTTCGCAAGATTTTACAATCGCAGAAGACATTTGCAAATCATCTAGACGATTTCCTCGCGATGCAAGCACTTGCAGAGTCCAACCCTGCGCTCTCCCGATCCAACACATCCGGCGCAAATAACAAACGGTCGTCCAACAATCGAAAAGACACCCCCTCGAACTCCAAACCACCTCAAGACGAAGACACAGCGATGGCAGACGTCGACCTTCCGCCAGTTTTGCCCGAATCATCCGGACCTTCACAACCCAGTCGTCCTGGTGATGACGACCTCTTGCTCGTGTCCCGCATCCCCGAAATACCGTCCGATCAGGAGCTGCGCAAGCTTCTTGCGCATCCTCCTCTCAGCTACGGCGATGCCACAGGCAATTGGGATACCAAGTATCCCGTCAGATCGTTCTGCGAGGTCTGTGGGTACTGGGGCCGTGTGAGATGTATGAAGTGCGGAACTCGGGTCTGCGCACTAGATTGCCTGGAGGCACATAAAGAAGAATGTGTCACGCGCTATGGGCTGTAAGAGCCTGTAGTTCCCATGTTGTGGTATGCATTGATAGTACGGTACGGCAAGGCGTTATGGATTGATGGGCTGGAAAATGACCTGATACCCCTGATTTTACCTAGGACAATACTTTTTTTTATGAGTCAAACTCTCGATATCGGAGCAAGGATGTATTTTGTTTGCTTGTGACCATGTATTGAGTTATGTGATGTATGACTTGCTGGGCCTCATTCAAAAGGCTTATGCATTGTTGAAGTATCCAACCGGGGACAACCCGCAGACAAGAGTGGAACTCTCCCAGGCATGGCACAAACAAGACTACAATTGAGAGTGAGGCAATTCAGAATCATTTATACGAATATAACGGTCAGAACATATCTCACCTACGGTGTTGAGTCAAAACTGTAATGCTCAACTTACACTTAATGTAGGTACTAAGGTATCCGTAAGGCGGACTTGCCGGGTCCCCTGCCAAAAATCGTTCAGTGACTCAAGTTTAACCCCACCTTCGTGTGTTTAATGCCCCTTGTGCCCCGCCATCAAGACCACTTTGACGACCGCACCTCAACTTCTTCCACTAAATCTTCAACACCAGCGCGAGAGTTCTCAATATGTCGTCCGATCAAGCTGATGCCGCCAAGGCGGTCGAGGGCGCCGCTGAGAAGAGCCTGCCTTCTCGCCCTGCCAAGCAACCTAAGGAGAAGCAACCCAAGGATAAGTCTGCCAAGGGTGGAAAGTCTGCTGGACTCGAGGTTTGTGCCCCTCCCTTGATCGCGATACCACCAGTTCATTGTACGGCATCATGAAACGGTTCCGAAAGTACTAACCCGAAGTTATAGCTACCTGACACACCCGAATTCATCCAGCACCGACTCGATCTCTTCGACAAGATCAAGGCCCGACAGGATGCCGAGATCGCTGGTGCGTGATGCTGCCCCGCGCTTGACTCCCTCGACACGTCCCGACTCGACTAACAAGACAAACAGCGAAACCCCGCGAGGAAATCACCATTTCGCTCCCCAATGGCAAGGAGGAGAAGGGTACTTCATGGGAGACCACCCCCGGCGCTATCGCCAAGGGCATTTCCAAGTCCCTTTTCGAGCGTACCGTCATCTCCAGAGTCGATGGCGAGTTGTGGGATCTGACCCGACCTCTCGAAAAGAGCTGCAAGCTCGAGCTCCTCGACTTCGACCACACCGAAGGAAAGAAGGTTTTCTGGCACTCGTCTGCCCATATTCTCGGCGAGGCCGCTGAGCGACGCTTTGGATGCTATCTCTGCAACGGTCCCCCTACCGAGGACCCCCCTGGTTTTTACTACGATATGGCCAACATGGGAGAGTGCGTAACATATACCTGCCGGGTCGCCGTGTCTGCATGCTAATGAATCTGCAGGCAAGTTATTGCTGACGAGGACAAGAAGGCTCTTGAGCAGCTCTCTAATGGCATTATCAAGCAGAAGCAGCCTTTCGAGCGTTTGGAGATGACCAAGGATGAGCTCCTCGAGATGTTCAAGTACAGCAAGTACAAGGAGTATTTCATTCAACAGCGAGTCCCTGATGGCACCAAGAGTACTGTTTACCGATGCGGCCCCCTTATCGATTTGTGCCGAGGACCTCACGTCCCTACCACCGGTAACATCAAGGCCTTTTCCGTCCTCAGAGTATGTAACTAGAGATATGCGGTCGTCTGGACCTTGCAAATTTGGTCGGTACTAATATGATCTAGAATTCGGCCGCCTACTGGCTAGGTGACAGCAACAACGAGTCAGTCCAGCGTATCGCCGGTATCTCATTCCCCGACAAGAAGGCCCTTGAGGAATACAAGCACTTCCTCGCCGAGGCTGCCAAGCGCAACCACCGAAAAATTGGTCAAGACCAGAAGCTCTTCTTCTTCGACGAGGCTTCTCCCGGATCCGCCTTTTTCCTGCCTCACGGTGTGCGCATTTACAATGCCTTGATGGAGCTTATCAAGGGCGAGTACCAAAAACGTGACTTCGACGAGGTCATGTCCCCCAACATGTACAAGGCGGATCTATGGAAGACCTCCGGTCACTGGGGACACTACGAGGAGAACATGTTCACCTTTGAGGTTGAGAAGGAGAAATTTGGCCTGAAGCCGATGAACTGCCCTGGACACTGCAAGATCTTTGCCCACTCCGACGTTACCTACAAGGACCTCCCATGGAGGATGGCCGATTTTGGTGTTCTGCACCGTAACGAGTTCTCTGGTGCCCTGTCGGGTCTTACTCGAGTCCGTCGTTTCCAGCAGGACGATGCTCACATTTTCTGTACCGTTGACCAGGTATGAATAGCTTGTCACTAATTGTCTATATTCCCTGCTGACGTCGTGTTACAGATCCGAGAGGAAATCGAGTCTGCCTTCGACTTCTTGAGCAGCGTGTACGGCATCTTCGGCTTCACTTTCAAGCTCAAGCTTTCTACCCGACCTGAGAAGTATGTCGGTGACATTGCCACCTGGGATGCTGCGGAGAAGAAGCTCGAGGAGGCTCTTGAGTCATTCGCGGAGAAGACCGGCGCCAAGTGGGAGTTCAACCCTGGTGATGGTGCTTTCTACGGTCCCAAGATCGATATTGCTCTGTACGATGCCCTGAAGCGAGAACACCAATGCGGTACCATGCAGCTCGACTTCAACTTGCCCCGACGATTCAAGCTTCGATATGTTGCCAACAAGGGCGAGACCGGAGTCAGCGATGGCAGCAACCCCGAGGAGGAGCTCCCTGCCGGATACGCACGCCCCGTCATGATTCATCGAGCCGTGCTGGGCAGCTTCGAGCGAATGTTTGGTATTCTCACAGAGCACTTTGCCGGCAAGTGGCCTTTCTGGCTCAGCCCTCGACAAGTCTTGGTCGTCCCTGTCATGCCTGCCGCCAACGACTACGCCAAGGAGGTCCAGCAGATCTTCCGGGCAAAGGGATTGTACAGTGACGTGGACCTGAGCAGCAACACCTTCCAGAAGAAGATCCGCACCGGTCAACTGGAGCAGTATAACTTCATATTTGGTAAGTTCGGAATGGAGGTATCTTGTAGTGGATCATTGGCTAATGTTTTGACACAGTTGTTGGCGCCGAGGAGGCCAGTTCCCGCACCCTCAACATTCGTAACCGAGACGACCAGGCCACCCAAGCCAAGGGTGAGCTGGTCCCTATTGACGAGGCTCTTGAGAAGCTGGTACAGCTCAAGGTTTCGCGAGGGCTCACCAACAAGCTGTAAAGAGATATGATAGGTTTGGGATAACACAGGGATGGCGCGTAGGGCGGTCGAGGACAAAGGCGGAGGGTATATGATTCAAAATGAAATGAGACATGTTAGATGATGAACGCGCACGGGAACTCGCATGGCTGTATAGAGTCTAGAGAGAATCAAGTAGCGGTCAATGGCGAAAAGAGAGAATCTTGTAAAAAGCGACTAAATTGATTGGTGTGTTTTCGACGAGATCAAGTCAAACTAGAGAAGGGGGCTTGATGTGACAAGCCAGATATGAGGCATCACGTGCGGCAACATGCACCGAGCCGCTCCGGCAAAGGATTGATCCAGTGAATAGGATCACGGGCAATAAGAGGGAGAAAGGCTATTCAACTCTATCGTGGACCGGGTTAGTTAACTGGTCGCCATCAGAGACAATGCAGGTATTCATCATAGGCTGTGCAAGGCAAGCAAAAGATCCATCACGAAAGGCCTTCTAATGAGGTCGTGAAGAGTAAAGAAGGCCACAAGACATGAGACATACATACCTAGGCAAGCCGTGTTTCGAGTCGAGAATTTGTTTGTTACGCTGTGTAACACAACAGCCAGCTGATATCGGATGAACGACAATTGGATGTTAGACCCCTAAGCCATATCTCGGTATGAAGATGTTCATCAGCATGGTCAGTGTTAGTCAGAGCTCCAGTGACCGGGGAAAATTTACCCTGGAAAAATCCGAACGCCTGTATTTTGAGTTGAAATATCGGAGAAGCATAAAAAGAGGTTATTGATGGCTGTGTCTTGCAAGGGTTTTATTGTGTTAGTTCAACATTTCTTTTCTCAATCCTGGCGACGCATTGAACAGTCATCCGATACTCAGCAGCACCTCTCATAATTACCAAAGAGTTTATTTTCCATGTTCAAGTCCCTTTGCCCTTGCGGCTCTGCAGATGACTAGTATGATATTCCCGATGGTATTGTCACTGTACCACCCGACTATAAAGAGGACTCAGTCAAGAATTGAGAAGAGAAAGACAGGAGCTAAATGATAGACGATAGACATGATGGCTTAGATTCATACGAGAAGCAATGCTCGTGAATATGTTCATCGAAGCACTGCCAGCTATGTTCCAGGTCAGTTCATATGTCTACAGCCTGGTCACCGTGTATCAACATGGCGCTTCTGAAATATAGTTACTCGCCTACAGAGATTACCACAGCACTTCTAGACTGTTACTACTAAGCTTTTAGTAATACTTCACTATAATACAAAATATCCTAAGATCCTTAGACTAGGTAGCTAACCTAATGTAGAACTTTTATTAGAATATCTCATAGGTTTAGAAATACTTGACTGAGTTTTAAGTACATTCTTTACTTTGATAGTAACGATAAAGCTTTTATTTATCGTAAGACCCGATTGATTAACTACTTAACTCCAAACTCCTGGGATACTAACATAAATGGGAGGATGGAGAGGAGGACTGAGACGAAGGACACTGAGCCTGATATCTGCTTCAGTTCTTGTATGACCTTAATCCGATATCTGACCAAGAAGGGCAAGCCACCTGAGTCATGAGAATACCATGTATCTATTATTCTACAATACCAGGTGACAGTTGACACATGCCCCCAGTGCTACCTGCCGTGCCTACTGTGTATTCCGAATGTGTGAAGTGAAAGGCCTGGAATATGTGCGAAAGTGTTTCGACTGGAGGAGACCAGACATGGGTTTATTCGCCGGTGAGAAATGGCGTCCACCGCAAACGCGACTCAAGGATAAAAAGAAAAGTTGATGTATCATTTTTGATCAAGAAAAAAGAAGAAAACAGGGACTCACGAAGCCGGTGAGTTTTAAGAGGAGAAACCGGGGGCAAGCCTAGTAAGGAAAGGGAGAAGAAGCGGTGCGTCGAGGAAGAGTCACGGGATGGATTGTGATGTATCAATTTTACTTCCTGGTCAGTGACGGTAAAGAAGGAAGATGGGAGATGCGATGATCGGACGATGTAGAAATATGGGACGAAAGACTATGATAGGATAGGAAGAGAGAATAGGGCAGTCATTGTGGTTACAGGCAGCAGATGGGACTTGAAGCTTATGGAATATACACAAGATGGCCTCAGATATGTGATGACAGGTCAAATGGAGCTGGGGAAGAGACAGAAAGGTTTATGCCTTGCTGGAAATAGAATGGCTGGGTTGGTATTAGGTAGGTAGTATCAGTTGCACGAGTTATTATCCTAATTTGTAATATTTAGTACAAGTCAGTTCTTCAGTCACTATTTGTCAATATTCTTTGTCGTCTTCGGGTCGGGCTTTTGGAGTTTAGAAAAATGTGACCAAGATATCACCAAAAGACACTTGAGCTGCATCTGGAACCACGAGTGGTAAAGGCTACATGAGTCTACCCACCCACGCACAGCTCCGTCTTGGCAAGGAGCTGCCTTTTTTTGCATGTTTTCTTGGTTAGATCCACCTGATGATATCTTGTTTGACAAGCAGAAACAAGAAGAAACAAGGAGGAGGAGGAGGAGTAAACAAAAGAAGAATGTCACTTTTAGCTGGGCCACTTGAGACTGACACTTACACTGACTGACTGACTGTCTTGTCTCTCTGACCGACACCTAGTTACGTCAAGCATTTGGTTTGCTGTGTTCCAGGTTCGTGGGATTGTGTGGTGCATCCCACGCCGCGTGATAGAAGGGGGGGGGGGGGGGTTGCATTGGAATTAGAACTGGAACTGGAACTGGAACTGGAATTGGGGGTTCTTTTTTTTTCTTCTTTCTTTTTTTGGTGGGTAGTACAAAGGAGATGAGACAAACCGGATACCAATGAAATGAGTCTGGTCTGTGGGATAATGAGGCTGTTGATGTGGATGGAGTGAGAAGTGAGTACTAAGTGAGCTGTCCTCGTCCTATAGTGTAAGACGGCGTAGTATTTTGCTGCCAACAGTTCAGAATATTGCATGTTGCGTCCAGTGTGGTCTAGTGACAGCACCGCTAATTTACAACGGCTAAACTAATTACTGTAGTCTATCTAATACCTTAGTTAGTGTAGTAACTAACGTTAGTCCAAGGTTGAGGGACGTAAAGTGGCGAGTGAAATGCGAAGGAGGCTCCGAAGTGCAAGAAAAGTCAGCTTTGTTTTGCGTTTTGAGACAATCTCGGCCAGGTGAGGAAAGGTGAGGTATGCAGCAGAAGGCCTCATATTATTCTATCACAACTGACTAATTAATATAGGTGGTCTACGGCATCTGACCGGGTAGTTCAGACCGGTCAAGCACTCTGGGGCAATACACATTTATCGGTAGCCAGCCCACTACGGACGCGAACATGGAGGGTTCCCTAATATAGATGTCCTTTCTTTCGTACAGGTACAGTGAGAAAGAAGGAACCTATGTACTCGGGAATGTAAGGAGTGTGTGATGTGGCTTGAGGCGTACCTCGTGGCATTTAAGGGTCCCTGAAATATGAAATGTTTGCCTGCCCGCCTGATGCTATATCGGCCCCTCGATGATCGGTGTTGGTTCTGAAGGTGACACAAGACATCGTATTGCCTGCCTATGGCCTCTATTTGATCTCTCTCTTTCTCGCTCACCGTCTCACAAGGGCTGTGCGGTAGGACAAGCGGATCTCAAATTAAACTAAGCTTGCGAAAGCCATCCCGGGCATTTCAATGGTCAGGCTGGGGTAGCACAAGAAGCAGGCTATACGGGGTATATCTGTACTATAACTGGAGTTGCGGTCTGTTATTACCGGGTACGGAGTACGGAGTATTGCAGAGTACCTTACCTACCACTGGAGCGATATGTGTAAGCGGGAGTCTCCTAATATGGATATTGGGGCATTTTGGGGAGTTTGGGGTGGATCTGCAGGTCGCTCAGTGTGGACGATGAACAGATGTGTTGTCGTACGGTTCAATACAGATATTATAGGTACCTACTCTGTATTTATGGATGTATCAAGTGTACGAGATCTGTCTCTCGGCATGTCGACGCATACATGCACACACCCGTGACCCAGTAATTAGAGTCAAGCTGAGAATTACATAGGATTTCACAGTGAGTACTAGGTAATTAGTAAACCGAGATTGATAACCACTTTTCAGTTCATGGTAGAGATCGGGTTGCATATCCCCCTTCCTCAGCCCCTCAGCCCCCCTGCTATTGCTGTTCAAGGTCCCCAGACCCATGCCAGGTCTGCCATTTCTGCATACATCTCAATCGGGAATCTCATTGCTGAGTGATGGGGGCTGTTCAGGGATTGCAGCGAGCGGAGCCGAGCGGATATCGATGAGGCAGAGAGGCATGCGGCATGATACAGAAGAGAAAGAGTTTGGTTTGTGGATGTGGATGTGGATGCGAGTGAGTTGATAGGTGATGATACGCATATGTACTCCAGACGGGCAAGGGGTTCGGAGTTGAGAGGGCTGAATGATGGTATCAGCATCGACACTAACACTATGGAGTATGGAGCATCATGCTCTAGGTATTCTACAGATACAGATGGTACGTAACATGAGGTACATTTACCTACCTACCCTCTGATCTATAGAGATTGACGGGGCTGCCGCGCGCCAACCCGCCAACCCGCCCACCCGCTCAGATCGTCCGTCGCTAGCGCCCGAAGAGTGAGTGAGGGTTGGGATTGTGATGGATAGGTAGGTATAGATTCACCTTGTTCTTGTAGGTCGAGGGGAGACCTGGTAGCTTCCTAGGCCGCGAGATGCAACAACATGTCGAGTCTCGAGTCACTTACCATGTCCCATCATTATCAAAATGAGAAATGAGAGATAGAAGCAAAAAAAGCAATGAGATTATATCTAGTTATTCCAATTCTTGGTTCCCAAAACTAACCCCAAACCCCAACAAACCCCGACCCATCCTGCCATCCCCATCTCATTACCACACCCATATCCATACCTATCCATATCCATGTCCATGTCCATGGGTCCGTCCCTCCCTGTCATCATCATCACCATTTCCCTCCTCCATCTCAGCTCATCCTAGCCACACTGTACTGTATCTCGTAGACTCGTCCTCGGCGCTGTGCAGAGTGTCTTCTTCCATGGCGCTCGTGGCTCGGGCATGGCGTATACTGAAACAGCGAATTCGTCCATTGCCGGAATCTACTCTTCCGTAGCTGTACACAGTAATTACCTACATGAATACTTGAATGCGTAAATGCGGGCAGCCTTTTTGGGTAAAACTTGTCTTGCAGCGCACGTACCCCCATTGTCGAGTTTCATCATCTATCATGTCAAACTCGAGTCTCTCATATTCGACGAGACAGACAATGTTATTGCATTCCCTACGGATAAACAATCACGAATCGTCCCATCCCATCTTGCTTCTCTCTTTGCACACTCATCGTCACGACTCTTCCTCTTCCCATTCCCGCCCTCTAAAACCTAATTAATCCTTGCTTGACAGCTTGTGCCTTCTTTTACCTGCCTTGATAATCGGTTATTCTTACCGTTGACCTTGTGCATGGGGGGTGTTTAGATCCATACGTTCGTTAGCATTACACCTAGATGCATAGGTAGGTAGTTACGGATGCATACTCGACATCCATTAGTCTATCATATTAGTAGGTACTTACCTACACAGGAGATCGCCGTCAATACCAAGACCAACATAATACTCGACGCACACATTTGTACATACAAACATGGATACATAATTCATCCGCAATAGTCCACCTACATACAACAAGATTCTATCCCGTACATCCACCTATATAGATCTCAACAACAGGTACGGTAGCTGGAGGACACACCAATTGGATGAATGGACAATGGTATTGAGTATACCACCCACTGACACCAACTGCCATATCCCCTAGGTACCTACAGCCTAGGAGGTACCTACACTAATAAAAATAACGTATCGCGCCTAGGAAGAACAAAACTCACGATCTGCGCACTATCACAACCCACTTCTACTGTCCTAGCTCCTCCTTCCTTGTCCCCTCGTCGCCTCTCTAGCCTCTACAAGCTACCTCAACTATAAGCGCGCCCACCCCCCTTCCCCCCCTTCCCCCCTCCCCCCTCCCCCCTCCACAATCAATCGTCCATCATCAAGTGTCCTAAAATCAGAGACAATTCCGCCTCTTGTCTTGTCCTTTACCCAAACAAAGCATCGAGCGAGAGAGAAAAAAGCAACAACCGCCAAAAACTTTGCTAGACCGACAGCGCGCCTCTAGCACACGAGCGAAACCCCAAACCTGTCTCTCTCTCTCTCTCTCTCTGTGGCCTCTTCAGCCCCCCTCCTACCCTTTGGAGCTTGCCCGTATGCAGAAGATCTCTCGTTCTGCCAGTCCGAGAGGTACCTTCTGCTGCACGGATACTCCTGGCTGGATACTGTAGAAAAACAACGGGTTTCCCACTTCGCTCCCTCGTGGAGCTGGGCTTTGGTTCACGATGCGCCGCGCCGCCCTTAGCAAGTCTAAGAGACGCCGACGAGACAGCCCCACGCCTGCTGCAAACGCAAATACAACTACAAATGCCAGTGCCAATGCAAACTCTAATGCTAATACAACCGCGAATACCACTCAACAAATTGCTGATTCATCCTTGAATGTTGTCGAGTCTCCATCACGGAATGAGTATCTCCAGACTGCTCACCACCACCACCATCAACATCACCAACTTGTCGATTCCGCCACAGTCATCGTCGACGACACCGCTTACAGCGTAAAGGGCTATTCACAACTTCAGTACGACTCGACTCTCCTACCTAGTGCTGGGCAGTCCTGTATCGTTCCCGAAGCCGCGATCGACTCGCCCATGACAGATGCGTTCCTCGCCAGCATCGACGCCGTCTCCACTTCCACTTCTCCCTCTGCTTCCGCTACCAATGCAACTCCTCTTGCTCCGTTGACTACCGATTCTACAAATCCGGTCCTCGCTGGGCATTCATATCAGGACAACTACGACCAATTTACATCCAGTACACATCGCTACACTCATACTCACGACTCTGAATCAGAATCAGAATCCTACGACTCAGGCTTGGAAGCCGAATCCGAATCCGACAGTGACTTGGATCAAGACGAAGAAGACGGCATCGGCCTTGACTCGGAAGCCCCCGTCCGCGTACCTCATTCAGACGAGTTCTGGGCTCCTTCCACAAATCTTGACTTAGACCCCGACTACATCCCATTCTACCACGACGTGGATCATGACCTTGAGATGAGCGATAGCGAAGGCGGCGCCCCTCTTGACGAAGACATCTACGACGAACTTCAAACTCAAACATATCAACAATTTACCCAATCCGAGGACAATGATGGGCCAGCCCCCACCATGGGATCAGTCAACTACCTCTCGCAGCCTCTCTTGCAGATATCCGCCATAGTTGATACCGATCTGATCATGGATGCTACTCCACCTCCAGCGCCATGGGATGTTATCCCTGACGCTGATAGCATACCATCGTCGCCGCAAACTCCGACCCCTATGCCCTTGGAGCCTCTTGGTCCCTCGTTTATCGAAAATCCCAACCCTAACATGTTTGGGTCGATTAACTTGGGCTTGTTTGATTTCTTAACCCACTGGGCATACCAAGCCCGGTTTTCTTCCAATTCATCCGTCCCACGGGCAAACGCACCCTGTCCAGAAGACATTCGACGTCAAGCGGATACTCAGGTACATGATGTCCGTTATGACGACTTGTATGGTGATTGTTTCGACATGCAAGGTCTAAACTGGGAGTCTATGAACACAACTCGGCAACACGCACGCAGAGAACGGTGTAAGACATTCAGAAATTATGTCAACAAGGAGGGTTCAGACCAGTGGAGCGTAAGTGCCGCATATCCCAGTTGTGTTGATTCTATATACTGACCCCGAGATCAGCCGCACATGGCCGACGTAGATATCCCCTCCTCCAAGAGCTTCATGAGATTCAAGCGATTCCTTGTTCGTCCGGATGTTCACCTAGCTCACTTCCAACTACGGAGCGTTCTTGCATGTCCTGCTATCTCTCAGGTTTACTACCCCGGTGGGAAAGGAATCAACTGCATCAATCCCATCTCGGGAAAGACAGAACTCAAGCTCAACAACAGTCATATACATGGTCTGGGGAGTCTTATTTCTACCCTTGACGTAAATTACGGTGTCATGTTTGCAGGAACTTTCAACGGGGAGTATTATCTCAAGAGGCTCGACTCTGAAGACAAGAAGGACTATTCGGAAGGACATATCACTTCAAGCATGGGAGGTATCACCAACCACGTCCAGATCTACCAGCCTCGACAATCATCTGCTCCTGTTGCCGCCATCTCCAGTAACGACGAAGGATTCCGCGTTCTTGACCTCACTACGGAACAGTTCTTAACACAGAGCAGATATGGGTTCCCTCTCAACTGCTCGCGCATCTCACCCGATGGTCGCTTGAGAGTCATGGTTGGAGATGACTTCAAGGTTTTAATTACGAATGCCGATTCTGGCGAGATCCAGCAGGAACTATCGGGACACCGTGACTATGGCTTTTCGTGCGACTGGTCGGACGACGGTTGGACGGTAGCCACGGGTTTCCAAGACAAGGGAATCAAGATCTGGGATGCTCGTCGTTGGTGTGACTCAAGGGGTGTGAGCACACCTTTGTGCACTATCAGGTCAGAAATGTCCGGCGTGAGAAACCTGCGCTTCTCTCCAGTCGGTAGCGGTGAGAGAGTGCTCGTCGCTGCTGAAGAGGCTGACTACGTCAATATCATCGACGCCCAGACATTTTCCAACAAGCAGACGGTCGATATCTTTGGCGAAATTGGAGGTGTTGCTTTCACAAACGATGGGCAAGACCTCAATGTTCTTGTGAGCGACCGTGATCGTGGCGGCCTCCTCCAGCTCGAACGATCTGGTCTTGGACCCGAACCCTACTTCCACAACTCTTGGCGCCGTTACCATGATTCTGGAAGTGATTCATGGCGATACCGATCTGATGAATACTCACATCTTGGTGAACCCTCACGCCGCAACCCTATCTCGACTGATGCTTTGGCAATATTCTAAACAAGCATATGCTTGATCTTTTCTTGGAATCTCGTATCCAGAGCGTGTGCATCTGATTCAAACATTATCATTATACTTACTTGACCTCGCTGGTCGCTCTCATTCATTTGGAGCATGCTGCACATTATACCCTTTTTGTTATGGCTTATCATCAACCTGCAACCCGCTGGGAAATTGGACGTGAACTATACACGTCGTGGCATTTATATTTGAGCCAGGATGGTCTTTCTCGGGTACAGAAGAACGGAGACCCCAGTTACCATGTTGTTATACACAGCTGTCCTACCACATTTCTTATATACTTTCTTCATTATCATGGGGGCTCGGGGGTTTAGAGCCTGGTCGGTTTAAGGGATCCTTTAGACACAAGGGCAATGGCATCGGGTATCTATTTCTTTTGTGGGCAACATGCATTTAATAGAATCGGCTCTTGGGCTTTTCCCTTATTACATGGCTGATGGGGAAGAATCAAAACTTCTGAACAAGTTTGGAGCATTCAGCAACGATATTGGCTATTCATATATCTACCATATAGCTTGAAAATGCTGTAAAACGTCGAATTGTTCGACCGGAAACTTGGTGATCTGACCTGTGTTCTTCACACATGCTCCGTTCCGTGACGGTTGCACAGATCAAGTTATTTTTGGCCGATCTGATCAATATGCAGACAACCCTCCAGGTTTAGGTCTGAGACAGGTTGGAATTGAGCAAAGGCTGGCCGATGGCTGATCGATCCGAGCTCCGAGACAAGAGAGTTTCATCGTCATTCCATAATGCCAAACCTGCTTCCAGCCTTGACCGCCAAAATAGTATTGGTCAGCTTCATATAGTTAACTGGTGTATCACGTTAATTGTGATCTCGCAACTATGACAGCTGCAAGATTAAAGGGCCGTTGACAAGAAGTTCGTCGCTTCAAGTTTTATTTAGTCCGTGTTTTCCATATATTGCTCACGAGTTTTGTTCTGGGCGTAACCTAAACAAGGACGTGTCACTATCACCTGTTGTGAAACCTTCTCCCTTGTGTCTTCAGCTCAGCTATCACGGCATACTGACCGCTTCTCGACTCACCCTTCTGTTCCAACTATCTGGTTCAGCTAGTGACACAATGTTCGAGCCACTTTCTCTTTTTGCTACAAAGGCCTCGGGGTGAAATAAAGCACCGGACGTGAGATTTGCTACATATTAGACTTTTTGTTAAAAATATCTTTTCTAATTCTATATAAAGAATATAAAAGTAATAGGCTTTCAGAAGAAGTTTTGATAATAGTTATAATATATTATACTAAAAAGAAATAATTTTTATTTAAAATTACTATACTTGATTGAAAATATCTTGTAGTCGTTGGAAGTGGGCTGATACGCATGTCTCACCTGTCCAGCACTGATGCTTTGACGCCGTCGTGTCTCCCGAGACTCCTATGATAGTGTGACGGTTAGTCTCCACTAATTATTGCCCCAGGTGTTGAGTGATGACATACAGTATATCGCGGCTGTTACTCATCAGTACTCGCGATGAGTGCAACGGTGCCAAGCGCGATACACTGATAGATCATATTGCACATCACGAGACATCACAACGAAGCAGTCAGGAGGAGAGTATACACTAGTGAATTACAGCATTATGAAGCAAAGGCTGAATGACAACCCGGCTTTGGTATAGATCATACATAGAATACAGATCATCTCCCCCCCTTCTTAAAAGGCTTTCGTTATATTTTCGCTCAAAAGCCGTAAAGACGCATGTACCGTAAAGCGCTTCCGCAAATGCCACATTTGGAATAGAGACAGAGTAACAAGAATTCTCATGCTGACTGGACGATACAAGAAATACCGAATTCATGGAGAAGGTCGTCCTCAAACCACCCGGCCGCTTTCATTTCCCTGTTTATGCTACGCTATGATGGCGCAAAATACATTGCCCCCTAGGCAGATGTCTGCACTTGTCATGGAGAAACAAGACCGCCGGCTTTTGGACTCCCCTCCTGAAGGGTCGTTACATGTCTAGAATAGTGTAGTATGCCGATGGAATGGTAGAAGAACTAGGAAAGGGTTGCTAGGGGAGAAAGAAGTGAATTGGCCGGGCGATCTAGGTCATGGATTATATACAATATTCAACGCGCTCCAAAATTGAATCGTGCAGTAGACGCTTGGGCATGCCGCAACCAAAGATGAAAACTCTCCGTGGCTGCTTAGTAGCCGGTGAAGGAAGAGGCGCAACCCCAGCTTCGCTCGCAGTTGCAGCTACCGGGCTCCTTCCACTCATCGTTCTCGTAGGAGAAGAAGACAGTCTTGTCACCACAGCTCTCACGGATGGACTTGATAGCCTCAGCCTGCTCCTTCTTACCAGGGCAAGCAGCGCCGTTGCAGTTACCGCTGGAGGGCCAACCGCACTCCAGGTTGATGACGTCGTTGCCCTTGCAGATATCACGGAGGAGCTCGAGCTGGCCAGCGACAAACTCACCAGCGTCCTTGGCAGCAGTGTTGGGGTTGAAGTAAGGGTGGATGTTGGCACCGGTGACATCGACACAGGGGCAGATGGCCTCCTTGACATCCTCTCGCTCCCAGATGTTGAGGGTCTCAGCGATGGTGTAAGGGCCGTTGTATCCAGAGCACTTCTCCTTGACAACATCGACGAGCTCCCTGAGCTCCTGAGGAGTACAGAAGTTGTTCATGATAGCCTCGTTACCGACGGTGAAGAGCTTGACCTGATCCCACTGAGCCCACTCGGCAATGGCATCGACCTGCTCCTTGATCTCAGGGGTCTCGTAAGAGCAGCCGGAAGCCTTGACGAAGACACCGATGATCATGTCAATACCGTGCTTCTTGCAAGCAGGGGCGACAGTCTTGAGGGTGTCACAGTCGGTAGAGTAAGATCGGATGATCTGGAAGCCGGCCTGCTTGAGGGAAGCAATGTCCTTGTCGACCTGGTCGCCAGACTTGCACTCGCCGGTAGAGGACTCATAAGGAGTGTAGGTGATACCGTAATGGTCGTTTCCGCCCTGAAGGTTTCCGGGGCTGGAGGGCTTTTTGGGGGTCTGGGGCTTAGGCTTGGGCTTGGGGGCCTCGGAAGGCTTCTCGTAAGCGGGCGTGGTGTGGGCAGGCTTCTCAGGAGAAGAGTAGACGGGAGCCTCAGGCTTCTTAGGGGCCTCGGGGACCTTGCTGGGAACCTCGTAGACGGGCATGGTAGCTTTGGCCTCCACGGTGGTCTCGGGCTGAGGCTTCGGGGCCTCGTAAACAGGCTTGGTAGGCTTCTCCTTAGGAGGCTGGGGAGCCTCAGGAACCTTGGTGGTGGCAGGAACACCAGACTGAGAGTAGGGGCAGACGTAGACGAAGTCGGTCTCGGTGACAGTCACAACCTGCTCAGGAGCAGTGTAGGTACCAGGAACGTAGCTGGTAGGGACAGGGTAGACGATGACGGTCTCCTCCTCGCAGGTCTTGGTGATAGGAGCAATGGTGTAAGTGCCAGCCGAGGGGCAAACGTAAGTGGTGGTCTCGATGACGCTGGTAACGACACCTTCGTGCTCGGTCTCCTTGGCGTAGGGGCAGGTGACGGTGGTAGCTGTCTCAACAATGGTGGTGACACCGCCCATGGTGTGAGTTCCAGCAGGAACCTTGGTGGTCTCGCCGACGCAGACGGTGGTGGACTCGGTCACTGTCAAGGTAGTGGCAGGAAAGGTGTAAGTGCCGGGGGTAGGGCACTTGTACTGCTCCGGGGTTGGGACGGGGTGAACCTCGACGACCTTGGTGGTGGTGGTGGGAGCAACAGGCTTGGGAGCCTCGTAGCTGGGGACCTCATAAACAGAGGTGGGCTTAGGCTTAGCAGCCTCCTTGGTAGTGATGGCCTGCTGGGTAGGCTTAGGAGCCGAGGGAGGGTTGGGGACGACTACATCACTTGTCAGTATATCTTCCATGGTCAAGACCAGTAACAACATGGTTTCATACGAGTAGGCTGGCCGTAGTAGGTGGTCCAGATGGTAGTGCAAGAAGGCACGCAGACCTCTCCTCCACGACGGAACATATCATGAGCACGTCGGTGGTGAGGGTAAGCAGCCTGAGCACCAGTGGCCATGGCCGCAACGGCGGCAGCAGCAAGTCCTCCCTTCATATTGAAAGAAAAAGGTTCCGGAAAAAAGGTAGAATTAGTTGGCTTAGGAAACGAATGCCCGCTGAAAGAGTGAAGCGGTGATTAGATGTTTGAAAACGAGAGGACGAAAGCGGAAATTAACGAGATGCTCTCTAGATTCGCGAAAGACAGAACCGTGAGGGAAAGAAGAAAGTGAAAAAAAGAAGAGGAGCAGAGCGGCATATTATGAGGAGATTCTGGCTGGGTACAGGATGATTGCCTCTATCTGCGACCCGGGTCTGTCGTGCCTTGGCCTGCAGTGCCCAGGCGGCCATGGCATTAACAAAGGATAGCCTACGGAGTAGCGACCTAGCAATGGAGGTCTGATGGTACTTTGGACAATGCACGATAGCGGCGTCAGATGCCAGAACTCAGGTACCCGTCTGCCAGTGCCATGTCCCCCATGTCCGCGATGTGCCCTGTGCCTCATGAGATGAACTGGGGTCAGTCCCTAACGTGGACTACCGTTGGTGCAATGCGCCTATCATTACCTGGACTGCACTAAAACCCCCAGCATTTGGCCGGGGTTTATAGAAGAAAAGGAGAATGTTGTGGAGCACGGGGCACGATGCAATCTCGTGGTTTCGACAAGCTCCAGGGGCATTTGCTCACGTTGCCAACACCAAGCCTCTCTCAAATTGGCGGCGCATCGAGGTCGAGGCCGATCAATTCGCTGCTAGAGGAACCTGTCAGGAAGCGACATTAGTCCAAGAACGAGGCTTCTCTGGACGTTGGTTGGTCACTTGACCATGAACAGGGGGACCGAGATGAGTATTAGACGGTAGACCCCGACTAAGATGTGTGGTCAAGGTGAGTCCGTCTGGGAGATGAGCGTCCTAGGCATTGAAGTTGTATTGTACGGGAGTATTCATCTCATGATTGAAATGGTCATCAAAGTCCCCTTTTCAGCCGCTTAGCTGTTGTCCAGCTCACCCAGCAATACCAACAATTCCCATCTACTACGTACAGCCAGCTTGGCCAGCTCCTGGAGTTATGCATGATTAAACAGTCGGCTCGTCGGCGAGTGGGGTCAAGCACCTAGGTTCCTGCATCTACCATCCATGGGCCACGGCTAAAAGCGTGGTCCCCCAATTTACCCTGGCGAAGGTGGCGTTGCGCTTGTGAGCCACCAACGACCTAAGGGTTCGACTCCTTCTATCGCTCTCTGTGTCGTCACTTTTCCTTGCGCTTTGGCTTAATGAGCATTTGTTATCGTGTCAGCGACGGGGCCCCCATAGGTACAATAACGCACAACTTGCAGCCACCCACCGTTTGCGTTTGCGGGGAATCAATGGATACGCTGGACCGAGAATGCCGGGGCAAAAGCTTGTCCGTCGGCTCTTGGGCCGGTCCAAAGTCGAAACACCTTTTCCGAGAGTCTATTCTGGAGTGCATAATAACATGACCCATTTTGGTCTCGATCTTGATATAATTAATTGCAGTTCGTATTTACCGTCACATCGCGTAGCGTCCCGTCTTACCGAAAACCCTTTGTATTTTGATCTTGCGAACTCCTGCCGGGATTGAGTTAACAACTATGTTACACCAGCATGACAAGTTGACCGAAATATCAATATCAATATCAATATCCATCTTACCGGCTTGCCCTGCTCTGTTGACCTGCCTCTCGCTGAGTGAGGTTCAGGGTCAACGATAGCAGCCTCGGCCAAGAAATTGCAATGCTGATCCATCGGATTCAGCTCTTGCTAAAATTATACACATCTAATGCACCTCTTGGCTTCGAGCGATCGCTAGTTGAGCTACCTATGCTCGGCATAGCAGGGTTCCGTTCCAATTAGAGAAGGTCTCTAATTCAAGACTTTCTTAAGAAGGGGGCTACTTGCCAATAGATCAGTTGGTGTTTAGATGGTTTGATTGTCGATTCACTAAGTAAATTAGTTGACAGCAACAGACAGGTGGGTCGCAATAAACCCGCACACCAGGCCGAGTTGACAGAAAACTTTAGTTAAAATTGTCTTAAATATGATGAGTTTGTTTCATTTTTACTCAACTTTATATGGCAAAAGAGCTTTGGTGTGCCGGTTATTTTGCTACCCACCTGAGAGGATAGCGATGTCCATGCTTTCCATGTTAAATCACTGCCCCTTTTGCTACTTACCGTAGTGCCTTAGATTCACACGCATACTGCAACCTTTTGGCTTTCTCGTCTCTTACAACTGCAGTGATGGTGTTTAGAGTACAAAGTTGGATTCTAGCACTTGAAGATACCTAGGTCATAGGTTGGCACCTGCCTCCTGCTCAACGTGACGCGACATGAATGGATGACTGATTGACTTCAATTAAAGTGGAAAGAGCTATGTCATGTGACATCGCGACAATGGAAGTCGCCTTTCAACCGTAAAATTTTCAGCCTCGCGTCGACTTGAGGAATTCAGGGTAACCACCTTAATTAAAGACACAATAAGACCCTGCAAATATGCTACGGTCGTCAGCTCGTCCGTATGTCTGCTGGAGATGTCTTTCGCATACCCGTAATGGCTTGCGATCCCCCATTCCATCGTCGGTACAGGCTTTGAATAGCCGACGACAAACCGTTTGTTTCTCTAATAACACTCCCATCATACCATGTTCTGACCATTGTTACAGTATGCTACATCGACTGAAGATGGTCCTCAAAATGCATTTGGTCAATCGCATATTCCTACGTCTCTACCTAAATCGCCTCCCACCATAGATAAGAGGCCAATTCGCGAAAGACTTCAAGAATGGGTTACGGTGAACGACCCCGAAAGGGAGGTAACTCATATAGTTCCAGATCTTTCGTTCTGGACAACCGTGACAAACAGCAACACTCGGCCGCAGTCTACCGGTTCATCTGAGATGGACAACTTCAAATCGGATGTAGTCGGCATGGTAGACTCAGTCGAGAATATTACGGCGGACGATGCCGAAGTTGCTATTGTTGGACACAAGACACAGACCCCGGGTGACCTGGTGGAGATGAAACAGCCCGGCTCCCGAATGCCTCTGTTTGGTATATACTTGGGATACTTTGGAGGCAGGTATCACTTTTATACCAACACTGGCAGATGGGCCATCAGTATGGGCTTCTCTGCGCTCTTTTCTGTCTCCAAGTTCGTCTCGGCGAGTGAGCTGAAGCCAATTCTTGATCTGATTCCTCCGCATGCCACAGCAGATGAATACGAAGAGCTACGAAGTCAAGACAGGGGCCCGGGACGAGAAGTCGGTGCTCATCTGATTCAAAGAATGAAGAATTTCATGTCTGAGGCGGATCAAGCCTACCAGACAAGTCTCAACAGCTTAGATCGGGCAAGATCTTTGGTTTCAGACGGGAAAAGAACCAAATATTTAAGCCTGTTTGAGCTGGCTGACTTGCTACTGCCCAGATCCCTCAAGCAGGGTGACTTGTTTCCCCCTCCTGCTCTGTACGCAGTTCATACGGCTCTCTTACGCAATGATTTCATCTTCCGGCCATTAAGTCCATCGTCAGACTGCCATCGAAAAGATCATCTTTTCGAAATCTTTCCATACCAAGATTTCATGATGATCAATCGGGTGGCACTGATGATCCGCGAATATATTCACATAATGGGTAGGACGACAGGAAACATATCAACACAAGAGCTCTCGACTACTGCGTTTGGTACATTCATCCTCAAAGCGAGAGAAGTTGTTCTTGCCAACCGAGAGAAGCGCTCTTGGACACCGTACGGAATCCTCGCTCCTACGTCAGGAGTGACCCTTGAAATAAAGGAATGGTCGAGGAAGCATATGGAATTCATTCGCTTTCTGGAGTGGTGGGCGAGCTACGATCTATTCGAGGATGCCTCCTATCTGCATGCAGACGGGGCTCTGCTTCTCCGAGCACTGGGGCTATACGAGGATACCGAATTGGACCGGAGCTGTGCCTGGACATTTCTACAGGAACTGGGTATAATTCCGCCTTGGGAAATCCCTTCTCGTTACAAAGTTCGTTTCCCAGAAGTCAAGATTCAAAGTGGAGGTGGCCTCATCAGAGAGATGCCGCTCAGCATTGAGGGTTCAACTCGGCCAGACGTTGCAGAGGGGGCCAGAAGAGCGTGTGTTGACAAGCCCGTTTTCTGTATCGACGCTCCCTCGACTATGCTTATCGACGATGGTGTCTCTCTGGAGCGCACAGACAAGCCTGACGAGTTTTGGATTCATGTGCACACAGCCGATCCGGCATCAGGCATCCGACCCAATTCTGAGTTGGCCAGGTTTTTGGAGTTGATTCCCGAGAATATTTATCTTCCTGGTCACTTCCAGGCCATGCTACCGCACGATCTTGGGCTAGAAGATTCAGGAGACTACAAGTCACAAAGCTTGGTCGATCAATACTCTCTTGCCAATGGCAAACCTGCCCTTACTTTCAGTGCAAAGGTCAACGAGAATGGAGATCTGCTCGATTACAAGATTGAGCCGGGTACTCTGCACGATGTCAAATACTTGGATCCTAAAGACGTTGCTGCGTTTTGCAACGAGCCTTCACCTCCTGCGGTATCTAATCAGAAACTTGTTGTGGGCCAGCTGCCTGACAAAATCAACATGCCACCAAATCGGCCCATGATGCTGGCGAAAGATCTGGACGATAAGAGCAAAAAGGACCTTATGACCCTATATCGTCTTGCTGAAGCTCTAAAGGCAAAGCGTCTCCAAAAGGGAGCTTGGCCGATTTTCTTACCCGGCGCTTCTGTCACTGTCGCATTTGAGGATGTACCAATGGAACAAGCTCAAGATACCAAGGTTCTGCCAGCTGATCCATACATCGAAGTTGGGTTTGAGGCATTTAACGGAGCTTCTGTGGTATCAAACACCATGGTGCTTGCCGGTGAGATTGCCGCAAGATGGTGCTCCGACCGCAATATTCCTCTCCCTTACCGCCGAGACGTGCATTCGAAAAACAACATGCCCAAGCTTCTCCAATATGCCACCAAAGAGCTGTATCCTCTCCTGAATAAAGGTCTATCACCGTCGCTTGCGCAGCGTCACGAAATGTCTCGAATGACAGGTGGTATCGAAATGTCGACAGAGCCCGGGCCGTACTTCATGCTTGGTCTGGACATGTATGCCAAAGCCACCTCTCCCCTTCGCCGCTTTTCTGACCTCATCGTTCACTGGCAAATCCACGCGGCACTGGCACATGAGCGCAAGGTGAAGCGCAGTATAGACACTCAAGCTGATGAACTGAACGAAATTCTACCTTTCACGGACCAGACACTCCCCAACACGCTCTCCCTTCTGCGCATGCGTGAGAGGATGGCCAAGACCGTGTCTCGCGGCACTAAGGAGTGGATGCTAATGGCACTCGTGCGGGCCTGGAAGTTCGAAGGTACAGTACCGAAGCAATTCCGTTTCACCGTCGATGCTCGGTGGAAGCGAGGCGTGTCTGGCAGGATAAGCCTGTTTGACATGTCGGCCATTCTTACCGTCGAAGGCATTGATGGCCTTGTACTCTTGAAGGACATCCATGTGGGCGATAACTTCGATGTCGAGCTAGCCAATGTCAACGTTCACTCACGGCAAATTTTCGTCAAAGCGTCCAAGCACCATCCAAACACCCGGCCAGGGCTACAGAATCCTAAGCAGCCGGCACTTTCCCCGGACGCCCCGGCCGCGACCCTGGCCTCGTGAGCTACGCCGCAGCATCTTCTCGAACAGAGGCTTTGTTGGGGAGTGGAACAGGCACTAAGTTTGAGCGTCACCGCCTTCAAGGCAAGTCTCGCGAGACCAAGGCTTGCTGGATCGTGGGTGAGATTGGCGGTGTTTATGTCTCACATCACTGCATGTTATCCCATCCGTCTGGCCTCCATCCGCCAGTGGCTTGCAGCAATTAACCGTCGACTGACGTGGAGTCACTCACTTCTCCCCCGCATTTTCGCACATCCCCATCTTGTTACCCCCCACCCCTGCATGAGAAAACATGGGGATTTCCTTCAATTGACAGAACCCTGACGTGGTCCGTAGAGGAGTCCTACGCTGCAAATGCACTGTATAACATCTGGTCTCAGGGGAGACTGGGGCATAACCGTAGATCTCCCCTTGGCCGATATACGTCACTTGTATCATACCTGTACCATATTATCACCTGTACCAGTTCAGATCTGGAAGAGCTTCGAGACAAAAAGCACGAGATGTTCAGTAGATCATCCAAGTATAGAACTACCCATAACCAAAACCTCATCGATGCCAATGTTGCATGTTGCAGGTAACCATCGCCTGGCAGCAAGCGCTCACTACCTACGTAAGCAAGGATGATAAGCATATTCGGCTAATAGCCTCACTCATCACTCACACGAGAGACTTCCAAACTTCCAAAGCTTCTTTATCCTTGTCAAATGTTCCCTCATCACGAATTATCAGTCACGACAATGTCTTTAACCATGTCTTCTAAGCAACTCGATGATTTGCTAGTGCATATGAAATGAGGTCACGCGCGCAAAAGAGAACAGACCAACCTGCGTCCTGTTTCCCCAACAATTTCGCAACCTGCATCTTAATTGGCGATCAGTACAGTATGGGCGAGACGCTCATTGGTCCGCTTTGTTACCTGCGCTTGAGATGTGGCAAAACCAAGCGCTATCTGTGTCACTGTGAAAGGTAAAAAGTTAGAAGCACGACTACGTAGGGAGTTTTAGGGGTCAAGATGATCAGCAAGGTACCGACATACCTCAGGCAGTTTGTCGTCGCTTCAATCCAGGATCGAGAAATGGTTACCGGCACTAGACTCTGCAATTTTGGTTTGTCTCACTGAGCACAGCAATTGACAGGCGAGATGATGTAGAACACCGTATTATTAGATCATGACATGCTTTTGTGTTTGTGTTGTAACGGTGTCCCTCCGGTCCGCTGCGTACGTCGTGATTCGATCCCTGTCTTTATGTACAACGAATTCCACCAACGCACTGAAGATCCGGTCCTGTTGCCATTTGCCGTTTGTCCTTCTTCTTTTCTTCTTTTGTTTGTCCCTGCCCTTTCCTTGACCGTACCGTAGAGTCGCCGTAGTCGCCGAAAATCAATTGGCCCCATTTTTGGCCTTTGGCTTTGCATTGCCCGCCCTGGTCCGTCCGTAACCGCCTGAGGCCGCCTTTATTCCGTTGTACCCACTTGCCGATGGGATATCATGAAGGCAGAAGAAAAAACCCGATAAAACCCTTGCCACAAAAGAAAGACGCGAATTAGAAAAATATTAACGCCGAATATCCACCGGTCCGGTGACCTCTGGAATGATCTCTTTTCTGTCGCCCCAAGTTCGTGGTTGATGCCTTGGACTGGGGGTGTCACGGGGCAAGCTGATCCTTAATCAACAGCCTGAAAGCCAATGATGTCGTTTTCGCCTGTGAATGGTCTGATGAATGGCTCTCTGTTGCCCGAAGGCTCCCTTCGGAGCCACCTCAACCCCCGTCCGCGTTAAGCACGAAGCTTTTCTTTAGCCTTTTTGTTTGTGTCCGTTTCGTTGTTACAGGCCCTGTATGAGAGAGAAATGCGGTTCCGTTGCCGCTTTCCAAAATGTCGTCGTGGTGCCGGCTCATTGTGTCGAGTAACAAGTCTTGGCTCATGCTTCTGCGATAGTGTGGCGGGCCAATGTCAATTACCCTCGGAGATTCCTGTATATAGATGCGCTTTTGTTGATGATGTCGTGGCGTCGTTTCAACTCACAATACGTGAGCCACAAGCTTATATAAAAGCTTGTTCAAATTCAAAGTGCGTCGCTAAATGGAAGGCGAACGCCTGTGTAATCATTACTTCCTCCACCCAACGTTCCATATAACGTGGGCAATATCGCGAGCAGTATTGACGGTGTCAATAACACGGCCAAAGATGCCATCCCCAGACTGCAGTTCGCCTTCCTCGTAAGGCATAAACATACCGGATGGCGTGCGTCGCATGCCCGCAGGTTCCTCGCAAAGACTGCCCGACGAGATGGATCTGTTTAGACCGCCATTGATACCCTCGCGAGGGGGGGACGCCCACCCTGAGCGGGGGCTTAACAGCGCATCGTCGAGGGTGTCTTCATGGTCCTCTTCTCCGAAAAAGAACTTGCCGGACTGTTTAGCTGGCTTCAAGGTCTCTTGTGAAGAAGAAGGTGACATGAGAGGGCTTCGGGAGTGTTTCATGGCGGTCTCTCGCGGCTCAGGAGTGTCTTCGCGGTATTTGAGGGTGGTAGATGGCAATTTAGCAATTGTTTTCCCCTCAGCTGTGGGTTTTGGCTTCAAGGTCTTGCGTCGGGAGATAGGTCGCTTCTTTGTCTTGACTCGTTTCATCATAACACCGTCATCCGAGTCACTATCAGAGCCGTAGTCAACAACATCTTCTTCCTCTTCCTCTTCGCCCTTAGCTTCGAGAGCAATGCACTGCTCGACTTGCTCATTGAAATGAATATGCTTTCGTTCAGAACTGGGGGAAATGATTCCGGATGACTCTACCGAGAGGACGGCGCTGCTGCTTTCTCCACTCATCCGACGTGATGCGAATGGGTAGGCAAAGTAATCTGTAGAAGAACGGCCGAGGTGGGGTCGGAGGATACCCCGTGTCTCTTGGGCCTTTACAGCCGCTGTAGCTTGCTTCAATAATGAAGCCGTTGACAGCGATCGCTGGAGCATGACTTCAGACATGCTTCTCTTCTTGAGGATGGGCTTCTTGCTAAGGTTGACAAACGAGTCACACTTGGACAGAGACACACTTGATGGCTCCGTATGGGTTGAGTGAATGTTCTTGGGTCCGGATTGTAAGGGGCCATAAAGCCAGGTGACATCGCAGTCCTTGAGCCTTATGAATGTAAGTATTTTGCTGGCATATCAGGAGAATCGCGGGGGGGACAAACCAGTTGAGCGATTCGGGAGAAATGGTCTTGAGGTTATTCTTGGCCTTCATCCATGTTCTCCAAGAAGCGTTCTCCAATCGAGCGCTATTGGGAAACTCTCCCCGACGGGTAACGACGTATCGCCAAGATGACCAGATATCCTCCTCTCTCCACTCATGGGATAGGTAATCAACTTGACGGGAAGGCCTACTTGAGACAGCAGTGTCGTCCTCAGCATGCTCAGACTTTTCGTGTTCTGGTGTTTCGGGCCTTGATGTGTCTTCAGAGCTCTCTTCAGGGTTCTCATGCTCGGCAGGAGAGACTGTGTAAGAGTCACCCGTTCGGGGACTAGGGGGTGGTTCTAAGTTGTCATCGTGGTGGATTTCGGAACGAATCTCTGGGTGGACGTAGAATTTCTCCTGGGCGAAGGATGGAAACATGAAATGGTCCTCGGGTGATCCGGCGAGTCCAATGGCGTCGTCGTAGTCGGAGGCAATAGAGAGGTTGGTGGCAGGTGTTGATGCGTAAGAAAGATCGACCGAGTCGGCGTGAACGGTACGGGGAGATGAGGGAGCCGATGATGAGTTGGATTCGGCGTATGATTTTGAGACAGGCTTGTAATGATCGCTCAGGTGAGAAGAAGCAGAGAATGACGAATTTGATGGGATAAAGTTAGAGTGAGAATGTGAGCGTCGCAGACCGGACCCGGTAAAGTAACCGTTGTCGTCGGAAGGAAGAACGACAGCCATGATGGAGTTTGGAGTGAACCGTGAGAGTTTTGTTTTTCTTCAATGCCGCAGCACCCGGAAAAGGTGAGGAGGTTCGAGAGAGTCGATGTTAGAAACTCATGGGCACAAATGAGTCCAAGGGTAAGGATGTGCGGCTGAAGGAGATGAATTGATGGAAAGATGAAGATCGAGCCTGGGTACGAAGTATAGAGAATAGAATGGGATTGGCAATGTGGGTGGGGGGCAGGCTTATAGCAGTCGCAGGTGTAGAGTCGACCTAGTAGCCAGCAGGCGATAGCCGGGGGTGCTTGGGTGCTTGGGTGCTTGGGTGCTTGGATGCTTGGATGCTTGGATGCTTGGGGGGCAGCTGGACAATTCTGTTTGGGGCTAAGTTCTAGCGTACCGGAGGAGTACGTAGCACAACCCGGTGCTGGTGTTGGTGTTGTGGGTGTGGGTTTTTTGGGATGGTCTAGTTCGGTTTTGGTTTTGGTCGGGTGTGTACAGTACAGTACCGTATGTACCTACTCGATGGATGGCAGGCCAGGGATCATCTAAACCTGGTCGAGGCGTGGTGGCGTTGAAGCGACTGAGACCTCCCCAGACCCAGTTGCGGTGACGAATTTCGTGGGGACAGGCCAAGCAAGTCTGGTATGGTCGGGTGCTGGTGCTGGCAGGCCTGGCACTGTTACTGGTAATGGCAATGGCAGAACAGGTGCTTGATGCTTGGTGCTTGGTGCTTGTTGGGTTCTAGGTGAGGTGGTTTTTTGGCACTGCACTGGCACTTCGGTCACCGGCCGGATAGCGGAGACGTGCGCCCGCTGCGAGGGTAATTGGCCAGGGCGGTTACAGTGTGTTTTTAGCGTAGTGGTGGTTGATCTCCCCCAGGTTTGAGGATGGGATGGATGTTGAGAGAGAATGACCAGAAATACAGATGGGGGAAGAGCAAGATAACGAAGAGTTGAAAGGAAGAGTATTTATCATGGATATGTATATGTTGTATGAAGAGATGATGACTAGAAAGAGCGGGGGCGAGGTGCAACAAATGATACCTACAATACCTACTAAGGTAGGTAGGTACACCAAGGTTGGTTGGTTCCAAGTAGGAAGGAACCTGGAGGGAGAGCGGCGGGGAAGATAAGAAGCCACAGCCACAAGAGACGGACTTCAAGTTAAACGCACGCAAACTTAGAGTATGATGATACTACTCAGTGGATGACCTAACAGTCTCCAAAAACCGAATACAGCCGAAAAGCCAGAAAAGTTTGCTCAAACGAGGGTCGAGGATCCGATGAGATGTTTCCCTTTTTCTGGGAGGCGTACAAAAACAGAGACGGTGCTCACGGCAAGAACGGGGAATGATTATGGGTACCTATGGTTGTCATCACGGCTACGGCTACAATATGGAGTACAAGCAGACAAACCATACCGGTAGTTGAGGAGAATGGGCTCGGTGAGAAGGAGTGACGATAATGAGGAGAAACTCCTTGCCTTACCTATACTACGGTGCCTAGCTAACGTATTTCACCGCCACTCCATACACCCCATAACCTTACACACCTTAACACTATTAATATATTATTATAATATATTACTTTTAATAATTCTAGAATTATTAAATTAAATCTTTATTTTATTTATTTTATTTATAATAAAATCCTTAATATTAGATTATAAATATTATTTATTATTAACTATAAAAAATATTAAAAAACTTAAATTATATACTTTATTATAAGAATATATAATTCCTTTATTAATATTAAAAGATTATTATTATAATATATAAGATATTATAATTATATATTAAAAAGACTAATTACTAATTATAAAGTAAAAAAAAGACTTAATAAATTACATTATAGATTTAAAAAAGGTATTCTAGTTTTTTATTAAATAAAAAATATATAATTTTATATAGGCCTTATTAAGTATTAATAAAACGGTCTTTTATATTAATAAGAATTAAGTTAATAGGTTTTTTATATACTATTTAATTATTAAATTAAAGCTATTATAAATTATAAATATTATTAAAAAGTATTATATAATAAAAAAATCTTTTATAAATTATTATACCGGCCTTAATTAGGTCTATAAATTAAAAAATTAAAAAATTAAAAAAATATAATATTAATAAGACTACTATATAACTAGGTAAGATTAATAATAACGTAATAGCTAGAACGGTCTTAATAATTATATTAAAAAGAATAAAATTAAATAATTTAACCTAGGTCTTTATTTTAAAAAGTATATTTACTAAAGGTTATTACTTTATATTATATATTATCTTTTTTAATAAAAACCTTTAAAGATAGTAATTTCTTAAGGCTTTTTTTAATTAAAAATATATTTATAATCCTTTTAGTTAGTTTAATATAAATATCTTTTTATAATAATTTATAAAGATTTTTTTATTAAAGACTATACTAAAGAATCCTTTTAAATAAAGACTATTATATCTAGATTAATATAAATTATATATTATTATAAAATTAATAAAAAAGGTATAATTATATAAAGTCTAGCTTTTTTAGCTTTTTTTATAGTTATTATACCTTACTTAATTACTTAATATTATTATATTTAACCTATTAAAAACTTATTATTATTAATATATCTATAATTAGGTATTATATAAAGTAATCTTACTATATTAATATTAATTATTTCTATAAGTTTATAAATAGGTTTTATTAAAAACCTTAATTTATAAAAATATAATAAATAGCTTTTTAATTATAGATTTTTATTTAATTAATATATATAAGGTAATTATAATATTAAAGCTAAAGGAAAAAAAATAAAAGTTATTTATAAAGTCTATAATATTAAAGAAATATTAAGTAATTATAGATAATATTTAAAGAACTTTTTAAGGAAATAAAGATATTTAAAACTAGCTAAAAGATACTTAAAGTTAAAGAAAACTATTAATTTATAATTTAAAATATATATTAAAAAAGGTAATAAAGACTATTAATTAGAAAAATAATTAAATATAATACTTAAAAAAGGAAAAAGTAATATTAAAGGTATTATTAATAGTAAAAAAGCTTATTAATTAAGTCCCTATTTAATTTAACTTTAATTTGGCTTTTTTTAAAGTTTATTAAATTATTTTAATATAGAATTAAATTAAAAAATATATATTATATTAAATTAAAAAAAAGATTTTAAAAAAAAAATTCTATTAAAAAAGAAAACTATAAATTAAAAGTTTTTTAATAAATTTTTAAAGTCTTAAATTAATTAGATTTTTATTAAATTTATTATAATTAACTAAAGTTATTTATATATTATAATATTAATACTTTTACAGGTATGCAGGGTTACGGGGTATATAGAGTGGTGGTAAAATACGTTAGAGGTGTGTTATGTTGTGTTGTGTTATGTTGTGTGTGTCTCTCTATCTGCGTTACGACTGGCGGGTGAAGACGGATCGTTGCTCAGATCCAATGGTTTCCCTTGTATCCGATCCAATCTTCGCGTCCCTCCCAACTCCCGCAGTCTAGCATCACGTTCCTGTGGGTGAGATTCTATCAAGGTCAATGCGACGGAGAGAGAGGCTGCAGGGCTCGGTCAAGTTTCAGCGCTTTGGCGAGCAGTACGTCGAACCCTTTTTGGTGTTTAGTCGGTTTGACTGCATCTACTACGTACCCAGGTAAGGTGTATGTATCTATCTACCGTATATGCAGGCATGATACAGAACGTATGCACGTATGTCCTGTAAGGCGGGTAGGTGAATGGAGTCTGAAGTCTAGAGGAGGCTCATTCTACTTCTTAGACCAAAACAAGGGAGAAATGTTGAGTATCTCGCATTTATACCAACCATGGCTAATGTCTCACACCGCAGATATATCTACTAGACCTGCTCGGTTTACGGCAATACGACTGCGATCTAATTCCCAAATATGCAGCTACGGGTGTATCAATACAACTAACTACAAGAAGGGCAGTATGATTTGGAGAAGGGTAAGAAAGACACGGGAAGACAACTCATTCCCATATGATCTCCACGGCTTGCCCCAGACGGACGTGGGGTTGGCCAGGGACTACCATGTTACAGGGCAAAAGTGCGTTATCAAGCCATAAAGCTTGGATGCACCAATTGGCAGCGTTGGACCACACAGTGAATGTTGCACGAAAGCCAACGCCATTGCTCAAGACCGATTGGCAATTATATCTTGTAGCATCACAACACACAACAACCAACTCCATACCGAGTTATTAGTTGCTAGTTACCAGTTGCTACCACGCAGTGCGCTGTAGAACAAGATGAGAAGCCTCATCGAAGGGGGGCGTGGGGGGGTGTCTCTGAAAAAGCGTGGGAGGTTCCATCGTGGGCTTCGAACCGACATGGGGGCGCAAACGAAGGTGTGTGTGCGTGCGTGCGTGTTTATGATAATGAGAATGAGTCTCCAAAGGCTGGAAACAACTTTCATCACGAAATGAAAACTGCCGTGCTTATACGTGCGTCCGTGTACGTCTGTGTGTTGGGTAGGGTTCAGATTCATGCATTAACAGCGATGCTATTCTCTATAATCATTGCTTCTCTCAATGTAAATCCTATACGCGGTTGATCAGGAACTCTGAGCGAAGTTCTGGGCTAGATAACGAATCTGAGTCAATCGAGAAGTACGGGCATCCAATATCACTATGTTGCATTTCTCCAACAATGCCGCGAGCCAGCCAGCTACTACTATGTATATTGAATACCATTTATCAGCAACCCATCCCTTGAGTTGAGATACAGCCCGTCTTGACCTACAGTACCAGGCAACACGCCAAGTTTTCGGTGCAGATCAATAAGCTCAAACTTAGATTGCGAGGCAACAAAGCTGGTGAGAGTCTCATGTGTCTATTACTTAACTACTGCCCGACGACGGAGGCTGTTCACAACTCAACTCAAACTTTGGTGGTTGATGTAACATGATGTGATATCCTGCGAACCAAATGGCGCATTACCACCACTAACTCCACAGTAAGCAAGCCCCGACTGTGACTACCTACCTTATGTTACTGTACTCCCAGGCTTTGCCGAGAGCTCAAAGTCAAACCAGGTTCACCATTGTATAGAGAGGTCATTGAGCCATAGGTGTAACCCCATGACCATCTTGCAAATGCTCTGACCTTGGACCGTATTCAATAAGATGAATTGACTAGGTTGTTTGCGGGGTTGCAGAGACCCAACTCTATAGGCAATTTGCTTTGAAAGGAGCTATATCCACCCGGAAGAACCGACCGTTGCAGGGGATAATCCCACTCTCTGGTAGCGAACGATAGCCTCAAACAGAACAGAGGGGGAATCACCAGTCCGTCGTCTCCTGACCAACAAGGGCTGCTCGGATATACCGTAAAGAGGAAGAAGAATCCCAGGCGAATGCGCGTGATCACAATAGTCGAGAGCCTCCGTCCAGTCCGGGGTGAGGCTCGCCGAAGAAGGACCTACGATAAGCACGACATTCGAGTCCGATGCGACTCATCAGACTCTCGTCTATGAGCTGGCCCGGGCGTAGATGCTTTGCCTGTTTCCTTCCCGGCTGAATCGAGAGTTCGGGCCCCATTTCTTGACTGGGAACAGAGAAGACGGGTCTTTGGTCTCAGTCTCAGTCTCAGTCCCAGTCCCAGTCTCGTGAAGGAGTCTAGAATGGAGAGTGAAAGGTAGTTGGTTTCGGGGGATGAAGCAACCCATTCTCCGAGCGAACCAACATGCCTTGCCTCTCCAAGTTACCCAAGGGTTAAAGGTGAACCTGGACATCCATATCACAGCTAACAGAAAATTCAGTACTACCAACACCAACGCCACATACGGGACATGTCCGAGTCAAGATAGTATCGAAACTCTGTCCGGCTCGACTCATGGCGCGAGAAAAAAAGAAAGGAAAAATCCACAAGTAACTCAAGTTGTAGGCCTTTGATCCTCCTCATCTCTCCATATAATTTCAGCCTCCTTCGGCTGGCCCCCGGTTGGAATGGACTCGGGTACCAGATTCGAGACAACTGGGGCAAGGCCAAAAGGCTGGACTGCAAAAAAAAAAAAAGTGAGAGAAAGAAAAAAAAGACAAGGGGTCTTGTAGGGGGTGGTTCATAAATCGTAAATGGGATGGGCCCAGCAGAACGGTCCAACCTAGACAACCGGCCGTATCCCCCGGGAGCCCACGGTGAAGTCCCCCGAGCCCAGGGGATTGGATAGAACAACTTAGACTTTTGGGCCCTAGCAAGGGGGAAGACAGAAGGCCAAGGTCCAAGTCTCCGAGACGACAGCCTAACGTTGACAAGGATCTAATCAGTTTTAGCAGAGCGAGGGGCAGGGACTATCGTCGGTTTTTTTGGTGGTTTTTTCTTCTTTATCTGAATCCTTTTGTTCCCATCCCTTCCCTTCGCTTGTTGGAGTCGTCGCAACCACCCGACAACAAGCGGGGACTGTTAAAGGCCGGAGAAGTTCCAGAAGCCGCTCCTTTGTGACTCTCCACCCTGGCCAGCCAGAGGCATTTTAGTGTATGTTACATGTTTTATTTTAATTCTATTCTAGTGCTGCCAATTGGTTTGATTTGCGGTTGGGTATCATCGTCAATCCCCATAAACTCGCCGGGAGCAGGCACATGCGGTTTAAAAATCAGAAATTTTTAAGCCTCCTCCTCCTCCCAATGCGATCCACTCCACACCACAACCTCACGTTGCTTTGGCAAACGGTTTTTTCTAATCCCCTCCCGCTATGACATGTCTCACTTGGGCTCAGGGCTCAGGGCTCCTAATGAGAAGTTGGCTTTGATCCAGATAACGTCATTATCTCGCGTTTTGTGCTGGACTTGAAATTCTTCTTTTGGCGTGCTCAGTGGCGCTTATACCCTACCTTCGATCACGAAAACTCGCACACAAATTCCGGGGTTGAGTAGAAATCATCTCATTCGATGATCCTACACTGTGCCGTTTATGTCCTAATTATGTACAGGGATGTGATAATTGCTCAGCGATCCAGAAAACAAACTCGGGGGAACTGGGTCGTAAACAACGACTTTAGCCATTATTATCGTCGTCGCGGTTAGGAAGCAAAACCTAAACTTCTGGAGAAAGGGGTCGTCAACCGCAGTTACGAAGCGCTACGATCCGCAGTAAGAGAATTCCCCTCACCTCAGATCATTCAGATTCCCCATAATTGCAGGTCTCGATCGCATCAGCGCTGGCACCAAGACGAGGTTGCAGTGAGCTGAAAAATACCGTGCACCTAACCTGTGCGGAGTTTTAGGGAGTGTAGTTGATTGCCCTGATTGCGTCAAGGGAAAGATATTGCTAGCGGGCATCAGGGGATACGGTCCCGGAACTTTACTGGCGCCATATAACTCAATTCTTTGGGGGTCAAACCGCCGTAGCCACCGATCAGACATTGTTTCTGTGCTTGGGTTCATAACATGGAATATTTCCGAATTATGATGGGTTTGGTTCACTTCGCATAGTGCCTGACCGGAATCCAATTAGAACATCGACCCCTCGTCCGTGGCATTGCCGTTGATGCTTACAGGTACAGCCTCTAAACTCTGGTTGAATTCACCTGCGTGCCGGGTGTCGAAACACTTATCCCATACCAGCAAAGGGGAAGCGTCTCATGGCCATATCAGTCGAGATGCAGCTCCAGTGCCGTATGTGGCTTCGTTCTCTTCTCTCGGTCGCTGAGTACTGAGTACTGAGCAGTGGGTACGGATACAGTACTCTTGGCTCTTGTTGCATCACAGGAATGCACCCCCAACCCAAATCGTGGTGTTGTGGCCATTGTAGCTAGGTTTCGGCATTCCAGGACGTCAGCTTGCTTATGATGTGTTCATTGATGATGGTAAAACGGTACGGGTACGGTCCGTGGGGCCTTTTGTGATCGACGTTTAGCTGCCTCGAGGATCGACAAATTGTCCACATCATAACCCTGAAGGGACAAAAAGACCTCTCTCATTTGCTTAGCTGACAGATACTGCAGCTGCATTACGTCTCTGGTTATCCCTTTTTTTTGTCTGAGCAGCAGGCAGTACAGCTCACTTTCAGGGTTGATGCACCAGGGCCTGCGCAGAACTGGTCTCGAATTCTGCCTCTGCATCGTCATCATGACATTCCGACTGCCCTGGTTGCGCGCAAAGGTTTCAACCCATCCTCAAAATTTAATAATTATACAACCACTACAGCATGATTTTCAGGGGCAGGGCTTGGTTGTAATGTTACGTTCAATGCTTTGGTGGACTGGGCTTCTATCGTCAAGGTTCGTTCCTCAAACTCAGTTGAATTATCCTACCTGGCCATAGGGTAGTTCCACTATTCGAGGTGCAGAGGCCATCACCGCAAAGGCACAAGGTCCCGTGATCAATATCAAAGGTACATTGCCGAGACGTGGGCTGCTCAGGGCGGGATATGGGCTGTCAGTGTCTGACGAATGTACAATCACCGTGTTCAAGACTGCTGATATCAGGCGTGGCATGTTTGCTTCGAGTTCAGACAAACAAAGGGAGTGAGCGAGACAACAATCAAGAGACCACCAACCAACACAGCAGTACACCATCCACCAAAGCTCAAGTGACACCCTCCCACAACAACAACCATGTGCCTTTATCCCCTGGCCGTTGTACCGTACATGGTAATGTCGTACCTGAATGTTACGGAATGCTCAATTCGAATCATTGATTGGATGTCTGAGCTCTTTCAACGGCTACAGAAGCCGAGCCTGAGGTGGTGATCCCTGAATTGGTTGATCTTGATCCAAGACACTTCAATTGATCACCTAACAACACCAACAGCACATCAATTGCCAATACCTGCGAATACTCCCAGTGAGATAAAGACTACATATTAACGTTATCTTGAGATAGGAGCGGGCGTTGATGCTGATGGGTAGTTGCCCTCTTGCCTCTCAGACTCCTCCCTCATCTGTCTTGGACCTTCAAAGGAAGCCACAACCCACATTCGCGTTCGCGCTATACCCAAATCCAAACCCACCCCCTCACTTCACCCCAGAATCTTCCCCCAGGCCAAGTCCGAGATCCATCTGTCCCCCTCTCACAACCGCCAACCACTAACGATGCACCCCCAGCTTGATCAACACCTGCGATATCCGTATCACCTTCAACGTATCAACTCAAACCTCTCCTCCAAGAAACTCTTATCTTTCTTATCTGACCTTTCATATCTCCATCTCTGCCAGCCTCCAACCTTCGGCCTCCAGCCATGTCTTCAACTCCCTCGCCGATTGTCACAAACATGCTTATCAACCGTATTTGATGCGTTCGCCGTCGAGATGGGGTCGGCTCTCTGATACCAGTTGCATCCTTTCATTCGTATCTCGGTCGGTTTCCGATATACTTATTTTCGCCACACACGTATACAACCAGACAACCTACCCAGCCTTGGAGGCTTGGAGTTCCATAAACAATCCGTCAAAACCCGAGAACCAAGATCAAATATCAGAACAACAGGTCGTCCTTGGGCTCTTTACGCCATGGACCCATCAACCATCAGCCATAATCCACTATCTTAGTCAACTCTGTATAGCCATGTGTTTTTTAATGACAGCAAAATACATCGTAGTGAGTTCTCAAGAGTGGGCCGTAGGGACACCTCTGCAGTGAGACGCTCTTTGGCTCTGCAGGCAGCATTACAACCAAAACCAATGCACCTACAAGTCCGTTCTCATCTTTTGTTCGACCTAAGCCATTGGCCATTATGGCTTGCAGCGTGTGGCTCATAGGTTGCATCTGAGGGCGCAGTCATGGATGCGGATGCCCTGCGTAGAGTACGGCTCTCAGTTATTCAGCATCTCCGCTCACACAGAAGTTCAAGCTAGGGCACCTTGGCAGCGACTCCTCATCTTCAACCACCTTGCCTACCAAATTCATCCGGCTCAACTAGCATATGCCAAATCGCAAATGACCACGGGAAACCAACAAACTTGAAATCTCGCACTTCATATCACATCGAGATCTTTTCTAAAATTGGTTGTTCTGAGTTGGGCATAGTAGCTACCTCAAGGATTGTTTCGCGACCTTAACTACCTTGGTAGTCACAAACAAGCATCTGCCTTTGTCGGTCGAAGATTGGATGACCCCATTTGTGGCTCGTTTCAGAGATTGTGCGATACTTCGGCTAGGTATTGGTGAGAGTTTCCGCCCAATAGCCATCGTACCGATGGCTATTTCCAGTGTTGGTTCTATAACAGGGCTTTACTGATTCTACTGCCTAGCCAAGACTATCTTAGCTATAACAATATGTCTATGGGCCCGCCCACCAAAGACTCTCCAACTATCGATGGGTCTATTTCGGTCCTACCTCGCGTCAGTCGCAATAGTATACAGATTGAAATTCATCCGCGTCAGCAACTTCGTGGACCTCACATCTACTACGTACGTAGTGCTCATCAGAGTATCCTTAGTCGGATATACCCGCCTCGGGCCCTAGCTGCTGAAGTCAGAACTAATCAACAAAGACCCTGATCGACATAGAGATCGGCCGATGCCTGCAACACGCCAATCAACAAGACATAGTTGGCTCTGAACTGTCACGGCTGTGTAAAGCAACTGCTACACTTACGAACCTGTTTTGAGGAGGCCTTTCAATCCATTCCCTCAAGAGATTTTCTGGCAAGGGCAGATGGTGGCTAACATTCATTTGCTCTCCATATCCACAACGGGTTCATCATCTACATGACGTTCATAGTAATTGCCAACATAGGTTTTGTGGCTCTGAGAACATCATGGACGACTGTGATCTTTTATTTCTCCGCACTGGCGACTGCATAAACTTCGGCTAGTGTCGCTGGCGTGCCAACTTGGGCCTTGAACAGCATCGCTTCACTAGAAGAAGTGATCCGCCGCCAAGTCGACCCTGAAGTGTTTCTGGAATGGAATGCCTGATATCCCTTATCCCTCAATCTATTCACCTGAGATGGAGTAGAGCTAGGCAAATGGCCTTGCAGTTGAGCAGATACGAGCAAAGTGTGTGTGGAGAGAAATACTCATTTTGCATGAGTGCAACGGTAAGGATGTCACTCTTGACTGGCGCTCTCGGGATGCCGGTTCGGGAAGCTGTCCGGTCCTTGTCTATTATCATGATTGCTGATTGCGCGATAGGCCTCGAAAGCGATGGCTGGGAACCTGCAAAGACGATTCGTTCTTACTTGGTGAGAACAAAAAGACCATGATAAGATCGTGTACGCATTATTTTGTTCAATACACATATATCGCTGAGTACAGAAACCGCGCCCATCAATGCCCAACAATACAGTATGCTGTCAGCATGGTTTAGCGCCTAGGCTATCTTTGATACATACTCTTCTAGGACATCCGTGTCGTATCGGAATATTCACGCATGCATTGCTATAACCTCTTGTCTCCCTTCTCACCACCAGCACAACACAGCCTAGCCTCAGGACTAAGATCTCAAACAAGGCATAGTTTGGGTAATCGAACCAATCACCAGGCACAACTGCCCCTCGGTTTTTTTTTATAGCACATCGGGCTAGCCGAGATGTCTTGATCTTGAAGACTTGAATGCAAGTCATCTCGGACCGAGCAAGTGGAACTTGTCGACTTCTGAGTTTTCCCTTAACGACAAGAGAGAACTAGAGTCTGGAGTCTAGAACTGGACATCGAAATAGGTAATTTGTGGTTCTCGAATGGCTAAACGGGTGCCTGTTGGAGTTTCTGCATCCAAATCTCGATTCTTCCTAGTAATATGATCCTATTGCTGGGATTAACCAACAGGATCCATGTTTATCAATAGAAATCATCCTTTAGCATGTGAAGGTTCGTTCGTTCATTCACTTACATCCCTCCAGTATGCAGGACTGTGCGATGATACAATGGCCAACAGAATCATGAAAAAATAGGAACATTACGAAATCCTTGGCGATGAGGCCCTTTGAGAACCGGAATGTGGTTATCATGACGAATTCTGCAAGACATCGCCTGTTGACGGCAACTTTCCTTTCCCTCGCCCCATTGTTGATGTTATCTCAACACCCCTGGTAACTCGATTGCAACCATGTTTCCATGAAGCCTTTTCTCTCTCACAACTCATATTCCTCAGCCTCATACAGGCCTATCGACTCTACACTTTAGCCACTTCTCTTGTCCTTCCCCATCTTGAACCTCCACACCCCATCCACGCAGAAACCCCAGTCTCCGAAGCGCTGCAGAAGAGCCTAATTGGAGATAGCCCCTTTGTGCAGGACTGCAGGTGCTTGATGCGCGTTGCATATTAACCTAGACGCCAGACGATCCCATCTAGAGCCTCCCCTCCTAGGGCTGGTGTTCCCGTTCCCGCAACCCGTTCTCTGGACTTGCAGCGCGGACCCTGGCAATTACAAGGGAAAGGTAAACAACAGCAGCAATATCATATTCACTTATAGTGGTCGAGGTTCGCGACGGCCGGCCTCAGAAGGCCAGCGAGTCTGGACAGCCATAAGCGATATTCACTATTCACATTGGATCCTACCCACGATTAGGTAGTCTGTGTTTCCGAATTACATCTCTTGCAGCTGAGGGAGAAGCTCCGGACCCGCACCGAGGGCCTTTACGATTAATAGGCCACTCTGCTATATACTGATTGTCAGGTTTTTCTCTCGCCACTGTTACGTTTTCAAGTTGCAAACTTTGGTAGCATTCGAACGAGAGATCAGAGCTGTTTTGTTTCTCGGATTCTTTGTGGATTCCTAAAATTCGCCGAATGCGCCCTTTGAGCCCTGTCATCGAAGATGAACCTGGCATGAGTTGCGAAGCCCACTAATCTTATCACCCATCGCCATCTTTAACTCTCGCAATTGACGCTGCAGAGATCGTATGTCTGGCGATGCTGCATCTCACTGATAACGCAAGTCAAATGTGGCTTGCAGACGTTATTCATGGCTGAATCACGCATATATGTGTGTATGTGAGGTATGGCAGATGGTAGATCGGTCAGGGGAATTTACGTGGGATGGCAACACCCCTACCTGCGCGAAGGGTTGCGGAATACTACACCGAGGTGGCCTAATTCATGATTCTGTCAATTTTGAGGTTTGTAATATGTAACCCTGGACTCGGTATGGCGGCAAGACTGGGGGGGCCTGAAGAGGTCATGGAAGCACGGCACCGAAAGAGGATAAAAGGATATGTAAACGGCTCTCTTTGTCTTTGAGGAAGGATTTGAAAGAAAGAGATGTTTAACAGGTTTGTAAATGTGGGAATTGGTATAAGAATATCGTGATATGACGAAGATTGATACCGTCACTTACACATGCAGCCACACCAAGAGCCCACTTGAACCGTTATTATAGAGAACGTGTAAAGAAAGCATTTTCCTCCTGTCTTTCATTCGCTATCAATTCAATTGTCTCAGGTAACAGATTTGCCTCTCCATAGCCTTGGCTCTGGTTCTTCCAAGCTACTGTACACAATGGGGCGCGCGTCAGCTCCAATGCATGCGCGACGCAATGCGGATGCAAGCCAAGGGTATTGATAAAACGAGTGCAGTCCAACGGTGATGCCGTGAAACCACGCACCAAATCCCCTTCAAAGGTCGTTCCCCTAACGCGAAGGATAGTAGGGATGCAGTCCAAAAGAGACTCTAGAGGGGTGCGCTGCGTTGTCCAAGAGGGAGTCAGGTGTCCGCACAACCGCAGGAGGGTGTCCAAGATAAGATGCCCATCGACCTGTTCCCCACGAGTGCACGTAGGTTGTAGGGATGCTAGGGGTTCATCATGTTGATTGATTCATTGTGAGGGGTGTGCCACGTCTTGACCCGTTCAGCCACGCATGGAAGGGATGGCATCTTGTGAGCTTGTTGTCTGTGTTCTGTTTTCTGTTGTTACTGTACTGTACGTTGAAAACAAGGCAAAGCCAAGAAAGAGCTCTCTATACAGTACTGTGCATGGTCTGCAACGTTATGTGTGTATCGTGGATCTGCTAGGATATCCCCAACTTGCGCTGACCGGCTGCACACTCCCAAACTCCAACCCCAACTCCAACTCCAAAAGAACCCCGCGACCTGTTATCGCAACTAAAAATATAGTCAGATATCATGAGAGCGTCATCGTGCCTGAACGGGTCGCGGCAAAGATCATCCGGCCACTAATCGACTTGGAGAATGGATATGTCGAGCGATAAGTGAAGAGTAAGCGCCTTATTATTAACGGCCATATCCCGACGAATGCGACCCTGTTTTCGATTGTAGAGAGTTGCATTCGTCGTAGGCCTAAGCGCCTTGGTTTGCTTGTATTGTCTGTGGGTTTATTTTGAGTTTCTGGCCTCGTGCTATGTACTGCAGTGTATAGTACGTTGCAGCACAGCACAGCACTGCATGTAGAGGGATGGAAACCTCCGGCCGTCCGCCCGGCCGTCTACGACATCCGGGGTCCGAGATCAGCCCGGCGACCTCAACACCAAAGTCGACATCGACATCGACATCGACCGACCGACCGACCGACCAGGCTCTAAACCCTCTCGGCAAAGGCAACCTCACTTGGTAGACGGAACGAGGCGCAGAACATTCTCTTGGCCGGCGCAACGTCTCGCACATCGTAGATGAGGACTTCGCCTTGGTTCTCGGGATCGCCCGGCTTGAGCAAGACGCCAATTTCCTTGCGTATTCGTTCGCAGATGTCATTGAGCGGCGTCTCGTCGTCAGCCTTGACCGAGAAGCAATGCACATGCACCATGGGCAGCTTGGTCTCGGTGTGGGGCTCGAACAGCTCCTCGCGGCCGTGGTATAGACCGCGGTAATTGTGAGTAAACTCAATGGCGGATGCCGGGAGGTTCATGACAAAGTGGGAAATGGTAGGCGGCACAGGCACTCGGGCAGGCTCCGGAGGCGGCGCCGCAGAGCTCCTTGGCTGTCTTGGTGGTTTGATAACGGCGCAGTCACCACGCTTTGACGCCTCGAAGACAAGGTCTGCGGACGTGCGGATGAAGTCGTGGCCATCATAGTTAAAAGGTTTCACGAACTCCGAAACCTACAATCAGACGTTAATATCGAACCATGATGAGACGGCAGTGAGAAGGGAGAATGAACTAACCTTGTTCTTGCGAATCGCGTCCTCAAGGTAACGATAGCTCTCTGGGTTCTTGTCGTTGGCCCAGACGAAGACGCCTTTCTTACCAGCTGGAACAGCAAAGGGTCCGATACCAGCCATGGCATCTGCCACAACCTCGCCCGGCTTGAAAAGACCTGCGATTCTCTTGTGCTCGGTGTCGAGCTTGCTGTTCCAGTATACTTTGGAGTAGTCGAATTTGAAGACACAGCCGGCCTCGCTGACCTCGACGTTCAGATCATCAGGACCCCCGAGGACTTCGTAGGCAAAAGTTCTGAACTCGTTCTCAGAGCCAACGTTGTCGATCTTGTTGATGACGGTCTTGATGTGCGGGTTCTTGTCAAGGAGGACCTGGGCGATGATGTTTTTGTAGGGCAGGTATTGATCTCGGATATTGAGATGGGCTGTCTCGTCAGTAGTGATTCTGCTAGCTCTTGGACGATGAAGAACATACCAACATGTCCCACTGTGTTGAAGCCACTTGGGATCTCCTCGTGGAGTTCTTCCGGGAGGATAGATTTCATGACATCCACTTCCTCTTGTTAGTCTCTCCATTTGTGATTTGATAATATTCTGACATACTGTAAGACCAAGACTCATAACCAATCTCGATATCGTATGGCACAACTCTGATATCACCAACTTTGGAGGCTTCTTGAAGGATGAGACTCCATGTCTCAGGAGCTATAAACTCGCTTATCAGTACCTCTCAATCCCTTTGGGTGATATGACTTTGCAACTCACATGTAGACTTTATCTGAGGAGCCAAAACGATACACTTCTTGCCCTGAGAGGCAAGTGATGGATCAGGGTCAGGTAGAATAGGGTTGAATCTCTCCATAAAGAGAACCTCGTTCGTTTTCTCAAGCTCTTTTCTATACTTTGACAGGAGCCTGTTCTCTTTGATAGAGGCCGCTGCAGCGTTAAGAGTCTTTGCGAATACAGACCTATCGAGTGTCTTTGCCGCGCGAGCGGCTGGTGCTCGGAAGAGATTCATTTCTCGTAGTTGAGAGTTTTTCTAAGATTATTTTAGTTATTTATCAGTTTATTTTATATGCATTGCCCTATATTATAGTGACAGGAAGCTCTTGTTTAACTGACATCCATAGTGAAGCCTTAGTCCTCAGGTATCGTTAGATTTTTGGCGAAAATGCACTGACTGACTTCGACTGATAATGAGTCAAACAAGGGTCCCTTCCCTCAGAAGGTGCAAGTGAGGCTGGGCTGGGCTGTTTAGGGCTTTGCACTCTACAGAATTTCCAAGATACCTACCTTAGTTTATGCACAGCCACACAGGAGCGCCACACTTTAACTTAGACACATTAGTTAGAAGGCTGGGATAGTTTGAGGTGATGTCACGACTCTAGGATATTCACGTTCAAGACAGTTTCTGTACTATAAAATTGAAAGACCATCTTACAATTACTCTGTGATAAAGTACAAGATATCTCTTTGAGAAGTATACTGAACTGCGACGTTGGCCATCATGTCTAGGAAACGTACTCTAGATGCCTTCTTCAGTCCTACAGTAAAGAAACCCAAAACACAAACAGGAACAATCACTTCAGGTGATACAATCCCGGATGAGGTGAGAATATTCAGAAATTACTTCAAAAAGATTTTCTAACATAGAACATAGACAACATTCTCAGAGCACCAATGCTACCCTCATCCCATAAAGAATCTACCAGCCTATCTAAGCAAGGAGCTGGCTACGCTCCCAGACCAGCCTGGAAGGGAAATCAATGACCAACCTGACATGGATCTTTTGTACTTTGAGCCATTCATCACGGCTCCTGTATCTCGAAGACTCTTTGAGTTTCTTCGTACAGAACTGCCTTTTTACAGAGTCGAGTATAAGATCAAGCGTGGTGGTATAGAGACCCAAATACGAACGCCAAGGTAAGTAAGCATAACGGTCTTGACAGTATTATACTCACCTTTGCTACTAGATGGACAACTGTTTTTGGTCTCGATGAAACGTCCAAATTTAACGACAAAGGTCTTCCTGAAGATGCTAGCACGGGCTTAAGAGCAATGGATAAACGATACGCCCAGTACCGTCCAAGGCCGATCCCCAAATGTCTCGATGAGCTTCGCCGTAGGACTGAGTTGGCCACGGGCTGCATGTACAACTTCTGTCTTGTGAATTACTATGCTTCCGGCTCAGACAGCATCAGCTTCCACAGTGACGACGAACAGTTTCTAGGTCGCGACCCGGCCATCGCTTCTTTCTCACTAGGAGCACGACGAGATTTCCTTATGAAGCATAAACCGCCGCCCCCGAATAGTGTGAACCCACCTGTCTTGAACTCGAAGCCACTCAAACTACCGCTCGGAAGCGGCGATATGGTGTTGATGAGGGGAAGGACGCAATCAAACTGGCTGCATTCTATACCGAAGCGCACAGGGAAGAACCAAGAAGACGGCGGAAGGATCAACATCACTTTTCGAAAGGCTATGGTCAAGGGAGGAACAGAGAATTACTACAACTATAATGTCGGGACCGGGCCGGTGTATAGATGGAACAAAGAGGCCCAAGAGATGTTGGTATGGAAATCATGAATTCCAATTAGAATTAGTCTATGGTATATGATATAGAGAACGACAAAGAAAACCGAAAGATGGCAACATATCTATTTGCCATGGCGCATCTGGGCTCTGCCGTAGTGTTGCAGAGCCTTGAGGAACACCTGGTACCCGGACCTCTCATTGTCTTGCAGGCAAAATATCTCGGTCAATCTGATTTGCCACGGAGGATAACCGGACAACTCAAGGTAGGGACCAAAAGTGACTAGCAGATCAGGCTCAGCCATGATACCCTCGGAAAGCTCAGCATCAATCAGCTCCATGGAAATGTCACGAGGAGCGAGCTTGCCTCTCTGAGACATCTCGGCCAAGGTGCGGGTGAGATCGACCATTGAATCACGTCCATCTTGTTCAGAGACCAGGTGAAGACGGAGGTGTTCCTTGGGCTTACCGCCAAAGGGTGATGGAAAGTCTTCCTTGTGTGGCGATGTGACAGTGAGACCTGGATGCTCAGGGCCAAAGTAGAAAGCGAACTTCTGGTTGACAGCATCGTAGACGCGAGGCAGGTGCTTCTTGAGAATACCTGTCCCCCTGTTAGTATAAATGGATCAAACATCACATGCAAAATTACTTACCAGTCTTCTCGTAAACAGAGAGCATGGGTATCTCGGCGCAGGCGCACCATGTCGCAATCTCGGCTACCTCGTCCAGAAGTCGTTCGACGTCGGCCTTGGTGCGATGGTTCTCCTCGAGCTTCAGAATGACACTCAGATGCTTGGGTTTCTTGGTTAATCCCAGCAAGTCCTTCTTGATGTACTGTGGTGTTCCGTGGTGATATTTGACCACCGATGAGATCTGGTATCCGACGACATTCCATGTTTGGCGAATCTTGATGTAGAGGGAGAAGATTCCGTGCATGACGGCAAAGATGAGGACGTGGAGCTGGTGTAGGATGAAGCGACGGAGTCCCAATCGTGACCTTCGCTGTGGTAGAGAGCCGGAGCTACGTGTAGGCAGAGTATCGTTCGGCTTTGGGAGATAGGACTATCAACAATTAGTTAGTTGAGCGCATTACAGCAGTTATCCGCACATTGCGATCGTACCTGAAGCATCCTTTGTTTCTCCTTCTCGGATAGAAGCTCGTGGCGTTTGGTTTCGTCGGCCCTGTAGGCCTGACGATCGCGGGCCGTCATGAGAGGCATGGCTGTAGATGTGCAGCCTCCAGCAGGCGATTGCGGTTGTGGATCGGGTGTTTGGGGTGCTCAGGTATTGGCGACAAACTTTTAATGTAAATATATACTCGAGATCAGGGATTGCGATCGTGCAGTGACTGAGAGTGGGCTGGCAGGCTTATAAGTATAAGTCCCAATAAGCTTTGACGGGTGAATGTGGTCAGACGTGTCGAATCGAAAGGCAAAGGCCAGGAAAAAAGTCGTGGCGGTGCGACACAACCGGTTACGTCGCTCTACTCCACTGTAGCTCTTGGCTTTGGGGTTCACGTATGTGCCTGTGGCTTAGCTCTTCCACTGGAACCTGGCAGCTGATAGCGGGGCTGGGCGCTGTATCTGAGCCTCTGGAGCTGCCCTGCGACAGTGGGCATCAATCCATCCATGGATGCCACACCTAGGTAGGAGGAACCTAAGCTAAGGCCAAGGGAAGGTATCTCAACCTATCGCCATTGTCTCAACATCATGAACCATTTATGAGCCACGACGAAACGAGATCGACGACGTGACTCGGCGAATAGTCTACGCTACATCCTCCCCCAGTATCCGTGTATTTCCTTCTACACGTATCGACTGTCGATGATCCCTCTCCACATGTAGCGCCTCTATACTCGTCAGCATCAACATCATGGAGCGCACTGCTTCCGGCCCAAAGAGCCTCTTCCCACGAGGACCGAGCTTTACCCTCGACGACTTCTCTAACAAGGACTTCATCGTTCGTGACTTTGTCGACAGTCTAGCAGAGAGCTCCGTACCCTCGAATCGCCGGTCTGATACTGCGCAAACACCTTTCGACCCAAAGCCCCTGATTCGAACCTTTGAGAGTAGGACCAACAACACTCTGGCTTTTCGGCGCCGAGCCAATTATACTGACTCTAATTGTTAGATGCCCTCGATCAACTTGGCTCGCTTGGGGCCGAGCTCCAGGAGAAGGAGTCGGAGCTCATGTCGCATGTGCGCCGCGCAGAGGTCGCCCACGATGCAACACTCGAAACGCTAGGAGAGAAGCTCGACGAATCTATGCGGGCGTTTGAACAACTCGACCTCTCCCTTAATCAGGAACACTCCTATAAAAACGGAATCGGACTCAAGTCACACGCTGGCGGCAATGTTGCGCTTCAAATCGGCGAGAAGCTCGAAGATCTGGACAAGAAGCGACGACGTGCCAACGATGCCATATTCCTAATTCAGTGCTGGACAGAGGTTAGCGAAACGGGCAAGCTGTCACTATTACAAGATGTCCAGAGACAGGCCGGATCTGAGCACAAAGTGCGGTGCGCCATGATTGTTCGACAGCTCATGCGCATCAGCCAGCGACTAGATCCGACATCATGGGGCCAAACGAATGGCCAACGAAATGGAGGGGTTTCAAACGGCGTAGTGGGCAATATAAGACTCCATAACACGAGAGAAGTGTTGGAAAAGTTTTGCGAGACGCTCGAACAAGATCTTCTACAACAGTTCGAAAACAGCAACAAAAAGGGCAATTATAGCGACATGATGGAATGCGCAAAGGTTCTGTATGACTTCAACGGGGGTGCCAGCGTCATCGCGACCTTTGTCAACCAGCACGCCTTCTTCCTGGACCGTGATCAGCTGCTTGCCGACGAGGTTCAAGTGGATAGCGATACATGGGAACAGTTGGCAGATCCCGATTCAGAACCACCAACGGTAGAACCAAGCTTACAGAACCTGCTGGATGAGATCAAGATCGTCATGCAGGACGAGTCCAACCAGATCAAGCTCATATTCCCATACTACGAAACAGTGCTCATCAAGTTCATTCAACGAATATTTCAACAGTCAATCCAACAGAGGCTCGAGATGGTATTGGATGAAACTCTAAAGATTTCCTCACTGGCTTTCCTGAGGGCTTTGCACTCGTCGCGAACCTATCTTGGGTCGTTAGTGGAAGACCTCAAGTCCCACGGTCTAACAGAACACCCAGAGCCTTGTTCAGCTCAAATAGCACACACCCTCGACCAGCAGATGGAAGAGCTTTTTGTGCCATATATGATAGGCAACTCCTACATTGACAGGGAGAGGAAGAGCTTGGAGGAAATGTATAGCTCCCTGCTCTTCAAATACAGCATATATCATTCAAGACGGAAGAAGGCTCCTACTGGGTTCATGGCATCGCTTGCTCAGCAGGGCACGCAGCTCATTGCATCCGCGAAGGATGCCTACCTCGAGCGTCTTGACTCGTCAGAGCTTACAACCACGCAAAAGCGCATGATGTTGCGCGTTGCTGGTGTCCAAGATAAAGACAAGGACAACAAGAACGAGATCGAAGTCTCGGAGGAAGACGGTGCGTTGAGCGTTGCCAATGCGAAACGTATGCTCAAGTGGCTGGCTGAGAGTGTTCAACGTACACTTGAGCTTGGGTCCCAGACTGATACTCCCAAGGATGTGAATACTCTCCTTAACCTGCTCTTGACGAGCCTGGGTCGGGTTTACGTCGAGACAACCCTGGACGCTGCTCTCGACTTGATCTCTGTACAAGAAAACATGAAAACCGAGCCTGATCTATCATTCTTGCCAACAATACAACCTGCTGTCACAATCACAAGCCTCATGGATCGATTCATCACAGTCGTCCTCATCCGGCTTGCGGAATCAAATACAACAGTCAGGCGGAGTATGGAGGCACAGAAGAGGGTAGCCATTAGTAACATTGAAAAGAAGACAAACGATGTCATGAAGGGCACCATTGACGTTATTTCCAACTGGGTGACCAAGTCATTGGCTGGTCAAAAGAAGCAGGACTTTCGACCAAAGGAGGTCGAACTCGACTCGCTACAGACTCAAACGTGTCTCAACATCTGCACATTCTTGGCCCGCGCCCACCGACTCGCTCGCCAAGCTATCGATGGCCAGAACTCGGAGAAGTTCTTTACTGAACTAGCCTTGGTGCTCCTCAAGCTTCTTTTTGAGCATTTCAAGAAGTTCCAGGTCAACGCAACTGGTGGTCTCATGGTAACGCAGGATATTGCAAAATACGTATCCACGATGCGCGAGTGGCCTGTAACCAAGGAGGTTGGCTCTGCCGTTGAGATGCTTACTGAGATCGGCTCGCTCTTCATCGTCGGGCCCGAGGCACTGCGTGAAAAGACACGAACGCTGGCTGCATCGGGCGGGAGGGGGAAGTTGTCGAGGGCAGACTTCAGGGCCTTCGTACAGAGGCGTGATGACTCGGGAACAGTGGGCATTCAGGGCGTGTTGAGTGGCCTTTGAGGGGTGGTGTAAGAGGCGGATTGCGGGATACTCTGTGTTATAAGTAGCAGAGGGTTGTCTTTTGTAGCCATGGATGCATTTAATGAGATACCATGCTCTCAAATCCACGACTCAAAATCGAACTGTGTTTGAAGCGAACAGGGTGAAGTTGCTCACAGGTCCCGTCTCATGCCACCAACTCTACCCGTCTTCTCATCGATCTTCTCATCGAGAAAGTCGATGATTTCACAAGTATTCATCAACTTCATGAGCTCAGCGCGCTCCTTCTTTTCCAGAAGAGAAGTCTTGTCAGATCCCATGCCAGGTGCCGTCATCTCCATGACGTGGTGCTGAACCAGCTTGAACGGCACAGGAGCTTGCGCAACTTTGCACATAAATGTCTCCACGGCTTCCCATGGGCACGACGAGTAACCGGCAAAGATAGCCGGGTTGGCAAGCAGACCGCGGGCGGACATGAAGCCTGAGAGGTGAGTGTTGTTGGGGCGTGGCGTGTTCACGGCGGATGTGGTGTCGTTGAGAACGAGCTTGTCTGGTGAGGGAAGGGGGGCGTCGTTGTTGGTGGTGATGGTGGGTTGAAAAGGAAGAGTAGAGAGGTCAAAGACATCTCCAGAGAGGAGAATAGGTAGGATTTTTGAGTATTTCTCCGTGAGTATCTCAAGTGCTTCAGTCCGGATAGGGGTGGTTGATGGCGTTGATCTTGTCCGTGGGTGAATAGTGAGCCAATCGATCTGACGGTTTTGAGGATGTCCTATCACTGTGTCTATAAAGTCCATTGTTTGCCTTGAGAAGTAAGTATACTCTCATGTGCATAAAGAAAGATAGGAAGCATTACCTGAGATCATTGTGTATCCTGATCTTCACACTCACACTTCGACCTTTTGGGCTATCAATATCCTTCTCGAGGCCAACGCCCCATCCATCGCTTGCCAGACGCTGCCGAGTCTCGACCACCATGTCTCGGACCAGCTCACGATGATTCATCAGAGCAGCACCCAAAGTCTCGGCGCAGGCCCAAGACTGAGGACATCCGCAGTTGAGATCAACGCCTTGGGTGGAGGGCGCGACGAGAGCTGATGCGCGAGCAAGTTCCAAGGGGTCGTTTGCGCCGAACTGGACGATAGTTGGGGGTTGATTAGGTTGCGTAGAGACAGTTAGATCTGTTTATCGAGTTAATTTGAATTTTTTTGTCGGGAATGTTAGCTACTCACCACTGTGTCGAGCAAAGCTACTGCGGTTGAACTCCTTGGCAAGGATCATAGGGGACCAACAAAAATTAACTCCATACTTGTGAACTGTTTGTCGAAAGGCAAGCTAATATGTATGAGTAGCTATTCAGAGTATAAATTACACCATTAATACCTTTCCATATCGGACCATAGGCGCGAGAGCGTATAAAAAGCGATCCTGCTTCCTGGCGATATCAAAAATCTTGAGTGGACTATTCCGACATGTTAGTAGGGCATACCCTGGACATGTCAAAGTGGTGATGCGGCAATGTGAACTTACTGGGCAGACTCGCCCTTTTTGCCGAGGGACATGATGGGAAAGGGACCTCGAAAGGCTAATATCTTGATACAGTTTGCGATATGACTTATGGTCGAGTAGATTTGTACATAGTGCTTAGATCAGAGGAGAGGTTTTTTGTGCAAGTCTCGGGCACGTGATCAGGAGTAAACTACCAAAAGTAAGTAGGCCAATATGTTACATCTGTTCAAATCCATATATGTGAGCTACTTCTTTAGGATGTGGTCGCTAGAACATAGTGATTGCCCGCAGAATCATCCGACTCTGGTGCAAATATGCTATCAGCATCGCCTTCCACCTCCTGGACCTCCCACTCGCCCAGCAGCCTCTCTCTCTCCAGAATCACAACCTCTAGCCACTTCTTCTCGGCAGCCATACGTCTAGTCATCTCGGCTTCCTTCTCTTTGCACGAGTCGTCAAGTCGGTGCTTGGTACTATACATGAGCTCCTCTCGGTAGGTCTTGTTGTCCTCGAGTTTGGCTCTGAAGGCCATGAGTTGCTCGGTCTTCCACTTCTGCCACGCGTGATGTTTCTGGTCCATACCCTTTCTCAGAGAGAGCATCGCGGCCTCAATCTCTTGTTCGCCATCCTTCTTATCCTTCCAATATGCTTGAAGCCTTTCGTTGTAGGCTTCTTCGAGTATGTTCTCCTCAGCTGCTCGAACTTGGAAGTCTTTGTTCAATGCTTGTTCCTTCTCAGCCATCTTGGCAGATATGCGAGTTTCCAGGTCAGATCGTTCCATTTCTTGCTTCCTTACCAAGTCATTCTTCGCAGTTTCAGTATCAATGATCATGATCTCGGCCTCCTTTTCTTGGTCGACTTCCAATAGCACTTGTTGCAACTCATGTAACTGGTCGAGTAAGATCCGCAGCTCTTGATACTTAATCTCGATATCCCTTCTGCGTATACTCTCCTGCCGTACTCTTTCTTCGAGCTCACGCTGTCGGCGTTCTTCCTCTAATCTTTCCTGTTCTTGCCGTAGCAGCTCAGCCTTGAGAGCTTCCTCACGCTCGTACTCCTCAACCTGCAAGAGTGCTTGCCGTAATTCTTCAGCCTCTGCTAACTCATTGACCCGTCTCTCTTCTCGTCGAGCAGCAGCTCCATCTTTGACTGCTTGAAGATTCTCCATTGTGCAGGTGCAAGTTCGCCATCGACTGCTACAGACATAGCAGAACTGCGTTCCACATCTGCAAGTCATGTGTTGACAAGCTTCTCTGTGCTCAACCAAAGCATTGCAGTTAAAGCATCGCTTCCAGCCCTCATCTTCAGCCAACTGGTTGGTGAGGTTCATATCAGCATCCTGGGGACACTCCTCTCCTGCATGAGCAGGTCCGCGACACAATGTACATGTTAGATGAGATCTATCACAGAGACCTTGCCGCCGGCCAGGGTCGATACGCTTGGGCTTGATCCAAAGGCTGCAGTTTGGGTCACTGCAGTAAACTCGATCGCTGATGGGGAGCTCCCATTCTTTCGATCGATCCTCAACAGTCTTTTTGAGGTTTGAAGGAATGAATCGTAAAATGGTCTTGAACGAGATTTCGTTCAGGCAGCATTTCGGTGGCCACTGTTGCTCGTTCTGGCATGCTGTAGAAACAAGGCGAACAAAACAATCATGACAATAGCTATGGCAAGGCACTTTGACAACATCCTTAGGATGGAAGTCGTCTAGACAAGATACACATTCGCTAAATTTGTTAGTGAGTTAGAGTAGCATATGATATTGAAACTTACACTAGTTCAACAGAACTGGACTTTGTTAAAAGGCCAAGGACTTCTCTGTTGCGCTCGACGTCTGCGGCTTCTTCTCGCAACACAGCAAGGGCTGCACCTGTGGCGCTACTTTCGCCTTTCTCATTGCTGCGCTGAAAGAAACGACGAAGCGCGAAGATACGCCTTTTGTTGGCTTTTGCATCGGTATTGGTGACAATGCTGGGGCCAAAAGTAGTCATGAGTATCTTGGGCCGGATCTTGGGCGGAGTTTGAGCAATGCTTTCCTTTTCTTCGACATGAATCTCGGTAGGTATGATGACAGGTAGATAAGGTTCTTTGCTTTTCCCCTTGTCATTCTCCTCAAGCTTTCTTTGCTGTTCGAGCTCTTCCTTCTGGCGATCTTCTTCGAAAGTTCTTGTCTTGACATTTTCGAGTGACGAGTGAAGTATGTTGAGTAGTACCTGAGATGTAATATTGGGAGCTTTTCTCAAGGCTCCAGGCGGGTCGTATTTATGCCAGTCAAGATCAACAATATCAAGACTGGGTAAGTTGTTGACCGACCAAGAAACTCTTGGTTCTCGTTCCTTCCACGCTAATTCCAGTTTTTCAAGAGTTCCGAGAGGATTATCATAAAAATCAATATAATCTTCAGGCCCAAAAGTGCCAGGCATGAGGGGTTGATCACGGCTCAAGCCAGCCATATTTACGGCTATTGTCGACATGAAAGACTGTGATCCAACACAAGGGATAGCGCCTTTACTTCTGCAGAGGAATCCAATATTCCAATAAATAAAGTTGATATTGTGTCTCGCAAAACACCAAAGTGAGGATATGATTGACTGGCTGAAGGTGTAGACGGTGTTGATCATGCGACGGAAAGCTACTTCGTAGTATATAACAGGATGGATGGAGAGTTGGGAGTTGATTAGCGTCAAATCCAAGAGGATTGGTAGTGGCCCGATGTAAGTAAGTTGATCGATCACTCATCTGTCGGTTGGGGCTCTATGTAGAAGAAAGTGCCACAGGAGCAGGCCAAGGGTCTTTAGTGTTTGAAAGTACTCTCCAACATATGTTATGGTCGAGCTGTCACCTCATTGATTCAACTAGGCTGTCTAGGCATCTCCCAACAGGCAGAGTCAGCCCTGGACGAAGTCCTAAAGGAAGATATCATGCCCTGGAATGCCTAGAGATGGAGCAAGGTACTCGTGAGAGTGCAGCCACACCAATGAAAGGTTCCATTTCGTGGCACGCTCACATTAGTCTGTCCATATCTGGACTATCTGGGCTGCTCCCGCAGTAAGCGGGCGAGGTGGCACAAGCTGCTGAGGGGCCATTAGGAACGCGGCCGAGTCTCAGCTCATGGTTCTAGCGCGTCTCGGGAGAGGGTGCGCGTGGTCTGAAAGGGGATCATCGTATTCTGAAAGAGGCGATGCAGGCACTAAACACAGTAGGGGTTTGGTGAAGCCGAGGTTTGCAAGTATTGATGGTTTACAGAGTATTAAAGGTTGAAGTTGAAGATGGTTTGTATGGGTGGAGTTTGGTAACGAAGGCTGGACAATTGGCCTAAGTTACGGTGGGTGCAGCACTGGGCAGTGTTGTAAGCGGAAGCACCTTCTCTCAGTTCAGCCCGGGGCATGCTACAGGTAGTATGTAGACTCTGGGGAAGGCGACAGCCTCTGTTTACCTCTACTATCTAGCAGGGTAGAGAAATAGAAGGGGGCAATAAGTGTTTTATATATATGAGATTCTCATTGGCGGCTATAGAGAGAATATCGTTGGTGTTGTACAAGCATTTGGCCGACGTGTCTCCACAATATTCTCTTTATTTCCCCAGTCTATCTCTATCTTGAACTTCGATGATTACATCAACACTTTACTTGTTCAACCTCGGTCAATTATCTCGTCCACCAAATTCACTTCAATATGGCCCGTCTCTCAGGACTCCAGAAGGAGGTATTGGCACTCTACAGGAACTGCCTTAGGGAGAGTCGAAAGAAGCCACAGGTACGAGCTAACGACATTATGTTAGGTTCTTTATAATTGACTCTGAGATATAGGCTACCCGTCCACATTTTGAGAGCTTTGCCAGGTGAGTTGCCAACAACAAAACGACTTTTTCGTAATTGGCGTTCTAATATCCACCATAGAAATGAGTTTCATCGAAACTTGGCCATAGATAAGCGTGACTTTGCTGCTATTGAGTTCCTCCTAAGAAAAGGACGACGTCAACTTGAGTCCTATGGATCACCCGGCATCAAAGACATCAAATAAACAATAAACCCGCCCCTTCCTCCTCTCCTATGATTGACCATGGCTTCAGCCAAAATCCAAAATGCGGCAGGAGATGCACACAATTACCGTCCTGTATAGTCCTTCCAAACTTTCGACCGGGCCCCTGGGCTCGGGCTCTTTTACGACATACAATTGCTTCTGGCTCAAGCTCTCTCTTGCATCACCAATACATTGCTACTATTTGCTCTATGATTTCCACATAACCAAACCCTTTACTTCTTCCCTTGGCCCTGAGAAACATTGGGAAACTACATAACTTGCATCTTGCAAAATGGCTACAGCAGCATCTAACCTCGGTCTTCATCATGCTCCACCACCTGTGCCCAACGCGCGCGCGGCTCATTCTATCAGTGACAGCTCGAGGCCTCGTGGGCGTGTAGTGTTTACCTCAAGACGTCCCTCCCACGTGAGACAACAAAAGAAAAGCATATCTCGCCACGGCTGTCGTTCAGTCTCATCACCAAACTATGCAGCATCACAAACAATCGCTGAAGGGCTCACGCCCTTGGATGCTGGCACAGGAACTCGACACCAATCGCACTCTAACCATGATACACAACCTGAGGAAGATGCATATTCAGTCTCCGAATGCCTCTCGGAAGCCGACTTGGTGATCCTAAAAGACGCCCGCAGGACTGTCAGTTCATTGCATACTTCCGAGGTCGACCTTTTGACACCGCCGAGAAATCTATCATGCTCAACACTCACTGGAAATACCCCAGGTTGTAGTATATTAGAGGCACATACACAAGGCTCCCTGTTGGGGGTCTTGACCCCAGAGGCGTTTGGTATCATCCCCGCGAACCCAAAAGCTGTTGACGTGAACAACGGACTCATCAACGCTATCTCGAGAAACATTGCGCAACAACTTCATATTTTAACAATAAAAGACGAAGGAGCTCAAATGCATGAAGATCCGGAGCAGTTGACCCCCGAACAGTCAGGCAGTCTCGGTAATGAGTCTAGAACCCCGAGTCAAAGAGAAGCATTGAACCGTTTCACTAGAGAGCTTCATCAATACGCTGAACAATCAGGTGCCAAAGGCAGGCTGCCAATATTCACTCCAACACCGCCCGGTTCTGGCGTAAGCCTTCATACCATAAACGCACTTCTTCCCTTCCGTTCCGAATTCAAAGCAGCCGGCCTTGCTGTTACGTCAAGAGACCAAGCAAAATCGTCTTCACGCCCTGCCCCTTCAGGCAAACCCCGAGGCATGACCAATCAAGCCTCGAAATCTCGTCTTAAACAACCACATCTCACTCAAGTGGATAGTAATGCAGGGTGTCCGAGTTCAAGTACAGAGATCCCCTTTCCTGCTGTCAAAGACATGGATGAGTGGAGATACGCGATGGTCGATCGGCATGGTTCTAGACGGCGTACAGTGACAACTGTACATCAGGAGTCTCAGACGTGCTGCCCCCCTTGCCGACCTGGGGATCTGTGTTTATGGAGCGACTGGAACTGCCTTCAGCCAGTACAGAAAACAAAGCCCCTGTACCCAGAGTCTTCCAATAGAGAGCCATTGACTGGTCCTACAGCCAGAATACCCAAAACTCAGATGCATACATTTCCTGAATGGCCTGATATATCATCATCGAAGAAGGGGAAGTCACGTCAGCATGACAATCACAACAAACGAGCTGTGAGTAATACCCCTCGAGCTTCTCGCAGTAGTAAAAAGAAGAAGAAGCAGAAACCAGCGTTCTTTTCTGGGCCAGAGACACCTACTGCTTGCTCGAGCCTATCAATGGAATCAAACACACAGCTTGAACCCAGGCATTCCTTAGATGATCACCGCTATCATACCAGAACCCGTTCTCACAAACGCAAGCATCGTCTAGCAGAGCCTCACCAAGATCAGAGCCCGTGCAGTAGACCGGTCCAATCAATGAAGAATCTCAAGCAGCCACAGTTGACACAGCCCTGCCTGAAACGCTCCCATAGCTTAAGTGCCGATATACTTGTTCATCAGTGGCCAATTTCGACAAAGAGATCTGAGAAACCCTTGCCAGAAATACCTCAACCTGGATCATCGTCAACATCTACAGAACAAAGTTGCAGGCTGTCCACTGGGGCTGAAACTCTACTACCAACGCCAAACAAAGTATCGGTTAACAAGGGGAAAGGAAAAGAATTGGCAGAGAGAGAAACTAAGCACCCCGATTTCGCTATTCCACCAAATCATGTTACTGTTTGTTCACGAGGCTTCTCGGGCCAAAGACTTGGCCAGCCAAATGTACCAAAAAGAACATCGTCAATTCAGAGCCTCCGAACCACACACCGGGATCACGACCATAGTGCTATTATGGATCGTGATGTACTAAGAGGCCTGCATATTGCTGCTTCAGCAGCTTGCAATGAACAGATTGATACGTTCATCCATGAGCAGACCGGTTTGCATATTCGGCGTTTTCTAGCCGACCTCATGCCATTGGAAAGTTTGGGGGAAAAGCCAGCTCGGGAAACAAAGGAAAAAAGGGCACGAAGAAGACGAGCAGAGATCAGAGAGGTAAAAAGGCGAGTAAGAAGGTCTCGACAGATCAGAGAGCGGGGTGCATTCTAATCTCGGGTGAGGTCACAATACAGGATAATGTATCATTAGCCAGTGTTTTATACGCATGGTTACACCAAGGACGTTTTTGGGAACATAAACGGACAGGACGGTAAAAGTTTTCTAGAGTTTGTATAGATCATAGAGAAGTTTTCGATGCAACCATACCTAACAACAAATTCGCGGTTCAATGAGTAGTCGGCTTGTTTTGTCTTGTATCAAAAGGTGGCTGCAGGGGGTTGATGTATGACACCTTTCCCCGCTAATTCTTACACGGCTTCTAGATCTGATCGTGCTGCTGATGGCAATCGAAACTGCTTATTTATTTGTCGCCATTGTGGTTGACTCAACTTGTTCTGTAGGAATTCTAACTTTAGCAAGAGATTATGGATCCTTCGAGGCTGTCCCGTGACGATATTCAGGCCTTGAGAGCCAATTTTACCTCAAACGAGAATCATATCAAGGAGCACTTCTTGCGATGCTGGAAACGTCAGACATGCAAAGGTTGTCTCGCAACTTCGCAATGCAGCTGGTGTCCCTTCGTACGCATTTTATCTCTCCAATCAAAGGCTCAAGGAGTCCGTTTACTTATTGGATTGATTAGACATGGTCGTGCGTGCCCAACACTCAGAAGATTCCATTGCTTGCGCCAGCATACGACGAGAACGTCTGTCCGCACTGGGCTGAACGATGGGAACTGAGGACACGGCCTCTAGGGTGTCAAGTGTCGTCGATAACTAGTCTCACGGCAATCGTCACTATTATCTCAACTCTCGTCTTTGTTCTCATCACGGTCCTGCTTGCAATGACCATACGCTGGTTATGGCGAAATCACAAGAAAAATCCTCGATGGTGGCGATTACAAAACCACGGCTGGACAGGCACATGGAGACGATATGGAGAGCGCGAGCCCTTGCTACCCGAAAGTGAAGGACCCTAGGACAAGACCTCTACGAAGGGCGACTACGAAGTTCTAGTCATCACGGTTCAATGCTGCTGAGCGATTCATTTGGCTGACACTCGATATCCTTTAACCGGAGCTGACGGGAGGGATAATGGCCACTTCGTCTGCTTCCTGGATCACCGTGTCTTTAGCACCCTCCTCACTGGGCGAGTCTACATAATCAAGGTTGACGGTGACAAGGCAAGAGTCGAGAATCTTAGCCTTGATGCCAGGGTATCTAGACTCGAGCTCGACAAAGAGCTTGCTGAGCTGCATAGCGGCAGGCAAGGCCTCGTAGTCTTTGCCTGTGAAGGAACTGGCACTGGCAAAGTATAAGACATTGAAGTGACCGGCTGGAGGTTTGGGAGCAGAGGACATTGTGGGGGTGTTGCGCCTAGAAGGATCTTTTTGAATGTTAGCCAGCTGTCCATACAACAGAGGTCGAGAGCAAATTGAAGAGTGAGGTTTTGGGTCAGAGATCTTGGTGATAAAAAGGTACATCAATGGTATTCAGGTAATACATGCTAAAAAGCATCATTCCCAAGAGTGTGTGTGAATAAGAAATAAGTGTTGACTTACCAATAGAGTTGTGAGAGCTTTGAGGTTCTTGTAGAGAATGTTGACTGTGGAAGAGAGAAGATTTGTTTTTATAGCCCCGCCCATTTTGAGGTCAAAATTATTGCACGTGACCTGTGAATCACGATGCGAAGCGAGGTTAGGTAGTTATGGAGAACAACTTGTCAGAAAAAAGAGGGCATAGTTCTCCTGTTGCTAGGTTAACATCGAAACCACGGTCGTTGAATTATCGTAACACGTGTTGATTGTAAAATCCCCAGTGTCCTTTTCCCTGCTTGAGCTTCGAACGAGTTGGAGACGTATGAGACGGAGAATGCCCTGCGCGCGCAAGAGAGGGAGAGAAACAAGAAATGAATTTCACTTTTCGTCGGATTCCAATGCTGCAGAAGAACTGTTCTGGGATTTTTCGTTATGCCAGATCCGTCCGTGTGACTCCTCTAACAAATGAAACTGGAGCGCCAGCAGGGTGTTGTGCAGCTCCAGGCCAATGTCCCAATTCAAGGCGCGCACGCCTTAGCTTGCATAGACCATCCGTCGTTGACCGTCTTCCAAGAACCCCATGCTCCCCAGAATACACACTTATCGTAGTCGTCGGGCCTCACGCTCGGACTCGAGGAGGCAAAGGATGTCGTCCTCACGGACTGTGCTTATTGTCAGCATTTCGTACTCTTTTTCGTCTTCCTACTCTGTACCCTCTTCTAGGTATTGAAGAGGGAATTTCGAGAATTTATCGTACCTGGGCCCTTGACGTTTCGGATGATCGATCGGGTCTGGTCGTCCATGAACTCGACGCGGACCTGGGTGACACCACCACGAGAACCTATCCATCATCAAGTCAGAAATTTGTTCATTCCTTCGTTTCTACAGCGAGCGAGCGAATATTGTGTTGCTTGGATATTGCTTCCTCGGTATCAGATTTCGTGGGGAAAGAGGAGGAACGCACCGGTTCGGCCGAGCACTCGGGTGACCTTGACGAGCTTGACGGGCTGCTTGGAGGAGTCCATTATTGCGACCTGAAGGATGGTAAGCTGGAGGAAATGCGCGTTTGAATCGGGAACGTCCGTACTGTAGGGAAATTGGTGGATTGGGCGGTGGTCGCGGACGTGATCTGAAGATTGACGCTTGATTGGGACAACTTTTTTGGTGAGACTGTCAGGGTTTTCGTGTGCCAAAGCCCTTACCCCCACCAGCAGCCGAAAGGTTGCAAGTGGTTGGTGGGTGGGTGGCGGATTAACATGGGAGCCGAGGTTTTGAGCCACGTGGCGCTATGTGTGGCGTTATAAGCCATACCATCATGTCTCAGCAAGGAACTCGGAGTCAGGAGATGCATTTCTTTGGAGGCCTATATTTCAGATTGATAGTTTGTAAACTATGATATAAAACCAGCAATTACAAGACTTAAGTACTAGAGCAAGAGGGATCTGATCTCGGGTTTATGTATACCAAATGATTTGGAAGAGTTGCTCAAGTCCTAAATGGGTGTCTTTAGTCTATACCTCCCTCTGCTCACCCCCAGACCTACCTAGGTACTAATGTACATACACAGTACAAGCAAGAGGACTCGATTGACGAAAGTCAAGAACTACAACCAATTTCCGATATGACGAACTGCATATTTCCAGAGTAACTTGGTTTGTTTGCTAGGGTATCTGACCAACACATCATTATTCATAAATCCTCCATCCTCTCTTCCAGGTCTTTGACCCATTCCTCCATAACTTGCTTATTCTTCTCAACAGAATCATTTCCTTCCTTTATGGCCGTTTCAATCTTGGCCAGGCCCTCGTTCCACTGCTTTAGCTCTGCAGCCATCTCTGCCTGCTGCTTCTCAATGCGAGCCAATGTGTCGCTGGCAGTTGCAGCATCCGCATGAATTGCCCTGAGGGATCGTAATCTGCCCAGAAGGGGTGGGAGTATAGGAGTCAGGTTCTCGATTGTAGGGAGAATTCCGTAAAGAGCGTTGATTTTAGCTTCCTGCTCAGACTCTTCAGGTTGGGCTGCAGAGCCGTTCCGGCCAAGCTCTTCTCTCAGAGATTTGGCTTTCTCCCGGGAGTCGTTAAGTTTGTCTTGTTCTTGAGCCAGTGTGCGGACTCGTCGACTGATCGCATCTAAATTTGCAGTGGAAGCCTCGGACAAAGTGGAGATTTGCTTGTTCATGGAGTCCAGAGTTGGTAGGATTGCGCGAGGGAGGCCATCAGCACCAGCCTCTGGCAGCAGTGAAGCGTTGATACCCAAGCCCTTCTCCAACATCAACAGTCGACGGTCAAAGTCAGTCGCCTTAGCCAGAGCATGGCTTTGTTCGTATGTTGGCGCATATGTCACAGTGTAGGTCGCATCATCCCCTGATGGTGCCTCGGGTTTCTCTTCTGGGCTTGAAGGAGTGGCTATCTTTGGAATCCGAACTGATGTTGGGTGGCCTGTAGGTTTTGATATCTCGTCAAGGACTTGGCTAAGAGAGATCAATCGATCGTCGCTGGCGACTTCATCGTCGTCTTCCTGTTTCTGTGATTCGGTCTTTCGCTTCAAATATTCGGTCTTTGCCTCTTCCACCTCGCGCTTTAAGCGCGCAATTCGTCTTTCCAAGCTCTCGTCGTCATCGTCATCTGAAAGGTCGCCAAGCTCTAGAGTGCCGTCCTGCTGTATACGTTGTCTTCGGCTGGAGGCTTTGTACGACTTGCGTTTGCCATCAACTCGGTCTGAAAAGTCCACTCCATTCGCGTCAACATTTGAAGGGAGAAATCGAGAGCGAGCTTCATCGATTCGTAAACGGGATCTGGAGATGCCAGGTTTTTCGTCCTCAACATCGTAGAATTCATCGTCTGAGTGGGTTGGGGCAGCGGTCGTCTGCAGGTTATGTGAGTAAAGGCCTGATACGTTCGAGACATGGAAGGCTTACGGGAACCGTAGAGTTATCGTCTGTGAGCTCCGGGGTTTCATAGATATCTGGAGCGGAATCCTAGAAGATTAGCATGTCTGAAGGAGTCCGTTGTGTAGTTATCAACTTACCAGGTCTGGAAGCGCTGCGTACTTCCTATTGAGTGCCATTTCCGCTATTACGATACAGTTGCACAATGGCCGATCAATGCGTCCGTTGAGCTTATCCGCAGCTCGAAACTTTACTGTGACGTTTGAATCTTAAGAGTGTGCAGTCTGATACCGACAACAAACAATTACCCAGTAGGGAGTCGTGGGGCTTTAAAGCACTGACCATCAAACCTCCAGGTCTTATTGTCCCTGATTAGCGCTAACCTGTCCAGCAATAGGCCACATTGCGGGGGTCTAACAAATTGGCAAGCGCGTTTGTCTAACGCGTACCGTCACTGCCCTGGCTGCTATCGGGAATTTGTAGTGAACCTGCGCCTGTGAGAGAAGGAACAAACAACGTGCATGAGTGCTTTGTTCAAGTCATCACATCATTACCTGGGTCAAATTCTTTTGCTTTACTTCTAGGTAATCTACCCATTTTGCTACCAAAGTTGAGATGCTCTAGTTTTCGAGTCTCTTAAATTTCTTCTGCGGGTTCCTATCTCCAACACTCTAAAACCACATCTCAGATAAACCCCTTCTTCTTCTCTCGCCCGGTCAATCTGAGAGTAACATTCCAATGAACAGAGTTTGTGGAATAAACCGGAACTCAAGGCCACCGCCGCTACTAGGCAAGGTCGGGGGCGTACAAAAGCGAAAGTTGGAACCACAACTTGAAGATGTCAACGCTCTGCCAATGTCCTCCGAAGATGAGGACGAAGCTGACAATGGCATGCCGTCCATCACGAACTTGAGGTTAAGACCAGGTCGCTCCAAGAACCATACACCTCTGGAGCCGTCTGATGATTCTGAGCCAGAAAAGCCAGGCCGGGGCGACATAACGCGAGTAAATTTCTCCAAACCGAGCACTGACAAGGCTCGGAAGATTTCTACACGGAATGTAAATCAGAAGGAATACAAGAAGTCACTGGTTGAAGACACCGATCATAACTCGTCCTCGAGTGCCAAACGACGGAAACTGGGTGACAAATCGGGGAGCGGCTCAACATATCAATTCGAAACCCCAGAAGGATTTGCCAAGAACCACAAAGCCAAAAGCAAATACGGTGGCAAGTCTGGAGCATCACAGGCTTCCCGAGGGTCGCAAACGTCCGGTAGTTCACAAAAGTCACAAACTGGAAAAGGTTTATTGAGTTGGCAACCATCCCGCGTAGGGAAGACAAAGGAGCCGGAACGCGAGGCTGTATTCAATGAGGTCGAAAAACACGACTTCTCTGATAGCTCTCAGACAACCGATAGACCGACTTTCAAGCCTACCTTACGGGAAACCTTCAGTCCAACCAAGCCCCGCAGCAAGTTGAAGAGTGTACCTCGGGATGACTATGGAACTCCCGAGAAAAAGACAAAGAAAGGCATTGTATTGCCGAAACGTGAACCATCTTCTCCCAGCGACGACGCGAAAAGACGTACTCCGAGTCTTTCGCAAGACAATGATCCTAGTAAGAAACCCTCGTCGTCTCAAAATCGGGGAAGCATCTGGGATAAAAGAGAGATGGAAAAACGCAAGGCAAAAAAGGCGAGGGAGGCGAAGGAGCAGTCTTCCCAGGACAAGCGTGCGAAGTTTATCATGCCTATTGGCATCGATACTGATCTGGGTACTGAGCAAGCCGGTAGCGTTTCATCGCCCATTTTATCAGACCTAGATCTACTCAGCGATGCAGAATCCAACAACGAGATGCCTCTTGAAAACGAGGAGAACTTGGAGGACGGCATGGCACAATGTCCTTGGTGCGGTGAACAAGTTTTAGAGCAGGCTCTCAAAGACTATTCCAAGGGCAAGAGATTGAACGTGCAAATGCAGACCAGGTTCTGTGCAAAGCACAAGAAAGAAACGGCTATGGAGACATGGCGTGAAAGAGGCTATCCGCATATCGATTGGGATCGTCTTGAGGAACGGCTGGATGATCATCGAAACTACTTAACCAGAATCGTTGATGGAAAACAGTCACATTTTCGCGACATCCTGGCGGAAAAGGTTGAGACTGGTCAGGGCAGATCACTCAAGAAGGAGGGGAATCTGAATCCGGGATACTACGGCCCACGAGGCTGCAAGCTTATGTGCGATTACCTTGTAGAGGAATTTGGGGAATCCTTGAAGGAGAAAGCCACAAAAGACCGTGTCATTTCTGGGCGTGGTTCGGCGGCTTTTATCCAGTCGGTCCTGGTTGCGGAGCTTGCTGTACAACTGATCATGGAGGATATGGATGTGTCTGGTGCCGAGGCACGAGAGATTATGGAGGAGAGCAAGACACTTGGGGAGTTGATACACGAGGAGGTATGACAGAGGTCCGGATGTACAACCGACTTGATTGAGTACATTCGAGATCAACATGAAAGTGACTTTCCCGATATCCGCAGGACATGACGCCGCCTACATGCTTACATACTTCAAGGTTGAATGCTTTAAACGATAGATGACATGAAAAAGAAATCGGGATTTTGTTATATAGGAGGCCAATGTGGCCGTCTAGGTCTAATCGCAGCTCTCCGAGCTGGTCACCATATGGTACATGTAGATTTAAGTCAACTCTACCTGGGCTTAAGCCAGATCACCGTCCCTTGTCTCTCTCTATCTACGCCTTTTTCTATTGCTCTTTCTTTGTCTTTAGGGAAACGTCGGCTGTTGTTTGCATAAAGAACTGGCGTTCAATAAGCTTGAGAATCTCATCTAGAAGTCTGTATAAAAGTTAGTCGGATGCATCTTCGAGTGATGAATTAGTTGAGCTTACATAACAGGAGCACTGATGATAACAACTGCCTTCCACTCCAATATGTTCAAAGGAACGATGGAGAACAGACCTTGCAGGAAAGGAATGTAAAGGAGGGCAAAGTGCAGGGCCATGGACAGAGCGATGGCATAAACAAGCATCATGTTCTTCCAGAGAGGCAGGGTGAGGAGAGATTCGCTGGACGACAGGGCGTTGACAGCATTGAACATCTCGATAACAACCAGAATGGACAGGGAGACAGTCGAACCCGCCTTAGCCATGTCGTTGGAGAACATGGAACAGCCAATCTCAGGGAAGTCGGTAGAGCAGTGGTGGAAGCGAGTAAGCTGGCGGAACGAGATCTGGGGACCCTCAGGGTTGTACATGAACCACCAAGCATAACCGGCAACAGTAGCAAGGCCAACGTAGGTACCAATAACGAGGTAACGGAAGAAGAGCCATCCACCAATGAGCGGCTCGTCTCGCTTGCGAGGGCGGCGCTTCATAATGTCATGGTCAGGGGGGTTGAAAGACAGAGCAGTGGCCGGCAGACCGTCAGTGACTAGGTTAACCCACAGAAGCTGAACAGGAACCAGAGCCTCGGGCATGCCAAGAGCTGCAGTGAGGAAAATGGAAACGACCTCGCCAATGTTGGAAGAGATCAGGTAACGGATGAATTGCTGGGTGTTGTTGTAGATAGAGCGTCCTTCCTCGATTGCGACTTCAATAGTGGCAAAGTTGCTGTCAGCAAGAACCATATCGGCAGCCAGCTTAGATACGTCGGTTCCAGAACCCATAGCAACACCGATATCAGCCTTCTTCAGAGCAGGGGCATCGTTGACACCGTCACCGGTCATGGCAACAACCTCGTTGAGGGATTGAAGGAGATCAACCAGTCGGGACTTGTGGCTAGGCTCAACACGGGAGAACAGAGATGCACGCTTAGCTGCCTCGAGCTGCTCGCTAGGAGACAGTTGATCAAACTCGCGACCAGTATAGCTCTTTCCGGTAAGATCTTCATGTTGACCAAAGACGCCAATTTGTCGGCAGATACTCTCAGCAGTGTTGCGGTTGTCTCCGGTGATAACGATAACACGAATACCAGCATCCTTGCATTTCTGAACAGCGCGGGGCACCTCCTCTCGAGGAGGGTCAAGCATGCAAACCAGACCAAGGAAGGTCATGTCCTGTTCAAGCTGGGCATATTGTTCGGTAGAAGTAGCGGAGTGAAGAAGAGGGTTCCGGGCCACGTTGTCAATGCTCGCGAGGGCAATAACTCGAAGACCGTTGTTGCCATATCGTACAATCTCGCTCAAGAGACGGTCTGTAATGTTCTTAGTAAGAGGAACCTTCTTGCCGTTGGAGCCGAGGAGGGTCTGTGTGCAGCGATCAATAACGGACTCGGGGGCACCCTTGACCAGGAGCTTCTTATCATTGGCGTTTCCAACCAGGACAGACATGCTCTTACGATCACGAGAGAATTCGTACGTAGCGAGGCGGGGGAGCTCCTTCTGGTAAGTAGCGCTGGCATAATGAACACAGTCTTCTGGGCGGGTTTCAGTGGGAGCGCAGGGTCCAATCTTCTCGACCAAAACTCGAAGGGCGCCCTCGGTAGGTTCGCCAATGCTGGAGAAGGAAGCAGATTTAGAATCGTAGGCAAGCTGGGCGTCGTTACAGATGGCGGCAACCTGGGTCATTTGACGAATAGTAGCAGAAGTGTTGTGGAGATCCTGGACAACGACACCGCTCGCCTTGATAGCTCCTCGGGGGGCGAAGGTAGTCCCCTCGACATCAAACTCGTAGAGATCGCTACCGTCCTCGTTGAAATGCACAACCTTGCTCACGCTCATCTGGTTGGTGGTCAGGGTACCGGTCTTGTCAGAGCAGATCACACTGCAGCTTCCCAGGGTTTCGACAGAAGGAAGGCTTCGGACGACGGCGTTCTTAGCAGCCATCTTTCTCGTTCCAAGAGCCAGGCAGGTGGTGATAACAACGGCAAGACCCTCAGGGATAGCGGCAACACCAAGAGAGACGGCAATCTTGAGGTAATAGATAGCGCCCTTGGTCCAGCTGCCATGGCTGGGATCGTTGAAGTTGGGGATGTTGATAAGCCAGACCAAAATGCAAATGACAGTAATGACCTTGGCCAAGCTGTCACCAAAATCGTTAAGCTTCTGCTTCAGGGGGGTGGGCTCCGAGATCTGAGCAGTGATGCTCTCATGGATATCTCCAATAGCAGTGCTGGCGCCAGTAAGAACGACGACAGCTCGGGCGCGACCAGTAACAACAGTTGTTCCAGAGAACAACATGTTGGTCTGGTCCTGCAGGACTGCCTTATCATCGTCAACAACCTCAGAAGCGCGCTTTCCGACACTCTCACTCTCTCCGGTAAGAATTGCCTGGTCGACAGAGAAGCTGTTGCTTTCGATAGAGACGACTCGGCAGTCGGCAGGAATACGATCGCCAATGGAGACAGTAACGATATCGCCAGGAACCAGCTCCTCGGCCTTGACTCGTGAAACATGACCACCATTTCGAACCACGTTGGCCTCGTTGGCCGAGTATTCTTGCAAGGCGGCAATGGCCTTTTCAGCGCTGCTCTCTTGGGAGACTCCGACGACACCGTTGAGAATGAGGATAGTAAGAATCTGTGAGATTCAGGTCAGTGACTTGCTAGGAGTAAAACATGCGGGATCTAAAAAGCAAGTTACGTACGACAACAGGGTCGACAAAGGCACTCCAACCTTCTTCCTCGTCAAAGAGGGCCAGGATGAAGGAGACAGCGGCGGAACCGAGAAGGATAATAACGAGCTGATCCTTGAATTGCTCAAGGATAAGCTCCCAAAGGGGGGTGGGAGGCTCCTCGGGAATGGCTACAAAAGATTAGAGAACAGTTCAAAGTGGTGGCGGGGCTACCACAGGGAGCTGACGTACAGTTGCGCCCATGTTTGTTGCGTAATTCAGTGACCTGCGTGTCACTCAGACCAGCGGTCTCATTAACGCTGAAGTTGGCGAGGACATCGCCAACTGGCTTCGCGAAAGCGCTCTCCATGGTGAGGGCAATGCGCAATGCAGGCGCTCGAGACGAGGCTGAAGTAAGTTCGTATGCGGTAGTCGAGTAGGTTCGCGGCTAAAGGGGAGAAATAATCCAAGTCACCTTGGAAGGGAGAGAGTATGGATTACGAATAAGTCAGAAAGAAAACGACGAAGGAACCTAAGTGGCCAGGAAAAGAGAATGTAAGAGAAAGATAGAAGACACGGAGGCAATAAGTTAATCACCGGCTTCCTGTCCTGTCATAGTAGTAGTAGTAATTGGCAGATTTGTCAAGACAGGAACCTAAGGCACGGCGATCGAAAGGGCCCACGCACGTGGCAACCTTCAACCTTCATGGAACCTACCATCGCGGGAGGGGGCGGTTTTTTGACACCCTTAGGTGACAAAATAAGGCTGTTGCTGTAATGTCGAGGTCATTAACATTATGTCTAATTTTAGTACGACATGTTAGGGGTCAGAACAGCCAAATGACAGGCTTATTTTGTCAAGTACACATGTCAAAAAACCCCCCCCTCCCGCGATAGGTAGGTTGTATGGACAGGGCAGTACAACTACGGGGTCTAGGGGGTCTACGGCGCACTTTAGGGGGTTACTAGGCTGAATTTACAGTTGAAAGCCTGCTACAAACGAACAATCTCTGAATCGTGAAACCATTAACTTGTCCGCTTTCGTCCTTGACCCGATTTCTTAGCTTGACGGTACGTACCGCGTCAAAAGTTCAACGTGTTCGTTTCCATCTCGGGCTGTCGGCATGTCTCTCCTGTCTTGTAGCGCTACAGTAGCGCATCCCCACAATCCGGGCAGGCAGCCAGTACGTTAGAGCCCACTGTCAAAAAAGGGAAAACCCTCCATGAGACCCAGGCACCAGTCCCCTGAAAGCCGATTTGAGACTGGTTAGGGCGTGCGTCTCTGAGATAAGTAAGCCATTGGTGAAGATAAAGCACCTATCAGTTGAACAAAACAGACTTTTACTATGTTGAAGACTGTTGAAGGTCAATGCACATATACTCCGATATTAATATGAGTTCTTGATTCTAAAGACCTAATCTTCTACAAAACTAAGCTCTCATGGATAAGTACCTATGATGAAAGATCTCTTCTTCCCCTGCCCCAACTCGCTTACCATCTTGAGCCTAGCTTCCACATGCACCGCCACGATGCCGAGCCAACTGGTTTACATCTTACATCAAGACAGGATGCAAGTTAGCTCTTTGACTGTGCCGAGCATATATGCCAAGTTGGTGATTGCCGAACAAACCGTTCTCGCCAATTGAAGACAAAAATGACGATTCGTAAGTGAGTAGGCCGGTGGAGACTGGTCATAATCTACCCCACGAAGAGATGCGATACTCGTAAGCTTCTTCGACAAGGTCTTGTTACGCCGGCCCGGTATTGCGGACCTGACTCAAAATTGGCTTGGCTGAGGCGAGTTGGTTGTCATGATAGCCTCAATCACGAACTCAGAACCGAGTGTATGACGAGATTCTCCCCCACCTCACAACGCCAGGTTTTCAATCACAAAACACACTCCGTCCTCTAAGCGACATTTCTACGCACAATTGTTGTCACAAAGGTTATTTCAAATCATGATCTCTATGGCATTATTGCCTTATCGTGACTTCTTTGAGCAAGGCATAGCACTTGTTTGCAACTCAAGAATGACGATGTAAGGTCATGCACCATCACAGCAGTAGTAGCCTTTCTCTTCTTTAGTCTCATCCACCAATATCTCACGATCATGCTGTACACTCGTAGTTACGTAGTACACAATCATATCACAAGCTTCAGACTATCCAACCTCCCCAGCCTCTTATATACTCGAGCCTCTGATACCCAAACTTCTTGGCGCCACGCGAGAATGTCTCTCCGACTTTCATACCATAGCAACGATGTAAGCCATCAATATTGCTGCAGCTTGCAGCCAGCCTTGAATTGACAAGCTCATAAAGCTACTGCAAGCCATGAGGCCAAGTCCATATAGCTGAGCCAAACACCCAAGTGTACTATACTCTCCAGCCTGAACTTCGGTCCACATGATTGAGGCCCTCCAATTGAGATGACATATGCTGTCGTTCCTTTGTCTTGTTGCATTATGACCTTTTGTTCTGGGCATCAATATCGCCATGGCCAATATTTCCAGCCTGGTCTTGCACCAATAAGGTTTTGCAGGCGCCTCTCTGTGTCACCACCTACTTACAGATCTTTGGTGATCATCATTGAGCTTTATTTGGACCACTATGACTGTACATGACTGCTTCGCTGTAAATCCTAAACAGGTTCTTTTGATCTCGCGTAAAGGCTTGAGTGAAGATGATATTGGATGTCCATTACTCTTGCCTCCTCTCTCGACACGCCACTCAAAAAGGAATATTCCGGATACCGCTTCCTCAACCCCATCGTTGCTTCCTGTCAGCTTCTATGAATTATCTCCCATGGACTCGTTGCTTTCTGGGCTCTGCCTCGAGGCTTAGCTCTTCACTGTGGCTCTGTTTCATCATTCATCACCACAGCCATGTTTCGGCAACTTGTCTGAAGCAGGAATTTCGGAGTGTTGCTTTGCTTTCTTGGAACTAGCACTTTGTTACTTTCTTGGACTTTCTTTGGCCTTTCTCTTCACATCATGGCTTTCGTGGGCCCTCCAGCCTTGCCCGGTTTTTCACATAACACTCATAATACACAACATTTCACTTGGACAGCTGGCTTTCCCCATATATCACGATTCGACTCTCACGGCAGTCTTCAAAGACTAAACGACATTAATTTGCATCCGAGGGTAGATGATTGCCCTTATGACGATATCAATGCCTTGAAAACCTTGGACAGCATCGGTGCACAACAAGCAACTCCCGAAAGCAAACGCCCTCCCCAGACTCGTTCTCCTTGTCCACAGATACAAATAAACCAGCACGAGGACCATCTCCGTGATGATGTTTCCTCCAAGAACACCAAACCTGATCGCCCTTTCTATAGATGGATGAGATCTCTCCATCGAAGAGTCAGCCATAGAGGTTATGAAGAGGAAGCTTGGCAGGTTGATGACGGATGGAAACATTCCGGGTCAAGTAGGACTTACCATCGATCCCTCCGTCAAAAACTCAGTCGTCGTTTATCGTCTTCGGGGTCATCACTTGGCTTGATAGCAGCAGTTCAGAGTGCCAGTATCAGCATCACTAGTGCAAGTGCTCTTTCGCGCTCGCGCTCGCGCTCGCATCGAAACCCTTCTTATTCACATTGTCGATCACGAACTGAACGAAGTAGTCGGGCATCATTGTCTGCCCCACGGTTTTCTGAGGATAGTGTTCCTCTGGACAAGGTGAAGATGGATGTCACAGCCATACATCGTGCTCTACGACGCCGGCAGATCCTGGAGGAGCTCATCAGTACGGAAGAAAGTTACATTGGCGATATTCGCTTCCTCATACATGCAAGTCGTGTCTCTTGGAGGGTTCTTGGATAAACTAACAAGATCTAGACCTATATAAACATGCTTGCCGCTCTGCCAACTCTGCCTGAGCGGTTGCGTTCGTCCATTAACCACAACCTCGATCAAATCCTCCAGCTCCACGAAGAAATATTAGGTGAATTACACCGAGCAGTTCCACATTCCGAGTACAGCCAAGCAGATCATCCAGCTGTATCCTCCAAATCAACCACTCGCAAAATCGGACACCGTCGGCTGCCGAGTCTGGATACGCTTCCAGAGGATCCGACCGGCCTTCAATGGCTTGAGATGGAACCAGGAATGTTCTCTGAACCTCAAGTAGCAGCGGAAGCTGCCAAGATCTTCAGTAAAAGGGTGAGCTGCTATAAACAGCGTCTATTCGGGGCCATTGACTAATCTCCTTAAAAGATGCATCAGTTCTTCGTTTATAAAGAATATGGTGCAAAGTATGAGATAATGATCAAGGACGCTACTTCAGCTCTTGAGAACCTGCCGGAATGGGAAATTCACCAGAAGGGACTTGAAGCGTTCGCCTTCACTATGGAGTCCTCTCCATCAGGTGGTGGTAGTAGAAAATCTCTTACTATAGGTGATCTCCTTGTCAAGGTAAGCTATTCCTGTTCTTTTTTTCCCTCTACCTTTTTTCACAATCTAATACACCAGTATTAGCCTATTCAGCGAATCTGCAAATATCCTCTTCTGTTTGCAGAATTATTAAGATGTACTCCTGTTTTCGACTGTCCAAATTCTCATATGGAAGTTGAAACTGCTTTGATGAGGCTTCGAGAAGCCACATCCGAGATCAATCGTTCAGCTAAGGACAATCTGATGAAAGGTACTCTTGAAAAGACTTGGTTGTTACAAGACCGCATCGTATTTCCCAACAGGGTACGTTTTGCCTCTTCCTCATTACCTGGACTGACAGATCATCAGAGACTCGATGCAAATTCGAAGAATCAGGTTCGTTCATTCGGACATATTCAGTTGTGCGGAGTCTTGCATGTATGTTGGCAAACACCAACAGGCATTGATGGCCAGTATATGATCTGCCTCCTCTATAGAGACGTTTTCTGCCTTGCCTCTGGTGGTAAATTCGATCCCATCTATACAATTCTGGCCTGCATTGATATGCACAGCGTAACTGTGGAAGACACCGACAATAGGCGTGGTAAGACATCCGGTTTCTAACTAGCACATGGGCTGACATGTACTCTTTCAGGCCTGCAATGTCATCTGGCGCCTTTCTCGTGGAAGCTGGTCTTTGAGAGTGACCATCAATTATATGAATTGGTCATGACGGCCTGTACCCCCAAAGAAGAGAGCGAGTGGCGAAGCCGACTGAGCCGACCTCGTGCCCTAGAGCTTGATGTGAAGGCCCCTGGTCTTCAAGTATTCCTCTCTCTTGATATCCAGAGCCTAGGTACCGTCTTCGGTCGACCAGGTATGTTCAACCTTACTCTAGTGACAGCATGATCTTTACTGAGGCTCGTAGGAACAATTGCACGAAGCCTATCGACTCATCAAACATCCGTCGGGGGTCCTGAATCACCTCTATGTCACGTTATTTTGAAAAACACGACTGCCATAAGACCTAGTACCAGTATAGGGAGTGGGCTCAATCGCTCCCAATCTTTGTTGTCAACTAAAGTCAGAACACCAGTTCTGGTATCATCTCGGGGTGAAAGAGCGCGGCTCGAGGTGCTTCTCGCCGATGTCTGGAGTCAAGATGTTCTTCCCCTTCCTAGCATGACGAATATCGCCCGGAATGAGCAGATAATCCGGCGGTCTGCATCAATGATGATGAGAAAATTGAGTGTGTCCAGCATGGCCAGGAGATCAGGAAGTGTGACACGCCGAGTTACAGAAGACCCATCAAGCGATGACCAAACCCCCCAGACAAGTCTGTCCAGCGACAGTGGCTTTGACATCTTCGACAGGATTGGTCGTGAGGAGAGTTCTCAGTCCTACACGACGAAAAGCCCAATACCGCCAGATGCTCGAGAGTTCGGCGAAGAGGACTGCATCCCGGTGACCAAATCTCCCAAACTCGAGCTTACCCAAATATCAGAACTGGAGCCTCTTGGTTTAATGGAAATATTTTCAGACAAGCAATCTGGAAGCGGAACCGGGAAAGTGACAGCTCTAAAAAAGTCTACAACTGGCCAACTCCAGACGGGCTCTTGTCAAGACTTGCGAAGGACGGAGACAAACGCCACGGCAAAGAAAAGTCTGCCCTCCTGTACCGATGTACAGGAAAAGGATGATCATTTAGCAAAGGGCAGAAGTTTTAGAGGCAAAAGAAAACACACGGGCATCCGCAGGTTCTTCCGGTGACATGACGAAGTAGAACGAATCAATTGATCGCTGTTCAGCTTTGGTGTTGGATATATCTTTAGGGTAGTTGGATTACCTCATTGTATGGAAAAGTGAGGCCGCGAGCATCAGATTATATAAACAGTATGATTATCAAAATCCCACTGATCGATTGCTATTCTAATTAGTCACATCATAATTCAAATCAGACTGTATGATTTTGCTTCTTTTGCTTTTTGATCGCTCCATATGAGCTTGATAAAACGTATCAGCAGAAGGTCATGGAATTACAATACTGATTGGAGCATAAATCATGATGCGAATTCGAGATGGACCTAGCAATGCGCCCTGGGTTTGGATATCAGGCATCAAGAATGGCCAATGCCCTGAGAAAATCAGACAATGAAGTTTGCCAAGGCAATTATGAGGCAATATGATTCGTGCTTGACGTGGAAGGCGGGAGAAACAACACACGTTCTCCTGCAGCCAATGCTTCCAGCGGGGATTTGTTCTGGGCTGGCGCGGGGCACGCGATCAAACACGAGACCATGGAAGCTTGGATGAGATGAGCTGTCTGTTTCTGTTCGTGCTTGCGCTTGCTCTTGCTCTTGCTCCTGCTCCAAAATACGGTGACGTATGCGGTGGACTCCAACATGCAGGAACGTGAGAAAGAAAGACGAGCATCTTCAACCTGGCAAGCAACGGGATATTGCTCTTTGATTGGGCACAATGCTGCTCATAGTTAGCTTTAGTGGGGACCCATAATACTTGGAGAGCAGGAAGGTGCTGAGAGCCCCGCGATGAGCTCCGTACCTAAGGTACCCACTCGCCCGCCTTGTAGAGCACGGCTATGACGTAGCAAGCTTCTCTGCAGCACGCTACAGTCGTCACTTCTCCTCACATTGAGCTTCCTTTTAAGCCTTTGAAGGCACCGCTCCCCCTCTCTTCATTTCCCCTCTTCATCATCTTCATCCTTTAAATCAATACCACCTCGATTACCATCTTGACTACTTTCACCGTTCAACGACTCTTCACCACCAACACAAGTTTTCTTTCCTCACTCCAGCACATCCACAATGGCTCGCGGCGAGACTCAGCAGACCAAGGTCCACTACAAGGGCGGCGACGACTTCATCATCTTCATCGATGATGTTGAGACCTACCAGAAGTGGAAGACTGACAAGAGCGTCCCCCTCGCTCACTTCATCTCCTCTTTCAAGATCTTCGTTACTCACGGGTAAGCTCACAAAATCTCCACTCTTCTCTTCTATTTGTCTTGCTTTATGGGCACTATGACGGCCCAAGGCGTTCGTGGCTTGGCCTGAGCCTTCGATAGGCCATGTTGGATGTGATGCGATGCGATGCCAGATGCTTTGCTCTAGTCTTAGGTCTCTTACTTGCCACCGCCTCCCCACCTGACCCGGCCATAAGAACTCAATTCACTTGTGTGGCAAAGAAACTGACATTTCAATAGCCAAGGAGCTCAGGGAAACCTCGATGCCGCCTCCAAGGCTGAGCTTGAGAACGAGTTTGGTACTCACGTCGACGACGATGTCATCAAGCAGATCCTTGAGAAGGGCGCCACTCAGACTACCGAGGTGAGTTGTTTCCAGTATATGTTGTCAAGGATCAAGTTAACATTGTCACTCAGTTCCCCGAGCGTCAAGGTCCCAAGAACGATAGCAAGGGCTCCATGACCTCCCACTAGAAGAAAAGAGGGGTCAAACGAAATACCAAGAAGCGGGCGTTTGGATTTTTCGCAGGTTTAGCACGAGAACAAGTGCAACGCACGGCTCACTGTTGCAGGAGGCGTATGTTATGAGCAACTAGTGCTGATCAAAATGGTTGGTGAGGTTGTCAATGGGCAGGCAGCTTGACTCACGGTCATGATGATATGTGATCGGGTCTGCTAGCGCTTGGATGCTCTGAAAGATGGGCAGTATCGATGATAGCGTTTCACAAATTCCAACAAGCCTTTTGCGTTAATCATGCCCTTTTTCTCCATGGCCTAAATCTTACACGTATGAGCTTTGTATCCTGCGTTCCTTCATGTTAGGAGTAAAATTCATGATGTTTTTCGTAGATGTTTTGCCTTGAGTACCTTATTAACTAGTCAGGCTGACATGATGGTAAATAATTGGTGATGCACAGGTCACAAGGTGCCAAGAGGGTCCCAAAGTGCTTGTGTTCAACTCGCAGTCGCGATAAATAAATAAAAAATAAAATCCTACATTGCCCTGCGTAACTATGTACCATAATCTATGTTGTCTTCCAAGTCTTTTCCGTACTAGTGACTATCCTGGTGTATTTCTGGTTATAAACGTCCGGACTATAACTCGATATTATGGCCCCAAGAATAGAGCCCGACAAGGGGCGTTTCAAAAATTGGGCTATGTTACCACTTGGCAAAGTCCGCACACAAATCATGTTTCCCCTTGTTTACAAGATGTTTAGTTGTTTCTATTATGTTTTGGACTTTCAGGCTCAGACTCCCTCCTTTCAACTTCGCTTGATAAGCGAAGCTGCCATTAAGACATGACTAAAGTACGGGGCATGCTACACAACTACGGAACGGGCTTGAAGATATTTTGGTAGTAATAGGCTCTAAGTTATATGTCGGGTGTTCCGAGTCCGGGGGGTTGTATGTGACAGGCTCTGACCGGAAGTCTTCGAGCCCGTGAGTATTGTGCCACCCAGCCCAGCCCCCTGCCTCCCGATTGCACGACGTTTCTCTGGGAACGACGGTGCATCATGTCTCCCTATCCAAGGGTATCCTCTACCAACACCTCCACGCTGATCATGTGAATGCAAATACAATGAATGCTAGAGATGAAATCAAAGCCCAGTTCGCTCCTGATGCAGAGCAAGTCGTACAACATGCAGTACTGGTTTTCGTATATATCATAATATCGCCAAACGCCGCAAAGGGTATATGTGTAATAGTGTATCGTTTTGTGGGATTCGAAACTGAGAATAGCGTTCTACCAAGAACTCTAACTCTACCAGTGGCGCGTCCTGTATTTTGTAGTATGTATAGTACATCCATGGTAGGAACTCATGCCTAAACACGAGTGCCACCACCGCTGCGTCCACGAGTCGGAAGAGTCCAAGGCTTTGCACAAATGATCTAGATGTATCATATTAGTCAATGTAACCCTCAAAATGGCTGTTGGCATAACTCACCTCTCCTTCACTATAACCCCAGAAGTAGACGAACATGCCTATCACGTAGTATATTGCGGCATTTGTGCCTTGATAGATCAGAGCTGCACTCAGTGCCGTAAGAGGAAGGATCGCAAGACGAAATTCGAGCGAGCGGTGAAGAGCTGAGCCGGCGACAAAGTTGAGAGGCCACTCCATGGCCAACATTCCCAGGCCCATGAGCAGGTTTATTATCTGTAAAGCCGGTACTGGTTTGACGGCGCCGTCCAGTGAGCGTGTGAGGAAGTCCCAGAAGATCTTGGGCCAAAGGAAGCACTCAATGGCAGCGAAAATTTGGTCTTTTGAGAACGTTAGTACATGTCCAAACGGACAGAAAAGGCGGGCAACTCACATGTTGCAGCGCTCAAGATGATGAGGCGAGCCCAGTGATTCTTGATGAGTTTTCCCATGATGAATAGTGATTAATAGGTCCCGATTAAATTGCCTTGTTGTTTCTCCAGATCTTGCTGTTTCCTTTCGAACGGTAATACCAGTCGTCTTCTCTCACTGATTCGTCGTCTGTTCGTATGCTACTCCAACACTGGTGCCGGAAGTCGTTTGGGTGTAATATTACAGACCGACCAGCGGCGAAAAGATAGAAAAGAGAGGCTGAAAGAACGAAAGATAGCGAAAGAATTAAACGAAAGATAACTCCGTCAGACCAGCAGACAGAAAGAAGCGAATGGTCGGATAAAGAGAAAGAGGACGGGTGGTGGATGATATCAAGTAAGAGACGAGACCCTTGATGTATACGACGATGCGTTAAGGGCTGACCTCGAAAGGTTGAGAGCGTGGCGAGTTTGAAGTGGATAAGCGGATGCTTAAGATCCGAGACGTTGGCGTCCGACGATATGTTTAGGGACGATCGTGAAGCCGATGATGTCGCAGATTTTGGTTGGCAGATCCACGATATCGGCTGTCTGGTCTATAATCGTAGGGAGCACACGCGCGACATTGTATAGTATGTTCGGGTTTGGTGGTTCTTTGTAGCGATGATGAGTCGGCAGTCGGTTGTAAGGCCCGCTATGTCTCATCCAAGAGCGGCTTATTCTTGGCCCGAGGAATAGTGACCAGATTGTATGAGTAGTCGAGGTGATGATACGCAGGAGTATTCTGAGACGTTACAACAGACACAGAGCGAGGCAAAGTGATTTCAAGATGACCAGGGAGTGAGAGCGGAGGCTGCAAGTCACAGTGGAGGGCAGTCTGAGACTTTTAAGAAAAGGCCAAGAAAGGAATCACGACAGCGAAAATGCGCCTCTTGCTTGGTAGCAAAGTCCAGGCCAATGCAATGCAGTCATCGGTAAACGCACAAGGGTCTAGATGGAACGTCGGGCCACAAGCCACGCCATTACTCGAGGCCATCTTCGAGTATTCGCCTCACAGACATACAAGCGCCCTGGGCATTGGCTTCACGAACTGACCTGAAGACTGGCGGTGCGATAGAAAGGCGGGGAGAAAAGAGCCAGGATGTGAAGATATGCGATGCAGCGGCTTGTCACACAGTCCGGGCTTCAATCATCTTGAAGCTAAAGCGGGTGCAGGCATCTCTGGAGCTTCATGATTGGCCATCTCCATGATGGGTGTGGCCAAACATCGATAAACTCGTCTTTGGTAGTAGTGCGGAGGCTGGTAATTGGTGATAGCTCGGCGGTTAGGTGACAGAGCATAGGCCAATGGGCGGGCTTTGTGGCCATGTTGGAGAAGAAAGCATGGCGGGTAGAGAGAGATGGGGCAGGGGTCCAAGGATGGCGCATGAAGCTAAAAGCAAGCCATGGGTAGCGAGCTAAACAACTCAATCTGAGAGGAACAGAAAGGTCATTGTTCTAATATCGACTTTGATGAGCTCTCGTAGCAATTAGCAGGTCATGTTTGCTTCCAGGTCATCTCTTTCTCTCACTCGATGAGCAATAACTGGCAATTTCTGGCCAATTCTCCAGTCGCTTTCATGAGACGTTAGATACCACATGAAGCAGATGCTGGGACAATCGACGTTGCGGTGTTTTGGCTTGCTGTTGGACCCCTGACCCCTGGACTTTTCTGCCGCCCACCACTTCTTTCTAATCCCTATCCACTTAAACGCTTGTCTGCAGAGTTCTTTTTTTAAACATCGCTGCTTATGCCAGTGATGGATGGTATGGAGTACGGTACCTACATATCGTGGCAGCATGCCTGTTGAGCACACACTAAATGATGAGAATCTGGGGCAGATCTGATGTTGGTCCTTCTCATAAGCATGTTGGTCGACAGTCCAACAACTTATGAGACACTATTCGCCAATATTAAAGCGCTTCTCGAAACAACATACCTTCGTTTGCTGGTAGAAATCCCGAATATTTGGATCGATCGCTTGCTATCCACTTCCCTTACCGCTCGGGACCGATCAGAACCGATCAGAGCGGGCCAGCATCATTTTCCATGGCACATGATATGGATAGGATCATGACTGCTTCTCAACCTTCACCGTTCACATCAAGCTAGTGACAATTATCACTCTGCTCATGCCACTAGACATGGTAGCGGCTTGGTATTCTCTCTGTACCGAATCAGTCGAAAAGATAACTGGTGTGATTTGCCCCCAAGCGTGCAAGCGAAGACATCGGCTCGTCCGATAGTGGGTGACTGGAAGAGCCTGAGGCCTGCCATGAAAGCATGGGCAATAGCTAGCCTGGTTCACACAATCGTCTCTTGTGCCTGGCGGTTGCAGGAGTGCTCTGATTGGTTCAGCTTCTCATCAATCAGGTCAGCCACTTCTACATCACCCGTTGCCTAGTGGATATGATGGATTGAATCAGCACGGCCAACAAGCTGAATATCTCTTGCCCTCGACCTGTTGTTGGGATCGGTTGTGAGTGGCCGGATATCATACCATGCGGTTTTAACGCACAGTGGTGGTGTCCTGAATACCATCGCTATGGGTGCTTGCACATAGCATGTATGCATTCTGGGTTATGTGACCCGAGTCTCTGGGCAGGTGATCGGCTTCGTTAATATTGTAAGGAACGTCTATTCCTGTATTGGTCGGTGATCATAACATCATCCACAATTGCCTCCCAAGCGTCTGGTACACATGCTGGCCCTTGCCGCCCAGTATGTTGGAATTGGTGGTACCAACACTCACTCAATCTACGTTCCATCACAAGTCGTGCGCCCGGTGCCTTGGGCTAATCTTTAATTTGAGACGGGCCATTTGCAAGGAATGCGATGACTCGCTTACCATCTTCCTGACCTAGGTACTCGCAGATTGTAGCTCGACCATCTGGATGGGTGCAAAGGCCGGCAAAATCTCTGAACCCGGATGTGATTCCGGTCAAGAGATTAGTTTGGTCTCTTCCCAATGGTTTCCCTTCAACACACCAGGAGACCAGATCTTTGTGTGCAACACTTCGTTCGGTGTTGAGACATGATGCTGTGTTGCCATAGTCCCGCCTCAAGGACTCGACGCAGTCTTGCAATTCTCGAGTCGTAGAAATGGGTATCAAAGGCACAACCGAGCCCGTTAAAAGCATGCTAAATGGATAGGGAGTGATATTAGTTGGTATTCAGCATGCGCTCATGTGTCCTGCTCACATACTCAGCTTGAATGCAGCAAAATACCTCCATCGAGCTATCACCGTCCAAAAGTAATAACACCGCGACACGCTCGCCCCCACTCATCAACAACAACCTTTCCACTCGCGCCTTTCCTTCCTTGGACTGTAACTCAGATAGTGATGAAACGATGCCCCTAAAAAGGACAGGCGGGACGCTAGAGTCAGCAATAGGAAATGTGATATCACAGGCCTCCAGGGTAGTTTCTGTTGCAGCTCATGTAAGCCTTCTTTATGGGTCAGTGATGTGTGAAAAGATCACAGACCTTGCCATGATGGACTCGACCTCAACGATTGAACAATCAGAGCCCACTCTTGTCGCTTCCGCAGAGATGAAGAGAACACGACCGTCATGTTTTAGGTGCGAAGCTAATGAGTGACAAGTTGCATGAGATTCAATCGTTAAGTGATGGATTGCTGGTGCGAGAAGGATGACCTTAGATGAGATTTCGCTGTTGCATGTTGACGGAGTTGAATGAGAAGGAGCCAACCTAGGTTGAGCGACTGCTAAAGGAGTTGCAAGGACGGTAAGCACCGGCCTCTTGCCATTACTCACATTACGATAAAACAGGACGTTGTGCCCCTAACGGATACCAAAGACTAGGTAGACCAAGGCTTCGGTTTTCCAACACAAAACACTCAAAACCAGTAAAGTGTGACATTATAATTAGTCAAGAGGCTACTCGTACTGAGAACACTTCAGTGCACTAGTTCATTCACTAAACTGTCGCAGATACTGTTTAGTAGTTCATTGCATCGGCTGGAGAAAAACATTATTCGTATGAATATACATCGATCAAGTTGACTGAAATGAAGTGCTCAAGTTGAGTATCAAATCAAGAGCCAATCAAAGCTCAAGAAGCTTTTTGTGATGCCCCTAGCTTTAGGTCCCCCAAACGTCAGCACGGAATATCGCGGCTCCGGAAGGGACGGCACCTCAGTTAAAGAGCTGAAGAACAACAAATAAGGTACCTAGTTATGCGCTTGCCATTGATTTATCGTGACGGAATTAAAACTTGCAGTTGTCTTTCTCCTCCTTGTTACTGACAAATCACATGCTTTGAAGCCAATTGACAACCGACCATATTCCTCTTCGCTACGGAACGGGAGCCCCACCAACGATTAAATACTCAATACCTACTAAGATAATCAACTTGGCGCAAGCAGCTCTCAATCCTGGAGCCAAGACTCCCAAAGCCACCGCCAGCCATGGTCCCCCTCCCCCTATTCAAGCTCGCATCGTTGCTTGTGAGGCATATTTCTAAATATGGCGCGGTATAATCCCCACCATCTGCCGTCTCGAGGTCTCATACTCACAACCAGGTAGAACCACATAAAAGCTCAAGCTCACGATCACGCTCGATTTCGAGCGTTTGCCGCTCGATATGGACAGTATATGCATCAATTGAATATGAGGATGTCGGTCGCGTTATTACGAAACCCGGAAGCTGAACGAAGAGCAAAGGAAAAGGCCGAAGCCCCGACAGTCAAGACAGAAGAGCAACAGAAGCGGGACGACCAGCTCAAACAGAAACAGGCCGTCGAAGCCCCCAAAAGAACCTTGGCATTTCAGAATATCTGGCGACGAAAGTTCAGACCGCTTCCTGAGAATAAAGCAGTTGATCTATTTGCCGACGTTATTGGAGACGCTTTCATCCTCTCGGTAGCCGTCGCACTGATCGTTTACGAGACCTGGAAGTCATCGCAGAAACCCGATATCAACAAAATGCGGATAGAAGAGTTGGACCAGAAATTAGAGGAGCTTAAGAAGAGAGAAGAGGAGCTTGAAGAGTCAGAAAAGAGACAAAAAGAAAGATACGAAAGCCTGGAGGAAGCCTTGCGCGCGTTGAGAGATCCTAAGACGAAGCAACCTCTACTCCCAACATTACAAGCATCATAACGCATCACGAGCAGACTGCCTGCATGTAGGAATAAACGGACGCGAAACGTCTCTGCGGACAGGAATTCGAGATCTGCTAGCAAACATGCTGGTAGGAAATACTGTTACAGGGAAGAACTCGGATCATATTGACGACCAATTGCAATTTTGGACAATGCCTAGTCTGTGCTCGAGGTTCATGAACATTTCATTCTCTATAAGACCTTTCAAACTACCTATATAACCCCTTCTCCACCATAGACTTAGATACTCATGATTTACGATGTAAGATAGGCCCCCATACATAACAACAATCCGAAAAATACCTACCCGGTTCTGGAGCTGTGCCAATTGAATTGACCGCTAGAACCAACCGAATTCGAGGCCGAATCTATCCTAGCTCAATGACAACAGCTGTTTGATTGGCTGGGGTCAGGCACATCCAGGGGACATGATGTTATCTGATTGGACCATAACTAGCCCGCTGGAGCTCTGTGGTTGCCAGCAGCAACAGACTCATAAGAAAGTACACAAACCACCAGTCGCGGCAACTGATGACCTCTTGACCTTTCGACCTTTCTTCGTTCAGCTTCACTCGCCGATTTCTATCTTGCAAATACTAACCCATAGTTAGGGCGATAATAATTTCTGCTTTTAGCATTGCTTAATACCCCGACTTCTTTTGCTTGAGCAGGCGACTCTCTTTCACTCATATTGCATGTTGTCGTCGCGAGTCTCGTGAGTTTTATCCGTTTGTTTCACTGTTTCGCTGGCGCGCTTTCTACCACACAGATTGACTTTAGCTTGTCTCTACCGATGCTTTGTTTTGCGCGTCGCTAATATTCTATTGCAGACCGACCTTGGCGACACTTCAACGCGGTTGCTGGCCTTGTAACATTCACTTCCTTTTGGCAACAATCCTTCGATAAAATTCTTCATCCTTTGCAGCGCAACACCCGAACTCTGTACTAGCCATGGCCCATAGGCTAGCACCCCGCGGCATCGACTTGGAGGCTTTGTCCCCTAGGGATGCCAATGCCCAACGAGTACCGAAAGTTACCGACATCAAAACAAAGACCGCAGCCCAGCTCAAGGCTGTCAAGGAAAAGGAACATCCTCCACCTCCTCCCACAGAAATTCCCGAACCACCAAGCTCCGACCGACCTGATGGAGCGACCTACCAGGTGGGCAAGCTGCTTGGAAAGGGTGGGTTTGCTATCTGCTACAGCGGTCAACTACTTCCCACAAAGCAGCGATTTGCTCTCAAAATCGTCAAGAGCCACATGCCCCCGAAGATGGAGCAGAAGGTATGTGGTAGCGAAGAAGAATCGAGTCTCACCTCTAACGCTTCCAGTTCCAAACCGAGCTCCAAATCCATTCCAAGATGAAGCACAAGAACGTTGTTCAATTCTTGAGGGCATTTTCACATGAAAAGTGCACCTACCTGATTCTTGAGTTATGCCCTAACGGTTCCCTAATGGATATGGTGAAGCGAAGAAAAGGCCTCACTGAGCCTGAAGTTCGTTTCTACTCTGTCCAGATCGCTGGTGCAATCAAATATATGCACAGCAAGGGCATCATTCACCGTGACTTGAAAATGGGCAATATCTTCCTCGACTCTCAGATGAACGCAAAGATTGGTGACTTTGGTCTTGCTGCTCTGTTGGTGACGGGTAGAGATATGCACACCATTCGTCGAACCACTCTATGCGGAACACCAAACTATATCGCCCCAGAGATTCTCGAGAAGGGAAGAAAGGGCCATGACCATATGGTGGATATCTGGAGTCTGGGCATCATCATGTGAGGATAACCAACACCGTATCATGAAGTAAGCTAATAATGTCAGGTATGCCATGTTCACATCGAAACCCCCATTTCAATCTTCGACCACGGATGAGATTTACCGCCGAGCTCGAGAGAGAGACTACGATTGGCCGTCATTGGAGACATCACGGAGATACATCAGCGAGGAAGCTAAGGAGCTAGTTGCTACGATGCTTCAGGATGCTGATTGCCGACCGGAACCAGAGGTTATTATTCAGCATCCTTTCTTCACCTGTGGATATATGCCTACCGAGGCGGAGATGAGCTCTCGCCTAAGGGAAGTTCCTCCGGACCGTGATGAGTTCTATGCTACCCGCATGAGCAGCGCCCTACAGGCGCAATCATACAGGAACTTCAAGGACATGTGCCGAGAGTGTGGAATTGGCCCATTTGCTCCCGTCCAGGTCGTTCACACACAGACCTGGAAAGAGATGGCCGCTGAGGAAAAGGCTGGGTTGACACCCTTAATCCCCCTCGAAGAAGGGATTGTCTACAGACCTTTTGAGGAGTGGCTGAAGGAACAGCAACAAATCAAGGCCAGATACACAGCATCCGTAGCAGCACAGGCCAGCATTTCCACCGAGGATCCTTTATCTGCGAGTCAGAGGGCACCAGCAGGTCTACTTCGCCAGCCTCCTCAAAGTTTCGCCGCCCAGCAGAGAATGCAGCATAGGCCAGCTGGCAACATGGTGCCAACAAAGCCCCGTCCTGCACCTGAAGCCACCTTATCGGCTTCCCAGAGTGTGAGAGCAAGGACCCGACGAGAACTGCCCCGAGAAGCCCCAGCAAGAGAGACTGTCGAATCTGTAGGCAAGAGCTTGCGAACTTCTAGTCGATCTGCACCTCCAGTAAGGGCCGCTTCTCAGCAACCTCCTGAGCGACAACTATCCGAGAGACCTACGCTCGACCGTCAATCGTCAGCTCCAGCTACCACCGCTCCTCCTGCACCAGCTGCACCCCCTAAGAGAGACACTGCGGGCATGCGGGCTGCAACACTCTTTAGCTCTTCGGAGCGGCAGGACAGGATCTCGGGCACGAAGCCTGACATGATTTTGGATCGATTGCATCGCCTGCAGGGTGAATTGGAGCGGGCTCTTAACTCACGGACCATGGCTATCATCTCATCAAAGACAGTGACGCCTCCTCATCCCCATGTGGTTGTCAAGTGGGTTGACTACACCAACAAATTTGGCCTTGGATATATCTTGAATGACGGCAGCGTCGGATGTATTCTTCGGGACATCCCAACCACGGAAAATGGCAAGGCAGCTTTGCTTCCTCCGGCTGGAGTATTTATCCGCGGAGCAGAAAGGCATATCGTACGCCGTGAGGACGAGACATACGAAGAAAGAAGCCAGCCTTTACCGATGACTGAACCCATCAAGTTCTTCGAGAACAATGGCGAGACTGGACTTTCGGAAGTTATTGTTTCTCCCGAGCAGTTCCGAGTGAATGTGAATGAAGATGGGTCTGCAGGCAAGATGCAGCCCGGTAAGGACATCTTCCAGCACCGGAAGCGTGAGAGAATCATTCTCTGGAAGAAGTTTGCCAATTACATGATCGCCTATGGACGGGACGATATTGCGCCGGTTGAAGAGACTGACCCAGCGGGTGCCATGTCTCCAGGCCAGAAGGGTACAGTGGCAGAGCTAGTCACCTTCTACCAGCGATTTGGAGATGTTGGATGCTGGGTTTTCTGTGACGGCCACCTTCAAGTAAGTACTGCTGTCAGAAAGTTGAATGAAGGATACTAACCAATATAGTTCAACTTCCCCGACCACACCAAGATCGTCATCGATCATACAGGAACCTGGTGTCACTTCTGGCATCTTCCTCAGGACGCCGCTGAGAGGCTTGCGGCAACTGGTACTATTGGAGCCGCTGCTCTTGACGACCGGGCAATGCTGTCTTACCCTCTGCAGACTCTGCTGAACTTCCAGGCCAAGCCTGCAGCACCCCGCCCAGGCCGTGCCACAACAACGACTCGAAGACGCCCTGAGATTGCCCCTGAGTTGCAGGGCATTCCCGCCGCCAACGACTTCCGTCGCAAGATTGTCTTTATCAAGGATGTTGTGAAGGAATGGGTTACCAATGGTGGCATGGGCAACAGCCAGATGAGCCGAGAGTCTCGTCTTCGATGGGGCGGCCACCGAGAAACAATAAGCAGTCACGCACCGCAAAAGCATGTCTGGGTCACTGTCGGAGCGCGATGGGGAGACCAGCGAATCTCGACTTATGTCGATCCCCGAAAGCCTTGGGAACTTGGAGAGGATGTTGACCATTCGAAGAAGTGAAGGCCATGCATGATGTGACATGGCATGAGCAGAGCAGAGCAAGGCGTTTTTGTCTATTTCTTGTTGACGACCATCATGAACAAATGATGCATTCCACGTAGGGTTTATTACACAGAGGTGTGCATTGGTTTTCTGCACCTCGCAGGCGTTAAGGGCAGATGTGCATGGCGAAGAGGAGTTTGGGTTGTGGCCAACTTTGCTTTAGTTAGCTTTGAGACTGGCAAGCTTTTAATGACAATTGATTGTTCTTTGGACAGATGATGTTTCTCTTTTAAGAATTCAAATGCAAAGAAATGGTTAATCCAAACATGTTGGATGGTGTGAAATGCTATTTGTTATTGTTAAATCTACTTACGTAGTATGCAACGAATATGTAACCATCAAGATGTAAGTGGGTGCGCATCACAGTTATTTTACTGCAAACTTCAACTCAACAAACAGCTCAACTCTTCAAAAACCCTTTCCTTTACTATTATGTAAGAAGTGTCCTTTCGTCGTCTGATATATGTTATATGCCTGCTTTTCCTCGGAACTGGTCGATAGTGATTATCGTAACTACAAATGAACTTTTAGTATGGACTGACATACTTCTTACCACAATATCAACCAGAATATGTTCATCACAATCCATTTGAAACTATCAAATTACACTATTCACAAGTGGTCGCTGGAATAACGCCATCTCCAACTGACTCTATACAAAAAGTAGGACCCTTGTCCACCAACGCCCGCCCAGGGCATAAAACATAAACACTTGGCCTCAAGAATGGTACCCCTTATTACTTATATTTGCGTGAATGTGCAAGTATGTATGCATTCCATCCTCATAAAAAACACCCTTCGTTTTCAAAAACATCTTTGCCCAATCTAATGCTCTCAAAATCAAGCATCAGAATAGTACTCCTCATTATATTGGTGGCCTGGAGGGCTGGTCCAGCTTCCACCACCGCCGCCGACAACGTTCTCACGAGAGCCCCAGTAGCCGCTCCTTGAGCGCTTATCACGCTCGAACTCGGCCCATCGCTTCATTGTAATCTTGCTGCTGTCGAACTCGCCCTCATATTCCAGGCCGGCCTTCTTAGTCTTTTCGCCTGCTGTTTTTCGTGTCTCGCCCCATGAGAAGTCGTCAAACTTCCAGAATGCATAAGTCGGGAGCACAAAATTCCAGATTGGTAGTGCCAACAGGTAGATGAGCATCCACACAATATAGGACCACGAATGCGCTGTGACAATAACGAGAAGACCAGGTAGACCAAGAATTAAACCCAGGAGAACGAGAGGAATAATTTGTGGTGGTGAGTGGATAATAGACGTAACAACTAAAAATCAGTTAGTAACTAGCATCGACCTGTGTGTGGTGTGTTCGATTACTTACCAACATAAAAGGTAAATGCGATAGCAGCCGGCAGGACCAGAGTACCAACCAGTTCGACAAAGATGATGAACTGCATCGAGAAACAGAAGGTACCGCAAAGATCACGAACAAGAACCAGTTCCATGAGGTTATGAATGGTTGAGTTGATCCAGCGACGTCTCTGAGAAAGGAGCACCATGAACTCGTCGGGCACGGTCGTTTTGCATACTGCTTGAGGAATAAAAACCTGCTTTCGCTTGGGGAAAGTTCGGAGCATCAGGGTTGTCAGGAAACGATCCTCGCCAAGGAGATACAGGTTTTTCTCGTGCAGAGTCTCGACCACATTCTCAGAGTAATGCTCGACGATATCAGGATTGGCCAAAATCGGAACCCAGTAGTTGTGTCCACCCTTAGGCGCCTTGATGCGGTACATACAGAAACAACCAGGTAAACAAGTAACACCACCGAAGACCGATTCGAAAGACTTGGCAAGATGATGCGAGACGAAGTACTCAAATACTTGAATAGCAGTAACCCAGCTGTCGCGCTTGTTGGCAATCTTGGTTTCACCACAAAGTCCCATGATCTCAGGATCTTTGACCATAGCAGAAATCATATGAGTCAAACTATCAGGGAAAACCTTGGTGTCGGCGTCGACCATGAGGATGATTTCGTAATAGTCCGGAGAGATACCTGTCACCTTCCAGAGGCCATTGAACATCTCGTACTCGAGTTCTGTCATGCGCTCATCAAACATGACCTTCTGGAGGAACGACATTAGAATGATTTGACTGTCTCGCTTTCCACGGTTACCAGGCTTGGACTTGGTGGCTTCATCAGGAGTTCCGCACTTGACCACTACCATCATGGGCACTCGCTGCTGTCGATCAGCAGGAATGCGAGAGCTCTTGCCATAGTCGTAGAAACCACAGTAAATCTTGGCCATGTTGTGACGCTTAGAACCGCTAGCAACAGCCACATACGAGAAAGGCTCAACCATGTCAGGGGGAATAGAGTGGTCCTTCAGCATGCCCAGACAGACATCAGGTGTAGACACGGTTTCGCCATGACCCTTAATGATTCCATCACAGATAACGACGATGACCTTGTGGCTGTTGGGATAATCAGTAGTCGCGATGGAGTCCAGAGTGGTTCGAATACCCTCCTCTCCTTCAGAGTATGCAGTAACCAGACACATCGTGTGAGCCAATGGAAAGCCAAATGGCATCCAGTCAGAAGGAGGTTGAGGAACAACAGCATCATGAATAAAGCCAGCAGGACCAGGACCATCGGCAGGCGAGGCAGAGTAGGGATCAGATCGGAGGAAGCTGGCGCGGCTTTCGTTGCCCTGCTTAAACACAGAGCCAGGTGAGAGGAGTTGATTCGAGTTACTTTGACTGGCCATTGTTGTCGGCATTCGTCGCCCAGTTGGTACCCTGATATCGGGGCCACCAACAGATGAAAATCGGGACGTAGTAGGGAGGAATGATCCACGCTTGCTGGTTCGATCCGATGATCCATAAACAGTACTTCCGACATCACCAGGGAGTCTGATGGGAGCGCGGTAGATGTCCTCTGACCAATCCTCAATCTGACGGTTACGCTTTCTCCGGTCGGAGCTCTGAGACGTCTTGGTTGGCGCATACTTGCGGCAAATGAACCACTGGAAAATGATGGCCAGGAAGAATCGAACACCAACGACAGAGAGAATGAGGACCAGCGCGCAGTACAAAACAATCTTAGAAGCAATGCAGCCAATTGTTTCAGTGTCAACCGAGCCAACCTTGATGATTTCTTCGAAGCACTGCGCATACTTCTTGTCTGACGAAGACTGAAACATCCGAGTAACATCGCGACCTCGGATGGCCTTGTTGACTTCGGAATCCTTATCTCTAAGCACTTCGAAGCGTTTAGGAATGGCAACCTGGCTCTTGTTGAACCAGTTGAGGAGATCTAGATCCAGAACATTTCCAGAATAGACAATGAGATTACGCGAGCTGTTCTTGATATCATCCCAGGTGAAATAAACATCCGCAGCACCACTCAAGTCAAGGTAAAAGGCGTTTCGAGAGTTGAGTGTAGTGTGACATCCGTAACCAGAATAATACGGAGTGGTCAGGTTGACCTTGCTTGAACCGTCCTGGTTAAAGGTCGTGCAGGGGAAATACCAGCCCAAGTCACCATCTTTGTTTGTGGGCACGTCCGAATCCTTAGCAAGTGTGATCAAGCCCTTGCATCTGCCGTTGACGTTCTGGAACAAAAAGCTCCCGTCCTGGCCCGCATGCTTCTCGGGAAGATCGTAAAGAACATTGGGACCTAATCCGTCACCGCGAAGGGGCATACCCTGAGCAGGTGGGTGATGAGACTTGGATAAGTCATACGCGATACCATGAAAGATCATGTTGCCTCCATCAACCTTGTTGACGCGCAATCGCTCTGCGGGAGATCCACAGACCGTCGCCGTGAAACCAAAAGTGAGGAAACCAACAATGGCCATAATACAAAGGATGATGCTGATAAGGCCCATCTTTTCACGCCAAGCCCTCTGCTGCGCCCTGGTTGGCATACCACAGCACTTCATGATAAATCCAGGGGCCCAAAAGGTAATAATAGCACAGTAGACATTCCAGAAAGTGGGCGGCCGAAGCTGCTCCTCGATTCGCTTTGGTGGCTTGGAATGACGCTTCGACTTCTTCTTGATCTTACCTGATTTTGTACGATCTGGAGTAGGGATGGCGGCTGCAACAGCAGCGCTTTTCTCCTGCTCTCCACTGACGTTTCGTCGTTGGCGAGGGGAACTATCCGAAGCGACTTCGTTGTAGTTCGAGTTGGATCGCTCTGTTGACGCCTCAAAATCCTCGTAGATGGGGTCATTCCCTGTTGAAGACGGCAAAACATTCATGTGAGCAGCATGCTTGTGGTAGTGGTAGTTCCGGTGATCTCTGTCGATTCTGTTTCTCTCTGGGCGAATCAAACTTCGTTTCCGAGATATAGGCTGTTCTGGGCCAGAATGACGCGATTGTCCATCGGGGGATGTTGGCGACAGAGGCATACTCTCTGTATGAGAATTAACACCGATGGACTCTGCGAAAGAAGAACCGGATATCCCACGTTGATGTTGAGCGACATTGTCTACAGCATGATAACCACCAGTCTCGATATCGACGGGTCTTGATCGTCGCGAGGGCGAGTTGCGGTAAACATTGCGCTGATTGTAGTTCGAGCCGGCGCCCGGCCGCTCGGGAAGAGACATTGCCCTGGAAGAGCAATGTTAGAATAAGACAAACCTCAAGGCCAGGTGTTGAGAAACGTTCCCGGACTGAGCGCTAAGCGCAGAGAATTTGATCGTTGGATCGGGGGAAGGTGAAAAGACGGTATCGGGAAGCGGTGTTGATGTTGATCAAGAGGAGGAAAGGGGAAAGAGGACAAGAAGTTGAACGCCAAGCTGCAGCAACCTCAGATGTCGATGTAGGTGTAAAGCAGACCAGATGATGGGAGCCAAGACTAAACAAGGTGAAGAGGATCTGCTACTTACGGGATGATCTGTTGTGGTTGTTACAACAACCTCTCTCGAGGATTAGGTTTGAGTTAGGAATATCCCTGTACGAAGTGGGAAGTCTCTGAGGAGACGGGCAAGGTGAAGCACAGGACAGGCAGTGCCCGCGTGTCGTCGATAGTCGACTCGTCAAGGCTCGATGTGGGGAGTAATGGTCATGGAGTCGAATCGAATAACAGAACAGAATAAACGGGACGCCGTTGTTTGGAGTAGATTTCGAGTTTGAGTGATGTTTAGACGATGGCGTGGAGCAGAAACGAGCGAGTGATGGGGCGACCAGGGTTTTTCGGTTCAGGCAATTAATTGCAGGGTACGGCAGTGCTTGGACGCAGTAAATGTCGTAATCAATGATGAGAGCGAGTGTGGAAGATAATAATAAAAAACGACAACAAGAAGCGACTGAATGTCCCTCGAGCGAAGACAATGCTAACGATCGGTTTTGTCTGGACGAGTTAAGATGAGATGGGGGAGGGAGAGAGCGAACGAGAAGGCGATTGAACGGCCAACGGTATGTTGCTCCTTCCCTTGCCGTTATCCTGGGGGGGGCTTCCGGGCATGAGAGCCCATGAGAAGGGGGCGGAAGACAGCCAATTAGAGAATAGTCTTTCCAGTAGTGGTTGCACTAACTCATGGCGCTAAGTCTAAACAGTCCGAGCCTGTGGCCCCTTGGGCTAGGGATTTGCAAGGGTTATCTCGCTGTGGCAGGTGTGGCCCAGCGGTTGCCCCGGCAGCTCGATCAGATGCCTGTACTCATTTGAGAAACCAAGTTCTACCCTTCCAAGGAAAGAACCCAGATGCTTCAAGTCCAAGTTTGGAGTTGGAAGATGTATGTCATACTAAATGGACATCAATGGGTCAGCAGTCATTGTACCTTATTGTTTATGTAAAGTAACAAAGCTTCAGCGCCTAATGAATCAACCTAGTCTTATTACAATCAGCTTGGCTAATACTTCAACACACGGTTAATTAGCCTGAACCACAATGATAGATGTCCACGGAGCCCGTCAAACTCTTGCGTTGCAGATACATACTAACAATAGTTTTAGATGGCGTGCATTCATGCCACTTTGCTTGCATGTATCCGTAGGTACGGTCTATCTTAGCAGCCAGGGCAGCAGCCTCTACTAATGTTAATTAAACCAACCATACGAAAGAGCTTCTGCAAACGCAAATGCAAGAGCTAGGGGTTAAACAAGCCAGTTGCTGCCATCTCGCTTGACAAGCCGATCTGATCCTTTTAGTCTGATTGCTCCGCGTTCCCCTTGTTTACCTTACTGTGGCTGGATATTAGGTAGGTACTCCGTAGGTAACCAAGAGAAACACATGGGGAGTCTCTCCGTTGAGCAGATTAACCTTCCGTGACTATAGGTTAGCAATGCTCTTCTCTGCCTGACCCAACATCTGTCTAACTACATGCTGCTAATACGGACGTTATATGCCGTTATTTCGGGAATGATAAACATAAACTCTGTACCACGTGTAACCTAAAGCCTAAGTGTCAACCCGTCAAACCGTCCACGTTTCTGACGCATAAGTTATTGTTTACCAGTTAACGACCCATTCCTAAATTCGCCAGAATAGGGTAAATTTCAACCCGGTCCAAATCTCTCTAACATATAGCCCAACGGCATCGACTCAGTAGTTTAATTCCTCATCACCCTCCACCGCTCTAAAAGTCACCCAACTGGATCTTAGTTGCAGAACCTAATGATCTAAAACTCCATGAAACATATTTTCTCAGGGCATACATTCGAGAGACGAAATCTTTCTACCAATTTGTTATGCTTACCAATCTGATGTATTCGACCGGCGGGGTAGGATGAGCAAATCAAGTGTGCCTTACAAGTACCGTATATCTAAGAGTTGAACCGGTGTCCCTTATTAGGGAACTAAACTACAAGTTCAACCTAGTTTCCTGTACTATGTTTTCACAAATTATATTGTTTTAGATAATCTTAGGGTAGCAGTTAACTTCATGGTATGCGGGACTCGAGTTTGCTGGAACAAATCACACAAGTGTTCAAGGGTCCAAGAGGGCTTCTGGACTACAAATAGAATGAGAATTCAAATGCAGCACTGCTAACTCTGCTTTAGCGGATATTCAGCATACATCACCAGTTACGTTAGATACGAGCGAGATCAACTGCATCATGTGGGTGATAAAACGCTAGCTCAATGCCAATACGAGCATTAGAAATCGGCTTCACATTCCGCAGAAGTACACCTGTCGAAACCCCGGGACTAGAAAATGCTTGATCCTAGAATAAAGTGGGACATAGTGGAGGGCTTCGCTCCGAAATCGCTTATTCTCACAGATAAAAGAAGAGTTCTTGGCCAGATAAATTTCAGTCAACCAGAAAAAGGGCCTCGGAGGTTGAGGTTGGTCAGCCATTCTCACGCACTTTAGTATGAAGTGCAACGATGAAAGCTTGGTACTTCTTATCCAGCCGGAGTGGGGTATCTACCAGGTCGGCAAGGTGGGGCCGCCCGATCGTCAGCGGCCCGTGAATTCAAAGCATACCCGATATTTCATCAAACTCTAAAGAAAAGGTTCGGTTCACTTACATATAAAGAGCATAAATCTTAGAGTTAAGCCAGAAGTGATGCGTTGGTTCAAGGAGCCTGATATACAGGTGCAACTTTCGGTGCATATTGACTTTCCAAGCTCGATAGCCTGTTAGTAAGATGGAGTCAAACCCTTTGACCATTGCTAACTTGATAGGCAGTCTGAATCCTTCTGACATGATGGGACTAACACTTTTGACAACCTAGTCGAAGCAAGAGGTGGAGGAAGCAAGAAATAGAAATTTGACTAACTCAGATCAGGTTTTAACTGAAAATACAATATCCATGTCAGACAAGAGCATACATACATGTTTCCTTATCTCCTTGCCCTCTTATAAATAGCCAAAAAGCTTGATCAGCTCAGCATCATGCTTGGCACGTAGAGAATAGAACAGGCTGCCAATAGAAAGTGCAGACTTCCATCCCCCAGAGATATCGGGTGCAGAAGTTGCGCACCTGTGTGTGGTACAAGTCCAATGTACTGCCAGATTCCAAGGCCAGCTGACGAAATAAAATACAAAAACGCGTTACTCGCCGAACCCGAAAGGACTGTCACCATAGAATAAATCCCCGATCTGTTTTTGGTTGTACGGACAGGCCAATAGTTACTCGATTAAATTGCAGTTTGCGTGACGACACCAACGCCATGGCGGCAGCTCAGCCCTGTTCAACGGTAGGCGCTGGCCGATATTGACGCCTGCATGTTGTAGCCGATGCATGCTTTGGCGGTCAGTAAATGGCAGAAGCCCTAGCGCCGCAATCCGTTGGTCTGGGCTTGGCCTGGACCCTTGAGTTGAGTTACTATTTAAGCCATGATTTGCATTCGAAGATGGACCCAACGTGTCATTGGGGGGCCTCGGGGGGAAGAAAAACACCGGACGCACTTACACCAAAAATCGCTGATCTACCACCAAATGGTGTCCGGTGTTTTATTTCCCCCCTTAGGGGGGGAACTCTTGACCTTGAAGCTTTTCAGCTTTTCAGCTTTAATAGCTGGTTCGCGAATTGTAATCGTAGACTAATACTGTCATGCTTGTCATTTTTAGGCTCGACAGTTTCCTCACACTTACTCTTTCGGGGAGTGGTCAGCCGGGCAATTTTGACCGCGCCATTGCCGCAGGAAACTTTCGTCATGCCGAGCAGAGCTTTCCTGAAGTTGTCACATCCCTTTTGGACCCGTATGTTTAGTCGGATGAAAGGGGAGTGTACGGATACACGATCACCATCTACAGATTTACTGGACACACGTAGGTCTGTCTGTGACTCCAAGAGCACAGTGAGGGGAGAGAGAGAGAGAGAAATAGCCTTGAATGTTGGTGACAGGGTGAATGCATCGCAGGATCTTCTTGCCTTATGCCTTATGGTGTAATTAATTACTAGGTATCTACCTAGTACCTACTAAGTTACGGAGTATCCGTAAATACTTCCATGATAGGAAAGGGAAACACCCCTGCTCCTTCCCAGTTATTACAAGTTCAGCTAGGTATCCACGCCAGATGTTGGCTCTAATCGTACCTGACTCTCGTTCTGGTAGCAACTGCCTAGTACCAAACCCGACAAACTACCTCATCCTAGGTACGTAGTGCTTTCAGGTGTCCTGGCATTAAAAGATTCAATATCTTCATCATCATTTTCTTCATTGAAACAAACAGTAATTATTTCTGCCATCCCCAGCCAGACAAACAAGCCCTAGCCAGTTTCTAGTTTCTACATGGGGTAGGTAGCCCCTCCCTCCAGGTGCATGCGCCATGGGATATTTTAGCCATATTTTAACTAAACTCCAGTCGGCGCCTGGACCTCATCACCACCACCAATATCGGACGGCGCAGCGCCCAGGACAAAAAGGACCTCATTGGATCTCAGCTCAAAATCCACTCATCTCTTTGCGTGGAATTTTCTCTTCTTCCCTCCAATTCTGGGTCTAGTCAGTCTTGGCTGTCTTGGTCCCTCTTTGTCCCTTTTGTCCTCTGCCTACTAATCAAGAAACCCATTATCGTCTTCATCATAACCTATTTTCAGGGACCTCTTTCAAATTCAGCCTTCCCCGTTCCACGGGTTCCCCCCAACTATCGTTTCTCCAACCACCCCCGTGTCGCTCGCTGATCCATTCTCTGTTTGTTCTGTTACCCCTTGTCCCCGCTGTATCGCCGCGTTTCGGATCCTACCCAAATATCCTCCGTGCAGCATCCGCTCCAAACTCCATGCGTTGTAGCGACCAACGCTATACTGTCTATTACTGACTCCAGACTGCGATCGCTTCTCCTCCTCCACAGCCGCTATCTTCGGTCGTCTCGTCTCGTCTCGTCTCGTCTTCCCTTTGACCTTATCGCTCGTCGCCAGATCCGGTCTCAGCGTCTTCGGTCCATCGTTAACTTGGATATATCATTTTCAACCGTCCTCGAGTTCTACACACCCTTACCAGACTGTCGAAATACAGCTAAACCACGACGCTCGTTCTGAAAGATACACAAATTTGCGCTTGGCTGCTTCGGCATTGCCAAAGCCTCACACTCGCTTCACTATGGCAGCTATTAATACTTCACCGCCTTCTACTGCCGTGTCATCCAACTACCACGATTCTCCATCGAGGTCCTCGAGACCGACCAGTTCCCGTCAAAGCCCTGTCCGTACCTCCCATTTCGATACCGCCGAGGGTCCAAGACTGCGCGATGGGCCAATCTCTCCTGTCCGTCTCAACTTCCAGCAGGATAACTGGGTTCAGCCCTCCAATGTTGATGTGGAACACATTCAAAATCCCGCCTTGAGAGGGCAATTGGTTGATCGCACTATTCATCCACTACCTTCGGTTCCAACAGCGCCTCCTCCGCCTCATGGTCTCAGGTCAGAGCCGACAAACTCTCGAGGATTTCAGAATGGTAACTTCAGGGCAGAGGATGGCTCCATGTCACAGCCTGAGAGATCAACTATCACCGAGTCCACCAAGACGACACCGACGGAAAGGGTACGCAATCAAGACCAATACCGCAACAGTCGGGAATCGGATGAGACTGCAAGTACAAATCCTCAGCAGATATCGATTGAGTCATCTGCGACGACGAGTGCAAGTTCTCTTTCGGGCTTGAACGAGAATACGGAGAGTCGGATAATGGGCGACTCTCCTGAAAGCTCCATCATTGAAGGCAATATGGCTGAGGCTCAGCCTGTGCCGCTATTCCAGTACCATCACCAGAAAGATTTCCCGTCAAGTGTTCCTAATGCAGACACTAGAAACGCTTCGACTCCTGACCTGGCTGAGAGTGCTTCAAATATCGGCCGCCACCTCACTCCCAATTCGGCTTCCAATATGAGGACTTCTCTGCCTCGACCGCCGTCCTCGTATTCCGTCTATTCCGATTCTCGTGGTCGCTCCCCAGGTCTGATGCCAGGTAGTGCACAATCCCGTAAATCTCCGGATGTTAGGATGTCGACGTATGCAGAGTTATTGCATGCACCTTATCCTCAACAGGCCCCGGCGCCTCTAACTCCTGACAACTCTAATCTCCGCACTGTTATAGGTAACAACGCATCTCTCCTTAGTACTCAAAAGACTCTGGATATGTATCGTGCCAATGTTAAAAAGACGAACGACTCCTCAATCCAGTACTCGTTCGCCATATTTCTGATCTCGACTGCTCAAGAACAAGGCCTTGACTTCTCAGAACCCAAGACGCGCAAGAACAGCCCAAAACCTGAAAAGGGTCGCGACAGTCCAGCTGCCGAAGGTTCCGTCTCAAGCCCGCAAGAGCTGGTTCGCGAGGCCCGACAGATCCTACAGCGCCTGGCTAGTGCCGGCTACCCCTTTGCGCAGTACTATCTTGCAGATGGTTTTGCTTCTGGACTATTCAGCAAGGGCAAGGAGGATTACAACTCGGCATTCCCTCTGTTTGTTTTGGCTGCGAAGCATGGTCATGCTGAATCTGGCTACCGGACTGCTCTATGTTATGAGTTTGGTTGGGGCTGCCGAAAGGACCCTGCCAAGGCGGTACAGTTCTTGCGTACAGCTGCATCGAAGCGCCATCCTGGTGCCATGACACGTTTGGGTAAGGCCTGCCTATCTGGCGATCTTGGAGAGAAGCGCTACCGAGAAGGAATCAAATGGATGAAGCTTGCTGCCGAAGCTGCCGATTCTCAATACAACTCAGCACCGTACCAACTTGGCTGTTTATACGAGAACGGGTACGGCGCGGATATCTTTAAAGACGATAACCATGCTGCTGAGCTCTTTACCCAGGCTGCAGAACTTGGGCATCCTGAGGCGAACTTTCGTCTGGGTGACGCTTATGAGCACGGCCTACTCAACTGCCCTCGTGATCCGGCTCTCAGTGTTCATTTCTATACGGGCGCTGCTGAGAGGGGACACGCTGGTGCTATGATGGGATTGTGTGCTTGGTATATGGTCGGCGCTCCCCCCATTCTGGAAAAGGACGAGGAGGAGGCCTACGAGTGGGCCCGTCGTTCGGCCGACTTGGGTGAGTCTTGTATCCAGATGAGTGCACGAGATGGGATAGCTAACAGTAGTACAGGTTTCGTGAAGGCGCAATATGCAGTTGGCTACTTTACAGAAATGGGCATAGGATGTCGCCGTGATGTCTTGGAAGCCAACGTCTGGTATGTCAAGGCTGCTGATGCCGGTGAGGAGCGAGCCAAACAACGTCTGTCCATTATACAAGCAGCCGTCAGCGGTCAGGGTACTCCTATGGACGTAGCTCCTCCACGGAATGGGAAGATGCAGAAAAATGGTAAAGATGATAAGGACTGCATCGTTATGTGATGGAAGACGTGGATGAGTCTGGCCCGGCCAGAGATTAATGCGAAGGATACAACCAATCCAACGACGGCTACGCTTCTTTATGATGGAGCGAACGACACTGCGATCATCTTCCACCGTGCTGCTGCTGTGGTCACCATCAGCAACACGCTCGTTCGGCGCATCCTTTTTTTTGTCCATCTTGGCATAATTGCATCACATATTTCTCAGCTGCCCGCGTGTAGGAAGGCCTTGGATTTTGGTATTCGTTCCTTATCTCTGGCGTATCCTTTTTCTGGCATGGGGGATCTTCTTGTTGAAATGACTATTTTAGACTAACAGAGGCTGGGTTTGATGATACGTCGCCTTGTTTTTGGCGTTTCGTTTGAAAAAGACGCGGCTTGGGTATAGTAATGAAATAATAATATATTATCTGCCATGGATGTGAGGCAGATATTGACACGGATCTAAGTTCAAAGACTTGATGTCAAGGGAGGGAGTAGCTCGTGATTACATCGAGTTTTTTCGAGTCTTCAATAGGTTGATCCATGGTAACATAATCCAGCGTCCAACAGTCGTATATCCATGACCAGTTCCTCGGGACGCCTGAGTCTATCTAACGAGCGTAAGTGAGACCAATCAAGTCCTAAGTGCTGCAGCATAACGCAAAGTTAAATAGCCCTTGATGGAGCTGCAAGGGGTTCTCATGATGGAACCGGGCTGGCAGAGAGATGTCTCCAGGGTAACCTGCTTTTAATGGACATTTGAGTGAGTGACTATCGGCTATCATCTATAGTCAATACACTCTCAGGACAAATGTCGTAAACTGGAAACAGAAATTCCCTCAAACATGGCGTGTGTCACACTGCAAGTCTCCCTAGTTCTCTAGGCCAGCTGATCTTGCTTGGCCACAGAAGTCAAAACACCGTGCAAGGGAGATGACAGTGGAGTGACAGGCTGACAGCTTGGTATTACTCGACTGGAGAAGCCAGCTAATGTGTCTCAACAGGACTTAGTTTGACGAGCAAGAGATAAGGGATGATTTTCTAGTTCTTTGCGTCCAAGTTAAACTATACTGGATCAACTGAAGATGGCATTCATAGTATAATATACCACTTGACATAGATGAGCCTTCAGGCCAGAGGCATTTGTCGAAGCACGACTGACCAAAACGTATACTATTGCTCGTTAATTAAGCGAGAGGCGACTTTGTACTACGTACTCTCAAATACCCCCTATCCTCAATGTGTAAGAGCCTCAAATCTATAATTACACACGGAACAAAAGTCCTGTCAGGGAACACTGCACTGCTTCAGCTCTGTCCACCCCCAGAACTCGGAAATACCGTCACTAGTCAGGCACTGATCGATCTCGGCCGTTCAATTACAAAGGGGGGAATAAAGATAAAGTTGCATCTATGAACAAAGGAACCCCTCCACTGGCTCGATCGACAGCAGGGAGGGTCTTTGACTGCTGAGACAAAGAGCTGAAATGGGGAGGTTCTTGGTGTGTTTACTGTGGCACTTCAGACGCGTTTGGTGTGTTTACATGTCTTTCTATGCCGTGGCCCGAGCATGTTGAGTATGCTGGTTTGTAGGTGGTGATGAATTATGACGATTCTGGACAAGAAGAGCGAGGAACACCGGGAGAGAGGCTATCGTGCTGAAGGGCGGATATGAACCGGGGCCGAATGTTTTAGATGGTCGATATACATTATACTCGACGACGTGAGACCTTTTTTTGTATTTTCGTAAGTAGAAACGGATAAAGTACGGCAATCAGGGACTGAGAGGGAAACAACACGATATTGGCCTGTCTTGTCTTTCGAATGGTTTCTTTCACATGGATGTTGGTATAAGACAAGGTGATACCATCCATATCGAGCTTACTCAAGTATATCAAGTTTCGGGAGCCGGATCTAATAGCGGTTGGATTTTTTATAATGACGCAATATGACCTGCGAACCACACGGCAGACCTTGGACAAAGAATGTAGTCACACTCATCACCTACATGGTTTCAACATTGTAGAAACGAGGGACAAAGGTTTAGATACGTACACCATTACAGGGTAGGTAAGTTAGGTGGCTGCTGGCCCGCTGGGTACGACGGTAAGGATGTTGGCAACCACACTGTACTGTACGGAGTACCTGCCCCCCATGTTCCCATGTCAGGACCGACAGGTACTTGCTGCACGCACTGGCCACCCATCGGAAGTGGTTGCGTTGCTTCTCCACTCATACCCATCTTTTCGTATTCTTCTATTGGCCACGCTTGCCCCCATGTATGTCTCAATTAACGCGTTGACGCGTCTAGGTCGTGATTTTCTTAACTTCACACGCGTTGCTCTCGCGACTTCAGCGATGATCGCGCGACGATGCGTGCCGTATAGCCAATGGCATCCAGAGCAAGCGGCATGCGTTGTAAACGGGCGGTGTACAGCTTTCGAAAGATAGGAATATGACCCGGTCCTTGTTTTTACTGGGTTGGAAAAGTGCGAAGAGTGTGTGCATCATGCGGATAGTTCATCGCGAGGTATTCGAAAGAAAGACGAAGGGAGAAAAGTGAGACGAAAAATCGCGATGTATCTGAAAGAGGAGGAGATTTGAAGCACCGATCACTCTGATCGAACCTTTGTTGGCGATCGAGGTTATTCTGCATCACCCTCGTCGTCATGAACATTCTCACTCTGGTGTAAAAGTGTAAAAGGCAGTTGCGCATATCGAGGGGTCACAGTGTACCAATACCAAAGTATCCATTTAACCAACAAATCGCGCGTGCTATCTTCTTCTGAAAGCGGGTAGAGACTAAAATAACAAAAAGCGGTAGAGTCAGTATTGGGGCATGACCTCACCGACTCAACTGTATCCGTAGAGGATGTCACAAACAAGGTCGCCGACACACACTCCCACCATTTTATCAATTGGACTGATATCACCCTGGAACCCTTGTTCGACTCAGAAGCACAAGAGAAGGAGCGGGCACAGGATAGCACAGGAGCTGCCCATGAGTAGATCCAACAACCGAGTCAATGCTGTAGAAACAACATTCCCCCCGTACTGTAAAGTGTGTCGTCACTGGTACAGAGCAAAACCCAAACTATTTACTCAGGACCCTGCAGCACATCAACGTGGAAGCGAACAGTACGGCATGGGAGAGGAAATATGGGAACGATGGGATGGTCCTAGCCCGTGCCGCGACGGCTCGCTCCCACCAGACCAGACAGAGCCAAAGTCTGTGCCAAGGCAGGGTAGTAAGCGAGTGTGTTCTGTGTACGGAGTATCCCACCACGGCTTGTGCGCCAGCGGAGATTTTTTGAAGTAGATATACGTCAGATATCGCTCTAGCTATTGCGACTTTGTTGCACATATTTCGCTGTCTCAGGAACCGTCTTGTTGGTTCACTTTGGTCAGCTGAACAAGCCGATCGCGCTGCGCAACTTCAACCACAATAATATCAAGACATTGTCGTTTTTGTGTGGGTGAGCAGCCGCGACTTGTCGGGTGCATCTGTGGCTCTAGGTCTCAGGGCTTGCTTGTACTGGAGCCACAGAGATGCGTGATGTACGGAGTACGGAGTAGACATTTAGTATGCAGTAGTACACAAAAATTCTGTAACTGGTGTGCCTGGCTCTGCATTAGACCCATGTCTATGTGTATTGCGCGCAATGGAGTAGCCTGGTGTCTTGAGTCAGGTAGGGCATCAAGCCCAACCCGGAAGTCAAGGGACCTGGTATCACTAGTTAGTCCTTCATATTTCAGACTAACTTGGGGGGATCTTGGAAGAGAAGATGGAGAACGTTGAACAAGCGAAACTGTGCTGGGATGCTCGCTTTACCTACACCCATCGACCAAAGCCTGGCGATACAGTTAGTATATGTGTACAAGCACTAACTTTAGTAAAACAACAAAACAGTGACGAATTACAATACACAAAGTACTGTGTAGTTTAGGTAGGATATATTAGGATCCCGGGGGAAAAGGTGTGATATCGTCGTTTGATCATATGATGGTGGATATCTGTACAGATACTGATTTATTACGTTCTTCTTTTCAACTCCTGTGCCTGGCCCCCAGGTGGGCACGGACGCAAATACTGCAGAGTGTGTTTAACTGCGGAGGATAATGATGTGCGTCTGCTTGTCTTGGACACGACCTGGTTCTGTCGTGCATATGACTTAAAAAGAAGGGATAGAGATGAAGGTTTATTGCTTTTTTCTCGCCGAGCAGAGGGAGAAACACGGAGAATAATATGCAGGGCAGTTGATGCAATTGATGACTGAAGATCTGAAGCGATGTCAGAAAAGGGAATAATTTATCCAATAGATGAAGAAGATAAAGGGATGATGAGGGAGGGAACAGACCCTCTTCCCTACGGCACTGTAGTTGTGTGGACTTTTCACGGAAGGGACGAACAGAGGGATGGAATAAATCGATAGTAGTCGTTTCGGCCAAGTACGATACGACGATGAGACGATTGGTACTAGAGAAATAGTCGGTTAAGAAGGGAAGATAGTGGAAGAAAGAGCATTGTGCTTGATTTGGTGCGTGTCTTGATGATCGCTTGAGTGCAAATGTGAGTGTTGAACGAGGCTGATTAGGGTGTCTCATGTATGATTTTGCGAATAGATATCTCTTACCCAGAGCAACAGCAATGATATTGTTATGTACAGTGCAGAACCGAATTGAAGATTTACCTCTAAAATAGATGCTTGACTTGCAACAAAGCAAGTACCTTGATGTGCAACAAGTCCACAGGCAAGGGTTGGGTCAACTCTCTCTTACTGTACCTACCAAAATGCATCGTGACTACTAGGAAGCAGCGAGAGAGGGAGGAGCGATCTTTGTGTTTGTACACAGTTGCAGTTGCAGTTGCAGTTGCACCTGCACCTGCACCTTGCATTTTGACCCATGCATTGCAATAGCCCCTGGTCCCGATTTGATCCCTCCCCCAACACGGGCCTTTGTGGAGTGTCTGGAGTGATCGTGTTCAAGTGGGTATCTCGTAGCCCAAAATACTTGCATCAAAGAAAAATTCCTGGTCTTGGGTGATCAGGCGGTGCACGGGCAGAACGGGGTTCCATCTCTCTCTTCTGGGTCCCCTTAAACGTTGACCATCGTCCTTTGCCTTCTGGTAGGTACTCTTACCGCTGCGATACCAGTTGCAGTCAGTTAGGTCAGGTCAGGTCAGGCCAGGCACTATAAGTTAACTTTACCGCTGCCGCTAAAACGGGCGCGACTCAAAACTCACGGGAAGGTCCACGTTGTGGGCTGTCTGCACTGTATCTGCACTCCAAGACAGGCGTGGGAAGGTACTTGTCACCGGCTGGTGCCTCTCACCCTCCAGGTGCAAATGCGCACCCTACCCGTACCGCTCTGCTCCATGCTGTTCAGACAGTCAGACAGTCCCGATCGTCAGTTAGTCAGTTCAGCGACAGGACCCTGACTTGTACTGTAGACTGTAGACTGTGGACTCTGAATTATGGGTCCTGGCACCTTGGACCCTCCTTCTCTTCCACACCCTGGTCCCAAGGTTCCTTCTCGCTCACATCCACTTCTACTGCCATATTAGGCCACTGCGTCCCCTGCCCCTTCCCATCCCATTCCAATGCCACTTGCCTGACCAACCCCCCCGTTCATTCCAATTCCCACCACGACCACCACATTTCCTGTTCTTCACTCCGACAACAGATTCGCCTTCTCCCTACAACAAACATCAACACAAACACAAACATCCAAACACCAAAGAAAGTCTTAGATTCTACACTTTAACTGTCGCATCCCGTCCTCTTCTCACCTCGTCGACTCCATACTCAACTTTGAACTCGTCTCGTCTCGCGCGCGCTCTCACAAACCTCGTCAAGACCCTGCTCGCCAAACTTTTGCGCTCGGCCGTGTCCTTCATCCTAGTCGCAATCGCAATCGCACCACACGCCAACCACCTGTTTCGCCCTCGTTCACAGAACAACAACAGCTTCTACTGCGATATCCTTTCGCATACTCAATTCTCGTCACTATACAATCTCAAACCGTAGCCATGCTTCTCCCGTCCGCGCTGCCTTGCGATGCGTCGCACTCGTCTCGCTCTCGACTTCAACCCTCTCTCTTCTCTCCTCCTGCCAGCCCCCCGGCTTTCTCGTCACACGCTTCTTTGGTCAATATTATGACTACTTGCCGCTCTCTTCAATCCCTCCTCTCGACTCCCGCGCCCATTGTCACCAACTCTAACCAAGCGCCTTCGCATACTCAACTACCAACTCCGCCGCTTGCTCACGCCGCTCCACCTCTGAAGCTGCGTCTGCGACCGCGCCCACAACGCCGCGAACCTGTCGGGCCCAAGAAGGTTACCAAGCGCGCAGCACCACGTACTGCCAATAAGAAACGCCGCGTCAACGACGACGAGGCGGATCGTTACTCTTCAGCAAGCGAGTCTTGCTGCGAGTCACCCTCTCGTCACTCCATGGAGCAGATCGTACCTGCAACACCCAAGCGCACGCGCATCGCTCCTGAGCAGCTACCACTCGGCCTCGACCGTTCAGACTTCCATAACATGCATCTCCGACAAGGCGGCCGTCTCTTCAATGACGAGGACTCTGACGAAGAGGACTGGAGCGCCGAAGATGACCGTGTTCTTATTGAACTTGTACTGGAGAAGCTTAGGCTATCAAAGGCAGAATGGCAGGACTGCGCTCGAAATCTTGGCCGTGATCGCCACGCCGTCGACCGTCGCTGGAAGGCATTATTACTTAATGGCGACATTGGTCTGAAATCGCGACCAGGTCACTAAGCACCCTTAATAGGATCTGCCGGCATCTCTCCCTTACATGATTCACGCGTTTGATACATTTAGCGCAAGTCTCGGCCGAACATCATCGGTAGCGAGCACATATAAAATGGCGGCACTACAGTACATGGACAACGGGCTGTCCTCGGAGTTTAGGCATATTGATTCACTTTTTTGTAATGATATCCCCACGCGTAAATAGCGTGCATCTTAAGTTTCATGTTCTTTTTTTTGGACCAAGGATTTGGAATTGGTTATTATAGATGTCAAGAATTGACAAACGGAACATTAATGTTTCACACCTTACTCAATTATTTCTCTCTGCTTGTATTTGATACGTTGTGTGTCTTCTGGTTCGACTGGTACAAAGCAAGTCCGCCGTGCCATTTATTCTACAATGGTTATGATATACTTTCACTGTCTCCATCAGGGTTCAACTAATATGTTCATCAACCACAACCGCCTTATATCACCTGAGTGTGCCAATGTAAAGGTGTTGATAATTCCCTCTTTATGTTTAACATCTCTTTTTTACTTTTGTTGGATAATTAGACTTGGCTAAGGTTTGGAGTTGTCCTCCTCGTCAAACCTTTACACGGAACTGTGTGTAGCTGGACAACTAGTACTTTCTAGACCCAAGATATGATCACAACACCAACTAAAAATATCAATTCTGCTCGTATACCATCTACATATCACATACAGCCTCTGCTTGACTCGTGCGTGTATGTGTTCCCCTCCATCGCTCATCCCGCCCGCCTCCATCCGATTTCGATCTCGTGGGGACCGAAACAAGCGCACGGTCTGTCCGAACAAGACACGAATAGAAATCATCGATCGTCATGTTCAAGCATTAACTAAATAAAACAAATGCCCTTGTTTTCCCCCAAAGTCATCCACCGCAAGTTGGCCCTTATCTGGCGCTTTGTCGCGTTTCACACTTCAACGCCTCCGAACTCTGAACGCTAACTTCCAAGCTAAACTTTCCCATGGCGAGTCAAGGGTCCCTTCCAACCGTCCTTCCTTTGTTCGATCTTCTGTCGGTCGTGCCCCCTCTAGCGTGGAGTGGAAGCTTGTGCTGGGGAGAGGGACGGGCGCGGCCGGCGGGCCGGGGGCTGAGAAGTGCCCCGGGGGGTTGGTAGACTTATGCTGCCGTTGCCGGGTGACCCGTAGGGGTTTGTTGATTGTTGATTAGGGAATGGAAATTAGGTGTGCCTTCTTTTTTATGAGCTTGTAATGAAACCTGGCTTAATCAATCCCCTAATGCGAATGTGAACATAGTGCAGTTTCGTAAAATGTGGTCTTTAATCTATTTACTAGAGCAACCGTTATGCTCTGTGATGCCTTCGTGTCTATGAATGGGCATGAGTGTGAGACCATGAGTGCACCATGGCCATGTGCGTCTAAAACCTGTAGCAAACCCGTTTCGCACCCCTCTCGCCTGCCAAGCCATGCCATGTAGTTCATTAAAAGAGAATATTTACACCGGAAATATATGTCTATACCGCCGAAAATGCCCCTCGCCTTCTCCTCGAGACATCAAACCACCAAGGAGGTTACGATCCTCGTGGAGAAAGAAGAGCACGAGCCGCTCAAGCAAATCGTGAAAATGCAAAGCTGGTGAGTTTCATACAACTGAACTGAACTGAACCAAGCCGTTCTGCTATGCTGTGCAGAGAATGATTTTTTTTATAAATAACAGTGATAAGTTATGACGAAGAAAGGTGACACAAGAACATATCTGAGAAGTAGATGTCATGCTCAGAGGAAGACTTCTCCATCCTAAGGAGGTGTCATTTGTTCCTTCATAAGCATCTTGCGAACCTCTGTCTCGAGAGTCTGCTCTGCCATGACGGGGTCTTCATCGGCAACAGCACCTGTGACCTTGTTTGCGAGCTCGATCTTCTTCTGACACGCCTTGTAGATGAGCTCCTCAATAGTGTTTGATGCGATGAGACGGATGATTTCGACGTCTCGCTTCTGGCCGAGACGGTGGGCGCGATTCTCGGCCTGGATGTCATCCTGAGGGTTGTCAGATTGGTCGAAGATGACGACCTTGTTGGCAGCCGTAAGATTGATGCCTGTACCACCTGCTCCAGTCGTGAGAAGGAAGACGGGGATATCAGGGTCATCGTTGAACTCGTCAATCAACGCCTGTCGTTCTCCAACAGTGGTGCTACCCATTAAGACCCGATGCTGGATTCCCTGCTGAGCGAGTACTTCCTGCAAGAGCTCGATGACACGAGAGAACTTGCTGAAGACAAGAACCCGATCACCGTTCTCCTGGTACTGGTTGATCAGCTCGAGTAGCTTTCTGACCTTGCCACTATCCATCTCTGTTTCTGGAGGGTAATCAAATTTCGAGAGAAGGCCGGGATAGTCACGGCACCAAAGGTGGAGTCCAAAGTCCGAAGAGTCCTTGAGCTCTTGGATAAGGTGCTTGATGTCGGGTTGACGCAGATCCTCCTGAGAAACACTGTCCATCAAGATCCTGGCCATCTTCTCGATCTTCTTGTCATCAAAGTGTCGTCTGAACAAGAGCGGGTGGAGAGCTGCCTTGCGGAGCTGCATCCAGCAGTTGTTTTGATCATTTCCACGACCGCGGACCTTGGTAATGCGCTTGGATGGCTCCATCTTGAACATCTCCTCGTATTCGGTGTAAACCTCTTTCTGGTTCTTGTCCAACTCGCAGCGGACAACGTTGCAGACCTTGGGAGGCATGTCTGACAGGACTTGATCCTTGCGACGCTGAAGGATGAAAGGCTCTAGGATGGTGCGGGCTCGTTTGACACGCTCACTGTATAAGAAAGCGCCGTTCGAAACGTCTCTGATAGTGACCTTCTGGCTGAAGATATACTGGATATGTTGCATGCAGCCGTTGAATATCTCGGGATTGATAAAATTGAGAAGCGAGGTCATCTCCAACAAATTGTTCTGAACCGGAGTTCCTGTAAATCGTTAGCAACAGTCACATGCGTGGATAATAAAAGTGACATACCCGTGAGAAGCATCTTCCACGACGCCGGAATACGGCGAAGATCTTTGTAGATCTTGGTCTCGGGGTTCTTCATCTTGTGACCTTCGTCAAAAATGGCAGCGTTGAGTCGAATAGACTGCATAGCCTCAATGTCCGCCTCGTTGTTGATTTGAGAGTACGTGGCAAGAACGACGTGATAGTAATCAGGGTTTTGTTCAATATTGTATGCAATATCAGCCCGCTCCGGCTGAGAGCCTCGGTAGCCGATTACCTCCAGGCCTGGGGCGAACTTTTCAAACTCGACAAGCCAATTATTGTAGGTACTGGGAGGAACAACGACCAGGTTAGGCCAGGGCCGTCTCTGTTTGTTGTTCCCGTTTTCATAATCCTCGACAAGGTGACTGATGAGTGAGATCACTTGGCAAGTCTTGCCCAGACCCATCTCGTCAGCCAGAATACAACCAATGTTGAAGTTGTAGAGCAGGGACATCCAGTTGAGACCAACAAGTTGGAATGGCTTCATTCGACAGTAGCCATCCATGTACTTGGGCTGCTGAGGGATAGGTGGGCGGACGTATTTGGTCGAACTGATGCTTGTAGGAGTTGGAGGAAGGTCTTCGGAGTTGAGACGACGCTCTCGCTTGTCATGCCCGAAAGTATCGATATCCCAGGTATCTACTTGCTGCTTGATGTTTTTGGCATCGCGCTCACATTTGGCGACAACATTGTCGATTGCGGCGACTGCGTTGAGGAAGACTTCAACGGCCTCTACAACATTCTCGCCGATGCTGACCTTGGACGCCTTTCGAGCGCCAGGTTTCTTGCCCACAGTTACACGCCTGGCCTTTGAAATATCTTCAAAGGGTCGCTTCTCGATCATGCATGCAAGTTGGTCCTCCTTCATGCCTGTCATGGCTGCCAGTTCCTGGACAGTGCTTGTGTTGATGCATTTCAGTACTCGGTCGTCTTCGTCATCCGAAGGGTCTGGAGACGCCTCAGCCTCGTAATCATCCCCCTTATCATCATCATCGACAAGATTAATGACTAAGGGGTCGTCGCTCGAGGGTTGGGCAGGAGAGGAAGGGAATACAGGCGAGGAAGGAATGCTTTGCTTTCGTCGACCTTGCACCAGCCGTCGTCGAGGTTTCTTTTCCGGACTTGGAGATGCTGTGACGGATCCAGAACGGGAGTTACCCCGGCTAAATGCTGCTGCTGATTGTAAAACTCCCTTATTGATCAGCCGTCTACCGTTGTTGGGTTTCGTTGTTGGCTTTGTCTGAAGTAACTGCCGCTCAAGATAGACCAGGGCATCTTCGAGATCGTGATTACATGCACTCAAGGCCTTCTTAGCCTTCTCTGATGGCACCCTATCTCCAAAGATATCGTATATCTGTCGAAGTTTCTTCGTGACGCTTGAGTCCTCCGGTTCGGGTTGATATGCATACCCCGAGATATGTGCCTTAAACGTCGTCGGTCGAATATCGCCACGGGGAGGTGTGAGATCGTCCTCATCGTCGGAGATGAGGTTGATGGGCTCAACAGCAGGTCGCTTGTTGGTCATGGTGGGAAAAGTCCGCTGTGGTGGACGGAACACGGTGCCAGCAGGGGCGAGTCGGTTTCCAAGAGGTGTAGAGTTCTTAGGTTGAAAGGGTGAGGACGCAGGAACTTCGATGATACTGCTTGCAGGCGAGGAAGATCGCATTGGTGCAAGCATGGGGTTCTGAAGAACCTGTGTTGGTTGTGTAGTCTGAGGATCTCGTAGGAAAGCAGACGGTGAGCAGGGAATTGTGTCTGCTAGATCATCAGCGTCGTCGATAGTTATTGTATTGCGAGCGTGCGAGGGTGTGCGTGGTAGAGCGTTTGAATGCCGGATTGGCAAGGGTGAAGAGCCTCGCGCCATATTGTATAAATTATTATGGGCATACAATACTCCGTACAATGGGTAGTAATAGTACGGAGTAGTAGGTGCCCGAGAAAAAAAACAATAGAGACTAGCAGCGTTTGGGATCGATCGCGGCGGGGGCTGCCACTGGCAATTGAACGGATTAGGCGTTTGATCTGGTCTACCCGTTATCTTATTGTTCGGTCAACGGACAGTGCAGAGAGCGGATGAAAGTGGCAAGCAGGTGTGCTCAACGAGAATGCTCGATAGGAGCAGATGAACAAGAAGAAAGGCCTATAAAAGAATATTATAGCGAGAAATGATAGTTCTGTGCTCGACAGTGCTCGACAGTGCCAAAGCTAAAGGGGATCCCAATCCAAATCCTGGAGGGGCGTGAAGAGCGTGAGCGAGGGTGGAGATTTTTTTTTTGAAATGTCCCGAACTCGGTTCAAGACGCGACCCGCATAAACTGCATCACGAAATCACGTGTGTAATTAGACCGCGTTGGGTCAGAGTCTTTGTGTGTACAGTTGACCTTTCTATAGGGGACCACTGAAGGATGTGTTAATACGAGGACACAACTTATTGGAAATAGGTCGCAAGTTATCCGTACCTCTGTTCGAGTTGGAAAATTAAGAAAAATAGAAGATCGATACCTAGGTACCTAGTGCTGTGTTGAAATCATAGGCTATTCTCCTTCCAAGTGTGGAGATTGTACCTCATATTAACACAAATCAATTAGAATCAAGCAAATCTAACAAGCCTCCGGAGGTCGAACACTCTTTATTACTTTCTAGTCTCGTTAAAAGAACAAAGAAACTGTTGTCTCATCTATTTTACTCAGCGTTGATCATTTGGTAAGTGCTTCTCATTGTCCCCTATATCTTTGTTGCACGTGCAAGTGGAGTGGGACCCTGGACGTCAACTCCAAGTCTAACTTAACTAACTCTCATACACTAGCTCAATTCAGTACACTACCTATATCCTCACCTCAACCCGACACAAGACCACCATATCAGACATAACCACCAAAGACTTGCGCACCCAATCAAACAATTCAATTCAGAATGGCCACTCGACGCATTGTTGCTACTGAAAAAACCTTCCTTGATAAGGATGATCCTATTGATGAGCACACGAGTACTGCTCCTGCTGTTCCGGCGTGAGTTCCGCCCTGCTCATCTTAATCTACCACCTCATCACGCATTACTCATCCAATATTCAATACTATACTATACTCTCTTATATAGCAACTAAAACTGACACAAACTCAACAGACATGTAATCTACAAGCTCCTGGCCTTCACCTTTGCCATGATCGTTGTCCCCATCGGCTCCTACTTCGTCACTGTCAACACCATCTTCAGTGGCAAGTTTCCTCTTTTTCACCCCTTACGCGTCACTACAACAATTAACACTTCACAGGCAACTCGTCACTGGCTGGTGGTTTGGCTGCTGTCGTGGCCAATGTCGTTCTTGTCGGATATATCATTGTAGCCATGAGAGAGGATCAGTCGGACACACTGCAGCCAGAAAGCAAGAAGGACAAGTAGATAGGTACTCAACGCAAAAATCACCGAACACTTTCACCTTCACTCAATTGTTTCCATCTCGCACAGGAAAAGGCTCGGGCCATCAGTCTCAATTATTTTTCTCACGTCATCTTCATGATTTCGCCATCTTGGCAGACCATCATGTCTGTTATGATTTCTACAGCCACGTATATAAGCTATGTACGTCTCAGGGACTGGGTATGATTAATGCTAGTCGTGGCGGTAGATCCATCTTTTACTCCGCCTCCTAAAGGATATTCTCAAATGGACCAGTTACACGATGTTTACCCTGCCAACGCCTCGTACAGTTTCGTGTGCTAATGTACCATCCCATAAAAAATTCAAATGCTTCATCTCATCTTATCGGGATAAAATCCCGTATCGTCTGAAAAACCAATTTGACACAAAAACTCGCTGCCCCAGCCTGCCATAGGTACAACCAAGCAACTTGTGACAACATACCCTGGAGCGCCACGAATCCGTCAAATAGCAAATAAAACCCTCAAAACGCTGTTCGATCGTGGTGTCCACGTTCGATATCAAAGAAAACGGGTATCGACAAAGGAAAATGGGTGCATAAAGTTCTGAGCGTGTGCGTTTCAACCATTTACAGTCATCATTACCGAGCCATTAGGGATTCATGAGTTTTTGCTGAACCTACGAGAAAACCAACTCTTGCGCTTGTCCCCACCAGCTTCGGCGGGCTGTTGCGTTTGCTGCGCCGATTGCTGGGTTGATGTTCTCCTCAAAAGAGTATTCTTCTGCTTCTGGGCTGGGACCGGGGCTTGAGCTGGTGTCATAGTAGGCTGCGCGTGTGAAGGTGGTGGCACTTGTGGCTGTCCGTTGCCATTCATACCAGAAGCTGGGTAAGGGCGCGACTGGTATGATTGCTGGGGCTGGTATGAGCTTGACGCATACTCGTTGAGAGGTTCGCGGCGCTTAGCCGGCATTGTCCGATCGATTGAGCTGTTGTCACTGCTCGTAGGGTCTGTGTGGTAACCTGCGTGATCCGAGTTACCGCTACCTGCAGCAGAAGTCACGGTCTCATATGATCGATCCTTGTTGGGTAGAGGATAGATGTTTTGATCGTGGCCGTTCTGGTACTGTGACTCTGACTGCATTCTAGACATCCGTTGCCGCGATGGACCAGTCCCGTAACCGTTGTTGTACGCTTGACCATCAAAGTGATTGCTTCGAGAAGAGGACGCCATGTCTTGTTGATTGCCGTCTGGCTTGAAAGATATAGGGCGATTGTTGTAATAACTCTCGCGGGGGAATCGAGGCGGGTTGGTGGTGTAAGAGCTATTGCGCCTATTCCAGTTGGCTTGTGAATCCGTTTCTGAGACAGTGTTAGCCATCTGATCTTCAGTCGATGCTCGACCTCGAACTCACCAGTTCGGTAGAGTGACTTGCGCGAATAGCCACCGTCGATTGCAGCCTCGAAACTACGAATAGTGTCTAATGGGCGCTCCCATCTGTTTCGGGTCGGGTTCGATTTATCGGGATCCTCTGTATGCTGTTAGCGGCATTGCCTTGGACTATGCGATTGGTCTCAACGAACCGATAGAGTTGCCAAAGGTATCTTTGTGCTGCATAGATCGTAGAGGGGCGAAATTTGACTCGGTGACCATGGCGGCGATCTCAGCTGGTGTAGTGTCAGTAGATGATCTTAACGTCTCGATTTCAACTCAGGATATGTGTTTACATACATGGCTCTGCTTCGCTTATAGCCAAGGTAGGGTCCGCTTTGCTATGTAAACGCTTCGCTTCCTTCTCGGCGTGAGTTTCCTGTAGGTCCTTGCTGCCAGAACTCTTATGCGACTTTTGAGAATGGAAACTGAAGGTTCGATTATGTGCAGGCGGGTGCTGCGAAGTTCTGCGCGGTGAGGCCGGGGCAGTTGGCTGATATTGTGTCTGTTGGTAATCTTGCGCCGGATAGCTCGACGGCGGCGGTGCGTACTGGCGATACTGCTCTGTGGAGGTCGCCATGGTTGCGACGGGGGACGACTGTTTTATTAGACGCGGCTCTTGATTGTGATGGATCCCAGGAAAGGCCCTTGCTCTTGGCGATTAGAGTCTCAGGGTGATAGGACGAGTGGGGAGTTGCAGGCAATCGACCGATGTGATGGAGGTTGTGGGCAAGAAATGGAGATTACAAGGAGCAATGTGGTCGGGTAAAGAGACCGAAACCAGACCAAACGGTTACTAGCAAGGAATAGCAAGTATCGTCGCGGGACCTGGGCTGGATATATTGCAGGTGGAGATTTGAGAATTGTTTTGCGCAGAAAGGTTCTGACAAGAGGCTGGGGCCTGCGAGCAATAGTGTGGCCCGGTTGCGGCGGAGCTTAGGGGGTACGTATCGTATCAGAAAATATCCCGGTAAGTGGGTGGGGTTGGCTCGTGGACAGGCGTCTGGACCGAAAGACAAGAGCCAGGCACAGCTGATTTATACAAGATGAGTGGCTGAGGAGATAAGGCGATGACACCGTGCTTTTGCGCGCCAAACTAAGGTGAGAGGTGAAAGATGAAAGGTGAGATCTAAGGCCGGTGGCTGCGGATGTCTCAGTCTTGGGTACGCGGGACGATGTAATCACTGGTTGGTGCCCTGGTCTTTGACTGGGATCAGTACACTTAATGTGAGCAACCAGAAAATAGTGCAGGCGAGCAATGCAGTGCAGTAAGAGGGACGGGGTTTTCGCCCTTGTTGTTGTCGTTGCTGGCTGTGAAACAATCCAATGAAGTCGACCAGGATGTGGGCAAAGCGAATCGCTGTTTGCTCTATCAACTCGCGATTGGAAAGTCCGCTAAAGTGGCGCCGGGTGCGCTGCGTGATAATGATGTGGGATCTGCACACTGGGACTGATCCTCGTAAACAGACTGCCGCCTTTGTGATCCGCTTGCCGTTCCTTTGGTATTATTAGTCCCCAAATTCGGAGCTTGTCCCTTTTCGTCTTTGATAGTTCTTTTTTTAAACACTCGGTTGGGGTACTGATGAACAGAGGCGATGTTGCGGTCTCAATTAAAACGATGCAGCGCTTCGCAAGTGCTTGCGTTGGATCCAGTTATCGATTTTCCTTTGTACTCGCTTCTTGACGTCACTGTCGATTAGAAATTTCTAGTGTCGGCTGGCGCAAAGCTCAGGGGGAATTGAACCGTACCACGTTTAATCTGGTCGGATGAATCGTCCGGAGTGGCTTGGGCCGGGGTTCAGAGTTCGTAGTGGGCCTCGCGTGTTGTCGAGTCACTACTCCGTAAGAAGCGATGAATGGAATGCTGTTGAGGTTTCCTCTGGGCGGCCGGGGGCAATGAATGTCGTTATCTCGAGATGCCCTGGGTTTTGATTGTTTGTGGAGTCGATGCAGCCAAACCAGATGTAAACCGTTCAAAATCTGGGGATAAGCGGTAGGTAACTGCTGTAGAGAAGCGTTTGTTTAATGGGGTCTTTCTCGTGGGTCGTTCGCTCGGGGTTCGTTTCTCAACAGTAATATCTCTAGGTACTGAAGGTAGGTGGTAGGTAAAGTACCGATGCCTGTAGATGAGACTGGATTGGATGAAATGAGAAACAATGACGGCTTTGACACAACAATCTATAACGAAAGACAAGCAAAAGCCAGACGAAGGAAGTGAGAGTGAGGGCGAGAGAAACCTTTTCTGAGATAAAAAGTAAGAGGCTTTTTAGGAAGAATGGGGAAACTGGAGGCCAAGACGTTCTTAAGTGAGTACGGATACGTTATGCTTCTATTAAGGTACCCAAGGTATGGAGGGCGCCTGCCTTTGCCGTGGGATCGGATGTTTGTGTTTTCTATGGATATCTACGGAGGAAGCAGGCAATCCATTGGCTTCTTTGTGACTTCCCGTTTATGAAGTGTGCTTTTCGGGACTTGGGGGTCGATTTGGGGCTCAACACCACACCAATATTGGCAATGGATGTGCAGACTGGGACCCGTTTGGGGGCAATTGCACACGCGTACAGCTCCAAAGGTGACAGCATCGGTTGAATCTTGTTACTGTAATAGATCTCAAGCAGTGTTTTTATTCAATGGGTAGTTAGTAGCCTGTAGTAGACTTGGACCAGACAGTGCTGTACTGTACAGTGCACTGAGTGCAGTATGCATTCTAACGTTAGAGGCTGAAAGATTGAGCCTAGTCTGTACTCGGGGAGTAAGTATCGAGACACACCAGATCATCAGGCCATGACGCGTCGTTTCGTTTCCTCTTCTCTTCTGCCACCCTAGTTACTGTTACTGCTGCTGCGGTGACAGCCACGACATGCGTCTCCCTTTGCAGTATGCATGCTGTCTGCATCTCTCTGCTTACCATTTACGAGAATACGGAAGCTTTGCCGTCCAATGGTGGGCACCGGAGAAGTGAAGATGCCTGCAAAGTTGCAACCGTCTGAACCAAAGTCTGGTACCTTTATTAATTCTTATACCAGGCTAGTCAAGCACCTAAAGAACCTAACGTAGCTGATATCGAGGATAATGTTTGACTTTGATGGATTTCCACTGTAATCGTCGTCAGCTCAAAGCAGCGCCATAAAGTCAATAGATCCTTGGTTGACGCCGACACCATCACCATCACTGGCCAACCTGTTCGAATTCTAGCAGACCGTACGTAGTAGTATCCGCAGAAACTTGGTCTCGACCGGCCAAGGACTATCAAGGGTCTTTGAATGGTGCTATTAAGGCCATGCCACGTCCTCACCAAGTCACTACTGTGAGTCTCCATGCTTGTGCATCAACTATTGACTGCAGTCTCGTCTTCCGCTTTTCTGTGTGAGCTGAGCTGCTGTTCAGCTGAGCTGCAACTTGTGTCTTGTAGTGCAATGTACAATCAACACAAGGTGGTCGGTTCACAGTAATCAAGAGAGTACATGTTTACACCTTCAGATCCATTGTATCCGTACAGTAGAAGGCAGAGGGCAGAGGGGGGTAGCGAGGGGCTGGGGTTGAGAATGGAACCCCAGCAGCTACCTAATCAACGCCCTTATACTTCCCACAGTAGCCGTCGTCAAGTAATTCCCAGGTCATCTTGACGTTGTCCGTGGCTGTGGCTGTCTTTGTTGTCTTTGCCCCTGTTTTATCTCGTGTTCAGATGGTTTCTCCACACCATCTTTTGTCTTTTGTCTCTTGTCTTGCATGTTTCTTCGACATCCGTCAGAGTACGGATACAGAGTACGGGCTCAACTTTCTATCGGGTGTAAGCTCCTGCTCAGCCACAATTAGGGTTCCAGTTTCTAATCTCGATGCTCCTTTGATCGGGCCTTTGTCCAACTTGGCTTGCGGCGCTTGCACAAACGCTATTGCATTCTTTTTTGCCGTATTTTGTGGAAAAAAACCTGCTATTAGTCTTTTATGCAGAGACCAGACTTACTTTAGTTCCTTGGCTACTTAACAGTCCTGTACTCTGTAACGTTAGTTACTCACCTGCGAGGCCTACCAAGACCAAAGATGACCCTACCATCTCTCCATGAGTTGAGTTATGTTGCCTGAATGGTCTGTCGTCTGTTGAGGCACGCATTCTTATCTCATCACGACGAGGAATAAATACTACGTAGTATATATAGGAAGACGACTTCCCTGCTTCTTGCCCACAAACCCCAGAAGATCCCCTAATGTAGATCTCAAGTCTCTCTTCATGGTAATATCTTCTCTCATCACATTGCCCATTCTGTAACATGGAATTGGTGTATCCCCAGATAAAGAAAGCCCTGGCCCGCAGAACAGCCACTAATTAAGACAAAAAGTGAGAAGCTGGGGACCAGTGCCCATGTGCTAAATTAGGCTGGTGGCTCAAAGGGCTCCGGCTCATTAATTGAAATCTCAGGTTGAATGGTTGATAAGGAAGTTGAAACATAATGAACAGTGCAGTGGATGGATTCTTGCTGCTCTGCCTTGGTTTTTCTTCAATGCCTCCTCCGCTGAAACACACCCGATACGTGGGACGGAAGCTCAACTTTCGTTTATGCTTGAGTTCTCAATATCATCACCTAAATCTACTTGGATACTGCAGACTCCGTCGCCCAACCAATTCACTCAACAATATATGAAACTCAAATTGTCGTGGTGGCCATACAAGCTTTGCGTCTTTTGACCGGCTTTCCCGGATGGACTGCAAGCCTGCAACACAACGTAGAGCCGCAGACTGTACCATTATTTACCCATGGCACGGAATTGATTACTTTTTGAGTTATGTCTAGGCCCTGGCCATGACCTGGCCAAGCTGGCTTAGTTTCGCCCAGCATAGCCGAGTTGCTCAAGCTGCAGCTACTATCATGCAAGTTGATATCTTGCCAGGGTTTTTCACTTTAGAGCGGCAAAAATACACCGTGAGATGGCAACTAGCGGTGACTTGCACGCCCGTCTATGACATTTTCGATATGGGCTATAAGATGCCGAAGAAAACTCTTTGTTCTCTTTCTTTCCTAACAACCTGAATTTCACGCTCTAATGGCAAATGGTTGTGCCCTATCGCGCTGCTCTATTGAAAACTCCACCACATGTCAAGGGAAACAGTGTAGCGCTAAAAAAGATACGGATACACAACTTGAAATCGGCGGCCGTTAATATTCAGATCAAGATTTGCTACTCCGCAATTAACTTGTTTTCCATTCAGAGGGTGGAATTTCTTACAATGACCGTGTGAATTAAATACCCCGTGGTGTTTGTTGTCTTTGTTGGCTATCGTATATGCAATAACCTCGATGTCGTGAGACCGTAGATAAGGCTACCATCAAGAACTCGAGATCCAATGGTACCGCAATACCACAATACCTGGAGGGCCCTTGATAGGTAGTTTGGGATATAATGGTAGTTGCGAGCTGATTGTTGTATCAGTACATGCCTAATATTGTACGAAACGTAGACAGGCATAGAGACCTTTGAACTCTGTGATAACGTTACCGCGGCAACGTTCACAGAAGTGCTTCAGTGATTTCCAAAGACCAGTTCTAGTAGTAGTAAAGCCGGGATTATGGCGCGAGTACAGAGTGGCATACTCGTTTGATGACCGTCGGTATTGTTGTACTTTGATAAGAGCGAGATGCATCATCTGAGTGCCAGTGTGCTTCTTTAGACGCTGATAGTAGCATGGAAGTGACATTTACCCACAAACGTGCTTGAAGGAACAAAAATGTTGGTGAATACAACTTGCCAATTATATGTCAGGCTTAAACTGACTTATTCACTCTTGCTCACTGTATAGTACTCTATTTGAACCATGTCTAACAAACGATCTCTGGATACAATATGTCCCATCCATGTTGGAGTTGTCCACCTGCAAGAAAACGCAGTGCCCTGTCTCGTGGAGTATAGACAAAGCTGCTGTACGATGCTGGCGGTTGTATGACATCAAGACCTGTTTGGCTATTACAACTAAATAAGAGCCATGCGTGATGGATCTACTGTTGCTCGAGTGGCGTCCTGGTTCGACAGTATTACGATTTTGGTAGGAGTTGTGTACAACTGGAAAGTATATGGCAGGTGTTTATGGCTCGCAAACTCATGGAACAAATTGGAGATATCACATAGGAATGAAACACATGGAGGCAGCCCGGCGCAGGTTTCCGAGTCAGTGTTGCCGTCAACGGGGGAAACGAGTTTGAGCCATCAGTGGTTGTGTTGTGTTGTTGTGTTGTAAAAAGACATTTCCGATTCATCAGAAGACGCCGACCATGGCTCAAAACTTCCCCGCACGAGTCAAATCACATTCCTGCTTTCAGGGACGTTGTGTACTGCCGTAATAGAGGCCCTGGACCTGGCATTCATCGATGATTCGCTTGTACCCTATTCACGACCGTAGCCGAACACCAGTCCCGAATCCCAACCACCAAATGTGTTCCATCGCTGAAGCCTCTCCCAGTGGACTGTCCTGGGACGAGATCGATTTCCGCCAACCGTTGCATGAAAGGGGAACGAAGTTATACCATCAAAACGAGGTGCTCAGGTGTGTAGAGCCTTTTTTTCGGGGTTGGGATTTGACGTCTTTTTTGAATTCAATGCCTCAAAGCAAGGCAGTATGTTTTATCCTTGCCTCGACCAATGCAGCCAAATGAGAACCGCCCTCTCACTACCAACTCCAGCCCTTAGCCCTTTTTTTATATCGACGAAGGGTACAGCATGACACGAACGGAAGCACCGAAAGACTTGGAGGGGAGGGGAGAGGTGAACTTGGCGCGGACGACACCAGAGTTTCCTGGAGAGACGAGCGTTAGTATGTGATTTTTGCTTTCGTGGGGCGAGTCGTGTGTAATTACCGTGAGGGCGGGTGACCTTGCCCCAGATGACGCGGATCTTGGTACCGCGGATCTCCTTCTGGCCCCGGTAGACGAAAGCAACCTTCTTTCCGAGGTAGAAGCTATTGTGCGTTGTCAGTGTCCAGACCGACATGTAAAAGAAAAAAAACCCTTCTTGGGTGGTATAGACGTACTTGGCGGCGTTGGTGTCATCAACACCCTCGATCTTGATCAGGCTGGTGCCAGGGCGGGTGGTGTGACGAGAGCGCTGGTAGCTCAGGTGACGTCCCCTAAACCATCATCGTCAGTCCAAAATTCCTATCGCATTGTTGTTTCTCTTCGTGCCGTGGCTTCGCGGAAGTTGGATATCGAAAATTGGAGTGTGCGCTTGCCGATGCAAAACACGCAGCACATCCCATATCGTGTGCGCAGAAGGCTGGGTGCATTTAGGAAGGAGGCATGTTACTCACTTGACGTATACTATAGGCAAGGTTAGCAAAGTCCAACAGATGATCAAGATTTCCCAAATGCGAGTCGCTTCAACTCGTTCTTGGCTGGCGGATGAAACTCACGTCGGTGGCCGGCTTCTGAAGGCATCTTGAATATTATATGACTTCCGTCTCTCAAGCGACCTGCAGGTTAGTAGTGAGAGCTGGGGAATTGTCTTAGCAAAAAGACCGTTCCGATGGGCTTCGTTTGGTGGTGATCTTGATGTGGAGTGGATGCCGAATGTGGTGCGCCGCTGCTTAGCCTGAGCCCTTATCACGTGTGGCCTTAGGGTGAGCGCCACGTCGGGGTACGCCACAGTTACAGGTCAGCCTCAGCCTCAGCCCTCAGCCCGCTACTATCCACCCCGCTGTAAAGTTTTGCTATGTACGTAGTAACATGCCGATGCTTCTGGAGTGATTGTATCTGAAGATCGTCTCGATTGCATTCAAATCGTGAGCTGTTAATAGTTGCGTTGTGTTTGAGCCAAGACTACTTTGCCAGCAGAGTTCTTGCTCACTCAAAGTAATTGACGTGCCGTGGATATTGCTGATTTGGCCATGAACATACCTACCGTATTTTTGAGGTTGTCTCCAACTCGCTTAGTGGGAGGTCGACAAGAAAACCTCAACGAGGCATCTCATGGCCAGATCAGAAGGACTCAAGTTCAGATAGGTTCAGTTACCAAAGGGAAAATTCCCTCAAGGGCGGATGAATCCCCCAACACCCGGGCTAATCTCAATGGCTGCATACGGTGTCTTCACTGGCCGCTTCGTTTTCCGCCCCAATAACTTCTTGCTGAGGGTTTGAGGTGAGAAGCCGACACCGGGAGGTGAGGGGCTGGTGCGGGTATTATCATGGATCCAATGTGCCTAGTAAGTCAGCACTGAGGCGGTTCGGAATTTGGTGTCCGAGCAGGGTATGCCACCAAGAAGACAACTTAGACAAGCTCATCCAAATTTACAGACAATTCCCTCATGTGGTTTTGAGGAGTTCATTGACTTTGTGAATTATCATTAAACCCGGAAGGAGTGAAGAACAGCACTTTGACGGTTGAAGTCATTCAAGCATATCCTTCTGTTCTGTTGACTTACAACTATTCGGACAGAAGACTCCACAGACTGCATGATAGAATGAATGCCGGTCTACACAGCTGAGCGATTGGACAATCAATTGACATTTCACGAACGTAAATACACAGCTAGGGATTGGCGTCAAACGTGGCTAACCATCTGATAACGAGCTTATCCACCGAGTGCCCTTCTTGCAGGTCTCCGTAGAACTGATGGTGAAGTTGTTGAGTCGACATGATAGGGACCAGGGTCTGCAGTGGACCTTGTCTGGTAAATCGAAGCTCTGCAAGTCACAGACTCCCATCACTAACCAACTATGGAGAAGATCTTGAGACACCGCGGTTGCGCCGCGAAGCCGGATTCTGTATCTGAGCGTCATAGTGTATTAGTGACGACTTCCTGAGTTGTTAATGGTGAGTGATTCAGACATGTCTTGGGCTCTAAGATATCAGCATCAGCAAGGTAAGGACATGTTGGCTACGCATTCCAGAATCGGGCATTGCAACGGAAGACTTTCGGGGCGCAAACGGAAACAACACCGATCCCAAGATGTCTTGATAATCAACGCGCCTAGGCCGTGTGGACCTCAGGTGTGTCCCTGTTTGGGGGTGCGGCAGGATTGCCAGGCTTGAGCTGGCCAGACAATTCAGGGACCGCCACCTCCGCCGAAGCCAGACAAGACAAGCTGCCAGAACTCGGTGAGTGTTGGATGTTCGGACAAGTCGGAAGAGCTGACAAAGAAGTTGGATGGGTGCGGTCTTGTTTAGTTGGAGAAGCATGATGCTTCGTAATGCTCACGACACTGCTCAAGTTGTGCAATGCACCATTATGAATGCCCTATCAACGTTTACAGTCGAGTTCCCTGCGGACCAAACAATGAATCATGAATGGCACGAAAAGAAGGAGGGAAGATCTGATACTTTATTAATGATGGTTACGGGTTGATGAGACAAAACCACCGAGTCTGAGTGTGTGGAAACACCATACGTCAATTGCACGACAGATCCAGTCAGATAGTGTAGTTGCGTAGCATGGCTCCGAACGCACGGAGACGATTCGACCGCTTGCGTCTGAGCAATTGGCCCGCAAGAGAATGGCTCAGTGCTCAAAAACTGGAGGTCTCGGCGTGTTTGAACAGGCAAGGGAAGTCAAATTCAGGCAAAATGGGAATGGCAGTGAATAACTTTTTAGACGGGCTTCGGAGAGAGAATCACCGACAGTGACAGGGAGGTTTTTAGACGCAGGTAGGTTAGTAGGTACCTAGGTAGGTACTAGGTAGCACTGTAATGTCTGACACAGTGAGTTTCCAAGCAGTCCTTGTGTTCTAAATAATGCCAACAACGATCATAGCATACTTGCGTGATGTATTCAATTCATCGCTTCATCATCAATGGCTTTTGATTACCTACCGATTGCCGCATGCAGTCATGGTGGAAAACTTCCATCTTACAGTTTTAGGTGGTAGTGACCTCTATCGCAATGTTAGTGTGCAGTGGAGATAGGGAACTTCAGGTACATACCTAGGTAGGTACCCAGCAGCCAGAACAGACCTACCTAAACACTGGGCTCTTTTACCCACCCACCTTAGGTTATTAGTAACCCATTCTAGGGACCTACCTTGCTTGAGTTTAGGAACCCGACTGCATCATAGCCCCGGCGCTCGCGTCGCTCGCCATGGATGGGACCCAATGAATTGGGGGGTTTGTTGAACTAGCTCCCCCCCCAGCTGCTGTGCTGTGTCCCATTTTGGGGCGGGCATTGGATGCTCCCCGTCGTCATAAAACCTTCTATGCCGCAGAACCTCGTCACCTCTTCCGTTTCTGATTCCATTTCCCTTTCTCAGATCTCATCCTCCACTTCCTCATTCTATTCCTTCTCCTCCTATTGCTGCTCCTTCTTCCGTGTGCTTCTCATTCTTCCTTCACAAACAGATTAAACCGCAGCAATGGATCCGTAGGTGCTCCCTCACGTCAACCCAAACCCCCACTATGCCTTGCGACCTAGCTCTACTAGCTATCATGCCCGCGCTGAGCGGTTTGCGCTGCGATCGCATATCTACAACCTCTGGTTCCTGATTGATAGCCTTGAAAAATCTCCCTCGCTAACACAATCTGCCTTGTAGATGCATGGAGCTCAAGCAGAACACGACAATCGTCGTGCTCGGTGCTTCTGGTGATCTGGCGAAAAAGAAGACGGTGGGGAGCTCCCCAAAACAGCCCCTCACATCCTCATGTACTTATGCTAACATGGCTGGTTTTGCTCCGTGATAGTACCCTGCGCTCTTCGGTCTTGTAAGTGACTAAACTTCACCCTCAGATAGAGTTCGTTCGACTAACAAATCCCCAGTACCGAAATCAGTTCCTCCCCAAGGATGTCAAGATTGTTGGATATGCCCGTACCAAGATGGACCACGATGAATACATTCGACGCATCAAGTCCTACATAAAGACTCCCACCAAAGAAACTGAGCAGCAGCTCGAAGAGTTCACACAGCTCTGCACCTACGTCTCGGGTCAATATGACAAGGATGAGTCCTTCCAGGGCTTGGAGAAGCACCTCCAAGAGGTTGAGGCGGACCGCCCTGAGAACCACCGTCTGTTCTACATGGCGCTCCCTCCTAGTGTCTTCACCATTGTTTCTCAGCACCTCAAGAAGATCTGCTACCCCAAGAATGGTGTTGCACGTGTCATCGTGCGTTATACAACCCTTGTATTTTACCAGTGTTTAGCTAACAAACCCATAGGTCGAGAAGCCCTTCGGTAAGGATCTCGCCAGCTCCCGTGAGCTTCAAAAGTCGCTCGAGCCCGACTGGAACGAGCAAGAGCTGTTCCGAATTGACCACTACCTTGGAAAGGAGATGGTCAAGAACATTTTGATCCTCAGATTCGGTAACTCCTTCCTCGGCGCCACATGGAACCGACAGCACATCGACAACGTCCAAATCACATTCAAGGAGCCCTTCGGCACTGAAGGACGTGGAGGTTACTTCGACGAGTTTGGTATCGTTCGTGATGTTATGCAGAACCATCTCCTCCAGGTTCTCACTCTCCTGGCTATGGAGCGACCCATCTCTTTCAATGCCGAGGACATCCGCGACGAAAAGGTTCGCGTCCTCCGCGCCATTCCCGCCATTGAGCCCAAGAATGTCATCATTGGCCAGTACGGAAAGTCTCTTGACGGCAGCAAGCCTGCTTACCGCGAGGACGACACCGTTCCCCAGGATTCTCGATGCCCTACTTTCTGCGCCTTGGTCGCTTACATCAAGAACGAGCGATGGGACGGCGTACCTTTCATCATGAAGGCTGGAAAGGCCCTTAACGAGCAAAAGACCGAGATTCGAATCCAGTTCAAGGATGTTACATCAGGCATCTTCAAGGACATCCCCCGAAACGAGCTTGTTATGCGCATCCAGCCCAACGAGAGTGTCTACATCAAGATGAACTCCAAGCTGCCTGGTCTCAGCATGCAGACTGTCGTCACCGAGCTCGACCTTACCTACCGACGACGATTCTCCGACCTCAAGATCCCCGAGGCTTACGAGTCGCTTGTGCTTGACTGCTTGAAGGGTGACCAGTCCAACTTTGTCCGTGATGATGAGCTTGATGCTAGTTGGCGCATCTTCACTCCTCTTCTTCACTACCTTGATGACAACAAGGAGATTATCCCCATGGAGTACCCTTACGGTGCGTGCTTTGCATTCTTCTTCGTAGTGAACTATACTTACAATGTACGCAGGCTCTCGTGGACCCGCCGTCTTGGATGACTTTACGTCCTCTTACGGCTATAAGTTCAGCGATGCTGCTGGCTACCAGTGGCCAACAACCAACGCCGCTGCTCCCCCTCAAAACAAGTTGTAAGTGTGATAACTTGCATCCTGTACGACTCATTTGGGTGCGATGAAATGGAAGAAGCCACTTGCTAACTGTCGTTCCAGTTAATAACGCCTCCCATACGATGAGAGTCACGACCGATTTCGGACTATGATATCCCGAGCCTAATGTGGCAAGAAAACACCAACGAATGATTTCCATATAAAAATGACGGAAACTGTAGGAGCTTTGGCGACATAATGATGCGCACTTGCTTCTGGGAATTGTTAGATGCGTCTACTCTGGGGCTTGGCTCATGGCTTTATGATTTGCTCAAGTAGATAAAGATTTCAATATCAATCTTGAATTGATTCCACGTGTGATTTGGACGATGTCCGTTTTATGCCACATCCTTGCCTCATTTATCCGTAGGTACTTTCCAGCATTGGAGTTCTGGACCCTGAACGCCACAGCTGTCAGGAAGGAAGAGGCTTGGATGACAGACGACATACGATCATAAATATGTCACGACTTGCACAATCACTCACTAATACATCATTGTTCTAAGTTCTATACGACAGCGGTATTATTCACAATACAAGTTTTCGTTAAATCCAATCGTTCTTAGTCTTCTTCTTCTTTCAATTATAAACCATAAGCTTTGTCAATCATAGTGACCTCAATCGTCTTTGTCTACTACTTAAGACAGGGGTTGTGTGCAAGTCTTCTCTCTGGCTTTGTGCACGGCCTATCACATGACCAGGCGTAAGGCGCTCGCCCAAACCCAGCGCATCAATCAAGATTCCTCCAACAGTGAAAGCGACTGTGCCGACATAACAAAAACTCTAACTGAGATTCGACACTTCCCCGCGCGACATTATAGCCACGGCGCCGAAGCTTCTTATGCATGATTCGCGCGTGTCTCATCCTATGACCTGGCCGCCCCGGTCTCCCGTCGTTACTCCAGTGCCTCCCGAAGACTTCTCGCCCATCCGCTTCGCCTTCACATCAACAACCACAACTGCAGACTCTCTCCAGCATGAGCGACCCTACCAGCGACATAGTCCACATCACCCAGGGCTACATACCTCTCTCCAAGTTTCTAACGCGACTCGCGCAATCGACACATAATGCGCTTCAGGATCAGATCGCCTCATTGGCGAAGATGCCTGTGCCTGCTGCCGCCATGAATGGAAATTCAACGATACCCAACAGCGACGTCGAAGACGGTTCAAGCGAAAACGTCGCCAAGAAGACATCAATACTTAACTTTGCGATGAGGGAGCACAGAAAATGGGTCAAGGCGCTCGTTATCACTGAATGGAGCCGAAAGGCCGACATGGTCAGCAAACTCATTGACCTGAGGTTCCATCTTCAAGGGCAGGAGGCCTTGTTCGCTGGGGCTTTGGATGTTATGGGCCACGTCAAGAGGGATCTGACTTTTGCGAGAATGCCAAGTCCCGACTTGAAAACAGCCCTCCAGGTGTTATCAACTGGAGAGGCTGCTTGGATGCCTGATGTAGGTGCTGCGCATCATCAAGTGGTGTCGATTCAAGCTGACAATCTTAATAGCTTTCTTACATCGAACCACCTCCATTAACACGCGAGGAGAAGATACAGTGGATGAGTGATGTCGATACTCAACTATCGTTACGGCTAAACCTTGAAGATTTCGACAAGATTCCATACCACTTTCGAAGCTACGAGATCGATTCGGGACGAGTCACCTTCAAAGTTGATGGGGAATTTGAGGTCGACCTGACGATTGCAGACGAAGATTTTGAAAAGCAGTTCTGGTTCATCGACTTTCGACTCGCTTTCCAACCCGCATCATCGTCGATTCCCGAAGGCATGAAGGGTTATTTGGAGGGCCATTTAAACGATATTCTCGCCAAGGATGGATTGTTAGGCTGTTACCAGTTTCTGCACGAACTGGTCCTCACCCATAAACTCAATGAGCTCAAACGACAGGCCACCCGACTCAGCAAGGGATCGTGGACTGGAACATTGAAGGTCGAGTCACTTAACCGAGCCTTGGCAATTCAATACTGGACCACACGAACACAGCCTGGCAGTCCAAAGAGCTGGATATTAGTTGCTGTCAGCAGCGGTCGAAAGGTCAATGGCCAACCTGATCCGAAGTCGTCGAGTTATTTGACAGCCAAATGGTATCGAGACAACAAGGAGGTCAAGGATGTGGAGATATCTTTCGACCCCAACAATCTGTCAGCCGAGGCGCTTTTGAAAACCGTCATTGGTCGACATATTGACTTCTTGTTGGGCAGCATTCACAGCAAATTGCAGTCTTTCCCTCGGTTCCAGAACCGCGAGGCTGCTATGGTCTTGCGCGCTTCCCAAGACGATCCTGCGACTTCGTCTCTAACCATGCAAGTCGGTTACAAGGACAGTGCATCTTTACTTATCGCGCCGACAACTGGCGTTTTTGCCGTCAAACCTCACTCAAAATTCACTATTCAGCATGAACATTTGCTTAATAATGGAAAGAATCCGGCCGAGGATGGAGCGACATGTCTTGAGAATGTGAGATGTGGAGTTGTGGAAGACGAGCTTAGTCGCAGAGGGAGCACGACAGGCTGGAGCATTAAGAAGAACCCTCTGAGTAAAGACGAGTTAAGGTCTTTCGTCAGTACCCGCGAATGGACAAAGACCATCTGGCTTCAACGAGCTGGGTGGGAGCCGACCTGGTTCGTCATGGTCTTATTGAGTCCAAGTGGGGATGTCTGGTGGCTCCTTGATGTGTAAGTTGAATGATATTCATTGTAGATTGGCCCGAGGTTTGCTAACACAATCAATAGGACGCGCAACTCCTCCGGACAGGCGCCCAGGCTAACAACAAAGCTTCCTCTTAACAGAGGGTATCCTCATCTTAACGACGAGTTTTGGAATAATTTGACCTTATTCGCAACCGGCATGATTGCCCAAGCAGTGGACCAGCGCGAACTATACAAGCATAACATCAAATTTAGACCACAGGCAACTGGGAATTGGTCTTTGCCACAGCAGGTTAGACTTCCGACTCTCGAAATCGCTCTCTCTGGAATCTTCCCGTCTATGGTGTTTGAAAGCGCAGACAAGGAGAGCACCAAAGCCGCAACCGCCCCTGGTGCAAGTAACGAGTCATCTGGGGTTGGCCCAGTTATACAATCCGCCGCTGGAGCAGGTATCTCGACTAAACAACCATGGGCGAACGACATTGTTTCAATCAGGTTCAAGGGAATTCAACCTTCAGAGTCAGAAGCTCCTGGTCCGGATGGCAGCAAAACTTCAGAGCCTCTTTTTACCTGCGTTTCGGACGCCATTCTGAAAGTTCGAAGACCAGCCAAGTTCACCATGCTCAGGGGTCACATGGTCGGTCGTGATGTGTCTTGGAACGCGCGCACGGGAGAATTTTGCTTGCGCATGCGCTCAGGCATTGGGCAATCTATGCTGGAAAGCCTGAAAGCCCGTGTCAAAGCTGTTGATCGTTTCGTCAGCTTCTTTGAGTCCATGGATAAGGCAAAGGGTTCTATTTCGGCCGAGTCGGTGGGCTTGAAGGCAGTTACCTTCTGCTATGGACCTCAGAAATCAGAGGCAATTGAAAAATCCGACACTTCACGTCTCTGGAGAGTGACACTGGACCTCTCCAGAGACAATATCGATGTCAAGATGGAAGAGACTAATCCACATCTTCCTGTTATAGACTTAATGCAGAAGCTGGTCAATGGGGTTAACGGTATCGGGGCCTTGATGAACTGGCTTCCTCAGTCCCTGCCAGCCTTGGAAGCAATCAAGGAGATCAGAGAGGCATGGTTAGACGTTGAAGGTCAGCGTCAGGGACGCTTCAAGTTTACGATGGATTCAGCGGATGAGATGTTACTCGAGTATCTGCTTGTGGGAACCGGTCCTGGAAACCGACCTACTACGCGCAACATAACGCTCCTTGGTCACATTAAGCATCGCCGAGGCGAGCCATGGTGGCACATTCAGCGCAAGTCTCTCCCCAACAGTACGGATGATGAGTTCACAGCCGCACTCAAGCCTGTCTGGAAGGGAACGGGAGGCAACTGGACCGGTCTCGCCACCGGTGCAGCGGGCAGAACAGAGAATAGCATCGCTGATCTGCTCCTGGCTATTGATGGGGCCATTCGGCCACTGGCTGGCTCATCTTTCCAAGATTACCATGAGGTGGTTCTCTTGGATTAAACGAATGGGGAGGGAGCACTTACGATGAGTTTATTATTTACTAATGGAGTTGAGGGGCTTTTTTTCTAGACGAGCGGCGAAAAGGGGATTGAACAAAGCGGGTGGCTATGATTTTGTGATAGCTTAATGATACCTACATATGAACATGGAATACTACTACATCACTAATGGTTCGGACCATGATATGTTTGCTGCTCTTGTGACTTTCTTCATTGGCTCTCGTGTTGACTCAATATTGTCCCTTTGAAACCTTCTATCGCTCTAAGTAATAATACAAGGTTGGCTCCAGCGGAAATTCATGCCTCTCTTTCCTAACACCTATTTTCTTTCCACCTTATATTCTTTCATCGTCAGAAAATACTTATGTAAACGCTCTAAACTACTTAAAATGTCGCACGGGAATCTCATCTGTATCCACGACTGCAAACTGCTGAATATTAAGAAGATATTCCAGACCTGTAGCCTCAAGGCTCTCTTTTGTCGCGGTGGCGGCATCGTAACCAGCACGCAGACTAGCAATTGTGCCGATACGAGAGTACGAGCCACCGGCGACAGCGAGACGTCCACCAAAACTATCAGTCAACTCAGCGTGTGCGTTGCGCAGGCGATCCTGGTGGCCGACGTAGTGCTGAGGAATACACTCCTTGGCGAAATTGGCTGTGGCGTACGCTGGAGCATCGCGCGGGATGCCGAGATGTCGCTCCAGGAGGTTACGGGCTTGGATAATGGCCTCTTCTTCAGTAGGAGGGGTGACATCGGGACGATCATAGTAGTGACCGCCCATGAGAACGAAGAGCTTGGTGCCTGCGGGTTCATCCTTGGAGCGTGTGCCGACGTCGGAATCGAAGAAGACGCCGAGGGCATGCTCCGGGTTGAGCTCAGGGGCCACAGTGTTGGGGATAAGATAGCCGAAACCAGGAGGCTTGAGGTCCTCCTGAGGGAACCAGACGTTGACCGTCATGACAGAGACGGAGTGCGCTGTGGAGAGGGCAGGGAGTTTATCTCCTGTAAAACGAGCGGTTTGCTGGGCGGAGAATGTTGAAATGACCTTGTCGTATATCTGTGAGTTAGGGTTGGTCTTGTCTTTGGCATTTGAGGCGGTAATCTATAGTATATGTTGTGAGTGAGCTGTTCTGTAGTTACTTGGATTAAATTACTTACGTTGACCTGCTGCTTGGCCTTGTCATAGAAAAGCTCTTGAACAGCCTCGCCAGTCTTAATAGTGACGTTCGGCTGATCTCGCAGCGCAGCACTAATAGCTTGCGGCAGCGTCTCCATACCCTTGTCACCAAAGTCCAACAGTGCACTCTTAGGCTCCAGCGCCATCTTCTGGATCTGCCTATCCTGGCCCAGTGTCTCGAGAATCATCTGCTCTGGTACAGGCATTGGACGCGCAGACAGGCCGGGGTTTGGCAGATACCAACCCCAGTAGATGCGATCTAGCACACTGCGAGCACTCAGCTTTGTGATGTCGCCGCCGTAGATGCCGTGCATCATGGCCGATGCCAAGGTGCCTACACCTTTCCTGCTGTTGGTGATCTTGTAAAGCCAGTCGGCAACGGATTCATCCTCAGCGGGGAGTTGTCGCTGGCGCAGTGTGTTGATGCCCAGTCCAATACTGGCACCGATGCTCTCGAGGTAGAGGGGCTCGCGGAAGATATCGAAGATGCTGACGTTGGGGGGCATGGAGACGAGGTGGTCGGGGTAGTATATGTATCGCGGCAGGGTTGCAGGCGAGTTTATGGTGAGGCCTAGATCAAGGGCCTAGAAGGTTGTGTGTTAGTAGAGGTCTTATATTACTAAAGCAGCGATATCTTACGAGATCGTAGAGCACAAGGTCGTCGAAGCGAAAGGTATTGCCAGCCAAAGAAGTCAACGATCGCGAGCCACGCTCAAACGCCACGGTACCCTTCTTTCCCTCGATATCAACCGGCACTCTATCCGTCTTGATCCACCCTCCCAGCCTATCGCTCGATTCATACAATGTGATCTTTGCGGTGGAGGGGAGTTTCTTCGCAAGGTAGTAGGCCGTCGTCAGGCCAGTCAAGCCGCCACCCAATACCGCGATCTTAGCATCCTTCGCCTGAGAAACATATCTCCGTCCGTCGTTGAAGATCTGGGCATGATTGCACGCAACAATGGGCCGTCGCCGAGTAAAGGTCGAGCAGGTGCTGAGGCCGTGGAAACCATTGAGGCGACGGAGGGGCATTTGGAGGTGGGATTTAGTTGGTGAGCGAGCTGCTGAGCTCAAGAGAGCTACAGCCGTGGATTCTGCTCGACGGCGACTCATTGCGACAGATCAATTGATCATGGCCGAGGTGTCGAGTTTATGTTACGAGAAAGAGCAAGATGGGGAGATGGTGGAGTGTTGAAGTAGAGTCCTAAGGCATGAGCCGGTATTATTCCGTGTGCGTCATCAACACCGCGGAGAAAGAATTACTAGGTAGCTAGGCATGGATGTCATAGACAAGTATTATCGAATCGCCAAGTGTAAATAAGATCATAGTCACAGTTACAACCTCACAAGATTTGTAGAGATAATCAATGAGGGATAGCCACATGGGCCTGTCGTGTAGGTTGCATTCTTCCCCTTCGCGCATCTTGCTTTGAAGCATCATGATGCACGATCTGATGGCCTCTTTGTTGATTGATCGGCCTCTATGTATATAGGAATAAACAAGACTTGGGCTGCCTCAAAAAAAAAACCAAATAACTTTAAAAGATGCCAAACCCCAAAAACGCCCTTCCATGCTCTTCTACCCTGGCCAAAGACATTACAAAGCCACCGTAAAAGTACATGTCCTTCGTTCACAACCTCTTCTGTTTCATCAATCCGTATCCGTCGTCCCATTTTTTAGGGACGTTGGCCGTTGGGTATCGTGATCTTTTTTCAATCAATATCTCCCCCTTTTCCTTTTCCTTTCTCTTCTTTTTTAGGCAATGACATCAGCCTCCTGCTTCATTTCATTGTCCTCTGCCTTGATAAGCTCCTCAGCGGCTTGGTCATCCACAAACTTCCTTTCACTGGGATGCTCAGTCTCTCCAGCAGTCCAGACCTTATCCTTGAAGCCTCCTTGCTGTCCATCGTCGTGCGCAAACGCGCAGTTGGGGTTGAGACACGGGTTAAACTTGCACTTTGTTCTGACATGCGTAAACTTGCACTCGGAGTTTGTACAGCCAGCACCGTTTCGGCAGAGAGGCATCGATGGGTGCTTGAAGGGGCACTGGGGGTTTTGGCAGTTGGGGAAGAACTTGCAGTCCTGCTCGCTCTGATGTGCGAGACGAGCGGCCGGCGAAGGGTGTCGTGCAACACATTTGCGGTTCTTGCATGCGGCTCCGAAGCTGCAGTTGTCGTTCACGTCGACCGAAGCTCCGGGAGGGGCGGCAGGTGACTGATGTGCAAATTTGCAGTCCTTGTTGGTACACCTCAAGTTGTACTTGCAGACAGTCTCCTCGGGGTTCACTTCGCGCTTCTCGCCGGACATGTCCATGTCCTCGCCCTCCCCCTCAGCACCGGTGTTGCTGCCGCCTTGTCGATCGTTGAAACCCTTGCGGTGGTTACCTCTGCCGGGATGTTGCACGCGGTCAAACAAGGGCTTTCCACCACGGCGCTGCTGTCCAAATCCGCCCTGGTTGCCACCGTTGTTCATGAGCTGTTGCGATAGCTGGAACATCATCTGGTTCTGCTGTTCCAACATGGCGACAAGCTCGGCCTGGTTCGGTTGGCCGCCTTGCATCATCCACTGTGCTTGAGGACCACCAGCCGCCATACCGGCCAATCCAGCCTGAAGGTTGGCAGTGCGGTTGTTGTTAGCACGGCCCATTCCACCTCGACCTGTTCGGGGTCCGGTTGGCGGTGTGCGACCGTGTGTGTTGATGCGCTCGCTTCCTGATTGACCTCGAACACGATGGAGCGCAGAGTCGCCAGGTCGATCCATAGCCTTGCTGATCTGGCCGAACATGCGCTTATCCCGTCCTCCTCGCTGGTTGCCGTTTCGCATTGAGCGTGGGCCAGTAGGTCTGGTTGAAGTTAGTAATTGTAGTAGTTAGTGGAAGGATGATGGCTATGACATACGCATTCAGTTCTGATACATCTCCGGCGTTCATATCAGTATCCATCTCGCCTTCTGTTGTGGCGTCCTGGTCTGCGCCAGAATCTGTGTTGCCTCCCCCATTCAACTGGGCGTTGAGGGCCTCGATCTGCTCAAAGAGCCACTGAGAGAAGTCGCGAGTGCTGGGGTCGTCGGGGCCAAGGTTGAGCAGATCACCGGAGAGTTCGGCGGCGATTTGGTCCTGAGTCTTTCCGTTGACGAGCATGAGGATAATATACTCTGCTAGAGCGGAGTCATCGGCACCACCAGTTCCCCATCCGACCTCGACAAGCTTGGGCTGGATGGCGGCGTTAAGAGCCTCCGCCAGGGGCGTGTTAAGGCTGACTTCGACGGGCATCGTGATGGAGTGCGCAGTTGCGATGATGGCTTGGATAGGTTGGTGAAGTTTGAGTTGATGTAGTTGGGCGGCGGAAGGTTTCACCGCAAAGGAGGAATTGGAGGTCAAGGAAGCTTCAGTCAGTCAAAGAGAGACGCGTTTCTTCTGGGTAATAAAAAAAGGTAGAATGATCCGCGTCGCGTGAGCAAGAGACTGGTCGCAATGTAGCAAATAGTGGGCGCGGCGAGTCGCTAAGTTTGCAGTGATTTGATGATGCTGCGACGTCGTACAGTAGCAGCAATGAAGCAAGGTTTTAAGGTTGTTGAAGATGGAGATGGAGTTGGCAAAGGTCTGCCTGAGAGACGCAGAAGTCGTCAAGATTGGGTCTGTGGGGTCACGTGACAGTACGATCTGTCATTGTACTTTGTTCCTGCAAGTGCGAGTGCAGTAGCACGTAGGCGTAGGTACTAAGTTAGGTACTCCGTACGAGCAAGAAAGAGTAAGAGTAACAAACCTTTGAATTTTGTTTGGTTTGTAATAAAGCTGGCATGGAACTGTTGACCACTAGTCACTGCCCGAGGACTGAATAGCAGTGTATTGCTGCTATCGATTGAGCTGTTGTCTACTAGTTGATAGTCACACCCTGGAAGCTACCTAGGTAGGTACCTAAATCTTTTCATTCATTCACTGCTCCATGGCCTACCCCAAAAGAGGTGAGATGCCATCACAGACCAGAAGCTTCGTTGATCAACGAATAGATTGTAAATTCGATTAGTCATGCATCTTTTGAACAGTCATGACAGTGAACTTGATCTCTCTCAACTCTTTGATGTGTTTATATGTTTCTTACTATTAGATCTCATTGCTTGTGGTGTATTATACTGTAGTACTGCACATTTGGCAATTCCCTTTGCCAAGTTGAGCTATTTATAGAACTTCTACTTGTGTACCGTATAATTCTTTGTAATGTCTCCTTTTGTTTGTCTAAAACTTGGGATCGCATTTCTCTTTCTTTGTAGCACTCGAGCTTTTTTCCTTCTTACCTTGCAGACTAAAACAAAGAGCGGCATGCAAACAAAGGGTTTGAGGAGCCAGTTAATGTGGTGTCAACGACATACTTCTATCCTTGCTGTTGACGTACCATATCATTCAAGGTTACATTTCTCCTCTTTTGCTGTTCATCAACTGCTTTGTTGCAGTTCAGTTTTTGGGATGTAGAAGATCTATGCTACTCTAATGAGAGGGGTTGGGGGTTGACTGAGACATACTCTCGCCACCTTGCTTGCAGGTAAAAAGCTTGGGCCCATTCTACGTAATGTAGGTACGGAGTAATATCAAGTCTAGATATATAAGTGAATTAACATGAATGTTTCATGAAACAAGAGTCCATTCTTAGACTGCCTTCGTTAGATAATACTGACTTTCATGTATAATAATCTTTGGTATTCCTTCCGAGACGGCTACTATCAACTACCTATCACATCATGTCCAACCTCTGAGATTCTAGACCGCAATATTGTCTATCCCCCCCCCCCTTCTGCAGTGCGAGCAACTAATGTAACATTAAAGCTTGAGCTGGAGCAAAGAAACCAGCCTCGCATCGCCTCTAGCGAATCGAGCTACCTCGACTCCCTCAGGATTGATTAGTATTAGCATTAGCATTGAGGGGCTGTACAAGGCGACGCAGTCTCACCAATTATCTGCTCCGTCGTCTGACAGCAGTGACAAGAGTAAGCTGATAGGCTGTTCTGGCTGTCAGTCCTGCCCGTGTCGTCGCAAATGTAGCACCTGGCTTGCCGTTTACACGATTAGATTCGTCCGCTATCCCGCTGCTGCAAGTCCACTGGAAGCCCACTGGAAGCCATCTCCCGAGTGCCTTATCCCAGTCCCAGTAGCTGCCGTAGGTGGTTAACGGAAGTCGGCTGAGGCTCCAGCTGTAAGCCTGTCTATAACTATTGGTGGAGCTAGAGCCTAAAACCAACCCGTTAGCCTGCCAGCCTGCAACGCCATTTCGACGATCCCACTTACCCAACCTTGTCTTGTAACAATCATCACTAACCCATTCAAATACTTTCAGCATTATACAGCCTCCATCCATTCTCAGTTTATTGGGAACAAAATCATCACTTGACTACTTTATGCTTCCCCTTTTCTGCTTGATGCAGCCCAAAAGTTCATGTTTAAAGCATTTGCTATCTACAAACAGCAGCCGCTGCACTCTCGGGTGGTAGTGTAACGTAACGTTGCGCTCCAACGTTGTCCTACATTCAATACATTACATCAATACAATACAATGCGCATACATACATGATATGCTCTATCCCACACCAGGCTACGGCTACCATCATCAAATTGATTGGATATCCCAGTTCCGATATATTGAAAACAAATTCGACGTCGTCTCCAACGAATCAGCCTCTTCCCAGGATATAAACCCACCCCGCTCAGCACCAATACAAGTCACCAAGCCCATAAGCTCATAAGCTCATAAGCCCCCAGGATCGCAACAAGTATATTACAGTACCAGGCGGAGTTGAAAGGATCGTCCTCAGCCTTGTTGAACGGGGTCTGGCACTTATCCATATCCACTTCAGTAGCCTCCTTATAAACACTTGCCCTTACCCAGCTCAACTAAACTCCACCACTCAATATCATTCTCTCTTCTTCACTCCCATTCACTCACTTGCTCACTATCTCTCGGCGTCATGTGGTCCAAGCCTCTCCTGGCCCTTGCCGCCTTCGCCCTCACCCCCGCCGATGCCATATGGCCTGTGCCTAAGAAGATTTCTACTGGAGACAAGGCACTCTTCATCGATCAGACCATTGATATCACCTACAATGGAGATTTTGTATGCTGGACTCTTCCCGATTCCGACTCTGGTTCTTGTAACCGCACTGCGCGACTTTATACTGAAACTTTGCTTAATGAACAGGTTCCATACACTTACAACTACCAGCCTGATGCCGGCTCCAAGTTCAGCAGCAAGCAGATTGTTCAGGCTGGTGTCTCGCGTGCCCTCCAGGGCATCTTCAAAGACAACTTTGTGCCCTGGAAGCTTCGCGAGCGCGGTTCGGATTTTGAGCCTGATCTGCAGAAGAAGACGTGGGTGAAATCGCTTGAGATTACTCAGACTGAGGAGGATGACAAGAGCACCTTCAAACCTCTTGCCGGTGAAGTTGACGAGTCGTACTCGCTCTCGCTCTCTGAAGATGGTAAGGCTTCCATCAAGGCCAAGACCTCCACCGGTGTCCTGCACGGACTTGAGTCGTTTCTTCAGCTCTTCTTCAAGCACAGCTCTGGCACTTCCTGGTACACGCCGCATGCACCGGTCTCAATTGAGGACAAGCCCGAATATCCTCACCGAGGTATCCTTCTCGATGTCGCTCGTAACTTTTTCGAGGTTGATCATATCAAGCGCACCATTGACGCCATGTCCTGGAGCAAGCTGAACCGCCTTCATCTTCACATCACTGACTCGCAATCCTGGCCGCTTGAGATTCCCGCCCTGCCCAAGCTGGCTGAGAAGGGAGCTTACCACAAGAGCCAAACCTACTCTCCCGAGGATCTCGCTAGCATCCAGGAGTACGGTATCCACCGTGGAGTCGAGGTAATCCTGGAGATTGACATGCCCGGCCACATTGGCGTTGTTGAGCTCGCGTACAAGGACCTTATTGTCGCTTACAACGAGAAGCCGTATCAGTGGTGGTGCAAAGAGCCCCCATGTGGTGCGTTCCGAATGAACAGCTCCGACGTCTATGACTTCCTCGACACCTTATTCGATGACCTTTTCCCTCGCATCGCCCCTTACAGCGCTTATTTCCACGCTGGTGGAGACGAGTTGAACCACAACGACTCCAGGCTTGATCCTGATGTGCGCTCCAACGAGACTAGTGTCCTGGCACCTCTTTTGCAGAAGTTTGTCGACTACACCCACGGCAAGATTCGCGACGCTGGATTAGCTCCGTTTGTGTGGGAAGAGATGATCACTGAGTGGAACATGACGCTGGGCAAGGATGTGGTGATTCAGTCTTGGCTCGGTGGCGGTGCTGTCAAGGACTTGGCCGAGGCAGGCCACAAGGTCATTGACAGCGACTACAATTTCTGGGTGAGTTGTGAATTAACCCCTGAATAGGGGAGGGAGAGAGAGAGAGAAAGAGAGAGAAGTGTTTGCTAATTGAGACCCATTAGTACCTTGACTGCGGTCGTGGGCAGTGGCTCAACTTTGACAACGGCCCGGCCTTCCAGACCTACTACCCCTTCAACGACTGGTGCGGTCCTACCAAGAGCTGGCGGCTCATTTACTCTCACGATCCTCGTGCTGGTCTGTCGGAGGAAGCGGCCAAGCTTGTTCTCGGTGGTGAGGCGGCGGTCTGGACTGAGACCATCGACCCCGTCAACCTCGACACCATTGTGTGGCCTCGCGCGGCTGTGATGGGCGAGGTCCTCTGGTCAGGCCGTACTGACGCCTCGGGTCAGAACAGGTCGCAGTACGACGCTGCACCTAGACTGGCTGAGCTGCGTGAACGCATGGTAGCACGTGGTGTTAGTGCTTCACCTATTCAGATGACATTCTGTACACAGGGCAATGCCACTGAATGTGCACAATTTGATGGATGAAGGGTTTTACTATTCTGTATACAGTTTTGTTGTTTTTAGCTTTATTTAGCACATGAACAGACTCAATCGTTAGCTATCCTACGTCTTGGTCGAGATCTCGCTTATGTTGATGGAAACGGACACGGATGGAATGGAATGCGGGGCCGAAGCTTCGGGCCGGAAGATAAATCCCAGCCCCGGAGAAAAAGAAGAAGATGAACCACGTTGCCACGAGTGGGGTAAATGCTTGTGAAGATCTCGCAAGCTAAACTCGCAGCGGTATTAGGTCTCTTGAGAACGGAGTAGACTTCTTGGTGCATGCTGAGTGTCCTTTATTGTTCGGAGCGCCGCGGGGCCCGTATGGGTGGTATCACCGTGGTATCTCAAGATGCAATGGAGGTCTTGATCATCACCGGCTTTGTCGACCTCGGCATGTGAAGAAATCCGGGGAGGGGGAGGAGAAATGTTGATTGGCTAAGAAGTGCCTTGTAGTATTTCTAAGATCGATTGAGATGTGCAATCGTAAAGTATAACATACTACGTAGTAAAAGTAGTTACAATATCAAGTAGATGAGCGGATACGTACGTAACTACTTGGAGATGGAGTTTACCGAATCGGGTATACTGATCGTTACCTACTGTAACTAACTTAAACCCTGCCCGTGTCTTTAACTTTAAAGGTACGGAGTACAAGGATGCTTCTTCTTTTCCTCTGATGTCATGAGAAAACTCTCCCTTTTTTTAACATGCAATTGGTATTGTATGAGAATCTGAAGTTGGTTTGTGGCTACGACCACGTTGAACTTTACTTGGTCTGTGAGGCTATCCACAAACTGACTAAAACAAAGACTACAGTAACCATCTTAAGTAGCACCAAAAGATACGAAGCATTTCTTCTAGAAACCGTCAATACCATCATGAGATTAAATTAAACCCTGGTTTTACCCCGCCCAGATCATGCAGAAATAGGGAAAGACTCCCTCCCCACCAATACATAGACCACAGTACTAGACTACTCGATTACTACTACTACTTGTCTATTCGTATACACACTCCCTGTTCCTGTTCAGTTGATCAAGGCCTTGTCTATGCCGCTTCAGGGAGGAGTTTCGCGAGTGACATGGCATGGTATGGCATGGCATGGTTTTGCGGTCCGCGGAAACGGAGACTTTATGGGTATCCTGATATGCATGTTCCGTTTCTTCTTTTACTGGAGAGAGGGGAATTGTGTTTTATATAACCTTATATCTTATGGGCACCCTAAATATAATTGATAAACGAGTGGATTCTTCTTGTCTATCCGTGCTCTTCCTCGCCTTGGTAGTCTTTTGATAGTTTGACTCGTGTGGTCCTTTTTCTTTTAAAGCGATATATATCCACACTTGACAACTATTTTAACCTCGATTGTTTCACTTCAACTCATACCAACTCAAACACGTCAGTAAAGGTCTTCGATATGGGCCTCGTCGAAGCTTTTCTGGACAAGGTCTCACTCAAGACTTCCTTCATCGTCCTCGTCGTCGCGTACATAGCCTACTGCTTCTTCAGCCGCGTAGACGAGCATCGAAGAATCAGACGTCTTGGTCACTATGGACCTCGTATAAGAACATATGCGCCCTGGGGTAGAGTCCCTCGCCTATTCTGTCAGCTTCTACCGTACTTACACACTTCCAGGCCTAGATCTCGTCGCCAGATTCGTCATGGACACCACAAAACACCAGAACCTGGCGTGCTGGAGAGATGCTGTCTTTGGTGCACAGAACTCGTGGACCGTCGAGGCTCGTCTCCTTGGCCTGCGCATGGTCTTCACCGCCGACCCAGCAAACGTCAAGGCTATTCTGGCCACGCAGTTTGGTGACTACGGCAAGGGGAAGCCATTCCATAACGAGTGGAAGGACTTCCTGGGTGATAGTATATTTACTACCGATGGTGCTTCATGGCATACCAGTCGCCAACTCATCAGGCCTCAATTCACTCGAGACCGTGTGAGTGACTTGCACTGTTTCGAGGCTCACATGCAGACACTGTTCAAAGCCATTGCCAATAGAGGACCGCTTCAGGGAGAGGATCAAGTTGTTAATATGGAGAATCTGGATGGCAAGGAACTTGATATTAGCGATCTATTCTTCCGCTACACTCTTGATGTTGCTACCGAGTTCCTTCTAGGGTGGGATGTCAAGTCTCTAACGTGAGTGGCCTCTCTAATACACCCGTTAGCATATCTCACTGACACGTACACAACTCAGCACACCAAGACAAGAATTCGCAGAGGCTTTCAACGAAGTCCAACGCATCCAAAACATCATCGCCCGCACTGGAAAACTCCGCCATCTCATCCCAAAGTATAGGTTCTGGCGCTCTCTCAACACCGTGAACCACTTCATCAACTTCTACATCGAGCGTGCCCTGCGTCTAAGTCCCGAGGAGCTTGCCACCAAGGCAAAAGACGACCACAGCTACACCTTTCTCCATTCCCTCGCGGGCTTCACGCGTGACCGCAAGGTCCTACGTGACCAGATCATTGCTGTTCTTCTCGCGGGGAGAGATACCACCGCTGCGACGCTGTCGTGGGCTCTGTATGAGCTGGGGAGGTATCCCCACGCTGTCAAGAAGCTGCGCACTGAGATCGTCTCGACATTGGGGACGGAGCGTACGCCTACATATGAGCATCTCAAGAGCATGAGTTATCTCAAGGCTGTTCTCAACGAGACTCTCCGCTTGTATCCCGCCGTGCCTTTCAACGTCCGTCTCGCTCTCAAAGATACAACTCTCCCACGCGGTGGCGGCCCAGACGGATCCGAGCCACTCCCCGTTCTCAAGGATTCACCCGTGGCATACTCCACACTCGTCATGCAGCGACGAGCCGACCTATATCCTCCCGTCAGCGACACATTCGCCGATCCCGGCATCTTCAGTCCAGATAGATGGGCGCACTGGCACCCCAAGCCGCACGACTACATCCCCTTCAACGCCGGTCCCAGGATCTGCATCGGTCAACAGTTTGCGCTGACCGAGATGAGCTATGTTCTGTGTCGGCTGTTTCAAAAGTATGATCGCGTGGAGAGCCGGATGAAGGACATCGATGGAGGGGAGCCTGTTCTCAAGGCGGATATTGTACTCTCGCCTGGCCAGGGTGTCAAGGTTGCTTTTTGGGAAGCTCAGAAGTCTGGGTGAGAGTTTTATTCAGGTCATTAACGATTTTATGATTTGTTTTTTGTGTTCTTGGTTTGGTACAGTTCTTTATCATCTGTATAATATGAGTCTGAATTATCAATCATGTGTGATTTAACATACCAAACTTATTTGTTAAAAGCTCTTTACACGACATTCTCCATCATCCACCTCTTGATTTTGATCATTCAGTTCAGAACTACGACTTATTTCCGCCCAAAACTATCCCTCACCGCTTTTCCAAACCTCTCAATAGCCTTGTTCATATTCTCAGGCGTGGCAGACGCATAAGTCGCCCTAAAGAACAGTCCAGGCGGTGCCTTTTCCTTCTCGGTCAAGAACCACGATCCTCGGGCGATGAGGACGCCGTTCTCGATACACGAGTTGAAAATCTCCTCTTCGATATCCAAGATACTTCGCTCTGCTGCTTGGGGATGCTTTGTATAGTCGATATTAATCCACATCTGGCACATGAGTCAGTCTCAACACTTGATATATATATATATATACGGCTTGGGGGTCACTCACAAACATGCCAGCTACAGGAGGACTCCAGCTGGCGAGATCGCTAGGCAGATGGTCCTCACAGGCAGCTAACAAAGCATCTCGCTTCTTGGTATACTCCAACCGCAGATTCATCAGCCATCGTAAGTAGCCCTCGTGGCCCCACGTCTCGTCGAGGAGTTTATACAGAATGACCTGGGATAAACCACTGGGGCCTTGGCTGGCAACTTCAGCGTGTCGAATATACCGCTCAACGATCTGCGCCGATGCTGTGATCCATCCAAGGCGAGAGCCAGGGACGAGGACCTTTGAGAACGAGTCCATACGCATCACTCGTCCGTCAACGTCAATGCTCAGCAGCGAAGGAATGAGTGACGAGACAAAGTCTTCGACCGTCTTTGGTGGTGCAACGTCGGGCTGATTGCGCCCTGTGTAAGGTTGCATCTGGAGGAAATAGTATGGCTCGTCTTCGATGATGTACAGATCGTGCTTCTGGGCCACGGCGTAGATGGCCTTTCGACGCTCAGTTCCCTGCGTTGCCCCCGTGGGATTCTGTCCCGATGGAACAGTGTATAGCAGGTGAGGCTTTCGAGAACCTCGCTCTTTGGCATCCCAGGTTGACAGAAGCTCATCCATAGCCTCCGGAATAAGCCCCTCTTCGTCGATTGCAACGCCGAATGCCTTGACACCAAGAGGGCCGATCGTTTCAAGGGCAGTCGAGAAACTAAAGTCTTCAGTGAGAACAGAGTCGCCTCGATCTTTATCGCAAAACATCCGCAGCGCCTGCTCCAGCGCTCCAGTGCTTCCGATAGTCTGGCAAACTTTCCAGTCCGCGTACGGGGGCTTATATACAATCTCAGTGTGCTCCGTCAGGTACCTCATCATCTGAGGAGATCCCGTAGCCTGGCCATAGTTGCACGCGATGGACAGGTCGTAGGTACCTCCGCGGTCTCGCACGTCGTATTTCCCAATCGAAACGGTCTGGCCAGATTCTTCTGTGTCTTTTTCTGAAAATTTGGGTGCCACTGGGACTCTGAAGTTGAGCTCGGCGATGGGGAATACCTCACTTGAGGGTAAACCGCCGCCGAGTGAGATAAGGCCAGGTTTCTTCATGTGGCGAGCTGCTTGTTTGAGAGTGCATGGTTCTCGCACTCTACTCTCGTGGCTTAAATGGTCTATGAGATGTGTAAGTGTGAAGTCTTTGGCATGGAACGCCCACTCGGTACATACTGTCCCATCGTTTAGATTCGGGTAGACCAGTTGCCTAAAGCGCAATAATGATGAGCTCAGAGCAAGACATCCTTCACTCGTCTGGACTTACAGGTCCTTTAAACATATCACTATCCGAAGCAGCAGCGACTCCAGCTACCAATCTTCCCGCCTTGAGCCGTCTCTCTTTCACCGCGTCGATAGCTGAAAGCTTCTGAGAAGTGTCATAATGTGCTGGACGGGCAGCCGGGGCAGCTTCAGCGCTTGATGAATGTCGCGAGCTGCTTTGAATCATGCGGGTGTGTCGAACCAGTGGCCGAAGCCTTGTGACTCTTGTGGCTGGAAGCATTGTATGGGTTTCTTTGGTGATGTATTGGACTGTATCAGGTTGTACTCGTGTAAGTGGAGTTGAGGGGTTCGTATAATCTCAACATGCAGCCTCTACTAAGGTGTCAAAGGAGAAACTTGTTACTTGGTGTTTGATTTGAATGAACGCAGAGGATCTTCAAACTTATCTGGAGGGTTGCCTTAATAATCCCTTCGGACCCGGACAACATGCACCAATGTCGCCGGTGCCGGGCTTCACAGTCTCCGCCCGCTCTTAGCCGGCTGTATCCCGGATACCCTATACCGGCGCCCCGGATTCCGGGCGCGGGGTTTGTGTCATTGACGCCTCACGAGATCAAATTTCCTTATTGTACTCTGGATTTAGCTACCTGTTACGTACGACTGGCCTGCCTGTTTAGCTGTGTTATGCTGCGCGTGACTTACCTAAAAGGCGGTAGTAGGTTGTGTTGGTAGTTATCGTGTCAAACTGTCGCTACGATATCGGCACTTAACCACGCCCTTTGCATTGTCACCCACGCCCAACAGCCTAGTGTCACCTTTTAGCGCGTCCATCTTCTTTCTACATCGCTCGTCAGACGGTTCCACCTCTGCATGAACCTGCAGGGATCAAAGTGATACAGTAACGATCATAGGATAAGCCGGTGGATGCATGGCCATTCCGTTGATCAATCAGAGAACTCGCAAGTTTCAAGTAACTAGCCCGCGGCTTGAAACACACACACACATATATATATATCGTCAATCTAAATCATGGACGCCATTGACTTCCATGCTCGTTTGTTCATAATAGTCGTAAAGTGGGCATATATCTAATCCGTACCAGCCACGTTCCAAGCAAGAGATTAATCAAGCGAATGATATCACTTGGCTATTCGAATCCTCAACTTTGGGCAGTTAGCATACCCTCATCCAAAGTTCCTCTCTTGTCGTCTAAGACTATTTGCTTAGTCGTGACTGAATATGTGGGCATGCAACACATGCCATCATAGCCAGGCATGTTGCCCACGATGCATGAACCAGCATGATGTAGTCGATGCCTGCCCCGGTGCACTTCCCTACCAAGACACCAAGAGCTACACACACTGTAAATATGGGCGGTACGTTAGAGTCCCGAAGACGTCGCCGGTGAAGAAACGAAGCAACCGAACATCCGTAAATGATGCAAGCTGTGAGCACTTGCCACTGCGACAGCCGAACTAAAGATTCGGAGCCCGTTGTTTGCGGCCATGTCTGGCACCACCACAAGACGTCAGTTTCTGTCTCTTCAAAGCAGTCTGGGCAACAATTCGCTATATCATGACCGAGCATGAGATCCCCGACGACCCTGCATACTCGTTCCAACTTACCTTGTCTGGTAGACGAGTGGCCGTGTGCATCTGACGCATGAACTCCGACATGACCCAAGCACTTCCGCTTGCTGGAAGTAACTCGGCCAGGTCGACGCTGAGTTGGACAAGCGATACATGCTGACTATATTCTCTTCCAGATAACTGAAATGGGTCGCTTGGATAGATCGACATGAGATGAAAGAACTCTTGCGCGAAGCAAGCTGTATAGTGAAGTTCGTGTATGTGGCCTCAAGTTGAGCAATTTGCTCTCACTTCTCCTCGCATGCAACTACTGGGCCTGCATGCTCTTATAAGTAGTGTTAATCATTTCAGAGAGAGGAATCGACCGTGCCTTATTGCTTGGGATAACAACATAAGCGGGCCTCAATAGCCCGGCTGAAATCGACATCTTTGCAATTCCACAAGCCAGGTGACAATATCCTAGGCAAAATACCTTGTCATGCGGTGGCTTAAGAAATTTTGTTGGCACGGCATCAAAACAGCAATGGTTTTGAGGCTGTGATAATTTGATGCACTTCTGCCTAACGCTTACATCGATGTCTTGGGTTGAAATGGCCACAAGGCATACTCGGCCCCAAGGTTGTGATGATGTTCTGAACCAATCATTTCAGCCTCATATGGTTCGCCCGTTCGCATGTTCGCAACTCAAACCTAGACCAACTCGTTCGCCTTATACGTGGACAACCTCAATAGGCCCGCAGTATGGTAAGGGCTGGTGATGTATGGAACCAACCACTTTGGTACAATCTCAAATGACAGGTTCGCATCCGTCAACTTGATACTGCCCCCCTCGCCAAGTTCTCAGTCATAGAGCCTCTTAAGGCGTTGGGGGGCTCATCTAGTCTGGCTGACTGCGGTCTCAACCGTCAGTCTTCAGTGATTCGTGCCAACAATGTCTGGGGGTACGCTAGCCTCGAAGTTTGGATTGGGCGCCGATGAATATAAGATCCTCTTGACGACCAGCAAGTCCGTCCATAGTGATACAATCATCATCCTTAAACCGTTGTTTGTTTCGAGAACCGACATCGTGTCATTTTCACAAACTGTGAATTTTCGAAGCATTACCTCCTTTACTTACCCTGGTCTAGATTGTCAATCATTATGGAACGCATGCTCAACATAATATCCAGCGGCATTTGGCAAGTTGCAAGCCATGTCGTGACCATCTTACCCGTGGGGACGCTCTTTGGTGCTGCAGTGGCCTTGGGGCTGCCCCGGCACCCTCACGTTGATGTTGTGTAAGTAAACACACCCTGTCATGAACATTGTATCTGACATTACACAGAATCTTCTTGTTGCTGGCTGTGTCTGGGCCGACCTCCATCCTAGTCCATGCATCAACTTTCAAACAGTAGGCGCCTTGTGTGAAAACCGAAACTTGGGAAGTAGAAGCTGACCAGCTGTATCTCAGAGCCCGACTCGGTCCAGTTGCTACAATTATTGCTCTCGGTTACATTTTTTCTCGGACCCGTTGTTTCACTGAATACCCAAAGTCGGTGGACGAACTTGTGACCGGACTCCGAGACTATGCTTTGATGATGGCTGTAGTCATATCCGTGGTAGCCATGATGATGCCGGGTACAGTTAGAACCAGACAGCTGTCTGGTGGTATTGCTGAGGAAGAAGACCATCTTCCACCTCTTAGTGCTGAGTCGCGAAGTGCCTTGCGCAAACCAATGGCAAAGCGATCCTGGGACCTGTCCTCTACCACAAGTCATCTGGATCTTCTCTCCCATATAGGCTCATTGGATTTCAAGTTCATGCCTGGACCCAACTCTCATTACTCGGACCATTCATCCAGTAAAGACTCAGTAATCACGCTCTCTTCTGGTTCCGAGCGTGACCTGGGTAGGATCATGGAGATCATTCAATGGGCCACTGCCACTGCCCCGACCACACCCGGAACCAAAGGAGACACGACGATATCGACACAAACCAGTGTACCGCAGGAGTCGGCCTAGTGGCCAAAGATTTAATGCCGCTTGACAGTGGAATTCTGCCACGTTGAAAAGTTTTGCAGTTGGGAAGCTTGTGATTTGGACGCCATTAGGACCATGGCTATATTTTCCCAAGGACAGGAACCAGCCCGGAGCAGGAACAACAGAAACGTGTACCAGTGCAAGTGCAAGTGCAAGTGCACGTCCATTGAGTTTTGAAGATCATGTTTCCCCAATGATTTCGTACCCCCTGAGAAGCAAGCGGTGGCAATGTGCTGATTTCTGATGGTTAACGCACTACCTGCTGTGGTAAACGGTCCAAGGATTTGTGCCCAAGGACTACTGATTTGCCTTGTCAAGGCCTTGTGTAAAGTTCTAACACGGATGGCCTTAGGAACCTTTCTTCACAGAAAATGGCTTTCAAGGGACGGTACAATCGACTGTGACGCATGTTTGTTTGCTTTCTTTGATTTTTGTATATAGAAGTGCATAATTCATGACGAGTGATCGGGGTACCTGGTGAGATGGTACGCAAGACGGACAACGGCAGAGTTATTGTTGAAACAATGATAGGTTTATATCGATCAAGGAAATTACTCTGATGATGTCTCATGGAAAAGAATGTTGAATCATAGAAACTGAAGGGACCCCTTGCCTAGCCTAAGCAGTTGTCAAGGGCAAGTGCTTGGAATGACGGAAGGAACCACTTATGTAAGCTCAAAACGACCAATGAGGCTCTACCATGATAACCTCCCCAGGAGCTCACCTGCGATACCTTACAGTGACAACCCACTATACATTAACCTTCAATACCATCTCTCCTCAAACATCACCATAGGCCAATGGCCCAGGAAACCGTTCCTCGAGCCAGATAGCGCGTACGGTCATGTTTGAGTCTCTGCTGCAGCGATATTCTACCGATCGAAGCGCTGAGTCCTCAAACGTATCGCGCATCTGCTTCAACAGCTGCCCTTAGCTGAGGAGCTAAGCTGCCGCCATGTATTGGCCCATTGGAACACCACACATCCATGCTACTAGCAGCAGTCGAGCTCCAGCTTTCAAGCTTGTCGTCTCTCATGATGGCCTCACAAGCCCCTCCGACTCTAGTCTAACACCATCGCCTGGTCCTTCGAGTACTCAGCCCCGCGATCACGCCCTCGATGGCCTCGACTCTCCACCACTACCAACACCGATAACGCCAGGAATTCGACCTGTTGAGCATGACGATTATGCGACAATTCAACCTCCACGAGCTTCAGAGAGCACCGAAACGGGAGGCATCCCTATCAAAGACCCCATATTGGCCCTGCGAGTTTCGCGCTCCGGCAACTTGTTCGCTGTTATCACAGCCACTTCCATAACGATCTGGCAGTCCAAAGTAAGGCCAGCAAGATGCCTCCGGCGTAACCGTTGTCCTCAATACTAACCGAGGTAGCCTGCTGTCATTCTCGCTGTGGTTGTCCGATCAGAATACTCGCTGGAAACTTATGGCAGAAATGTTGACCTTTTACTAAGGCCAGATGCCGCCATTCTTGTTATACATACCGATCAAGGATATCTTATCACTTACTCCTTGGCTACCGATTCCGATTCGCGCGTATACAAACCGCATTTTGCGAATTACAGCAATGTTCAACGGCGGAGACAGAGCCTAATCGGAGGCCTCACTGGATTACCCCCGGATCAGATCTTATGGGGCGCTGGCGAAGGGCCAGGGGTTCGCGACCTGAGTGTACGGTTCAGAATGGTTATCAAGGTTGACGCCGGAATCGAAAGCGCACTGGCACTCGACGACGAGCTTATGGTTTCAACAACGAAACCTGCTGCCGTTCAATGCATACGATGGACTCCGGATAGCACCGGCTCACAAACAAGAACCGAGATAATCAGTCGCATGGGATGGGTTGAGAAGAAGGCGACCATTGTTGAGATGACGCATGATCGCCCCATGAACCTATTAACGTGGATCACCAGTAGTGGGCGAGCATATGCGGTTCAGCGTTACAATCATCGAGCAGAGAACAGTCAGCCTGATGATGCGGATGCTAAACGACTTTTCAAGGGCCACTGTTTCCATACCCCACAAGGTGAAAATGACCGTGCTGTTACGGCTGTCATAAATGCACGATTCTCTCTAATTGCCGTTGGTTGTTGCGATGGCACTGTGCAGGTTTACTCCGTACGTGATTACGCTGGCAACATCCCTCATTCACATACACACCAGGTTCCTGTATCGACGGCATCCTCTGGAGCTTTTACAAGTTTGACTTACTCCCCCGATGGGTACTGCCTTTTTGCCGGCTTTCAGAAAGGCTGGTCAACTTGGAGCATGTTTGGCAAACTTGGAAGCCATAGTTTTGGATCTGAAGAGACGATGTCGCGTGCGAATGGGGAGGAATGGCTATCTGGGATTGCTTGTGCTACGTGGGTAGGGGGTGGCTCCGAAATCCTAATGACAGGGCGCAAGCATGAAGCGATATGGACTCTCGAGATGGCAAAGAATGCCGTTACCGGATGCTACAACGAAGCAAATGTTTTCCGGACAGTGCTACAGACCCCTTCGAGTGTGATGGTCTATAGAGGTTACGACGTTCCAGACCTCACCAGCATTTCAGCAGAGCCTTTCCTATGGCATACAGCAAACGTTCCCCCGACATATCTCTTGAATCAGTGGCCAATACGGCAAACTGTCATCTCCCCGGATGGTCGTTATGTTGCTGTGGCTGGCCGCCGCGGACTTGCTCATTACAGTGTCAATAGCGGCCGTTGGAAGACGTTCACTAATGAAACTATGGAGAACGAATTCCAAGTCAGGGGCGGCATGTGTTGGCACCAACACATTCTTGTTGCTGCAGTAGAGGCCAACCGAAGATTTGAGTTACGATTGTTCTCACGCGAAACAGCCCTTGATTCGACGCAGATTCTTCACACCCAGTCGATCCCAGCTCCTGTGGTACTTGTCACAACCTCTGGCGAGGACTCGCTTCTCGTTTATACATACGAAAACCTGCTATATCATTTTATATTTACACCCCACGGTGGATCGATACGGCTTATACAAGTGGGCCAGATTGCGTTCCATGGCATTGTCAGATCTCCGGCTCGAGTTCGAGGGTTGAGTTGGATCTTGCCGGACACGCAGTTGACAGATGGCGACCCTTCTCAAGATGTAGCAGTTGCTTCGGTGATCTTCCTTGTTGACGGAAAGCTGGTCTTACTACGACCGTCGCTGAATGAAGAAGGGCAGCTGAAGTACGATATGCGTGTTATTGCACAAAACGTGGAGTACCACGCCAGTGTCAGAGATCAGCCATTGCGAAATGCAAGCCAGCAGTTGGAGGATAGTCCTCTGCGAAACGGGCCACCAGCATTGAAAGATTCCCTCTGGGTATTCGATGGGATGGAGCTCAAGGCTTGGCCAGACATTAATGAAGTACTTGATGCAACTGGGGAGACCGGCAAAGAAGCACCGTCGCCGGTGTCAATCCCTGTCGACTTTTACCCCCTTTCAATTCTCTTGGAAAAAGGAATTGTGTTGGGGGTCGAGTCAGACCTTGTCCAACGTCGTGATGTGAACTTTTCTTACTTCCACTTCGCAATTAGGGTATGTTTTACAATCTATATGGTCATGGTGCAGCTGCTGATACTGAATAGACACATCTTATACTGCCAGATTTACTTCGGTTCTACTTGAGGCACAGCCGATCAGTTGAAGCCTCAAACTTGGCTCATCAGTATAAGGAACTTGAGTATTTTGCACATGGCCTTGAGATATTATTACATCGTGTATTGGATGAGGAGGTTGACACGTCCCCTGAACCTGTTGATGCTGTACTACCTCGTGTGCTATCCCTCTTGTCTTCATTCAAGGAGTATCTTGATATTGTGCTACAGTGCACGCGTAAGACTGAGGTTCGCCAATGGAAGACGCTCTTTGCGTACCTCCCACAGTCACAAGAATTATTCGAAGAGTCCCTGCAGAGAGGGTCGCTGAAGACGGCAGGGGGTTACCTCATTATATTGCACACGCTGGATGAATTAGGATCTTCCACCGAACAGTCGGTGCGACTACTATCCCGTGCCATGCGAGAAGGTGATTGGGAACTATGCAAGGAGCTTGCACGTTTCTTGGCAGCCATGGATGAGACGGGTGAAACGTTACAGGAAGCCATGAAGATGGTGGAGGTGGCACTCAAGCAAGATTCGAGGCAGGATAGTATAGGAGCTCGGCTTCAGATTCCACCGTCGCGAGCAACAAACGGAGGAGGGAGTGGCTTGACAAGTGGTGATGAGGATGGAACCTCTGAGTCAGATAGACGGTCTGGCAGCGATGGAGGTAGTGTCGCTTCGACGATCAGCGCCAATTAAGACAAAAAGCCAGAGATTTGGATATCATTGCGTATGTTGGGATTATACTTTTCTCAGCTAAGGAGTTTAAGAATGGGAATAGGGCGATAAAGTACTGGGAAAGATTTTGTGTGTCGTTCTGGCAGAAGTTACTGATTTGACGCCCAATTACTATCCTAAGCGATGACGAATGAATATAGAAATAATCCATAGAAGGGTGGAATAAAATAGTGGTTTTTCTTTAGGTGAATTAGTACCTAGGTGGTAATAAGTGACAATGACCATAGGGGATCTTCCGCACGTGACATTGGTCAACAATCATAATTTAATTTTGGAGCAATAATTTCAGTTCAATATATTTGGTTAAATAATAGTGAATGAGCCTAAAAAGGAAGAAACCTTTTCAAGTGAATCATCAAGTGACGATAGATTTTATGGTGTTTTGATGAATGAGGCTCAAGGTTTGGGGGATGTTCTCCACCAGGTCACGTTACCTGATCGTCTGATAGCCATCCCATTCAAGGACAATGCAGATGGAGACGCAGACGGCTTTTGCAACCCCACCATCAAGTCCAGAATCCCAAGCCCCCCCTCGAACCAAAGATAAGCCAAAGCCAAAGCCCAGACCAGGTCAGGATTATAACGAAGAAAAAACACGATACATACGATACGAATTGTTACGATACGACCTCTACGATAATACCCTCTACCTTACGCACATTAATATCTCTCGAGCCTCGTCTTAATACTCGACTGCGCATCTGTCAACAGCTAGCGACTTCACACACCTTAGCTACTTAGCCTGGGACATGGTCGCTCGTTCTTGAGCTATCTTGCCGATAACTTATTCCCCTCTCTTTCCTCTTCGCGCCCAGCATGATGGATGACTACGTGAGCGAGTCGGACAGCGACTACACGAGCTATTGGCGAGACTGGGTGAGTGCATATATCAAGCCCACTACAGCCACGCGCCCTTGATATTGCTGCTCGTCATCACAACATCGGCCACTATATCACCAAGGCGCGGGGTCGCAGGGTCGCAGGGATCTTCTTCTGTAAATCCTAGAGTTTCACATGCTAATCGGGGTCCATCGCAGTTCATCTCATCAAGGGGCAACGAGTACTTCTGCGAAATTGACGAGGACTACCTTACCGACAGATTCAACTTGACGGGTCTCAACACTGAGGTTCAGTACTATCAATACGCACTGGACCTCGTCACCGATGTCTTCGATCTCGAGTGCGACGATGAGATGCGTGAGGCCATTGAGAAGTCGGCCAGGCACCTCTACGGCCTCGTGCACGCCCGTTACATCGTCACAACAAGAGGACTAACAAAAATGGTACGTGGGCATTGCTTTCACACGCAAGCGAATGACTAGCTAATAACACATCTGCAGCTTGACAAGTATAAGAAAGCAGAGTTTGGAAAATGCCCTCGCGTCATGTGCCACTCTCACCCCCTCCTCCCCATGGGCCTTTCTGATGTGCCCAACCACAAGCCCGTCAAGCTCTACTGCGCTCGCTGCGAGGACATCTACAACCCCAAATCGTCACGCCACGCCGCCATCGACGGCGCCTACTTTGGCACCTCGTTCCACAACATCCTCTTCCAGGTGTATCCCGCCCTCATCCCCAACAAGAGCGTGGACCGATACGTCCCCCGCGTCTACGGCTTCAAGGTGCACGCCTCTGCCACCCTGATTCGCTGGCAGAGCGCCAAGCGCGACGAGATGCGTCGTCGGCTTCGCAAGCTAGAGATCGACACTGGTTTCCGTGAAGAGATGGAGGATGAGGAGGATGATGACGATGAGGAGCTCGAGTTTGAGGGCATAGACGGCCGGATGGCTGTCGTCGAGGGTCTTTAGGAGACTCGTCAATTCACAATTCCAAGGGACGCACGATTGGACACTGGGCAGAAACCGCAATGCGGTCATCATGATCTGTTAGTGCTCATATTCCAAGTGAGCGGATACAAGAGAACTTTTACGAGACTTTTAAGCAGGTTACGGCTGACGGTTATTCTGTCGCTTGTGTGACTATTCGTTCGGTCCTGGGTTGGCGTTCAACGGCAAGCCAAGGAGGGCTGGGCTGGACTGGACAGGGCTGGTATAAATCACGAATGAGCACCAAATAGTATTTACTTGAATTATAGCTGTTCAATAAGAAGCGTCTTTTTTCCTACCGCAGGGACGACTATGGGTGAGCAAATGAATGATTGAACTGTACATGAAATAATCCTCAAAAGACCTATTCCCTGCCAGTGCATGCAACAGCTTTCTGAAGGGCAACAGATTGAAAGACAAATTCACGTCAAATAAAGACCAATATAGAGCGATCATTTCATTGTTCGTATCGTGTCATGCCAAAATCAAGAGGTCTATCTGCCCACAAGCAGTTCGCTTTCCATTACACACAAAAAAAGTCAATCCTGCCCGAGATTTCATGGGCCGTCTTTTAACCCATGAACCTGAATATACCGTACCATACATGGAACACTTAAAGAGTTACACAGATATATACTGTTGTGGTATATCTTTCTTTCCAAATCAACCATCATTATACTGAGTTGCTCCGCGACTCCTAAACACGATTTTCAGGGTGATGGGCATCACCATATCGGCTCTCAGCGAATCTATTATCAGGGAACCTATTTTCTAGGCGATCAGAGTCGTCCATCCGCTGCAGCTCCACGTCTTGAAAGTTCTGGCTAGGACGAGGTTCTTGATCCTGGGCTGGGCGAACGTTTCGTTGAGCCAGGGCAGATGTCATAGGTGGGTATGATGTATCTGCAGAAAGACCCGTATCACGCTGTGGAGCGTAGGCGCCGAGCTCCTCGTCTGTTCCAGCATATCCGTGTCGTCCAACACCAGCCCAAAAGGCGCGCTCGTCACTTCGAGGACCCCACGCCCATCCCGCACCGGCGCGGATAGGCAAATGGTAATAACGGAAAGCAAAGATGGAGGCAATGAGACCCATCAGGTAGCCAAACAGAATATCGAAGCCGTGGTGACGGCGGTCGTGCCAACGCGAGCCAGCAATAAAGATGGAAACGGCGAAGGGCACGAGGCCAAGAGCGAGTAGATAAATTGGGGGCGCTGCAGCTTGGCGACGCAGAGACTGGACCTTAGCGGTGTCTTGTCCTGCGCGCTCCTTCGTGGGTGCAGATGAGAAGGATCCGTCAGGGCCACGGGCGCGCGAGGGCTCGTAAGGATCGACTGTGGGACCTGTGTTGATGCGAGAGGGGAAAGCCGCGTGGCTGGCAGCTCCCGCAACAGAGGCAGCTGAGGGCATAACGAAAGGAATAGTAACAGCGAACTTGCTGGCTATGAAGAGCGAAGCATAGATCAGGCCGCCAGCGGCAGTGGAAGAGTGACCGCTAGGGTATGAGCGGAAGCCATCATCAATCTTGTACTTGTCCGTCTGCTGGCAAATGTTGGCCGAAACGAGCTGACCGGTCATGCTCTGCCATTCGAGACCCCCAACAACGTACTTCGCGATGTTCTTCAAATCGGGTTTGCAGCGGGCAAGGAGATCTGGTCGAGGTTTGCCAAATAAGTTCTTCATAGAGCTGGTGAAGAACCATGACAAGGTCAGCGAGAGAACAAGCCCAAGAACACCGACATGAAGCTCCCAAAGTTTGCGCTGCCATATGAGACTCTTGGGAGTCCCCTTGGGGACAGTCGGACCCGGCACGAAGATCAAAGAGATAACCGCAACGATAACGAAGGGAACGCCAATGGCGAGGACGAAGAGGAGGTAAGCGGGAACGAGTTCATGTTCGGCGAAGGGGTATCTGTGGATGATGTCAGTTTGCATATATGAAAACTAGGAGCCTCCAACACTGAACGTACGAGATGCTAGGGTCAACAAGTGAGAATGGTCGCTTAGCAGGCGCAACACGGTCGAGCCAGCCTCCAATACCGACAAAGAGAAAGCAAACAATCCAGTCGGAGAGGTAGGACAGGATAAGCCGAATAGGGAAGCGACGGCCTCGCAGGCCCTTAGATAGTGTTCCTATTCCTGAGTCGGCCATCTTGTGATAGGAATGCATAGTCTATCCAAGAGAGGGGAGAGGAAGGAGATCGAGCGCTGAATCGGGGGAAGGTGGTTTATTTGAGCTCTAGGGCTTGTCGTCGTCACACGCTTGGGAAAAAGCCCCCCGTTTTTCGTTGTCCGTTTTCTGCGTGCACTTGAGAGAGCGCGTGAGTTTAATGCTTTGGTCTCGGTCTGGGGGAGGGCGTAGGGCGTGTGTGGGCGAGGTGTGGGTGGAATATGGAGTATGGTACTCCGTAGAGCGAGCGGGAGAGCGACCAACGGAGCCAGCAAAAGGTACAGAGACAATGCCAAGCAAAGTAGCAGCAGTCTCAAGCAATGACAGGCAGTAGTGGTAGTGGTTTTTTGCGTGCGACAACGAGTCTAGGGTGCCCTTTTGAAGCAGAGTGTCTGATGTATGATATAGGTATGATCAAGCATGAGGAACGAAACAGTACAGGGTGCAATCAAACAGATGAGCGACACTTTGTCTCGCGTCCTCGTCAATCTTACATCAGTGCCAAAGCCCAAAGGTCCTAAATTCTGGCAAAACTATCCGCAGATCGACAGAACTCAACGCTCTCGCTTCGATTATGATAAAGTAAGAAATGGGGCTGACGGGTTTCTGGGGGAAGGCCCCTCGGTAATTGGAATTTTGGAGCCCTGGAGGTTACGTGGACAGTGGACGGCGGCACTGCTAGGTGCAGGTACAGGTACAGCTGGAGGCTCGGCAGGGGGGCAGTGCCTTAGAATATGAGAACTACCTACTAGTAGGCACCTATGCTTGACAATAACCCTTTTGAGAGTTTATGCGCCGCCAAATGCTACTTCTTGCGAGCATCTTCTGCAGAGGCTTCCAAGAGCCAAGCCCCAAGTGCTTATCGAAAGATCTTCATACATTTTCTGGCCTTTTCTCTCTTGTTGGTGTTTGAGTATGCGCGCGCCTGGTTTTTCCAAGTAGAGATACCTACCGCCTACTTAGAGGGTGAGGCTATGACGAAGCCCCTGTAGCGTCAGTGGCGCAAGCTGGAGCCTCATTGGGGAAATGCTCGCGTGGTCCCACTTTGATCCTTGGTAGGGATTCCCTCAGGTCCATTCCGTTGCTCATCAATTGCTATTTTTCAACTGTCGACGGGGCCACAAAAGGGTCTGAGTCGCGGGTGAGACTCAACGTCTCAGCTGGACTGTAGGTAGCACTGCATAATTTCCGTTTGAGAGCATCAACATGCGTCACGTGCTGCATGACTGTACTTTGAACCCAGCTTCCACGTAAAAGTAAAAACAATGCTAACCACTATTTCAAGACGGTTTATCTGCTAGGTGCGCACTACGCTCGATGTCTCAAATCTGCCCTGTTTTAGCTGCCTCTTACCTCTAATTAAACACTCTAACGCCGCGGCTTGGGTGGCACGGTGGCAGTTCCCATAGCTCCCTCGGGTTTTTACGAGATAGGTACGTTCCAGCCAATCTCTACTACGTATCTCTACCAACTCACTGCCTTACCTAGGTACTAGGTATCCTGGCTGTTTCCTCTGCCTCCTTCCTTGACAGTGACAAGCCCCTTGACCAGGCCTTTCCATGATCTGCGTTCATCTCTTCCCAACAGAGAAATTCTGAACCTGTCTAGCCAATCAAAAGTTCCGAGTGAGAAATAACCTTAAATTTGTTTGCCCACTTTGACCAACGTCAATGACAGGTACACTTTGTCAGCATAAAACAAGCTTCTCATTTCAGCTATGGATAATTGCTTAACTGTTCATACTGTTTAACAAATATTGTTATCAGAAGAGCTTTCATTTCCGTCGCTCAAGTGCACCAATTCTGCAAATGGATAATCAGTATGTACTACCGTACTAATAGATCAGCTTTGAAAAGACAGCCATTACGCTATGTGGCCATGTGAGGCTGTGCAAAAAGGATCGGCCCGTCAGCAGCCGATTTTACCGTTCACATGCATGCAGACCGACGGGTTCTGGAAAGCGGTGTCCTCTCAAGTATCCGTAAATAAAATCAGGAAATAAAGCCATTGGCTTATCCGTATCCGTATACCGGACTATTCGGAACTCTAGTCTTGGTGAAAATGGATAGTTCATGGAAGAAACTCATGATATGATAAGACAGGAGTCAGGGTGAAAGACAAGTCTGCACCAACACTTATTATCCACACAAAACAAAAGGCCCCCTTTCTTCGTGTGGAATCCTCAAGTATCACCTTTGTTCCACATGTTGGACCCTTGATGTTACCTGTGGTCAATGAAACGGCGTAACCTAGGTGAAACTTGAACTGATCTTGTCTCGTCAGGGGCTACAATGGCCCTGGCTATACTCCGCGACTCATGTTGCATCTAGGTGTTAAGTCGGATTTCATACGGTAGCGGTTTAACTGGCAGACTGGCTGTCTTTATTACCCATCATCCATGCATATCTGGCAACCCGTAATTTGTTGTCCCTAAAATATTCCCACTCCTTTCTGGGATGTAAGGCTGAGGCCATTTGCCTAGGAGCCTGCTACATATCATAAAGTACAAGGCGCAGTTCGCACAGCGACGAGCTCGACATTGGAGATTCGTAAGTGCGATATCTTATCACCTGGTGCATGGTGGAATGGATGAATATCATTCTCACGTGGTTGTCGGATTGGGACGCCCATCACGCCCTCATCTATAATATCACATATGGTACAATGCAGCGTCATAATATACAATGCACTGCCGCCCAAGTCTTGCGCGATTTGGCACGTGCTTTTCATCCGACTCGTCAACTCATCGCTTCCCTCCAGACATACCCTTAGTTGGCCTTGTCTCGGCGCTTTCCGTTGTTTCGAGGTCGAGGCACCACAACCCACTTGTTTCTGTTGTGCTTGCGACGAGTCTTGTAACCACTCTTGGTCTGAACAATGCGTTAGTCCTGCTATGTATATCTCGTGGAAGTTTGATGGTCTTACAGGAACACCCCAAGGAGAGACAGGGTGTCGGTTACCCTTCGATTTGCCTCTACCACCACCGTGAGGATGGTCGACTGTGTACGTTAGTAATCGCCTTGTTAGAAAGAACATTTGTATCATACCCTTGTTCATAGCAACACCACGGACTGTAGGTCGAATGTTGAGCCATCGACTTCGTCCAGCCTTACCCAACTGGCGGTAGTGGTGGTGAATGTTGCTGGCAACACCGATAGTAGCACAAGCGTCCTTGCTAACTCGTCGGACTTCACCACTTTGAAGTCGCACCTCAACATACTTGCCGGTCATCACCCTGGTGCCATCGTCCTTGGTCTCTTCGTTCTTGTTGACAACTACAGCTGAAGTTCCAGCACTGCGGCAGAAGACAGCACCTCGTCTGGCGGCAGAGCCGACAGCAAACACAGTGGTGCCGACTGGAATCATGTGCATGGGCAAGCAGTTACCACGGAAAGCGGTCTTAGCTGCCAGAATACCAGGATCGATGATACCACCCATACTGTCGAGAAGGTCCTGGGGGATACCAGGGCGATAGCTATGAACAATATCACCAGATCTTAGGCCATCCGCAGCAAGAATGTAACTGTGACGTCCGGTGGCTTTTTCGGTAACGAAGGCAATGTGCGCACTTCGTCCAGGATCATATTCGATACGCTCCACCAGATGAGGTCCTGGTCGGTTACGAACAAAATCGACCGTTCTTATCCTTCTCTTCACACCACCACCACGATGTCGCACGGTGATTCTACCAGACACATTTCGTCCGCCCTTCGCCTGACCTTTCTTGGGAAATGTTAACGGAAGGAAAGGCCGTCCCTTCCAGAGATGATCGTTGATAGGTCGCTTCAAATGTCTCACACCAGGTGTTCGGGGCTTATAGACTCGTAGAATGGCAGATTGACTCTCGGGGTTCTCGGCGAGCTCTTTCGGGCTGGCAGTGGTTTCGTTGGAACGTCGAATGGTAGCATATGTTCGAGGCAGGGATCGGTTCAGCGCATAGCGGGCAGCGGTCTGCCTCGCTGCAGCGAAGTTGAGACTGAGCTGAAGCATTTTCGGTCCCGATTGATTTTATGATTTGAGAGTATTAGAAGTAGATCTTCATTGGGGTCAATTTGTGTGGTTTGCGGATGATCGGATAGTGGTTCGGAGGGGAAACGGAGCTCCTTTCGATAAGGAAGCTTGCTCGAGAGACCACCTCGGGGAATTGAGGAGGAAAAGTGCCTCCTAGGAGCCTTATATATCTCAGGGTGAAACCAAGATATGAATTGAGAAATCAGGGACCGTCGCAAACACACCGACGCTCACCAATTGTACCGTGGTGTCGTTGGACAGCCTTGTTGGAGTCGTTGAAATTTCTTCGGACCATGAACAACTTTGTGCCGGGATCAAAGTGGTTGAGCCACATCTTGAATTTCGCCCTCACGAAACTGCCACATGGCCCGTGCCGCGGTGAAGCAGCACGCGAGGAGAGGCTGGGCCAATGATAACTCTGTTGGCCCGCGGTTGCCAGGGCGTCAGCCCCGCAAAAACACTGGCTTCAGCCGGAACAGGTACGTAGCTTTTTCCAAGGTTCCAGGTTACCTGCAACAGCTTTCGCGACATGAACCTGGACACAGGCGCGTTTTACTGATCTCATACAGGCCGCCCCTCCATACTAAATGGTAGAGATCCGTCCCGTCCATCATCCATCGACTTTGATTCTCTCTTCTCTTGTTGTACCGGGCCTCTTTCTCACAATCCTCCGCCGTCTCTATCCCCGTCCATACTTGTTCGTCGATCGTCTCAAGGTCCACTACAGGGCTATTCGTTTTTATCCATTCTATTTTCGTTGCACTGTCTGAGTGCTATCAGCATCAATCTCCCCCACTATATCACTTGCAGCCCTAGGTACTCAATTTCTCATATTTACCTCTACGGATACAGAGCACAGTACCTTAGTACCTGCTGCACCTCACGCCTCAGTAAGTGTCAAATTTCTTTGCGCGTTTCCATACGTCGTTGAGAAAAACCCGAGCTTTCGCATATCCCTGCTCCTGTCAAGGTCCAATCCTTTGCTTTCGGGTGGAACATCACGCTTTCACGCTTGGAAAGCCTGACGTACGTACCTAGAGCAACGCGACCTGTCTAGCCGCGTAGGGGTACGTACCCACTACTCTGGTGGATCTCCACAACCCATCTTCCTTACCCGCTCGTCAAAACACTTCATCGTCCTCACAACCAGTCTTCAACATAAACATCGTCTCCGCCCGATGCTCCCCATTGCTCTTGTTCCTTCACATCACTTCTTGTTTACTTCCTTCAGCAATCTTCTCCTCCGGGCTGGGTCACCCTACTAACACACCGCATCAGTCATCTATCTCTCCACACATCACGACTCACAACATTCCTTTCACGGTGTTTTTACCACGCTTGATTCAAAGGTTCGTAACCGAAATCCTTCACCGAATCCATTGTCTCGGCAACTCGACCGCTGTTTGTCTGTTTCTCAGCACCATCTCAGCCATGTTTTCTCTCATGTTTGCTATTCGACGCGTCGACTAACCCGTCTGTTCCAGCACGACCCCCTTGTAAATATTCAGACCATCAACAACCACTACACAGCCAAGATGCCTCCAGTAAGATACTCCAACGCGATCAAGAGGCTTGTTTCTCCTGTCCAATCCTCCATTCTAACTTGAGTAGCAGGCTCGGGCCACTCGTACGCGCCTTGCTGGCAACGAGAACGACGAGAACAGCGGTACGACGCGTCTTACAAGAGCCCAGGCTGCCGCTCTCAAGGTTGACGAGCTATCACTGCCTGCTAAGGCTGCCCTCCAAACGAAGAAGTCCACAATCAACGGTACTACCGCTGCTAACACGCGGAAACGCGCTGCGTTGGGCGATGTCAGCAATGTTGGAAAGACTGATGGTCTTGCTGGAAAGAAGACAAAGGGCCTCGTCTCCAAGGCTGCCCAGCCCACCGGTATTGAGAAGAAGACTGCGCGACCCACCACAAGACCTGCTCTTGGTTCCAAGCCAACCAACTCCAAGACCCAAGCCGGCCCTGGGGCTATCAACAAGCGAAAGGTTCTTGGGGACACCGCCAACACCAAGCTAAAAGCCCCAGTCAACGAAAACGAGCATCCCTCCAAGAAGCAGCACCTCCTTTCTGAGGACCGTGAAGAATCAGAGACACCTGTTGAGGAGGTTGAGGTCGAGAAGCCCGAGATCTCTTTAGACAAGGTCGACGTCCAGGACGCGCCATTCGAGTACCCTCCCGGTGTCAAGGATCTCGACAGCGAGGATCTCGAGGACCCTCTTATGGTTGCCGAGTATGCCAACGAAATTTTCGAGTACCTACGCGACCTCGAGTGCAAGTCGATTCCCAACCCTGAGTACATGTCCCACCAAGACGACCTCGAGTGGAAGACGCGCGGTATTTTGGTTGACTGGCTCATTGAGGTCCACACACGCTTCCATCTCCTCCCTGAGACCCTTTTCCTCGCCGTTAATGTTATTGACCGCTTCTTGTCCGAGAAGGTCGTCCAGCTTGACCGTCTTCAGTTAGTGGGTATCACTGCAATGTTCATCGCGTCCAAGTACGAGGAGGTCCTTTCTCCTCACGTCGAGAACTTCAAGCGCATCGCCGACGATGGTTTCAGTGAAGCTGAGATCCTCAGCGCTGAGAGATTTGTCCTTAGCACACTCAACTACGATCTTAGCTACCCCAACCCCATGAACTTCCTCCGCCGAGTCTCGAAGGCGGACAACTATGACATCCAGTCTCGTACCATCGGCAAGTACTTGATGGAGATCGGTCTCCTCGACCACAGATTTATGGCCTACCGCCCTAGCCATGTTGCTGCTGGCGCCATGTACTTGGCGCGTCTCATGCTTGATCGCGGCGAATGGGTATGTAAACAAACAAACCACGCTCATCAAGCACATGCTAATTTGTTAACAGGACGCCACTATTGCCTACTACGCCGGTTACACTGAGGACGAGATTGAGCCTGTTGTCCACCTCATGGTCGATTACCTCGCCCGTCCTGTCATCCACGAGGCCTTTTTCAAGAAGTACGCTAGTAAGAAGTTCATGAAGGGTAAGTTTTCCTCTGCGTCGCGTTCAAGATATACCACTGACAAACAACACAGCCTCCATTCTTGCTCGTCAATGGGCAAAGAAGAACGCTGTTCTCTTTGGCATCACTGATATTGATCTGAGCCTCGACCAAATATCATAAACGTCCACAAGAACATGCAGCCTATATGCCAAATCTTATTCGATGCCCTGAAGAACAGGATATTCGGCTTGCGGTTGGAATAAATTGTACCGCCGCTTCATGACGTTAATAGATCACCGACGCTTTTTTTTGGTCACTCCTTTCGGGCCATCATGATACCACACATCCATCAGTTAATACTAGGGCGGGAATGCTATTCAAAAGCACTTGCCTGGTTGGTCTGGATTCATATTCTCACTGTCTGACATATGGACATCATATGCACTTTTTTTGTTTGCGATTGTCTGGTTATTGCACATTTTCCGAAGCATGCTTTTCGTCTTCATACATGGCGCATGGAGTCACTGGCGAAGGAAGTTAAGGACTTGGTTCGGCTGGTTGGAGTTGGCTGTGCAGACGGCCTATTCACGGGGCACTGGACGGGGAGTAATGGAAGCTGTACGACATCGTCGGCCATGGGCGGTGGATTCAAGTTGAGCTTGACACATGGCCATCACATGAGGGTTCTCGGATGATTCGAGTAGGAGAACTCGTTACGGCTCTTGTACTCTGTACATCTCGGCTAAAGCCTTGAACAGAGCCTGTGATAGAAAATTGTACATATACCATGACCTGGTTACAGAGGAGCCCACGGAGGGCAGGAATGAAGTTTACATCTTACGAATCCTTGGACCAATACCGATGACTGTTTGACAGACAGGGCCTTATGGCGGCCGTAGTGGGTTGATAATAGCTTGCTCTCAGTCTCAGCGTCTTGTTTATATGCAGCAGACGATTAATGATAAATGGTTGCCGTTGGAGACGGTATTATCCGTACAGGCGTGCTTTTTTACACACACACTAGTTTCCCATTATCGCGTCAGGTCCACCCAAAGACACGCTCTTTTAGGTGCGTGACATGTGTGCCCCGCACTAGCTTTCACTGGACATCCATTCTTTGACCTGTAGCTTAGAGGTAGCCTACTACGTAACGTACACTGTAGGCACTCCAATCACCATCCCAACAACATCCTACACGAGACTTCAAAGACGACCCTAGTCTTGTTGCAACTATATCCTAGTTTCACTTTTCTCTTTCTACATGCCTGTCGACGCGCTTTAGCCTATCAATTTCTCCCAAAAGTTGTCTTCTTTGCTGTAGCACGCTGACCGCTAGGCTCTAGCTGAGCACAACAGCTTGGAAAGAAACCAAGCTTATAATCGACCAGTTTGGGTAAAACAACCCCTTCGACATACCAATCGATATGGCGCCAGTTCTCCGAGCAAGGCAAAGTCTATCTAAGGATAAGTTCCCTAGTTACTTTGGTAGCCTGAGGAGTCAACCTTACAACGACGCCAACAACTCACGGGGTTCAAATCCTCACAGGTGTGTACCCTCGGCCTGAAAGATCTGTATGGTTCTCTCTGGGCTTCACTGATGATGATAATCAAGTCTACGATGCATTGCGTGGAACCCGCTTGGAACATTGGTGGCGACGGGGTCTTCGGAGAAGACTCTAAGAGTCTGTAAGTTAAACAAGTCCAGTGAGAACTAAGTCGCCAGATGTGAAACTAAACAATAAAGGGAATCCCGAGAAGCCTCACGTAAAGTTTTCGACAGAGCTCAAGGGTCATTCGGCGTCTGTTGAGAAGGTCGCTTTCAACCCAACAAAGGATGCAGAACTCTGTAGTGTGAGTAGCGACGGTGTGGTAAAGTTCTGGGATGTGCGAACCAAAGCATGCTTCAACGAAGTCAAGGGGCTCGGGGACGCCTTCACTCTAGTCTGGGCACCTGATGGAAACTCGCTCCTGGTTGGAAACAAATCGGACACCATCTACGTTCTATCGCCGACTCAACCCACGCCTATCAGCACCCACCAGCAGTCGGTACAGACTAACCAGATCGCATTCTGCTGGAGTGGTGAGAAGATTTTTGTCACAACCGCGGAAGGACGTGTTCGGGTCCTCTCGTATCCGGGTTTCGAACCTGTCCTGCAGAGCAAGCATGGAGATGGGGTTGAAGAGTATGAGCTTAATGGGCATACATCTTCCTGCTTGACTGCTGATTTACAGCCAACTGGGCGTTATCTAGCAACGGGTGGTTCGGATTCAATCATTGCGCTGTGGGATACAACAGATTGGATCTGCCAGAGGACAATTACAAGAATGGTTGGACCTGTCAAGAGTCTCAGTGCGTTCTCATCCGCTGTTGTCTTGGATGTTTAGCTGACTGTTTTTTCTTTCTTTCTAGGCTTTACCTTTGACGGTAGTTTCGTCGTAGGTGGCAGTGACGAAGGTAGGGATTCTTGAGAGGATTTACCAGGAGCTGTTGCTGACATTTGTGGCTTTTTAGGATCTGGTCTAGAGATATCGCACGTCGAGACAGGAGACCACGTGTACACATTCAAAACAGCGGGAGCTTGTCCCGTAGTTGCGTGGGCACCAACCCGATATTGCCTTGCCTACAGCGACCTGGGGATCTTGCGGATTGTTGGTGTCGACGTTGATAGGAAATAAGTCAGACAGAGCCTCGGTCAACAACAAGCTCATATGTCCACGGGATGTGTGTGGAGCGGCCTTTCGCAGACCATTTCCTGAGCAGAAGACAGCTGTCATTGGACTATGACGACTTGGGGGCGAAGCCATGATGAGCTAAGTTTACGTGATAGGACGGTTATGTTGTGAATGGTTGATACTGTGTGTCAGACGGGATAACCGGCTACCGGTAGAAAGAGCGTGTGAAACCGGGGCCGCCAGTCAGTCTGAAGAGCTAGATCAAAAGATGCATGGTGATATTATGGCATCGATGATATTGGAGTCTGGAGGTTTAGGTCATCCAAATGAGAAGTTGCAGAAATAGGGAATGTCCAGCTATATTCAAGCAGGTTGTAATACAACGGCAACATGGTCGCTCAGCCAGTGAAGGGAGACGAGTCCTGCATATGACACTCACCGTATTTTGTTGATAAGGGTTATTGCTGGCAATGAAAGGCCACCAAATAACACCACCGTAACAACAGCATCAAGTTCTTGCATCGTTGGACTCTATGGTGTCGTAAGGATGAGTGCTTCCATTAGGTGGAGTTAATCCGAGTATGTCCGAGACAAGCAGTTGGCGTATCAATGGATAACCTATACAAGGGATCAAGCGGGTGCAGCAGTTTGACATATTTCAGACGTAACAATCGAGTTGACAAAGTATAATGACGATACGGATATGTACGGCTATGGCGGTGGCTTAACTACGTATCGCGATATGATATTCATTGTTCAGGTTTGATATTAACGTTCACTGTAGTCGGCCGCCCAACGGTATTGCATATAATAGCGCGAGAGATAGTGGCGGTGCTGTTGTGATTTATGCCGATTTAGGTGTGTTTGTCATCCATCCATTTTGTCCATTTATTATCTGTACAGAAGTGGAGTTGAAGAACACCATTGTCAATTGAGCATAACGTAATATGTGGAAGAAGGCAGAAAGAAAATCACAGGAAATAAATAGAGAATGGCAGTAGTTTATCCGAATGCATATGCAATTATCAATTCGATGTTCAATTCCTAGGTACTAAGGTAGCAGACAGTATGACTGGCAAGGTGTAGGTTAGGCCAATTATACCAGATCAAAGACGACATACACACGCATTATTAATACAATACATGGACCCCTGCAGACACGGCATTGTAACTGGTTGTAGGGCTGCCCCTGGTGAGGCAAGCGTCGGGTTCCATACCTAGGTTCCTCAGCAGGTGTTATTTTACTGGGTGTCTAGATGTTGCAGACGGGACGGACCAGGCAGCCAGGTGTATCGCGGCAAGCACCCTTGACCAGGCTTGTCAGAAGGCTAGTCACTCTAGTCACTGCAGAGGCTAAAGCTAGAGGCTTCCGTAGAGCCTGGATTTTGGCTTAATTCCCGCCTTAGCCACCTACCCTCCACCCAAAGTCCAAGCCCGAGCAGCTCCCTGCCATGAGTTGAGCTTTGGGGTTCTACGGTTCCACGGTCCCACCTGCCCCCGTCCGTCTTTAACTCCGTTACCCTTCACGGCCGTGTGAGCTTTCCCATACCTGAATCTCACGTCCCGTTTACATGCCCCGTATCGCCGTCTCTACCAGATTGCTCCCTTCTGGACGTTGACCAGATCTGGTCTCTCCTCCCATTAACCCCTTTATTCGAGCATCCGGATCTCTCCCCGGAAGGGACGGACCCTTACGACCGTGACATACCGTTGAACGTCGTTACCCCCGCCGTCTTATCAATCATTTTGCGACAAGGCCCCTCCACCATCGACATCAACACAGAAGACGCAACCACACTTATCGATGTCGGATTCGCCAGAAAACGGGCTTGGCACGAGCGGCCACAAACGCCCTCGAAGCGATGATGCTGATGGAGATGATGTCGCGCCCCAGCAGGATATCCCCGATAATGCGAGCGTCCCCAAGCCTAAACGATTGGCGTGTATGATATGTCGGAAGCGCAAGCTCAAGTGCGATGGAGTCCGACCCAGTTGCAGCACCTGTTCTCGCCTCGGCCACACTTGCGCCTACGATGAGCAGCGGAGGAAAAGCGGCCCCAAGCGTGGTTATGTCAAGGCCCTCGAAGAGCGACTGAGTGAGCCTCTTCCCCGAACTGCTACCAGCTACCTCGTTTGCTGACGTGCTGCGCCCTTACAGAACAAGTCGAAACCCTCTTGAAAACACAGGATCCTCCTCAGAATATCCCCAAGAGCATCAACGTTATTGCCGCTCCGCCTCAAACAGCATCCCCTATCAATCTCAGTATTCCGAACGCGCCCATAAACTTAATAGGAGACCACAATATGGATCAGCACTGGAACTTCCCTGATAAGTCACCGCAGCCAGGTACCATGGACGATTTCAACTTCAACGCCAGCTTGGACATGGGCATGAATAATGTTGGTAGCACTTTCACGTGGGAAATGATTGGCCTAGGCCTCGAAGAACCTCTGCCGCCTCAAGATACCATTGATGAGCTCCATCAGATATATTTTGAGAAAGTCCATCCATCTATCCCAATGATCCATAAGTACCGTTATCTTGCCGCTATGAATCTGTACGTTGGTTTCTCACATGGAACGGAAAGCTAAAGTGGCTAACCTTTTACAGAGCTCCGAATCAACGGCCGCCTGTTTGTTTGCGGTATGCCATGTGGACCCTCGCATGTACCATCACAGATAAGTTTGCAGACTTGAAAGATCTGTTCTACCGAAGAGCACGGAAGTACGTTGAAGCGGACTACATCAAAGGATACGGAGAACACATGATTTCCATCGCTCATTGTCAGACACATACTCTTCTGGCTTCCTATGAGATGAAAATGATGTACTTTCCCCGAGCTTGGATCAATACTGGCTCTGCCATCCGTCTTGCTCAGATGTAGGAGACTCCTTGACCCCACACTCTTGTTCAATGCTAACTATCGTAGGACTGGACTTCATAGACTAGACGGGACAGGTCTTGATGTAAAACAATGCCTCGCACCCCCCAAAGACTGGACAGAGCGAGAAGAACGACGTCGAACGTTCTGGATGGCTTTTTGTCAAGATCGTTACGCCAGCATCGGCACTGGATGGCCCATGACTATTGATGAGCGTGACATCATGACCAATCTTCCTGCTTCAGAAGATGCCTTCAACATGAGCAGGCCCGAGCAGACGCAATCACTAACAGAATGCACCAGTCCAATGGGCGCGGGCAAGTTATCCCCCTTTGGTGGCATCGTGCTCATGGCCTGCCTGTTCGGCAGGAACTTGGTGCATTTACATCGCCCCGATGCTGATGATCTCGACCACGACCTTAACGGTCCTTTCTGGAAGCGTCATCGTCAGATGGACAATATACTTCTCAACACATCTCTCTGTCTCCCACCCCAACTCAAGCTTCCCATTGGCCTATCAAATCCTAATATCGTTTTTACGAACATGAGCATCCATACCTCGACCATCTGTCTGCACCAAGCGGCTATCTTCAAGGCAGAAAAGAACAAACTGCCTGCGTCGGTCAGTGCTGAGAGCAAAGTACGATGCATCACAGCTGCCAATGAGATTGCTAGCATCATGCGCATGATATCCCATATGGATCTTTCAACAGTAAGAAAACACGACTTTGGTGCCCAGAGAACATGCTGACATCTTGCCAGGTTAACCCGTTCATCTCCTTCTGTTTATACGTCTCTGCACGAGTATTCGTGCAGTATCTCAAGAGTCGACCAGATGATAGCCAAACCGCCGATTCGTTACGATTCTTGCTCTCAGCGATGAATGCGCTGAAGCGTCGCAATCCACTAACCGAGTCGTTCCTTGTTCAGCTCGACGTGGATCTGGAAGCTCTTGCACTGAGAATACCTAAGCTTAAGACCGCTTTCCCACGCAACAACGAAATTGTACGTCCAATCCTACAACATGTCTTACTTGAAACTAATGTGGTATAGCCTATCGCCACAGGAGCGCCCAGAGGTGCCAAGTGTGACAACCCTGAGGGAATGCAAGGCATAGCGGCGTATCGAAACGAATGCACCTTTATGAACCCCACTGGAGACGACAGAAACCCGCCGGATGTTGTTGAGCCGGATGTACCGATGGCAACCACAGATGGCAGCTTTGGGACACAGGGTTGGATGTCAGCAGAACAACAGCTACCGATCCTTACACCCAGTTCGGGAGCAACGTTTGAGAAAAACGGATCAGGAAGTCGAGCCGTGTCGGGTTTTGGGGACATGACTGGGGACAGCCAGGATGCTTCAGGATCGCCAGATGGAATGCAATCGAGCCGGCCAACACCAAATTCGAGCACAGGATCTGATCAGCGGAACCATCTGGCGCCTGGGCAGTTGAACGGATCAGGACACAATTCATTCAATGCGAGCCCTATGTCGCCAAACCAGACCCTGATGAACCCGGGTATACTCGATGGGAACACTCAAGGATTCTTTGCAGATACATCCGGATTCAGCATGCCAACAGGGTTAGACCAGAACGGGGGGTTTACAATGCCAGATGGGTGGGCGGACATTCAAGGGCAAACCGGAGTACCCCAGGTTGGTGAGGGAGTTCTGAGGGCGTTGATGAATATGGGACCCATGGATGCCATGGATTTGGGAACGTGGGAAACAAGGGATACCTGAAATAATACGACATGGGGAGTTTTACATTGCGGAGTCATTTTACAAGCCAGGACAATATCAAGAGTATGCTCGAACGAGGCTCAGTGATGAGTTACGAAACAGAAGAGGAAGAGGCGAACAGCCCTCGCAGGCAAGAGATTGGCATCAAACAACCAAGGCGTTTGTACGGGACGAACATACGGCTATTTTGTACAATATGGATGGATTGGAAGCCTCTATGACGAAGGGACATACCGGCTGTGGTTGGATAGGCAGTTCTGAGGATACCCGGTCTATAAAGACAATGAAACGCCACTATTCACATTGCACCAGTCCCAGTGGAGGGAAGCATGGTCAGGACGTCCATGCGCTTCTAGGGCGATTCTGGCCATCTTGACATCAATTAAGTAAGAGTCACGCCCGGTTAGCTCAATCGGTAGAGCGTGAGACTCTTACGAGTATGCGATCTCAAGGTTGCGGGTTCGACCCCCGCATCGGGCTGTTCCTATAATACGATTGCGAGCGATTTGCGAGGCTTTCTTTTTTGTTAGTTTTTGAAAGAAATTTCGCCTTGCCATAAGTTATGTTAAGTGAAGTGGAGACTGTTCCGTTAGCTGACATGGTCCGTGCGGAAGTGGTGGAGTCTTTTCTCTCGCTGTTTTCCATGACGTGCAGCAACCTGCAGATGCGGCTCAATGGCACCTGCCCCTCCCTTCTGAAGACCGCTGGAGGGAACGTCTTAAAGCAGCAACGTAAACGGCGGAAGGTATCCGTACAACCAGAGAGCTTGGTGCTGACCGGCGCGAATCGTAACTTTTAGTGGGTATATCTAGGCTGTCCCGGCCGGAACGGTAGAGCAAGACCCACTGTACCTTCGTCCCGCTCCGCGCACCCCGCCTTCAAGCTCCGTCTCCGGGGCCGGATTATCGATGGCTTTCTCAGTCTCAACACCGGGCGTACCACTGCAGTACCATGTTGAACCGGGGAGAAATCCCAACCCGGATGTTTACCTTGCTCCTAACGTTGAGCAGCTCTATCGGCTGCATACTACGCAGAGTGGTGCTGCCGTTGTTACGTCCATCACATCAGGTCAATTTGGTATTCTGGCACCGACAGCTGTGCCGCCAATTGAAGAGGCTTTTCATGCGAGCCAACAAAGGCAGGGACAGAAGCAAGAGGTTCAAAGGTCAAACGGACAGCTGAGTAGTAAGATCGTCGTTGATCCCCCTGACCTTGAATTATGGCGGGATAAGTTATTCAATGTGGATGATATGATTGTCCTCACACGCGAACAGTAACCGTATTCGGTCATACTATCAAGCAGCGTCATCTGACACCTTCAGGTTCGAAACATATTTCCCGCACATAGACAATGTCTACTCCCATCGCTCAACCCAGCGGTACAAGCGCAAGCCCTTCATCTCCCACTACTGGGATTGTCGGATGAAGGGTCGTCCCCCAGGAACACCAAAGTCTGACGATCCCAACAAGAAGAAACGCAAACGCAGCGCCCGCCAGCGCGATCTTTGCGATGTCAAGATCAAAATTACCGAGTACTTCCCCGGAGCGCAGATAGAACTTGACAATAGCACTAGTGTTTGTGGTGATTTGGTGGGACAGCGTCTGTGGACAATACAGAGGGTCAATGGAAATGGAGGTAACGGGAAGGGCGATGGTGTAGCTGGACCGCATAAGCATACGCTTGAGAGAAGTGACGAAATCAAGAAGAACAGCGTGCAGAGACTTGTAGCGAAGCAGGGGATTATGAAGTATGGCAGGGAAAACGCAAAGGTAAGTTATGTCTCCAGCAACAGAGGATGGCTCATAATACTTGATTCTGGGTAGAAATCTGCTCTCAAGGCCACGGGTACTGCACTCACCACAGCCAGGAAGCACGCCAAAGGAAACGATTTCAAACTCTACGCGGCAGGTTTTTGGTACCCATACCGTTCTCAACCCATGTATAATAAATGCACCGTGCTGATCCTATCACAGTCCCTTTTCTCAACGCATATGGATCGCTCTAGAGGCAAAAGGCATGGCCTACCAATACTGCGAGACAGATCCTTTCCACAGCCCTGCACAATTACTCCAAGCCAACCATCGCGATAGCTGTGTTCCTACTGTGAAACACGGCGACTGGGCATGCTCTGAGAGTGCGGTGGTATTGGAATATGTGAGTTTTCGTGTTAGCTTCTGGGCTGTGATGCTGATGGGAATTTGCAGATCGAGGATCTGGGACAAGGAACCACCCTATTTCCTACAGATCCAAGATCGAAAGCCGATTGTCGCTTCTGGATTGACCATGTAATATCGGTACAATATCGTCTTGACGGGCAGAGTAGCTGACAAGAGGCAGATCAACAGACATGTTGTCCCTAATTTCTTCAGCTTTCTCCAAAACCGAGACCCGGCCTTTGGATGTGAAGCTGCATATCGTTTACAAAAAAGTATAGAAACGCTCGTTGAAGCTGCAGACGGACATGTACGTCTGAAGTCCACTTCCCAATGCCTACTATCTATTGACGTTATCACCCCTGAGTAATCTGTTTGTTAACTTGAACTAACCGCAGGGTCCTTTCTTTCTTGGGCAGAATCTCTCCCTTGTTGATATACACTTGGCTCCTTTTGCTCTTCGTCTCTCTCGAGTTCTAGGCTCTACCCATGCATGGCCACCTTTTCCGCCTGGCTCACGTTGGAGGAGGTGGTTGGACGCCATTGAGAGAAATGAAAATGTGGGAGCCACGACCAGCACCAATGTATTGTACAAGGATACAATAGATATACTCGCTGGACTTGGCGGGTTGCGATAGATAAAGCATAATGGAGGATATCTAGTACAGTTCACATACACGAGGCGAAATACAACACCCTATGGTGGGCTCTAAGTTATAGTAGGTGGGCAAATATTCTAATGACTTCCTCTCTTCTAAACTTTATATGAGATAAATAAATTACAATAAACTCTCTTATTCTATATAATCTTACATAATCCTATCCTGACATTATTTATGTATTTTCATAATTATGTATATTCCTAACTAGGTTATTGTTAGACTTTTTATATAGGACTATAACAAAGATATGATGACTTGCCCCTTGGAACTTACGTAGTACCTTCGGGGACAGATGGATCACTTCTCATGGATCCCCTTTTCCTCCTCTTGATGGCATCCCATCTCTCCTCAATCGTTACCAGCTCTCCACCCAGTCGAGCCTTTGCTCGACCCTCACCAAGCTCCTCGAGTGTCTTAGATTCAAGATAACTCTTACCGTCATACTCGACCCGACGTTGCGAGTCAGGCAGGTATGCCCAAGAGAATATAGCCCCCACAGCTGCGACAGATCCAAACAGAAGAAAGATAAGTCCCTGCCGGTTCTCAGCCTGGTATGATTTGTTTATACCAAATACTACAAGAACAGCGACAAGACTGCCCAGCTTTCCCGCTGCTGCCGAGATACCGTGACATAAACATCGATAGCAAGTTGGGAAGATCTCGGCCGGTATTATAAATGTTAAAGTGTTGGCTCCTAATGACATATGGGTTAGTTCTTGTCAGGTAGAGAGGAGGCCTCATTAACTGACCAAAATTGAACATAAAGTGACAGATGGCCACGAATACAACTGTAGCTGGAGCGCCTTTCTTCTGATGGACGCCATAGTAGACGCAACCAGTGATAACAAAGAAACAAGCCAATATAAGGAAGGACGCCGTGAGCCATTGACGTCGGGGGATACGGTTGGCAAAGATGACGAAGCAAGCACTGCCTGCAATAGAGGCAAGTGAGACAGTCAGTAGATATTGCTTTGTTTGTTCGATCAGCACGTCGTATATAGTGTTGCAAGGGTGTGTTGCGTCGGTCGACCAAACTGGAAGTCCATCGGTGGCCCAATCCGGCACCGTCGAATTTCCCCCACGAAGTGACGATGCCCAACATTCGAGCCTGTCGTCGATCTTGGTCGGCGGGGTCGTCGCCCACATGGTTGACAGAGTGCCTCTGTTATCAAGGCTCATGCCATAAAACGATACGTCCAAAAAGAACCATGTTGCTGCTGTACCCAAGAGATATGCCCAATTTCCATCGCGGATAAAATAGTTGTGGAGGTCCTCCCTCGAGAACTGGACAGGCATCGCTGGTTCCGAAGTGCTGCTCTGATGACGTATACCATCCCCGAGTCCGTTTGTTCGATATGAAGATGCACCATGGTTGGCGCTGGGCGAGTTTACCTGGTATCCTATCTGTGATTGATTCTGGTTGAATTGGCCCATCGGAAACGAGTTTTGACCACGAGCACCAGAACTCATAGAGCGTCCGTTGATACCGCCACCAGGAAATAGTTCTACGCCGCCACCTTGGGGGGCACCGTAGATTCTCTGAGTGTTTACCAGAGCCATTCCCGGCTTGTTCCTGACCTCGAGACTGTAGATGCCACAATCAAAAAGGAAGAAGCGAAAGATGATGGCGAGCAGCGCAGGAACAGCACCTGAACCGATCACAATGCGCCAAACCCCATCTAACGCCTTTTTGCATTCCTCCTCGTGCAGCTTGTCAAGCCCACAGCGCATTCCCTGGAGATCGTGGGTTCGCTGGAAGCCAAGGAGTACAAAGAGGCCAACCAACTGCGCCAGAGCCTGACCGATGGGTTGCATCATGAAAACGGAGGAAAGCATGGTAGCTCGAGACTGTGTACTGGACCACTCTGATGTTATGACAGCGCTGAGGGGATATTCGGCTCCAATTCCTGCCATGCTGTGTCAGTGTTCAAGATCTGTCGTTGTGGTTGAGGTTGGGCGTTGGCTGGGATTTACGCACCAATACCCATGACAAAACGCCACCAGATAAACAATCCTAGGAAAGACAGGTCATTGTAGCCGTGACTACTAGTTGCAACTCCTATCGTGGAAACGATAACTAGAACAAGCTCAACACCGTAGAGACGAGTTCGACCATAGCGATCCGCGAGGTAGCCAAACAGGATCTGGCCTACAACAGACCCCAAGAGAGTAAAGAAGTTGATGAGCAGGCCGGACCACTCCGGGCCATTGGGCCAGTAAACAAATGCTATTGAAGCAAGAATTACATTTGTTGAGAACAGGTTGTATCTGTGGATATGTTAATAAGATTGCAGGCGGAGACGGTCTGACCATGATGTTATACATCAATCGTGTATGGGAAATCTTACGAGTCTGTTAAAAAGCCCGAGGCGCAAACACCCCAGATGCGGAAGTTCCACGAGTTTAAATCAAGCTCGTAACGTAATTGTTGGCGGTCCTATTGTCAGGAAACCATCATCAGCTCTAGAAACTGATGTCACTAATGTAAGGGAAACGGAAACCCATGTGGCAGATATCGGTGCCAGATTTGATAGGAGAATGCATTGACTTACTTGAGCATCTTGTGACGGCAGGGCTGAACTGTCCGAGCCCAGAAAACCGCGGTTCTTACGCAGCGAATATTTGGAAAGAAGAGGCATGATTCGTGACGGGGATGAGCAGCGCGTCGCAAAAGTTCCAATAAAAACGGGTGGCCTGAGATTCAGGCTACGGGATCGTTTGGAGCGAGCAGATTCAGAAGAACCCGACGGCTGGAAAGAAAGATAGATAGGGAATGAGATTGCGGACAAGCAATGCCCAGAAATTTCCAAAAGACAAACGCAGTTTTCATGGCCGTGCCTCTACTTGATAGAAGTGAGAAAGAAGAATAAAAATAAAAGATATGTCGTTGTCAAGTTGGAACAGGCTGCGCAGTCCGAATGGTGTGGGATGCCATCGCAAAACTGTGTGGCATTCAGTTCAATAAGGACTGTGCGCGAAGCACACGCCGCAATGATGGGTTCCTTTAAGTCGAGCTGACTGACGGACCCTTGGCTAATGTACGCTTGGCTTCACTTGGCAGAGTACCTCGAAGATTGCCTACCCTTGTAGAAGCGCGGCCGGAGCTTAGGTACCGATATACGCGAGATCGAATTGTGAAATGAGCTTCAAGACTTTGATGTAGGGAGCCAGCACAACGTCTCCGAGGGGGCGGTTTCAAGAGGGTAGCGGAGTCGGAGTCGACAGAAGCGCAATCGTCTGGGCCAAGGTGTTGGTAGATGATGACCTGGAAACAGAAACACGAATGACCTGCTCCGGTGATTGTTTATTAGGGGCCACCTTGTCAGCCAGAGCCAAAGCTGTTGAGCTGTGTGGGCAGAAAATCGCCCGACTTGTCAAGGTAAGGAAAGATACCAATACCCAAAGGAGGACAATCTTGGCACCTCCTGAGTCTGGAACGGCTGTGGCTTACAGAGGTATCCATTTGGCAGAACGGAATAAGGGTATCAACATTCTGAGAGAGAGGCACGTGGTGTTGAAGCTTGGTTGGCAAGACGTGGGGGTTGGCAGTCGCTAGTTGATGATGGTTATTTACTAACGTTGGGAAGGAGCAACCTGCTAATATAGACTATGACCCTAAGTTAATAGATGCCGATGGAAGGTGCACTTTACTATCAACTAACTGTTTGCAAGGAGCAAAGCTGTCACTGATGAATGAAGACTTCCACACTGTCCCGTCGATCGCCATTGCAACCTCCCTTACAGACATGATCCAAGTCAATATTGCATACATTCATCGTCATGGCCAACTTAGTGGATTCGTACGAAAGCACTTGGATAGACTCTAGAGGCTCTATTCTCTGCATTATAACACATGGAAATATGCTGTGATAGGGTGCACTGGCCAAATATCGTCCAATTTGCACTTACACGACCTGACAGATCCCTCTACTCAGATACGATCCACCTACCTAGTAGTACCTAGGTAGGTAGGTCATGGGTATGGGGGTAGGACGACCTCCTTGACAATCTTCCATATCAAGCAATCGCTCTTTATGTTTTCCCCCAGTCAGTCTTGAAACATCTGTCTCCCCGCGTTCTCTGGCATACTTGACAGACGAAGATACCATGCTCCAAGAGTCCAATGCTGCGATGTTGACCTGAGAGGGACATTGGAGGAGGCTCTGAACCCACCAGTTTTCCTCCTAAGACTCAAAGCGTGTCTCGGGAGGTGGATACCGCAATTGTACTCCGTACAGCGGTTTGCTTAGCTCCACGGCTCTTCCCAGCTCGACGTGGGTCTCCTCTACACCTTTACGTAGTAGTCTTTTGTCGCGAACTGAACCCCCAAGAAGGCGAGCAACGACCGGATTCAGTGGCATCCTCTCGTTATTAAACAGCCGATACAATCCGAATGGCTGCGGAATGATCAAACGATAACGACTGGCTGTCCAGACAGTCGGAATTACTAGTTGGAGCTTGGCCTAGCTTCAACAACATATCATATCTGCAGCTGGTAGGTAGCCAACAAAAGCAAATTCATCACAAGAGCCCCACGAGACCCAAGCTTTCTTGCGTATGGCAGCCCATTAGAACGTCGCATGGACCCCCGTGCCCGATGCTCCCGCTGTTAGTGGACCACCAATCGAAGACAAGCTTCTGCCCATGTGGCGTCGGCCCTTGGCTCACAGTTTGCATAACGGCCTGCGTTTCTCTCACGCTGAGGACATCCTCCATCGATGCGCTTCTCCATACTAGCAACAACTGGTCCTCCAGTGGCATTGGGACGGGCAGCGTGCGGCGTGCCTGTCTGTCTGTGGCTAGCCTTGTCGCCTTGGCTAGTTGCCGACTGACGCGGGTCCAAACGTTTGTACTCGGACACAATTCAAGACCGACATGCCCCTCGTTCCATGACCGTGGAAATCGACCGCGTCTATCTACCTTTCCCACGATTTGCGATGGATGATGCTGGCCTGCAGTTGTTTTATGGACAACGAAAGACAGTCTGGCTTAGTTACCTGGGCTTTTAGGATTCCATCTTGAACTTTGGACTCTCGATTCTTGACTCTGCCTGGCCGTTTTGCCTATTACATACACTACTATTACGGCTACTTTGGTGCTCGTTCCGCAATCTCTGTATGGACGTGAACCCCAACTTTGTCTCGTCAAAAGTTAAGACACCCCGGCATCTGACGCCAGACAGCTTGTACTGGGACTTCGAGTCTAGTCTTCTGTTGCCGTATCAGAGGGCCAGGTGAATGCACCAGTGGGCATCCGGAGCTACCCTTGCCAATCCTAGTGCTCGAGTCTATCCTGACTGAATGTGCGCGGTGCCTCCACGTTGTATCGCCTTTTTGCCATTGAGATTCTGCCTTTGCGCCGGCCTAGGCATTGGTGATACCAGGGCTCAATAGGCAAGAGTTTGCCCATTCGCCATTCCTCTGACAACATAAGCTTCTACGGAATTGACTTGGCCGTCGCAGCAAGTTCAAACTCAAGTTTGACAACGGTTTTAGGGCTGGTGACTGGGATCTTCAAGACGGCTCCAGAAGAGACCATTCGCATCTCCTGTGCCGTTGTGACTGTGTCATGGCATGTCCCCACCGCTCGGTCAGCCAGATCGCCCTCGACTGCTTCCAGCGACAGCATGTCGTCCTCGGGCTCATCCTTTACTTCGTCGTCGCTCGGTTGTCCACCAACTTACGGAAGGACGTACGTCAGTCCAGTTGATTCAACCTGGACTCCCACCTCTGGGATATCAACAATTTCTGCCCCGACCACCGAGGGGTCGGGAACTGGAACCTCGGTGCTCGATCTGGGGCCCCCAGGTTTCCAAGCAACAATGTGCGATTGTCCCGATATTTGACATGGTCGATGTTCAATATAACTGACACTTGTATCACAGAATTCTTTTCCAAGACACTCCTGACGAACGAGTCGTTTACCTAGGGCCCTGGGAAGTGGTCGGTTCTGAGCAGCGCCGTGTGCTCTGGCAAGGCAGCTATCAGAACGAGCTTCTCGAACACTACTGTGCGTGGATGCTACTGGTGCTATCCGAGGCAATGTCAGCTAACTCAATGCCATCTCAGTGCCCTCTGATACCCCCTCTGACATACACCCACATACCCTCCACTCGCGCCATCGTCCGTACTACGACGCTTCCGATATGGAGCGATATCTTACATTCCAGGAACCTCACCGAGTCCGATACACGACCGATGAAGGAATCTGTATACATGACCAGTACGTCACAATCAGATATGAGTTCACGACAGTCGAAAGCTCTATCCAATTTCAAGGAGATTTGCGTAGGAAGGATCTGGTCGATTTCTACGATGTCGACGTTGTCTGGACCAATGTTCATGGTCGTACAGATGGCTTCGGCAAAGTAAAGGGCATAGGCGCAATCCAGAGACTCAAGTTGTGGAGGGATCGATATACCACTTTCCATTCGCTCAATGTGTGTGCGAATAAGACGGACGGCCAGTACCGAGAATACGATGTTCATTGTTTCGATGGTGAACTTCGTGGACGAGATGATAGAGCGAAGCAGCTTCGACTCAATGCATCTGGGCGGCGTCATAATTCGGGCGAGGACCAGCAGTCACACCGGCGCTTTTCGCTACCGCATCGCATGCGTTCTCGAACCAGGACAAGTGATTCCTCGGAGCCAAGATCGCTGCAGCAGCCGACACTTGACATACGATATCTGTCTATCCAATTTACTGAGCGCCAAGGTGTGTAATTGTTCCAAGGGAGACGGCTGTTCTAGCAGAACCCCTAAACCTGTCTCGCGATATGTCAGCTAACAGTCAGATCAGCATACCGACGATTTATCGAGACATGGCTTTATTGCCACAGCTCGGACCGTGAATTCAACGGCATCCCCTTCCCACCGAACCATTTCGAATTACCCTCGCCGCAGATTTTGCCGGGACATTCTCCCGATTTACCGGTATCTGGCTGGCCGAACCATACACTCGATTCGGTGCCAGAACCCTCGGACGCGGCCGAAGCTACGCCTTGAAGAGTCAATTTTGAGTCAGATGCCATATCAAATACCTGGCAAATATGAACCAGTTGCACCACTAAGCCAAACCACATGCTCATGCTGCGGTGCATGTTGGAAGTGGGGTGACAACCGTTGCAAGGTTTGACGTTGACAGCTCACATCCTTCACCTGTCAAAGTGGAAGTACCAGTTAAACGTTGGCAAAGAAGACCGATAATTGGTAGTTACCCGTGGGGGGTTAGCCAGAGTATCGATATGCCTATTTTCAGGCTATATAACATATGTCGCTATCCGTGGGCAGACCATGGGGGGTACTCGGGGCCCCCGCACCACTCTCAACACCCCGCGGTGCCTGGATCAGGCCATGGAACTGTGTCGTCATTGAGATCCAGTACAACCGCTATAACGGGAGGGTCATAAAACTCAGCTCAAGCTCCTCTTGCCAGAGCACCCGTCACTGCTACCAACTCAACACCAACCCATTGACCCACGCCCACGTCGCTACATCGATCATGAAGGTCATTCTCGCCATCAACGCTGGCTCCAGCTCGGTCAAGATCTCCGTTTATACTGCAGATAAGGATACAGAACCTCAGCAAATTGCAGAAGCATCGATTGGTGGCTTGACTGCCCCGCCAGCAGCGCTTGCATATACACGTCGTGGTGAGAAAGTGTTCAAGGCCAAGGAGATATCTGAAAGCGTTAAGAATCAGGAGGACGCCTTTGATCTGCTTCTCAAGACTTTCATCGACGATGAAGAACTTAGGGAGATTGCATCAAAAAAGGATATCGCCATCGCCAGCCATCGCATTGTCCATGGCGGCGATTACGACCGGTCTCAGGTAATCACTCAAGACACATATCATCATCTTGAAGAACTAAGCGACCTCGCACCACTTCACAACGGTGTTGCTTTAAGTATCGTCGATACGTGTATCAGCGCGCTACCTGACACCGTCAACGTCGCCTGTTTCGACTCTCAATTTCACACAACCCTACCTCCGCACATCTTTACCTATCCTATTGACCCTAAGATCGCAAAGAGCAACCGCTTGCGAAAATACGGATTTCACGGGATCAGTTATGCCTTCATCACTCGATCCGTCGCGCAATATCTTGAGAAGGATGCGAGCAGCTTAAACATCATCGCTCTGCACCTTGGAAGTGGTGCAAGCGCATGTGCCATCAAGGGTGGCAAGAGCTGGGACACGAGTATGGGGCTTACGCCTTTGGCGGGCCTTCCCGGTGCCACTCGAAGTGGTAGTGTTGATCCAAGGTAAGACGCTCAGCTCAGTTCCATACCCCAAGTCAAAAGTCCGGAACCAAGAACCCCTACCCCACCGGATGTGGCGGAATGCTACTTTTGTCAGATCATACATGAGATGCGGAACCTGAGGGGAGGGTGGAATCAGGGTCTTCTTTCTAAGTTAAGCTTCCTGCATGCTGACCCTGGCCAACCTTACAGTCTCGTCTTCCATTATGCCTCCGATGTGGGGAAACTGTCTCCTGCATCCACCAAACACCTTCACATCTCACGAGCTGAAGAGATTCTCAACAAGGAGAGTGGTTGGAAGTCCATGACTGGCACGACAGATTTCGGTGCTGTTGCCGATTCAGACGACCCCACTCACCGGCTGGCCTTTGACATCTTCGTGGATCGCATTGCCGGTTTTCTCGGCTCCTACTTTGTATCCCTCGAGGGCAAGGTCGATGCTCTGGTCTTCGCTGGTGGCATTGGTGAGCACAGCGCTAAGCTCAGATCCGCCGTTGTAGACCGAGTAGCCTGTCTGGGCTTTGCCCTTGACAAAGCTAGCAACCAACAGCCCATTAAGGATGTGGTTCAGGAGCTCGGCAGACGGGATGCTTCGCATCGCGTGCTGGTCTGCCAGACAGACGAGCAGCTGGAGATGGCCAGATTATGTGCCGAGAAGAAGGATCTGTGGGAGTGACAGGCCCCATCTGGGTGCAGAATTAAATCATGATGATGATTAGACTTGAATAATGATATTAGACGATTAGACGATTGAAAAGTATATAAACAAAGTATGAAGAAGAAATCGCTTACCTCCCATGCCACCAGCCCAAGCTCATCATGAGACTTGTGTTTTGAAAACGTCTTGAGACTGTCAGATCGTTGGCGGATATGAGTATTAAGCGAATGCATGGAACTATTGATTCCCCGTCAGGCCATTCACCGCTATGAGCATGCCACGCACAAAACAAACATGTTACGAAGTGGATATGCATTTGTGTTCAGTTGAAGGGCTAGTTTTCATGTATCGTCTAGGCTAGCTTAAGAAGGGGAATGGCCTAGAATGAGTTGTACATACTCGAGCATCACTGGTTGCTCAGCATTTCTTCCCTTTTTTGACGGATGTTTTTGAGAAGCATTTCTGTGTTGACAAGCACCGATTAGTTATGTCGCAGGCAATTATATGGCATGAATATGGTACTTCTTTATATGCATGCGCAACATTCTCGGTTGGTTATGCCCTCACATGAACAAGCTCTGAGGCTGACTTGGAATTGTGAGTTTCAACTCATAATCGGTGCATAACCTTATTCCAACAAATCATCATCAAAATCACAATTGGCAAATGCTTGGTGAAGAAATCAAAGTGGTATCAATTGTGTGCAACTCAAATGTCCCATCTTGCACCAGCGATGGCACATCTCCTACTAAAACAACTATACGTAATAGACCATGCTACCGTCTTGTTCCAGCGGCAACAGGAGCAGCAACCAGTGTGTACTGAGTTGCTATCTCATGTCCTTCCTGTGCTCAGCCCCAGGGATGCTGCAAACAGCTCTCGATGAAGGCCGGACAGACCATTCCCCCCATCTTGTATTTCAAAACCCAACAAAAAAAAGTAGAAAACATCAAATCGTAAAATCCCAGCGCCATGCGTTTTTTTACCCAACAATTGCACCTTGCAATGGGTGCATCCAGTCGTCGTTTATCTAACCCATGTGTACCGTACGAGAGAGAACCATTCGTGAAGCCAATCGTGTACTTGCGACACTGTTCTATCCCAAACAAAATAAAAACCTTTTTTGTGAAAGGCACAGGACCCCATAAAAAGTTGAAACCGTACAACGCCACTTAATCCGGGTTGCTCCGTGTGTATTCATACAACGCCGTGATTGAGACAATCATGTGTGAGAAAATGCAGCCTCGTGTCTGTGTAGACCGAACGAGTCATAAAATGTAAAAGAGAAAATCGTGCGCCAATAGATTTGGTCGACAGGTGGGGGAAACCTGTATGGTGTGAGGGGATCGGAATTGTCGGAGGATTAAGATTATCAATAGAATAATGCCAATAGATTTTCTTTTTCGGAGGGATACCAGGGGGGAAACCTAGCATTTAGATACCAGAACCCTCTTGGCATGCGACGGCCATAGCGAGGGCATCCAGACCACTAGGGGTCCTGTCTGCGACAGGGCGGTTGAGAATGGGTAGGTTACGGCCACTCAAGTCCCAAGATCCACTGCTGACACTGGGCGAGGCCAGCGGGGGTGTGGGAAGGGGATAGGGATCAGCGTCGCGTCGGCTTCTAGACGAGGATGTGCGGCTCGCGGAAAGGCGCCCGGATGTAGAGTTGCGACGAGCATCTGCTAGGGATGTTCTATGACTGCGCTGGCTACCGGAAGATCGGCTTTTATCCTTGAAGTGAGTTTCAAGGTGCTGCTTCATATTATCGGCGCGTGTGAATTTCTTCTGGCATCCTGCAAAAGTGCATTGAACAGCCTTCTCTGCGGTGTGGATCTTGGAATGGCGCGAAGCGTGACCTGAGGTGGTAAACGTCTTTTCGCAACCATGAGTATCACGATACCGGCAGGGGTATCGCTTTCCGGGGCGGTCGGGCATTGGCGATGATCGAGGTTGGCTGACCATCTCAGCGTCGTAGGAGGCTGAACGAGTGCTGTCTGAGTATGCAGCATGCTTGGCGTCCATGTTGTAGTCTTGGGGAATAGTATACATGACCTGTTGCCGAGGGTAGTAGTCGACGTTGGGAGTCAAAGGAGACAAAGGATCGTTGCTCATTTGAGAATCATAAGAATCGGAGCGCAGAAGCTCAGGAGTGTTGGGCGAAGAGGCATTGCTGCCAGGGGTGGGGTATGAGTGGGTGAGAGCGTAGCTGGAGTGAAAGCTCAGGGGCGGTCGCTGTTGTTTCTGTTGTTCTTGTTGAGGCTGTTGGCATGCGCTTTCGTCGTTAAGGAGCGAAATTCGTCGCCCAGCGGCATTAATGGCGTGCATCGTCATTGTTGCGGATGCTGTGAGGGTTGAAGAGAGAGGGTTTGATAGAATGTCACTGATCAGATCAGGAACTGAATGTGCTGGCAGCACCGATAGTGGAGTGTAGCGGGACTAAATAGCGGGATGGCTATGGCTAGTCGCGGAGGTTGTCTAGACTCAAGGGACCAAACGAAAGGGATCGATAGCTCGAAAATGCCTCCGCTTTTAGAAAAACACGAGACTGAAGGATTTCTTATGTCTGTTGCGTGTGCCTGACAGGATGACAGGGGTTTTGGACAGCGGTAACTAATGGGGAGAAACGCTGTTTATGGCGGTGACAGGTCTCCAGTTGATGATGGAGAAAGGTTGGTAAACGGCTGATGTCGAGATCATATATTACACAGACAGAGGAAGCAGGCAAGTTCCGATAGTGGCAGTAGCAGTAGCAGTAGCAGTGGTGGTGGTGGAGGTGGTGAGTGTTGTTGTTTATATAACATAGGTTGCCGAGGAATCAAAGAGACAATCCACAGACAAGAGAGGTAAATGTAAGTGAATACAAGACAATGGAATGAGGTGAAGAAATGTTCCGTCCAAAAACAATCAGCTCTATTAGGAGGAGGAAGAGGAGTTCGATACTGTGAGAGAGTAGCAAGAGTGTGATGAGTGAGAAGCCAAAGAAGATCAAACAAAGCGAATGAGAAAGATGGATGGATGGATGGCTGGAGGTTAAGTTTATAAGTAACCCGGTTGGAAATGGATCGCAAGGAGAGGGCAAGGAAAGGAAAACAAGGGGAGCGTTTAGGCCTAGGGGGAGTGGATTATGAATGGGATTATGGGGTTTACGGATTACGGTAGGGTATCCGTACAGGCTACAGGCCAGCTCAGAAAAAGAAGGGAAAGGAAGGGATAGAATTGGGGTGGGAATCACGCATGGGAATTTTTGCGCAACCCCATCGATCGAGATCGATAAAAAACCTCGAGTCTGAGTTGAGTTGAGAGTTACGATGTCTGGACGTAACTTGGCTGAGCCACCGACATGGGTACTGCCGCTAACGGCAGGTGGTGGTGTGTCGTTAATATTAATACTTTTTTATTATTGCTTTCCTCTGCTACTTCTCTCTTGTATTCTCCTCTTTCTGCGTTTCCCTTTCTGCTTTGCTGTGTTCTTCCTCTTGTGTTAGATGGGAAAGGAGAGGGGTGTGCATAGGTGTGTGGCTAGTATTGTGGCACCCTAGCGACCGGCCCCCCGTTCTGAGAAGAAAAAAACCCTGGATTGGCATGGGAAACTCTCCAAAGACGCACCTGCCCTGAGAGTCATCAGCAAGCGCTCCCCCCCCCCCCCCCCCCCCTCCTTCCTCCATTCTCCATCCTCCATCCTCCATTCTTCCCCTCACCAATTTGGTGCCAGGGCTAGGCGACCAGGCAGGCAACCGCTGAGACGGTTTGGGTCGGAGCTGCTAAATAGCTAGCGGGCAGTGAAAGCATCCATTCACTAGCCACAACGTGGGACTGCATTTGTAGGTATGATTAGACCGTAGAAGCTGTAGCTGTAGCTGTAGCTGTAGCTGTAGCAGCAGTTGAAGACATTGACGCAGAGGTGTTGTCACATCGTGTGTATCTCTATGCTAGCTAGGTAAGGTGAGACGTCTCTACCCTACGTTTCTTCAAGCTTCAAGTACTCTGAATTCATCAATACGTGTTATTGTTTTCATTATGACCTCTTTCCCCGTCAAGGTGTCCAGACAAACATGCAGTCGGTGGTGTGGGGTCGCTTACCAGGGACGAGCCTACGACTCACAAGCACAAGGGCGTTGATGGCCTCCCATCGCCAGGAGCTGCAACCGACAGGGACCCATCCTACTCGTGGAGCTGCTCCCTGCCAGGGTTCATGGAGGGATAACCGCCAAGGAACAGTACTGTAGGCGTCTGTACTCTGCACGGAGTGGCTTGGTTTAGACATTCACACTAAACCGGAGCTACTCCTGGCCACGCTATTCCCTAAATAGGGTCTCGCTGAGAGAAAAGGAACCACTTCCTCACCTATGTGCCTAACCTCCGGTAATGTCGATCACTCGCTCGCTACTCGGATGCTGTACCTATTCTTGAACCTCACCTTGCTCCGTTCTTTGCTACCTATGGCACTCTTCCCTACAGGGCATCGCACCCTACTCGCTGTTACCTCGCAATGCACGACGCAAGCCGACCCTGATTCTACCGGCTTGCCCTGGCTCTGATCAGGCGAAAACGAGTTTTATCAATGCAAGAAAGGCTACAAGTCACAGATATTTCAGGACAGTCTGCTCCTAAAACACCAAACATCTTGCACTCGCACGAGACTTGCGCACTCGGCCGCATTGAGGCTGCCGCGGCGCAACGCGGTGTCCTTCAAAACAATTAGCACTATCAACCGACTTGAGTGCTTCCCAACCGATGAATTGCCTTCTACGAAGTACCTACTGCTGTCTACTCTACGTACTGCACTATCCCACGGAACACCACTCCGGAACTTGGACCCTGATTTCCCAACTACAATCTCGATCCCTAAGCTTGAGGCGTCACCATTACGGATAGCCGGATCAGAGGAGCTAGTGGGAGAGTACTCAAGACCCCGAGACACCGTACCCCATCCATGGATCTGATCGCACCATGGTGACGTCAACTTTAAAGCACCAGCAGCAAGCCACTGTGCCAGAGGTTGGCTGGTAATTGTCCCTGACAGAGTGTAAAAAGACTAGGTACAGTATGGCATCAGCTGGGTCAGAAACTGTATCAGCGTTTTTTGTCGTCTAAACTTGAGCCATGTTTCTTAACATCTCGAAGAATCCGGCTGAGAGACTTCAGGCTTAGGTACTGGCGACCCCCAAATACTGTGAGAACGACAACGGCTACACGGTTACGCCAGAGCAAGACCTACGTAGTAAGCAAGTGCGTACAACATAAACTTTTTCTGCCACTCATGCAGGGCTCAATCCCGACGCTTCCAGGATGTTGTCTACATTGGCCGGACCCTGCAAGTCCCCTTTTTTCAACCTCAAAGGGAGGTCAATAACGAAAGGAGATGTTTACCGTAAATCTCTACGGAGACTGGTGACCGGCGTACCTATTAAGCACCGATTTCTGAAAGACGGCTACCGGGACATTGAAGTTTACAGAGTGCCTCGCCAGTTAAATAAACCTCTTGCTCACCTTTCGCCCTTTGTTCGCTTATTCCTCAACACCAAGACCAGCACGTTACGCCCATGCAACATTCGAGAGGGGCTTACAAGGCATTCAGCAAAGAGTGCCGTCATGGTGACAAACTACAGCACCAGCTTGCTGAAGTTAACGAATTTCCCCTCCCGGGCAACGTCAAAAAAGCTTCAGACCTCTGTGCCTTACTAACTCTTAGCTCTGGGGAGCGTGCGCGCCCCTCATGATCCACCGGGCCTGTCCTCGTCTCACCCCAAAGCCCGTTGCTGGTTGCGGGCACAGTTCGGAGCAGAGTGTTAGCGGGTCAACCACTCGCGGATTTCTCTAAATGCGCTGCTGTCCCTGTGGATGAAGAAAGCATAGGATAATTTCTACATCAAACTTCGTTGATCCCTCTCAATTTCTTCCTTGTGTGTGTTTACTTTTTGTTTTTGTTTTATTGCACCCTCAGCCTGCCTCAGCTTAGCTGGTATCAACAAACTTTCTTGTAAACTTCGCAAGCAGGGAAGTGGAGGCGGCGGGGGACGGACGACAATCCCCTGGGCGCTAATGTTCCCAGGGTCGTCCCCAAGGGTCTACATCACGACCGGGGGCAGAAAACTCCTTCAGCCAATAATCGGATAAGATCGAAAAGTTGGCGATCAAGGGAGTCGAGAGGTGGATGTGGCGTGGAGAACAGGCTCTATGCCAACATTTGCGCTGTGCATACTGCCTGCACCAGCCGCAACACGGCCACTTCTGAATCAAGTCAGCCTACTCTGTACTCGACCGTGATCAGTTGCAACAGTCGAGAGAGATCTTCCTACGAACCCGAACCCGTTTCTCGTTGCAAAAACAAAAACAACGGGTTCGATAAATTAACGCAACACATCAAGACGGAACAGACACAGCCCTTCGGAGTCGCTAACAAATTTTAACTCTTTGGAAGGGCATCAGAATGGCATGTTTCCAGACCTCTTTGATCAACGGTTTTTCTTTTGACTTATCTTTTAGCCAATCAACGTATTTCGGGCACCCTCCGTCCGTCAGCGTCAAAACTCTATCTAGTTATCGTTTCTATTTCCACAGGCTCCATCCAGTACTTGCAAATATTTGTTTTGTTGTTGCGGAGCCAATCCCCGGCCCCGAAGGGTGTAGCAATCTAGGTAGGCAATACAGTTGTTGAACCCTGTTGAAGACTTGACTTCCTTTTAGTCTCAGCTCAGGTGGTAGCTTTCCCCATCAGTGAATGGATGGCGATGTTGAAGGCTCCATGGGCGCGTCCGTCCAATCACGCCGAGCTGCACTGGCTGATAAGTTGATTGAGGAGGAGGTTTCCTCTATCATCTGCTGGAGCTGAATGGCTCGTTCTGGTGGGTTGAGCTGCACACCTTGGCCTTGCTTCCTTGCACCCCTCTCTCATCGCAAGATTGACTTTCACCTTGCAGTTGCGTCTGCCAGGTTTTCTTGTAACCGAGCACGATGGTTTACCCCAAGTTCATCAACATAACCTCGATCTGGAAAACGATCTTGAACAGCCCTCCGGTCATTTTGCTCCGGATTACCAGCAAAAATCTGCAAATTTCTTCACCGCAGTGACGCAGTCCATGATTTGAGGCTGGAGCTTTCAGACTTTCCTTATTCTTCCGCCAGGTCTTTTGGGGGTAGGGGTTTGTTCGCCTACTGACGTCACTAAAGCCACAGTTAAGCTGGGGTGTGTTCCTTCATGCTGAGCTGTAAGTAGCACTATCGTGTTGCATTGGGGATTAATGGATTTGGAGGAGGCTCTCTGAGCTGGGAGGACATCTACACTCTACACGTGAGCATTGATATATCCCGATTAGATTGGAGATCTTAGCTCGTTCCAGTGTTCGACTTGATTTATTGCTTTTTGCCTAAGCCAGAAACAACAGCCTCATTGACTAAGCACTCCAACACTTAACAGGGCTCTGTGAATCTGTCAAGGATGATGAGCTATCCCTTCCAAAGCAACAGGCCTCTGTATGCATATATGCCTTCCTTCAACCATATACATAGTAATTATGATGACGCAGAGGGCCGGAGTAATTCGAGGAATCTTGGTAAGAATACCTCATATGGGAATGTGCTGTCGGAGTAACCAATATGAATAGCAAGACGAAACCAGATCAAGCATTGGTCTATACAGACACCATAGAAATACGGGTGGCCGCCAGATGCGCTGAACATCAAGTACTAGTATTGGTATTGCCCTGATTGCACTGTCTCAATACCAAAACGGGGAGTGTTATTGATTCTCCTCCTGCACGGCTAGGACCAAGTTTCAAAAAAGGATCTGGCCACCGTGATGGCAACTTTTAGCCTGACGACAGGAAATCGATGGTTTTTTGGTCGATCAGAAAACCAAACCAGGACGAAGAAAAAGTTCTTTACTGTACGCAGATGACCGAGAGTTGAGAGTGTGTCATGTATGTTCCTTGGTCACCGAACAAATCTCAGTCAGGGTTCTGTTTCCCTTCAGCGGGGCATGGTGGGTTGGCAGCAGCGAGGAGCGCATCGGCTTTCACTGAGGGTGATCGAATCATCGAAAAGGATCGGGTCAACGACGCCCATCCCAGATCTCAAGTCGGGAGGGGGATCGGTTTCTTTTGGGCTTCTTGGGCGCCGTCCGTGTGGGTAAACGCTTGGTCGGATGCCCTGGCAGGGCAGCCTCATCGGTCCCGTCCGCGTGGCTCTGAGGGTCCCACCGCCGCAGCGACCGAGGGGGGCTTTGAGACAGGTAATTCAAGGGTATTGGGGCTTTGAGACTTTGGATTGCCAAGGACAGGGGGGTAAGGGGGCGTGAAGGCATGGCCCCCGGAGAAGAGGGCCCGGAGGGAACAAAAACAGGGGATCAGCCCAAGCTAAGGGACCCCGGCGATCATTCTCTCTGCCTAGGTAGGCTAAGAAGGTCTACGGAGCTCCAGCAAAGCACACATGGCGGGCAGGGGCCAAGAAGTCAAGACTCAAGACAGACGAGACAACGATGAGTGACCGGTGGAGAAGTGAATTAGGGGACCTTGCCAGCGCCGCCGCTGAGCCATGATGCAATACCGTACCCTCTGTCGCTTCACTAGACTTTTATGCTAAGGACATCGAGCATCAGAGGGGCCAATGAAGCGGCCGGGTGAGAGCACCCATCGTTTTTTGGGGATAGATGGTCAGGCACAAGCGGCTACCAGCCGTACGCCAAACCAGTCCCCCGGAGCCAGGCGACGAACCAGCAGCCAGTGGGAGCAAGTCCGGTGACGGGGGTTGGCTTGGTTGCTCACTAACCGTCACAATCCTGGTCAGAAAACAAAATTGAGCATTGCCGATGCTTCTCGGGATTGTTCTTTGTTCTCTGGTGTTCTTAGGATCATGCAAGTGCTTCCTCCTCGTTCGGTACAGAACCGGCTTATCACCGTTTTGAGGGTATGATCAACTTCGACCAACTTCGACGGTTCACACAGAGCCCCACGCGCCATTGCTTCTAATATTTATTCCCTGCCGTTGGAGCTCGGCTAATCAATTGTAAGTATGCAGGTCTTGGCTATGATACTTCCTGATAACCCAGCGGTTGATTGTATTACAATTAGTTGCACTCTTTTGCTTCCAGAGGCGAGTGGCACTTCAACTTGATACTAACGTCTTTGTTTAATTCTAGTTTGACTACTATACGGAGTACACATCACCGTTATTAGGTAGACTAGTAACTACTGATATAAAATACGGTCTAATACAAAGCAAGCGGGACTACAGGTCTGCAACCACGTCATGGCATCTCCCATCGCCCGAAGGCTTCCTATCAATCATGCATGCCACTATCAACGGTCGGTTATGCTTCTCTTGACTAACCTAAGTGTCTTTGAAGCTTCGTATTGGTCTGCTGGCCCCTCGCTGTCGAAAGACAAGTGAACAGAGAGAGACATTGCGTATACGCCATTCTAACATCGCTTGTTCTATCAGGTGGCAGTACATAACTGCGTATCTGCACAGGTTGTACGGAGTAGGGTGTAAGTGATAGCGAAACAGCTCTTTCACATCTCGATACCCTGAAACAGGTGTCTCTAGCGGTGTGAAGACACCCATGTCTAGACAACAGCAGGGCTGTTTCTTGTTCGCCGACTGGCGATAGCAGCATTTACCCTACATCGATAAGTGAACACTCACATGGCATTACATTGCCATGTCGATAGTCTACCACGGCATTTGCCTAGCACTTGAATGGCGCACAAACAGCGGTGCCGTCCTTAACGTCTCGGGACCTAGGGACACCAACCGAGCCTAAACGCATTGTGCGATAGAAGGGACAAAGGGCCTCTCGTGATGCGACGTAAAAATCCTCCAGAGAGAAAAGAGAACCAATATGCTGCGACCATGTTTTTGTTGACAGGTCACGCGGGTTGTGAATGCGACGATCACTGTCGATCGATCGAGATTGGTGACCATCTTTTCCCTTGAATATTGAGGAGGACCCCGGTTTTAGATACGGCACCCTACAGCAATCGTAACAACACCCTACAATGCCCTGCTTTTAGTACTATGCGACGTGCGGCGTGCGGCGTCTGTTACTGCACCGCACCGTACAGCAGAGGATTGCAGCTCCCAAAAGCCGGTTTTTGACTTGGACAATGCGGTCTTGGGTTTGATCACATTCCGAGCCGAGTTCCCCATGGCAATCGCTGACTGATTCAGTACAACCCAAACTACTCCGTAGGTAGCAAGTATCAGATCACTCAAGCTACGGATACACAAGTCAATCCATCCAGAGAGCAGCACTTTTCTTTTCCGATTATGATTCTCATTAGCATTCTTCTGCGCTATCGGTATTGCAAGATCCTCTTCATGAAACGCCATATTCGCCCGACACCTGCCTTAGTGAAATTTCCACACTTTTTTCTTCTTGTCCAATTTAATTAATCTCTTTGCATCCTGTTGATTGGCACAGCTGTCACTGTAAAGCGCCGTGACACCACACTATTCCTCGAATCACAGACTTGGCACAATACATCATCGGCGATGATGGTGATGATCACGATGATGCAAATCTTCGCTTTCCCATGGCGGTCCCTGCACTTTCCCATGACGAACACAATCCCCAAAATCCCTGCGCCCAACAACGCCATATTGGGTGATGTATGACCATGTCTGGGCCATGATGGAGTTCTCATCATTTCGATGCTGGAGGCCCCATTTTGGTCGATCCTGTATCAACTCGTTTGGCTGCCGGAAGATCTGGTACCTTGAAACCGCTCCCGCTTGACGATCCTCCAACCTGGGTGAAGGAACCGCCCTTGAACCACCGGTCCTCTTCGGCCTTGCGCTTCTTGCTGAGCTCTGCTTGCATCTTGGGATCAACCAGCTCCAGACCCTGCACAGGCGTGAATGCCAGCGACGACGCAGTACCAGTCGCTGACCCGACTGTGCTACCGACGCCAGATGCTCGCAGGCCGCGTCCCTGCAGATTTAAGTTGGAAGAGTGGCCGAAGCCACCGATAGACGAAGCGGCGCCGCCCACCGAGCTGTTTCCACCCCAGCCCTTGTGCTTGACTCCAAGTTTTGCGCGGGTACGTTGGTCGACCTGAATACCACGGATTCGACCATCGTTGGACTGTCCAATCATACCCATCCCAACAGTCGAATCGCCAGTGCCGTAGCCAACCTCCTTCTCCTCCTTGCCAAAGGTCATGCGGTTTTGGGCTTTACGTAGATCGGTCATTGCGAGAGCCTCCTTGGCCTTGCGAGCACGTCGTCCACCTCGCTTGCGAGATGGCTTGTCGTCTGGCACCGGGAGCGCACGTTGTCCCTTGTTGGGCGGTGGTTCTGTTAGTTTTTCAAGCCGTTCGAGGCACGCTGATTTGAGTTCCTCTCCTGTAGAACCATCTGGACTCGAATGAATACGATCGACTCGGGCGGCCAGGACAAGCTTGGCTGACATGATTCTCATGGCTTGCTTCTTCAAGTCGCTGGGAATACCCCGGATCATTTCTGAATTGAAGAGGTACCCTTGCTGCCGCACACCAATGTTCGTAGCCAGCCCTGCCTGCTTCTTCTTGGAACCCCATGAAGCAATGTTGCAGGCAGGCGTCTTTGAGAGGCCTGTGAGTCCACCTGCCGCATTCAGGAGTTGGGCGGCTGTAACTGGACCAACGAGCGCCGTCAAATTGGGTGAGAAGATGTTCATGCGTGACTGCACGTATTCGGCCAAAGTTTGCTTGGCCTTGTTGAGGCTAATCACCATATCGCATGCTTTGTAAACGCGCTCAAGCTCTTCCGGTGTCATATCATGTCCCTTTGATGTCGTAGCCTCGATCGTGACGATCATGAGGGAGGGTCCATCGAGAACAGACTTCAGAGTTATTCCTAGAGGGTTGTTGGTGGAAGTCTGTAGAGCCTTGATGCTCTCCGAGTCCAACGGTCCGTTTCCTAGAATAGCGACCACCTTGGCATACTCGAGGGGTGTCGTTACAAGCCGCTCAAGCTCGGGGAAGCGTGTCGAGTAGTGGTCGCGAATGAACTTGTGAACCAATACGACCTCGCCGTCAATCTGGGTTGAGAGACTATTCGACTGTGTCAGGAGAGCGTATTCGGGATGGTCCTCGATGTTTCCGATGTTTGTGTGCTGAGTTGCGGTTTGCGATCGATAATGTGCGATTTTCTGTAACGTTCGAGGCAATAGGTCAGGGCTGTCCGTCAAAAGAACTGATGTAAACGAATCGTCCGTCAAGACGCGACCGTTGAAGCGGCTGGGGAATGGGGGAATCGTACTAACCTCGAGGATTGGTTCTAGAGTGCGCATCAGACTTGCTACGCTTTGGACGTCTTTCACTCCTCCAAGCTGCATTTTCTCGACCTTGGCTTTTCTCGCTTCAGAGTCCTCTCTGTCATTTCGTTCATTTTCGGGGTCTTCGTCATCTTTGGCATCGGCGTCAGCGTTGAAGTCGCCATCCAATTCCATGGCGTCGCGATTGCCACTCGTCTCTTCGTCCTTGATGAGGCCATCATTGTGCTCTTCTTCGGCCTCGTCGCCTGAGCTTCCAAAATCGTTGAGTAAATCCTCTGCGATGGTCGACATGATGGCGGCGTGTTACAAAATAATGATGTGGATGGATAAATTTGGTTGTCGCGAAAGAAGTCGTGGAGTAGGCCTGCAGGCGAGTATGCCTGAACTATAAATATTTAACTTACCTTAGCTAAGATATTATCTCAAATGCGAGGCTGATGAGCGCCACACAGAAAAGGTGGACCACGCAACTAAGCGCAGAGATCACATATCATTGGTCAGCCACACCCTGATTTTTCGAGCCTTGCACTTACTTTGCTTGTCGCGTCGCTCTTGACCCTCCTTAACTTGATCCATCACGTTTCTTCTCCTCCTTCACCCAACTTTGTTTTGCATCAGCGATATCGGCTTCGCCAATTCGATCCTACCGAGAGAGTTGTGAGAGACCAGAGTGTTTCACGATGGAGTCATCAAGAGGACCTCCGAGGGTCAAGAACAAGGCCGCCGCGCCTGTTCAAATCAGCGCCGAACAGCTGCTTCGAGAAGCTGTTGACAGACAAGAAGTTGGGGTTCAGGCACCTGCCCAACGATTTGCTGATTTGGAAGAGCTTCATGAGTTCCAGGGAAGGAAAAGAAAAGAGTTTGAGGACTATGTGCGACGTAATCGACTCAACATGAACAACTGGCTGCGATATGCGTCATGGGAACTTGAGCAGAAGGAGTTTGCACGCGCAAGATCCATCTTTGAGCGCGCACTCGATGCCCATCCCAACAATGTTCAGCTATGGATTCGGTACATCGAGTCTGAGATGAAATCCAGGAATATCAACCATGCGCGAAACCTGCTCGATCGCGCCGTTGCGCGCCTACCACGAGTCGACAAGCTCTGGTATAAATACGTCTACATGGAGGAGATGCTGGGCAATATTCCCGGTACACGACAAGTCTTTGACCGATGGATGCAATGGCAGCCCGACGAGGCGGCATGGAGCTCATACATCAAATTGGAGAAGCGATACAGCGAATTCGAGCGAGCACGAGAGATCTTCCGAACCTTTACCATGATTCATCCCGAGCCGCGGAATTGGATAAAGTGGGCTAAGTTTGAGGAAGAATTTGGCACCAGCGACCAGGTGCGGGAAGTTTTTGGCGAGGCAGTAGAGGCGCTGGGCGACGAGTTTGTCGATGAAAAGTTGTTCATCGCCTATGCTCGATTCGAGGCGAAGCTAAAAGAGTATGAGCGCGCTCGTGCGATATACAAGTACGCCCTCGATCGACTACCACGATCTAGATCGATGATCCTGCACAAGGCATATACAACTTTCGAGAAGCAATTTGGCGACAAGGATGGAGTGGAAGATGTAGTTCTGTCCAAGAGGAGAGTGTACTACGAAGAGTTAATCAAAGAGAACCCGAAGAACTACGATGCCTGGTTTGACTATGCAAAGCTCGAGGAGACCTCTCAAGACTCTGATCGGATCCGAGACATATACGAGAGGGCTGTTGCTCAGGTCCCGCCAACACAGGAGAAGCGACATTGGAGGCGGTATATCTATCTATGGATCTTTTACGCCATATGGGAAGAGACGGAGGGACAGGATGTCGAACGCACACGACAGATTTACAACACATGCTTGGGACTGATCCCACACAAGAGATTCACATTCGCCAAAATCTGGCTCATGGCAGCGCACTTTGAGATCCGACAGGGCCAGCTTACTGCGGCGCGGAAACTCCTCGGCCGCGCCATCGGTATGTGTCCAAAGGACAAGATCTTCAACGGCTACGTCGACCTGGAGCGGAAACTTTTCGAGTTTGTGCGGTGTCGTACTCTATATGAAAAGCACATCGAGTACAACCCTGCCAACTGCCAGACATGGATCAAGTTTGCGGAGCTCGAGCGCGGCCTGGATGATCTGGAGCGTACGCGAGCTATCTTTGAACTCGCCGTTCAGCAACAACAGCTCGATATGCCAGAACTGCTGTGGAAAGCATACATCGATTTCGAGGAGGAAGAGGGCGAGTACGAGCGTACACGAGATCTTTACGAGCGCCTTCTCGAGAAGACGGACCACGTCAAGGTCTGGATCAGTTACGCACACTTCGAGATCAACATCCCAGAAGAGGAGGAGGAAGAGGGCGACGAGGAGCAGCCAGTTAGCGAAGAGGCCAAGGCGCGAGCACGAAAGGTCTTCAAGCGAGCGCACAAGAGCATGCGAGACAGAGACCTCAAGGAAGAGTGTGTTTCACTCCTCAACGCCTGGTTATCGTTCGAGCGCACGCACGGCTCTGCAGAGGATGTGGAGGCGGTACAGAAACAGATGCCACGCAAGACGAAGCGACGGAGAAAGCTCGAGGACGACTCGTGGGAGGAATATATCGACTATGTCTTCCCCGCCGACGACAAGCAAGCGGCCAACCTATCCAATCTTTTGTCTATGGCGCAGAGCTGGAAGCAGCAGTCAGGGGGAGGTCTCGGCGCATGAGCATACAACTGCTGATACCAAGGCGAGAAGCCCACATCCGTTTCATAGCGCTGCTCCCTTGCAGAATAATAGCACCGTATACCAGCTCGACTTGTCTGTCTTGTGGTTATTAATCATCTGATGCATCACTGTTTGCTATGTGCTGTGCTGTGCAGCGCAGATGGAAGACTACATAGAGAATTTCGTAACATGTACAGCAAAAGTGCACCACTGCCTTACGGGCAAAGTCGGGAGACGTGATATTTCTTTTTCCATTCGTTACTACGCTTTGGCTGCATAATTGGACATCGTGACCAAAGCGATTTGGTTGAGTTGTTGATGCAAGTGCAGTGGAGACTTGAAAGTGACGTCACGGTATGATGACGTCTTGGCATGAGCTAAGCAAGATCTGGAAACAAGAAAAAAGGTCTGTTCATATGAGCAACAGGCACAGGATCAGGGATTGAAAACTGTATCGTAAAAGGTGAGACAGAAGATGCAACCTTGATATGAATAAATAATCAAATTGGCATTCACGATCCACCAGACCTAGCTTAGCTCATACTCGCACTCACACTCACTGAATAATGAGAGACACGAGACGTTTGATTTAGATAAACTAAGTAGGTCGTTCATTATAAGTCATGATTCGTCAAGTTGTTCAAGGAACTGGGTAATCTAATACCCATGAACACTGCCGTATTCTCATATCCAGAATAACATAAATAAAAATCCACGACAAAAAACAACAAGAAGAGAGCCCATTCATCCATCCATCCATCCATCATATCGTGTCGTATCGTGTTGCCATATCCCGTCAAGAAAACATATGGTCTTGTCTTACCTATGCCTGATTCCTCGTCGCGTTTTATCCAATCGCCGAGTCTTGATCTGCAAGCCCCGTCTTCCCATGAAGCCGTTCTTCCCGAGGCCGGGTATCCGCGTTCCCACCCATCATCATCGTGCATACATTGATTTGCTATCACCAGATTTACCTCCCATTCCTTGCTCTCTGCCCCTCTCTTTCCGTCTTGTCGGGTCAGCGCGTACCACTCCCGTTCGCCTACCCGTTTCAACGACTTTTCTAGACTCTGCCCCACCCATCTAGTATGATTAGGCAGCTTGTCCATCGTTGGACAAATATGTATGCGTGTGCCGGTCTGCCGAGATGAAGTTTTGATTCGGCTTCTGCACATGCGGCCTGTCCCGCATGAGCCATGCAGGGATCGAGCCATTGGCTCAGTATCGGCGATGGTCTAAGCAATCATCGTCGTTAGTCTCTGTCTTGAATACACGTGTGAAACGAAGGTGGGAATGGTTGTGGGTAGAAAGCAAATGCTTCATCTATCTGATGCAGGGGAATTTCAGCAGCGAAACAAAAGCCACACCATGCAGCACAGCGCAGTAGATCACATCTACATCATTTTCCCTTCTCTTTTCGGGTTTTCTTCTTTTTCCCCTTGTCATTTATCCAATAACATTGCTGCAAGCAGGACCCAAGATTCTCATGAGTCAATAAGTCGTTTCGTCATTAGTCATGATTTTAAACGTTGTAGGGTTGTATGAGTAAGTGAGATAGAGCCAAGATTGCTCAAGACAGCCAAGTCTTTAATAGGGAGATGGCAGACCGTTGCGGGGATTTCTCCTGTAAGTGTCTGTCCCGTACGGTTCTGCAGGAAAAGTGTTGCCTCTGTTGGGTTTACCCTCATAGTCTCTTGGGTCAAAGTATTCGTACTCGATGTCCGAGTCGTACCCATCGATCCGCCGAGACGAAGGGGCCCAGCTATCAGCTCTTCTCCTGCCGTCGCTCATGGATTGCTCATGCAAGCGTCTTTGCATTCGCTTCTCATGGCGACGAGCCTTTTCTTCGTTGAAATGTTTGCACTCTTGTGTCAACTCTTTGGCCTCCTTCATCTCCGATATGGCTCCCTTGATACCCATAGCAGCAATGCCGACAGATGCGGCGTCTTGCATGATTGCTTTGGTCTTGAGCTTCTTGGCCTCAATCTCACTCAGTCGTCCTTCCTTGACTGCCTTGTGTCGTGCATTCCTCTTCTCCATACTAGAATAGACCTCGTGCGCTGCATGGATAGTGGCAACGGCTGCTAAGCCAGTAGTAACAAGTTGCTTACCTCTCATTTTCTTTGCTCGCTTTTCATCTTCATCAGAATCTCCTAGATCTGATGACGAGGAAGAGTAGTCAGAGCGTCCCCCTCGTCGCCGCTCTTTGGGCTTGCTGCGGTATGATTGATCGTCGTCGTAATAATCTCGGTTGCTGCCAGGTCGTCGATCATCGTACATGTCGTCCGAGTATCGACGAGAACGGCCACCACCGCGCTCACTAAAGTCGTCTTGGTCACGTCGATGATATTCGTCGGCGGCCGCAGCACCGGCTCCGGCGCCAATACCGAGTTTGGCCAGGCCGTTACGGGCCTTGTCAACGACACTTCGGCTCCGACTGCGCTGACGTCGTCGATCTGGAGATGGACTATACGAAGCGCTTCTGCCTCTTCCTCTTCCGCCGCGACTCCTGGATCGCGATCGTGACTGGTCCAGGACCTTCTTTGCACCAAGAGCACCTAAGCCAGCAGTCGCGAGGGCGGCAAGGCCGCTTGCTCCGCCGCCACCACCTGACTGGGACTTGGATCGAGCGCGAGAGCGAGAGCGGCTACGACCGGTCTTGTGGTCTTCTTCGATGTCGTTCCTTGAACCGCGAATCAAGCGGTTACCGACCAAACCACCGATGACGGATTCGGCCAGGCCCAACTTTCCTCCCTTATCATCGGTTGCTGTATCGACAGCAGCGGCACCAGCAGCTGCAGTAAGAATGCGCTTTGTCTTCTCGCCCTTCCAACCGCCAGGCTCTTTGGCTACACGGAATGCCTCTGTGGCACCAGCAAGCAGGGAAGCCATGGCGGCCTTCTGAATCTTGTTGGCGCCGCCGCTACCGCCTGCATGGGAACGAGAACGGTCGCTAGAGGGACTGCCTCCCCTGCGGCTTCTAGTATCGTCTCCGCCACCGGTAAGACTCTTAACCGCAGCACCAAGACCGGTAGCTGCAATGGCGCTTTCAAGGAAGTTCTTATGACCCTTCTTCTCCCGGGGGCTGTCTTCCTCATCGGAGTAGTAATCGCTATAATAGCCGTCACGGCCACGTTGAAGAATCATGTTGGCCTTTTGGTCCTTCTTGGCCTGCTGCTTGTTGTAGAACTGAGCGCCCTGGTAGGCAGCCAAGGCGCCGACTCCGGCGAGAGCAGCAGTTGAAAGAGGGTTGCGCTGGACTTCAGTGCGATCCTCTTTAGCCTCACGACGATCGTATAGCTCCTTGCCGCCTGCCAAAAGGGCGGCACCGGCGACAGCTGCGATGATCTTCTCATTCTTGGACATACCCTTGGGTTTCGACTTGCGATCCTCATCTTCATAGTATGGGCTGGAGTGACCTCGGTGAGAGCGGCGGTCGTGGTCGCGGTCACGGTCGCGAGGGTCGTAGCCGCGACGATACTCGTACTCTTCCTCGTAGTAGTTTGGTCCAGCTGATCGGGCCCGGCGGATGTCGCGGGTGCCAGGAGGAGGGAAGTCCCGTCGAACCTCCTCTATTGATAGGTCGCTATCCTCGCGACCGCGGGGAACAATCTCACGGTGGGTCTTTGAGGTGAAGGAGTCTCGAGGGTCGAGATAGCGAGGTTCCTCTCGACGCTCCTCTCGCACATAACGGCGAGAGTAGTCCCGGTCGTACGGGTCGTAGTTTGACATGACGGTGTGTGTCGTTTCTTTATTGTCGCTATATTCTGATGATGACGTAATAGATGATGTTTGCTGTATAGGTAGTTTGGGTTCTTGTAACGTGAGGATAAATGATGCTTGTTTGTTGTTGTATTTTAAATCAGATGTGAATGATTCTGGCGATGCAAGGAGGAAAAGGAAACAGGATGTGGCGGGAGGAGCAGGTTAAGAAAAGAAGCAAGAGAAACCCAGCCACAACCAAGACAAGACAAGACAAGACGCAAGACCTCCCAAGCAAAACAGGGTCCTTTGGTACGGACGGTTACAAGGGGGAAGGAACCTAGGACAGGCAGGATGGATGGAGCGGGAGCCAGAAGGTAGAGCCAAGAAAGTGGGTTGAGCCGGCAGGTGCAGAGTGTTAGTGGACGACCGAACCTGCTTTACCTTAGATTAGGTAGGTAGTTGGTAAATGTGTGGAAGGTGGATGGATGGGCATCAACGGGATACGGAAGGCAGCAACGGCGACACTGGCTCTCTCATGTTGGAAACTCTAAATAGGTAGGCACCTAGGGATGGGTACGATTCTAGTCAGGCCTCTAGGTAGGTGTGCTATTGCCTTTTCTCTTGATGGATTATTAGGTTTCGTGTTATGGTTTACTAGGTATGATGATTGGGCTGTATCGTTAACAATGAACATCGTCACAGCACTCGAAGGGTACATCCATCCATCTATTTTCTGCTGTACAAGCGGGGCGAAAGCAACGACGTAATCAAGAGGGGTTCTCGTTAAGTTGGACGCACAGCGCTGACGCTATTCGACAGGGGTTACGGCCTTGTAGGGCCCACTAGAAGGTCTTGGGGTGCGCTGGGCGCTGGGGCACGGCATCTAACAGCCAGCTGGGCATTCTTTCAGCATCAGCACAGCCTGGACAGCCCAGTTTTTGTTTCTTTAGGTTCGCTTGCGCCACAGGATATTTGTTTCCACTACAAAGCGAAAACGCTCTTAACGCCCGGCGATACCGAGAAGACGATGGAAGCGGTTGAAACGTGACGTTGGGAGATAGAATCATGAAGCGATTTTGCTTCTCCGCTCTCTTGCGGTAGCTGAGAACAGAGAAGAGAAAACTTGACTTGTATGGGAGGCTCCGTGTCCTCTGATCCAGGTCTCCCCTGTTAATCAAGAAAGCCCCAGTGGGCTTTGTTCAAAGTGAGGCTCTTTGCCGTCAGTCAACTTTGGAAATCAGTCCCCCAGCTTGATCTCTCTCCCTCTCTCTCTCTCAGATCTCGCTTCGAACAGTAGGGGTCGTCTCAAGGTTATTAGATTGAGGCTCAAGAGTCGTTCCTCGATGTGATTTGCAAGGCTTGTCCTACCTCACACAAGGAGGGGTCCATGGACATCTAACTGCATTAGCCATTAGGTAACGGCTCGATATGTACAGTGCTTAGCCTTGAACTAGATTTTTGCCACGTTTGATGAGTTGTTCTCTTCTAGAAACACTTGTCACCTTGTGAAACTCGGAGCTAATTAATAGTGTACGATGTAGAAGCAACGGTCAAGCACATGCCACAAGGCAAGACAAGTCTAACAAGTCGAGTCAAGTCAAGCCAAGCCGGGCGGGAAGAAGAAGAAAGGAAAGTCAGATCCATCCAATCGCCTCTTTCCTTTCCCATCTTTTGACTTTTGAGTTTGACTTGCGACATGTGACGCAATGTTTCGTTGGCAACAGCTGATGGGAGTTCATGACCAGCTCAGCCACATTTTAACAGCATCCGCCACACCGTTTGACCCAAGTACCTATGCAGTATGCAGTGCATCACCTTCTTTATCATCTATCACCAAGTTCATCTCTTTTAGTGATTCGATCCTCGAATGCTACTCTGATGACGTGCATATTGCGATCAAAGGGCTCACTTGAGTAAGGTTGACTCGTCAAACCACAAGGTACGGAGCGTTCTATTATCACTGAGCCTTATTGACTACTATAAGTCGGCAGTTATCCCGTGATATCAGATATACCACATTATGCTTGTGAACAGATACCTAGTCATGAAGTTGTCATAAATAATTACAGCAGTTTCTCAGCTGTAGCACGTTCTAGCGTATTATGGCTAATTTCAACTCTATCTTATACAAAAACAACACCAATTCCGTGCCAATACCACACTAGAACCTAAATCTCACACTCGGCGTGATAGTGTTGCAAGAACCAACCCAATACTACGTATATGCTGCCTTTGCAAACCCCAAACTCCATCGAAAAGATTCCCTATCATTCTCCAGTTGAGATTAACTACAACATACAGGACGTGACTGTACACATATTGTAACTTTGTTCATGAATCATGCGTCGTCAGAGCGTTTGGTGGCATCAGGCTCATCCATGTCACCCGTGTGCTGAGTCTCGCCATCCTGGACACCGTAATCGGTAGGATCCGCCTCCTCATCCATATTATCCATCTGATCAGGCTCGACGAGGGCGTACTTGCTCTTTCTTCGGATGCGGGCGCCATACCAGAAGAATACAAAGGGGATGATGGCGAGCATAGTTGCGACTCCTCCGATGAGAGAGCCTCCGCCTCCGACGCCGAGAGCGGTGAACATCTGGGCCGTGAATAGAGGAGCCGCTGCGCTACCGGCCGAGCGAGCAACAGTGTTTGCCGCGATGACAGAGGCTGCGTACTGGGCGTAGGTGTCGGTGAGGTAGTTGATAATGGCGACGTAGACCAGCATCAGAGCGGCTGAGAGGAAGGTACCTGCAAGCGTTGGGACAATCCAGGGAACGGCACTATCTTGTATTAATTAAATTTTCTTATTGGAAAACGGAGGATTGAAAGAACTTACTTATGTTCGGCTGACCACGCAAGCCAAAACATGGTGATGGGGAACGCAACACCACCAAACATGGCCATGAGAAGTCGATCCTCTGGCAGGAGAGTCTTTCCGGACGCCTCCTTGCCTCGCCGTCGCTCGCTGTCGACAAAGATGACAGTGGCTCCAAGAACAGCCCCGACGACCTGGCCGAGTAGAGGTAGCTGTGAAACCCCGGCATTCCAGCCTCTCATGTCCCGGAAGACAATAGGATAGATGCTGAAGAGCATGAACTGGAGGGTGAATACGATGCAGGTGTAGATGGAGCAGAGAAGAGAGATGAGGTCGAACATGAGAATCCAAGGCCGTGTCAGCGCCAGCTTGTAGACTTGGGCCAAGCTGGGCTTGTCCTCTTCTCCCTCCATGATGGCCTTCTCATAACCAGGAATTCCAGACTGTCGAGCCCGTTTGGACTTTTTGGCGAGGATAGTCGGCGCATGCGTTTCGGGGATCATGAACATGACGAGTACGGTCAGGGCTCCGAGCCAGAGGACAGAGTACATGCCCCATCGCCAGTCTTTCTTTAGCTGGACAAAGCCAGAAACTACAGGTCCAAGCGATGGGCCGACCCAAGAAGCCAAGCTAAAGATTCCAGTGGCATTTCCTCGCTCTATAGGGTCCCAAAGATCGACTAGGACACCGGGAGTGGTGCTCAGAGGAGCAGAGATAAAAACTCCAGCCAAGAATCTTCCAACGAGAAGCGACTCAAAGTTTGCGGGGAAAGCGCAGAGAAAGTTAAAGGCCATGTATGCGATAAAGGTGATATAGAAGATCCATCGACGACCGTAGAACTCAGACAGAGGCGCAAAGACAAAAGGTCCTGCGCAGAAACCGAGGAGAAACATGGTGGTTGTCAAGCCTGCAGCAACTTGCGAGACGCCAAACTCTTCAACGACAGAGTCGAAGCTGCCTGAGAAGATGCTTGAAGCAAAGTTTCCGTTCATGGCTAGTAGAACGGCGAGGCATGTAATAGTCCATTTCCGAGTCATGGACCAGTTTCGTGGATTCTCAACATCATCGGGGGAGAAATCGACATAGCCATCTTGGTTGAGGTAAGGAGCCTCATGTCTGTTGATGCCAATATCAGGCTTGAAGGTCAGGTAGAAGAGGCCCCTGTCCATTTTTGCGGTCATATTGAAGGAGGCTGTGCCCTTGCCAAATGCTTGGGGGTGTACGATGGGAGATCATGAGAAGGGAGGGGGATAGTGTTGGGTGAAGAATTTATCTATATGCTGGAATAGGTGAGAATAGGGAGCGAGTGCCCACAGCATATTTATATGTTCTCGTTCATAGCCACTTCAACTCAGCATCATGATGAAATAGTTTGGTTCGCCATTGAAGGCGGCCTTGGTGAAGTGAAGTTGACGTCAAGTTCCCCAGGCTGAATATATCTTGAGCACCCTGCGGTGAGCAAACACTCCATCTTTCCCCAGACTCGCCGGAGGTAAGCTCCGTCAAGTACGGCCTACACTGCTTAATTCGTCGGTTCTTTGACCCCCGTGGGCCGTGGTTGTATTCACTATTCAGGCCCGGTAGCTTTCCTCCCAAGCTTTTTATCTCCCCGGACTCATACTAGTATATATATCGACTTGAAGAACAGATGCTAACTCTGCGAATTTTGCCCTCTAGGACATGAGGCGAGTTTATGAGACATGCAGAATTGCAATCCGGATATCATACTTGCGGTCAATAAAGCTTATCATGATACCATAGCCTGGGGAGACTGATTATGTGCAACTTGGCGGTCCAAGGAAGCATATAGAAATTCAACCCTGTATGCAGATCACTTAGTCAAGCACATATCCTAGTCCCGCCCCCCTGGGATGTGGGTGGCATGACACAGTTATGTATACGAATCAGGCTGCTTTATTGTTTATATCGAGGTTTAGGGTAGAGTCGGATTTGGAAGCTTCTATGCATGAGAACACACACTTCCGCCTCTAGCTATTGGCGGCGAGGTGGAGATTATTCCACGGCCACTTCCACACGCTTTCACTCACAAGTATCACCCAACGCTGTGGCATTCCACGTAGCATCGAATCAACAGCTAAACTTATGCTGATCCCTTTCATCTTCCTACTTTTGATCGGACTTTTATTCGCATTATAATCGGAAGTTTTGCTCCGTACAAGCTGAAGTATCCAAACTCACCCCTCGATACATATACGAAGGTACTCACTGCCGCCGCTAAGACTGACTACAAAGCTGTACGGATACCGAGTACCACCTCTAAATTTCTTAATTTATTTTTCCCTTTCAATATTTTCCAATTGACGTCATGTCTAAGCACAAATAATCTGCAGGTCTTGTGCCGACATTTCCTCTTTGGGTATATTCTGGGGGGGGACCCCGGCTCCAGCTCCGGCTCCGGCTCCGGTTTTAACACTCGGTCTTTCATTCATGCAAGGCACAGCTATGAAGAAATTATCTCCATGGCTGCACGATGGCCTCACTCCCATGTCGAAATATGGCCCATCTCAAACTCATCAATCGCGATGCCTCAACTACGGCACGGACATACCATGACTCACCGGATCAGAATCTCCGTAGATGCGAGGATAGATATCCTTGAGGGTGTACTAAGGGTAACGCACGACCTTTTTTCCACTGAGAATACACTCCGCCAATGCAAGAATGTCGTTTTCCACCACGGCCTGTTTTTTTGGAGATTTATCCGTAATCTTTGCCGTGATGGTTTGATTACTCGAAACAAAGATGAGACACCGAAAGAGCGAGTGTTGTTGTATCTGCAGTAGTGAATGGTCACTGAACTTGGTTTCCAAGGACAGCTCCGGGGCTACTTCAACTACCTAATGCTGCAGCATATCTTGTGGGTTAGGTGAGTTTTTCTTCTAGTTGTATTCGGATTATCAGGTCACTGTACGTAAAAGGACGGTAGTCAGCTATCCTTCATGTTGACATAAGAGGCCCAATACACAGTAATTATATGTAGTTTTCGCCTCATTCCATAGGTTCTTACGGAGTCGCAGTCCACAACACAGTTTTTATGAAACTATCTATAATTTACTCTCTAGCCTATGGACGATTTGATCTTTCAGTCTTAAGCTGACACTTCCGTTATCGACCATGTGGGTCCAAACCCGAGCCTGCAAATATCCACCAAGAAAAACCCCAGATTCCTCAGCAAACGAACTAGCAAAAATCGGCATAAAACACCCAAAAAGAAACATACAACAGCGGGGATTCGCTGGTCGTCACCGACCCAACTACTAATCCGCCGGTTAGTGGCTTGACTATGGGAGAGCGGACGGGATCCCGTATTTTCCACTACCTTTGGTCGTATGTGCTAGACATAGATACTAACTCAGTATATATACATTAGTAGGGAGGTAGTCAGTAGTCTGACCAGACTCTACTCGTCCTCCTTCAAATTGGACCAGCCCGTCATGGGACTGTTGTTCTTGTAGCTGTAAAACAACTGTTCCGTCAATCTCATACCCATGCTATGCGCCTCACAATATCTCTCGATGCATTGCCTCATCACAGAATAGTTCTGAATGTCCTTGAAGTACAGGAACGGTGGCCTTGGAGGCTCTTCTCCCTCGTAATACGGCTCTTTTGCTTTTATCATGAAGCCCATCGCCACTGTCTGGTATCCGGGAGCTCCGACTCCACGTGTCGATTCTTTGGAGAATAGGAGCATGGCCATGTTGATGGAGGAAACGGGGAAGTAGAGCGTACTCTCCCCTAGCCACAGGATACCCTTGGGTAGGAAGTACAACGAGCCTGGTTTGATACGGTGAGCTTGCCACAGATGTTTTACACCATTGAATACATCTTTCACTCACCTTCGCTCCTTTCTACGTAGCTGTCTTCCACTTTGTCGAGATTGGCTAGACATTTAAACATCATCGGCTGGCTCTGGTCGTGTACCTGGGCCTTGAAGATAACCTGCTGCTCTTCGGGATTTTGGAGGTGATCTTTGAATGTCGGGTAGCCTTTCGAGTCCTTTGGTAATTCCGTCGTTCGGATGACCGTGTCGAGCATCTCGAATCTAATGATCTTGGGATACTTCTTGGTCACTGCGGAGGAGCCGGTCGCAGCAGTTGGAACAATCACAACGGTATACTTTGATGGGTTTACCTTTCCCTCGGGTATGACAATGATCCGTTCTACTCGTTTGATGAGTTTACCACGGAAACGACCAATTGCAAAATGCAGGGACAACTTACCAATGTGCTGGTGAGGAACAACAAACAGGTAATAATCTGGATCCGACTGAACGCCTCTTGTGAAACGAAAGAAGTCCCACCCAGGTTCATCCTTTTCCGCTGTGGTCCGAATTCTCCCATATCCCTCAAAGGGCGAGATAACATGAATGGGAGGTAGAGTACTAGACACGATTTCACGGTCGTACCCAGCAAAGTATTCTGCAGGTTTTCCTTGAAGATATTGAGTCTCCCACTCGCGTCGATCTTCAGCTGCCTTCGCCTTTCTTCGCTCTACATGCTCCTCCTTAGTTCTAGGCTTGGGTTTGGATTTGGCTTTGGACTGTGATGCGGCTGCTTTCGCGCCTGGCTTGACGACGCGTCCAGAGATGACCGGGGGCATGGTTCTTTTGATGGATGATATCCAGGGCTTCAAATAAACAATTAAGCGCTTTCCAGAAAACTTTTTTACTATATCTGCTTTTCCCGTCTATCAGAGAAAGAGATAGAGAAAGAAAGAAAAATGTGAATTTGTTCTTGGTGTCATTCATTGGTGAGTGGCTCTTCTCGGCGAGTTTCAGCGCGTCGTGTTTTAGTCATGGGCATGACGTAAGCGAGTACAGTTAACTTTGCTTTGTACTTTGTTGTTAGGATAGGTACCTATTAGGTACACAGCATCAATTAATGGAAGTAAATTTGTGTCGTGTATTTGCTTATTAGGTACTTTAAGGCTGCTAGATAAAGTGGCGGATCTTTGATTCGTCCCTAGAGGTATGTGAGTATTTTCAACCACATTGCAGTTCAATCAAATATACACAAGGAAAGCAGTCAATTGACCACAGAATAATGAATGAAATAGAAAAAAATACACACCAATCCTAACTGTAGGATTTGACATTCATTCTTTAGTTATCTTACTCAACAGCATTTTTGCCATGATCCTTCCTGCTTCAGTTACCCTACACCTATAACCCACCTACCCCAGTGACCCCTCAACCCCGCCAATATGATGGGCAAACTTGTCATGACGGTTCGAAAACTAGCTGAGTTATGGACAAAAACACCACATCAACGCTCACATTTGCTTGCCCCCATATTCTACCATCACATTCGCCAACGGCGTATGTAGCCAATGAAACCATCTTTCCCCAGAATAAGAATGTCTCCCGTGCCCTCATGTCTCTCGCCTATAGCCTGTCATGCATTAGTGAGCCCTAACTCCATGCGTACCAGACACCTCACCAACGATACAATGACAAAGTACGTATCTGAATTAAACTGGCAAACTCATGAGACGTCACTATGCAGAGCTGAACACTTCTCGACATGGGTTTTCATTTCTGTGAAGTTGAAACTATGGTACATTTTTTCGAAATCAAAGTAAAAAACAACAACAAAAAATCAAGAAAGTAATAACTCCGTGATTTTGTTACCAAGCCTTTGGAGAGTCCCTTCCTTCTAGCATCAGACCGACCGCTGGTGAATGAAATCAAGACCAAACCCATCCCTGAACCCCTTTCAAATGCAGTCGAGAGACAACAAGAATCCGTGTGTGCCGTAGCTCAGTATCATGCGTGAACGTACTTTTCTTAACCCATATCCATTTCCTTCACCTGCTTCGAAACTGCGATGTACCCCCAACCCCTTCCACCAGGCCGCTATCGCCGTCGCCTGGCCTTTTTAGTTCATCATGGCACCAACCAAGCCGAGTCTCCGATCCAGATGTAAGCCATGGCATACATGTCCCGAGACACGACTTTCCAATATATCGTGGACGCCTTCGCGCTTTAACAAATATAAACCCGCTTGGAATACGCCGCCCTGAGAAGCAAAACAGATCACTTGAGTAATAACCCCATCCCGTATTCTTTCATCGACCCACCCCAATGGTTCGGTCTTGCTTTGTTTGACATGGTATCAAATATCTGTAGGGCATCCGTACTGCCCTTTGGTTCTCTTCGACGTCCCAATGACGTAACGTAAACACACATGTTTCTGATACCTTGTCGCTTCCCCTAAGTCTCGAAGTGGACATGCCGACAAGCCACTTCGACACACCATCGACTCATTTGTGGTTTGATGTAAAGTTGCAGGGGCCTTGTTAAGTAGGCATATAGTCCCCGGAAACCCCATCCAACAGTTTCGCAAAGAACTTGTGAACCAAGAAGACTGCAGTCGACACAACGCCATGCCTAGTGACGGACCAGAAGCCAACACCAGGCCACATTTTGAGATCGTAAACATTGGTAAAACTTGGGACGCGTAAATTCATATCAACCCAAATCAAGGGTGTGGCAATAACTCTCCCTCTCAGATAACACATACCAGGCCTTGATGAATATACAGTACACCTGGCACACCCACGATGAGATACGCCCCCTCTTCTGGAAGCATAGACTAAGACTGAGTTGTTTGTGAATCTTCAGAATGCACACCGTTCGTAAGCGGCGCAGTGCTCTCGGTGTGGCCGTTTGTCAAAGCCTCGACACTGGTCATCTGTGTCTCACCCGTGGGACCAACGAGAGGAACCCTCCCCGAAGGCGAGAAATCAGGGACCTCAGCCGATAGCTGGCTAGTACCATTCTGAACAACTCCGTTGACGTCGTGGGGGGCAAAGTGTTGGAATGAAGGGTCGTGAGGATACATGGGCGCGCCATAGTGCATGGGAGGGATGCCATTGAATTGACCGGTGGGGTAGTTATAGTGCCGGTTCTTGAAAGTAGGATGCATAGGGCCATCGTTGCGAGCCAATTGGTCTCGCTCTTCCATCGGGCAAACAAAGCTCTGCCAGCTATGTCGACGACGCAGTCGCTCGCCGTTGTCCTCGCCAATGACATAGTCAACCTCGTCCAAATCCTCGCAAACGGCGCGGAGGAGGTTCATATCACCCGTCATGTCTTGCATGCGCTTGAACGCGGCAACGAAATGGAGAGGTACGAATCCTTGGGAATCCATATGCTGTCGAAGATATGTGTCCTTGCACAGATTCTCGATGGAGAAGTAGTATTCAAGCTGAGTCTTGATAGCGGCGCTGAGTAGAGTGTCGACGTGAATAGGAGCGAAAGGAACTGCACCCATGGGAGGAGCGGCCATGGAGTAATCATAAGGAGCGAACGGAGCTGGGACAACAGGCACACGAGAACTGCCGCTTGGTGCAGACATGCGATGGAAGTTGTTAGCGCTATTGCGGCCGCGACCCCGCTGAGAGGAAGCCGGGAACATGCCGCCATGACCACCCTGACGCAGAGGGGGACTGTAACCCTGGGATCGGGAGGCACCAGCACCTTGCCCATGGAATCCGGAAGAAGAAACAGTATGCTGAGACTGGGAGTGGGCGTGGTGAGCACCTCGTCCGCGGTAACCACCTCGGCCTCTCTCACCGCGACCTTCAGTGCGGCTGTGAGGAACATGAGAAGTCTCCTGCACAAATATTCATTAGTATGAATGTAATCGAGGACAGTGCCGGTCATCCAAAGCTGAACGTGCACCGTATTGATGTGATATCACTTACCGAAGTGTGAGCAGGCGAATCCTTGGCCTTATCAGAACCAGCGTTTGTTGTGTTCTTCTTTTGACCGTTGGCGACATCGACTGACCCACGCTTGGATGCAGAGGGTTGCGATGCGCCATTGTTGGCAGCATCGCGAGGCTTTGTATCATTGGCCTTGTTTAGGGGAGCAGCAGAAGTGGCCTTGTCAGCGACACCGTTGGCTGCGGCTCGGGAAGTGGTATCACGACTACCACGAGCACCCCCGCGAGGCTTCGAGCCACGCATTTGAGGAAGTTGGGTCTCGAAGGTAACCGTTGGGACGTAATCCATAGACACCCACTTCTGTCGGGACTTCGATGCACTGCCGTCTTCTTGGCTGTCCTGGTCGGAACGGTCTGACTTATCAGGAGCCTTTTCGGTAGTCTTCTTCTTGCTGTCCTCCTTGATAGCAGTGATGGCGGTCTCCGGAGTAGGCCATGCTGTAGAGTCCTCAACTGATGGAGGGACTTCGCTCTTGCCATCTTTCTCATTTGCCCGCACACCTCGAGGACCATTTCGCTCCGGTCGCACAGTGCTTACTGACTTTTGCTGAGGCTTAGCGCCGTTCATATAAGGTGTGGAAGCGGACTCGCCGGTCTTCTTTTCTTCCTTATGGTTAGAGGTACCGTTGGTCGTAGCCTCTGCAGGTGTGGGAGCAGGCTTGGCAGACTTTGCCTGGTGAGCCTCCTTTCGCTTGTGCCAGATGTTGACGCTGGGGATGGGCGCTTCGGAGAGTGGGATTTTTGGTGGCTCAGGAACCGCCTCCTGCTCCTTGTCTGCGGCTGGTTCGCCGGACTGCTTCTCCGAGGTCTTGCCCTTCTTACTTCGCCTGGCCTTTCGAGAGTCCTGCTCCTCAACAGGCCGGGTAGCATTACTTGATGATTCCTGTGCCTGCCCGGGTCGCCGCCACGGGAGCTCTAACTTTCCAGCATCATCCTCGCGCTTCGACTCGGCTCGTCTGCTTTGCGTCGACTCGGAGCGGACATCGCTTTCAGATCCGGGAACGCTTTCTGAGTCGAGCTTCTCAGCAATAGGAGCAGTAACAGCCACAACCGCATTGGACTCGGCACTCTCAGGAGCTTCGGTGTCAGCCTGCTCGGCAGCAGACTCAGCCGCCTTTGCGTCGGCTACAGGAGCAGCAGTGTCAGCGTCAGCAGTAGGAGCCTGTGCGTCTTGAGCGGGAGTGTCTCCTTCAGCAGAGGCAGCAGTATTCAAGCCAGGGGTAGTGCCCTGACCCTTCGCAGCTTGCGCGTAGGAAAAAGCCGATTGGTTGGCCATATCGTTGGACTCGGTGATAGCTGATGGACTCATTTTGAATGAGTCGTGTGTCGTGCAGGCTTGCCGTACAAAACTGGACGAAAATAATACGACGAGATGTGGTGTTTCACCTGTTCAATCAAGTAATATATCTAGGTATTAGAAAACCCCAGGATGTATCGCAACTCCCTCCACACGGTAGGAGACGCGCAAAGCACCCGTGTGCAGTATAATCGCTGCTCGGAAAGTCCCGACTGATGAAGGCGTTGGAATTCGAGATCCTTGAGCAACGAGCCGAAGATCGAAGGATCGAGTCGAAGACGGAAGACTGGGAGCGAAGTGTCTGCTAGGCCAAGTATTTCAGGCTTTAAGACAAATGTTGAATCGGGTTGTGCGCGAACGCTGGGTATGTTTCGATTCAAGTCCAAGCGAGGAAAAAAGAGCGATTCTATGCTGTCAGAAAATCTTTGCTTGGTCGAAGATGGCAACCTGGGGAAGCAGGCAGCAAAAGTTCGAGCAACGTGAGAAAGATAAATAGTTGTCAGGTCGACTGATAATTTCTAGACGGTAAGTCTAAGAAAAATAAAGAGAATTGTGTTCTGCTGTTCGTCTGTTATGCTTTGTGGCTGTAAAAATACAGAAGAGTCGGCACGACAGGGCAATGGTGTCGATTGGAGGGGAAGCTCGTGAACTGTTACCAGGACCAGAACCTGAACCTCAACCTAAACCGAGGCTGAGGGGGTATTTTCTTGCTGCGTTGTCTCGTCACGAGGGTATCGGGAGAAAGCGCAAAAAGGGCAGGCGGGGTGGTTATGATGGATGACAAGAGTCAAGGGTGAGAAGAGAGAGGTAGAGAGATAGAGGGGTAGGAGAAAGAGATAATGTAAGGTAATAGAACCTGTACAAAATAATCTGCAGCGGCAATTCTTGTTTAGAACCGAGCTGGCAGGAGAGAGGGAGAGGGAGAGGGCGAGAGAGAGAGAGATGAGATGGGAGTTGTGGTTTACAGGAAGGAGGGCACACGGCAACCAGGGAATGAGAAAACTAAGACCGGAGGTTATTTTTTGCGTTGTGTGAATAATAAATTTTTTCTGATCTTTTTTTCCCCTCCCGCTTTCTAAGGTTCTGATCCGCAGTTGTCCACTTGCTCCGTCCGTCACTGCACAGCATTAACGTTAGTACAGTAGTAGGTACCTGACACAGAAGAGCACGGAAGGGTGACAGAAGGTACCACGAAAATACACTGCAACTTACTGATTGAGAAGGTACTAACTTACCTAACCTCCACTCCATACCTACCAATCAGTCGTCCACTGCGCCGAGCCGAATTACCTAGGTACTGTGTATTTGCTACGGGACAAGATGGGAGGACCCAAGTTGGAAACTGACAATATAATGGCATTAATACATGTTTTATTCATTTATTATTCATTTACTTTCTCGATGGGATTTCTGTATGTATCTTTATCCAACTGTCTTTACAATTGAGTCTCTATCAATACCACGGCAACAATGCCCTGCCCCATTCCTCTGATGCGGTCATGATCGTTCATCGAATGATAGCCGGAGTAGGTGCGTGCATTTGGGCTCCAGGCTCCAGAACTTATTAACTTACTTACATTACAACACCAAAGTCCACTGAGTGCATGGTGCTCCGTACAAGCAGGTCAGCGGTGGGGCACGCAAACGAGAAGACCCTGTCACTGACTCGAAGGCCCAAGCCAAGGTTAAAAAGCCCTGCAACCGACGGGAGCTAACCTTCCTTGGGCCGCCTGGGGTCTTGAGGTCATCGGAGTGGGATTCAGAGCAAAATCCATTGCCTGACGAAATGGAGGATTTTACGGATACTCAGGGCGGGCTTTACTCCACTTCCAATCGCTTAGGAGCCCGTCATGAATCCGAAACCCCGGGTGAGGCTTGGGGCAGAGACCGCGACCGTGATAGGGTGGAGTTTGCGCGAATATAAATCGGCTTTTACCCCATGGAAGTTGCAGTTCTTGTCATTGTTACTCTCTCAAATCCGTTGTGACCCTGTAAGGGTTTTCTGTCTTTTATTTCTTTTTGTTTTGGTTTATTTCTTGTTGCCTGATTGTGTTTTCTTCATCCCTGATGGCTCTTGTTTGGTTGGGGCAGCCTTGTCACTGTCATATGGATGTGTGAACAAACTTCATGTTGTAATGGCATGGTGCATACATCGCAATCAACCACTAAATCTCCGTGTCCCCCTTAGAGCAGATGTCTGTGGTAGAATTCCCCCAACAGGGCGGCGTGGCTCTTTGATATGGCCTGATCCTTGTATGGGTTCTCGGATACGACTGTAATTTAGCTTCTATAAAGGGTAATCCATGTGGCATATGCTGGCCGTGGCCGATAAAGAGTTTTCGAATTTTCATCATTTGTACAGACAGCATAGTACCAAATTCAATAGGATAAGCCAACCACAGTCAACAACTTATATTATATGTCCTTAAAAAGACCACAAACTCACCGCTCGCCGTGTTCAGGATACTATGCGAAATCATATCGGTAGTGTACTTTATGCAGCAAAGTATCACCATCCATCAGGTTCGTGCCGCAGTGCGTAGTGGCTGCTACTTACATTGACCAATAGGAAACAACCCAGTGAATTGTTTTATAGAACACTACTACCTACTACCAACCTATCTTCAAGGTACCTACCTACCAAAGATATTGTTGGTGTCTCCTTCAGGGGATCTTTACACAGGAAACAGTTGTTAGCGTCTGTATACCTGAGGCTACGTTGCCAGGTTGAACCCATTGTTTCCTCTTCGGCATTGATCATGCGGTAACATTGTCTCTCCCCCTCCAAATCCTTCCAAATAGGCTGAAGCTCAGAGGAGAGAGTATGTGTGTTTTACGTCAGCATGCCTACATCATCTTGTGTAAGTAAGGCAACAGACGTACGCTCTATAAGGTTGCCCAAGGCTAGTACCTAACATACATACAATACTAATTTACTCGTCACAGCAACCGAGAACGAGGTTCTTTGGGGAAGCTTTATTAGGTCTAAGCGAGGCAAGCAAGCCATGCAATAATCAGCATATCTAACATTTCCGAGTAATCAGCCAGACCACACTCATAAGGTTACAAGCCGAGGCCGCTCAACCAACGAACGCTCATTGGGCACAGCACCTGACGGCCTGCCTTTTTGGAGTAACACGGTGACTTCACTCCGGAGTCCTTATCTTATCAGTTGGCCCACCATAACCACACAAGTACCCAGGTAGAGTGAGGGAAGGGAGTGCCTATTGAAGGAGATTGTGATGCTTTGGATATTCAAGTAGAACCGATTTGACTGTCGATATCTTGGAGAAGAAGTCTTCCTAATCCATCCAATAAACACGATAGCCCATTTAAAGCTAAAAACTTAATCATAAACTTCTGATATTCTTTGATCTCTTGGTGCTTTCCCTACGATCGGACCTTCGTTTCTCTTAGCATATGACCCCAGTGCTGATGGCCCAGAATTTGAACGCCATGTCAAAACCGTTCAGATGTTCGGAAAAGTTCATGCCCCTTCATCCAAGATTCTTGGGCGAAACGGAAGGTTGGTTCAGTTGAGGACTGTGCGGCTCAAAGGAACGGATAGATATTGAAGGCTTGAAACATTTGATCTAAATAAAAACTTAAAGTGAGCTGTGTAGGAACCTAATAAACTATACATTTCAGGATCCAAAAACGACAGGTTTCTCAAGACCAGTCGACTTTTACACCGCCCAAGCTGACGTAGTGGGCTCGTTACTGATATTACACAAGACAGACAACTGATATACACTAGAGCCATAATTTCATACGAGCTCAGGAGTGGCTCTGAAGAGTTGACCAAACGTACGGGCATCTTTAATCTACCCCAAGTTGCTTTTTAGCCGGTCATCCAAGCCGCTGCTTGTCTCGCGCCAAATGTCGAGGCAAAGCGTAAGCCAGTAGATCCCATAGGGAAATAACTGATCAAGTACCAGACCAAGCAGGCGAGCTGGACAAGGGCCGAGAACAAGGTAAGAATTGTGCTGTGAAGCTGCGGGCTGTTAGTAAAACGGCATTACATATCAACCAAGGGCAAAACTTACCTTCAAGGCAAACACAAGTGTCAACGTGATAGAGCCAAAATAGGCCGCAGTAAACGGCAATCGAGGGGTCGAGAAGAGATGGTAGACGTAGTTCATAGGGCCCATAACCGCAGCGAACGAGGCCAAGAACATCAAAGATCCAACGGACCATCTGTGCAACCCCACATTAGCTTCCATATGGGATTCCAACTTTACCATGCCAAACCCACTACACCATATCATGGGCAAATCCAGTCACACAATCAAAACGGTCTCGCAGTAGGACAACCGCGTGATAGAGATCGGCAAAGAGAACAAGGGACGATGCAGGGCACTGGGGAAGGGACGTGCAGAAGTTCCCGACTTACAAGATGACAAATTTGCGTGGTTTCAGTGAGAGAACAGGGAATAGAGTGAAGCAAATGACAAAACATGCCGCCGCTGCGAGGTTGCAAGCACCAAAGATCAACAACCGGTCCCATCGGCTAACTGCAAGTCGGGTTAGTGTCTTCTTACCACGAGCCATGTCATCTGCATCACATGCATGGTCCGGAGCATGGCTCAGATGCAATGCACATGTCCCGCTGCAGGGGTGCCGAGATTCCATGGGCCAAGGATATTCAGGGTTGACTTACGAACAAACCAGCCTTCCTCCTCTTCCCGTCGAGTAGGCGCAGGAAGAGGCGCACCAGAACTCTCAGTGGTGGGGAGGCGGACATAACCACTGCCTCCTTGGAAGGGATTCAGGCTCTGGATGGAGGAGAGTAGTCCACTCTGCTGAGATGTGTTGACCGGCTCATCGCGACGGCTCCAGCCAAGGGAGTTTATCGAGTCTCGGAAGGTCGAAGATGCCATGGCAGCAGGGGACACAGAGGGGGCGGAAACGTAAGGGACAGTTCCAACAAGGATGGGACAGGGACGGAACGGCTACGTCGATCGTGCGGCGCAAGTTCGGGCTCAGATTCAGACTTAGATTCAGACTCGGGCTCGAGCTCGTACGCAGTAATCGTGTTGGAGGGTGGGAGGGTCGTAAGGCATGCGATCGATAATGGCGGTCTCGTATCAAGCTAACAACACTACTTGGAGGAGTGATATCCACTTCCTTGGAAAGCCTGGTACTATGGTCACTGCGGTCAGTCGACGAGAGCCCATGATATAGGGATAAAGCCAAATTGAACAGGGTGTACAGTTCTGGCCGCCTACTGCGATGTGTCACTTACAGAGCTTGAGCTGGCTGCTGACGACGCTACTTTGCGCAAAGCGACGGTAGATTCGGAGGTCGACGAATAGTTTGGGAGGCTCGGAGCTAAGGGGGTGCAGGCGACCGCGCGTGCCGCTCGAAAATGGGGAGAAGGGAATGGCGGTAAGAAGGACGAGCGAGCAAGGCGACAAGCGATGAGACAAACGACAGATGCGCGACAAAAGGCAAGGTGATTGGAGTATTTCTGGTGCGAGAAAGAACAAAACGGGGGCAAAATGGGCGTTTGGAGAGAGGAGTGAAGTTGGACGTTGGAAGTTGGACGTCGATAGTGGAGGGCAACACTACTCCGTACGCAGCAGGCACTAAACCAGAAAGTTGATGGGTTGGGGTTGGGCGTGTGGTTCCTTCCTTGGATTGGATCCCATCCTTTGCAAGCCTTGCCTGCGGTTGTCGACCTCTCACAGAGCTTCCCTGTAGTTAGGCAGTTGAGGAGATTATATGATTGGCTGCAGCAAAGTGGGAATCCAGCTTGGGGTAGGTCTGGTGCCACTCATGGACTGTAGCTCCCCATCTTGCACCTTGCACCTTGCACGGGCCGTCCTTTGCCTTGATTGATGGAGCGGGGACGGGAGGGGATCATGCATGACAGAGAAGCATAGCATATGTGCCAGGGAGGAGCTGGAGGGGGAGTCAGTCAGAGTCACAATCACAGCTTGGAAGGGCCCAAAGCCTAGAGCCAGAGCTAGGACCAAAGCCAGAGCCAGAGCCAGAGCCAGAGCCAGAGCCAGAGCCAGTTTGTTTCGGAGCTGAGCTGCGTTTGGAGCCTTGCAGGACGGGAAGTTTCTGGGGGAGTTTCAGACCCCCGAGGCTGATCACAGGCGCGTCTACCCTTGCTAGCTACCTACTTTAGACAAGGTGAGTTATCTGCAGCCTTATGATATATCGATTTTACTTACACCATGTTATAGGCGGAAATAGACATTCCCATCTTATCAAGAGCTGGGTCGGGGTCTAGGTCTAAGCTTGAGGGGAGTGTGCGGACGGAGCGGGCTCCAGTTTACTACCTAGTTGAGGAGCGGACCGAAGAGGGCCGTACACGATCCGGAGGGAACTAAGTTGAGAGAGATCGTGTAGGGACAGCCTGACTGACACCCTCTATAGAACAGAGAAGAGTCAGAGCCCGTGTAGATACACTATGCCTAGGTGTAGTCCTGTTATAGTACCAGACACAACGAGGCAGAGGTCATGTTAGAAAGCCTTACTCTCCGCCTCTCGCTCACCCAACCATCAGCACTCGTCAAGTCGTCAGGCTGACGAAATCTGATGCTCACTCCGAAACACTCCGCTCCATGACTATCACGAGAAACAGCCGTGTCAAGATGTTTTGTAACTGAAGGTGGTGGTCTTGAGCTGGAGCGCGTGGCCAGGGAATGGAAGAAGGATGGGAAAGCTTTCAGCGCATGACCAAGCACAAGAGAGGGAATCTAGAGGAGGGCAATCGATTGTGTGTAGCAATTCCCGATGAGTCCTCAAAGTCCAAAGCAGTGGGTTGGGCTTGGTGTCTTAAATCTCAAGTCACGTTCAGCCTAGCGCCCACCCACACACACTTAGACAGTCGCATCCACACCCTCCATGCTCCATATTCCATACTCCCTTGGATATTATGTGTCTTGCATCGACTTTGAAGCGTATGTTGGAGCTAGAGCGGAGATGGAAGATGGAAGATGGAAGATAGCAGAAGAGCATGGCAACCACCATTACCGCCAACTTTCTTGATCCATGGCCAAGTCTATGCCCAGTTTGCGTGCAACTACAAGGGGACCAGTGACCATCGCATCCACGTTCGTCCGGATTACCTGGTGTCAGGCGGACCTAGGGCGATAAGATTTGTACATCTGACTTGCTGGGCCATGGCTAGTATTATTTTATAGCCCTTGTCTGTTTGTGTGAGTATAAATTAGGGGACCGTGGTGCTTCCAGCCTGCGGTCGAGTGATGATAGATCTATCTACCTCATCTTGCAGCAGCTGTGACAGAAAAGGCCGTTCTTGCTTGATCTGGATTTTGCAGAAAGGCACCGACATCTGGAACTACATCGAAACATAAACAGGAAACGGAAACGGGAGCGGGAACGAAACGGACATTTGAAGGAGTAAGCACAGCCAGAAGGAGACCAAGAACGGGACAAGCATGAGTCGATATCAAGAGCGAGGCTAAGAACAGAACAAGAAGAGATATCCACTTTAGCATTCCGAAACGCACAATATTTGATCGTCATCGTACCTACCGCCTTTGTGAGAGTACCTTTTTTAGCCACCAAGAGAAAGACGGGAGACCCTTACATTGGTGTATGGGCTTGTTCGTATCGGATTTTAATATCGACCACTACTACCACTACCACTACCTTTCACCTTACGTACCCCCCCTTCTTCTTCACCTCAGCCACGACCGAGCGTTCAGAGGTCTTGTGTTGGACCCTTGACCGACTCATCACTCATCGTCACTAGAATACTTACTACTCACTTACACCACCCTTTCCTAAACGCCCGACCCATCACCTGTTCTGTTCTGTTCTATCCCGTCCACAGCTCTAGGCCCCTCCAGGACATCTGCGCGGCGCCAGAAATACAATAAAACGTCAGACCGCCTGCTTTGGACCGTCAATCGAACACGCCAATCTTGACCTATCTTGGTATTTGTACAAACTATCCGATCCTGCCGCCAGTCTTACGCCATTTCTAGTCTGGACGTCAAACCAGATCTCGACGATCCGTGCGTCTTGAATAAATTCAAACGCACACCCGCAATATTGAGAAGAGAGAGAGAGAGAGAGACAAGTAAAGAAGAACAATATCATCTTTGTTTTCTAATCCTGTTGTATCCGCCAACTTTGTTCTCTTCTATCGTCTCGATCTTTAGCGGCCGGCCTCACATCATCCCGAGGGACAGAAATTGATAACACGCACACACATACCAGATCACATCACCGTACATTACGGACCTGAACCCTGCATTTCAGTGCCCCGCCATCCATCTATTTCCCGATTTGGACTTGAGAGTTCAAGCACTTCCTTCAGCTTCAGCCAGCTCTTCTTACAACTGATTTACCTTACCTTACGGTATCGACTATAACTCGGGTACTTTATCCTGCTCACGTCCCATTCGATTCGCTTCCACTCGACTCGACTCGAAACCGACTTATCATATCATCACCTCTTATCCGTTGTGTTGCGTCGTATCGCATCGCATCTCTTCTCTTCTCAACTCCAAGCTGCCTCTTCGCACCTCGGCTGTCACATCACATCGCATATAAGTGACCGTGCAACCTTGCATCACAAAACCCGACTGTTTCCATGCATTCTGCGCAACTCGGTGCTTTTAATATTCTTGGTGAGTAGAAATCATTTTCTATCTTTGCCTGTACTTTTGCCCTCCCCTGTCCCATCCCGTTTCCCCCCTCTGCGTGCTTCGCTTCTGGCCCGGCCGGGTACGGTTGTTTTGCCCAGATCAATCCCGACCAACCGTTCGACCTTGTAAGGAAGGACGACGCATCATAGCCTCATTAGTCCCCCCTCCTCCATACGTTTCTTTGTTCTACAAACTGTTTGCTGTGTTCTTCGACTTGATCATTCTGTGGCTACCAAACTCATCATCACCACGTTCTGCCCACAACATTTCCTTGCTTGCCCATTCCTCCGCTCCTCCTCAGCAATAAACTCACTTCCTCTCCACAAACCACCAAATCTGAGGCACGCCTAGTTAGCCGTTAGCTACGAGGTACAAATGACATACCTACCTACCTGCACTGGCGATAGCAGTCTCAGTACCTAGCTGTGGCTGTGGCCTTGGCGCCCCCTCCCCCTCCTCTCCCTTCTAGGCTATTTGGGTGGCACCCACACACATCACATTTCACACTCATACCCCCCACAACTAAAACAACCATCATCATTTCTCCCTCAGGCCCGCGACTCAGACATCCGTATTTGAGAACTACATTGCTGACTGGTCACCTCACCATTCCAAGAACAGACACTACAACCCTGAACAAACACTCTTCACCGCCTACCTCTACTAGGCCAATCTTGATCCTCTCTAAGTCGGCGATTGCAGCTACAGCTACAGCTACAGCTACGGCTACAACTACGACTCAGACAAAGACAGAGACAGAGACAGAGACAAGCACAAAGAACCCCTCAACCGCTGCTCCGACCGCCGTGACCCCCGCGCCGACCATTGTACAGGACAGCATCTCCAGACTACTACTAATAGCACTGGACTGGGGCTAGTACGCGCCATACGATAAACTGGTCCTTTTTGCCCGTGCGTTACCAAGTACTCAAGTACTTCAGCCCAAGCGCCCAAGCCCGCATTCTGTTGTCTTGACTTGCCGAGTACCTCGTACGCCCAGGGAGCCCTTGCAGGTACCTTCTTACCTAGGTATCTACCTGGCCTTTGCTTCACCACCGCCCACGCTTAGTGGACGCCTGGAGGCCCTGCGCACTCAGTGCCTGCCATTTCAACCCCCTCTAACCCCGAACCTCTCCCTTCCGACCCTCCGACCCACAACCTCGCAACTCTTCCACAACCCTTCTCTGGCTTCCACTTCATCCGGCAAACAGCTTCGTTGTCGCCTTTGGGCCATCATTTACTTGACACTTGTGATCCCTTTATGGACTGCGAATAGTGCGCATTTCACCTCCTTTTCCGTTTGCTAGCTGCAACCAATACACTCTGCCTATCTGGTGAGTCAGGACCCCAAGCCTCAAACACCCCCGGCTCTCCGCCCGCCACTCTCCTTCCTTGCTGCTACCTCCGCGGCGGTGGGCGCTCCATATATGGATGCCCGCTCCCCATCCCATCCCCGACCCGGGCTTCTTTACTTATCCCCCGCTTTCGCTCTCCGTCCCGCGCTGTTCTGACTTGATACTGACTCGAGCCCTGAACAGGCCAGTTGTAGCTTGACACTCGCATCTTGAACGCACCGTCACCGCTTAGCCGAACTGGTAGACGCCCACAATATTTCGCCCACATCCCCTCTCTACACAGGGCAACAACATCCGACTCTACAACTCCGACACACCAAACTCACACCTGCTATCCTCGTCGCAATGGCCCAACACGGCTTCAGCCAGTTTAGCAATGGCCATGGCGGGGCGAGTATCGACCCTAATGATCTCGCCATGTCAGGTGGCTACTCACCCTCATTCAACAACTTCAACTCCAACTCTGGAAGCGGTACCAACGGCTTCACCAACAGTTCCGCCATGTTTGATGACGATGAGCTTCTCGATGGCCTTAACGGACCCCCTGTCACCCAATCTGGAATGTCAGGTCAAGGCCAGGACTACTCCGGACTAAGTATGGGTGGATTTTCTCAGAATGCCTTCTCCCACCGTAACTCTGGACTGCAAATCGACCAGTCCCATATGAACGGCTACTCAAGTACACCCGACGGAGATCCTATTCAGAGTCCCTTCAACACCGGTTTTAACCCTCAGTACCGGCAAATGCAAGGCCACTCCCTTGGAACTTCCCTACATTCACCCTTGTCCTACTCGGAGTCTCCCTTGGCTGGTGCCATGAATGCCGATAGCAACGATCCGAACTACCTCAAGACCAGAGCTCGAATGTCTCAGCAGATGCAGCGAAAGACGTCCAACAGCCGTAGTCCCATGTCTCCTATGACTCCAAAGACCGCTACCCTTCACGGAATGACAATCGGATCACAGGAGTCACCCGGTTTCGGTGGCCAAGCTATGAAGTCGGCCAATGGCCAGTGGCTTAACACCCCCGCTGGAAGCATCCCTGCGTCATATAACTCAGGCTTCTCCTCTCCCATGCAGCCTGGCATGAACCAGATCAGTGAGGTCATGATGAAGGGTGGCACCTCAATGCCAGCCAAGCTCGGTGTTGGTTCAAACGCCGTCTCATCCCAGGAAATGAAGAGAAAGCGACGTCGGGAGTCCCACAACCTTGTTGAGCGCCGCCGACGAGACAACATAAATGAAAGGATCCAGGATCTCAGCAGGCTGGTTCCTACTCACCGTTTGGAAGATGAGAAAATTCGAAAGCTTATCCAGAACGGGACACCTCTTTCACCTTCATTGACCGGAATTGCCAGTCCTCAGGCGACATCAGGACTCGCTGGACCAGGCGCTCGGAGAGCAACCGGAACTTCTGCTGGCAATATCACAACAGGTCTTCCTATCGAGGACAAGGATAAGGGACCCAACAAGGGCGATATCCTCAACGGCGCCGTCAGCTGGACTCGGGATCTGATGTGGATGCTCCATCTCAAGCTTCAACAGCAGGAGGAGATGATGAACACTATCGCCGAACTTGGTGGCCACTTTCCCTTTGAGATGACAGAAGATGAGCGCCGTATGCAGACCGAGCTCATGGATGCCATTACAAAGAGTGAGAATGGTACTTTCTCTTACACGCGAACAGCTGGATCTGGTCTGCGAGTGCCTCAACACACTGACTACCGAGGCGATTCTCTGAATGGAGGCAGCAGCCTTGACCCCGTTGCCATTAGCCCAGATGACAACCTCGATCTGAATGACACAAATCAATTCTGGCACGACCCTGATGACAACAGCAACCATGCTTCCGTCAACTTCAAGGAAGAGGATGAGTATGATATGGATATGACGCAGTAGAGTGCGGTCCTGTCTAGCCCTTCTTCTTCTTCTGTCTTTTGGAGCATGTCTCCTTAAGCACAAGGACTGCACCAACATTCAACATCCGGTCATCTCTTTGCTTTCTTCTTGATTGTCGGCGTTTGCGGTATCACTGGTACCACCATCATTCCCATCGTTGCATATCACTCTTCTTCCCGGCCTCGCATCACATTTCAGGCTGCTTCAGAAGACGTGAACCTTTCGGTGTTTGGCATTATCTGGGTCTCTTTTTTGGTGTTTTTCTCTTTTTAGGGGGCGTCACCTCGGCGTGCGGAGGTATGGGCCACGCTACATCATATACAGGGGCATGTCTGAATTTCGTTTCACATTGTGCTCAAGGGTCATCTGTTTGTTGGGCTTGCTTTTTTCTTGGTTGGGTCAATCACGGAGTTATTGTTTTGCCACGCTGCGATACCTATGGGTGATTTTATGCATCAAGTCCGGGACGGGCAGTGAACGGATGGGCATGGACAAGAAGGTCAAGCATTGAGATGTTTTTTGGGTCTGGAATACATCGCTTCTCTCCACTCCTGTTATTCTTTCTACTTACGGTCTGAAACGCACACTGCGGCGTTTTCCTCCAAGTCGCGGTCATCAGGCGGACGGGGGGAGTAGATCTTTTGTTTGTCCGGAGGAGTGTTCGGCTTGTTGTTTTCGCCGCAGTTTTGCACTTATTGCGTTGCTATTTTCATTGCCTAGATACCACAAGCGAGATACCTATCGTTATAAATGTTTCCATATGTGGCCACATATCTATCTGATACTAGAGCTTCTACATGTTGTAATAAGCCACGGACGAGACCGATCAACTTACCAATGGCGAGTGCAGAGAAGATACTCGCTCATAGCTGTCAAGGCATTCCACACCAGCTTCCGCTTCATATCCTCTTGCAAAGCTATGCGTTCTAGAGCACATCGGCCATCGAAGTACTTGCACATGACCTGCCAGCTGTTTGCCAGCTTTTCGTCGTTGAAACGCCGTGCGATGGCAGACAAATAGCGAGATTCTTTACCAGTAGCTTTTTTGGCGTCTAGAATGATGTGCGGTATCAAGCCTTGGAGATGCGGATGGTCGTTGACGGAAGGATGCGAAGTCACCACAGGTACAGGCTTGCGGGCATGCGCGGTGGCCTTTTCCGCAGCATCGCGCTGTGCTTTGGAAGCGATGCGCTCAAGGCGGGCTTTCTCTGCGGCCTGCTCGGCAACAGTGGGAACATGGGAGCCGTCGGTGCCGGAATGTCCTTCGGAAGACTCGGAGGTGCGGGGGGCTGATGTGGCCGATGTGGCCGACGATGAGTCGTTTTTGACTTCTTTTTCTTTGTTCTTGTCCGCATCCGCATCCGCATCTGCAGCCGCGCGGAGTTCTTCGGCCTCCATCTCGTACTCGACCTCGTACATAATCTCAGGCCAGACAACGACATAGGCAAAGGTGCAAAGCTGGGTGACCCAGCCACGCCGCATAAGCCAGGCAAGCATGAGGAGGTAGGTGGGACGGTGGGCCTTGCTGGGAGAGAACTGCTTGTATGGCCGGGGTGCCTGAGAGAGCTCAGCAAGAAAGTTAGGGAGTGGGGGGGCTAGAGGAAATGCTCGCTGCCATTCCATAGTGTCAATGGGAAGACGGGAGAGGTCGCTGTTGGGGGACAGGATGTATTGGTCCTTGGCGTGAAGAGGGGGTACAGCGATGGCACGACGCCAGAAGATGAAGTGTTGTGCATATTTACGCACTTGGCCTAAAGTCAAGATATTGCTCTGGCCAACTTGATAGAATCTATTGTTGTGTTAGACACCACAGTTGTACTTGACTGGTGAGATACTTACGATTGTGTCGGTTTTGACAACCGCACAAACTCTACCATGGAAGAAGTAGTCGGGTCTGGGTCAGCTTGAAGCTCTGCTATAATTTTCTTCTCATCGTCCGTAAGTAGCAGAGCAAAGTTGCGGTCGAGGAAGGCGGGCTCTTCGAGAGCATCTTGACTGATAAAGGTATTGGCGGTTGTAAGCCAGAGACCACGCTGCGTTCCCTCTTCACCTTGTGGGAGGTCATCGATATAGAAGGGCACAGGAATTTGAACTGAGGGTGTCAAAGGGCCAGCTGTCGTGTCGAGGTGCAGAGCCGCGATCTTATTCTGTGAGACTGCTTCGTATATGTCGTGCATGGCAGCGGCCAAAGATGAGCTCTGCAGTATTTCTTTCCACAAGACACTCATTCGTTTCCCTAAAAACTGGTGTCAATCCAAGTTCTCGAAGGAGCTGATTACAACTTACGCTCCTCTCGTGCCTTGTCCTTTGCGACGAGGATTCGTTTTGACTCCTTCCATACAAACTCACTGTGTTGTTGGCTGTACTTAAAGGCCTTGCTGACTTTCTTTATGATGTGGTCATACATAGACTCGACAACATCCTTGACTTCGTTACTGCTAGGATTGAGGATGAAGACAAGGTTGAACATAGTCATAGAGCTGCGCTTCTCGTCGTCCTTGTCTTTGCCCTCTTCTTTCTTGTTGTCCTTCTCTTCGGTGGGTTGTTCAGGTGCTTTTCCTGGCGTGGGAGTATCGATCTCATGAGGGCCGAGTTGTTCATCATTCAAGACAGAGCGCTTCTCAGCACGAGACGTCTTTTTAGTTTTCTTCCATCTGCCATTCTCAGGAACATGAATCGGATACGATACGCAATACAGCGGATCCAAGGATAATTGGAAAAGTCGTTTGTGATATGGACGAGCGGGTGTCAAAATCCCAGCAAGATCACGGGCAGGAAAACCTGCAACACGTTCCCATGGCACAATCTGAGAGCCGGATTCGGTAAAAGAGTGCTCGTCAGGATTTCGTCCCTGCTTAAGGAGGGGAGCATCGTCGGCGACGTCTGAGAAACTCTGCTGCGACAGGCGCTCGAGAAGAATATCTTCAAGCTCAGCGCCGTTGGAAGAGCTTGACTTGGAATGAGGCTCAACTTGTGCAGGGTAGTGGAACACGAAAGCTGGGCCATCTCGAGAGCGGTTGACTACAAGGGCAACAGCGAGGAAATTGTCGCTGGTGACACTCGGCACGGCCATGATGGCGGTTGTTACATGACAGGGTTAGAAGAGACTATCAATTATCACGTGTCATTCGTCGTTGACCTTGTTGAGTCTTGGGATGTCAGATGAGGTTGTCACGATGGGGATTATCCAGCAATCAAAGCTCAAGCGGAGGAGGAGGAGTTGCAGGTGGAGTCGGAAGGAGTGAGCCTCACAGAGAAAGAGCGCCACCACTTAACGAATGGAGGGGTACCAGGGGGTCTGCCTTAATTGGGTAGGTGGGTATGTACTTCACGCACGGGCTTCTAAGGCAAGAGGCCAGAGGCCAGAGGCAGGAGGCATGAGGCAGGAGGTCACCTCATGATGAGAGGTGGGGGTTTCAGAAGAGAGGCTGGTGATGAATACCTAAGGTACCTGCCTAGGTAACCTACGTAGTGTGGCGTCACCCTCTTCAACCTCATATCTCGCTCAAGCGGTAAGAAAAGATAGAACGCCACCGTTAATAGTCGAATTGCTTGCTTCCTTGTTGTGCATGTTTATACGCAAACAAAAATGTGTTGCAATCCAACATTGGAATGGGGATAGGGAAGTTGCTAAGAAGGGTAGCGTGAGATAATAGCTCGTCAATTTCAACAAGTCGGTGTGCAAAACAGGCAATGGACAATAAAAAGGAGGCAAAGAAAGGGTCCTTTGCAAGACATCTATTTCCTCGGGCTATCCTGTGCTAGGGTAGTCTGCTCCCCACTGTGACTTGAGCCAGTCACTCACTGTATGAGAGTTCCTCATGGCATGAGCTTAGCACCGCATTCCACCCTGTATTGTACTGTAATAGTGGGCAACAACATTCGCATATCAGTGGCGAGAATACCATTTAGGCCCCGGCTAAAGAAAAAGGACGCCCAGCCGACAGGATTTCCCAACACATTTTACTCCTCATTTCCCGTCAGGGTCCCTTTCCACTTCACATTATTTCCACCCTTCCCTTTCTAGCACTCACCGACAGCTGTTTTCTTTCCACTTTAGTGGATAGTCAAGTCAACTAGGGCCTGTATGCACAACCTACCGCATTTCACCTGTGCATGTGATTCTGGGTGACTGGTAAACCCAAACGAATATTTACAACAACGGACATCATGACTGCATGTAGGGAGTGTATCAAAGCGGTTGACTGTACGGAGTAGTCGCTTAAATTATCTTTTTGTGTATTGTTCATGTTTACCTCTAGGCAAAGACCTACCTACATTATCAGTTTGTTTTGTCTCACTGCCAAACTATATTCTATGATTTCTCTGAACGATATACTGTCCGTCCCAAAACTCTAGACCTCGCCCACATCCACCTTACGAGTGACACGCGACACTTCTTCCCTCGTATCTAAAAAAACCTTCTAGACTGTGGCGGACAACGGACAACGGACAACGGACAACGGACAACGGACAACGAATAACGAATAACGAAATCGGCAGAACGGCACTCACTTCCTCTTACATGGACTAGGCCGTTCTGTACCTTTTCTCTGCCTACCTACTAACCTAGGTACTACCTTCTCTTTGACTGGTCCACTTACCCTCTATTTCTCTCTCTCTTCCCTCCGTTGCCCACAAAACCGTTCCCGTGCCGTCTGCCTTAGCTCTACCACTATCACTTTTATTACACGAGGTACCTCCTGCCCGATTTTATTGCCCGACCACGTTTGGCTGAAAGGGCAACAGGTCGTGTGCTTCCACCTTCTATCATCCTCTTAACATCACTATCATCACCGCGGTTCTTCTCTCTCTTTCCTCCCGTCAACATCAACCCTCCGTCTTCGCCGACTTCTCCGCCTCCCGGCCGCCCCTCCTCGAACCTCCGGTACCCCTTTCTCCACTTCCACTGTCCTAGGTACGGTACCTACCTGCCTACCACCACCGTCGCCGGCGCCGCCTTATCTTCGACCGTCCCCGGATTACCGCCCCCTGAGTCCTAGGATAACCTAGACATCATTTTTCCCCCTCCTCTTTCGAGTACCTACCCTCAACCACATCTTCCTTCTGTCCCTCAACTGGCCCTGCTCGATCTTTCAATTCAAATTGAGCAACCTCCGTTCGATCTTCCTTTGAGACCATCTACTTCTCCTTCCTTTTCTGACCCGCTGGTTGTTTGGACCCCACCGTTGCTGGACTTCTCCCCTCCTTCCGCCTGTACCCCCTCAGCGCATCTCTCACCTCCTTATTTTTTCACTCATCAATACACTCGCGTGACCATGACAACCTCACCAACCAACTTTGATTTTGGCCATGTGCCTTTCTTGGACTTGAGCTACAACAATAATGAATCAGACGACTCAGCCCGCAAACTCATCCTAACGCTCATGCCCGATTGGGCCAGCGAAGATTCAAATGTTGAATTTGTGCGCTTCACTGATGGTATCACCAATACTCTTCTGAAGGCCGTCAACCATCGTCCTGGGATGTCCAAACTTGACGTCGATCGAGATGCCATTCTTCTACGCGCTTACGGTCATGGAACTGCCGTTCTCATCGATCGTGAACGCGAGGCCGAAAACCATGAGTTGCTCATGAAGTATGGCCTTGCTACCCAGTTGCTCGCTCGTTTCAAGAATGGTATGATGTACCGTTACATTTTGGGTAGACCTGCGCGCGCCCAGGATCTCAGTGAACCTCTCATCCTATCTGCCATTGCCAGGCGCCTTGCTCACTGGCATGCGACTGTACCTTGCCTATCAGACCTCAAGCACGCCCGGGACGATAAGCACGTAAACGGCAACGCCAAATCCAATGGCGAAGCTCACGCCAACGGTGATGTCCAGACTGGCAGCCAAACCAACGGCGCTGTGGACGGAGAAAATGAAAAGTCTCGGCAACAACAGATTGATAGTACTGCTCCTGGCAAGCCCCCACCCAACGTGTGGACGACTATGCAGAAATGGATATTTGCCTTGCCGACTGATACATATGCGCAACGAGAGAGGCAAGCCCTGCTACAGGAAGAGTTGAAGCAGATGGTAAAGAAACTGAGCCAGCGGCCTGGACTCGGCAAGAACGGGGTAAGTTTCTAAGCCGTAAACTCTGTGGCATGAATTAGCTGACCACTCTGAATAGCTTGTCTTTGCGCACTGCGATCTGCTATGTGCCAACGTTATCATCCACGAAGAGGATGATGCAGCACCCACCGTCGACTTTATTGACTATGAGTATGCTACACCGTCGCCTGCTGCTTTCGACGTAGCAAACCACTTTGCCGAGTGGGCAGGATATGACTGCGACTACTCAGCTGTCCCCAGACAAGACCAGCGACTTGCCTTTGTGAAAGAATACATCAAGGCCTACTTTGCGTTAACAGGGGAGAGTGTCGACGAGGATGAGGAAGTGCGCAAGCTCATGACCGAGGTCGACGTCTTCCGAGGGGTGCCAGGATTTTACTGGGGTATTTGGTCTTCAATCCAAGCTGTCATCTCGAAGATTGACTTCGACTATGCACAATACGCTGAGCTGAGATTGAGTGAATACTGGGCATACAAAGCTGAGGAAGACGGCAGCCGAAAAACCGGAGGCCAAGAAATGCCACTGAGGGAGCAGACGTGGTGGCGCACCGAGTAACCGACCACTGCAAGCATATATCCGAGCATGGTATGGCATGGAACTGCAGCAACAGAAAGCCAGGAACTGAAGCAAGTGACATGCTCGCTGTAAACCAGCAAGCGAGAAGGTACAGAATAGCTCACCACAACTGTTAATGCGGGCGGGGAATCGACCTAAAAGAAAAGTCGGAAATGGGAACGGATACAACAGGGAACGATTGCAGGGAAGGTGTTTTTTTCCCTTTTTCCCTTCCCCCCCCCCCCCCTGGATCCAGGTTTGGCTTCTTTCTTCAGCAGGCGGCCTTATCGTTTCCGTTCTTGGCTTTTCCTCCCTATATTCCTTGGCTGCTGTCAACCTGTACCCATGACGGACAGGCACCTTTGCGTGCACATTCTCGGTGTTCGTCACGCCTCGATTCGGTTGTTGTCCTTCTGCATAGCATTTTCTTCCATCTTTGTCACGTGTTTTTTATTCTGGGTTACGATCATATAAAAAGGAAGCTCAACAGCGGGATATGTAATGGCATAAAGGATCAAGCCATTCAACATGAGCTATAGGGGGTATCTATGGCATCCGGAAATAGGGACACATTATACAACTGAGTTGTCTTGTCCGCATGATTAGAGTAATTACAGTGCAAATGGATCATTTAATACAGAACTTTTACTTACATTGACGGCCGTCTAATCTAGTCACCTCTTTGAGTGCCAGCACATATATCCACTGGGGTATAGTACCATGTCGATTCAGCAGCTAGCTACCATATGATTTGATTTCACCACGATCTTCCCCTTCTCGCTGCCGAGACATTTCGGACCGCGTTAGTTCACCCTGCAAGATAGTTAAATATCAGCCCGGCAGAAAAGACAGGCATTGCCTAATCACAGCCAGTGGCACCCTCAATAACCCAAGCACGAGGGGACAGCTGCATCGCATCACCAGAAGCAGCATGCTGCGTTCATCACACCTGCGCAGCCAACCGGGGCGTTATCCAAAGATGGCTAGAGAGAACAGGCGGCTACCTGCAATGCAGCCAGTGCCTTGGTCAGGTAGGTAATGGTAACAGTAACATGAATGGCATCCAGGTATGGATCTTCCTGGGTGGTGTGGCTTGTGGAAGAAGCAGGCCAGGCCAAAACAGACCAGACCCAGCAGACGTGGCTGGCTTTAGGAGGGATGAGGGGATGAGAGATAAATGATTAGATGTGTGCCACCTTGATCAAGTATGTACCTGTGGCAAGGCAATAAGGTAGGTAAGGTACGATGTAGTGTCACATCAAGCCTGGGGCTGACTGGGGACAGTCGAATGCATGCCGCTGAGCTGGGAACGAACCTGACTTCAACGTTATGACAGACATACCTAGGTTAGTAGTCCAGGTACGGAGCAGCTACCTCTCTCAAGTCTGCCGGGTGGGGAGTTTTCTCTCCTTGATCACTTGACATACATAACACGTGCGCATCTTGGACGATTGTAAGTTTTCTTAACAAATTGAGGTCATCGAGATTCAAACTGGAACAGTTGTCGGGAATGAGTTCCAAGAGCTTGATCCTGATCCATGTCTAGTTTGATGGTGCTGGGACTCGGACCGGGACCGGGACCGCTCATCAGAAGTTCTAGCCCCAGCTGGAAAAGAATGTAGGTAACGCGTAGTCTGATAGACAAGGTGAGGTATTACGCGGTAATAAGATCAAGTAGGTGCTCAGGTGCTGGACGTTGGAGCTTGTTCCGTTCTCCAGCTGACAAGGTACTTGGGTGAATGTTTAATTAGGTACTAAACTAAACCAGATGCCTCGTCAGTATCGTGCTATGTACCCAGGGAAGTACAATACACATCTAGACGGAGGAGCTACGCGCTATATTAACTAGAGCAGGTAGGTATATCTGTCTGTCACACAAATTCAGATATAGGTAGGCGGTAGGCGGTAGGTGTTAGGTGGTAGCCGGTAGGCAAGTAGCATGCCTTGTCTCTTTACTTTTAGCCTCGAACACCAACGAGATGAAGGGTCGACCGGGGGTTATTTCCAAAACTTGTGGCTTTGCGACGGACGGTTGAAGAAGCGGGCGTGGCGGGGAGCGCCTCGACAGTTGACCTGTGGCTCTTCTCCTCCCACTACCTACCTACTTCGTACAGCTCTAATAAGTGCAGGTGCAGCACAAGGTGCTCCGTACCTGCCCTGCATTTTCCACTCACCTTCGACTTGAGATGCACGCGTGGCCGCTAGACACAGATACCTACGGATACATGTACCTACCTTGCTATCCCTGCTCCCTGGCAAGCCTTACACCCTGGCACCTGCCTAAGAACCGTTGATGTGGACAGACCGGGGTTCCAGAAGCTGCTCCTTCCATTGGTTCACCGTGCGGTTTCAAAACTTTGAGTTCCAGTCGGGAAGGAGTATGGTCCAGTTTGTCGCCATCTGAACATCCACATTCATCGACTTTTGACATCCCACACCCACAAAACCCGTCCTGTCTCCAGTTGCCAGTTCCAACTTGCTAGCTGTAGTCCATAACCCGCGGTTAGGATCACGCAAAAGTCTAGCTTCCCTTTACAATCTTACTCATATTCCGTTTGTCCTGGCTCCTAACTGGGTTGCTGGGCCTAGACTTGTCTGGGCTGACTTGGTTGGACTTGGCGAAGAAAACCAAGAGGGAGACACCCACCGACTAGGCCCCTCCCGTTCCGACCTCTGACAACCTCCAAAAGAGCTTGGACCAGGGCCAGGGTAGGTAGTAGGTACCTTAACAGCTAAGCTACCTAGGTACCTAGGCTTGGCCAGGTCTTCCTATCTCCATCCCCAACTCACTCATACGGATACCTCCAGGCTTCACCCAACTCTTGACCATGGCACTGGGTAAATGATCCTGGTTGCACGACCTACGCTCCCCTAGGATATGGCATGACCTTTTATCCATCGTCTCTTAGCAGGTCATCTCGGCAAAAGAAAAGAAAAAGGGAAAAAAGCAGTTGAAATCAATCTTCCCTAAGGATATCCAAATTTCCGCTGATCTTTCCAGGTTACAGCCGATCACTCATATGCAGGGAAAGACCATTTCTTTGGAAACTCGCAGACACGCTACTAAGTTAAGTTACAACATCATAGCTGGCGCTGAGCAGCACCAGCTCTAAAGTTGCAGTAGCGTCTATCACAGGGGCGAGCTTGCTTCTGGCTGTCTGTACCAACTGTTTTTCGCGCTTTGTTGCTCTGGTAGCTTGCTCATCTCATTTCTGACTCTTAGCCAGGTTAGACTAGAGTCACTGCCTAGGCAGACAGCCCCGAGGGTTTCGGCCGGAACTTTTAGACGCACTTGCCACATTATCCTAGCAATCTCTCTCCCTTGAACAATCTCAAACCGAGCCAAGCCAAACCTGGAGCAGACCAGATGAGAGCTGTCCGTCCCGATGTCTGGTAAATTGGCCCAGCTATCTCGCCAAAGTCTCTCTTACCGCCTAAACGACACCAGCCCCGCTGAATGTACGTCTCGCAAGAGACGAGAGGAGATGAGATGAGACGAGATGGAGGGCGAAGCGCGTGCTGAAGCTGTCCACGTTGCGGCGAGACATGGCGCTGCGACTCGAATAGAAAGAAACAATGCCAAACAAAAGACAGTTCCAGCGCTAAGGACCAACACGCGCCTGCACCGCCCTCCATAACAAGCGCATGTGCAAAGCCACAGCAACGGCTTGAGCAACACCCACATGGTCTCAGTTCCTGCAGCCTCTTAGCCTCTCTACTCTATCTGCAATACACACCTGGCATCGAGAAATGGAGTGGGCAGCATGGCGGTGCCAAAGCTAGACTATGCTCAGCTCTTGACCCTCCCATCTCATTAGCAAACGCTCTTCCCGCATCGTTACGCTACCTTGACCACCTTCCATGACAGGGTTACGACCGACACGGGGCTAATATCCCGACAAGGCTACCATAGCAGGGTCGCTGTGATGGACTCATGGAGCATGCGGACGAGGGGGCGAGCTGGGCCAGCAGGGCGAACGGGACGAACAGCTTGCGCAGGGTTATGGTGCTGGAATCGCACTCATGCCTAGACTCGTGGCACTTGCCAGGACCCGGTTGGTGGGTGATTCCCCGCTGTCTGTCATTGGGATCATGGCCCTGGAATACCTCCAACAGGATTGACATGCTTGTATTCGCACGGTGTCGTTCTACCTTCAACAGCCGGCAGTGTACCGTGTTAAGTCCGATAGAGACATACGGTCCCTTCTCACTCTACCGCCCAAGACGAGAAAAGCACCTCTGAACCGAGCTTCGATAACGAATCTAAGGTGCTGTACGGTACCCTGCGGCGCCCTTGCAACCAACCCATAGTTCATACCTAGTTGACTGCGGGTTCCAGACGGATCCAGGCCCAGAGACGGTACCAAATCGTTGTCGGCACTATCTCCAAATCTGCCGCGACGGGGGAGTTCTGCCCCACCTTGCTCACTCTTCTGCCCTCACTCCCTCGCTGTGCCTCACACATGGCCGGGGCCATGGGGGGTGAGGGCCCAGCACAATGTAATGTCGTGCGCTCGTGCCCTCTGATAAATCTTGGCTCGTTCATTCGCCTTGATTTCTAACATCTCCACGAGAGCCTCCGGATCTAATTCTGATATTGCCCGTCCGGGGGGCCTCAGCTTCTTGTCTCATTGATTATTACTTTCAACTCTCCTCGTCTCCTACATCGGGTGACGGCTACCCGCCTTCTGTTGTGTACCACCGACAAATGGCTACTGGCAGATGCGAGCAGTAACCAGCCAGCGAACTTCCCGGAAAAGCGACCCGTCATGCTCGCCAGTTCAGAGCGATACAACAGGAACTCATTGAAAAGTCGACTCTGGACGAGATGAGATGATCTGGTCCAGAGATGAGCCGGGATGACTTCACTCCACGGGGCCTTTCCGACCCGGAGTCCCATCTTGATCTTGCCGGCCAACGTCAGCGACCTCAGTTTGATGCTGGCACTGGGTCGGAGCCAGTTGCACCGTCACTAAATCAACAAGATCTAAATGTTACTCTCAATGCCGCTGTCGAGGTCGATATGCTGCGGCACAAGCTCCGTGCCCTCGAGAATCTTGTTGAACTTTACGGTACGTCTCGTCCCGCCTTCCTTTTGCGCAGCAGCTGTAAACATCACCTACGTTTTCAACTACCTGTGTTGAGTGACTTGTGGCGTGTTCTGATTTCCCTTCACTCTAGGCATTTCTTCGCGCATCCCTCTGCTTTCCGAAGCTGAAGAGGCGCGGGCCCTCCAGTATCGTTGCGAATGCCTTGAGGCTGCATGCAAGCAACAGAGTAAGTGGATAGCCTCATTCTGCATGGCATATCTCGCAGATGCCATGCTAGTATATGATATGGACGAGACTAACAGTACAGAAATGGACGTTGCCCGCACTCTAAAAAACTCACCCCCGTTTTCTCCATTACCACAAGGATACCCATCATGGCTCGACCATCATCTGACGCATCATGATCGAGTAGCTCGCTCTTTACCTCAAACAGACTCTACTTCAACTATCAACACTTTGAAGGCGCCTTTTAAATGTTCGTATGAACAATGCATCCACTATGTATATGGATTTCCGACCCAGCTGGAACGAGATCATCACAATCGATCACACTCCGCGAAAACTCTGACTGATTCAAAATCAAATGTGCAAGTTGAGAGCTCTTCCAAGATATCCGAATTGCCAGGGAAAAGCGGCGGTCCTTTGCCTCGGGACCGACTACCACCTATCCAACCGCCTACCACCCTTGTAACGACTAACTTACCTCCTCTACCTTTCCCGACCCCCTCAACCGCCTCCACAGCGACGACGAGAAGGGACCATAGCTCAAGCTTCTCCTTCTCGGATTCTAGGGCTGCGCCATTGAGAGGCGTCGAGGAGACCACGTCTGACCCTCAGTTACCTCCGCTAAAAAGAGCTCGCATTGGACACGACCGCCTGAAGTCTATAGGAGAACTCAAACTCCTTCACAACAACGAACCTTGTCTCCGGTGTCGAGCCTCCAACAGACCAGTAGGTCTCCCCCTCGCACTTGCTTACCGGACGGTTCAGATGCTAATTGTACCAGTGCGACACAAATAACCCCTGTTCCCGGTGCTCGGGAATGTCCTCATCTGACTTTGAGGGGTATTGGAGTATTCTTGGATGCTACCGTGGATCAGTCACTTCGCTTGTCGATGTCTTGCTTCAAGGTTGGAGCCAACCATTCAGCCAACCCATCACTATAACTAACCTCAGATAGGATCGTTCGCATGGTCACAACCTCAAACGCCTCTAACGCCCTCCAATCCTCGGCGAGGAAGCATCAATGACCATATACTAGCTCAGAACCCAACTCTGTTAGCCGCAAAAAGGCCCGCCTGGAGACCTGATTTCCAAGACACATTCTGGTGGCAAGACGGGGAACCTGGTCTTAGTGAACGAATTAACCAACCACTAGGGCCTGGGTACCACGATCAAGGATCTGCGCCCCCTGTTCTTCAACTTATCGCATCTAGCCCAGGTTTTCGGGGCGCTGCTTTCGATCTCCTCGAACTACTAAGTGTTAGCGGTCACCTTTCAGTATCTCGAGAAGAGGAACAGACGATACATCCCACCCTTTACCGCGCAAAACAATTGCTACGAGAAATCATATTTTACGATGCATCTCAACCGACCCCGCTGCTACGGACTGAGTCCAGTTTTCCACCTCGGACTCCCGTTGATAGTCGACCTTCTACTGAACGAAACGTGCTTTTGAGGGAATGCACACGTCGTTACTTATCCTCCTTGGACTTTGCAGCTTCTAATCTACCCACAATGGGTTTAAGACAATGGTTGGGGGTTTTCATGTCGATATGCATCTTCAGTGCTGTTGATACTATCTTGATTGACCTCGCCTGGTCCTTCCAGGGCAACGATCCATCACAAACTAGCGCAACACCAACGGAACGACCTGATCAAGTTATCAGAAGTGTATATCAGGTGCTGGTATCTCTTTTCGCCATTTCGAATGACCCTTTTTCAACTGGCCCGGAACCTGATGACCCAATTGTCCGTAACATTGCACGAATAATCCGTCGCGATCAGTGGTCTCCAAGGCATCTATTTTCGAGTTTTGATTTTCTCATGAACCTCGGCGCAGGAGAGACCCCCACCTACGGATTCAACGGCTTCGTCCTACCAGGTCGACAAGCCTTGGGATTCAGGGGTTCTAGAGGTTTACCCCCAACCCAACTCGATCACACGCCTAGGCAACGTTTTCCGCAGTCTGCGCCATCCTTGGGCTCGGCGGGTCCGTCGTCACAATACATTCCTCAAAGCTCACGATCAGACTTCCCTCCGCCTGGTCAATTTGCGTTACCGGGCGAGGCAGCAGGCCGTGCCCGGAGACACACGATAGGTGACGATATGTCACCCTACCCAGAATCCCGACGGCCTTCCGGTGAACCTATCTCTCCGTCAAGACTAAAGTCTTCTTCCCGTCGAACTTCTCTACGGCGTGTATACTGTGATAAATGTAACGAACATCCGGACGGCTTCCGTGGCGACCACGAGTTACGGCGCCATATAGACGCTAAGCATTCAGCTACAGTCAAAAGATGGGTTTGCAAGGAGCCTAAAAACCATATACCTTCGTCACCACAGCCAGTGATCCCTTTATCCCGTTGTAAAGCTTGTCTGGCGCAAAAGCGCTATGGCGCATACTACAATGCTGCCGCGCATCTTCGTCGCGCACATTTCAGGCCACATCGAGTGGGCAAGGCCAGTGGCGATTGGCCATCTATGAGTGTCCTGAAGGATTGGATGCGAGAAGTACGCCAGTCGGTTGATGTACCTGAAGAACACATCTCTAGTGGTGAAGATGACATGGACGAGTTCCCGACGCCCGTTGATTACCGAGATCCTATGTCCCAGCAAGCCCCCACGATTCCCGAAGTCCTCCCCACTGTCTCAGTCTTGGGGCCTTTGCTTTCCTCAAGCTCAATGGAGCCGTCAATACCGATCGAACGAGCCAGTCCATCTCGACGACCTGCCGAAAATCGAACCAGGTGCCCTCACCCCGACTGTGGCCGCGAGTTTCGTGACCTGGCCTCTCATATGCTCACACATCAAGAGGAGCGACCAGAAAAGTGCCCTATCGTAACTTGCGAATACCACACCAAAGGATTCGCGCGCAAATACGATAAGAATCGTCACGCCCTGACCCATTATCGTGGATCGATGGTGTGTCCATTCTGCCCTGGAGTGGGTAGCCCTTTTGAGAAGGTGTTCACGCGAGCTGATGTCTTTAAAAGACACCTGACTGCTGCCCACCAAGTCGACCAGACGGGTCACAGCAGTGGCCACCGATTACCTGGAGGTGATGATCCTGTGGGCACAAAAGCGAGGTGTTCTATTTGCAAAATTGGGTTCGGTACTGCGCAAGACTTCTATGAACACCTCGATGACTGTGTATTGGGTGTCATTGTGCCTTCTACGAGTACATCAACTCAGCAAACCCGATTACAAGGGTCTCCGCAATGATATTGGACCGCAGGATCCTATAACGAACGGAACAGGGTTACGGTTGTCCAAGATGAAAGTATTTGAACGAATGAGACGGCTTCGATTATTGTGAGAAAATAGGATAGTGAAGCGACATTCCTCCTGCTTTTTATATTATTCTTCGTTTATTATCTTCCTTGTTATATCAAGCTTCATTTGAACTATGTGCCTGGTGCACTGTGGGAGCAGATTTCAATTCTTTCTAGATACCACCAGAGTTTGGGCGGCATTCGCCAATTTTTACTTCTCCTTTTACATCGTATCCTTTGAACAGGGACAGACATGGCATATATGTATATATATATATATACATACACATACACACATACATATATATAACTCATCAGAGCATTCAGTTCAAGTAACCAAGCGAAGACCACACACATGACTTGAATGAGTATCAACCTGCATATCGATTGGGTAACGTGGTTAGAATTTCATTAAGATTTCTTGTATTGTGTGCTGATATACCTCAAGCGGCAGGCAGCATGTCGATTCGTTATGTATCTAGGTGATACCTGAACAAGCTTTTAAATCTTTTGAATGCCCAAGCGAGACAAGCTAATTAATGAATTGCCAACAACCGTAAACGCCCAACCCATGTCTTTAAACCACTCGCTTCTGTAAGATAATGTACTGCAATAGTGACCCTTTTGTCAACGTCATCAAGGATAATAGACCCGATCCGCTATTTTGAGCCTGGCTCTTCAGACGGCACAGCCGTCTTCTCATTAACGTGGTCTACCATAAGAGACTCATCGCGACGACCAATGTGCTTGGGACTGGAGCGCTTGAAAAACTCATGGATCTCAGGAGAGAATTCTCCGTCGTCGGGCATGGCACCCTCGGTATCCTTGGGGCCACGGCTGGCCTGGACGAGCTCCCACTCAGCACGCATGTCCTGGACCTTGGAGCGCCAGTCAGCCTCAGGGTCGTAGCTCTTGCCGACTCCCCGGAGACGTTCCCAGAGTGACAGGTGGATAGGGTTGACCGCAACACCATGGTACTCGCTCTCCTTGCCATCACGGATATAACCCCAACGGCGCTCCTGCTCCTTAAGATCGAGACCGGTGGTATCAGGAAGGAAGACCCAAGTGAGAAGCATGCCAAGGAGGCCAAACCAGGGAACGACATAGAACTTGGTCTGGTCATCGATGTAGTTGTAGAGGACGGAGGCGAGCAGAGCGCCGGACTTGCCGATGCAAGCGGAGAAACCGTGAGCACTGGCACGGACAGGCGTGGGGAAAACCTCGCCAGCTACAAGGAAGGTGACCGAGTTGGGACCGAACTGGTTGAAGAATGACGAGATAAAATACATGGCCTGGAAGGAGTGGATTCCGGCAGGGCTGGTGTAGTAGTCGTACTTGAAGGCAGGGATAACGAACATGAGGAAGCACATGAAGAAACCAACCTGCTGCATCATCTTACGGCCGTACATCTTGTTGTCAATGAGTAGGGAGGCGAGGTAGTACCCAGCCAGCGAGACAGTGATGTTGACAAGGTTCCAGGTCCAGGTTGTGAAGATGGAGTCGCTGCCAGGAGAGATAACCTTGATGAACTGGCCCTGGAACAGTTTGTTGCCGTAGAAGAAGACATCGTTGCAGAACCAAGTGCCAGAAGTAGCAAAGAGACGGCCTCCGAAATTGCTGAAGCAGTGTCGAAGAGCGTTTATATCGTAACCAGTGACATTTGAGCGCTTCTTGGCCTCAGCAAGCTGCTTACCAGCGCTGCGCATACGGTAGGTACGGTAGTAGAGGAGCCAGAGCGTGCCGATGGCAGGGAAGGCGAAAGACAGTCGGAAGGTGTACTGAGCGGCGGAGGCGCTGTAGGGAGGCGAGCTCTTGCCGTTGTTGAAGATGGCGAGAAGGACAATGAGAATGACCTGGTTAACGAACTGACCCCAGCCTTGCATGAGGAAAGCGGTAGTGACACGGCGTCCACGGTGCAGACGATCCTCACGAGTGGAAATTCTGCCCCCAGAGGAAACGCCTTCTAGAGATGAGGTGGCTGTGATAGGATACTCACCACCAACACCGAAACCGTAGAAGAAGAGAGACCAGGCGTAGCAGATAACCCATCCCTGGAGAGTGAGGCCCCAAGAAGCAGTGAGCATGAGAAGACCGATGAACATGATGGCGGCATCCTGAATGAGACCCCATCGTCGACCAACCCAGTCGCCCATAACCTGTGCAAAGTTAGAATCATTTTGTTGCAAATAAAATGCAAGATTTGATGGGAACAGAAGAACTTACACCAACGACGGCCTGGCCGACCATGATGCCGATAATCTCGAGATAGGTCACAGAGGCGATCCAGTTGTGAGAGCAGGTAGTAGAACCCTTACCCCAGCAATCAGGCCAAACAGCCTTGAAAAGGGGCTCGAGGTTGCCAATGGAGAAGAGGACGTAACCTTCAAGACCGAGACCAGCACCAGGAATGACGGCATGGCGGAAGTACCATGACATTGGCGATAGAGGGTCGTTCTTGAACATGGACCAGGCAGTCTTGGCCTCCTCTTTGGCAGCATCGTTATCGACCTTTGAGACGAAACGGAAGCGCTGAGACATGGGAAGATCGGCCCAGTAGACACCGTCCTCTGTGTAGGAGTCATCTGGACGGGTTACATGGCTGAAGATGCGACGCTCGTCGGCAGTGGCATAAGCGATTGGCTCATCTGAGATGCGATCAGAGTCGCTGTCTACAGGACCGTGCGGGACAGGGATCACGCCGGGAACTGCAGACTCGTGGTGGTGTCTGTGAACCATTTTGCGGAAGAAAGACGTCCCCTTTGTTGATGATGATGCTCTTTCAATGTGCAAACAAGACTTGAGATGTGTATGGGGGTTTTGTTGTGGTGGATAAGTGAATCGACAAGCAATAGCTAGCTTGCTGGAAGGATATGATGTATGTGTATTCTAAGAAAAGCACAAACCACCAAAGGGAAAAAAGTTTTATACTGGAGGCAAAGAAGAAGTGCCGAAGACCCGATTTTGATGGGTCAGAGGACAAATTAAAGAATTCCAAGACTTGGAAGTTGTCTTGTCTTTGTCTTGGCTCTGGGGAAAGACATAATTCCAACGGCTGGAAAGCGCGAGGAAGGGCAGTATTTGAACTACATAACGGGCAAGATAGACAGCATCTAGAGCTCGGATATTCAAGACGAGTGTGACGAGCATCGTGAAGAAGAGACAGCCAGTCAGAAGGCGTAAATTAACCTCGTGGGAGAACGTGTGGATGAAAGTCGATCTCTGGGGTCGAATTTGGGGTGTGTGCGTATGTGTGTAGGCGTAGGATAGAAGAGCTGGGCGCTGGGCTAGCTAGGTAGCTCCCGTGTTCTGTGCCTTGACCGAAAGCGCATGTCGCCGCCTCGTCTTTTGCCTCAAGGGACCAGAGCTGGAGACTTGGAGCTCCAACGACGAGCATTATGCATGTCCAAGAGGGAAGAAAAGCGGGCTCTAGAACTATGTAAGAAACGCCAGGGGTGGGTGACATGGCTGCATGGTCCGTGGGGATAGACATGCATGATTTTGATTCGCCGCTTGGGATTGGAGAGGGATGCCCTAGACGCCCCCATGTTGATTATTGATGTTGAAATCGGTTATGTTCAGGTTCTATCGAAGAGCCGAGAGATGCAGACTGGGTTTCCGTAGATCCAGTCAAGTTGGGTACAGGCTATACACCGTAGGCAGTGAACGAGACATGGGATAGGATCAAGACGTGGGCAAGTGTATTGGATAGGTAGGTATCTAGTTGGGTTGCGGTTGAGTTGAGTGAATAGACAATGACGAAAAAACAGATTAATGACGTCGTCGTGCTGGTGAGATATTGGTTCGGTATCAAGGTTTCATTCACTCATACAAATTGATGCTTCCAGAGAGGCACGTTTTCAAACCCGACCTGTAAGAGGCTGGAGGCAGGAGGTTGGAGACTCGGAGGTGGAAAAACCTGGGGTTTCATGTTCATGTTCATGGTCTTACTTGGGCTTGAGAAGGAAGTCACGCACGCGAGCAAAATGGCAGGAGAAGGACTTTTGCTTGACCCGGAAGATACAATGGAAAGAGTGTGAAAAAGTTGAGCAGGAGCGTGGCAGCGCATCCGGGTAGAACGGCACCTGCAAGACCCGCCTGACTTGTTTCGGCCGACGCCGTTGGCAGGAACGAGGCCGATCTCTTGAGAGAAAACTCGCATCATGCCTACGGATACGGGCATGAATAATAAAATTTTAATAAAAAATCAAAAAAGTCAGGGACCTTGACCCTCAAGATCCTCTAAGAAATGGATCATGGGCGCATTTCAACCATTGAGATCCAATTCCGATTGTTTCGACCGGCCCGTTTCTTGTGGTCTAAGCTATTACATCTACCAACCAACCAAGCAACGTAACGCAACGCAACGCAACCTTGAATTGGAAAAGGATCCTTTTTATTTCCCACATCCCCTCCCTTATCTTTTTAATCTGTTTTCTTTCTTACTCTGTCTCTCTCTTCGGTGTCCTATTTCAGACACCGGGAGATGGTTTGACGTTAAAAGTATGCGTTATATCGCGGATATTCGGCTTCGCTGTGTCGTTGTTGCCCTTTCCGCTTCCAGCCTCTGACGTCCTGCCAAGTTCTTACGTTTCCTGCTATTCCCCATCTCCCGCCTCGGCGCTGTCAGGAGCCGCAGTTGCGTGGCTCGGCATTACCTGTCTAAGCCTAAAAGGGCCAAAATGGAAAAAAGTTCGCTGCATAAAATAAATGGGGAGTGGGTACACAAATTCTGCAGTGGGTCCCCTTCGAACGACATCCGCTTAATGCGGAAAGAGGTCGTGTGATGGACAAAGATGGCATGGCATGCCTTTTTATTCCGCGCGAGCAACACACACATTTTTTAACCTTACAACTCAATTCACATGTTGACGTTAAGATCGTCAATGCTCATAACCTTGTTTTTTCCTCTCTTCCTCTAAGAATGGCAAGATAGAAAAAGAAAAAAAGCTTAACAAAAGCTTATTCACGCCAATGTTGCTGCAACACCAAACTACTACCAGTAGTTATCCGATCACACGCTATACCCAGTCTGCACCTTACGATGCAAGTCGGCAAAATACATACTATATAGGTAGTGCAAAACACCACAAAGACCACCATTCTATCGCCTAGTAAACCCCGCTTCTCTTCTTTAACCCTGTAACATTTACGTACTTTTATCCAGTCCCTCCCTAGCCTCCACCTCCTCCCTCGGCCCATCTCGACCAGGTCACATCTCATGTATGTATGTATGTATGTATGTACATAGTATGCACATGCAAGCAGCACAACAGGAGACAGACACAGACACACAAATCTGCTTAGTGCTTAGTGCATAGTGCATAGTGCTTGGTGCATAGTGCATACAGACTTGCAGCCGAGATCTTACTCGTCTGCATACAGAAGCTGGTCGTGTGCTCAACGCCTTCTTAGCTTTGCTTGCTCGTCGACTACCGACCGGTACTTATCAATCAGTGGCAGTCGAATGCCTATTTAGAATTTGAAACCTACACGGTCTTTGTCTTGACAACCACAGTCTTTCTTGGCCTGCAAGGCAAATATTAGCATTAATCCAAATCAACCTGAATACGAATAATACACAGTTTTCAACTTCGTCAACATCCAGTTTCCTCTTCTTCACACCCCCCTACCCTACTCCTACATCCTTCCCCTAACCTTGGCCCCCATCCCCCGAATAACCATAACAAATATGCATATTCTCTACTAACTTGGTGGATATCCTTCCCCCAAATCTCCTCCACAGGCCAACTCTCAGACCTTTCTCTTCCTGCTGGGGTCAAGTCGACTCTGATTTGTTCTTTGACCTGCATCGATCAACCAGATCTTCACTCGTGCTCTGATGGCCATCTTTGGACTCAGGGACTGCTATTGCAACCTACAGTTTGGCTTGGAGCTGCCCAGTCCGTTCCAACACTACGATTTTCACCTCAAAACAAACATTGCAACCTGTGCTTTAAAGAATTCTAGTCCGTCTTCGATCCAATTCCTCGTTCCAAAGTATGACACTGGCCTCATAACTCAAATTGCTCTTTGACAGACAATTTGGTTGTACATCTAAACATATAGAGCATTCATTCAGTAAACGATACTATCGCTTCATCCATGTCCCACTATGTTACTAACGAAGTTCATATACTCATGTCGTTGAGCTAAGTTGGGGCAACAGACACATTGTAAAAGCAAGCATTGCATTATGAGCAACTAATCATATCCAATGCCATGGTCATACCGAGCCTTATTGCTGCATCGTCACTTCATTGTTTAATCACGAAATCGGTATCATCATCTGGCTCTGGTTGGCAACCACAAATTGATAAAGTACTTATACCTCAGCGGATCACTTTTTCATCATCTTTTTCATTTTCCTATCTCTCTGGGACACCATACCTTACTTCTCATGTGTGTATAACTTGTCATCCAACAAAAAAACAAGACGTGATAACTAGGGTAAGGGAAGAACTCCTATTTTCATTGTTGTGGGAGACTCTTGAGCATCTCACTAGAATCCAGTCTGTTCAGCTGCAACAGCCTCATCTCCCCCCTTACGGCACGACTGTGCGCTCGTATGAGCCATTCATTCTCAGCACAACTCAACCCAACTGTCTCCGCTCTAACGCCGCGCTACATTTCATAGGAACAAATGAAATCTCAAGATGAGAAGGAGAACAGAAGTGCAATGAGAGAAAGAAAAGTTGAACTTGATAAAAAGATGCTCCACAACAGTTTCTTGCGTACCACGCCGTAACCTAGCAAATGTTTTTCTTCACCTATCAGTTGAGAACTTCTCATTTTCCTATCGATCTTGTCGGTGTTGCTTCCTCATCTTCGCCACCGCCATCTCCTTTTACGACTGTCAAAGGTCGAGGCGTAGCGTCTACGCTGTCAGTCCCCTCCTTATCCGTCTTGGGCGTCAATCCTTCGATTTTCAACCCGGCGTCAGGAGGAGTATGTGCAGTGACTTCCCCAGGAACTGCGTCGTCCAGAATTCCCACTTCCATCTCCTTAGAAGGTGTTGTCACGACTTGCGTCACAGCTTCAGGCGTGCTCTCTGAGCCCACTGTCAAACTATCATGGCTGTTCGCCCGCATCATCTCAATGCCAAGCTTGGAGCTGGGGAGGCCGGCCTTGGTCGTCATCTGCTGGCTGTTACGGCCATGGTGCCTGTCCCTACCGCCTCCCAGCTCCTCGTCTTCGTCGTCAGCCGACTCAGTGCCTTCCACTGTTCTTTGTTCGGAGCCTTCTCGCTTCCCTTTGAGCTTGTCGTTGCCCCGTGGGCGGTGTTCCATCTGCGCCGGGGCTGATTGCTGAGCCACAAGATGAGGAATTCCTTTTCTTGAAGGTTCGGGGGCATCGTTGTTGTCAGTGATGTTTAAACCTCCTTCGTCCCATTCGTTCGTAGCCTTACGACTAACTACCGGCAACTCTTCGGTCGTCACTGACTCCGAATCGCCAAACAAGGACGAGGTGATCGAGTCTTCACGGCTTGACATCATTGCAGTTCCTAAGCGGCCGGCAAAAACAGATGAGCCCGACGTAGGACTATCCTCGAGTCGAGAATTGGCCTTACGAATTCCCATCGGGATCGGTCGTGGCATCCCAGATGCATGCCCTGGTGACTCGGGTCGCCACTGGCATAGCCCTCGCAATACTTCGGTGAGCTTAGAGGAGCTAATGGGCTTCTCGATCAGCGAGTCGAAGTAGTGGGGCGCTTGAAGCTCTTTCAGATAAGCTGTAATAGCAACAATGGGTGTATGTGAGTTGGCGTTCTTTGTCTCCCTGATCATTCGTGCTACATCAGCTCCGTTGATTTGAGGGAGCTGATACTCGAGGAAAATGACATCAAACTTAATCTCACTCATCGAATATCTGACGGCTTCAGATCCGTTTGGCACAGAGATAGTGCGGCATCTGAGCTTTTCCAACAGCTTCTCCATAACCATGCGGGATACAGGGTGGTCCTCACAAATCAGCACATCTAAGGGTCGGAAGGTAGGTCCTGCGTCGAAAGCAATCTGTGAAAGCCGCCTTGAGCTTTGCCTACGCCTCTGCACTCGGAGAAGAGCGTTATGCTTCTCGCCTTCATTATCTGAAGAGGATGGAGACATGTCAAAGACTTGACTTCTGCGGTTCCGATGATGATGCATTATGTCAGATGCCACAGGGCTGCCATCCTGAGACTGCGAGCCCACAGTGAGTGACCTCGATCGTCCTGCGGAAGAGTTGCTGCCCTGTCGTGGAGTTGATATGGTCTTTTGGGGCGACAACGACAAGGGAGGCGGCGCTGCGCTGCGACCCTGACTGGGGGATGACACTGCGACCGTGGTAGCGGCCTTCTGCAAACTTGGTGGCACCTTGGGTATCTCAAATGCTGAACCCGGCTGCAATGTTGCGGCGGTTGATTGGTGAGACAGGCTTGAGGAATTGCTCGACGCCTTTCGTCGTCCCTCAGTACCCTGGCCGGCGACAAATGAGACCAACAATGGTGATGACGGCTGCGAGGCTCGGTTAGGCGAAGCGCTTACATGACCAAAGCCTGAAGGCGATTGTGCTCTATTTGTCGCCTTGGCGTTGGAAATTGTTCTAGAAACAGGATTCGATAGAACGGGGCTGCCCTCGAGTGATGGCCCAGGCGATATAATGCTGCTTGCTGCTCCGGGGCTAACTGAAGTTCCTTTGCTCTGCGCAGCTAGCGCCTCGGCCCTCAGCTTCTGGATAACGTCCTTGTTGGCCTTCTCCAGTACAGGAAGGTTCTTGAACGAGAAGGAGCCAAAGTCGTCCATTGCTACTGGTTCACTAAGGCGTCTCGATTTCAGATCTCGTACATGGGGTGGAATGTGCAGCGGCATGAGCTTCCGATTTATAGAGTTGACCTGAGATCGGACCCGAGAAAGAGCATCGTGTGGCCGCTCGGCATACTCAGAGCCTGCTGCAGAAGATTGAGGAGACGCTTGGTCTTCCATTTCCTCTGCAAACGACTGCAGCACTGCTCCTCTGGCATCAAAGTATTCAGTATCCTCCGGGTTCTCAGGTTGTGGCACAAACTGAGCCTCGTCCTCCAAAAGTGTCTCCCAGTTGACCTCCTGGAACCAAGGATGGCCGCGAATTTCTTCACCGCCAGAGGAGAACCTATCTTCGCGGTTTGATCCTAGACGCTGGTGGGGTTCCATACACAGGAGCTGGTTGATCAAATCTTTGGCATCATCAGACACCGACTCACACTCGGTCTCATCTGGCCACTGGACTTTTCGAGCAAGGATGTTCTCAAATACTTCCTCGGCCTCATCCGCGTGGAAAGGGGGGATGCCATAGAGAAATTCGAACAAGATACATCCAACAGACCACCAATCACTCGTCTCATCCTGCTTATCACCCTTAATGGTCTCCGGGGCCAGATAGTCGGGCGTACCCACAAAGCGTCGGTTGGTATCTTCGGGATTGAACAAGGCCATTGGTGGAGGCATCATGTTAGAGAGCGGTAGCGAGCTTCTGGCATGACTATCTATGCTCATTCTCGAGCCAACGCTCATAGGCAAATCAGGCGACCCCTGCGCAACTGCATCTTCGTCTAACGGTGACCTGATGCTATTGGATTGAGATGCCATGTCGGCATCATGCAACGAGAAGTTTGTTACCATTCGCGCGAGCGACTCGCTGCCCCCGCTATCACTTCTGTGAGTACCTGATACTCGGCGAGGTTCTTGACCCAGACTGAAATAGGAAGGCTGGGCCAGGCTGCCAACCTCTGGTGTCATTTGCGGTGTCTGGCTTGGAGACTGGGTATGGCCGTGGAGGTCGAGTGACGCGGACCTTGAGGAAGCCATGGATGTAGATCGAGCAAAGGGACCTTGCTTAAGTAAATCTGGGGTTCCGTCTGAGGTTTCGCTATTCAGCGCACGCTTTTGTCGACCAACCAAACCTAGTCGGGAGAGTCCAAAGTCCGTGAGCTTAAGATGACCTTTCTGGTCTATAAGGAGATTGTCTGGTTTCAAATCGCGGTGGATGATGCCTCGACTATGCAGATGCTCGACACCCAAGACCACCTCGCCAAGGTATTTCTTTACCCACTCTTCAGGAAGTCCACCCAAGACCTTGATCAGCGAAGCGCAGTCGCCACCATTGAGATACTCCATTACCAGATAAAGATAATCTTTACTCGAGAAAGTCCAGTAAAGCTTGGCGACAAACTCACTTTCCCCTTGCCACATCATGATAGCGCGCTCTGCCTTTACATTTCCGACTTGGTTCTTGGCTACCATGTCAGCTTTCTTGAGTACCTTGATCGCAAAGTACTCTCCTGTGGACTTCTTCTTTGATAAATAGACACTACCGAAAGCACCTTTGCTGATGGGCTTGATAATCTCAAAGTCCTTGATGGACGGTTGGGTTGGACGCTGTTGTGGAGGGGCTTGATTAGCACCTAGACGAGGCGAAGGCGGTGGCTTCATGACAAAGTCAGATATGGCTGCCGAAGACTGCCTCCGGTGATGCCTGTGACTATGTGTAGCGGGTGAGCTAAAGTCGCTGCCAGGGAGCATAGGAGAAGCTTCAGGAGATACCATACTCTCCTGAGACAACGGGAATCCTCTGGCTTTTATTCGCAATGGTGAAGATGGCTGTCCTGGTCTGGAGGGTGATTCTTGGCGATGGGGAGAGGAAGTGCCGGGTAGAATAAGACTCCGTCGGTGCCGCCTCCTCGTGCTTGCAGCACGTCTAAGATCTCCAAATTCAGAGATTGGAGACTCGGTTCGCGGGGCATTACGAGATGCAACCGAAGACGATCGAAAGCTGCCTTCGCTGTCAAGAAAGTCCCCTTCCATGTAGATAGAATCTCGGCGGGTGTCTCGTACTTGGACCCCGAGGTTACTCTGTCCACCAAAATGGGACCTGGGTGTAGGACACTCCTTAGGGCTGCTGGATCTAGTGGATGCCACGAAGGATGTAGGCCGTGATCGATCTCTGTTTTCGGCCAAACTCATTTGGCGCAGAGCCGTGGCCAACGCAGATGGACTGTTCATAGGCTCCGCAAAACTTTCGCTCTCTCGTTGCTCGATTTGTTGGGGCTCAGGGACCAGGGGCTCAGGAGGTACATCTTCGTCTACGCCAGCGTCCTCGTCGCATGTATCGCACTGGTCATACTCAGAGTTCATCCTTTCCTCTTCGGTGGAGTCAGTGAGTTCGCCGTTAGCTATACGGGCTGCCTTCCTCATAGCCTCGTCAATACAATCTTGGACGAGACAAGCAAGCTCGATGCGGATGCGTTCAGCGTACTCGATGATTTTCCTGTGGCGAAAGACAGCATCGATCTTGGTTCTGGCAACCTTCTCTGTATCAGCGCATAACAGAGCCAATCCTTGTTCTTGTTCCAGAGTATTGGTGCTTGGTGACTGCCACTGGAGAACTTGTGATATCCGTGACTCGGATTGTGGCGATTGTGTTCTGATTTCGCCATTGGTTTGCTGTGTTGAAGACTCCTTTATGGCAGGAGTACAAACTTCGATAGCAGTGTCGCAGAGGTCCATCAGCAGCTCAACAATTCGAGCTTGAGGTCGGCGAATCGCGAACGAGCGTGCCCTAGTATGCCCAAATCCTCCGGAGCGCTCCCTCGATCGGGGCAATGAGCTACCAGGTGATGACTGTGTCGATGGCGGCGGCCCAATTGGTAGACCTTTGTACTCAGCAACGGGTACGGGTGTCTGGTCGCCAGACAACGATCGGCTCTTGCGGGCCTCCAAGGCATCGAGCACCTTGACGATCGAGTGTCGATGTTCGGTCAAGTTTTCCTGGGCCATCTGGACATCCATCTCGGCCCGGTGTTCTTGCAAGCATAACTCAGTGTGCTTCTCAAACCACCATCGAGGGATGTGACGTTCGCAAATACGACAGAGAACCGGAGGTGGTGGCTCTAGCTGTTCGGGGTCGTCAAGTCCGCTCTCGGCAAGTTGGGTCAGATAGCTCGCCAAGACTTCGGCACCAGAACCTAACGAATCAACAATAACGTTGGGTAGGTCAATCTTGATCTCTCGAGGAGCGATCCACGGGCGAATCATCCACATTGTCTGTAAAGGAAGTCAGTACCACATGCAAAGTCGGTATTTGGGAATCTTACATGACTCTCTCCACCGGAGACGCTGTCATAGACCATAATACCCTGGGCTTCAAGGTCCACGGCATGTATCTGCTCATTCTCGGGGTCATTTTGTAGGTCGTCGAGAGGTAGGAGTTTTGAGAGGGGTCCAAGCTTGACAGCAAACCGGACTCGGTGGCTTCGAGAATCATCCTTCTTCATAGACTCGACAACTTCTGTAAAGACGTTATTGTTTTCGCTGACTATCAAATCAGAAATGGGTAGGCCGTTGACTTTCTCGAACTGGGTGCCCACGACATCGGTCCAAGAGGGGCTGACCCATTTAATAGTTCCATCAAGGTTGAGGTCGACAATGGTGTTGAGGGTCTGCTCGGCGGCTTCTCGAAGTTCCTCGCGTTCTTCCCGGATATCCTGGCTTAATGACCTCTCCATTGCAGTTGTTTGCTGTGCTCTCAGAGAGGCGACCGCCGGGGGTGCCAATGTGGCACCGGCCGAGGAGTCCATCATATCTCTCAGAGGCGAGTACCGCCAGAAGCAGATACAAGTAGAGTAAATGGAAGTTTCGTAGGTATCGTCGAACGTATATATTAGGCCGGGGCCCGGCGCGGTGGTAGCTGGTGACTCGAGCAGAAGCACAAGTGGGGAGACTCAGGGTCTGGCAAGGGCGCCAGAACTACAGACCCGCGAGACTCGGAGACATGACTGGGAGTCGACAGCGAGGAGGATCTCGGGCCTGGCGCTGTAGGAGTTCTAGGTATGAACCATGAAAAAAAGTCGAGGCTAGGTGGTCCTTGAACCTGAACCTGGGAGCCTACAGACGATGGCGGGTAGGAGCGAGAAACTTGAGGTGTAGCCGAGAACAGACCAAGCGTGATGGTACCGTGCCTTGACCGTGACCGTGAGCGTGGGTACTGCGAGCTCGGATAAGGCGAGTCGAGTCGAGACGAGACAGGGCGAAAGGAGTATCGAACGGAATTGATAGCACGATCGATGTCGATGGACCTCGTGGTTGGAATTGTCTGCTCTGTCGGTAGAAGGCCTGTCTTTGGGTGGGAAGAGAACGGAGTCAAGTCTCAAGAGTCGCCGTTAAGCCTCGAGGGGGAAGAAGGACAAAGTTTAGGCCCGGGTGAGCCACGGACTCGTTGGCCATCGTGAAGGCGCGTTACTCTCATGATACAATAAGCGGGGGAAGCGACCTCTGGGCCAATCACTGCCCACCATCTCCAGGAATCAAGCTCCTAGCCCTGCTAAAGCTGCAGCATTGCGGGTATATTTTTTACAGCGCTTTACAGCAAAACCTACGCTACAGTAGGGGCTCCGTGCAGCCACCTCCGTCCCGTCCAGTCCACCAGCGGCTGCCCGCTTAGGTCCTAGGTCCAAGGTTCAAAGTTAGGTCAAGTTCAAGTTCCATCATGGCCCGGAGATGGGAGATGTTTCTGAACCCTGTTGATATCGGGCGAGGAATTTTTCTTCCAAGGGATTACCACCTCATGCAGCATTGTATCGCCATGCTCGCCAAAGTCAAACTATGCACGATGCGAGTGATTTTCCCATTGTCTCACGTTTTTAGACAAAGGTCCAGATGGATCAGTCAATTCACGCTCACATGCATCACTAGGGTGCTCCCTCTATCACTCGGCATCGCTATCTCGAAGGTAGATATCTCTTCTGCGTACTCCGTACCTTGGTGGGTTTGGTAGGTTTGGTAGGTCTGATTGTCTTTATCAGCCTTTGTTTAGTAGGTCGGGTGTTGTTTCATGGATTCCCCTAGTTCTAATCTCGTCCCTTGAAAGACCCCCCTCCCGTTCTTTCATCCAATGCAACAGAAGTTTCGTCACGTCAGAAAAAGGCGGCGCAGATGGAGATTGGGGAGTCTGGAGGGAGGCATTGATCCTCCCCCACGTGCCATATGCACTGTAAAGCGACCTGATTGCCCTGTGCCGATCGAGATTCTATCCCCAGACCGTCCTTGCTCGAATACCATACTACCTACCGTACGTAAGGCTTTGACAGCTGGTAAAAAGAAGGCTGTGTGATGTGGAAGAGGGGAAAGGGGGAAAACTCTCCTTCATCAGGTGCCTCTTTAGGACTGCAGCACAAACACCATGGGAGCGTAAATCTGATGATCTCCGCCTTCTGTGGCCGCATCCTAAAATGCCGTCAACCAATCGACGAGCCAATGGCGTCCAGACTGCAACTGTCTCACCCGACCCTGGGGGGGCGCAGATATGCAGATGCAGATGCAGAAGCGGATGCAGAAGCAGAATACAGATGCAAAGGCAAAGGCATGTAAAGCTAAATGCACTGCAGTAGCAGGCACGGGTGCAAGACAGGCGCAGATCTGAAGCAAGCATTCTTGTATCCCCGGTGACCGTTTGTTCGTAAAGGTTCATTCGACTTGGCCATTGATGATGAACAAGCACACTACCTTAGTAGCCACCATCCGCCAGACAGCGGGCGTCGCGGAAACGAGCCGGAGGTGGTGAAGCAGAGGCAGAAGCGAGGCGAAGCAGAGCAGCATTGCATTTCGTCAAGCCGCATGTAATAGTTGGGGTCTGCTTGACTCAATTAGTAGACTGTAGTTTCGCATGGGCACTTTAAGAGAACAAGCCGTCGCTATTGTTTATTTTGCAGTGTTTCGATATTGTTTAGCCAAGGCTTGGCTTGCAATTCTATCATCTAGATATGTGACTGTGTTATCAACTTGTAATAGCATGACAACATCAAACTGTACCTACCTATTATTGCATAGGTAAGGTACCTAGGTTAGTAGGTATGGATTGCCTGACGAGCACAAGGTCCGCACTCCACCTTCAACATCTGATTCATGCCATCCTATATAAATAAGAAAGACTAATGTCTTTTGCATTAATTACACAGGCAGTTTTAACTTTGGTAATTCATTACATGCATGTATGATTACTTTCTCGTATGTGTTGCAATGAGAAAGAAAGTCATGGGGGTTGTGTTAGTTGCGCCTATTGAACGGCAGTCTCTGCAGGGTAATTGTAATAACAATTCCTGTGAAGCCTGTTGATTCATGCGCTCAGGAACTTACCTACCTGGTATGGATTGAATAATATTGTTGATGGGTTGTTTATCACTTTCGTTGCTGCTCACCGCTGTCTCTTTTCCATGCCACCAACTTCCCATACAGGCTCTCTGCTCGGATGAGTGTCTTCGATCCGCTGCAGCTATGAGCTGACCTTGGTGCTATCTCCCCTCTGCGCCTAGGCGTCGTACTCCTCGATGTAACTTACACTTGTATAGGTAGATAGGTAGTTCTACATAGTAGCTTCTTGTCAATGGACGGGCTGCCGGGCTAGCGATTCGAGTGCTTACTCGAGCGTCCAGCTTGTCCCCCTGACCAACGTAAATGCGTAACCGTGGCCAATAACGAGCCACTCTATGAAGCCAAATCCAGCAATCGAGGGTTGCAAGAGCACATTACATGCATCCACGTTAACTGCCGGTAGTTTTTGTTTTTCTCTTGAAGAGCAACATGCTTCACCACCGACTGTCGTGGGTGACTGACTGTATGACCTGTAACATTGTGGAGGGATGGATATACAGGTGAGATATCACATGTCCTGCCTCCAGGCTACATGCAAAGCACCAGCCTACTAAGGTAGGTGAGACGTCTCAAGGACGACGCCCTGCACAAATATACTGATGTTGACGGACTGCGACCCTCTTCGCTCACACCTGTAGATATTCAAGGATAATGAGAATCGAAAGGCCGTTTCCCGGTTGTCTCCAACACATCCGCCCAACCTTGCCGGTGGGTGCAACCGCAACACGTCAAAATACTGCAGGGTCGTTGTCCAGTCAAGGCTCAAGGCCGGAGCATGCATTCTTTCAGTGAGGGGAGGGGGATTTGGGGTACGAGTACTTCATTCTTGCCTGCTACTCCGTAGAGGGTTTGGAAACACATTGACCGCTTACATCAGACACGTTCAACCTCTTCCCACATGCATGGCGCTTCTTGAAACGTCCTCAGACCGCTATATAAAACCCTCGATAGGAGACCAGCACCAACATTCTGTTGCGCATAGACAGGTTGAGTAAGTTGCGAAAATTGCCTTTGAGAAGATGAATTCATTATCCTTCTTGGCGGATGATGCCTTTCGAAAGCCCGGATGTCCCCATAAATAGCCGGGAAATCATTCTGACTCAGCATTATTGTTTATCGTTGATCTTGATCTTGATCTTGGACAAGAGTAGAGACGTTGACAAGTTGATAGTACAAACCATACCCTCTTTGACTCAGTAGACGACTTATAATATCGTCTACATGAGTAGTTATTGAAGAGGCCTGAAGCGTTGAGAATGTGGAATGTGGAATGTGGAATGTGGAATGTGGAATGTGGAATGTGGGGCCGTGTTGATTTGCCCAAGAATGAGAAAGACCTAGTTCCCATTCTCAGTAACTCAGTCGCCGCTGGCCACCTACACTCTAGGTACCTGTTATACGCTATGTGCACTTGAGGATAGGTACTACCTACCTTAGGTAGTAGGTTAGAGGTACCTACTTAGTTGGTAAAATCCAACTCTAACCAGTCAGGCAAAGGGTCATACACCTGCTCTACCTACCTATTCTTCCATACCTCTACGTAGTACCTTCAGTAGTACGCAAATGCACTGCAAAGGCTCAATCTGGAGATATCATTCATGAACATACAGCAATGGTTCCAGCTTATTACATTGGCCTCACTCCTCTCTCTCATCAGTGATTCGGTCGTGCCGAATAGACTCTGACTAATCCATCAATAACTTCTCCGGTTCTAGATCCCGCCCCATGCAGTCATATCCATTATCTCAAATCATTGCGGCAAGCCAAGCCCATCAAACACTAATCATTCGGCGCATGCTGATCACTGCCCTAGTTCTTATTTCCATTTCTTGCTGATTTGAATTTACAATAAACGAAATATGCAGAGGCCTATCCCTAGTTTTTTCGGATAGCATCAAAACTCAGAGTTGCGTGTCTTCCATTGGAGCACGTTCCGTAGGTACCGAATAGAAGGCTGTGAGGCACTACCTGCTACCTACCTCTCATCGAATCAGACACCTGTGAGTGACGACACTTCACTTCAGCATGTCCCACGGCCCCAGCAGTACATGACACAGCCACGGCCATCACCTCGAGTTCCGACACCTTAGCTTTGCGAACTCGCGAGTTTTTCTTCGAGTCCTTTCTTTTTCTTTGGTATTCCCAAAGTCGTTACATTTCCCGGCTTCAAGATACTCAAGTCCCAAGCCCCAACGATCTTCTCAGGCGGCCCGGCCAATATGGCTGCCTTCAACGCTCACCTTGTCGGTGCAACGGAGCGATCATTCTCCTCGTCGCTATCCCCAGATCGAGTCGTCGCGAGCTCAGAAGACGACAACACCGCTGCCTCCCTCGATCCCGAGCTCTACAAAAATCTTACCGATAAGAGAACAACGCGTGGTAAGCTTCAGTTATAATCGCATATGCCAATACCGCTGTTCATGAGACTGATCCACAATATCAGACGGAAATCCACCTAAGAAGCGAGGTCCAAAACCCAACAGCAAGCCTGCTCTCACTAGACGTCAGGAGTTGAATCGCCAGGCGCAGCGGTATGTTTCCCGAGCTTGACTTACCTCGGCTCTCATCTCTGACGTTATGTTTCAATTCCCAGGACTCATCGAGAGAGAAAAGAGCTCTACATTAAGGCCCTAGAAGATGAGGTCCTCCGTCTCAAAGAGGTTTTCAGTAACGTTTCCCTGGACAGGGAGAGGCTAGCTGATGAGAACAAACGCCTACGAGATACCCTGTCACAAGCTGGGCTTCAGCAAAGTAGCCCCCATGGCGCAGGTAGCGCGACTAGTCGAGGTCCCGACTCTACCAACATGAGCTCCCCGCCCTTGACCTCGCAATCCACGGCCCCGTCAGTTGGTTCGCCAATGCACCTACCTCTGGCCGCGAATCAGGGCTTTACGCCCGGCCAGCAACAGCAGGGCATGCCTCAGCCGCCATATCGTGGAAATCCCGAGTTGGAACAGGCGGGCATTGACTTCGTTTTAACGTACGATAACTCCTACTCGAAGAATCCCCAGTGACCCCTCTGTGTGATATGACGCGAGTTGCGTTGCGCCATGGGTGAGCTTTGGCAGGCAAGGCATATCTCAGTCAAATTGGCTAACAGATTTTGTGATACTTTTAGTCTCGAGAGGCCTTGCATGACCCATATTCAGTTCATGGTCGAGAGAGCTTCTGAGCCCGAGGGCGAACCTTGTGGGCACGCACTCATGGCATCTTGTCCTCCCGATCCGTCCCCAGAGACGCGGCCAGGCTTACCCTTTGGCAAGGCACACATTCCTTTACACGGCGATGCGAACCAGATGACATGGGAGGTTCCCAAAGCAGATCTTGCCACTCTCTTGGACCTCAGTAAGAGTATCGATCTCGACGGCGAGGTCACTCCAATCATGTCCTGGGGTATGCTCATGTCACACCCAAGGGCGAATGAGCTTGAGGTGGATGATTTCCGAAAGTTGAGCGAAGAGCTCGTTCGGAAGGTGAGATGTTATGGGTAAGTTATGTTGTCACGATATATGGTGTGTACATGCTAATTTGTTAAAAGCTTCGGAGCTGTGATGGAGGAGTTTGAAGTTCGTGATGCCATTGATAATGTGTTTAATGGCAGAGACACCATGATGTATGAGTAACCCACTTTAACTCTTGTTTTTTTTTGGGTATAAGGTTTTGTGTTGTTGGTGTCCATCGTTGGCTCATATGGCTTGATATTGATGTTTGGTCAGAAATGTGTTACTAATGCATAACCAAGACGGGAATATGTACGTGAAGACAATATTCAAACTTTACATAAACCTCCCAAGACTGTGTATTTCATAGCTCATATTCATCTCCCTGGTTAAAATCTATAGGCTCTATGGCCTATAAATTTATTCAGAAAATGCTTTCATTGTTCCCATGTTCCCAACTTGATGCCTAGCCGCCTTACCCTAGGCCTGGCTCATGTACAAATGTGGCTTGTGGCTGAAGCGCACAATCCGACTAACCGCGGGGCTTGGGTAGGTATTTTTTTCACGCCCCACTCCACCCCACCACAAATTCATCGTGGACGTCCAAATTCTAGCATCGCCTGTGAACCGAGAGGAGAGATCGATTGACGCATCCCCCGCTTCCGAACCCCAAACTCCGAACCTCCTTCGATTTCTCATCAACGCGCCCTTCGAAAGCGCAAGAGGAAACTATCGAGGCCACGATATTCAAAATGGCGGACTCACTCGACTACATCAAGATCTGCGAAAGCTGCCCCGCCGGCGACGGCTGGGGTCCTTCAGTCACCACCGAAACCACCCTCAACGGCGTGCCCTATGCGCCCTTCTCCAAGGGTGATAAGCTGGGACGCATGGCCGACTGGACTGCCGAGGGCAAGTCTGGAGAGCGTGGTGGACGAGCACAGTACAACAGGAATTACCGAGGTAGGTCATGCTATGATACATTACTCTTGTTTCCGAGAATACCTCGCTGTCTGTCTTTTGGTGGAATGAACTCTTGGCTTACCTGAACCTCTCTTCCCACACAGACCAACAAGTCTACGGTGCCAGCCACGCCATCACCTTCAATGCTCCTCCCGCCGAGGACGAGTCTACCTTCTCCGTCGTTAGCAACGTCCGAGATTCGACAAAGTCAAGATACGGTCGCGGCGCCGTCTTCACCCGTGGCCGCGGCCAGCGCGGTGGTCAGGCCGGTGCCCGAGGCGGACGAACCCAGCTCACAAGGGGCGGTGCCGGTGCTGGTGGCCGAGGGGGCTACGACCGTGGTGGCCGAAACAACGCTGGCCGTGGCGGTCGTCGCTTCGGCTGGAAGGATTATGACAAGCCTGCTCGCAACCGTGATGCCAGCATCAACGTCAAGGCTGAGTGGAAGCTACTCGAGGAGATTGACTTCAACCGTCTGGCTAAGCTGAACCTCGACACCGACGAGGGAGAGGATATCGACGACTACGGCTTCCTTTACCACTATGACCGCTCTTACGACAAGCAGCCCGTCAAGGGCGCCGAGAAGAAGCTCACACCTATGGACCGTGCTGCTTACAACGTCACCACCTCATCCGATCCCGTTATCCAGGAGCTCGCCGAGAAGGACGAGGCCACCATCTTCGCCACCGATAGCATTCTCTCCATGCTCATGTGCTCTCCTCGATCCGTTTACCCCTGGGATATTGTCATCTCTCGACAGGGCAACAAGATCTTCCTGGATAAGCGTGATAATGCCGCCCTTGATATGGTGACAGTCAACGAGAACGCCGCCGACGCCCCTCTCGATGCTGCCGATGGTAGCAAGGACACCATCAACCAGCCCAACGCCCTCGCCGAGGAGGCCACCTACATCAACCACAACTTCACCAACCAGGTTGTTATTGAGAACGAGTCCTCCAAGGTCGCCATGGCCCACGGCAACCCCTTCTACAACTCATCTGAGGACACCGACCCCCCTGCCAGCAAGGCCTACAAGTACCGGAGATTCGACCTCTCAACCAACGAGGAGGACCCCGTCCACCTTGTTGTCCGAACAGAGGTCGACGCCGTCCAAAGGAACGCCATCAGCGGCGAGGACCAGCACGTCAGCATCCATGCTCTCAACGAGTTCGACAGCAAGGCTCAGGGCAGCGGTGGTGCTCTTGACTGGCGGAGCAAGCTTGTCACCCAGCGTGGTGCCGTCGTTGCTACTGAGATGAAGAACAACAGTTGCAAGCTCGCTCGATGGACAGTGCAGAGCATCCTCGCCAAGGCTGATGTTATGAAGCTTGGGTAAGTCTTTTTGCAACTGACAACCAGATACACTGGCTAATTGAAATTCACAGTTTCGTCTCTCGTCTGACACCCCGTGTTAACGACAAGCACGTCGTTTTGGGCGTTATCGGCTGGAAGCCTCGTGACTTTGCTAACCAGATGAACCTGTCGCTCAACAACGGTTGGGGTATCGTCCGCACCATTGCCGATATGTGTCTCAGCAGTTCTACCGACGACGCCAAGTTCGTCCTCGTCAAGGATCCCAACAAGTCCATCCTCCGCCTATACGAGGTGCCCACCGGCAGCTTCGACGACGATGATGAGGAGGAGATTGAGGAGCCCCAGGCCGAGGAGGAGGAGCAGTAAAGCAAGTAGACAATACTTGGACACGAGCATATTGTGTTGCGCATGCATATTTGGTAGTTTCATGACGGGAGGGAGGGTCACGGGATAAAAAGGATGAGATTTGCAGGCAGTCCCATGCTCTAATGATTTGAAGCAGTGGATGCAATCTCTATCGGGTCCTGTATAAAGGGATTTTTATTTGGCTGTGGATGCAGCCTGGAATGAAAAGAAATCGTGATTTGTTTGAACAACTAGTTTGTGGTCTTTCTGAGTGTACGGATATGTGAACATGATATGAGTATTGCTGTCTCGTATGGTAGAAGGGTCGTGGTGTGTGAGGGTCCTGATGCCAGTAATTGCATTCACAGCTCAAGAAGTAACTGAACTAAAATCGACGGTCATATCTACCGAATAAGATAGGCAAGGCACAATATATTGTCCTACTCAGACCTAGGGACATAACTGTGAACCAGTATAAACCATTTTTGTTGGCTCTAGGGGATGCACGTGACTTGAAAGTTAAACCCGCCATTATTTCCGCCCTATCCGAGTAATTCCAGAGATCTCAAGCTCGAGATCAAAGGGAAAAAGAGGCTAATTAAAGGCTAGGTATCCGTACCTACCTAGGTTAGGTACCTAGAGTGTCAGTGGTTCCTCTTCGGCAAAGACGGCACAAGCCTCAGACACGGACAGCCCGAGAATTACTCTGCTTTACGCGTCTTCTTGAGGCAAAAGCTATCGTCATGGCTGTGGCTAACCTTGGGCAGGCATCTTATTTTAGATACCTACTTACCTTACGGTAGTCAATGGCTTGCATTTGTGATTGACAAGATTTACGTAGCATGTATCTTCTCTTGGGTGAAAATGATCTCAATCTCAATCTTAGTAGCACCTGCCTTACCTTACTCTACTGCACTGGGCTGGCTCTATTCACGCTTCTCAGGTTCATTTAGGTAGGTGCCGTCTTACCGATTAGAGGGTTGGGACTCCCCGCAGAAACCCCTAGCGTTCAACAGAGAGATCCATTCTAGCCTATGGAACCCCCTTGATTGGGTGATTAAGCTACGGCCGTCTTTGGGAATTGAAGCTCCATTGCCCGTGACCTCAATTGGGCGATCCTTCTTATATCCCACGGCGCATCACACTCCTCTCATCCTCCATCTTCATCTCCCATATTCTCTCTTACAGATCGTATCTCTTCACTCTAACTCATTGAATCCGATTCGCTCATCGCGTGCCTCTCAATCGCATCGTCAACAGCAGCTCAATCCTTCTATCGCAATGTCTGCTCAAGATTACTACGGCGGTGGTGGCGGCGGTGGCTACCCTCAGCAGCCCCAACCCGTACGTTGCCAGGCGCATTCACTTAAGCTTGATCGCAATTGCTAACGCGATCGTCTCGCAGTCTTACGGCCCTCCCCAAGGACAATACGGTCCCCCTCAAGGTCAATATGGTCCTCCTCAGGGACAGTACGGTCCTCCACAAGGTCAATACTACGCCCCCCCTCAAGGACAAGCCCCCATGCAGTACCAGCAAGCGCCTCCTCCCCAACAGAGCGGTGGTAAGGGCGGCGGCGGTGGATGCTTAACGGCTTGTTTGGCAGCAATGTGCTGTTGTTGTGTTGCTGAAGAAGGATGTGAATGTTGGTAAGTTATCTCCAGTCGCCAAGACAGTCATTGGCGTCATCGCATCTCTTTGCTAGCACCAATTCAGCGTCGCGGTGCGAACCAATGCAGAACCAAAAGTTACTAACATCTGTTACTATTTAGTATCGACTGCTGTGATTGCCTCTTTTAAGCGGCCAGAATCAACCACCCGAAGTAAATACGATTCCCACGACACGTTTTATCAGTCCAGTTTTAGCGGGCACGAGTCTTGTAGTGCACCGAGATTAGCAACCTTTCTTTATTCAATTTGGAAACGCCGTCATGAATACCCTGCTTTCAGTGTGATATATGGTGTTTTGTCGCGATAACGGTATATGGAAGTTTGCACCAACATGATGAGAAAAGGAGTAATGATGGACTGCGCTGTACGATTCAGATATGAGATGTTGTTGGTACTGGGCATTCTCTCCAATCAAGTTAATTTCAACAACTTTCGCGTATATTATATCTTTTCTTGAGTATAGCCGAATGTCCGTTGATTGTATGCGATCATATCATTCATTCAAGCATGGGGTACACACGCTAATGCCCAACTTGAATAAAAAGGCAATGATTTTTCATAAAATCACTAGCTATCTTATTGAAGATACATAAGGCCCCCACGATTTAACGGACTGGACTTGGAACTTGCTCAAATCATGCTTACAGAACAACACCCGCTGCATCATAAAACATTAGAATTTCATCTAGTATACACTCACTTCTGAAAATGTGCACCATCTCTGGTACCGTCACCAAATACATAGTTTGCAAAACAGTCCTCAACATCACATGGGACCCTACCGTGCACTGCAGTAGCTTTGAACAACTGGGCGTCTGCCCTAGGGCTGGCCATTAAACCTGGGCTGTCTTTCAACCCAACAATACATGCCCTGTCTGTATCAAGAAGAAAGAGGAGGATGAGAGGACGAAGAAGCAAAGGCAATAGAACAAGAGTTGGAAATAGGGAATTAGAAAGAAGGTGAGACAGAAGCAAAACACGAATACCTGGCTCTTCACAAGGCCGCCTCACAAATCTTCACATAACTCAAGTGACCGTGGCAAACATGCAACACGCAGTGAGTATGAATATAACATCATCGCTTTGACACTTCGCTGTGTCTTCTTCAAGTATTAGGAACAGGGTGGAACAATGCAACATCTGGTCTGTTTTGAAACTGTACGCGAACTGATTGCGTGACTTGATCTCTACTATCAAAGCATTTTTTCCATCTCCATAATTTAACCTATTGATTGCACTTCATGGTTGCTATAAAATCATATCCTAGATTTACTGGTTGAGCTGCACGTAGTTGGCGGGGAACAGACCAGACTTTCCAGCGTAGTGGCCGAACCACCAGTCCTCATCTGGGAAGTCTAGGTTGGTAATTGTGGCATCCTCAGGGAAGCTCAGCTCTGTAAAAACATGATTAGTTGCTTTCCGATTTCGTTATCAACAGAGTCAGATCTTACCGTTATCTTCCGCAGCCTCGTAATCGTAGAGAGCAACGGCTGTGTGGCCGGCATCAGCCGGAGCAGCGGCCGGAGCTTGAGGAGCGGGCTCAGGCTCAGCTGCGCAGGGAGCAGGAGGTGGTGGCGATACATCAGCTTGTTGCTCGGGCTCGTCGTCCCCGACCAGCTCGACGTAGTTGCTAGGGAAGAGACCGGTCTCGCCACGGGAGTTGGTACCCATCCACCAGTCCTCATCGACCATCTCGATGTTGGTGACAATGTCACCCTCAACAAGCTCGATCTCATTATCCTCGGCCTTCTCGTAGTCGTACTGGATCACAGCACGGTAACCGCCCTGAGACTCATGAGACTCATGAGACTCCTGAGGTTGCTGAGCAATAGGCTCAGGGGCAGGAGCAGGAGAAGGAGCGCGCCGAGGCTCAGGCTCAGGGCTGGGCTCACGATCCAAGGCGCCAGCAGCAGCAGCAGCTCCGACACCAGCGGCAGCTCCCACAGCAAGGCCAGCAGCCGCACCGCCGGCAAAGCGGGCAGTTGAAGAAACCTCCTTGTCATCAGCAAGATCTGACTCCTTGGGGATGTCAAGCTGGCTAGGGGGGATCGATGGAGGAGCACGCTGCTCAGGAGGAGTTCCAACATCAGGCACCGGGCCGCGGCTGACAGGAACAGCAACGCGGGGAGGCGAAGGAGATCGACCGCGCTCTGCGTTGGTCTCATAGGCAGAGGGGTCCTCTCGCTCGTCGTCCGACTGCTCGTCTGCAGGCGCTGGTCGGTTGGGCAGTCCAGGGAGAGCAAAGCCTCCAGAAGGTCGACCACTGGGCACAGGTGGCGGCGAAGCATCTTCCTCTGCGGGTCGGGATGAAGGAGGAGGGGGGGCTCCCGCGCTGATAGGAGCAGTGTTCTTGAATCGGTCTCGCAGAGCAGAGACACCAGATGGTGAACCTGGTGTGTCCTCGTTTTGCTCGCCTGTGTTCTCTTGGCTAATTTGACCAGGAATGCCTCGGCCGTAATCTCCAGTCTGAACAGGAGCCCAGCTCTTGCCAGCGTAGCCGCTCCTCCACTCGTTTCCGCTCTTTTGGGCTTGAACGGGCGAGGCGCTGCCAGTGTGAGCAGGAGAGGCAGGGGTGGGAGCAGTCTCGCTGCTGACAGATTCTCCCCTTTCCCTGGCTTTTCGCTCAGCCCAGAGCTGAGCTGGGGTCTTGCCACCTTGGTCTGCAAACGTACGGCTTGCGGCACCTACAGGAGGAGCCGCAGGAGCAGCAGGAGAACCAAAGCCGAGGCCACCAGGTGTGGGAGCCTTTGTACCCGAAAAGCTTGCGGCACCTCCAAACTTGTTGGCAACCTTGGGCTTTGGGAGAGATGTCATACGCTCCGACTGAGCTGGCTGAGAGAAAGCGGCCATACGGTCGGCAACCGGCCGTGTCTCTTCCTCTTGGGGCTCCTCGACGGCGGCAGGCTTCTTCGCCTGCGCCCTGATCGCAGCAATGTCGACCTTTCCAACAGGCTCGTAGGAGCCCTTGACTGGGGCTGGCCTGTCATCCTTGTCTTTTTGGGCTTGAGCACGGAGAGCTGCAATATCGACCTTGCCAACGGGTTGGTAACCACCCTTGACCACGTCGTCTGGTGTATCGTCTCGCTTCACAGGGGCACTGCCGCTGGTTGTTGCGGTAGGTTGCTTGCTGAGATCGGCAATATTTACCCTTGTGGGCTTGTAAGCGGACTCAACTTTCTCAATCTGAGTCCTTGTGATCGGGGGAGCATCGGCACCCCAGCCGTCCTCATCCACGTTTTCGTCCCTTCTGGACCGAGCAGCGACGGTTGGGTTGGCGCGGCTGGATGTGGTTGGAGTGAAGACAGGCTTGGTCTTCACGGGAGGAGGAGGAGCGCTAGAACCAGTGTTCTCGGAGCTGCCCGCCGAGTACTTGGCGCCGGAAGCATCGGCCACCTTTCGCATGATGGAGTCAACCTCGAGATCGCTTTCTGAGCGGGCGGTGATCTGGACATGGTATCCGTGGAGGACCTTTGAGACCGCGGCAAGGTGGCTGGTGAAATAGCCCTTGGTTCGTTCGGGAACACCTCCTCCACACCATGCGATCAATATGCTCTTGGGGAGACCGCTGTTGGGGTCCTTGACCTTTGCGAATGCGAATTGGATGCGACCTTCGCTAAAGTCCTCAATGAGGTCGGCGAGCTCGCCATCTATATGCTCGTTAGCAGGCAGGCGGATGAAAAGGGTGTTCTCGTGGGCGGCATACCGCCTGTGCTTTGGACCTTAAGGATGCTCTCCTTGGCGCCGCTGTCCTGGAAAGCATTCATAAGAGGGGCCTGGACAGTGAAGAGGGCCCAATGAGCGTAGGTGGGAGAGGCGGAGGATGGCGGGGGACCGTTGACGACGCCATTGTAGCTGCTCTTGATGGACGGGCCATTGATGGAGAGATTGAGGGACGCCATCTTGAGGGTCTTGAGGATGTCAAGTCAAAAGAGACCGAAGCTGACGGAAGTTGGGTGACAGAGGTTGGAGATTGGGTATCGGGGTATTGGGGGGTGACGTTGACACCGTTGCTGCGGCGGTAGCTGGTGCTGGTGCTGGTGCTCAGTGCTGGTAGCTTAGTAGCTAGGTTGTAGCTGGCAGCTCCACACGGAGAGAGAGGAAATGGGTTCCAGAGGCGTAGCCCGTAGCCCGTGGCCTGAAGCCGGGGGATCAAGCGTAATTTGTACTAAAAGTCAAGAAAACCTCCCTCAAAATGCCTGTTATCGTATAGCTTTTTAGGAATTACTGTATGGTAGCCGCTGCATGATCAAGGCGAAGGTGAAGGAAGGTTCAGAGAGAGTGAGCAGAAAGCGCAAGTTTGTGTATAGCAACAACACACCTTAGGAGTGTGGCTGAGAATGCGGGTACTCTAGCTTCCATTCACACCTGGGCATCTCCTTATTCTGCATTAGGGAACTTGGAGGTGCCCAACTTTGGGGCGGTCTAGCCAGTCTACAGTCTACAGTGGGTTGAGCGGGGTTAAGCTGTGCTGTTCATGCTGTATGTGTTGTGCAGTGAGCTCCATACTAGGTAGTCCATACCTATGATATATCCATGCCCGCCGTGATGTGCTGTAGATTGGCTATAGCGATGGCGCGTTTCGAGGTCAGCATTACGCATCGAAATTCATTTATTGAAGTCGAATGCATATATCCAGCTCCGGCAGCGGAGTCCCGTCTACCCCGAGCCGACCGACCGCGAACAAGAGGGAAGCCAAAAGCCAAACGAAATGACGCAAGGTCATTTTTTTTCCATTTGCAACCATTTGTTGCCCCTCCCTCAGCCCGTAGTTATCAGTACCCCGCCAAAGTTGGAATCTTTGCCCCCGTCGCGCGCGCGGATCTACGACCTACCCTACCTTTAACTGACTCCTAAATTGTCTCTTTTTTTCCACCTTCTTATTACCTTATCAGATCGGATCCCTGACGCATCCATCAATCAACAAAATGTCGTCCATGACAGAAATCACCAGCATCCCCGAGTGGGAACAGCTGCTCGCCTCTGTTCCTCCCACTGCTCTCGTCGTCGTGTCTTTCCACGCCCCATGGGCTGCGCCATGCGCGCAAATGGCGACCGTTCTATCGACCCTCGCTTCCGAATACCCAGTTACTGAGCCTCCTACCACCAAGTGGGTGTCAATCAACGCGGAGGAGCTGAGCGACCTTAGCGAGACCTACGATGTTACTGCCGTTCCCTTCCTCGTTCTTTTGAGGAATGGTCAGGTTGTCGAGACTGTTAGTGGCAGTAGTGCTGTCAAGGTGCGCACGGCGATCGAGACACAAGCCAAGCAGTCGGGTCAGAATGCAGAGGCCAGCGCCCCCAACGGCGTCGATGCGAACGACGTCGCTGTCGAGGAGCAAGATCCCGAGAAGAAGAAGGAGGAACTTTTCAAGCGTCTTGGAGACCTTGTCAAGGCCGCGCCCGTCATGCTTTTCATGAAGGGTACGCCCAGCTCGCCCCAGTGCGGCTTTTCCAGGCAGTTGGTCGGTTTGCTACGGGATCATTCAGTCAAATATGGCTTCTTCAACATTCTTGCCGATGACGAGGTTCGACAAGGACTCAAGGAGTTCGCGGATTGGCCAACATACCCACAGCTCTGGATCGATGGCGAGCTTGTTGGTGGACTTGATATCGTAAGTTGAATCAACGGGATGGCTTGACTAATGCTGACAAATTTATAGGTCAAGGAGGAGATGAGCAACGATGCAGAGTTCTTCAGCAAGTACAGCGTGAGCGCTCCCGCAGCATCTTGAAGCGGGATTCATGCGTTATGAAGAATATGTTACAATTATTTATTTGCACAGCGTGAGAAGAGGGGAAAAGTATGGTCTTTAGGTCTTGCGGACGTAACTGAATACTGCACTGCTTGGCCAGTAGTAGAATCCAGCCCTTCAGTATCGCGTGCCTGACGTTACGCCGATCCACCGTCAGGCACGCGATACTGAAGATGACGGATTGAGGTCCGGTTTGTAAAGATAAGAGCCGAATGGACTTGAGGGCTTGGGGGAGGGCTGGGGGCTGGGGGCTGGGGGCTGGGGGCTGGGGGCTGGGGGCTGAAGGCTGAAGGCTGAAGGCTGAAGGCTGAAGTGTTATTCAGAAAACGATGCGGGCATTCCAAAGAGAGCTGGTGTGTGCTTGTCGGATTCGCTACTGCTATGCAATCAATGGCTCATTAGATGAGTCGTAAGCTCTGGAATTTCATCAACCAGTGTGCATCAGCATATGGCGAGTTGAAAGGGACGAGGTTTGGGTGGGATATTGGGGGAAGCTTAGTAAACCGACCAAGTGAAATCAATATGACAAATCTACCATATAATGCATGTATTGTTGTAAAGTCACGTCATTGGTTGCTGAAGGATTCTCGGATGCTTAATCTTGGACATCTTAAACGTGTATACATCAAAGATCCAAAGGTCTAGACTGTTTATCAATTCTATGATGGATCCTGTCGAGTATAAAACATATAGAACATAATAAAATGATATCCGTACAGTGCCAAAAGTGTGAAGCATTTTCATGACAAATGCCGGTGATAACAGCTCCGAAGTCCGAAGCTTCCTTCTACCAATTGGGCAATCAATACCTAGGTAGGTACTTACCTATGGAAATACGAATTAAATCCCAATCCGATGAGCGAGAACTGGCAATGACTCACCGGCCTAGAGCTGCAGTTATCTAGGCAGCTGCTACTGCGTAAGGTTCTAGGTTATGACTCTGTGTTTTTTGACCAGGTTGTGGTTCGTTTGATTCCATATGAGAAACAAGCGCTGTAACGCCCTTATAGTGACGACCTAGTTAGTTTTAACTTGGGGGTATAGAGGATAGAAGATTCGCCAACCAGAACTCAGAACTCAGAGCCCTAGAGATAGAACGGATAGATACTCTATTATAATTTTTGGTAGCATTACAAACATTAATAATATTTGAGAAATTAATAGTCCATATATACATTACCTAATCTGTCGTTGGGGTCTAGGTGTTATTGCTGTATGAAGGGGGGTAAGGAGGTAGGCAAGTTACGCGTATTTCAACTCCTTGATTGTGGTGCCTAGGTAGTTCTATGTTAGCACCTTCCATTAGTTAGTTCCCAAGCTACCTTAGTACCTACTGGGCGGTTCAATAAGGCTGATGCTGACATACCTGCTGTACTACGTACATCCACATCATTTTCTACCTAACCTTTTGGCATTTATTTTCCACCTTTTGCAAAGAGATCTTCTCTTTTCTCTCCCTAATTGACTAAAGCCCTCGGAGGTTCCGGGCCCTCCATCTTTGCTTTATTATCAAAACGGTTCGACTGCTCCATCCCCAGCTCTTCTGGTTGGACATTCCCCTTCAGTCACCTGCTCTCTCTCACAGCCTCTAACCTCTTAACTTCTAAACTTCTGGACCTCCAGCTCGCTGCTGACTGAGCTTACGGGGGGACGGCGCCAATTAACATCCCGCCGTCTCTAGCTACTCCATACTGTAGCTCTTGTCTCGTCTTATCCTCGTCTCCCGCTCGCTTTATTTTCGCCTCTGACTCGCTTTATTTCCCGCACTCGGTCAGCGATCTCGTCGTTGCCGGCGCCGACTTACAGCGAGTCTCTCTCATCCTGGTTTGTTTTTTCTTTCGGCCAGACCGCAGTTCTGAGTATTTTCTTGGTCCGCCTGAACATCCCTTGGGCATCACAATCCGGTCTTGGCGGCCACCGTGTTGTACTGTGCTGTACTGCACCTCTCTTCACCTTACCTCACCTCGGAAACAAGGCAGTGCTATACTGTACAGTGGCCTTGCCTACTTTCTATCTCACCCTAGCTCTTAAGCACGCGCGCGCGCGGACTTGTCGGATTGGATCCACGCCACCTCCAGGTCTCGACATTAGAGATCGCTTGGGGCGAAACGATTACATTGCATTGCATTGCCCGGTGCTGCGTTGCGCTGCTCAACTGTCTATCCCAACGTCGACATCGACCCGTCCCGGCGTTTGAAACCTGGAGCCGCAATTTCCGGTTGGTCAGACAAATCTTCCGTGTACCGGGTCGTCGTAGTTGCGGCGGAGTTCTGGAAGGGCGTGGTATTATTCATACTAGGCTCTCTTGTGCCGTTAACTGCTCCAAACTCAATATATTGATGCGGGTTTCCCTCAGAGCTGACCAAGCTTGTCCCAAAATCTTCTGTCAGTTTTGAGACCGGATCCCACATCTTAATTGTTGAGACACTTCGTCTCGTTTGCCCTTCTTCACAATGACCCCAACTCCTCCTTCGACAAACTCCTCCCAGGGAGCCCGCTCTCCTGAGGACCAGTTCCGCGTTGTGAGGAAGAGAAACCGTGTCCCTCTTAGCTGCTATCCGTGTAGGACGCGCAAGTACGTTGCCCCCCTATAATGTGACTTTTGCCCTTTACTAACTATATTCAACAGATTGTGAGCTTAAAACACTCCCTCAAATGGGAAACTATCACTAACCCTAACTAGAAAATGTGACAGAAGTCACCCCTGTAGCAACTGTACGAAGCGTGAGGGCATGGGCACCAGCTCATGTTCTTATGCTACGCCAGTCACGCGCAAAAAGAATCAAAGTCAAGGAGAATCAAGTCCTGATGACATGCAGAACCGTATTGACCGTTTAGAAGGCCTAGTTTTATCCCTGATGCACGGAGGTGCTAACGTAGATGCTGCATCCGCTGCAGCCGCCGGAGCAGCAACACAATCGACCACGGATAGTGGTTCTTCCGCAAAGACTGGGAGAGGAGACGGGAATGCAATGGTATACGACGAAGACGAAAACAGCGACGAAGAAGAAGGCCTGGCTACGTCTTTGGGCTTCCTCAAAGTTGACACAGATAAGGGCAAGTCAATGTACATCGGGCAGGAGCATTGGCACACCCTCCTTGCCGACATTTCCGAGGTAAAAAGCTACTTCACTTCTCACAAAAAGGAGTTGGAAACGAGTTATGAGCGAGTCAAGTCCTCAAAGCCTATGGCAGCGAGGGAAGGGCCTACGCTGCTCCTGGGAGCCCTTCCTGCGTCCGAGGTCGAGATAAGAGCAGAGCTCCCGTCCAAATCGGCTGTCTTGACTCTGTGTAGTCGGTACTTCAACTCCATGGATAACGCAGTTAACATTATCCATGGCCCAACTTTTCAACAACAGCTGAGAGATCACTGGGAAGACCCTAACAAGACGCCTATCATGTGGCTCGGCATGCTGTATTCAGTTCTTTGTCTAGCGATGCTAAGTTACCATAAGGTGGGTGATGAACCTCCCGAGTGGAGGGGACGAACTCTTGAGTTGGCAAACGAGTATCGATTACGGACAGTCCAATGTCTTGTAAAATCAGACTATACAAAACCAAACGAGTACACGGTCGAGACTATGATTCTTTACGTTTTTGGAGAATACTCGTCTCGGTGGGATGCTGATTTGGGGTTGTGGTTGATTGTCTCCTTGATTGTCCGAATTGCTTTTCGAATGGGCTATCATCGAGACGCCAAATGGTTCCCATCAATTACACCGTTCCAAGCAGTGAGTTTCCGTGCTCGTGCATATCAAGCAGCCGTTTTGCTAACCCCAATAGGAAATGAGACGGCGAACGTGGGCTCTTGTGCGAATGTCGGATGTCATCTTTTCCCATCAGGTTTCTCTGCCCAGCATGATCTATGAACACGACTGTGATACTCAGCTCCCTAACAACATTTTTGACGACGAATTTCACCCTAGCATTAAAGAATTGCCTCCTTCTCGACCGTCAACTCTAGCCACCCCAATCGCATACATGATTGCAAAGTCAAGACTGTGTAACGAGTTGGGAAACATCCTTCAAACTACGGGCACAGTAGGCAAACATGTGTCCTACGACGAAATCATCCGCTTTGACGCCAAATTGCGGCAGATTATGCAAGAATTACCGCCGCACTTGAAGCTGACAACACTGGAGGGATCGCATGATCCGGTGACATTGATCATTGCCAGGTTCAACGTCGATATCCTATACCAAAAGATTCTCTGCCTACTCCACCGCAAATACCTTCCCCGCGCAAGGCAAAACGCACGATACGCACACTCTCGTAGGGCTGCCATTGAAGCGTCGTTGACAGCACTCGATCATCTGGCGGTTCTCTATAGGGAATCACAGTCCAATGGAAGGCTGCGGTCAGTTAGCTGGTTTGTGAAATCTATTGCTACCAAAGACTTTACGCTGCCTGCCATGTTGGTCATACTTGATCTTCATTTCGACAATATCGCCGCGCAATCTTCAGTCCCACAGGATGATGAAGGCGCATCAACATGGGATGGCAATCAGCGATCAAAGATGATTGATAGTCTAGAAACTGCGAGAAAGATTTGGAACACTCTTGCCGACACGTCTATGGAAGCTTTCAAGGCAGCCAAGGTCATTGATATTATGCTAGACAAAATCAAAGATCCCACGGCAAGTAGCATGGATACGCCTGGCGCGCCATCTCCAATGCCAGGCTTGACACCGGGCATGGGCATGGGCATGGGCATTGATGTTTCACCCGGTATGGCGCCTGATTTAGTTTCCAACAATAGCCTACCCGAGTTTAACCCAACGGCCAACCCCTTTTCAACGCCTAACCCAGCGGCATTTATGGGCATGGATTTTGGTATGCCTGGCCCTGACGGTCTTGATTTCCAGACAGATGGGTTTGCCGGAGCTGGTCCTGCTTCTCCGTTCTCCTCAATGTTTGGCAATCTGGGAGCTGGCACCAATGTGGGGATTGATATGGCTGCAAACTTCGACTGGGTAAGTTTTGTTTTTGATAAGAGTTACAACACTTGTCATAGTTTCTAACACTTAGTAGAACGCGTTTGAAAACTATACACAGATGGCCAACTGGGGAGCAGACCAGAGCTTCCAGATATACGGCACTGGAGGGGACCAGTCATCGCCCGGACAGAGTTCATCAGTGGGTGGACGTAGCGGAAGTACATCACAAGTGCAAGGAAGTGGGACCGGAAGCGGAAGCGGGAATGGAGGAAATGTAAGAGATACTACGATGCAATGATGATGGAGTGAGACCACTTATAAGATGATTAGGACTTAGAACTTGTACTATCGTAAGAGGTGGAGCGAGTACATGGAATGTAAGACCAAACATCTCTACTTAATTAAATGGAGTATATGGTGAAATTGGATCTCAAATTGTATACTATGTAAGTACCTACCTAGCTTATCATGTCTAATAATACCTATCTATTCCTGGGTGTACTTTAAGATATTGTTTTGCTGCTGCTTCAGCATGACTGCTTTGTCATCTAAGAAAAAAGTGGGTCCCCTTCGAAAGTCTTATCGATAAGCCCAGAACTTTTAGATCATGCTGGTCATGACCCGAGTTCCAAGTCTCAACATCGACTTTCAAGTCTAATAAAGCCTTCTTCACCTGCCTGTCCCCTTTATTTCAAGGCAACACCGCGAAGCCAATTCGCGTCGCTTTGTTCACGAGTAATCTCGGGTTTGTATCGCAAAAGAGAGAAAGAAGAAAGTGCATGAGCATAATCATACCGCTCCTGCTTCTTTTAACTAGGCTGCAACGCGAAACCACCTATTCGGTTGCTTCATAAACCCTTTACGCCCAGACAAGTGTTGACTGTCTCTTTTCCCCCCCCATGCTTGATACTTTATCAAGCAATTTTCCCCTTTCTTCTCTCCTTTCTTCTTCTCATCCAAATTCTGCTATCCCATAGCGCATTTTGTGAAGAATGTCTTTCAAGGAGAATCAAGGGGCTGGTCCCCCTGATTTAACGCTCGCCCAAACAGCATCAACGTCTAGTGATACGCACAGGGTCGACGTACAGATGACTGGTGCGTCTGATTATGAGCCCTCAGAAGCCTCTAGTTATGACCCTGCAGCGGCTTTACTCGATAACACCCCCCAGTCTCAGCCCTCGAAGAAAAGGCGCCAGTCACTAGATTCTGGTGATACTCAGCAACTCAAGAAAGTGAGACTTGAGGAAGCGGATCCTACAAGATCGCGAGAGCTTCTCAAGCCCGCGACAGATCGATCCAAGCAGCTCCCAGCCGAGATATGGCAACATATCTTTACTCTTGTACCGCCCAGATATCTGGGTCGTTTGTTGGCTGTCAACAAACTTTTTCGCGCCCTCCTTAGCCCTTTTGTCACAGCTCCTTCCACACATCAGAATGCTGTGCCGTCTTGTCTTCCCAGCTTGAAGCCGGATGCCATATGGCAGGCTTCAAGGAGGCTATTTTGCCCCCGCATGCCTGCTCCTCTTAAGGGGAGGTCAGAAGTTCAGATGTGGCGTCTTGTTTGCTCTGTTTCTTGCCAGTTCTGCGGTTCAAAAAGTCACAAGTCCCTTTCTTATAACAACGAAGCATGGCGTAGTGGTCCAGGTCCAAGTGACGTCTGCCCCGTTTTCCCCTTTTGTGTCTTCACCTGCGGAGCTTGTCTAAGAAAGAAGGGTATCAAGGTAGGCGGTTTGAAGCATTCCTCCGACGAACGGTCTAACATTTGTGATAGGAAATCGACTTGCTTCTGTCTTCTTCACCCCCCTCTTTTCTCCTTCCGGCTCTTCCCCCCGTACTTGTGGATGGAGAAATGCATGTTATTCCTCCACGTGCTATGCAGACTGGAGCTGTGCCTCCAAACACCCAGGTGATCAAGCTATTCTGGTCAGAGCATGTCGAAAAAATCAAGGCCGAGTTTGAACATGTCAAGGCATTGGGATCTGCTGCTGCTGAAGAGTGGATTAAGGGTCTGGAGATTCGAGGAAAGCAGGCTTTGGTCGATGCGTCTCGCTGGGAGAAATGGGCCGGATCAGGGGGGGTCGCTCAGTTACGCGTGCCAAAGACCGCAGCAAAACCAGAGGTTCCAGTTCTTGCTGCATCCCTGCCTTCCAAGCCACCCGCAAATAAGACGCTCTTAGGTACTGTTCAGCAGGTCAAGGAACAACAAGAACGAACCAGCGACGTAAGTGAGAAAGCCGGGCATACAGCACAGCCAGACGCAAGCACGCAACAGCCACGTGTCCCGATACAGCAGAAGCGAACCAAAGAAGAAGTAGCTCAGCTCAAAGCCCAAAGACGAGCTGACATTGAGGGTCGGGCCATGCTTCTAGATCCTCCGTTGAAAGCAGAGGTTCTCGCTCGAATTCCGTCCTTCCAAGCAGCACTTCAGCTCATCACTCCACTCGATGATAACGCATGGGAGCTGTTGAAACCCCGTCTTCTAGCCCAGAGAGGGGAAGCTGAGCTACGAGAAAAACAAAGCAGCGCCAACGCCCAAGGGCCGCAAGAAAGGCTTGCGAAGGAAGCCGAGAAGAAGCCTGCTAAAGAATCGAGAGAGGTTACCGATGAAGAATGGGATGACATCCAAGGACCTGTTCGAGCACGAATCGCAGAATATGCAGACGAAATCATCGAGGGATGGAACAATGGCGCCAAGATCAAGAAGAAGAACTGCCCCCAGTTCGCTGCTGATGTGCTCCTTTACGTTCGTAAAAGGTTCTATGCTGAAGTTGCAAAGGACAATGCTGCCGTCCTCGCTGCAGGAAAAAGGCCGGTTGTCGAACCTGCTGAGGGACCTTGGGCTCAAAAGTTGACACTGGAGAACATGAAGTGGGTGTTTGATGTCAAGATCAAGCCTCGTACTGAGCAACTACGCAAGGAGTTGTTCCTTTGTAACGGCTGCCTTGGTGGAAATGGACTCCTCAAGTACTTTGGATTTGAGGGTGTGCTTCAACACTATGCAGCCAAGCACACAATTGCTCTTAGTCTGGGCAATATTGTCGTGCACTGGAGGGCAGAATGGCCAGAGGTGCCCCCGTTCAGTCCTGAGCCTCTAACCAAGGAGAAGTCTTACTATGACAGCAGCTCATCCAACTCACTCCCGTCAACAGCTGCCCCAGTTCAACAGTCTTATCCTAGTTTTCAGGCAGGTCCGCCACCAGGATACGCTCCGCCTGTCTATGGACCAGAAGCACCTCCTCTCTCACATTATAGTTCCGGTCCCCCAATCCCAATGCCACCCATGGCTGCATACGGGCAAACCGGATCTCATGCCTATGCTACGCCGTACTTGTCTACACCCTACCACGACGCTGCAGCATATGCTTCTTACCCTCCCGCTTTCTCTTCAGGTATGGCCTACAACCCTCATGACCAGGCGAATGGTTATCCAACACCTCAGGCCGGCCCCGGGGCTTTTGACTATGGCCCACCATATTCTGGCCATTTCGATACCACTGATGTCCCATCAACTACCAGGTCCCAGTTGTCCCGGATGGAAACAATAGCCCAGACTACTCAATTGGTTTGGGCAAAGGTTGGAAATAATAAGAAGATTCCTCCTTCGGTCAGGGCCTATGTGGTCATTTCGCAAGTTGCCAAGGCTTTTGAGGATTCGTATCACGAGAAGCTAACGTTGACATTGTTCATTGATGCCACAACAAAAAACAAAAAGTTACGCATGGTTCGGGCCCTTAACGGGGTTCCGTGCAAGCTTTGTGATGGAAACCCTGTTTTCCACCTCCCACAACTTGTTAGGCATTTTAAAACGGAGCATGTTGACGTACTCAAGGACCAAGGATTGGCACCTATGAACTGGCAAACAGAAATGATCAAATTGCCGGAACATGAGCGACTGGCTGCATTAGCAGATAAGCTAAAGGATGATCCGATTGCATACGCCTCGGTGAACACCGCTATTCCCTGGGCGTTTGAGCAATCCTTCGTAGATGAGTTTGCTCCAAAGCCTGCACCAGCGATGCCGAACGACGCTCCTCCTATGAACGAGCCTCCAGTTGCAACTTTGGCTGCTAAACCGAGCCAGCATACCAAGCAACCTCTCCCGCGAAACGATACAACACAGATCAAGAATATACCACGGCAGCCGGGGCAGTTCACTCCAATTAACCCACCTCAGGCGGCAAAGTTGCCGGTCACTGCCTTTTCCCAAACTCAATCACACCACGACTCTGAGCAAGATGTGCCCAAACTTCGTCCAGCGAGCGAAGTTTACGGTGGCAAGAAACGCCGATCTGCAGCACCTCTGACAAAGCCTGTCGCCGTAGGAGATGCTGCTGCCTCAGTATCAGATAACTATTCGCCACCAGACTTTGAAAGACGTCAAGGGCCAGTCAAGGGAAGTGGCAGGGGTGTAGTCAGGATGAAGCGTGAGTATGAACACGAGTATGAGTCTATGGCTCTCCCTCCTTCCGGTCTCGCAAAACCTCGAGACGGGGCGCATTGGCGCGACGAGAAGCCTTCTGATTACCGTGATGTTCGTGAGCAGCGCTATTCAGTCATTGAGCCAGTTGAAACACGCGATAGAAGCGCTTCGGTTGGAATTCGGCCACAAGAAAACCGTCCTGAAGTCACTGCACCCGCGAATGCAGAGCCCAGCTACGTCGAAGTTGGAAAAAGAGCAGGCCATGAGCCGCCCGTTGCCCGGAGCTACCAAGAGGCAGAAGAAGAAGAGGTTATCTATGTTGATGAATCAGGACGCGAGATTGGACGAGGTCGAAGAGCACGAGACACTCTTCCCCGAGAACATAAATACGATATACGCGATGATCGGGGATTCGGGGACTACGGCCAGCCCTCATCTTCATGGTATAACGGTCCTGGTCATGGTCATAGTCATGGCCCTGTCCGTTATAGGGAACAGAGCCCTCGACCTCGATATGGACAGCCAGAGTACCACTATGAACCACCTGCGGCCTCTCAACGCATATACTATGATCATCCCAGCACCCGCCCACCTTCGGAGCATCACGCGGACCCGTACGAGCTTGTTGAAGTTCGTCACCCTGATGGCAACTACTTCATCAGAAGGCCCATCCGACGAGATGAAAGACAGTACTATGTCTACGACACCCGACCACAACTGAGGGAGCAAAGCGTATACCCTCATCAGCGAGCTGTGGAAGGCCCTCCAGGTTATGGATTCCATCCTCGAACAAACCCTGCCTTTCCTGGCCATCATGCACCAGGACCTGACTGCAATGACTATGATCCTCGATACCCTTCATCCACCACTGGTGAGCCACCGGCATATCATGGTAACCAGCGATAACTGCTGCAATATCGGAGATGAAAGGCAGTCTTATATAAATATCCACCTACTGTACTAGATAAACCAATCAATCCTACTTAATCATTATGTAAACGAGTATTATAAATAGTACATTGTGTATTCTGCTAGGACAACGAGCCGAGTTTGGTTTGCTTTTTTACATACATACATCCATCGATACATACATACAAGCCCTTCTCCTGTATCCCTTCTTCTCATGAGAGCCATCATCAGAAACTAAGCTGAATGTGGCCGCAGTTCCAATGCCAGTTGGTGATGTACAAGAAAAAAGAAGAAAAACGATGATGAAAAGAACAAAATTACAACACTCTTTTCTTTCTTTCGTCTCTCTCTTTCTTCTCTTTCTTCCCCTTATCCTCTTCTGTTCCTTGCTTTAACAAGCAGAGCAGTCAAAATTGGTTCAAGAGCCCGAGCCCCTTGCCCAAAAAGCGATCGACATTGTCCGGTCTCTCCAGGTTATGTTTCGTCCTTCTCTTCCAAGTCTATACATCCTTCCGTCCATACAGGCATGGCTGTTGCTGGTCTTCTTTTTCTTCATTATTGTCGGGTTCAACTCGACATCGTTGCTAGACGACCTGTTCCAGGAACCAAGTGTAATAGGTAACCAGTGCTGTATTTACAGCACCTCGCCAATGATCTTGGCTGCCTCACGGTAGGTCTGGAGCAGACGCTCACACTTCTCGCGCTCCTTCTTGACGCCGTCGTCCTCGTAGAGGAGCTCCTCAAAGAGAGCTTCTCTGTAGAGCTCACTGACGAGGCGGTTCTGGACGACGTCTTTACAATGGTTGACGAGAAGATGCATGACAGCCTTGGGAACCTGGTCGGCGATGGACTCGCGGACAATGTTAAAGTAAGAAGAGATAAGAGCCCGGATGAGCTCCGTCTCCATGGCCTCGCGCTCTGTCATGGCCGGCTCCGCGGATTCTCCCTGGTGAAAGGGGTTAGTTTGGTGTGAGAAAAGGAGACCGGGCACCTGTAGATCCTCGGAACTTACCATTTGGGAAGCCAAGCCGTAGTTCTTCCCTGTCCTATCGTACACATCATCCTCGGGGGCCATCGTTGTGGCTGTGGACGGCCGGCCAAAGTCCCTCTCCCGGCGCACAATGGGGAAACTGGTCTCGGAGTTTTGACTGATATGTCGTCCGTTGGGGATCCCACTAGGGCTGGGAAGGGGACCACCAATAGTTTGGCCATCCTTTCCGAAAAAGTAGTTCAGGAAAGAGTCACGAGCACCGCCGAGTCCCTGTTGGTTAAGTCGGGCAGGTGAGGCTGATCGTAGACCGTTCAAGTGTGTGGCGTTCATGTGGGCGGAGAGGCTCGATGTTCCGTTCTCGCGGACTGAAAGCGAAGGCGATATGCTGCGAGGAGGCTTGGTGGCCTTGACTCGTCCTGACTTGGTCTTCTCGGACTTTTCAAGAGGGCCAGTAACACCATCCTCATTCTCAGGGCCATCGCCCTCGACCTCAAGCTCCTGCAGACGGCGCTTTTCCCGGCGTTCTCGCTCCTCCTGGATTAGCTTTTTCCGCTCTCGCTCCTGTTTGGCACCGACGACGTTGCTCATGGCGGCGGCGGCGCCAAGGAAGTTAGGGTGGTTAGTATTGATGTAAGCACGCTGGATAGAGATGAGTGATTCAACATATGATGAAGCAGGGCCAAGTCGCTCCCGGAGCAAGTCTGAGACTGTCTCGATAAGCTTAGCCTGGAGTCGAGGGTATCGCGAGAGCTCAGTGGAGCCGCAAGTATGGCAAATCTTGATCAACTCTTCGTACACAAGCTCAACACAACGCTGACTAGGGATTTCCAGAAGCTTGATTTGAGGCTTCACAAGAAGGTCGAAAGCCATCTCAGGGACGAAGAGACTAGGTCGAGGGCCAGTCGAATTTCGGATCGCCGTCCTGATGTCGAGGGCGGAAAGATTGGAGGTAGGATCGATAGTATCAAGGGAGCTACCGAAAACGGAGTTGAAGATGTAGTAGATACGGGCACCACCGCAGAGCTCCTTTGTGGAAATCTCAGTCGAGGTACCATCGATGGAGGAAATGAAGGAGTTGGCGAAGCGTGTCATTTGCTGGAGAATGAGAGAGCCTCGATGCTCTTTTCCACTAAAGTGCATATCCCCATAGCTGGCCAACTCCTGCTGAGTCTGGCCCATAAGTGTGTTGAGCCGAGCCTTGATGTCGGGCAAACGTTCACGGATATGGCCCATGAGAGTGGTGTTAAGGGTCTTGGCCAGGTAGTGAGTGCCGCATCGGATGGAGATGTTGCGGTAAGCAGGATGATGCTTGAAGAAATCTGTTTCGGCCTGGAGGGCATCCTCCATAGGCTTGTTTCCCAGGATATCCTGCTGCGATCGGTTGACCACACCGATGAAACCAAGCTTCAGGGGGTAGACGCGGCCAGAAAGAATGTCCAGAGCGTTGGTGCCATGGTCCATAAGGTCGACCTTGGTCAGGACACCGATGGTTCTTCGGCCAAGAGGGTCAACGTGACGGGCAAGCTTGAGAGCTTCCGAGTTGACGATATCAACATTGGCAGGAGACACAGCGAGAATGATACTGTTGGGCTTGGCGATGTATTCGGAAATGAGGTTTCGAGTCTGCTTCTCGATATCGGTGGGTTGGTCGCCAATAGGAACCTGATATGAAGCCGTAATCAGCAGTGTTCAAAGATAGGAAACAGCAGTGCGGGAGGCCATCAAGATCACCAAAAGCAAGAAGAAATAAACTCACCTTGGTTAGACCGGGAAGATCGACCAGGGTCAGGTTGAGAACATGAGGAGAGTAGATCTTGAGGTTGATGGGTTGTCTGTTAATGCCCTTGTTGTTACCGGCAACACGAGATGTCTCGTTCTCAATCTCGCGCTTGACGTCGCCAAAGTCGTTGAACCTCCGGTTGGGGATATGGTGGAACTCTGCCCACTCGGAACGGCGAGCAGCGCCGGGAGATCGATAAGGATCGCTTGAAGGGTCGGGGGCGCTTTCATCGTCGGCAACGTTGATGAGCTGGAGAATCAGGGGACGACGAGTGCAGATGCCGGCTCCGCGCGGTAGAAAGTCTCGACCGACGATGTTTTCAAGGACGGAAGATTTGCCGGCGGATTGGGAACCGACAACAACCTAAAATATACGGTCAGTCAAGGCCCGGGGAGACCAATTCGTGTAGCAAAAAACGCATACAATCTGAGGAAGATCCAGGGAGTCACTGCCAATGGTGTTGAAAACCAAATCCTGCAGCTTATTGACCGTGATGAGCAGATCCTCGCCGAGTGCAGCCATGGTGATGATGGAGGCGGGTTTTGTGACGAGCGAGCGAGATAGGGACAAGACAAGTGAGTGTCGGGTTTGGGTTTGACAAGTCAAGTCAGGTCGAGTCGAGTCGAGTCAGGAGTTCGTCACGAAACCCAAGACAATTCTGAATTAATGCGCTCGTTGTCGCTAAATTCAAAATCCGACGTCAATTCCGATGGTTCATGCGGTTCGGTCTGTCTGGCTGGGGCTGGGGCTGGGTCTGGCTAAGGCTCAGGCTCAGGATGGCTCTGCTTTGGCTTTGGCTTTGCTTTGCTTGCGCAGGGGAGTCAAGAGTATGGGAGATTCACGTGTATTTGCATAATGTTCAAACCTCCCCCAAGCTTTTTTTTTTAGGCCTTGTAATGCCTGGTTCTAGGCGACCTAGGCGACTTACGGGGGGCTCCACCGGTGGTTTCTCGGCTGTGAAGTACCTGGGGGCTCCAGAGCACTGACCGCCGGGAAGTTGGTAATTGGTTGAGCTAGCTGTTAGCCCGAGATGGATGGAACTGGTGGACATGAAGGCCGTGCCACGTCACCAGCCACACCTAAAGCCATGTGGTTATCCATCAGAAGCTGCTCTACCGGGGTTCGCCACAAGTCGCCTGACTTTTCTACAGTAGACATTCAAAAGACATGACCTAAGATGAGGACGATAGATGCTTTAGACACCAATCAAAGACCAATTCAAAGACATGAGCTCTTTCGGTAGCCCCGGTCCCAAGCCAACCACCAAACCTATACCGTGAGTCACTCATTGTATGAGCACCGTCACTCACCATGACTCTGGCTGAACCAAGTACCTATCACCAGGCCACAGCGTGGAAGCTTTCCTCTTGATCATGATGGTAAGGGATTCGAGATGGCTAGCAAACACCCTTTGTGGTGGGGGGAGAAATACTAACAAAGACCTAAACTTTAGGGGAGTGCAAGAGTGTCATGACAAAATACCTTTCATGCATGAAAAAGGTTCGGGGTCTAAATGACGAAGAATGTCGCGATCTAGCAAAGGCATATCTTTCATGCAGAATGGACAAGTGAGTTGAGAACGAGCCTATGGTTGCGCTTCTTTTGTTCTATGTTTTGAGAGGTCCATGACGCAAATCTCTCGGAGGAGAGCGGGCTAATAGCAACGGGTATTCTAGAAACTTGATGGCCAGGGACGAATTCAAGAACCTTGGTTTTGCAGAACCTCCACCGCCTTCAGCTGAAGGGGAAAAGGCGGCTCCAGGAGCTGAAAAGGGCATCAAGGGATGAGTAACTATTCATCCTTGAATGGTTGGAATTTACTTAAATAAGTGAGAACCAGAAACAGACACTGACTTACTAAGGCAAATAATTATCGGAGCAAATGAGATGAATACACATCAAACCTCCCCTCCCCGCTTCGACCACTATATCATAGAGACCTAGGCGCCTAGGAACCCAGCAGATGGCGGTGGAAGATTTTGTACAATAAATAAAAAACCCTTGCATCTTGCATCTCACAACAGCAACTGCAAAAATTTGAACCTCCTCAATGAGATCATAAGACTTCGTATTCTTGTCTCAATCTTAGACAAAGGCTTTTTGTTGCTGCTGGTGATGCTCTGACGCAACACAACCGCCATCCAATCTCCGTTGCCTGGTCAACCCCAGCCAACTCGATTTGCGACCGATCGTTATAACGGTCAACCTCACTCACCAAGACGTCAACCTACTGTTATTGCTCTCTATCCTCGTCAAATACCTCCCTATCTGCCGTCTCATCCTTCCTTCTTAACTCTTTTCTCTTTCGGGCGGCATATTCACCTTCAATATTATTTAGTTCTACGATCATCCTCTGGCAAAATGCCAGCTATGGCAAGGACGAGCGAGCCTAAGCGCAAGGTGACTCCCCCGTCGCCTTCGTACATGACTGAGGACCAATTCGGTATGATAAAGTGGAATTGAGCATACCCGCAACAATGGCTAACTAACTGCTCTCTCCCACAGCCACCTACCTCGCAGGTCTCCGGTCAAACCGTATGTCTAGACCTGGAGGTGCACGACCTCAACCAGCTAGTGCACGTCCAGTCCCCAGCCGTTCAAGCTTGAACCGCAATAGCACTGGCCGATTCACGCCTGATATTGCCTCTCCGCCCGAAACCGCACCGCCTGTTCTTGACCGCAAAGCCTCAGAGAGCCCCAGCATTGCTGGAGGTAGTCTTGCCTCCCGCTACTCGACCATCAGCAGAAAAAGTCCAGACTACTATCCAACGTCCACCGCGAGCCCCTTAAGGCCGTCAGATGTCGTACCTTCAGCCACTTATATGGAAAGAGGCCAAAGATGGATGGAGAAGGAGGAAGCAAGCTCGTTGCGCGACGCCATGGAGGAGATGGATATACGCAAGGGTACAAAGTCGCCTGTACAGGAAGCACCTGAGGATGATACTCGAATATACAACGCTGCTCTCGATGAAGCCGCTGAGCTCGTCTGGCAACACCAACACGGCACACCTTCCCCTCGTCCCGATGGGCCTTACCGCTACAAGTCACACCTCAGAAGGAACAGCTACGCCCATGCTCGTACCGCTAGTGTCAACGGTCTTCGGGACGACTTCGAAGATGTCGGCGGCGAAAAGCGTGATAGCCACCCTCCTCTAGAACAGAGGCAGCCAAGCGAGCAGACTGTTCAAAAGAGCAAGACGTACGGCAACGTTGGACGTTCAGACAAGACACCGGACCACCGTCGCCAAGGGAGTCTCAAGAGGAACATCAGTGGAGAGGTTGGTCGGCCATTCACTGAGGACCAGATCTGGGAAGAGCCTGAAGCTCCAGCTCCAGCCCCGATATCGAACAACATGAACTATTCTGGTCGCGCCTCCCCGGAGAAGCTCAGCAGCAGAGCTCAGACGTCAGCAAACCGCGTCCGCTTTGAACCTCCCAATGAGGAGTCCGACAAAACAAAACCACTCGAGCGAGTTGAGATATATCGCAACCCTCCTACACGCTCCCGCAACCCACTATACACCAGAAACCGCTCCAGCGAGAGCCCCGTCCCTGTTGACGACAAGGTGGAAAGAAAGAATGGCATGGAAGTACGGAGCGACGATATCCGCGCGGCCACGAGTATGCGCTTGAAAGATCGCAGCCCTAACCTCCCGGAACCCACCGCCGTCAGTGACAGTCCGGGACGGCCTATTGTAAGCTTCGCAGCCAACTGGCAAGCCCCGGACGAGTCCACTGATAAGACCCTAGACCGGTCGCTACCGGCAACCCCCAACAGATCTTCCTCCTCCATCGCCCAGCCGAAGAAACCCATGGCGATACCTAGTATCGTGGTGGCGGAGGAAAGTACGACGATGCCCAGGGCCTCGACGGGAACGCCGATCCCGTCGATCTGTGTAGACGAGACAAACGACAGCCATGGAGGCTCAGTGCCTTCGATCAACATCCCAAGCATCGCTGTCGACGAGGCTCCGAGCAACGGAGGTAGTATTCCTGCCATTGTGGCCCCTGATAATAAGCCAGCTTCCGGCCCCCGCCCGCTGCCTCAGCCTGGCGCCAGGGCAGCACCCCGTACGGCCCAGAAGCCCCGTGGGCACTGGTCCCCCGCGCCTGGCAGCAGCAGGAGAGCTGTAACAATCTGCCACGAATGTGGTTTGCCCATTGACGGGCGGTTCGTCGCTCTGGCGGGAAGCAATGAACGATTCCATCCACAGTGTTTCAGCTGTTATACTTGTGGCACTAACCTACAGGCGATGGAAATTAGCCATGAGCCCGACCACCTTCGACAGGAACGACTTGATCGTATCAACCGCCGCGCAGCTGGCGAAATCCTCGAAGAGGAGCCGGGCAAGACCATGGCCGAGGATGGCGATGAGCGTCTGCGATTCTTCTGCCATCTCGACTGGCACGAGCTGTTCGCCCCTCGCTGCAAGCACTGCCAGACTCCTATTCTTGGCGAGCATATCGTCGCTCTCGGGGCTCACTGGCACTACGGTCACTTCTTCTGCGCCGAGTGCGGTGATCCTTTTGGCCAGGGTATGACACATATCGAGAAAGATGGATACGCGTGGTGCATCAACTGCCAGACAAAGCGTACGGAGCGACGCGCGCCCAAGTGCAGGAAATGTCGGGTAGCTGTCATCGGACAATACATTCAGGCTTTGGGCGGAGAGTGGCATGAACACTGCTTCCGATGCGCAGAATGTCAGGGCGGCTTCGACGACGGTCAGATCTTCACCAAGCACGTGCCTGAAGGCACTATCGTGCTCTGCACTGGCTGCCGAGCAATGGAACTCAAAGCGTAATGAATAATGTGTGTGATTTTGGCGTGCGTGTTTTGATAATTTGCCCAGCATTGTTGAAACCCTGGAGTGTTTTTGAACGAACTTGATTCTTGCGTTTCGGCTGCGATGGTTAGCATACGGTTGTTGTTGTTCTTTTTTGGCGTTTGCATTTGATTTGGTCTTGTCGGGTCGTTTAAGGACAAGGGAGCGTTGAGAAAAACAAAGCTTGATCATATAAATTGTCTGGTCCGATCAGTTTGGCGATACGGTGTGAAGGAATGGATGGGCGCGTATAGTGCGAGTGACTTTAAATGGGAAATGCACATTTCGGTCTGGTCTGGTTCATATTAACTCTTTTGGCTTCCATATGATCTTTACTTGTTAATGGATTAGAACAAACTGGTTAAATCAGTTCTGGATATGATGACAAGGTAGGTAGGTAGGTTATCCCCAACAAAGACAGACACCATGCTCGCAACCTCATTATGAGTGACGTGTGCAGCGTAATCGAACCAAACCAGTCACAAAAAAAGAGGGAAAGTATCGCGAGTTAGTCAGATGGTGTTTCTCTGTCGTAAATCATGTGTCGACTCCTTGCTTCAGTTTTGCTCTCGTCTGATATACGCAAAGCCAATAAATCAACCATGGATACCCGAAATTCAGTTCAAGAGCGCATTTCTCGATGTGTTCGCCTCCGCCGAAATGTTCCTCCCGGTAAACGTTCCTTCAAGGCCTTTACCCCGATAGCTGTGAGAATCCGCCCACCTGCTCCTGGTGGACTTCCAGAGTGTCGCCGTCTTGCATCTCGAGCTTTGAAGTGAGTATGTCAGCACATGTGATCCCTTTTGCGACAGTTTTACATGGAGACGGAGTTTGCATGTTTGTGGAATGCGCCCTCGTGCACCAGCAGGATAGATGAAACGTACCGCATCAGGTGTGTCCGTGGGTTGGACTCGCGTGCCGTCGAAGAGGAATCGCACGGAGCTGGTGGCCTTTCCCTGGCGTTCGCAGAAGGCACCCATCAACTTCTCGAGCTTTGTGGTACGCTTGATCTTGAAGAAGACTTCGTTGTTGTTGTCGGTAACCTTGATGTTCAAGTGCTCCGAGTTGGCGGGCGCCTGCTCGCCGGGGGTGCCGTTCTCGTTCTCGTTAGACATTGTTATGTTTTGCTGAAGCAGCTCTGCGCTCGGGGCGAAAATGTCAGCGCGCGGTCTTGGGATGAATGGAAGTGGGAGAAAGGCGGCGTGGCGAGATGTTACAGAGGTCATACAGTACCTTTTCACGATGGTGGTAGAGAGAGGTCGGTACTGGTAAGTGGGGTTGACGATCGCGTTACGGTACTGCACTTCCAAGGAGTGGTGGAGAGCAACGGCAACAGGTCAGGCGCGTTGTTGAAGAGGAAGTGTTATGTAAGTGGAGAGTTATTGACGGAACGGGGTGCAGGTGAAAAGAAAGAGAAAGAGTGGTGTTGGTGGGAAGCGTAATAGACGATTTATCCCCCAGGTGTGATGAACCTCTATAGGATGAATTCAGGTAACCAGGCATCTAGTTAGGTTCTTGGTCTCAGCTCTTTCAGCACTCTTTGCACCCCAAAACCTCACTTCACAGGTACCTAGACTTCACTTTGGTGGCGGGGGCTGGGAAGTGCTGAAGGTAGGTCTTGAGTGGCGAGGGGAGCTGTCCCTGATTGGTGTTTCACCAGGTCCCATCGCTGGAATACAGTGGAAACATGGAAACTTCCTGAGCCCTGGGCATGATGCTCCCCGTTACCCTGTACCATAAGGTAGTTATGATCGAACCTGACAAGAACTGGAGTACTCATGACATCAGTCTTCTCCAACAGCTCTTTATCTTTTCCTTCCCATGTTTTCCATTAAACCAACGTGAGGTTGCTATTCGTCACTTCTGCACATTAACAAAGCATTCGCTCCCTCCTTAGCATAACCAATCAATAGATACCTTTGTCTCGGTGCGACCCAAAAGCTCGACTCAACACAGATATATTACTGGTATTCGCTATCACATAAGCCACATAACAATGGTATATATCCAACTTAGGGTAGCTTGATGCCTATTTTCAGACATAGCTAACGGGGTTGTAACAAGGCTCCCAAGGACGACGTCGAAGCCAAACCTGCTTGCCATCCTCGCGCAGTAAGTTGTAAAATTTTGCAAAATTGCAACTTATCTTCAACATGAACTGGGTTAACAGCATAATAGTGCGCAATTCAGAGTACGAGTTCCATCTCTGAGAAGCCAAAAAACTTCTAATACAACACATTGCTAACTCGGCTGTCAAAAGACTGCCTCACAAGCAACGGTTACAACGAGGCTAAGTGCCAGACAGTAGTCAAACAACTCTACGAATGCTGCGAAGCCTTTTACGAACGCTATGGAGAAAATGCATCTACAGTGAGCTGTCCGAAGCCCAATCTGCTCAAGCTCAAAATGAAGCAACTTCGGGAGGAAGGGAAATGATCTGTGACGCTCGTCTTTTGGTGTGTCCGCCGGTTTGGGTAACGCTGGCAACTAAGTGAAGAGCGCCGAATTTCTTCTAGGCGATCGTTGAGCACGCAAGAGGCCTCATGGACCTGAACAAGCATTGAGCGCCTGTTCCGAGACTCTAATACGAATGCCGATGACATTATGATAAAGAAGAAGAGAAAAGAAATCAAATTTGCTGCTGAGTGGAGAAGTACTTGAAGTATGACAGTGTTTAGTGCGAAGTAACACAAGAATGCACTGTGCAACACGCGCGCGCATGATCGCGGCTGCTTCATCACCTAGCGCATTAGGTAGTGGGGCTTTCCAGTGGCAGGCACCGAGGTACGTACCGAAAAGCTAGCTCTGCCTAGTACCTAGGCGCGCCAGTGAAGCAGTAACCAAAACAACCTAGCAATTATTTCGTTTTGCTTGGAGCATCAACTTGCGCGAGGCTCCTCAATAAATCATCGCGATTGCGGTATCGGCTTGACCTCGACGACTGCGATATACGCGATATAGCAACTTGCACCCACACTGGGCATGCATGCGATCTTGAACGAGCACCATATTTGACCCAACGGCCAAACCAGCCGAATAGGGTCGATTGCCTAAGCTACTCGTCCTCTTTATCTTGACAAACGCCTACTTTCGACTTAATACCTAGGGCGACAAGAGAACCGAGCCTTCAGAATGGCGCCTATCGAGCCTGAAAGCTTTCTGTCTTATGAGGCCGGCCCCGAGGTCGAAGAATTCGCCAACGCGCTTGACGACTGCCTCTCTCCTCCACTGTCATCCGAAGAACGACGAGAACGAATCCTGGACCTACCCCGAAAATACTACGAGAATGCTCTGCGACGTCTAGCACAAGTGCGGCCGCGCATGGTGCGCGATGGACAGGATGATGTCGACATGGATGCAGACGAGGTCGACGCTGCCAACAGCAATCCCGCCTCAGCAGAGCTTATCAAACGTCTTGAAAGGGAGGCGCAGACATGGGATCTACTACGCAGACTTCTCCCGCTAAGATATTCGAGTCATGAAGCCAACCGGGAAGCATTGGATTCTCACCGAAACTCCAGTGACTCGACAGATCTGTTTAAAGATTTCCTTGCAAGCGATCCATCGGCGCGGGAACGACAAGCAGTTATCCAGTGGCTCCAGAACAATGCTTCTTCTGGCCCGGATATTGACGAACTTGCGCGCGAACTTCAGCAGAATGCGGACCGAGGAGACATCATTGCCCACGGTTGGCTTCACACCCGCTCTCAAATCAAGCTTCGAAAGAGTGTCACTGCTTGGCCACATCTTCTGGATCGCCAATCGCCAGCCGTTGCGACATCATTCCATAACTCAGACGGTTCCCCTCTTGTGACTCAGCTGGATCCAGATGCGGCAACTCGCCAAGGACGGAAGCTTGAGCCCCAAGACGAGTACTTTGAACGTGCCATATGGCTTGGTTGCTTCGAGCATTTGCGCCGGGGGTCTAGCTTGAAGACCATGCGTGAATGGTGCCAGGAGCGGACCGAGATGTGGCGTGCCGTTTCCACATCTGCGGTGCTGCTCTCCACAGACGATAACAAGGAACTGTCAAACAATAACCCGGCATCACTTGCTCTTTGGAGACGAATGTGTTTCAGCCTGTCTCGATCTGGCGGCTGCGATGATTATGAGCGTGCAGTGTATGGTGTACTCTCTGGAGACATTTCTAGCGTTGAGAAGATTGCCTTGACCTGGGACGATTTTCTCTTTGCCAACTACAACGCATTGTTGCGCACGCAGCTAGACAACTACATCCTGGGGAAATGCCCCCCCGATGTGGCCTCAAACCTGACACAATCCTTCCCCTCTTTTGACGCTGTGCAGTTCCATGGTGAGCGAGAAACAGTTGATAAGCGCCTTGTTCGGGCTTTAGATTCCAATCCCCAGATCCGAGCTGAAGCCAACGAGCCTAATAAGGCGTTGCAAGCATCCCTGATCTCTAAGGAAATCGGTCACTATCTCTATGAACAGGGTATAATTGTTTCTTTTAGTGCAAACCAGAGCGAGTCATCCCTCTACAGATCGGAACCAACGAAGCTTGACCTAAACAAGGAGAGATTCTTCCAGTCTACGCAGCATTATGGATTGAGAATTGTTGCACACATTTACCTCCTCATAAACCTTTTGGATAAGCTAGACTCGAAAGATGATTCGCTGGCCCCAGCGTTCTCCGCCCCTGGAGTGAGACGTGCTCAACAGAACCTTCTTGCTGGTTACGCCAATTACCTGCGCCTTGCTCAAGTTTATGAGTTGATTCCCCTCTACTGCTCGATCCTGGAACCTCCTCGATCCTATGAGGTTCTCAGTTACAACCTCATCCCAATGGTTGATACTCAGCAGCGTCTGATGCAGCTTCGACTGATTAAGAAGGCTGGCATCGACGTGCTCGAGTTTGTCAAGACCCAGGCATGGCTTCTGTATGATGACTTAGGTCCAACTCATCGCGGATGCCTGGCCAAAGGGTCTTTTAGCATCATCGAAGCTGGTCCGCCGTCTTCGCGGAGGGGCCGACCTGTGAGGTCAGACTTCTTTGGCGATGACGAAAAGTTCGTTGACGTAGCACATGAGAATCTCATCCGGTCACTAGAATGGCTCCTACTGGTTCAAGAGACGTGGCCTAATGTCCTGTCAATTGGAACCAAAATCTACAAGTTTTTCCTGCGTGAGTTCTCTTCTTCCTTTCACGTTCATATAATGGATTGAGAAAACTGACAATTCAATAGGCAACATGCATTTGAGCGCTGCCCGGCAGCTAATGAAGCGGGTGCCGTTCGCGGACGCTCTCCAAGCAGCCACCGAGGATAGCGGTGATGAGATGGATCTATATGAAGACCTTCCCGAATTCTGGGCTAAGCACCTTGACCGGAGAGGCATACGTGATGTGACACCACATCAGGCCCTCTCAGACGCACGGAAGTTCCGTGAATTGGAGAACTTGGTGCGAGCTCTGGACAGCCTAGAGACCGTCGCATCTTTGGCTGAGCTCACAAATGAGTACGTTGTATACACCCCTGAAGGGACATGGACATGATTAACAGGAAGCAGGGAGCAAAAGAAGAAGCGAGAATTCTGGACTGCGATTGGAGAAGAAGTTAAGAACACAAAGGATAACATGCAGCCTCTTCTCAAGAACTGGCTCTTGGTGGGCATTGAGGGTAAGCCGGCAAACACCCTAACTAATCCGATCAGTGCTAACGAGGTAACAGAGGGCGACGATGAACTACGGGACATTCGTCAGGCGTATCTCCCCGAGACTCTTCTGGCATATGTCAGTACGCTGCACTTTGCAGGCACTGGTCTCTCTCGTGACAACCTGCTGGAGTGCATGGAGCTCGCTTCTATCATTGCAGAGCGCGATTCGGATTTATCGACAGCCTTTGTGGAAGCTGGACGAATGAAGGAGCTGGTAGAATCATTCGCTGCATGCAGCAAGGCATTGGCCATCAGCACTGGAGAGAGGAGGGCCACCGGTGCTAGCAGCAAGAAGCTGCGAGAAATGGGATGGTCTCGAGATCTGTGGTCGGTCAAGCCATAAGGGAACTCTCTCTTATTTCATAATGATTGTTTCGTCGGCCGATTGATCAACAACCCGCTGTTTCTTGGGCTGGGCGTTGAGTATTGATTGATAGTAATGTCTTTTGAGACGCTGAGATGGGCATGAAATGTAAAACATATGGGGGGTTAGGTATTTCGTAGAGTATGAACAGGTGGGTTAAAGATAATGAAATAAACTCCTGGTACTATAACCATACTATATCATGAATCTCGTAAGAAAGCCACATTTTATGTGTTAAACTATTATATATCTTCGATTAGTGCTTAGGTAGTATCGCAATACTCAAGATACAGATATCTGCCCCAGAGCCCTAGCGCCGGCCCCCCACGTTCCGTGGTAGGACATCTCAAGCCACCTGCAAGCAGCTCCCCCACATCCACTCTGACTTGCATTTACCGACTCCCAACTGCAACGTCAACACCAACTTCCCAGGAACTCGTCACAGCATATTTTCTTTTGCTTTAACCACCGCAGAAGCAGCAGATAAAAAGTCCCCCCAAACCACCATCAAGCTTCCTATAATACCAATGGCAAGCTTCGCAGCTGAGCTGCAGGGCGCAACTCCTCCTGTCCTGCCTCCGAAACCTGGCAGTCATGAGACGAGCCGCATTGCGACACCGGCCTCAGCAGGCGTCCCTCCACCCTCCGAAGGCCGATTCCCTTCGAATAATGTAAATCCTGTGCCGACGTCAATACCTGATCCCGGTGACCAATGGCTACCCCAGATGCTGCAGGACAAGCCGTACGTCATACCCTCACGCTGAAGTTGAATGCGATGCGCTGACCTTTGCATTTAGAAAACAAGATCTGGCTGAACTACTCGCAAATCCGGATCTGCTCAACGCATTGACGCACTCCCCCGAATCTATCCACCCGTCCCTCCTCGCCTCGCATCAGGCTTTGTCCGCAGCGCTCAACGAGAATATCGATCTCGCCGGCCAACTCACAGATATGGAAGCACGACTGTCGCACCAGCGCGCTTCCACACAGGCGCAGCTTCTCTCAACACACACTCTCGAACGGCAATGGCGCCAGAAGCAGTCTGAGATGGACCACACCCTGGCGCCCTTCTCTCCGTCGGCGCTGTACCAGCAGCTGGGTCAGGGCGTACAGGAACAAGCGCTAGTTTGCGAGGCGATGGAGGAGAGCTTTCTCGAGGGAGAGGGCGAAGGCGTGGCAGCAACTGAGAGAGAAGTCACTGATTGGGTTCGTAGGTACAGAGAGGCCAAAATCCAGTACTACCTAAGGCAAGAGAGAAAAGAGAGGTGGGACGAAGGGCGTGTTGGCGGATGGAGATGAAGAGTCTAAGCATTTATATGGTATAAGCATGCCGAACAATAATTGTGAAACTTGGAGCTCTCCTATTCGATACGTCCTTAATATTATATACATTATGCGTGGAACCAACGCTCGTTTATACAACACGGGTATCTGTCATGGACCCCAAAAGCTGCCCAGACTTGTTTATGCTCTTATCAAAGCCAACGATGACATGTGTGCAAGTGCTACATCATCACAGGGCGCTAAAAGGACTCTTCTTCATGTCCGGGCTACGCGGACTCATGGGCAAAGCAAACAGATCATCATCATCGTCTCGTCGCAATGGCCGAACGGGCGCCGAGGCTGCTGCGGTAACATCACCATGCAGCGCAGCATTGAGAGAAACAGGACCTGTAGATGCGTTGCTGGCCATTGCTTCATGAGAGGACAAGGCAATGTCACGTCCTCTAGGTTGGAACGGATGAGTTTGACTGATGGGGCTCATGAAAATGTTGGCTATTGACTCAAGTTAGCATGTACCATGCAAATAGACAAAAGGGCCTATATGTACCTGTCGTGCCCGGGGTCAAGTCGGCAGGAGATGTCGCCAGCTTGAGGCCCTTGAGTTTATCTCCCAGACGCCCTGTAGGTGAACGAGCAGCCGCAGGGCGTGGAAACGAATCGGTGGGCAGTTGGGGTGGATTGATGAACGTTTCAAGGATCCACTGCCTCTCTGCGAGTGCCATCTCGACGCCTACACCTTCAGCGTTGTTGCGGAGCTCAGCAGCTACCTCACGATCCAGGGCCGCTAGACGTTGACGTGCCCATAGAGTGTGTAGAACCCCTCGGTTTCCTGGATCAGCTGCGAGACCTGGAGGGAAGATGGCTGGCAGTGGCTTAAGGATAAAGCCTTGTGTACCAGGTGGCGTGATGGTGATGGTAGAAGGAACCGAGGCATTGGCCGGCAGGAGAAAGAAGACACGGCGACGGCGTTGGCGAGGTGAAGACTCAGGGGCAGCTTCTGTCCCCAAGTCGGGTTCCGGTTCAGCAGCAGGAAGGTTAGTAGACTTTCCTGGCCATGACACTTGCCATGATGTATTGTTGATAGTGTCCACCTTGTTGTCCGGGACAGAGGCCGAAACCGGGTCCGTTGCGGAGGGATCGTCGGCAGCCGGAGCGGAGGGATCGTCGGAAGTACCGGCGGAAGGATCGGCAGAGGTAGCGGGGCCTAGAATGACATTGGGATACCACTCCACCATAAGAACCTTTGTGCCAGCATCGCTGACTTCGAAGCGGGCTAGATGCTGGGCCTCCACAGTAGGGACGATAGGAGCTTTACCGGCAGATACTGACGTTGGCACTGACGCTGATGCTGTCGCGGTTGCTGTTGTAGATAATGATGTAGGCCGAGAAGAGCCCGAAGAAGGGCCCGCTGTCATGATTTAGGGCGATTTGTGATATTGGTCACACGGCAGAAAAAAAAAGGATAAGTTAAGCTCCAGCGTAACCGTAGACGGCGGATGGATCGCAGTGGCTCCAGGCTCCGTATTCAAGCGGTAAGGATATGGGGGAATATGATGGGGGATGGGGTTTGGAGATGGAGATGGCGGAGATAAAAGCCTGGGCACTTTGATATTAGCCCGAAATCTTTGTTTCGACTGCGACTCCAACTCTAACTTGCGCCTGCACTTCTGTCGGCCTCAAAGTGCGCTGAGCCGGGCTCTTGCCTTGCGCCTTTCGGGTCCTTGCTCTCTTGCGTGTTTTTCCCCTTCTCCTCCTCAGAGTCCCGCTCTTTCTCGGACCGAGATAAGTTTATTTCGGTGAATATCGAATGAATTAGAGTGGTTTAGGTAAGGTTTGGGCAGGAGAAACAGGGCGCATTCCGCGATAAGCCGGGACGGGAGCTAGGTATTTCCAAAATTGACTTGACTGAGGAAGCCTGGAAAGAGAGAGGGCAGACGAGTCAGAGTGAAGGAAAGAGGCGGCGGTGGCGGTCGATAATTAGTGGGGGGGTGAGTTGCCAGTTTCAGGACCTTGACAGGAGAAGGAACATTGGATTAAACACGAGATAAGATGGGCATGACAGGACATGCTTGCCAGTTTTGTTAAGGTACGGAGCAGTTTTCAATCATTACATGAGAAAGAGGAGGGGGAAAAAGGAGGGGAAAAGAAGTGGACTGAACACACGGGATAGGACGGAATTGAGCTGGGGAAATGCTGTACGCGTTGACCTACATCCATATCGCAAAAGAATCGACTTATTAAGCCTGGAAGCTACTGAGAAATCAGGTGTCTACCGTATAAAGAATGATACGGAGGGGTCATCGTTTCAGGAACAACAAGAGACGATCCAATTGTTTGAGGAGTTGTGCAGAATGTTTCTTCATATTATCCAGAGGCACTGAAGCTAGGTACCTACTAGGTAAGTAGGCCACCTCAGTATGCTAATCAAGGCAGTGCTTACTGCCCTGAGCTTGGCTTTGACTGGCTTAGGTTGGAGTTTGTCGGTATCATCAGGATGAATGCGATGCTTCCCTTCTTATCCGTTGATTGAGCGAGTGACTGGCCATGCCGTCAACAATAACAACTTGGAGAAGAACGTCCAAGGTTTGGCATGTGCTGCTGCCGATCCTCTTCACATGACCAAATGCTGTTGCGTCTGATAAGACAGGACGATATTCCCGAAGCACAAACTCTATTCATACGTTCATGTCTGTCTCTACCTCTACAGAGTAAGTACCAACTGGGTACCGAGTCCGCGTGCCTTGCATACATTTGATGTTCACGCGATATTTCTCGAACCAACGCAAGATATCATTGTGATATAATGTTGATAGAATATTAAAAAAGTGAGAGAAACGTTGCAGACTCTTGTATCGGCCTTTGTAGCCCTTCCAGGAACTGCCGTAGTTAGTGTCTTGGTTAACTTATAGCCAACCTCTACTGAATGCTACCTACCCGACAGACTCTGGCGTCTTTTGACTTGTTCGCACTATAAAAAGTGCGTGCACTTGCAACTAAAAAAACGCTGCATTCATGTCTTGTTTTTTATAAAGTCCCCGACCAACCAGAGAGCAGCCAATGCTCGAGATCGGCGTCGACGAGACATTGGATATTGAGCTTGTCACGGACGGGGCCAGTTCTTCTTCCAGAACCACCGCAGTAAGGCCGTGGCTAATAAGGACACCCCCCCTTGAGCCGAAATAGTGTCAAAGTGGTGTGGGTGTCTCGGGTCCGTTCAGCTGGTCCTCGCATCCACAACCATATTCAGACAACTCTATTCATTCCACTCTACCTTACTCATGTATGAGCCTATTGAGCTTCAACTCTATGGATATGCTTTTTGATGTTTTGTGAGTGCGCCAGCCATGTTGATTTCATCATTGATAGATGAATCCGTGTGTGAGAGAATGTCATTCTTATCCCCTTTCGAACTTCAACAACTATAAACCTGCTTCCAACTCATCACCGAGTGGACACACACCAAGACTGCCTGGGAATCGCAGTCCTTACGGATACGCGGAGAAGAGGAAACGTACACTCACTGATACCATCGTCATCAACCATCATATCCCCGTTACATCCAACAAGACGTGACCAGGTAACAACTGCGAGTCTCCAAATATATCCAAGACATGCATACAGACGCCGTAACATCTTGAGGTTTCACTCTCTCGTGGCCCACGCACGACAACAACACTGGAGTCTGGCAACTGGCTACTACAACATGTACGGTACGGTAATTACTGTAACCAAGCCTCGCGACCAAGAGCACTGATGGCATGCTGATGTATCTGCATCCAGTCAACCATTCAAGGCACGCGATTCGCACGGCAAAAGATCTCGCCCACATGGCCTCACCTTACTACACCTTGCACCTGATCTAGCTCTCGGCCGGGGAAAGAGCCCTCGGCCTCTCTTTGTTACAAGACAGATCCACGCGGCACTGGGGAAGATACCTAGGGTACCAGCCGGTGTCATCTCACCCCAGTTCTGGAAGTCCTGAGTGAGGTTGTGGTTCCTAATTACCCCGACAATAACAGGAGAGATTCTCCACGACATCGAATGGAGAAAACAACGTAGGTCTCGTGAGTTAGTGCCATCGGATCGGAGTTACTCGAAAATGAATATCCTCGTAGTCATAGCTCCATCTGAACAGAGGAAGTCTTCTAACAAGTCGCAGTAGATATGACGAAACGTTTGATAAGACTTCGAGGTTCTGGCAGTCTCAGTCTTGAGGCTAGATCGATCAGCATTGTCATCATTGCACTAGAGCGCACTCCGTACTGTACGGAGTACTGTAGTGTAGTCGAGTTGGTTTGATATCCTGATTATTCCGGGCTACAAGTGTATCCAAGCGTCTCCAAGCTTTTTTATCGGGCCTCCGCTGGCTCGGCCCAAGACTCGGCCGGCAATGAGATAGGCTATACGGATGACATCCAATTCGTTCCGGCTTGGGCTGTCTCATTTCATAATAGATCATTTGACTGGCAGGCCCGGGTTCCTAGCGATCGTCGTGAGAAGGACATTCAAAACTCAAGAGGGTGAACCTCGAAAACCACGAGGAAAAGTCTGCACAAGTCTGTACAAGCAGGAAGTATCCGTACAGACCCAGTATCTTGTCCGGCTAAATGCAATCCCTGAAGAAATAGACCGAAATATGAACGGGCGGCGGATCCGGTGAAGAGCCGGAGAAGAGCCAAATCCCTGGGCCAGCCAAGAGCCAAGAGCCAAGACAGTCTAAGAGGAATGTTCCAGCCCCAGGCCTCATTTGAGAGATAGAGTGAGAGAAACATACAAAGAGAAAAGACAGCCCATGGGTCATTCGTTATCCGGACTGTTTCTCCTGTTTTCCGCTGTGTCGGTTAAGTAATTAAAGAAGGCATTTACCGCACAGCGCCACGCCCGGGCCTCTTCTGTGCCTTATTGATGGGCGGAGGGTGTAATGAAACTTTCCCACAAAAGGTCCAGGGACTGACTGTGCTGTACTTTGAGTGCAACTATGGTCAAAGCAGAAGCCTTTTGGGGCTGTAACGTTTGATACAGTAGTTAGATAGAGCCTGCGGGAACAATCAACGGCAAAGCCATGATCGCATCATAATCTCAACGCACGGCACGGCAGGGCATGCTGCAAGCCCACCGATAGACGCCGCATGCCCATGGGCCATGGCGTCCATCCGTTCCATGAAAGGCAAAATGCAAAATAGGGCCGGCCAATTGGGCCGACTCGGGATATTCGTTGACGATCATGGGGGGGATAGAAAAATGGTGGCTTTCGCACTGTTCTTGACCTCTGGAAGAAGTGAACACACAGGCGTAAAGAAGCACCCAGGCCTACCGTGCAGTGACTGTGCTCTGCTACTACTCTACGGAGCTTTTTCTTCTTTCTGTAAGGTTTCCATCTGAGTGGAGGGCTGCGATGGGCGATAGCAGGTGCATCGTCAACCGTCAGCTGGCCACTAAAAGTAAAATGTACCCGACAGTCGCGGGGATTCCAGGGCCAGAAGCAATTGCCCTATTATCCTATGCTAATAGAAACTGCTGTTGTTTAGATTGTGGGGAGACTCACGCAACAAAGTGGAGGGCTTTTCCCTGGACATGCTGGGACTCCATCGTCATTCTGGGTCTGGGGAGTCGGGACTGTCTTGTTACTGCTGCCCAGATTTCCTCTCCAGGAAGCCCAAAGCGCTCACGCGGTTTCTCCAGACTGAGGTGGACCACGCGTTAAGTAATAGGGGGCCCCAAAGTGGCCCCCCACAGCTACCAGCACCTCTCCACAGTTTGGCCGGTCAAACGCCGCCTAGGGGCGAGCCAAAAGAAAAAGAAGAAGAAAAGGACAAAACGTTCTCTTTTTGTCGCCGTAAGCTTGGCAGAGCTGCTCCAGCTGTTTATTTACCAGTGAGCGAGTGTGAAAGGTGTACAGTACCCCTTCTGTACTTTACGTATCGAATTCAACCTTTTGAACCCCCCCCACCATGACCGGTCGGTCCGTTACCCCCCATGGATTCACTCCTTGGCCTCTGGCTTCTGGCCAAGTCAACTTATCAGTTTCTCTTCCGTCTGGGCGATGCGATCTTCATCGCCTAGCTCCGCCCTTCCATCATCAGTCATCAATCAGCCCAGCGCAGTGGAATGTACCTTAACCGCTAACCGTCTAATCTACCCAAGGTAGTCTAGAAACCTTCCAAAACTCTGGGTGCTGATTGCGCTGTACCGTATGCACCCAAGGTACCTAATCTCCAAGACGGGAAGTATCCAGATAGCTGGGATGGATATTCACGTCAGCCCAGCTACTGTCGGGTGCAATTGCCCTGAAATAGAATATACATACATACAGCTTCGAATGGCTCGTACGATAAGTGATATTTGTGATTGTAAACTAACTCAAGCTTCACGTTATCGATAGATAATAAACAATGCCTTTCTCAACAGTTCGTGCACTCGCGTGGTTAACCCAATTCAATGTTAAAAAAGACCACCTGCTGCTTCTTTGCTGGAGGAAATCATTATCGTTCCATTGTCTGTGGAGTCCCTTCCTCTTTTGGCCTCACACCCCCCCTCTTGGGTGCCATCAGCAATCAGGAAACGCTCCCACGCACGCCCCCTCCGCGCCTTCCCTTCCTCCCCCGGATTTGTACCGTAGGTACGGAGTAGGTATCTTCGTATCCTTGTACCTGAAAGTCCCCTTCCCTCTGTAGCCCGGTCGCTAGTCATCACTACGCTCTCTTGCCCTTTCCTTGTACCATACCCTTCCCACTTTCCATTGCCTAAACTCATCCCACCCCAAATTCTCACTCTGCCGTATCTCTCCCTCACCAAACCAACTCGAAACACCACGCCCTCACTTCTCACGATATCGAACCGACTTGTATTCTCTCGCCTTTTTCTCATTGTCCACGGCATCCTGTCACCCATCGTATTTCGGCCCTCGACCTACCTGCACCTCCGAATATCCGGTCCGCAGTTCTCGGTATTCCCGGTCCCTCCGTCTGATCAAATCGCCCGTCTTCTCGCCATGTCAAGTACATTCTCGTTCAGTGCGCAATAGAGACGGACGTCCACAGCCATCAGGGCTTGCCCGAACAAGGCACCATTGTCCTATTTTGTACATCGCGGCACTCGCGCCTTTATCCTCTGTGATAGCGTTAATCGCCGCTCGTTTTCTCTTCCACGCCTGTCATCATGGCTGGCCATCAACCGCGCACGATGGCCATGGATCCGCCTCATATTACCGAATTTGCTTCGGAGCGTTATTTTGAAAAGTTAAGCCAGCTTAACGCTCACCAGCAACAGCCACAGCATCAACCTCCACTGACTCCCGATGTCCTCGACGGCACCTCATTGCCTTCGAGATTTATTCTTCCTCTACGAGAGTCCAAATCTGCCAACGCCGAAACCGTCAAACCCAACGAGAAGCGTGACAAGTCACGATTCTTCGGCCTACGTTCTAAAGTTTCTATCCTCCATTCCAAGCAGTCGCCTGGCTCGTCGTCCATCTATGGGTCTCGTTCTTCTGTCGAGTCGACGCGAAAGAGGTAACTAACAAATAATTATCAATTCTCTTTACTTGGCTGACTTGAGATATTTAGTGTCGGTTTCGACCAGCTCTTCCTTGGATTACCAAACGAGTTACAGATGCAAATTATTTCTTCCCTACCACTAACCGATATACTTAACCTCCGCCTTGCCTCCAAATCATGGCATACTCTTGTTACCTTGAACGAGAACACTATCGCCCGATACCATCTCGAACACCATATACCCGCTTACGCCTCTCGCCTCTACCCTGTCACAGATGCTAGCCAAATCAATTTTCAACATTTATGTGGCCTATGGCATCGACTGCATGTCGCTGCTAAGCTTGCCTTCCTAATGTGCGAATGGATCACCAAAGATATCTTTCTTCGCCAAACTGAAGCCCAGCGAATTGCTTTTGCACCACAAAACGAGTGCATGCGACGACGTTTGATACCTCTTTTATTCACAATTTTCCACTTTTTCGAAACCTACCGGAAACTTTACTTGCAGCGCATGGCGGAGAATGATGGCAAAGGATTGAGACGGGAACCATACACCTTAAACCCTATCGAAGCCGAAATTATGAACATGTACGACGACCGAACCTTATTGCGGGTTCACGAAGTATTCCCACTTGTAATCTCATCATTTTGCCGACGACTACGACCACCAACATATGTGGGTAGGGTGGAGCGATCACTTCGTGGTTATATTCGGGAGAAGCCGTCTGACGATGTGCACGTCGCCATCTTATGCATTGGTGGACTTCGACAAGTTGAGAGGTTATGGGAAATCAAAGGTTATAACAGTCGCCGCGGTGCTGTGGATACATGGTTTGGTACTCTTACTAAAGAGGCACCTGTTACTGAGTCGTCTACGTCTACGTCGAAGCCGAAACGAGGTCTTTTTGGACGCAAGAAGTCTACGAGTGAAGCACGATCCTCAGGAAATGCGTTGAATAAGGTTCGAAGCTCGGGTTCCATAGACGGCAACATGGATTGGGATGCCAATCTGGTCTTTAACTCGAGCCTATCTGCCGGCGCCCCCATGTCCCCTCTCAGCGCGCAACAGGCTCAGACCCTTCTCAGCGACCTGCCTGTACTGCAACAAATATGGCTCACAACAGCAGAGGCTCTTGTTCTGCAACGCCGGATTGTTGAGCGCCCGCAGGACATCAAGCGCAATCAGCAAGTCATGCTGGACTTAATCCGAGAGGATGGGCTTGACGAAGAGGACGAATGGTGGTACGGCCGCAGCATCCCCGATTCCGTGCGGCCTCCCGTCAGTGTTACTGATGATGATGCGGATTAAACGGCGCGTGCTACACTGGACTCTTTATGGGCATTTTCGTTTTCTATGTCTGCTGTTGGCGAGCGTTCTTTTGGGAAGTTATACCCACCCACAACCACTTCTACTATTTACTTGGGTACATGCATGTGTCAAAGAACGGATTCTTGAGCATTTACACGGCGTTTTTTGATGGGTTGCGGAGAAAAGGGCTACTGCGTTGCTGAACGTGGTACTGGATAGGAGCACTGGCTACATACTGATACCGATTGTCTATACGACCATTTCAATTTTTCCCTTCATCTTTACTACTGCCTTTCGCCCCAATGTTGGGGGTACCGTTCAAGCTGGAAGGCTTAGTAGACAGCTGTCTTTCTAGCCTATGCAGGAGTGATAGGGCGGTTTCTTTAACATATCTGTCAGTCCTGGTCTGAAAAGAACACCCTGCAGAGGTAGCATGACATGACATTCACATGTTTTCTTTGTCTCTCACTAGGTAGTAGCAGCATGTCTGCTGGAGATTTCTACGTATTCTGACAGTAGACACAACAAGTGAGCTGTATTTGAAGCAATAAACCAACGGATATAATTATCTGGGTATCTAAATATTGTCTTAACTACAAGACTCGCGCCCGGTGAAATGCACTCGCTATTGATTGATATATGGTGAATAAACTATAACATGGCGACCTTATATAGATCACTCAATCGGCATAATTGCTAGATTATGGTCACTCGGACGTCCCTTCTCTCTCCACCACAGTATCGTGATACTAGCCTTACGTCCGTCTTTCCGTGCAAACATCGTTCTTCCCATCATGGGTCGTCGTACGCGTATGCTTGGGTCCCCTTCGTAACCTTGGAGTCTAAAAGGTCCGATCACATGAATAGCGAACTAATGCTGATTCGGTTTTCTGCTCTCGTCTTTTAACTCGTCTGATATCACTGTCCCTTGCCCATGGCGTGATTTACACGATCACGCAAGCCAGGCAGGTGTGTAAATGGAGCCTCTGCAGTATATTTGATTGGATGGTTCACGTGGAGGTGGCTTTGAGTGCTGAATTTCTGAATTGGCGTCATGTTTGGTACCGGCGTTGATTCAATCATTTCTGATATTAGTGCCGACTCCTTCATGTGTTTGAAATGTGTCAACTCGGTCGACTGAGGCCGGGAATGATGATCCTGGTGTGATAACGACTGTCGATCGCCGAGACCTTAAAACTGCATAGGGGAGTTTGACCGGGTTGTTCGCGCAAACGGTCGCTCGGCCGCTTGGTTTAAATGGTTAGCAAGCAGTCGATGTTGCTGTTGTCTTTGTTGCTGTTGTTGCTGTTGGTATAAGGCTACTGCTGTTATGTCTGTGGAGATGTGATCTGGGGCTCCTAGGAGCTGATTGCGAGGTAGATTGACCGCTGGTGAGGGCATATGTGGCGATTGGCTTGCTTGTTCAGGACTCATATCCGGAGTTTGACTCTGGCTGGAACGCGAGATATTATGCTGGTAAGACTGAGACGCGACTGGTTGCTGCCAGAGTTCTGAACCACCCCCGGAGGTACTTAGGCGCCGTTGTACCTGGGAATCTAAATTGCTCGATGCAGAAGGCAATTGCCTAGCTACTAAAGCCTCTGGAAATGCCTTCGTAACTATATCGGCAGAGTAAAACCCGGTGGCGCCGGTGGTAAGATATCCTTGTCCTGTTTCCTGGGACGTACGGCGACGCTTCACTTGTTGTGCCTGACTGTCGCTGTCAACTGGCGTTGCAGTTGCACCGCAAAACTGAGTCGTATCCAGAGCTTGAGTGCCTGAATGGGCAGTCTGCTGCGACTCCTTTCTCTTCCCTGGGGAAATTTGACTTGCTCCTTGTTGATTGGATTTCGGTACCTGTGGCTGGTTGTTGACGGCAATGGCGTTACCAGTAACTGCTTGTGTTCTGATATCTTTTGTACTGTGAGGAAGGCCAGATGCAACTTCGTGAGTTGCACTGATAGTTCCCCGGCTCGGAGTTTCGCTCAAGGCTCCAGGGGTATTAGAAGGGCCTGTTCTTGACTGGCCCATTCCGTCAGCCTGAGCCGCCGACTGAGATATTGATGTGTAATTTGAATCCTTGGGGTGAGAACCAGGCCGGTCGGTTTCCTCATTCTGTGCGTCAGAATGAGGTCTTGACTTATTCTTTGATCCCTTGGGTCGGCCACGCGGTCTGCCTGTGGGCTTGCGTCCAGGTAAGATTTGCAACCTCCTCATGCGTTTTATTTTCGGTATTAATGGCGCAACTGGTCGGATTGGCTGTGCTGGTAACGGTAGTAGCGGTTTCAGTGTAGCTGGTAGAACTGTAGATGTCTGACTTGGGGTGTTTGTAGTAGGCAACGGCGACGCATCTAAGTTTTGACTATTCGCAGCGGGCTTTTGAGCCGCACTCATATCATTCTCAGCCGGCGGCGGTTGCATCACAACCGTCTCAACGCCGTTGGATGGGATAGTCAGAGGAACAAAGGTAGTGCTCACAGTAAGCGTCGCCCTGGTCGTGCTACTATTTTTGCTCCCCTTTGGCCGCCCTCGTGGTCTTGCTAGAGGTTTGGGTTGTGTTATGCTTTCAGGTATCGCAGGCTCTGACAAGGCAAGAGTTGAGGGGAAAACCTCTGACAACCAAGAAATAAATAGATCGCCTGATCCGTTGCTCGAAACACTCTGCGGAAAGTATCCATCAGTAGGTGGAGGAGCGCTGGGCGTGCCCCCGAAGTGTACTATGGCTCTGCAAAGCTGGTTCACAACGGAAACTGGAGGGATACTCTGCAATAGCTTGAGAAGCCGAGCCTGCTCCACCTTGGCGTCTATTGGAAGCATATGCGTGGGTTTGTTTGCGGAGCTGGCTGTTTGTTCTGCATTGACATCTCGTGGCATGTCGATTTCTTCCACAAGCTCAGCTGCCATGGGTGGTTCATCTGCCTGTTCCATTTCGACATCTTGCGTATCTTCCAAGTCTGTAAACGGGGCATCTGCATGTCCCGCACTGATTTCTTGTATATCGTCTGCATCCGTGAATGTGTCGTTTGTTTGTCCCAGATTGGTGTATTGTATAACTTCTACCGCCCCCGTTCGTGAACTCAATGACTTATCTTGCGGCTCTGCTGAAGCAAGAGGAGGAGGCTGCGGGATTGGCCTTGGAGCAGCTGGAAGTATAGGGGCCGGTTGCGAACGAGCCTGTGGTGGTCGAGCAACAGGGGTTGGAGGAGCAGCAGGAACAGAAACATGAGGTACAGGAACAGCAATAGGATGATGAATTTGCGGCGGTGAATATGTTACCACAGGTTGTGGCCGGGGTCGCCTCGGCTGGACATATCTCTGAGCGCCTGCAAGTCTTGCAGCGGCAGCAGTCCCTTCGCTTGTACGCTTGGCTGCAAGGTCGCGCTCAGTCATCTCTGGCTTTTGAACATGCATCTGCATTACACCAAAGTTGCCCTGCTTCCGATTCGTCTTGCCTTTAAGCTTGCTAGGAACTGCATTCCGTATGCGGCCATCATGATATGTATTTAGACCCAAGCTTGGCAAGGGTGCTGAAACCCATGGAGGAGCATGAGATGTGCTGGTCGTTTCGCGCCCAGGAGCACTATACGGGTTCATCTGAATATCAAACATGGCACTTCCTGCTCTCCAGCTTGACCGGGTGTTTTGTGGAGCTGGAGCTGCAGCCGGCGCGGCTGTCGATGATGGTAGAGGCGAGGCATTGTTGCTCTGTGTTTGAGGATTCTTGGGCGCAGGAAAGTTTGGATCAATCGCGATGGTATTTTGGGCAGCTACAAGGTTTCCGTGAGCTCATAATCCCTATGCGACAGCCCAGTCGGCTTTGGGGAATACATACACGCTTCTGGGGGCATGGCGTCGGTATATAGGCCAGGACTTGATGCGCCTTAGACCTCAGGGTCGAACGCACAGTGAACTGTTGTGGCCTATCATATGCGCCAAGGTCATGCGACGTTAATGATGTGCAAAGTAATGGCCTGCAGCTGGTGGGTTGTGGTGTTGTCGCATGGAACTCAAATTCCGTGTTAGTGATTTGATATTAGTGGACGGTATTCTTGAAATCTACTACTAACGTTAGGGACAAGGGAATGGGCCCCTTCTTGCCTTGCCTTGGTGGGGCGTAACGTTAGACTATCTATTCGTAGGTACTATATGTTCATGTGGACGGGAAGTTGCACTGCTCTTGACCACAGTTTGAGAAGTACGTGAGTATGCGATTGTGTAATTATTGAATTTAAAATCAATCGTTAATTTGAACTTGGTATTGAAAAACATTAGCATATGATCATTATGTTTGTTCACTTCCGGGTCTGAACTGTCCATCACTTGATTACCTTAGTACCTTAGTAGGTACCTAGTACTTATGAAACTATTGGTGGCTTTCAGCCACAAGTACTCGTCATAATCATTAGCCGGCCACTCTTACCAGCCACGGTTTGATCCCAACTGCCCAGCAATAAGCTCCAACCTGCTTTAACTGTCTGGCATCGGTGCAGTGCTACAATAGCAACTTCCGCTACCTTACCTACGCTGCGACGCTCCGTCCGACCTCATTTTAGTCTTTTCCTCTAACAGGCCGGTTTTGTCAAGAGTCGCTTCTTGGCGAAAGCGTGAATCCGATCTGCGATTAAACCCCATAGCTCTCCCTCACTGAGGCGAAGCTGTTCACGTCCTCTGCTGGTGTTGCTCCCATCCGCATATACTCCGCAGTCCGTTTCGTACATATCCTCCAACCTTCCGACTTGATTCATCCGATTACGTCTCCTGACGCTTCAGCTCGCAATTATGTCGACCAAGTACGCTTTCCTATCGTTGCCCCAGGGCGTGTTCGACTCGAGCGACCGTGATGATGCCATCACATCTTTGCGCAGCACCATCTCCTCCGACAGCGCTTCCGTCCTGCCCTTTAACATTCCCGACTTCAAGATCGGCACCCTCGATGCCCTTGTCCAGCAGGCAGATGAGCTTACGAAGCTTGAAGCGTCATGCGAGGCCGTTGTTGCCAAGGTCGCCGACTCGTTGAAGAACGTACTTGACGGTGACGAAGACCGCATTGCTCAGTATAAGATGGTCAATGATAGTCAGTCGCGCACATGTATCAAGGCCAGATGGATTGCTAACAGCTCACAACAGAGCCCACTGACCAGTACGTGAGCACTTTCAGCTGGAACAAGATCCGATATCGCGCCGACAAGTCCCTCGCTGAGCTTATTAACACCCTACAAAAGGCATGTTTCCGCCAAAATACCTCTTGCGCTTCGTCTAACCGATACTTATCAGGAGCTCGCCAACGTTGATACAGATGTGAAGACAAAGTTCAACCAGTATAACTCGGTCAAGACAAATCTTGCTGCTCTGCAGCGCCGTCAAACGTGAGTCGTTTTGGCCTTCTACTATCTCATTGTCGAGTGTTGACAACTTAATAATATAGCGGCAACCTTTCTACCAAGTCTTTGACCCCTATCGTCGACCCATCTCTCCTTGTCCAAGATTCCGAGTATATCGAGACCCACCTGATTGTCGTCCCAGGAAATGCGAAGAAGGACTTCCTCAAGGAGTACGAGACATTAGCCCCTATGGTCGTTCCTCGTTCCGCCACCGAAGTTGCCAAGGACGACGAGTTCGTCCTCTTTGCTGTAGCGACATTCAAGAAGCACAGCCCCGAGTTCCTTGCCAAATGCCGAGAGCAGAAATGGACACCCCGCCAGTACAAGCATGTTGAAGGTGGTCGACAAGAAGAGCAAAGGGAGCTCGATCGCGTCACTAACGAAGAGCGAAAGGTCTGCGGAGAGGCACTGCGCATGGGGCGAACTGGATGGAGCGAGAGTGTCATGATCTGGGTCCATGCCATGACATTGCGGGTGTTTGTTGAGGCTGTCCTCCGCTATGGTCTGCCCCTGGAATACGTGACCGCTCTGGTCAAGGTGAGTTGGCATACCTGACCTCGAGATGGAATTATAACTAACTGAAGGCGCAGACGACATCCAAGTTGGCTCCCAAGGTCAAGACAGCTCTGGACTCTAACTACTCATTCCTTGGTGGGAACGCATTTGGGCGAGACAAGCGAGGCAAGATCACCAAAGATGACGCTGCCTTAAGCTCAGAGATGGCTGCGGCTGGGTTCCAGACCGGCGAGGGTCACGAATATACGGCATACGTGTACTACGAGATCGAGTTTCCTTAGCGATCGGCAGGGTTGTGAGATTATGAGAGGGAGAGGGAAAGCAGGCAAGCCGTGGGAGAAGACCGATAGAACAATTCGCATGCATGCAAGAAACGCCTGTATTCTACCCCATCATCATGCCTATGAAGTGACGACAGCCGGGATCGCCATGCCAGTAATATCCAATCTATCTTTTTTTTTAAATGCAGAACAAAACACATTCATTATTTACATGCTTATTTCTTGTTGAGGTAGCCCTTCTCGTTAAGCCACTCGACAATCTGTGCAACACACTCCTCGACAGAGTTCTCGTGGGTCTTGATAGTGATCTCAGCCTTCTCGGGCTCCTCGTAAGGAGCAGAGATACCAGTGAAATCCTTGATCTCGCCAGCGCGAGCCTTCTTGTAGAGACCCTTGGGGTCACGCTGCTCAGCAACCTCGAGAGGCACGTCAACGTAGACCTCGACGAAGGGGATGGGCTCCTCGCCGCCCTGGGTAGCCTGTTCGTGAAGATCACGGGCGACCTTGCGATCCGCTCGGTAGGGGGAGATGAAGGAGGTGATGGCGACGGTGGAGGAGTCAGCAAAGAGCTTGGCGACCTCGGAGATACGGCGAATGTTCTCGTTGCGGTCGGCCTCAGAGAAACCAAGATCCTTGTTAAGACCGAAACGGACGTTGTCGCCGTCGAGGCGGTAGGCGGCGACACCAAGGTGAAGGAGATGCTGCTCGAGAGCAGTGGCAACGGTGGACTTGCCAGAGGCAGAAAGACCGGTCAACCAGATGGTGAGACCGCGCTGGCCGCGGGTCTCATTGCGCTCCTTGCGCGACAGGGAAGGGTGCCAGGTGATGTTGCTACAAGTACAATTGTCAGTTGGTCATGCTTTCTGGTGTTGAGGTGGGATGTGTAGTTAGAGGGATGGCGGGGTAATAATGATTGTATGGAGGGGAAGTTCACAGAGCTGGAGGGGTAGAGTCGCGATAGTATGGAAGAGTATTTTGTACATGCGATCAAACTTACGTTGACATTGTGTATATATGAAGAGGGTATCGCGAGAGAAAGTATAAAAAATTAGATGAAGATGGAGGAACAAAAACTTGTATAAGAGGTAGGAAGCAGATACATACTAGTATAGGTAGGTACCTTGGTAACCACCACCTAGAGACTTCTGACGCCAACTGCGACTTCCCCACGACTTGAGTGATAAAAAAAAACTCGTTACAGGAACTGCTTGCTCTACATTGTGTACATGTACATGATTCGCCCCATTAGACTTAGGGGAGCAGCTTCCCGCAACAACGCCGCGCAATGTCGTGATCGGGCCATCGGGCGGCAAGAGCCTTTGCGACAGACTCCCCGTTACTCCAGCGCGACCAGCCTATGGCAGGGCAAGTGGGAGATGGCGACATCAGAGGGCCCTGCCTCTTTCCGTACAAGCCCCATTTGTTGAGTAGCAGGAGTGGCCACCGTCTTCCGGCGCGGGCCCGGCTTCTCCACGGCGTCTGTCATTCTGTCCCACGCGCCGGAAGTCGGCCCCGCGGGATGGAATGAGGAAGAAAGATCAACTCCCACTTTTTAGATAGGGAAGATGTCATGTTCGTGTTTAAGGTATTTTTATTGTAGTTTATTAAAGATCAAATAGACTATAATCTTAGCCTGTAGCTCTCTAAAGAAGGATACCCTCTCTATTTGTAATTATAATATGTTTGTTGTAAATGCTTCCCCGTCTATAATTCTACGTCAACAACTAGATCATTTGTATGAATGAACACTATAGCTCCCAGCCATTTGTATCCGTCACTCGCTCGCTCAGAAAATCGTCATCACATGAGTCGTCTATTCCGTTTAACCAATCTTGGGCATCATCTGTAAGCACGAGTTAGTACATCATTTCCGAGACATGGTGTCATGAGCCATGTGTCGACTTACAGCAGCATACTTGGGCGAAATGAAAAGTGCTTCCGCATCGGCCACTATTGTTGGCTTCTCGCCAGGCTCGCCCAACAGTTCAATATGACCTCTAACCCAGGCCTTGCGGCCTTGAACCTTGTATGTCTCTGCTCGCAGAACCAGGAAGCTCCCCGCTGGCGTGGGTTTGCGGTAGTTGACGTTGAGGTTTGCGGTCACAGCGATATTGTGAGGCAGCGCACCGAAAGAGCACCGTCCAAGGCCCTCATCCAACATTGTGGCCAGGAATCCGCCGTGCACAATGCCAGGGTGACCACACAGGTCCTCTCCAACGTATGCCACAGACACAAGCTGTTTGCCCCCAGGGGCTGTCCACGCATACGGTGGTACAGGCATCTTTCCCTCACCGATAAGCGCCCCGCCAGTCAAGCTTCGGCTTCGGTACGATCCCGGCATCTTCATATGTGGTCGCGATTCGGTGAGTTCGGGGTTTGCGCGAAGCTCTGCAACGAGCGGATGGTTGTTGATCGTCTCCTCGACCATCTTGGCTTCCTCGTGGTTGGCGACAAATCGTCGCAGACTCTCCTCGTCCGAGTGGAAGCCCAGTCCGTTCGAATGCATCGTGTACCATGTTCCAAAACCACCCGCTGTGCTTGCGCCTACACCAGCGAGCAGCATACCAACTGCCCTCTTGGCTGCACCACCTGCCGCTGCCGCTGCTGCTATACACAAAATCTGTCAGCATTTCATGTTGCGGGTGTAAGTACGTCCTTGTATGGTGGGGGTAAGTTTACCTCCTGTCGCATAACCGCGGGACTGAGAGGGACGAGCAAATCGATTGGTTACCTGCGCTGCAAGACGTGCGTTACGACAAACTTGTTGAGAAAACATGGCGAGTGTATCCTGTCGTAAGAATTGAAATCTAAAAACCAAATCGAAGACAAAATCAAGAACAAAAAAAAAAGACCGTTGAGGTTGCGACCTCGGCTTTTGATAAGATTTAAGGTTGGCTTAATTATCGATTATCGGCGTTGCCGCTTTGCCTCGGATGGAAAAGGGAAGGTCGACCTCGGCGACTTACTCCGTACTCCGTAGGTATGTTCTTAAACGGTCGTGTAACTGTTTCAACGTGTCTTAAGTGTAAGCCACAAGCCACAGTGGCTGTGACATAATTTACTACCACGTATGTACAGCTGGAGTATGCCAAGGTAAGAACGACCATAATAATCGCAGCGTGCGCTGTCCCTGCTACCCCTACTAGGATCCCCAGTAACTGTGACGTGAGTCTCATCCAACCAGAATCGCTCCAAGAGCTCGTGAGACTTGGTCTGTAGAAGATGATCCGAGGCCGCTGACGACATGCGTGCTTTGGTTTGTATTTCCTTGTATAATTGGAAGAGCATTTAAAAGCGCTTCTTTCCCTCGATTGTGGTTGTGATATTCTTGACTCTTCAATCTATCAATATTTACTTATACCCATTTACAATCATTCATAATGGTATGGCTAGCAACTGTAGTATCTTTATGTACAACTATTGACCTTCTGTAGGCCTCCGCTGATACTGTTGACCTGGGCCCTGTCCACCCTCCCAAGGAGGATTCTATTACCGCCTTCAAGCATATTCTCCCTGATCTGAAGAAGAGTCTTGTTCATCTCTGTCACGACTACAACAGTGAGTTTATATCAGTATATTGCCCAACAGGCTTGCGACTGATACCCTCTTAGAGCACGAACCAAAGTATTTTGCTGCTGCTGTAGTTTAACCTCCGCTTATACATCAGCTGACCACGACTAACAATGGTAAAGGGAGACATCTCAGACCACGACCTCGTAGGTTTCAGTGAAGACGACTTTGAGTCGGTCCGTGTCGCTACATCAGCCTATGGCATCCATCTCTTTGGCAAGGTTCGCATTCCCGCCTTGTCCGAATCTTCAGGCTCTGCCTACATACACTTTCGTGTCTTCATTGGCGGCGGTGAGCCACCAAAGCTTCACAGCATCCACACTGAAGAGCGTGATGACCCTAGTGGCGGAAAGACGTACAGAGCCATCTTCACAAAGGACGATGAGCTTGAGTGGTTCGATACCTAAATACCTAAAGATATAATGAGAATTCTTTGTTGAAGTGGCATTCAATGCGCCAGTAGCGAATTTGTGAATTTGCCTTTTTGACTCCTGAACCAATGTGTCTAGTATAGCCATACTATCAAAACAAATGCTCTGCTTGCTCACGCCATCCTTGGCGAATCTTCCTACATGTCCTCCTCTCCAGCCAAAAGCTCCGCATAATCGTCCACTGAGGCAAACATGGGGAGGTCCTTGAGCTTTCTGCGCTTCGACTTGGGTTTCTCGCTCACGGCCTCCTTGACCTCGAAGTCTTCCTCGTCTTCGCTGATCATAGCTCCGCCCATCTCCTCGTCGGATCCCTCGTCGGATCCCTCGATGTCCACGCTCATGTCATCATCATCGTCCTCACCCAACTCGCCATCCAGTGATAGTGCCGGTGAATCGTCGTCTGAGGCCATGTCTGAGTCGTCCAGGTCGAAGCCAACATCGGAGCCATCATCAGGATCAACGTCAGGGTGAGTCGAGACCAGTGCCTTCCAGACTTCGTCTTCTTGCTCATCATCTGACCCGTCGTCATCTCCTGTGGCCTGGGCCTTCTTCTTGGTCTCCTTGCCTTCCTTGCCAACCTGCTGGAAGTACTCGTGGAAGAAGACATCCTCAGCGGCAACATCCTCTGACTTCTTCTTCCAGAAAGCGGACGAGTTGACGGAAGTTGTAACACCTCCAGCTCCACGGCTGCCGAGCCAGATATCGCCAATATCCTTGGCAGCTCGGAGAGGCTGCATAATCGACACACCCTTGGAAGAGTCGTTGGCCTTGGGGTTTCGGTAGACGAACTTGTCCAAGAATCGAATGAGCGAGTGGCTGTCGAGATCCGGCTTCAGTGACTTCTTGTCATGCTCCAATACCGACGCGGCGTACACTGTAACTGAGGGGTGGTAGTGGCCTTGGAGGGGAATCTGACTGTTGTTAGCATGTCTTTCTTTGGATCAAGTCATCGTGTGCAACTCACCACCTCCCACAAGCAACTTCGGTTGGCGTTGCTGTACTCGGGATCTCTCTTTCGGCCATCATACTTCTGCTTCTCATTCGCAGCCTCATCATCAAACATTATCTCCTCCGGCTCTTCCAACAGTGTTGAAAGATCGGGGAAAGTCTCGCGTAGGTGCCCAACAACGTAGAGGAGCCCACATGAAAATGCGGGTTGGTGAAGTCCAGAGACCTGGAGCATTCGCTTAGCAAATGCCTTGACTCGGCGAGTATCAACGTCGTTCTTGAGCGCACGCAGAAGAAGGTTCAGATAGAGCGCTTGCTTGGATGAGTTGATCAGTCGGGGATCTAGCAAAGACTCGTATAGAGTCCTGTAGAACCTATCATTTGAAAGGCTTCGTGAAGAAGATATTTGTTGAATCAAAAGAAGAGCTTGGATGCCTGTGTTGAAGTTGCCTGAGTGGGCGATCTTGAAGAGGGTGTCAAGATGAGTTTCCATCCTATTATCAACCAGTTAGCACAATGCTTCAAGAAAATTATCGGGATCAATGGCATCGCATACATAGCGTCGTTGCCAACCATGAAGGGAGCAGCGCGGTTGACACCAGTCAGGATAGCAGACACGAGCTTATCAGCAGCCTCAGCCTCGGGCTCTGAAGCTGCGGGTTTCGCTGGCTTGCCACCGCGGCGTCTCCGTGGTCTAAAACCATTGACGTTGCTTTCTTCTTCCTTCTTCTTCCTCTTCTCCTCTTCCTCCTTGGCCGCTTTCATGTCAGCCGGTGTGGAAATACCCAGAGTTCCTGTCTTGAGAATGATGCTAAAGAGCTCGAAGTAGATCCGCATAAGAGCTTCGGCGATGGCGGGTTCTTTGTTGCTGAGGATGGTCTGGTTGAGGGTGTTGATAGCGTAGTACTTTGATCGGTGATCCTGGGTCGGGTGTAGAAGAATCTGCTGCTCAATCGTTCGGACGATGAAAGGCTTCATACCCGGGTGGGAGTTCTGCAGCTGAAGCAGGAGGTACGATGCTCGAGAAGAGATCTTGCGGTCTCGATCACCGAGCTTGTTGACCAGCAGCCGAAGAAGGTTAGACTCTTGCTCAGGCTTCTCCTTGAGAAGACCATAGACAAAGTCAAGCGCGCGGGTACGGGAGTACTCGATCTCGTCTGAGCACCAGTTCTCAAGAAGTTGAATAAGCTTGAAATAGGTTTGTTTCAGCCAATCCTCATAAGCCCATGAAATCAGATGAGCGGGCGTGATCTTGCCGGGCAACGGGTTGCCAGGAGCCCATGGCTTTCCGGGGTTTCGTTGTAGAGTTCCGACTAGACCTGGTTGATCGTGGAAAGCTCGAAGACGACGGTCAGCAGGGAGCAAAGTGCCAGGGCCGAGCAAATCAACAAGCGCGCCAATGGCACCAAGGGCTTGTCCTCGGCTCTTCTTGGAGGCTGAGGTCATAAGGGCATCGAAAGCTCGAATGTTGTGAACCGGGGATTCTTGAACAGCCAGAGTAAGAGCAGAAACCTTGTCACTGAGAGTACCGGAGGTCATGATGGTCGACAAGAACTTGTGCGAAGACTGGGCAAAAATGCTGGTTCTGTACTTGGCAGCGTCTTCCTCGAGGAGTGTCTCGGCATGGCGCTTCAGAGCATCTAGGGCTGCTCTGGGTGGGTTGGTCTCATCCGTAGTTGGTGCTGGCAGTTTGCGCAGGTCAGCAGCATGCCAGTCTGCGAGGGGCTCGAAGGTCTGTATTACTGTTAGTCGTCAGAAAAGCCACTATGAAGCTGATCCAACCTACCATGTTGCCTTTCTTCTTGGGGGCTTCCTTTGGCGCCTCGGCTTCGTCCTCATCCTCGTCCTCGTCCTCGTCTTCATCATCGTCAAAATCCTCAGCCTCATTCTCTTCTTCGGCCTCCTCCTCTTCCTCCTCCTCTTCGTCACTAGCTTCACTCAATTCAACCTCTGCGAAACCAAGCTGCTTGGACAAAGCAGCAAGTTCATCCTTCAGCCCCTTGTCGACAGACTTGGAATCCTTGGACCCTTGAGCGTACTCTTCATCATCCGAGTCGATACCTTGGATGAGGGCCAAGTCGCTCTCGTCGCCGCCAAGAGCCTTGATTTCTTCCAATAGAGTCTTTTCGTCAATCTTGCCGCTCTTTTTGTAGTCGGTTGAGCCTTCGGAGTTTCGCTGTCTCTTTTGATGCTGGTCGCCTGCACCTTTCGTGGGAGGCTGCTTTCGCTTGCCCAACTTGTTATCGATTGTAGACGTCAGATTGTCGAGCTCACTGTTGTCGAAACCCGGGCCTTTTGAAGAGCTGCGAGGCGCTTTCCCCTTCCCCTTCACCTTTTTCGTGGGCTTCGCCATTTTGTAGAATTTAATCGGGGACTGAAAATCTCAGATGGAAATTCTCAAATGGAGGGAAAATGCGCTTGAGGGACCTGGAACTTTTTTTTTTGGCGTCGCATTTTTTACCGGAGCCCCACCTCCACGTCCCGGGCGCTTAGCGCGTCTACTTGTCGCTAATGCAGGATGACTAACCCTAGGTCGAGCTGTAGGTTTGAACGGGTGCACCTCCGAATATCGAGAACCTATCAAGGATAACCGAATATGATGGTGGTGGTATAAACTGGTATTCAGGGACTTTACAGCCTGGCAAAGTCATGACTTTATCAAGAACAGCTCGGTTTGGCGCTGTAAGCGTCTGCAGAAGCTTGTCTGGTGTGCAGTTGCAAGCTTTCTCAGTTTCAAGCGTAGCTAAAGCTGGCTCACCTCGCTCCACCCTCTCAACAACATGGGTGCCAACTGGTGGCATGACTGCCAATGATGATGAGTGTATAGCTTCATTGTTATCTTCTATCGGCTGTAGGAGCTAATTGGGCTGCAGTTGGTCATGCAAAGCTTGTACGAGGTGGTTTCCTCCGTCAGGTATTTCTTAGTCTCAACATCAGCCAAGTTACACACTAATACAGTAATAGGCTCACTCTGGCATTTTCCAACTTTTACCATTTGGTCTTCGCGTTCAGGACAAAATAGAAAAGTTGATAGATAAGCATATGCACTCAGTTGGTTCGTATGATTCTGCCAAGTCGGCCTTCAGTCACTGATACCCAGGCCTCCATAGGCGCATCTCGAGTATCTCTATCGACTATCTCATCTGAGGAACTATGGCAAAAGAGTAATCGTCTTGACTCTGTTGCACCAGAGGTAAGAGTTCGGCGCTCATATAGAGTCCTATAGGCTTACGTGGGTAGCTTTTTCGACTCACAGATCGTAAAGACACGCCGCTTATCCTCTCTCCAACTCATGAGGAGGAAATAACCACACTTGTGGCTGGAATAGTCAATTCGTACAAGGATCTACCTATCAGACTTTACCAAGTTAGTAGGTGTTGCCTTCTCTGAACGCCAGGTTCTGCCTGCTAACCCTTCATAGCCCGGAAATACCGTGATGAGCGTCGCCCTCGCCATGGTCTGTTACGCTCACGAGAGTTTCTCATGAAGGATCTTTACACTTTTGATCTTACAGTAGCTGAAGCTGTCGATACCTATCGCCAGGTTTCAGGAGCTTATCGCGCCTTTTTTGCTGAGCTTAAGCTTCCTTACCTTGTTGCCGAAGCAAGTTCTGGAGACATGGGTGGTGATCTTAGCCACGAGTATCATCTACCCAGTTCCGTTGGCGAGGATACCATTGTTAGCTGTGATACTTGCCACTACACTGCCAATGATGAGGTTGCCGCGGCTCGGCCACCCTCTGCTGGAGCAAAGGGTACATCAGACATCCCGGTGTCTCAATTCAATGTTTGGCGAGGTATTTCTAAGGATCGTAAGGTCCTCATCAACGCTTGGTACCCTCGATCATGTGATGATTCCACCGACAGTGGCCTCAGCCTTCACGCCGTCAAGTCAACTGTAGCTGAATTGGATACCACGATCGAGGACCCCTTGCCGCTCTGGGGAGAGACACTTAAGAACGGAAATGCACATGTTGTTAATGTTGTTGACAGTAGACTCGCATTGGCATTTGGGAGCCTTCGAAACCAGCTGCCATTAATGCCCCAAAATCACGAGTCTTATCAAGTTGAGCACTCTACAGTTGACAGCACAGACTCTGGCGAGGGACTGAACTTGGTTCAGATTGCTGATGGTGATGGCTGTCCTCGCTGTGAAAAGGGCACCCTGAAGATTCATCGTGCTTTAGAGTGTGGTCACACATTCCAGCTTGGCACTCGTTACTCAGTACCTCTTGACGCATGCGTCAATCTTCCGCAATCAGGACTTTCCACGGCAGCCCAAAAAGAAGGCCTGACTCCAGGCAGTCGTGTACCTATTCAAATGGGATGTCACGGTGTTGGTGTTTCGAGAATCTTTGGCGCTGTAGCTGAGATTCTCGCAGATAAGCGGGGACTGAACTGGCCTCGAGCCATAGCTCCTTTTGAGGTCGCAATTATACCTGCATCTGACCTTTCTGAGGAGCCGTTGAGAATTTATGATACGCTTACCATTGATAACGGAACAGAGTCTACATTTGACGTCGTTCTCGATGACCGCAATCGATCATTTGGCTGGAAGATGAAGGATGCCGATATGGTAGGATACCCTGTTCTGGTGATTCTTGGCAGGTCCTTCAAGGAGAATGGTACCTGTGAGGTACAATGTAGAAGACTTTCGGTCAAGGAGAATGTGAAGGTTGATGCGCTACCCGAATTCATCTCAGGTCTACTTGACCAGCTGTAAGTGACCTCGGGCAGCGAGAGCTTTATATCACTACTAGGTTATTTGAGGCATGTACGGTAACAATATATCACAAGTTCGAGACGAAACCTAGAAATAAGATGAGTACAATTTTGCCATGAATGGAGTCATTGATATGAATGAAAAACAAATAATAAGTAGTAAACCCCACTGTAGGTAGGTTGTGAGTATGGTCGTGGTTAAGGTAGTGAGTGCTATAGCACCCCCGTTAGTAGAATTCAGCAACCCCACGTCATTTTATTTATGAACCGAGACCCTGGAGGGGCATCCAGACAAGCAATCAATTTACGACTTTAACGACAACATACGTAAAGACGCTCAGCAACACGCCAAGATGTCCGGAAGACAAGAGCAAAGTAAGTCAACGACCCAGTATGCGCAAATAGTACCATCCCGCTGACCTGTCCGCGCTATAGTCAACCTCGATACATTAGAGCCTCAGCAGCTTGCCCAGGTCAAGAAGCAACTCGACGAAGAGCTCGAACACCTGACGACGTCCTTTGCGCAGCTTCATGCCGCACAGAATAAGTTCAAGGACTGCCTCCAATGCGTCAAGAGCAGGTCTGCCGCTCCTGAAGGTGCGATATACCCCTCCTCAACCGGTTCGACTCGACCAGCGCACAAATACACCGCCGATGCGCCACAAGGATAATACGATTAACAAACGATGCCTTCTCTAGGAGCCAACTCCGTGCTAGTTCCCCTTACCAATTCGCTATATGTCCGTGGAGAGTTGGCGGATGCCGATACAGTACTGGTGGACATCGGCACCGGCTTTTTGGTAGAAAAGGTACACCATTCAACCATGTACCACGCTATTCGTCAATTAACTCCAATGTAGAAACTCAAGTCTGCCGAGAAGTTTTACGAAGCCAAGGTCGAGGAGCTTGGAAGCAACCTAAAAGATCTCGAGGTCATTGTTCAACGGAAGCAGACAAATGCACGAACAATCGAGGAGGGTACGTCTTCATTGAACACTCATTGATTCGTTAAGCACACAATTAACATGAACCTCTCCCAGTTTTGAGACAAAAGATCATGGCTGGTCAAGGACAAGGTGAGCAACAGGCGTAAAAAGAGATTATCTCATCTTTTCGGGTCCGGTAGAATGCCACATAGCCAGGCTAGTAGGGAGAAAAGGGAACTCGGGGAAGTCTCCCAGTCGACACAGCATCGCCTTTAGATGCCCACTATCATGGGGTAGCATCGGCATGCGCTTTGTTCAGGAGGGCTTGGACCTCCAATATGGTCCGCATGAAGCATCTGAGCCTTGACTTGAGATCATTACCCTCCATCCAAATATTCTCGAGCCCCTTCCCCCAGTCTTTTCGCCCTCCGCTAGCGTGATTCACACTTTCCTCCCAGTGAGGAGCATATAATTCAATACCCCAGGTGACCTCCGGTTCTTCAGAAGTTCGAAGTCCTTTCAAGCTTTTGGTGATGTAGATCCTGAGCACGTAGTCTGATTCCTTGAATGGGACAATTACCCATGATCTCGCACGGATCTGCGTGATTTTCTCACCCAAACTCGCAAGCTTAGCTGTATTGACGCTGGGAATTGGGAGAAGAGCATCGTCATCTGGGCTGATATTGAGCAATACCCTTTTTGCGAGATCATTGAACTCAAGCGGAACGTCCACTTTGTCCCAAGCATCCACACGGAAGTTCCAATCATACTGCCTATAAGTGAAAAATGTTAGTTAGCAAGTGAAACAGATAAGACCAGTTGGTGATTTACATGTCTGGGGCTGCAACAGTCCAGTTCAAACGTGCCCATGCTTCTGCCTTGGTAGCTCGAACCATGGTGAGTTGTATACGCCCATGAGAAGGGTAGTCAGCTTCAGTCTTGACCTCTAGCCCGTTGGCTACAATAGTCACTTCACAACCTCGTCTGATATCCTCGAGACCTTTGCAGATGCCTGAGGAGGGTCGTAAGATAAACTGTAAAAGCTGCTCAGCTTTCTCGGCATTCATGATTCTGGCATAAGTTAGACACGACAAACCATGTATATCATTTCTGTTTACTTACTTGTTCTCAAAGTTAGCACCCCCGCGATAAGAATATTCGCCCATGAGTTTTGCAAAATCAGGATATGTGGTCTCATCCTGGGACCCCTTCTTTCTTTGGCCGATAATGAGATGCCCGAAATTGACTCGCAGTCCCATTGTTTTGGTGAGAGCCATGAGGCCTTCTGCCGACGTTGCCATCTCAGAAGCCAACTGCGGCAAGTGCTGATCCAAGGCAGATGAATTGTCGATGAAACTGGAACTTGTCAAGAGGAAGTGAGGACGCCCCCCAAGCTCAGCTCGTATTGTGCCACTGGCGACAGCATTTGTAGGCTTCTGTACTAGGAAACGCACAGGAGCGCTGTTCTCGGATAGGCGCATGTCTCGAATGGCCCAGTTGATTGCTTCAAATGCCTTTTGGAGGCGAGGCATGGAGTCACTATGGATGTCAACTACATGAGGCACATCGCGGGTGATATACACTTGGTATTTCCTGCGAATGCCGTCAAGTGCCTCGGGCTCATCCATCCCACGGGGAATTAGTTCATTTGCTGGCAGCACAATAGATGCCTAGAATCTTGTTAGTTTTGGTCACTTCAAAAATAGGGTATGATTTCTGTTGGTAGTCTCACATTGATAAGTTCTTTGCCAGGTGGCGGACGGCCAAGGTACTCGGCCTCCTCAGCTTCGCGACGCTTTCTGTCTCTGACTTGCTTGATAGACTTAGCAGTCTGCATATGGTCGTCCTTTGTAGTTGCGAACTTTCGCGATCTTGAGGACTCTGCAGAAGGGTGGAAGCCTCCTCTCCACGATGGGTTTCCCCTCCCTCTGCCACGATACATTGTGCAAAGTGTAACGGGACGATGTGGATGAGAAGGAGAAACATACACCAAGAGAAGAGTACGATCTTATATACCAAGACTTGGGCAGAGGTAGATAGATACCAGACAGTGGGTATATATGCAACTTCGTGATACGGTGATAGAAGAGAGACCGAGGTGTAGCTGAAGTAAATAAGGTGGAAAGATAAAGGAAGGATCGGAGAAAATAATGCCCAGTGAATCACAAACGGATAGGGAAGTCGCATTTGTTTGAATGAAGGTGGATAAGTTTTGTTAGGAAACAACAATCATTAATTACCTGCCCGTTTGTTACTTGCGTGGCACTTGCAGTGCGTTCGGGTACTTGCCAGATTATAGTCGCGCGACAATCTCCGAGTCACACCTGCCTCATTTCTAAAGCTGAATATAAATTTAAAAGGTATGGGACGACATTAACTGATAGGAAAAATATTGATACTAACTTACGTAGTAAGTACTACCTATAGGTAACTTAGTACATACTTACCTAGTTAGTCAATCTGAGAAGAATTCTTTCTTACTTGACTGCAACACACCCGCTTACGAAGAAAACTACCAGGACATACCTCATTCTATTACAATTTAACAACAAACTATATAGGGTATGGTCGGTCGACTAATTGAATTCGGCAATGAAATCAATTGTAGTGATGATGTGCTATCTTCGTTGGTAGCATTTTGGTACAAACTCGCATGGTTAGGGCTACATGAGGCGATATGAGAAAGGTCTTACTCTTTGAGGCACTGAACAGGGTTTATTTACTAAATTGTTTGCAGAATAGAAGGAACAAGGTGTAAATAAGTAGTTTGACTGGGTGATTCATGACAGGCGAGGCCAATAAATTTATGCTTTCATGTGAATAGAGAACGGATGATTTCCACTAATCGAATAATCGCAACGTACAAATAAGAATTACGGCGAAACCAATTGATAATGATTCATCAAGGAGAAAACAAATGGCCCTTACGATGTTATGTGTTCTTACAAGAAAAGTAACATAGAATGGTGTGTTAGGTCGTCCATCATCAACTTACACGCCCCCCGGTATGCGCATAACCCCTGGCAACGACTCCTTTATTCTTTATTCTTTACTCACGTCGCGTCTCCCACGACGCGTGCACCACTTCAACGGCACCTACCACCAAATTACGACAAAGAATATGGCGCCAATCACTTCAGCAGAGAGGGCAAAACGCCAAATATCAGGAATCGCTCACGAGTTATCCGACGACGAGCTTGCAGCCGATGAGCCGTCATGGCAATGGATCTACAACTCTACTCCAACAACCGAACGAAACGATGAGGCCCAAAGCGACAGGAAACGAAGAAAGGTAACCGGTGATAGGATCGTTGGGGCAAAGATCGGCCAATTCGAGTGTAGAGTCGGAGACACTGTCATGCTCAAAGCTGATGGCTCGAATGAAGCCTGGTTCGCCCTTATTTGCGAGTTTGTTGAGGATGACGGAGAAGGCGAGAAAGCAGCCAACTTTATGTGGTTCTCGAGCGAAAAGGAAATTCGAAGCAAGGACAAGAAGCGGCAAGACTACTATCCGGTAAGCCTTAGACTCTGTAAGACCGCTCAAATTGATCTGACTCTCCCTGCCTCTAGAATGAACTCTACATTTCGCCATCATGGGACATCAACCCCCTGGCATCCATCAACGGCAAAGCCAAAATCATGTCACAAGATACCTTCCTCACCAGATACCCCCAAAGTCGAATCCCTCGAAACCACGCAGACTTTGGTAAGGTCTTTGTCTGCAGGCGAGGCTGCAACACCCGCACTGCCACATACACGGACGAGTTCATATGGGAGGAAGTGTACAGCGGCGAGGATGATCTATTCGCTCTTATGGACAGGATCAAGACGGGGACAAAAGCCACGCGCAAGCGTCGCAAAGCTCGAAGTCCGTCACCTTCCGATGAAGTATATCAACCTCCTCAGGTCCCTCAGACTCCGACAAAGACAGGACGAGGCTCGACGGCGGCTACACCAACATCACGAAGAAGTCAAGCCACACCAGGCTCTCGTGTCAAGAGGTTAGCCAGAACACCAGAATACTCTGGTCAATTTCAATTGCTAACAGCGCATCGCAGGAGTACAAGCAAGAGACTTGAATTCACACCCTTGGCCACTCGTAAACTTTCCCCTAGCCAGGTTGAATCTTCGCCATTCCAAATAGCACGATCTCGTCTACATGTCTCCTCGGTTCCAACCAGTCTCCCTTGTCGAGAAGGAGAGTTCTCTCTGGTCTACTCTCATCTTGAGGCCGCCATTTCAGACGGCACTGGCAACTGTATCTACATCTCTGGCACACCCGGAACTGGCAAGACAGCGACAGTGCGCGAGGTCGTCTCCAGGCTCGAGGAAGCCGTGGGTTCAGATGAGCTTGACGATTTCATTTTCGTCGAGATCAATGGCATGAAAATCACAGATCCTCACCAGTCGTATAGTCTTCTTTGGGAGGCCCTCAAGGGAGAGCGAGCCAGTCCAGCACAGGCCCTTGACCTCCTGGAAAGAGAGTTTAGCAACCCTAGCCCTCGTCGCATTCCTTGTGTGGTGCTCATGGACGAACTCGACCAGCTGGTCACTAAGAACCAGGCTGTCATGTACAATTTCTTCAACTGGCCCACATTACGGCATAGTCGTCTTATCGTGCTCGCAGTCGCCAACACCATGGATCTTCCAGAGCGAACGCTGAGCAATAAGATCAGCAGTCGACTAGGTATGTCTCCAGCACTTGGCGCAAATCGATATGGCCTTTACTAACACTATCAGGTCTCACACGTATCACATTTCCTGGTTACAATCACGAGCAACTTATGAGAATTATTCAGTCACGATTAGAAGGGGTTCCTGGAAACATTGTAGATCCAGACGCCATTCAATTCGCTAGTCGAAAGGTAGCTGCAGTCAGTGGTGACGCTCGAAGAGCCCTCGACATCTGCCGTCGAGCTGTCGAACTCGCCGAGGCCGACGCTCCCAGTGACCCGACAACTCCAAGCAAACGAGACCCCCAAACACAACCGAAAGGTTTAGGTCGTGTCACTATTGCAACAATTAAAAAGGCCATCAATGAGGCCACTTCAAATCCCATTCAGCAACATCTTCGCAGCCTCCCATTAATGTCCAAACTCGTCATGGCAGCACTCTTACTGCGCATCCGAAGAACAGGCCTAGGCGAGACGACGTTTGGCGAGACCCTGGACGAGATACATCGTGCCAGTCTTCGAGCTCCTGCGGCGCTTCCAGGTGTTGCAGCGGTTCTCGGCAACGGCCTGAAAGGAACGCAATTAGGCGGGCATCGCCCAATGATCCGACCTGGGCACATTCACACCGCGGCGCTCGAGTTGGTAGCGGCCGGCCTGATTAATCTCGAAGCTCAACGTGCGGAGCGATCAAGTAAGCTCCGTCTTTCGATTGCAGACGACGAAGTAAAGATGGCCCTCCGTGATGACGGAGACCTTAAGGCTTTGGGTATCGGTGTATAACAGCTGTAGTGTAATATAGAGCCAGAAAGAAGAACATCCCACGACAATTTATCATGAATTAAAAATAATACCACCTCTTATGCGCTTAAAATTTCCTTCTGCCCAGAGTTGGCTTCCATTCTAAAGGATGCGACTCCTCTGTTGCTGTCTCGTCCTGCTTCCAGATTTTGACTGTGAAATTGTTAGAAAAATGAAGTCGCAGGAGGTTGAGTCGGGAGACAACATACTTGTTTTATCAGCTTCACCGCAAATCAGACGCAGACCAGAGCGATCAAAAGTTGAACTCATAATGCCTGCTTCGGCGTCCAAAGAACCGGGTTGAGCGGTAGTATCAAGAGACTGGAATCGATGTCCAGACTTCCAATCCCAGAAGCTCATGGATCCATTGTCACCTAAAATTTATGTTAGCCGACTTATCGCAACCATGTCCAGAATATGCTGTGCCACTTACCTCCTGTGAAGAGAACGTTCTGTTCGTTGACGCTCATGGTGTTGATGATAGCGTTGTGGCCCTCAAAATTCTGCATAAAAGCACCCTCAGGGCACTTCCATTGCTTGACGCTCCCTGTGCTACCACTGGCAAATGTAAACTCTGAAGGATGCGTTGCAAGGGCTCGGACACCCTTCTTGTGGTGGGTGAGCACGCCCATTGTCTTGCCGGCCGCCAAATCCCAGAGTCGTACTGTAGAGTCCAGAGATCCGGTGATGACTTGAGGGTCGGCTTCTTGGCAAACGAGGTCGGAGACGGTTTGAGTGTGGCCTGAGAGAACGTGGATATTGCTCCTTGTTCGCATATCCCATACACGAGCCACACCATCTCGACCACCGGTGACGAGAACATCGAGCGTGGGATGCAGAGCCAGAGTGTATACACCACTCAGATGTCCGTGGTAGTGGCGAATGACCTTGTTTGTTTCGAGATCCCAGCACTTGACCATCTTGTCTTCACCGCAGGAGAAGAGGTATGGATGACGAGGTGACACGGCCAGGCCACGAACAGTGCTGATATGTCCAGTAAGTGTCAATCGCAACGAGCCAGTCGCCAAATCCCAAATCTTGATAGTTCGATCACCAGCGCCACTGGCAAACCACTTGTTGCCAGGCTCGACAGCCAGACTGCGCACCCAGCCCAGATGTCCCGAGATAACTCTCATCAACTTCCACGGCGCGTGCCATTCGGGCTTCGGCTGCTGCATAGCCTGCGCTCCTCTCATCGTAAGACTCATATTCTGCGGTGTGCTCTCGCTTCTAGCCGCTGATCCAGCAGCCTTGCCTGAGCCAGGCGCACCCTCAAGGAGCTTCATAGGTGGTCGAGCAGGGCCACCGGCCTTCACAAGTCTCTTTCCGGGCTGTTTAGTCGGAAGTTTCGCGGTAATCGAAGGCGGTAGAGTCTCGACATCTGCGTATTCGTTGCGGAAGCGTCTCTTCATGATGGGATCTTCGGACGCGTCGTCTAGCTTCTGGCGCTTGGTGGTTGATTGCTCGGGGACGTGGGCGTGTGCGTATAGTGTTCTCGAAACAGTGGCATTTTGCGCGGCGAGAGCGCTGAGCTGGAGCGCATCTTGGGGGACTTCTGGCGTTTCCATTGTGATAATATGGTTGTTTTTGCGACCAAAAAAAAGAAATTCTATGGTCGTTGGAAAAGTTGATGTTGAGGTCTAGGAGATCTCAAAAGTTGCGACTGGAACGTGTAAAGGCTGGGCAGCCGCGTGTGGCGCAGAAGATCAAGCGCCACACTGTGGCTAACAGCTGTACCTGTAACTGTACCTAGGTACTATGTAGCTTATAGCGGATGAGTGGCCTACGTAAGGTCAGTTACAGCCTACTAATATTCTATCCTGTGCTACATGTTTTTTACATGTTCACCTGAACAACATCTCCATCATTTCGCTTTATTCTTCTCTTCCTTTACTCGTTTGTTTCCATTCTTCGTCGCAAAGATGGATAAAGAAGACAAATTTCCTCTTCACACGGCTGCTCGTGAAGGGCGAGGTGAGCTACTATTCAATTACACATGCATGACTACCTACCTAGGATATGTCACTAACAAAGGATGGTAGTAACCATAGCTGAAGGACTACTTAAGGTCAGAGCTCAATCTCCTTTCAGTATGTATTATGAGAAAAATTAAGTATTTATTTCTCGTATAGTCAGACCCAAAACTATCGCAGCGCAAAGATGATGATGGCCGGTATCCCATTCATTGGGCGGCCTCTTCAAACAACTTCGATATCGTTCAGCTGCTGGCCAACCAACAAAGTTTCGATGCTGATGTCCAGGTTAGTCATAATGCCTCGTCTTGGCATGTATGTCAGAAGTAACTTGGCTTAGGACGAAAGTGGATGGTCTCCTCTCATGATCTCAGCCAGTGTCCCCGATAGTGAAACTGTTCTCAAGCTCATTATCTCCAAAGATGCCGACGTGAACCTCAAGAGTAAGACCCAGGTAATCACCATCACACCCTGTTTATACTGATTATATTCTATAGACTCCGCGGGACAGGTAAACTTTACTTTTAACAGTCACATCCGTGAACTAACCTGAACAAACAGACTGCCCTCCACTTTGTATCTTCCAAGAAGAACCTCGACATCGGTCGCATTCTCATCGACAACGGCGCATCTACTCGAGTTCGCGACCGCAGGGGCCAGTATCCAATCCACCGCGCAGCTGCAGCTGGTTCTGTACCCATAGTGAATCTCCTGCTCAAGAACAAGAGCCCATTGAACCCTGCAGATAACGAGGGATACACTCCCCTGCACCACGCAATTGCAGAAGGCCACGGTGAGCAAAAATCCTTTCGAAATCGTCATTGCGGCCGTCGCTTATCATACTCTCATCCCCAGGAGACACTGCTGTTGCACTCCTAAAAGAAGGCGCAGACTTTACCCTCAAGACTAACGCAGAGGAGCTAGCAATGGATCTTGCACCAGACAAGGAAGTACGTATTAATCTAAAACACAATCAACATAAACTTCTGACCACTCTCGTCTTTCCGTGCAAGACTATAACCCCCCATCTAACGCTTTGCCTACAGGTACGGCGATATATCTTACAAGGTGCCGAGCGCGAGGGTATCGAGTTGTCGGGGTAGCTAGGAATACATGCCAGAAAAAGAAGAGCAAGACATTACAACCATCTCTACGTCTAAGCTGTATGATATGAAAGAGAAACTAAGACCCCTGCCTTTTCTTATTTCATCACAGTCCGTTCCACCAGCTCGCGATACATATCCTTGACGTCCTGAACGTCGGCTTTTAACTCCTCAACGAGCTCGGACTTCTCGCCCAACATCTCTAATGTAGTCTGGTATCGCGAGTTGATGTTCTCCACCTCTTCTTCTAATTGTGTCACCCGCACTGTGGCCCCCTTTTGTGTTTCCAACTCCGTCATGAGGTTCACGATATCAGATCGCGCCTCGTCTCGCTGGCTGCATACACGGACCATCTCTTCCTTTGCAGCCACCTTCTCGGCTTCTAGTCTTCGAATCGCCGCGCTCATTCTCTCGACGAGCTGAACTGAAGGGCCAGCCCCAACTGTTGATACCGAAACCATGTCTTGGGCCATGTTGCGCGGTGGTGAGGGATCACCGTCATCAAGACCATCATCGCGGTCTAGTGGTGGTGATGCGGCGCGTGGTGACTCGCTAGGTGGCTCAAAGGGCGAGAACGGGGTCGGTGGAGGTATCATAGGCCCAGTAGTAGATAAGGCACTAGGACGAGGAGGTTGGCTTGACATTCTTCGACCGAAAAAGAAGCCATCGCCTGCACTGTCGGTCTGGCTTCCTGGTGTAGGTACCCGGCGCGGCTGTCTCCCTGGCACAGGAAGGCCAATAAAGTCTGAACTAAAGGTCCGACTGACAGAGAGTAACGGAGAATCGGGTCTGCTCTGGGACCTGGGCGTACTCGTAGCAACATCGTCTGCCCATTGCCTTCGTTCAGCCTCGGCAGACGCTTCTCTAGCCGCTGCTCGTTGCTGCTTCTCAATGTCATTACGTGCTTGTTCAAGTGCTGTTTCGGCGCTTGTGAGTTGGGTTCTGAGTGTAGCAAGCTCCTCGCGACAGGCCTCGAGCTCCTTATGAGCCGAGGTGAGAGCTGGACTGACGTCCTGCAGTTCATCTTCGAGACGCTTACAGCGACTGGCCTAGGGAGATGTCAACAATAGCGCCTCTCATAAGTGACTAAGATATGCGACTTACCGAGTCACGAGCCTTCTTCCGCATTTCTGACTCTCGTCGTTGTGTCTCGTCCCTCTCCTTTTCCAGGTTGGCCGCTTTGGTCAAGAGTGAGGTTTCGATACCTTGCCAGTTCTCGCTGGCTGAGGCATACTGCGATTGGAGGGTCTCAATGTGTCGTATCAACTTGATGTCGCCTCCTGATCCTGCAGAAGCCTCTTCGGCCGCCACTCGCATCGCCTCGAGTTTTCCTTCTGCTGCTCTCAGCTCCAACTTCAACTCATCCTCAACATTTCGCCCGCGCTCTACAGCTCGGTCCAGCTTTTCTTGCCACTCCACCTCCGTGAATCGCAACTTTTCTATTAGGGCCTCTTTTTCCGATCGCAATGTCGCGATGGTGTTGTCGAGCTCTTTCTGTCGCTTCTTTTCGGTGTCCAACGCTCTGGTTAGAGCCTCAGTGTGCGCAGTCTGTACTTGTTCAGCTTTGGCTTTGGACTGTTGCTCCAACCGTCGGTATGCTTCGTCTTTTGCTGCCTTGTCCTTTTTGAGCACATCAATCTCCTTTTGGAGCGCGGCGCTTGCTTTTCGGACCTCATCATTCCTCCTTTCTTGCTCTTCCTTACTGCTAATTCGACTTCGTAGCGTCTCGGCCTCGGCAGCAGCCTTTTCCTTGTCCTTATTGAGCTCGTTGGCCTGCCTCTCGTTTTCGGCGATCTGTGAGCGGAGTTTACGTATAGTTGTTCGGAACTTTTGTTCCGAAGTGGAAAGCTTTTGTCCCTCCTCCATTAACAGAGCAATCTTTTCATCCTTCTCGGCCAATTTCCTCTCTACACTTCCTGCATCGGCCGAGTTTGCTGCTTGCTTAGCGGCATCCGCAGCATTTTTGGATAGAAACTGCAGTTTTGCCTGCAGTGAATCGATCTGCTCAATGTACTCTTGGACCTCTTCCAATCGAGCTTTGTCAGCTTGGCTGGTATCCTGGTCCTTCTGCAGTGACTCGACAGGGGGATGCGCAGCTTGTTGGGTCCCGGTAGGCTTGCTGGTATCTGGTTCATCGTTTGTAGGCGTCGGCTGCGCTTCAGACTTGTCTGCGACCTCTTGTGTTGGAGCATCTTGAGGTTCAACATTAGATGGTGGCTCAACAATGATAGGTGTAGGAATATCGCGGCGGAGATCTTGGTCGCTTTTATCTTTGTCTTCGACTTCTTCAGATTCCGGATTCTGTTCTTGTGCAGGCGGACAAGGTGGCTCGATTGCGGGAGTTGGCACCTCGGTAGGGGTCTCGGGCTCAGCTGGCTTAAGTTCTGGCGTGTCGGTACTTTGTCTTGTGATGACAGGTTCAGTGCTAGAAGGACGTTCTTTATCCACAGAGCCACGAGCTGTGTCAATGGAGCTACGTGGGGAGGATTGTGAGGTTCGCGAAGCTATAGCTTTGGCCAGCCTGGCTTGTAGACGGTCATTGGCGCGATTCGGTTTTGGGGCTACAGCTATAAAAACAAGTCGAGTCAGAATGCGACAGCTCCATTTGCGCCCGGAATAAGCCAAACGAAGAGAAGCGACGTACTAGGAGTGGTAGGTTTAGGACTCGGTGACGGTGATGGTACAGGCGTGGCCTTCATTCCTTGCTGTTGCTCGTACTGCTGCCCTCCTTGTGCCGCCTGTTGCTCTTCGTCAAGTAAGTTATCGAGACGATTCTCAACGCCCTCAAAGGCTGAGGAGAGGAATGCTCCCCATCGCGACCCTTTGCCTGGCGCAGACATGGTGACGAGGGCCGATTTGTTGGGTTCTACAGCTTGTCGCTCGTCAACTGATTGACGTGGTCGCTAATGGTCACCTCATCGGTTGTTCGATCGTGTATATAGGGCTGCGGAGAAGCAAGCGCAGGGCTTGGAGGCGGTTACGAGGGCGGAATAATATGTAATGCAACAGTATCTATCGTGGGTGGTTGAAAGAGGTGGATGGTTGCAGGGGAACGTTTGTTCAAGGCTGGCTGAGGTGTCGTCAGCGTAGGTTAGTAGGCAACTTGTGAGTGGCATGTACCTGAATGTTAGTGGGCGGTAAGTGGAGTTGTGTGAGATGGACATGGACGGGTCTGTCTATCCGTAGACTGGGGGGGGGGGGGGGGGGGGGGGGGGGGGGGGGGGGGATGATACAGTGAAATGAGACAGGCTATTATAGGTAATAATAATAATGATAATGTGTTTCCAAGAAGCTGGAGCATAAGCATATCACTCTTCCATAGGTATTTGAATTGAACACTCGGTGGAATGTTGAGTCGTGCATTGTCGCTAATAACGTCCCTCGAAAGCTTGTGTAAGTCGAGTCAACGCACTCTGTACACTCATGTAACAAATCAATTTACTCTAAATAACAGGCTACCATATCTCCCTCATCCCTCTTCTGTTTCCTGGGTATACTTGTCGTACAACACCTCTATTGAGCCTCCAAATAAAATAGTCAGACAACAGTCCAAGCACAGCGCAGCACAGCACATACATACTAAGTACATTCATACTTCACATACAAGACCAAGACTGAAAACTCAATCCCAAATAACCCAATGCTAGAAAATCCATCCTTCAAAATACTCCATCCCAATGTGCCGTGCCCTTGATAATGTCACGCCAAAACCCAAACACCTACCGACCTTGTTGGTGGCAGTCCGTCATATTTGTATCAACCAAACCGATACTGACAAAACCATGCAAATAGCAATAGTTGAAACACGCTCGCTCAAAATGACTTTCATGCATCGTTTGTTTGTTTGTTTGCTTGTTTGTTTGTTGGTTCATCCATCATCTCTCACTTCTCACTTCTCACTTCTCACCTAGTATCGCTCATCGCTTAATCTTCTTCCACCAACTTGTTCGAGGAGCTGCTGTGTCAACAACATTTGACGTCCGACGGCTGTGATGTCGCTCATCACTACCTTCTGAACGCCTGTCTCGATGGCGGTCTTTATCACGGACACCGCGCTCGCGTTCTTCTCGTTTTGCTCGTCGCCGTCGCCGTTCTTCGGATTCTTCTGGTGCATCGTCTCCAGGCTTCGATCGGTGCTGAGCTCGACGTGCTTCACGTCGTGCCATATCATCTTCGGTTTGTCCGCCGTTCGCATCAGCTGCTTCGCCGTTGATGGGCGGTGGTGCATCCGAGTGCTCCTTAACCCACGACGAGGTTCCAGAGTGTGGCCAAGCTGGCGGTTGCTGCCTCTCTTCGCGGCGACGAGGCTTTCGTTGTTGGTTATATTCGTCGGCAGATTGCTGGCTTCTTCGCTGCTGGCCGTCTTCCTCTTCTGCAACTCGAGCGGCTCTCCTTGCCTCACGATGGCGCCGATCCTCGGGGACTTCGGCCTGCCGAGGTCGTCGACGATCACGTTTCGCAGCTCGACGAGCCTCTTCTTCCTCTTGCTCTGCGGCAGCTGCGGCCTCTTGCTCTCTGCGCAAGCGCCTACGCTCCGCTCTTTGAGCCTCCTTGTCTTCTCGCGCTCGCTGCTCTTCCCCCGCTTGTCGCTCTGCATCACGCTGCCGCGCAGCTCGGCGTTCGGCCCGGCGCGCATCCTTTTCTTGTCTTTGGGTGCCGGCCTCGTCCTCGCCACCACGTTGTCGTCGTCGTTCGCGTCGCGCTTCCTCTCGAGCCCTACGAGCATCTTCTTCAGGGTCTTCAGCAACTTCTCGTTCGGTCCGTTTGGCCCTGCGTGCAGCACGTCTTGCTTCTCGATCAGCATCAACAACAACGGCATCGCCGTCCATTTTTGTACTGCGCAAGGCTTCGTCGTCGGTTGTCGCATAGGTACTGCGACGTCGGAGAGGATCAGGGCGTTCGCTCTTGGGCGTTCTTAAGCCACTGAAGAGACCAGCGAATCCCGGCTTCTTAGAGCCTCTCGGAAGAGGTGTGTCAAAAGGAACATCAGGTGCGACCATGACGGGTTCCTCGTCTCGGGATCTCTTGGCTCGGTGTCGCTGTTCGCGTGGGTCAGGCGTGATAAAGTCATCCCCCATAACCTCTTCATCCTCTCGAGATCGTGGTTTATGAGACCGACGGCGCTCGCGTCTGTCAGTCACGGGTTCAGGGTCAACCATGACTATATCATCGTCTTCACGCGATCGTGGCTTGTGCGAGCGACGGTGCTCGTGCCTCTCAGGCACAGCACCAGACATCATAGCATCCTCGTCCTCGCGTGATCGAGTTTTACGTGACTTGCGGCGGCTGTTTGGTTCTTCCTCGCCCATGAGCATCTCTTCAGGAGGCGGCGATACCATACCACGAGCGTTTTCAGAATGGCGACGCTTGCTACCGCCAACATCCCTCTTTTCGCGCGTGGAAGTTGAGCGGGTGATTGGGGGTTTGTTGAATAGGCCGGTGCCTCGGGAACGCGGTGGAGTCTTCTCAGCCTTGTCCGATGACGACCCTTTGGATGATGTCTTCTCTTCACGCCTTCTGTATCTGCCCGACTTCTCCTGAGACATCTCATCCCTCTCCTCACGTGGAGTCGCTCCCCATTTGCCCCAGGAAGTACCTTCACGGGGGAGTTTAGGTCGGTCCCTTCGAGATTGCTTTGACTCAGGGGGAGGAGTGAGCGGAGGATCTGGAACAGGTGGTGGTAGAGGAGCATCACGGCGCGATTTGCTCTTTCTACTCTTCCTCTCCTTCTTCGGCGATAGGTCAATGACTTCAACAATCTCATCCTCTTCAGGCAGTTCAGGTTCAGCATCCTGAGGTGCTTCTTCGGGAGCAGCTTCGGGCTCCTCTTCATCTGCTTCAACTGCTTCATCGGCAACATCGTCTGCAGCTTCAGCGGGCTCTTCCTCCTCCTCCTCCTCTTCTTCTTCCTCTTCCTCTTCGTCCTCTTCGGGTTTCTCTTCTTCCTCTACTTCGGCGGCGGCGGCGGCGGCTGCTGCCTCTTTAGCTGCAAGTTCTTCGGCACGCTGAGCCGCATTGTCCTCCAGAGCCTTGAGTCGGTCAGCATCCTTTCTACCCAGTCTGCCTCTTCGTGCCTTCTTAGTCTTGAGGGACTCGAGCTCTGCTTCTTCGGCCTCGACCATAGCAGCAACCTCGGCTTCCCTTGCTGCCGCTGCTGCTTCTTCGGCCTCTCTCGCCGCCGTTTCCTCGGCCTCTTTTGCAGCTGCCTCGTCGGCGGCAGCATCTTCTTCTTCCTTGTCTTCCTCTTCCTCTTCCTCCTCTTCCTGTTCTTCCTCTGCTTCTTCTTCCTCTTCTTCCTCCTCTGCTTCGTCGACTTCTAGTACCTCCTTAGCTTTAGCAGCAGCCTCTTCAGCACGTCGAGCCGCGTTCTCCTCAAGTACTACAAAACGCTCGGTATCTTTCCTGCCCAGCCTGCCCTTTCTTGCTTTCTTGGCTTTGAGAGACTCAAGTTCGTCATCTTCGGCCTCAGCAATAGCAGCGGCCTCGGCTTCACGAGCTGCAGCTTCTTCAGCCTCTTGAGCTGCAGCCTCTTCGTCATCAGCGTCATCTCCCTCCTCCGCTTCCTCTCCCTCCTCATCTTCTCCTTCCCCTTCCCCCCCTTCCTCTCCCTCTTCCTCCTCAGGCTCATCAGCTTCAGGATCCTCTTCGACTTCGGCTTCAGCCTCGGCAGCGGCAGCGGCAACCTCCTTAGCGGCACGCTCTTCGGCACGTCGAGCAGCATTATCCTCTAGGATTCTAAACCGCTCTGTATCCTTTCTGCCAAGTCTGCCTTTCCTTGCCCTTTTAGCCTTAAGAGATTCTAGCTCCTCCTCTTCAGCCTCGGCAATAGCAGCCTCTTCAGCTTCCAGAGCTGCAGCCTCATCGTCTTCGGCATTCTCATCTTCCCCTTCTGCTTCAGGGGCAGGTTCTTCGACATCATCGTCCGCTTCCACCTCGAGCTCCTCTTCGATGGCTTCAGCTTCAGCTTCTGCTGCTGCTTCAGCCTCCTTGGCTGCTCGTTCCTCCTCACGTCTAACAGCGTTTTCTGTCAGAAGGTGAAACCTCTCAGTGTCCTTTCGGCCCAGTTTGCCCTTCTTTGCCTTCTTCTTGGCCAGTGCATCAAGCTCTGCCTGTTCCTCAGCAACGATAGCCGCTTCAGCTTCTTCAGCCTCCTTCGAACCATCGTCTTCAACCTCTGGGTCAGCAGCCTCCGGTTCGGCTTCAGGTTCAGGTTCAACTTCAGCTTCTGGCTCAACTTCTGGTTCAGCATCGGCAGCGGCAGCTTCCTCAGCTTCCTCAGCTTCTCGAGCTGCCGCTTCATCGGCACGCTTGGCAATATTGTCCATAAGAGTGTTAAACCGCTCGGTATCTGAACGACCTAATCTGCCCTTCCTGGCCTTCTTCTTGTTCAATGCTGCTAGCTCGGCTTCTTCTTCTGCGATAGCTGCAGCTAGGACCTCGGCCTCAGCGGCGGCAGCTTCAGCGGCAGCAGCGTCCTCTTCCTCACCTTCAGGTTCTGGCTCTTCAGGTATTCCCTCCTCCTCAAGATCACCGTCTTCAGCGTCCATAAATTCATCCTCTTCCTCCTCTTCCTCATTAGCCGGAGGTGCCTCTTCTTCGGCTTCTGCTGCCGCCGCTGCTGCTTCTGCTGCCTCCTGTGCTTCAGCTCGCCTTGCCGCATTATCCATAAGAGTGTTAAATCGCTCAGTATCTGAGCGGCCCAATCTGCCCTTCTTGGCCTTTTTCTTATTTAATGCAGCAAGTTCTGCCTCCTCCTCTGCAGCAATAGCCCGTTCCTCTGCTTCTGCGGCTTCTTTCGCAGCAATGTCTTCAGCATCAGGAATCTCCTCGAGCTCCGCTTCGGCAACCTCTTCGACCTCCTCGGCCTCGTCAGGTACTGGTTCTTCCACCTGGGCTTCGGCTTCGGCTTCTTTAGCCGCTTGCTCCTCTGCGCGCCTGGCTGCATTTTCGGTCAGGCTATCGAGACGCTCTGTATCCTTTCTGCCGAGCTTGCCCTTCCGATTCTTCTTTGCAATAAGGGCAGTTAGTTCTTCCTCTTCCTCTGCAGCGATAGCAGCGGCGATGGCGGCGGCTTCGGCCTCAATAGCAGCAGCTTCGTCGTCAACCTCGGCCATGTCTTCAGGCTCAGGTTCTTCAGCTGGCTCGTCGTCTTCTTCGACAACTTCTTCTGGTTCAGCCTCAGCTTCGGCTTCGGCTTCGGCTTCGGCCTCGGCGGCAGCAATAGCAGCAGCTTCAGCTTCCTTTGCAGCTTGTTCTTCAGCGCGCCTCGCAATATTCTCGGTCAAGAAATTGAAGCGTTGGGTATCCTTGTTTCCAAGTCTTCCTTTGCGAGCCTTCCTAGCCTCCAATGCATCAAGCTCTGCTTCTTCCTCTGCGGCAATTGCAGCGGCCTCGGCAGCGGCTTCGTCGTCAAGATCAGGGGCTGGGGCCTCGGGGGCTTCTTCGGCGAGTGCTTCAATTTCCGGAATTGGCTCCTCAAGCTCGTCTGGGACTGGTGGTTCTTCTTCAGCGGGTGCTTCATCAGCAGCAGCCTCAGCTTCGCGAGCAGCTTTTTCTCCTGCTCGTTGCGCAGCGTTTGTCGACAATTGGTCGAACCGGTCTGTATCTTTACGTCCCAGTTTCCCTTTCTTGTTCTTCTTGGCAACCAAAGCAGCGAGCTCTTCGTCTTCCGCCTCGGCAATAGCAGCAGCTTCGGCTTCAGCAGCCTCCCTAGCAGCCATTTCCTCCGCCTCAGCAGCCTCAGCTTCTTCAGCAGCGGCCGCTTCTTCCGCTTCTTGGGCTGCTTGTTCTTGAGCTTCCTTGGCGGCCTGTTCTTCGGCGGCTTGGGCATCCCTAGCGGCCTTGTTGTCGGCTAAGAAATTGAAGCGATCAGCATCCTTGCGGCCCAATTTTCCTTTTCTCTCCTTCTTTGCCTCCAAGGCGACCAACTCCTCTTCCTCCTGAGCAATGGCGGCCGCGGCCTCGGCGTCAGCAGCCACCATTGCAGCCTCCTCGGCGGCAGCGGCGGCTTCAGCTTCTGCAGCTTCTACAGCTGCAGTTTCGGCGGCGGCGGCTTCGGCAGCAGCTTCCTCAGCTTCTCTACCTGCTTGTTCCTCGGCTCTCCTGGCATCATTCTCTAGGAGGAGGTTGTATCGATCGGTATCCTTCTTACCTAACCTGCCTTTCCGAAGCTTCTTTGCGTCCAGGTCTGCTAGCTCTTGCTCCTCGGCAGCGATCACTGCAGCAGCTTCAGCTGCTGCTGCGTCTTCTTCTGGTTCCGGGGGGGCTTCTTCATCGGGCGGTGGTTCTAGAGCTTCTTCAGGAGGTGGTTCTTCGAGATCTGCCGGAGGGTCGTCTGCAACTTCAGTTTCGGCAGTAGCCGCGGCTTCTTCTGCTTCCCTGGCGTCTTGCTCCTGGGCAGCCTTTTCAGCTCTCTGAGCGGCGTTCTCGGTAAGAAGAGCAACTCGGTCGCTATCCTTTTTACCTAGCTTCCCTTTTTTATTCCTCTTAGCAATCAGGGCAGCTAACTCCTCTTCCTCTTCAGCAGCGATAGCGGCAGCGATAGCAGCAGCCTCAGCCTCGATAGCGGCAGCTTCATCATCAGCCTCAGTGACTTCGATGATATCGGCCTCTACGACAGCAGTGTCCTCAGGCTCCTCCTCGACCGGTGGATCTTCAGCTTCTGGGACAGCAGCTGCTTCAGCAGCCTTCTCGGCCCTTTGAGTGGCGTTTTCGGTAAGAAGAGTAAATCGATCGCTATCCTTTTTGCCTAGCTTGCCCTTTTTGGTTTTCTTGGCAGTCAGAGCAGCCAGCTCACCCTCTTCTTCGGTCACAACTGCTGCCTCTGCCTCTGCAGCCTCCCTAGCAGCAGCCTCTTCGGCAGCGGCTGCTTCGGCAGCGGCTGCTTCGGCGGCGGCTGCTTCTTCAGCTTCAGCTTGCGCCGCGGCTTCAGCATCTGCTGCGGCTTGTGCGGCTGCTTCTTCTTGCGCTGCTTTCTCAGTTCGTTCTGTTGCAATTGCAGTAAGAAGATTAAACCGATCAGTATCCTTCTTGCCAAGCCTGCCCTTCTTCTCTTTCTTAGCGACTAGAGCAGCAAGCTCGGCTTCCTCTTCTGCGATAGCAGCGGCTTCAGCTTCCGCTTCGGCAGCTGCGCTTGCGTCAGGATCGACGACATCGATAAGAACCTCATCCGCAACAGGATCAGGGGGTGGTTCTTTAATTTCGGCCTCGGGTGTAGGAGTCGAATCTTCAGGTTGCTCGGTAGTTTCTGCTGCGGCGCGAGCTCGTGTTTCTGCGTTTTCGGACAAGATGGCAAATCGTTCGGCATCTTTCTTCACCAATTTGCCCTTCCTGACCTTCTTGGTAGCCAATGCAGCTAACTCAGCTTCCTCTTCGGCAATAGCAGCCGCCTCAGCTTCGTGGGCGGCTGCAGCCTCTGCGGCAACTGCTTCTGCTTCCCTTGCAGCCTGCTCCTCAGCTTCAGCGGCCGCGCTGATTGCTGCAGCCTCGTCGGCCTCCTTAGCAGCTTGTCGTTGCGCAGCATTCTCTATTAGAACATTGAGACGGTCGGCATCTTTTTTAACGAGCTTTCCTCTCTTAACCTTCTTCGTAGTAAGAGACGCAAGCTCTGCCTCTTCGTCGGCGATAAGGATAGCCTCTGCATCGCTTGCTGTCAATGCATCTGCTTCGGCCGTGTTTGCTGCTGCTACTGCTGCTGCTGCCTCTTCCGCTGCGGCTGCTGCTGCGGCTTCGGCTTCAGCGGCTTCAGCAGCCTCCCGTGCAGCTACCTCCTCGACTTCCCTTGCTGCTTGTCGCTTTGCAGCATTTTCGGTAAGAAGATTGAACCTGTCCGTATCCTTTTTGCCAAGCCTACCCTTCCTCACCTTCTTCGCTTCTAAACTAGCCAGTTCCGCGTCTTCTTCTGCAACAACGGCTGCATCGGGTCCTGGTGCAGGTTCAGATTCAGGTTCGGGTTCAGGTTCGGCCGGCATGGCGTCTGCCTCGGCGGGTGGTTCCTCAGGGGCCGGTTCAGGTGCTGCTTCGACGGGTTCCTCCGGGCTTTCTGGGGCTGCTTCTATTGGCGCTACCTCCGCGACTTCTTCAGCTTGTTTGGCTGCTCGTTCGGCTCGTTCTGCAGCCCTTTGGGTAAGAACATTGAAACGCTCCACATCCTTCTTCTTGATTAGATTACCACCTCGCTTGATCTTCTTCGCAGTCAGATCTTCAAGCTCCTTATCCTCTTCAGCAGCGACTGCAGCCTCTGCATCGCGCGCAGCTGCCTCTTGAGCCTGACGAGCAGCTTGTTCCTCAGCTTCACGAGCGGTGGCCTCCTCGGCTTCTTTGGCAGCCTGCGCCGCGGCAGCTTCCTCAGCCTCTTTGATAGACTTTGCCTGAGCTCGCTTGACAGACTTGCCGACCAAGGCCATCAACCGGGTTGTTTCGGTCTTCGTAAGCTTCACTTTTTTGGCTTTCTTAGCTTTGAGAGCAGCCATTTCCTCATCTTCCTTGGCGGCTTCCTCTGCTTCAGCATCCAACGCAGCTTGGGCTGCAGCGTCGGCTTCCGCTGCTGCTTGAGCTGCCGCTTCGGCTTCTGCTGCTGCTGCTTCTGTTGCTGCGGTGGCGTCAGCTGCGTCCTTAGCCGCCTGTTCCTCTGCTTCCCTAGCTGCTTGCTCCTCATTTCTTTTCGCTGCGTTGTCAATAAGGGAGTTCAGTCGCTCTTGTTCCTTCTTCAGAAGCTTGCCCTTCTTCACCCCCTTCGATTTCAGAGCTTCCATCTCAGCATCTTCCTGCGCGATCTCAGCAGCGAGGACTGCTTCTGCTTCTGCAGATGCTTGTGCAGGGTCAATTTCAACAATCTCTTGGACAGGTTCGTCAAGAAGATTCTCCTCTATGATAGCGGCGGCGGCAGCAGCTTCGGCATCGCGGGCGGCCTGAACTTCGGCCCTCCTGGAGGCATTTCCCTCGAGAAGAGTCAGGCGCTCTTGATCCTTCCTGAGTAACTTACCACCTCGTTTCTCCTTCTTCGCTAGCAATGCCGCCATCTCCTCGTTTTCTTTTGCTGCTTCAGCGTCTTCAGCGGCTTGCAAAGCGGCCGCCTCGGCATCGGCTGCAGCTTGAGCATCGGCGACAGCTTGCTCCGCCTCAGCAGCTGCTGTCGCCTCGGCCTCGCGAGCAACGCGAGCCTCAGCCCTTGTAGCAGCATTACCTTCAAGCAGAGCCAATCGGTCCCGATCCGCCTTAAGTAGTCTTCCTCCTCGCTTCGTCTTCTTATCCAAGAGACTTGCAATCTCTTCATCGTCGCGAGCAGCCTCTGCGTCTTCTGCTTCACGGGCAGCTTGCTCTGCAGCATCTCTCGCAGCTTGCTCTGGGTCTCCTATCCGGGACACTGGTTCAGCAAGTTCTACGAAAGGGGTTAATGGCATTGAGGGAGGCAGTGAAGAAGGCTTCACTTCGAATTTGACCTCTTGGTGTTGGAAAATGTAACCCCAATCCGGTCATCTTCTTTTTTGTGAATTACCCTGCTCCCTACACCTTCCCCGTTGCACAAAGAGTCATCTTACCGGTGGTATCAATTAAGAAGTCGTGCGCGCTAGGCCTTTGGTTGTCTATTGATCCCCGAAAAGCATGGTTAGGAACATCGGCGCCAGAAGTTTTAAAATCGAACGGGTCGGCGTCCGGTTTCTTGGGCTTCTTGCCAAAACCCCAAGAATCGAGGAAGTCGTCGGTGCCAACAGCCTCGACGGGATCAGGGGCAGGAGGAGGAACTTCATCCTCCAATTGAATCAAGTCGCCAGCTTTCTTCTTCTTCTTACCTGTTCCCCATAGATCCCAACCGTCGTCTTGTATCTTGGGCGGCTCTGGGAGATGATGAGCTTTAGAGAAATTTGACTCACATATTTCATCCTCACCTTTCTTACCCAATCCTCCTAATAATCCCCAACCGCCCGAGCTTTCCTCCACGGGTTTCGCCTTACCTGTACCAAAAGTGCTCCAAAAGTCGTCACCGTCGTTCTTGTCTTCAAAGGATGGCGGGTCAGGGGCTGGTGCCGGTATTCCGTCCTGAGAACCCCAAAGCGAACTTTGGTTGGTATCCTTCTTGCCAGACCAACCGCCCCATTGGTCCTCCATTGAAGGAGGGTCTGGTGCAGCTGCTAAGGCGACTGATTCCATAATTCCCTTCTTCTTTGCTCGGTCCTTTTTAGATATTCCCCATGTATCCCATATATCTTTCCTTCCACCGGGACCAGCAGGCTCGGGCTCCAGGTCGAGTTCTTCCAAGATACCACCGGCCTTCCCCTTCTTCTTTTGACCACTCCAGCCCCAAGGATCATCGCCTATCTTAGGCTCCGGCTCCGCGTCAGGTTCGGCGCCCCAAAGCGTAGATGGTTGCTTTTCCTTCTTCTTTTTGGCACCAAACCCCCAAGCATCTTCGTCATCTAGACCGTCTGGTGGGTCCTTGGGCTTATCCCAGGGATTGTCTTCTGCTTTCGTTTCTGGTGGTGCTGGGGCTGGTGGTGGTGGCGGCGGTGACTGGCTTTTTCCACTTCCACCCCATCCCCATCCACCACCGCCGAAGCCCAGTTTCGCACCCCATGAACTTGAAATCCCCTTATTTTCTGGAGGACTCAGCCCATTGTCGTGTTTGTCTTCTCCTCCTAGGTTGATATTCTCGAAAGTCGTGGGGGGCTTTGGCGGCGGCCCGTTTCCACCGTTGCTGCTGTTGCCGCCGTCGTTTCCATCGCCAGCGCCACCCGCAGATTCACCTCCGCTTGCTCCTCCATCACTTCCAACATTATCGTCTTTTTTTCCATCGTCTGCCGGTGGAGCCGCAGGGGGAGGCGGCGGTGGTGGAGGAGCTGAGGGCGTTTTCGCCTTGGTCTTCTTCTTTGCAGCTTCTACGAAGCCTTCATTCGAATTGAAGTCGATAAGGAGTTCGGATGTGGGGTCGGCAAGGAGGCCATCCTTCGGTCGGCGACGCTCTTTTTGCGCATCTGAGGGTGGCAGAGGTGATGAATTAAGCCATGATGGGAGTCGTCTGTTAGCGAAACGGCCTGTGCCGTCAATAGGCATTGTGGTGTCGGTGGGGGTGGAAGTGTCGCAAGATTTAGGTAGGCGACGATACCATCGTGGTGAGTGATTCGGGACTATTAACGGCCTCTCGGCCACTTTGCGATGTGATGGTGAAGAAGGAACCTAAACAAGGTGAATGACGTTAGATGAGACAGACTTTCAAACGTGTTTACAATTCCGGCACGAGATCACTTGTCAGGAATGGGTGGCGGCGGATTCCCCCTAAGTTGGGGCCGCCGATCGAGGGGTCGGCCGTTAAACGCCACCCATTTAATTTGTTAAGCTTCGTGGAGGTCATAACGCGTAGGGGAAAAAAGTGACAATGTGTAAAATTGCGATTTTAGCAGCTGGCCAATGAACAAAAACATACATTTTTATTTAGTCTTTGCACAACCCACGCGCGGGCAATAAGACTCAGTCGGCGGTGTAGAGAGTACTCAAGCGACGCACTCGGCAAGCATTGTGCGATCGACGAGCCATGTGTGCTTTTTGTCCAACTGTCCGTAAATGCAAGAACATCGGCCGCGGCCATTGTGAAGAAGGGAGCTCGTGCAAAGACGGAGCGACGTCACACACATGGAAGCTGTGAGTAGAGTGAGAACAGAAGGCGACGAGTTATCGACAAGTGAGCCCCGGCGCAAAACAAAACAAAAATGACAATGCTGAAGTTGAAGCTGAATTTCGTTGCCAAAAGAATTCGTAGTGGTCGTGAGAGATTTCGTGTAAGTCGTGAAACGAAGCGATGAAGAGCGCGAACGGTGAGGGGTCTCGGGTTTGTGATCAAGGATGGGTGTCGTATCGAATGCGACCTGGTGATAAAGGCGCAGAGGTTTTGTCGAGCTTGTTGAAAATGCTAAGGCGATGGATGACGCGCTAGTAAAAAATAGAAGTCGTGTAGTTGAAAAGACGAAGAATTGAGGCGTTGCCGAGTCGAACGAGAGTGTAGTCGAAAGATAACTCTCCCGGGGTACTTGATTAAACAAACCCTGGGGCAAACGACTATCACTTTTTTACCAACCACCCCCAGTCGTCGGATCGTCGTGGTCTGTTGGCTACTTTTCGGGGTCCTGCGGTGCACGCTGTGTAAATAAATGAGCTGAGTCGTTGGGGGGAAACCAGGACCGCGGGCCACTCTGGGCAAGGTCAAGTATGCGAATAAGTTTGTCTCGAATACGGAAAATATTTGATGTAAAAGGGAAAAAAGAGGAGGGGAGGATTCACTGTGACGAACAGCAAATGATTTGCAGGATAACCGAAGACAAGGCAAGGGAAGGTATACAATACCTTTTTAGGCGCTCCAGGCCAAGCAAGACCACGGGCACGACGAATTGGTTGAGCTGGGAGCCAATAATTAACGCTAGATTCGCTTGCTCAGATCGTCGGGCAGGCGAATTGCTCGATGTTGTAGGTTGTACTTGGACGATGCGGCAAGGCGACTGGTTGATGGGTAGTCTGTACTGTAGGTAGAAGGTAGAATGATGGAATGGAATAGCCAGGATACCTACTAGGTAGGTAGGTACATAAAGCAATGAATGAATATGGATGTTCAGTCCGGTCAGGCAACAAGAAAAAGGGCGGGCAAACGCGGGAGCAAGAATAGGTAGGTAGTCTACAGTATGGACAGCACTAACAGCAGGTAATGTAATCAATGCTGTAGCAATAGCAGCGCTGAAAGCAAGGCAAGGGACGTGCCCTTTTCTTTTAGTTACTGGTTGGGTATGGATACTCGTTAGAGGTGAGCAATAAACTAAACGCGCCGCCACAGACAGTAGAAGGTGGGTAATAATAAGAAACTCGAATACAGAGTCACTCTGAGCCTCATAGTATAAGTTGAACAAGATGAGGGACAGACAACAAGATACCAGCATCTAATGATGAGTATTGAATGAAATCTGCAAACATCAATACTCATTGTTTGTTCTCAAGCCACAGGAACAGTCACAAGTCACAACAGCCGTCCATGCAGTATTGGCCACACTCATAACCCAACAATGGATCACTATCACTATCACCAGACCCAAGGCCCATACCATCAACCAAAGTGCACCCTCTTTTTTCAACTCGTGCACACCCTCTCAGTCCTCCCTTGAGAACCCCGTGCCACCTAGAGAGAGAGAGAGGTAAAATCCTTTCCAAAGTCTCGACTTTTGAGCCAGTCACTTTTGCAGGTCGACGACGTCAAGTCGTGCATGCTCATCAAACCTCCACTACCCGCTATAAACTTATAGGGATGTACGTAGTAGTCATCATCTGTCGTGTTACTATGTTACGTGTGTGTACATATGTGTTGTGTTGTGTCGTTGCACGCACATGCACGTACGATCCACTCGATCCAGGTTAGCCTATTAGGCGAGAGCTTGTTGATTCTGATGCAGGTCTGCAAGGTCAGGCCGCACCGCAAAAGCGTGGTTGGATGATGCATCATGCATGAGATCCCCTCCCCTCGAGGTACAAAGTTGGTGAAGCCCAATGACATCTCGAGCTTCTGGTCGGCCCAGCCACCCACATCTCACTTTGTGATTTCCACTAATTAGAGCAGAGAGGGACGTAGGGAGAGTGGCAATGCCTGAAACCCATCCCATTAAAGCCATGCGTGCCCAACGTTGGATGCTTCCACTTTGATCATGCTACCTATGATAACCTTCCAGATGCATTTTGCACAGCGTTATACGGAGTAGGCCCTATTAAGAGTCAAGACAACATGTTGACTTATGTGCTGCACAATCGCTGGTTTATTATCAACGCCTCGCACAGAGTACATCAGAATCCAACAGACGAGGGCTCGGGTCGTTCGATCTTTGTGACATCATGCAGGGCTTGTACGACAGGCGATTATCGACCACTTTGAGACAGAGACGAGGTATATAGGTACTTAGGTAGGCATTTCCTGTTACCTTTACCTCAAGGCTCAAGGGGACACACGATATGTCTCACTAGGACAACTTCAGTATTCTTTACATGTCGCTGCATGTCGAGGAAATGGGGTCCAACCAACACATGCATATACTGCGTACATGTACATACATACCTACGGGACGGAAGGGTAAGGTAAGGTAGGGCAAGGCAAAGTTCATTCTCAGCTTTGGAGACTTTCTGCGGTAAACGTCCCGTTCCCGTTCCCCGCGTCTTTCCAGGCTTCCAGATTTCCATGTTCTTTGCTCCCATTCAGCCTCGGACAAGTTTTGTGGAACTTCTTGGTGATATATGGTTCCCAGGGCGACCGCAATTAGCCAAGAGCTGTCTCCAAAGATCACAAGGCTATTATCACTCTGCACTAACGGGCAATTGGAGGAGCGGGTATGGAAGGGCCCGAACAAGGCTAGAGGCTAGAGGCTAGAGGCGAGGACGCCGATAGCTTTACTTTGGCGATGGAACGCATTCACGTTTATTGGGTTTTCGGTACAGAGTACATGGCTCAATGGTCACTCGCATGCCTTGTGCTAGGGTATTCTCTAGTCTCTACGATGATCCATGGGAACATAAACTCCCAATGCGATAGTCACACTCACATTCAAACAACCTGGGTAATAATGGTACATTTGTGAATGCAGCCGCGGTAGGGAACTACCCGCAGGTTAAAAAGGCTTAGGATGACTCCAGTCTTCGCCGTCAATCAAGTCATTAAAGCCCTTCTAAGACCATAAAAGACCGCAGGGGTTGCTCATGGTGCTACAGAATGCCCCTCCAAGTCCCTGCGCTTGCTGCAATGCCTTAGCTTTGTGCAATGTGCATCATGCCAGGCCAGAGCTTGACTCGAATAGGTATCGCCAAACCTTCACCGCCTCCAGCTTCCGCCGCCCAAAGTCCAACCCTCGCTTGCATCGTTCAAAAAGCCCGCAGATTCAATGCCGCCTAGTCCTATCTAGCCCCATACGAGCCGGGATCGACGACGACGACAGCGACGTGGCCGTCGTGGATATGATTGTGAACGTGGACGTGGAGTTCGTGGAGTCGCGCGGGAGTCTTGGATCGCTGAGATTGAGCCGATGGGGTTGTTTTCATCTTTCTAGGTACGTATGCACCGCACCACTTGTTATCAGTTCGACAGTCTCCGCAGAAAGCAGTAGCAAAAATAGACAAAAATCACTTGCCTAGATACCTACCTAACCAGCCCAGCAAACGCCTTCATAGCGGTCAGACCTGAGACGTAGTTTAACAGCCGCCATTGTCGATGGCAAGAAGTGCTGGAGAATGTTGCTTTACTTTACGAATCGAAAGGAACGACGATCGAGAGGGAGAGTGCAGTCAACCAGTAGCTGAGCTGCTTTGCTTCTGTTCAGGTTGGGCTGGCTCCCTGACTTTAATTGATCTTTACCGAGGGTTGAGCAGTGGATGATAAACCGGCAATTAGCGACTAACTAGCCCGTGTGTGGACAAGCAGACCATGCCCAGAGACATGGAATGCAATCAATGATGTGCATTCACTGACTGGTGCCATAAATGCCGCTTGGTCTTGGATGTGAATACAAATACTCGTTCCTGATTATGGTAGCTGCAGCTAAAGCCTAGAGTCACCCGAGACGGCTCTGCACCCTGACCCAACCCAGGAGGTTTCTCTTAGCCTGTCCACTGCCGGCAAGGGCAAGAGGAAGAGTTAGATGCGAGTTTATTATTGGACCTTTTTATCTGCACGACGGGCCGCGATTCCCATGGGTCATGTCACGATATCTCCCCTCTTTCTTTTGAATCAAGAATTGGGACGGGGTAACGTTAAGACTCACGCGACTTGGCCAAATATTCAGGACTGACATACAGTAGTATAAGAACAATAAATACCACCGCAGCAATGACAAGCCTCAACAAACACCGTATAGTACATAAGAGTCGAGACTAGTAGAGTAATTAAACTCCGATCCATAACGAATATAATACAATATGGACAGATACCTACGGTGACAACTACCGGATCGGGCCGTGAGTGGCACCGCGGCCTCGGAACGAAAATTGATGCCGGCTGTTCATTACTGCAACTTTGTTAGTCTGTAAGGATAGTCTGAAAGCACATGATTGTTATTGCTTTTACCCTTGCTTCTCTTCTTCATCCGGGCCAAGATTGACAGGGCGAGATCCATACCAGACCTGGCCAAGAAATGGTTCGTCCGTGCATTGGGTTGGTTTGAGGATTGGCTGCAACCCAACCTGAAGTATGTAACGCAACGCCACATTTTTTTTGGACTTTGCTATTCCAGACTTGTTCAGTTTGAGGATAAGGCCATGCACATCAATTCGTTTTTCTCTTTTTTTCTCTCTTTCTTTCTGCTAGTGCTTGGCCTCTTCCTTCTCGGAGGCAACTCTCTTGTTATGGCAGGTGGTTTACTGACCACTAATAGCAACGAGAAGACATCCATTAGCATAAGGGAAACGTTCTCCGTATACTCCGTAAGCGCCCTCGGTTCGGAGATAGGTTGCCCTGTGCCTATTTTTTATTGAAGAGATACTGTATCCGTACCTTCCTCCAGTGCCTAATCAACGTACACGGGCAGATAGATCTACATTATCTACCGTAAAGTAATTCCAAATACAGACACCAAACAGTACAAGATGGGGGTGGATGCGTTGCACCGCACCGCACCGCACCGCTAACCTTAACTTAACTCAATCACTGTGATTAATTAGCTGCAATTAGACATTTTGTCTGCCGAAGACTGGAGACTAGACAATGGATATCATATCACACCCAATTTCACCAGGTTGAGCAGTACGAGATACACGCGGGTGCGAGTGCGGGCGTGGGCACGGGCACGGGCTAGACGGGCAAAGCGGCAGTTGTCCTTCTCAGGTACCTAATGAGGTATCAGCCAGGAATTGATACATAGTTATTTCTCAACTGAGATTTCCACCGCATCATATATGACTGACAGTTTTTTGCTCTCGTTATCTGCTTCTCTCCTGGTAATCTTTTTACCTCTTACGCTTAATTCTAGACTCCGTTCTTACCTTCTCAGACTGTCACTCTGTAACAGGAACCTACGGACGCTCCCCCCTCAGCAAGGTAGTTTTATCCCCGCCTTCAGGGCTACCTTAGCTAAGGTGCTTACCGTACGGTGCAGGTACAGTATTTTTTCATCAGGTCCCTTTCTGCTACCATTTGGTTTAGCCTCAACTCAACTCCAAACTCTACCAACGCAACGCAACGCTGTCCATATCATACTTCACTCCCCCTCTCCCTGCTCCTTTGCCGCCTCTCTCCCTCTACCACCCCCACTCTCGCAATACTCCGACAATAGAGAGAGGTCGAAGCAGAAAAGAGTCTGTGATACCTGCCCTATTCCCAATACGCGCGGGCGCCTATTCGCTTCTCAAGTCGTGCATTAGAAGCGCAGTGCAGTGCATATCCGCTTTGCTCCGCTTGTCCTCGGGTTGTTCCGTCGAGCTTCCCATTCAAGAGAAAGATGAAGCAGCGTCTGTGAGGCGCAGACTTTGTCCCTGATTCTTAATTCTCTTCTCTATCTCGCATTGTTCTTTTTTAGAATATCCGAATCCCTGTCCAACCGACGCATCCGCGTCGTTCTTGCATGTGGTAGTGGAGAAAGTAGCGTCTTTGTTGAGGATATCTACTATTCTACTCTCTCTCTCTCTACTCTCTCTTTTCTCCTTCCTAGGTCTTCTCTTCTACTCGACTCTACTCGCCTCATCGATACGGCTTAATCCTCTCTTCAACTACCGCGCATGGGATAGTCATCGCCGATTCTTGTCATTGAAATCACCATGTACACCTTTGGATGTCTCATCACGATAAATATTTCACCATTATTGCTCTCGCCATTACCAATATCAAAAGAATCTAATTGCCAGTGCTGGCCGAGCATTTAACGGAACAATAACACTCAACCACTGTTGTCCACCCACATACCTCATTTACGCCATCCTACTGGTCCTTGGCAACCCATTTACATCGATAATCCTCCACGCCTTGGTTATATAAGATGCGCACAACACAACTTCTCACCATTACTGTCCCAATACCGGGAACTCTCCCCCCAGGCGCTGTTTTAGCAGCGCTGCAAGCCGTCAACCCGTTTGTCGCCCATCACCGGACCGTCACGAGCATAGAAGAGGTTGCAAGCGATCCCGAAGACACCGCTGATGATCCCTTCTTCGGACCCTTCGATGACTCGTTTCGTGCTTTTCAGATGGAGGAACTTGTTAACCTCGCTCCTGGTTTAAGCAAAACGATAGCGTACAAAGCCATTTTCCAGGTCATTCCTGACGGCCTTCGTTCCCGCTGTAAAGCCCCTGTGGGCGTTATTGTCCGAGCACAGTGGACGGTGCGCCAGCTGCACCACGACCGATCACCCATGGGACCAATATCGCCTGCGGGGTCGGACAGCACCGCGTCCGGCAGTACGACGACCGTTGAGGGCGACGAATATGAACTACAAGAACAGGTTTTGCTTGAGTGCAATTCGTTATTGATGCCCTTCATTGTCGACTCATGCGCCTCGGTTCATCGCGGAATCTGTGAGAATTTCATGGCGGCGACTTTCAAAGAATATTTCGGAACGTCACCAACGTATTGACCACGGACCACCCATCTGCTGCGAGGCCCGGCCTCAATCATGATCTCATGGCATACTACATACATACTTATGACGCGGCTCATCATGAAAGCATGATTGGGCTCAATCAGGGACGGGACGGGAACGGAGCATTGGTGTTGGTGCATGGCGTTGCTGCTGTCATTCTTAGGCTTGGAGTTATTGCTTATAATATTTTGCCCCGGGCTACTATAAATAAGATACAAACAGGAGGAAGAAGTGCTTTCGTAAGCCGCGACTGGTCATGGAGAATGGCCGGTCCTTCAGTGGAAGAGAAAATCTAGATACTGGGTACAGGTTATGGGTATCTTCATAGATGGTAACAAATGCTAATTACATGTTTTTGAATAACATATAACTCGGTACTATTTTCAAAGGACCTGCATATTGCTTTCAGGCACACGAGAGATCAAGCAGGAAAGACACAACCCGATAAAGGTGTACTTGATATGAAGAAAAAAACCATATTCGGTTTGGTATCTATTGCGCGTACCGTCTATATTCAACCACTCGCCAGATAAATAAATAAAAACCACACCTGTCCAATTGTGTATAGCCAGAGTGATATAACAACCACGCGCCATCTAGAGGCGCCCACGGGATATCTTTAAACGTCGTGAATAGGTTACTCTTTCCCGAGAGATTAGAAGAGGCGGAAACAGAAAAGAACGCTACCAAGGCATTAAGGATGTCGCAAGACATCATAAGGGGTGGGCAACAAAGCAAGCAAAGGGCATTGATCACGTCAACATGGCATCCATCTCGTAACTAGCGAAGGCATCGCTACCGGCCGCCGAAATCACTCGCGTATCCCATCTCGCCAAAGCCTTGACTCATACCGCCCTCGCCAAACCCTGTTCCGGGGCCGCTCACGTATCCGCCGTCTTCGTTTTCATCGTAGTCGCTGGCATCGAAAGATGAACGGCCGCTAACTTCGTCTTCCATGCCAGAATTCACGTCTGGGGTCGACCAGTTCAGCTGAGCCAGTGCGGGATATTGAGCCAGGAGAGCCGCTGGGAGCATGGGGTTGCCCGAAGGATCCATAGGATAAACAGGGCCATCCATTGGCATATTGGATGCAGCCGCCATGCTCTGTGCCATATTGTGTTGCATCCGCTGCTCTTGCCATAGCCTTTGACGCTCCATCATCTCTTCGTCTAACAAGGGCTTGATGCAGATGCGGCCTGCTTCGGATCGGAAATGACGGCCCAGGGCATCAGCACGAGCAAATCTTCTGCCACAACCCCATTGACCTCCGACCTTCAGGTCACCCTTGCAAACGAATTTCTTCTCACCCGAGTGAAGACTCTCGTGTCGCTTGCGATCGTGTTGTCTTGCAAAGGCTTTTCCGCACACAGTACACACGAAAGGACGCTCGTCCGTGTGAGTTCTCAAGTGTGAGCGTAAGTTGTAAGCACGTGTAAATCGCTTGGGACATAGCGTGCATTGGAAAGTAGCAGGGTGCTTCTGAACACGTTTGGCGGCGCCGCTGTCCTGGGGGTTCTGGTACTCGGGGTCTGCCAATCGCAGAGCAATAACATTGTTGGGTACTGCCGAAGTAGACTGTCTCCTCCTAGAAGGTGAAGTGCCTGCTTGTCTATCGAGAGGGGATAAAGACCGAGAGTCTGATCGCGGTCCCAAGTCGGCACCTAAAGAAGATGAGAGGATATTGACATTGCCTTGGCGGTTCATCAAGCCTCCGCCAGGGTGAAAAGGGTCTGTGACTGCACGAGGACGAGATCTAGGACGGCCTGAGAGATGTTAGGTGGTTCCAGCAAGCACACTATCGTGATCAACATACCTCTGTCCGGAGGAGTCAGGGAGTCCTGATCCATACGCGATTTAGGAGTGTCAAAAGCGCCTTGCTTGGCATTTGTAGGTGCGAAATCGATGTTGATGGCAGGAGGGGCCATTGACGACAGATCAGCTCCCGAGGGCTGAAGAGTAGGAAAGGCCTCACCGGGCGCTGAGACGTCAGGGTAGCTAGAAGGCATGCCATATGGGTTGTGAGGAGCCGCCAAACCAAAGCTGTTTTGATTCAACTGGTTCAGATCGGGCATCTGCTGAGGAACAATGCGAGGACTAATAGCAGGACTATGAGAAGGACTACGGCCCTGATGACCAGGACTACCACCGACTTGAGGGTCAGAGAGACTAAAGTTACCCATGCTCAACAACTCCTGGTATGAACCGCCATCTGAAGGACGATGAGCAGGCGAGTGCCCGCCCAAATCAGTTTCAAAAGACTCCGCACTAACGAGGTTGGGCGATGGAGCAACCGACGAGACGTCCGAGTACTCGGATGGTGTGCGACGATGGCCCTGGAATTGAGGTTGGCTCCAATCGGCTATTTGGTTTGGGAGCAGAGCGTCGCCCGGGCCTAGAGAAGCATGCCGCGAGTGGCTGGGCGGGGAGGAGAACCGGTGCTGGTTGAAGGCAGGCGACTGGTGAGCAGAACCCGGTTGCTGAGCATCGTGCTGAAATAGGTGAGGAGGGGTAGGCGAGTGATGCCCTTGCGCCATGGTATTCATGTCGTTAGGGTTGAGCGTAGACTGGTCAAACAGAGGAGCGTTGTATTGATCGCCGGCAGCACTGGTGTTTGGGAAGAGAGAAAAGTCGTTATCGTTGAGGTTGGGTGACAGGTAAGCTGGCTGCGCAGGCTGTTGGCCGAATGAAGCGGTGTTATTGGGGTCGAGGATAGCGGGGTCGGACAGGTTGGCCTGGGCGAAAGAGTTGTTCTGCTGTTGGTGTTGCTGGTGCGTAGGAGGGAGAAAAGAAGGTGATTGCTGAGGACTTAGGAAATTCGAATTATTGAAGGAATCGTAAGAATGCTGGGCGGACTGGTCGAGAGTGAGACCGAGACCTATGGATGGATCGTTATGCTGGTAGGGTGTGGGCGAGGGAGAGAGAGAATGGTTTATATGATGTTGCTGGTGTTGGTTTTGGTGTTGGCTTTGATGGCCAGCCGAAGGCGACCGGCCGCGTTGAATATGTTGATCCATGGTGATGCCGAGTTTAGAAGCAGACGAAGCAGACGAGGCAGACTTTGGAGTAAGCCTTCAGGCACCGTGGCGATGCCGAGGGGCTGTGCGCTCACAGGGTGATGCAATGGGCGGGGGACCGTCCTATCACGGCGGCCGACGCGCGGAAGGGGTTGCGAAGCGCGCAGTTTTGAAGCGGGATAGTTTGGAGTAGAGGAATGCGACGTGGAAGATGCTTGAAATATTGCAGTGATGTGTATGTTGCGTTGGGTTGGAGTGTTGTGTTGTGTGTCGGGCACGCAACGCAAGATGATGGTGGAGAGGAGTTCCTTGGGTTGTGGTGGGATGCGGTGCCGGCGGTTATTGTACTGCAGCAGTAGTACAGATGCAACAGCAACAGAAGCAGCTCAAGCTTAGGTAGTAGCTTAGCTTATTACAGGGCAAGCGAACAAAAACAACCCAGGGCGGTAAAATTAAGGTATGGATGTCGGTCAGTGCTTGGGGTTGGGGCTGAAGGGGGGGTTTAGACAGTGGGCAACAACAGCTATAGTAAAACGCGATGTTAACTTAGGGACTGTCTAAGTATTTGTAAGATTCCGCTCCAAGGCCAAAGTGAGCTTTTTTCTCTTTTAGTTAAGAGAGATGAGACTGGGATGAGATGAGATGGGATGGGGTGTCCGTAAGGTGAGAGTGATTGAAAGGCTGGGCGGCTACGGAGTATAGGTACTGATTAGTAGTACCATAGACGGGAGGGGTTTATGGGGTCTCTCTCTCTCTCTCTTTTTCGATCCAGGATTCCAATAGAAGCCCATCTCAACACTCATCACTCATCACTCATCCGATGGGGCAGATCTACGGAATACAGATTACAGGCTTATTAACCAATATCTGTTGCAATTGTTACGGTAGGTATCCAGGGCCTGAAAGTGGTACCGAGGCTGTGCAGAGAGACACGTTGAACGAATGGGGCATCTCAAAGCTAGGATGTACTGTAAGGTACGGCTTTGTACGTCGTAGCGGGATAATACCAAATACCAACCTTTTTTTCCTCTGTGCTCTCTTAACCTTTGTGTGCTAATTTTAACAGTGTTGAGATGTCTAGGATCGTTTGATATGTCCGAAGCAAGGCAGACTCGCTCCCCAAGGCTGATGCAAATCGTGATGTCGCTAAATGGACATGGTATTGGTATTAGTTATTAGTGGTGTTGAATTATGTGGATGACAGGAGGAGAGGAAGATGAGCATCGTTGTTCAACGGTTTCACTACTGCCAATTGCTTCTACGTATTATGTCAATGCATTTGATTTTTAAGATTTAGGGTTGCGATGCAAAGTCTTTCCCATTCATTTGTACCTTCGATCAATGCGCTTACTATGTGTCCTCGTCTAGGATTGGTGGCTCGCGATAAAATGAGCATCAGCACTAGGTAGGTATCTCAAGAACTCAACTCATCACCTCAAATAGCGGCACTTTTGCATATGAATGGCTCATCAACATGGTTCTGTATTTCAAAATAACATTCTCTTATTCTGACCTGGATATGTTTCTCCGTCAGTGTTGCATTCATACAGCGCTTCGACCTTGAATGACACGGCTGAAGGGTCGCTTACTACATGACTTGACTACCTCAGCCACGTTATCCCCTTGCAGACGATCCTTTTATTAGAGTTCCTGCTAGACAGGAAACCATCCGATCGTGTCATGTCATCAATGGCTGGCGCGCTCGTGTTGGACTGGAATCTCTGCATAGTGTACGGATATTATCACTGTGCAGGTTGCAGACATGGAGTTGATTATTGCATAAAAGCGAACTGAAACGCATTTCAGCCCTGTAAAGACTTGTTACATTACTCATCATTTACTACTCTAGGTCAGTACAGTATATTCCACATCATATGATTCACATCGGACTTATGGAGTTCATACCAATACATTCCGTTTGGTGGCTGGGCTGGTATGGTATGTGCGTGTTCAATCCCCAAAGTCTTCATCTTTTATCACCACAAACGGACTAATTTGTTGACTAACGGTAACAAGCAGACAGCGCAATCGTCAGAGCTTATAATAGATTCACTGTCTGACTGTTCCTGGATCGTCTTCAACCCTGTACGCTCTGGCTCTGTAGCCTGCACTGCCTCTCGAAAGTTGTGATGCTTCTAGCGTGTCTTTCAAGTCCCTAGTCAGAAAACGGACCAAAGCACAAAGTACAGCGCAAAAAGATATCGAGAGGTTGGTAAATTCTAGTGGGGAAGAGCCCGAATCAAGACCACCAGGTTTCTTGTAGCACCCATGTTTCATCTCATTACTTGTTCGCGCAAAAAAGGTTCCCAAAAAAACATTAAACTTATTCATGCTGCAGCGAAATACAATACGTATACTATCCCACTTACACTTACACCGCCCCCCTGCCTTACACGCGGCCCACGATCCGACCCCACTATGGCAGGCTGTGTTTTCTGATGATTTGCGTGGGTGACAACGATAATAAACGCGTGTGATAATCAAGCTAAGAAATTGCCTACGTAGCGACTCCAACTACTAACCAACTGATACAGCCCGTGACATCAGTTTCAGCTACAGTGACAGGCTACTACCCCTGCTTCCCGCGCATCAGTGACAGCCGACTCATCCTTTGCGTTTGAAGATCCTCGCAAGGCAGATTTCCAAAGGTTTACTATTTTGCGTTTTGGTGACGCGGACCGGACCGGAGAAAAAGAAGCTTATTGTATTATTGTTATCATCATTATCGTTGTTGCCATTAAACACCTACGGGCATGTAGTATCAGCTTTACCCAAATAGGCAGGAAGCTCGATTTTGCGAAATTGAATAATTATCGAGGCGAAAGAAAAGTTAGGCTGCACGTAATTGACTATTGAGGCAGAATTTCCTTTACATCATTTTTACGTATCTGGTGATTATGACTTTTGAGTAGTATTTTTACATGTGATTTTGTAAGCTTGTGCAATTTAGCCTCTTTCCTAGGTATGTTGAAGATAGGAACAGTCAGGATAAAGTGTTTGCGAAGCTCGAGAGAAAGCCATTCATTGATGGATGCTGGTCCTATTAATAAGTAAGAGCTCCTTTTCTTCACTTGGAATTATCTCAGTCGTCATTTCTGCCTTTAGATTCGATTTCAGTCTTCTTTTCGTCCTCGAAATATAATCTCTTCCTAAACAGGGTAATATAGTTGTATACAATCATGATAAAAACTCTTTATAATGAACAGCAAAACGCCGTTTTCTAGTGGTATCTCCTGCAAATATCTAGTAGTACACGGATCTCATCTTTTCAATATCTTACACAAATGAAACAGCTTTTAGTACCGTTCGGATCAAGATAACCAGAGGTATTCAACATGAATAACATGGCATCGGTTTCGAGACGATTATCTTTAGATGACATCGGCTCGGTCATAGCCTGTGGGCTTCAGCGCAGGCTTGGGTACCTCGCGATCCTTAAACTCGCTGACGAATGGGTTCGGGTCCTCATTTTGGTTAAGGTTACCGAGTGTGTGGTTGACTCCTCGGTGTGTTGCTTCATCGGCTCTGATGTAGAGGATCAAGTCCTTCATCGTGCGATGTTCCTCAGGCATCTTCCAGTACTACAGAAGAGAGTGTCAGCCAATGCACAGTACAATATAGGGTACCAAAGTTACTCACCTGAATGGCAATATCAGGAATCTGAAACTTGGGGTCAGTCCACCTAGGGAGGTTGCCGTCCTCAATCTCCTTGATACACCGAGTATATGTGTGAACAGCCTCTTCCTCAAGGTAGCCGACGAATCGGTGGACGATCTTGGGCGAAATGAGGTAAGAAACGAACAGGCTGTTGAAGAATACACCTTGAGCCCCGATGATCATTGTCTTCATGAACCAGCCAGGCTCGCACATCTTCATGAATGTAAGGAGATGCATTCGCTCGTTGTAGCTCTCCTCGAGGAGTGTTTCGATCCAGCCGTTGTCTCGCTTCATGCGTCGAAGACTGCCGAGATGTCGCAGCATGCCTCCGACCATGCCTGGAACTCCGGCAACACTTTCAAGGAAGATGAATCGAATCAACTTTGATATGTTAGACTACCTGCAATCTTCAAATGGGGTATAGAATATGGGGGATTGGTATTAGGCTTACCCATTGAGCCTCTGTAAGTGGTTTCTGAGCCGCGATGGCTGTGGTTGGCTTCTTTCTGTCCGACTTCTGATCGCGGTCCATTCCTGTGGCCTTGTCCATACAATATCTGGCCAGGCGAACAATTCTCCAGGCTGTGTGGTCACCGACTGTCTGAGGTGGTCGGTGGGCAGGTTCGACAGCCGTCATTTCGTCGTACGTGTAGCCCTCGTGTGGCCATGCTGGTCTGGTTGTCTGGATGTGAGGAGTCTCCTTGACAGGGAAGAAGTCACGAAGTTGATTGGTTGGTGTTGAAGAGAAGAGTCGCTGTTGCTGGGAAGCAGCGCAGCCGACTCGAAGAACAGCGGGGGCTCTTGCAATGGATGAGGAGGATGTAGCTCGAGCAAGGCCGAAAGCTACAGTCTTTGCGGCCTGCCTTGAGGCTTGGCTGTGGTGAAGCTGAGTAGACAACATATTGAGCAAGACTCTTGATGCCTCGGATGCAAGTGTGTGTAGCAGAGATCTGCTTAGTATGTATTGTTGATGATGGATATTATAGTTTGATATGTAAGAGATCGTAGTAAAGCTTCCTGCCTGAGGAGGTACAGCAAGACTTATATATTACATTCTCAAGACTGACAGATAGAAGCCTCCGGCGCTGCCACCCATTGCCCCTCCCTTGAATCCAACCAAGCTCGAGCTAGCTTACCATGCTGACCTCTGCATGAGCAAGATTCTCGGTTTACACAAGCACAGTTCCGTATGCGGTCGGCTGAAAAATTGCTCACAAAGCGTGTAAGTGTCACGAATAGAGACCGGGAGAGGTCCAAGGTGAGCGGCGTGTGCGGCACACCTTGGCCGCTCGCTAACGGAACTGGTCTAGCCGAGCCAGGCTGCAGAGACGAGTGGTCCGCAGCGGTCCAGGGGGATGGTTCAGATGATTGAAGCGCTAGAATTGTCTTCCCGAAGGACCTAAATCGGGAACTGACAAAGCCTATCCGTACTTAGGTAGCCTGGGTAGGTACCTTACCTGGTGGCAGACGATGATCCGTCAGTGATTGCGGCTCAAAAAAAGTTGCGGCTGCCACGTGAGTCAAAGTTGGTCGGGAGTAGTCGGGTCTTCATACTTGGAACAATCATAGATATCTCAGGAATTACTCGCGATCTACAAGGCTGATGGCACGTGCTGCTAACGGGCCTATTACTACGGAGTAACTCTATCATAAAAGCTTCCGTAGCAAGTAAGGGATATTTTTTAAAGGCCGAGTTCACACGGATATGAGCTCCAGTATCGGGATTTCTCGAGATCTGTTCTACGGGGAACTGAAATAATTCCAAGCGAGGGTAGTACCGGGACGGTCAATGAGTCGCTACTAGGCGAATCAGTAGAATTATAACGGTCATCTGTTCGTATAACTACTTGCAGTCCGCGGAAAATCGAAATCTCTGGCTTACACTGACGTCTCCTAGGCCTCATGATCCACGTGCATACCACTTAAGGGTCTGGTCAAAGCAAGATGACGTTTATATCCGGGAAGTATCCATGAGGAATGTCAACATCATGAACATTGTAAATTGAAATTGATTACAATGGCTTGATGCTTTCTTGGTCGTTTGCTACCGTCTGTAGAGCATAATCACATTCCGGCACTACGTGTATAACGGACCCTCCTGCAAAAGAATGAACTATTCAATTAAGGAAGTGAATTCATACATTAAAACCATCAGTCCATATCAATTCAATATCTACTTGTCCCAGATTGTAGTAAACGTAAAACTCAAGAAGTTGCCTATATCTACTACGCATATACATGGTACCGGGTAGGCGGTTATCAGAATGTTCCAGTTCACACGAACCGCCGAGACATGCACTGACATGGATATCGATAGACGTCAGGGATGATGAAAAGAAGAGTGAACCAATATCATGATGACTCACGTTCATAGAAATTGCAGTGGGCAGAGTTGATAATTATTTAGCTAGCGTGGATGGGGGCATGATTTCTTCATTCTTCTGATGAGTTGAATTGTTTTACATAGGGGGCCATGTCACTGACCTGTGATTGTATTGAACTTGGAGTACAGTACATGTATAAGAAACATGCTTGTGTTTTCTATTTTGTAACTACCTAGTAGCTTAAAATCAAGAGGATCTCCCTCTTTTTGCAACTTTTTCCTCAGTCTGCTTGGGTCTTATTAACCGATGTAATTCCACATCATGATTGACTGACGTCAAACCTGGGTTAGCACATGGAAAAACCGCGCCAGAAAAATTCGATAAATGCCCCTCCTTCACTAACAGCCTACTGTAGAAATATTACCCCTCCATCCATCCCACTTTGCACTTTGGATCGGGTTCAAAACTTTATGCCTGACGAGACGTAGTTTACCTCTGTCTCGATCTTTGGCCCTTGTATTGTAGGTTCAAGAAACAGGGTAACCTTTTATTTTCATTTCTGCGTGAGACATATAGTTTATATATAATACCAAAAAAGTCACAAGACTGCACCAGATAAATCTAACATCATCTCACTACCTACCTAGCTTACCTTGTTTCTTTGTCCTCTTGTTCGTTCCTTGCTTCCAAGATCCATCCTCGCTCGACCCGTTTTATACCGCAGCATCAAACACCCACCCACACCACGCACGAGCGCACAACTCACACAAAACTTCCCCCTAACACATCCGCACGCTCTAAAAACCAACTGCAACTTCATCTCTCGCAACCACCAAAAGCTCTCTCGCACCGTATCGCCATAAACCGACATCATGCCTCCTAAGAAGTGGGGTACGTAATACCCTCCAAAAACCCATCCGAGCCCCCTCCCCCCTTACCCAGACCCGAATATCGTGACGTCCTATCACACAAGATGGGCTTTTGTGGGGTCTTTCTGCTCGAGCCTTGCCAGTCAAGAAGTGAAATGGGAGAAGATGTTTGCTGACAGACGCATGTAAAGACGAGGAGGAGAGTGACGACAGCAGCTCCTCCGGTACTCCTGAGGTTGGAAGCGCTGCTGCTATTGCTGCCCGCCGCAAGTTTGACGACGAAGAGGACGATGGTGATGTAAGTCTTTACCAAAAAAATCCTCTTAACCCCCGACGAACCCCTTGCTTCGTGACGTTTGATGTTCGACATCCGACTGATAACTTTATCAAATAGGTCCTAGACTCATGGGATGCCGACGACTCCGAAGCCGAGCGCGAGAAGGAGCGCAAGGCCACCGAAGCCAAGAAGAAGGCAGCCGCTGCCGCTGCTGCTGCCAAGAAGCCCAAGGGAGCCCGAATTGCTGAGCACCAGGCTGAACGTGCCCAACAGAGGGCCGAAGCCGAGGACGCTGAGGACTACGAAGAGACCGAGGCTGAGAAGCGTGAACGACTCCGACGCACCGAGCAGGAGGCCGATCTCGCCCACGCCGCCGACATGTTTGGAGATATTGGCATCAGCGCCAACCGTTCCAAGACTCGCCCTGCTGCCGTTGTTATCGACTCTAACGACCCTACCAACACTGTCGACATCTCCAAGCTACCTCTCTTCCAGCCCAAGACCAAGGCCCAGTTCGAGACTCTTCGGACCACCATGGCATCCATCATTACGGCCAACGCAAAGAACCCTCACTACAGCCTGTTCCTCCAGGACTTTGCCAAGGCGCTTGCCAAGGAGATGAATAGCGAGCAGATCAAGAAGCTCGCCTCCACCTTGACTGCCCTGGGAAACGAGAAGATGAGAGAGGAGAAGGCCGCTGACAAGGGCGGCAAGAAGACCAAGGCTGCTAAGACAAAAACTTCCCTGGTCACCAGCCGTGCTAACACCACGGACACTGCCACTTACGAAGATAACGACGATTTTGGAGAGTGAGTGCTCACTTTTACAAACTGAACTATACAAGACACTAACCCTCTTTCCAGTGATGATTTTATGTGAAGCGGCTTTCAACAATATACAAAGGGGAGCCTTCGCCCCGTGCCCCGTGCCCCGAGTCGCCGCTCCCAGCATCGGATTCTTAATACCTGCCCCTGTCTAACGAGTTTCCCTCCTCGCCATCAACATGGCGAACTCGCGATACCCGGCTGGGGCCAACCTCACTGGCTTCCTGCGGATGTTGCATCGAAACCCTTTCGGGTGCTTGAACATGACATGGGTAGCAGAGGGCGGCGCATCAGGAAGAAAAAGCATTGATGCAAACTGTATGGTTAACGCGCTGAAGTGGGCGTTAATGGTCCTTTGATACTTGGGATTTGATGAAGAAACAAGTGTATAACGGCATCATTCGGGCTCTTAGCACATTAGATTCCCATATATGGGCTTAGTAGATAGAAATTATATGAAACGGTCTATGCGATACAGTTCAGTCATAGAGTCTCTGTTGGTTGCTACGTTGGTTTGCGACAGCTAGATAGACGAAAGCCAGAGTACCTACTATGCATTTCTTGAGAAAACCAGAGGTCAAGTTCAACCAGTATGTATAGCTCATATATCATGTTAATTCGTATACAGGAGGCTACTTATGCTATTTCGTGGCTGATGTGTCACCAGTACAGTACGGCAAGGGTATCTCATCAGCCGTCCGCCCATCATATTGCTCCCAGAAGAGATTAAGGAGTAGAGGATATCATGAACGAGTTGTCGCTCTTATACAAACGAGTTCCGTCAACGCCCGTAACAATCAATCATGCCATACAAGTACCAATTCCAAACGCCTTTGTTGCCTTTACTTTACACTTGTTGTCGTGTGCCAACAACGCCCATGAGATATATAAAGCTGTATGTGTCGTGACTTGACCCGTTTACCACAGTAATGGGAACGGGTCCAGTTCAACAGAGGAGACCTGGTTCATAATTCATTATACCACGTTGCCTGCCATTCCCATAAAGAGAGCATGGACTGCAAGCGACAAGGTCCAGAACCCAACCTTCTTAAATCGTCGAACTCGACTCTGCTGGTTTTCAACGTCGTTCGCAAACGCATCATATGTCTCAGCAGACATGTCGTTCATAAGACCACAGTCGAAAATAGACCAACTGCCATCAAAATCACCAGCTCGCTTGACAATACGACAGTTGATCGGAATATACGTCTTTTTGGCGTTGATATAAGCAACGATGGGTCGGACTAGTGCCTGGTTCACATAGGACATGTCTTTGGTGAAGAGGGGCACCGCAGCCTTAACATCGTTCATGGAGATCCGAAGGTCCATAATCAGGTAACGTCGTTCCTCGTCGCTTTGCTGTGGCTCATCAGCTGGCTTGTCCTCCTCAACATCGCCGGTTGATTCCGAAAGATGTCCTGACGTAAGAAGTAAGGGACCCTGTTCTTGTATATTGCGTATGAAGCGATGTCTGTTTGTGTCGACTATATCTTCAAGCTGATCGTAGAAATCGGTCATGACTTTCGTGATACTCTCATCAGAGTCAGCAGGGAACATGACGTCAGCAACGATGTCGACATTTCCCTCATAAATCCAACCGAAAGGTCCTTCAACACCACGATTGAGGTGGTCAATCCTCAACCCGTCGATTCGGAGTCGGCTAAACTTTTTCCAGGCTTTGGGGTCACCAAAGCCTACTGTAGCTTCTGGATCGCCATTGCCGCTAGGTACGACGCCATGAACCTGCCGGGGGTGGATTGTGAACAAAGAGCCATCATAAGACCCTGACATGTGGTTTGCGGAGAGAAAATCGTAGAAGAGCCACTGTTTGCGAAGCTGGGGCAGCTCGCAAGAAAATATGCTGATGGAAAAAGGTCGGAAACCACCTGGTTGGTGTACGGTGAGTAGCAGGTCTTCCATCTTGAACTTCTCAATCTCGAAGTCTCCTGGCTGGTGCTTGTGACGATACGACAAGGGGTCAACTTCTTCAGCCGGCCAAGTCACTGACGTTCGGTCAATAATACCGCGAACGCCCTTGATCTCAACGTCCTTGAGTAAGCCCTTGCCGTTCCACCAATTCAAGAATGATAGCGTCACATTGACCGTCGAGAGGCTAACATCAAACTGGGTGTAGTTCCCGTCATCAACTTCGGAGGAACCTCCCAAGTCTGCTTTGCGGCCTGCGGCAGCCTCAGCGGCAGCATCCGATGAGCCCTTGCTAACAGACGAGACGTTGCCTTGACCAGGTCGCCGAGAGACGAACACATTGCGGAAAGAGATAACATTATCCCGCCACTTGGGAACAATAGCAGATTCGAAAACAACGGTAACTCCAGCAGACTGGGTCAGATAGTCACCTACCCACCGAGCGAGCGTTTCTTCGGGTAGTTAGCAAGTGCGTGATCCGAGAGAGGATTAATAACATACCTTGTGCAACGACTGTGTTGATCGACAGGATGATAAGAGAGAAAAAGGTAGTTGTTCCGACAATGATCCAAGCGAGGTGGCCGAAGAGAAACCATGAAACAAAAGCACCCCATTCATCAATATTCCACGGCCTCATACTTCTAATCGACACCCACTTTAGACGAATCTTGAGTCGTTGCCAAAAGCCGCTAGCTGCCTCAAGGAGTTCTTCTTTGGTTGGACGGTGCGGCATTCTCGGCAGGTGTAGATATGACATGTAAGACACTGGCTCAGGATCCGTGCCTGCAGGTTGCTGCTGCTCTTTATTTGAGGCATCTTTAGTTGTTTCGTTTAATGTCGAAGCCTTGACCTTCTTTAGATCATCTGTTGTTCTAACCGGTGTAATAGGTGTATCTGCGATGTCCTTGCCGCAAGAACATTTTGACCCATTTCCCTTGCTACCGCCGCTACCGCCGCTACCGCCGCTATCGCTGTAAAACCGATGCTGTTGTCGTAACCTCGAGGACCATGTTGATACGCCAAACGATTGGTAAGTTGAAGAGCGGGCTGTAAGAGGGACCATGCCCCCGAGCACAGACTTTGTAGGCTGAATATCATGGCGCAATGAGGGTGCAGTGACAGGCACACTGTTATCAGCGGTTCGACTAAGAATTCGCCATTGCTGCTGTGTATGGTTAAATCGGATGTTCGAGGGCACGATGGGTGTCGTTGACAATGACCATCTCCGACTGATTTCTGCCACAGTACGTATGGTTGTCGCAGATGATGTAGCTTGAGAAGAGTTGAAGGAGACCCCAAAGCAGCGCCCGATCAAAGATGAGGGGATACCCTTAGCCATCATTCCAGCATCATGGTGCCTGACTGAAAGACAATACAACACCGAGAATTTGGAGAAGGAGGGTTACAAGCGGGAAAAGCCTGTAGTTGGAAGATTCAAGGTTGAGAAGATGGAGGAGTCGGAGTTAGTGGGAAACAGATTCCGTCACAGCAAATGCTAGCCAAAGCCAAATCTGCACCTTCCATGATTCTTGGCGGGAAAAGTCACTCCATGACGCGCCTAGCCGCTACAATCAGCGAGCCAATCGATAAGCTACGATAACCACACAAATTTTTGATCGGTGAAAGTCGACAAACGAACCCCCCCACCAAACCGACCTTCAATACCCTTCGGAGTGCATTTGACTTTGACGATTTTTTTGCGACCAAACTACTGAGGGTACTTATCAAGATACAAATCTTGTCATCTTTGCCTCGCAATCACTACCAACAATTTTATTCATCTATCAGAATGCCTGCGCCGACCGCGTTGAAGCAGGCGGAGGATGCCCCGCTCGCTCTCGATGTTCCGCTTCCAGTTGAAGGTAAGAAAAAAATTCTGAGCCGAAAGGGGAGGGTCTTGAAGACAATATCTGACTCTGGTCCAGGTAACGACGAGGAGTTCCTATTAGATGCGCCCGACGCTCTACCTATCGATGCGGATGTTCTCGTGCCCGTAGAGGAGAGCAACGAGAATGGAATGGCTATCGATGAAGAGGGACGACCTCGATTTGCGCCTGCTAGAGACATCGTGAGACTGCCCCGCGTCATTATATTGAGTGTTTGCGACTCTAACCATGTATCCAGGACCCCGTCACCAGGGTCGAAACCCGCAAAATTCCCATTCCTCCTCACCGAATGACACCTCTAAAACAGTCATGGACATCCATCTACCCTCCTCTCGTTGAGCATCTTAAGCTCCAATGCCGAATGAACATCAAGCGAAAGACAATCGAGTTGAGGTCATCGAAGCACACCACCGATACTGGAGCACTGCAGAAGGGAGAAGATTTCGTCAAGGCTTTCACTCTGGGTTTCGATGTGGACGATGCTATTGCGTTGCTCCGACTTGACGACCTTTACATCCAGACCTTTGAGATCAAGGATGTGCGAACAATGCACGGCGACAGCCAGGCCCGTGCTATTGGACGAATTGCTGGAAAGGACGGAAAGACAAAGTTCGCCATCGAGAACGCCAGCAGAACCCGAATCGTGTTGGCCGACTCCAAGATTCATATCTTGGGAGGATTCAAGAACATTCACCTTGCTCGAGAGTCAGTTGTGAGTCTGATTCTCGGAAAGCCGCCTGGCAAGGTGTACGGCAACCTCCGAACGGTTGCGGCGAGAATGAAGGAGCGCTTCTAAACGATAAAAACTGGCGATAGACTTTGGTTGCTACATACGGCGTTTCGGGTGGGCAGCATTATGATCTTGAATTATGTGAACAAGGGTTACTCAATCAAATGGGAGGCTGTCATAGCATGTCGATAACGATAAACATTGAGCTGAATCGATTTGTCGCTTCGTGGATACCCACCAACACCCACGGACCAACAACGCATGATTGTGTCGGGCTAATTGTAGATAATGCCAGTGGTAAGTTAAAGTCAGATCATGCCTGATACACTTGACAGCGGCAATATTGCGTTTTCCAGTATCAAACCACGTCGTCGGCCTCCATTCAAACGTCAATTGCCCACCCAAAGGCGAGGGGTGTGGGATGGCTCAGGTCTCTTGTTGGCTGCACATTCTCATGATATGCTAATAGGCACGGACTCATATCACTCCATCTGCATCCATGTCTATCAGAACACATCGACCTTTATGGACCGACTTTGGAGCCTTGACCGACAATTGAGCGTAGTAAAACACATTCCAACGACTTTGTTGTGGGATTAATATCTGCCCGAAGGAAGCGCGAACATGGTTTGAGCCTGCAAGAAAGTCTACCCATTCAATAGTTACGACATAATCACACTACTGGCCGGCCTTGCCCGCCATGCACCATTTTAACATGCAGCCTTCCGGGACTGCGGAGGCTCATCTCGCTCTCGTTACACCTTGGCTTCCGATCGGGACGGGGACTATCCAACCGGAAAACGTCCTCGAGCCGGCACGGTAAAGTCTGGGGCAGCGATGCGGCGGACGACGGGCAAGACAAGCCCGTGGTGCCGGGAATCAACGGGAGCAAGACATAAACCTAGAGGGACTGATATGTAATGGACTGCTATACGTGGAAATGATGCTATGCATAGCAATACATAGAGTAAAGTCCAGCAAGGTGACAGACAAATATGCGTGGAGACGTAACCGGTGGTGTTTTACGGTGACCTCTCCTGTTCTTTCATCCTCTGCTCTGCTCTCCTCTCTCTCTTCTCGGTCTCAGTGCGGCGCTGCATCGGCGGGCGTGTATGCTAAGGCGGCAAAAGGTGATTTTCCCATATCGCTAGCAATGATCCAATTCAACCAGTCTCCATCCTATAGTATGCTCGACATCACCATAGCCACCCATGCCCTCAGGGGTGATAGGACCCTTGCGCTGTGTCTTTGCCGGTCTTTTACTGTAATGTAAATGTAAATGGATCTCAAGGTGAGCGAGAAGCCATTAAGATGGCTTTCTGGCGAGGTGGGATGGGCTGGATCTAGGTATGGAGGCGACTGAAGGCCCCTAAAGGTGGAGACCAGTCCAGGGGCCACAAAGGTACAGGGGGGAGGAACTGGACCCCTCCTCTGAGGTTGTTGAAGTTCCATGGCCCCAGGCTTGCCAGGGTGAGATTTTGTGAGATCATTTTCACCCCTCCAAGGTCAATCAGTGCCCCACCTTGTATCGTACTGTAGCAATTTTTGGTGAGAGACATGGAATATGGTGCAGATTAGACACGGAAGACTACGTACTCTACATGTTTTTCTCGTGTCGAACGTTGACTGGACTGCATTGAGAACTTTCCCTGGATCGACGGATTTCCTCTGGTTTCTAGAGTTCAGAATTCGTTAATAAACACCTAGTCCTCCCCTCTTCTGCCATTCTCTCTCTCTCTCTTCTCTCTCATCCTCATTCCATATCATCTCTTGTACTCACATATATCCTCATTTGCCATCTAGACTGGTTCTGCTGGCTTCAATTGCGACTTATACATAACTGTTTTACCTAAGGTAAGCTTCAATCATGATAAACAGTCACAGCTATTATCAATGCCCCTCACCACCATTACCACGCACCCTCGCTCTCATCATAGCACAGCACATCACAGCACATCACAAACAGCAAACCTTAGCCTAGTAGTTTGCTTCTCCCCCTCCCCCTCCAACCCCTCCTCCACCTTCTGCCACCCCTCCCTCACCGATTAGCAGAAAATCCCCCCACCAAAATTTCACAGGAGCTGGTTCGATTTGGCTTGGCTTGGTTTGGTTGTGATGAGCAACAACAACCACTCACTCCGTTGCTGGGCTGGGCTGGGTTGGTCTGAGCAGGGCATTGGGCTATTGAGGCATATTCTAACCACTGAGTGACTTGCATTGACACTGGTGGCCTTGCCCATTTGCTCATTGCCCATTGCTCAGCACTGTTCAGCACTGCTCAGCTCAGCTCTGCTATGGCACTGGCTGTTGGGCGCCGGCCGTTCCATCGGTAGAACCTTCCATTCTCTGACAGCTATATAATTTCTGCCTCTTCTCCCTCGCCCCTCTCCCTTCTCTTTCTCTCTCCATCCTTCAACTCTTCATCCTAAGGAAATCAACTAAACAACCACCTTTAGAATACCACACACTAGTCAACATGGCTGTCAAGAAGGTCTTCGCCCGCTCCGTCTACGACTCCCGTGGAAACCCCACCGTCGAGGTTGACGTCGTCACCGAGACTGGCCTCCACCGTGCCATCGTCCCCTCCGGTGCCTCTACCGGTTCGTTCCAACCCTCCTCGATTACTCCCCGAACGCAGTCGCTAAGTTCATGGTAATATAGGCCAGCACGAGGCTTGCGAGCTCCGAGATGGTGACAAGTCCAAGTGGGGTGGCAAGGGTGTCACCAAGGCTGTTGAGAACGTCAACTCCGTCATTGCCCCTGCTCTGATTGAGAAGAACCTCGATGTCAAGGACCAGTCCGCTGTCGATGCTTTCCTCAACGAGCTCGATGGTACCCCCAACAAGACCAAACTCGGTGCCAACGCCATCCTTGGTGTCTCTCTGGCCGTCGCCAAGGCCGGTGCTGCTGAGAAGGTGAGCTTCAGACATATGCTTTCCATGCTTTGAAACTTTTGGCTGATATTCTTTCGCAGGGTGTTCCTCTATACGCTCACGTTTCCGACCTTGCCGGAACCAAGAAGCCCTACGTCCTCCCCGTTCCCTTCATGAACGTCCTCAACGGTGGCTCCCACGCTGGTGGCCGTCTTGCCTTCCAGGAGTTCATGATCGTCCCTACGTATGTGTTGCGACCCTTTCTCCTCAAGCTTCAATGTGACTAACACCACCGTAGCGATGCTCCTACTTTCACTGAGGCTCTCCGCCAGGGTTCTGAGGTTTACCAGGCCCTGAAGGGTTTGGCCAAGAAGCGATACGGCCAGTCCGCCGGCAACGTCGGTGACGAGGGTGGTGTCGCTCCCGATATCCAGACTGCCGAGGAGGCCCTCGAGCTTATCACCGATGCCATCGAGCAGGTTGGCTACACCGGCCAGATGAAGATCGCCATGGATGTTGCTTCCAGCGAGTTCTACAAGGTCGAGGAGAAGAAGTACGATCTTGACTTCAAGAACCCCGAATCCGACTCCTCTAAGTGGCTCAGCTACGAGGAGCTTGCCAGCCTCTACTCCGAGCTCTGCAAGAAGTACCCCATCGTTTCCATCGAGGACCCCTTCGCTGAGGACGACTGGGAGGCCTGGAGCTACTTCTCCAAGACCCAGGACATCCAGGTTGTTGGTGACGATCTGACTGTCACCAACCCTCTCCGCATCAAGAAGGCCATTGAGCTCAAGTCTTGCAACGCCCTCCTCCTCAAGGTCAACCAGATTGGTACTTTGACCGAGTCCATCCAGGCCGCCAAGGACTCTTACGCCGATGGCTGGGGTGTCATGGTCTCTCACCGATCCGGTGAGACTGAGGATGTCACCATTGCTGACATCGCTGTCGGTCTCCGTGCTGGTGAGATCAAGACCGGTGCCCCTGCCCGATCTGAGCGTCTTGCCAAGCTCAACCAGATCCTCCGAATTGAGGAGGAGCTTGGTGACCAGGCCATCTACCCTGGTGCCAACTTCCGCAAGTCTGTGAACCTGTAAACGGGTATAAATGGATATGTGGAACAAAAAGCCTTGTGATGATAATGAAGCCTTTGAGTCTTACAGCCGGGAGCGTGTGAGACCATATACTATTATGGCAAATTGAAAGTAATAGAGGCAAAAAATAGTAAAAGCAAACTGATCAGTTAATAAAACTTTGATTGAAGTCCATTAGAATCCGCCCGACTTCGGTGAACGTTTTGCCAAAGTGAAGGTTTACTTGACCGCAAACCCTGTCATAATTTTACACAGTAACCGGCAACTTTGCACCTTAATTTAAGAATTAAGAAGAGCCGTTAACCTTGACAGGTTAAGCAATGAATTCAGTTGATATCAGAAAATCAATAGCCTCTCGCAAGTAACGCAGCCGAGCGTGCCATCTCGTTTCAAGTCAAGCAGCGATTTTACCATGTGGCTGTTTCTACAGCAACAAGCTCATTGGCGCATCCATAATATCAACATTAATGCGACTACCCGCTTAAAACCGTTAGCCCCTCGATCAACAACCCCAGTTCAAGAGCGTTTTATGCAAAACATACACTTCGTCAGAGAAGATACTAATCCATCATGTCGAGCTCAGGAGATCTCATCGATTTCGACTTGATCGAAGGGCAAAAAGAAAATATACAATCTTTGCCTGGCGGTCGCTCAGCAAAAAAGCTCGCCCAGCTTTACTCACCATCACCGCTTCACAAGCAGTCGACACCAACACCCTCAGATACGCGCAATGTTAACGACTGTATTCGTGTCGAATTTGAGGAGGAGGTCGAGAACATCGCCGAGTCAGACGATCCCCTCGATGTCTTTGAGCGTTATGTGCGATGGACACTAGACGCATATCCCTCAGCACAAGCAACACCACAATCACAGCTTCACACACTCCTCGAGCGAGCGACCAAGACCTTCATTGGCTCAGCACAATACAAGAACGACCCCCGATACCTCAAGCTTTGGGTGCATTATATCCACTTCTTCTCTGATACCCCACGCGAGACATACATGTTCCTATCACGACATGGAATAGGGGAGTCACTTGCCCTGTTCTACGAAGAGTATGCTGCTTGGCTCGAGGGTGCAGGCAGACTGGTACAGGCTGAGGAGGTGTATAAACTAGGTATTGAGCGTGAAGCTCGACCAGTCCAACGTTTACTTCGCAAGTTCAAGGAGTTCGAGGAACGAGTTGCCCAGCAGCCAGATGCTCTGAATGAGCCTTCTTCCCCAGCTTTGCCGACTATGCGACCAGCCCTCGCTTCCAAGGTCGACCCCTTTGCTGCTGCTCGTGCAGCGGATCCCCAGGCGGCGCGACCAGTAAGTGGTGGGCCAGGCAAGTCTGGCAAAGCCAAATTGGCAATCTTTTCTGATACAGATACTCAACCCTCTGCCATGTCATCAATGAGTTCTGGATCAAAAGGATGGGATAGCATCGGCTCACTAGCAGACCGAAGGAAGGAGAATTCAGTAGAGGCCAAGCCATGGGCGGGCGAGACGCTACAGGCTGGTGGAAAGAAGAGCACAGCTCCTAAGATGTCAATTTTTAGGGATCAGGTAAGTTGATCGCCTCTCCCTGACACGTCCACATGTTGATGGTCATAGGACTAATGTATGGCTGTGACTTGTTATGGTTCAATAGTCTCTTTCGCAAATACAGAATATCGTTGTTGTTCCGTCGAAGCATCAAATCTCTCTTCACCCTCAAACAGGGAAGAAGGAGCGTGTTTTTGTTGACCTTGCTGCTGTCTACCCTACCCCTGAAGAAATTGGCACTGAGCTCAGCTTCGAGGAAATTGTGGCTGCTAACCGAGGATGGCTTGATCACTGTTGGGAAGAGGAGACATTTGACGAGAGTCTCGTCCCTGAACCTGCTGTGCTTCCTGAGATTGAGGAGATCAGTAAGGGAGTGGGAGAGAAGTTGATGATCCACCAGGACCCTGTCAACAAATTGTCTATACATCAGGACCCTGTCGATAAATTGATGATTCGCCCGGATCATGTGGGTAAGTTGGCTATTCATAAGGATCCTGTGCAGAAACTTGCCATTCATCAGGACTCTTCTATCAAATTGGCGATCCATAAGGACGTCGTGCAATATGACGAGAATGGCAGAGCCATTGAGCAACCCCGAGGACCACGGGGGAGTAAGAAGAAGAAGGCGATTGAGGTCAACGAGACTCAGATTAGTAAGTCAACCTTGGTATAAGTCAATGTGCAGCGATCTGACCATCCAACAGTCAAGGCAAAGCTTGATTCGCCATCCAGGCCAAAGCTCAAGAAGAAGAACACCTCCGAGCCTACTATGACTCTTCACACCAAGGCTGCCACTGATGATATCTACGACATTTTCAATGCACCTCTGAAACCTGCTGATCAAGAAGAGGAAGAAAGCGCGGATGAGGATGATTATGAAAGCGGCGACAATTACACGACTGACGCAGAGAGCACGGGAACCACGAGACATATAGATCCCAGTGAAGCTGGTGATGATGACGATGATAATGACGACGACAACGATGAGACTTCAGATGCGAAAAGCCTCAGTGAGTGGTCCGACTTCTCCACACAAAAGCACATTCCCAATATTGATGGAAACGAAGATGTGGAGGAGGGAAGAACCGAACAACATGGTACCCATGTATCTGCTTTGATCGACACAGGTCTACCTGAACCTGAACAGGGCTCCCATGAGGGTTTAGACGACAGTGATCAAAAGTCACGGACTGGAGATGAGCAAGACGAAGACGAAGATGTTGAAGAGCTAGAAACTCCCACCTCGGAAGGTTTCCCTCCTCAGTCTCGCACAACTTTCGTTCCTATCCCCCCTGAAGATTATGAGCCACCAACTCGGCCATTTAGAGACCCGGCTGAGGTAGCTAATAACCGCCTGCCTTTCATGACGCCCATCACGGAGAGAACTGAAATGTCTCTTGATATGACAATACCACGCCATGAGTACAAGACACCTTGTAAAAAGGACAATTCCATGACTATCGATGAAGAGGAAGAGGAAGAGGATGAGGAGAGTTCGGATCTTGAACCTCTCAGCAGTCCTCTCCGAGACATGGTCAACGATGCTCTTCCAGCCCCCAAGATGTCCGCACCTCTTGCCCCAAAGTCTGTTGGACCTCTAGGCAAGTCAATTCCTTCCAAGCCTCTTCCACCTAAGGGGCCAATTATCAAGGATGTCCAGTGCAATCCTGTGGATGAGTCGGTTCGTTCCGAGATCATTTCCAAGATGCTACCCCCGTTGAGCTCATACTCTGGGTTCTACGACCATCAAGACGAGAAGTACGAAAGGGGAGGTGAGATTCGTAAGTTTGCTAAGGCACTCTCCAAGGCAAGCAAGTCTGGCGAAAGGACGGGACCTATTACTTCACCTGTGGTGATCGAGTTTCCTGGTACTCATTCTACCTATACGATAAAGAAGGAACTTGGAGCGGGAGCATTTGCCCCTGTCTATCTGGTCGAGAACTCGGCCCCTGAGGTCGACGAGAATGATGAAAATGCGATCCCTACCATGGGCAAGGGCGCATTTGCAGTCAGCCATCGAAGTGAGACTGAAGCTCTGAAGATGGAGAGCCCACCTACACCATGGGAATTTCACATGATGCGCTTGTCCCATACTCGCTTGGGTCCTCAGCATCGTGCTTCTACCTCGCTGTCCTATGCTCACGAGATGCACCTATATCAGGATGAAGCATTCCTTTTCCTACCTTACCACCCCCATGGCACACTCCTGGACGTTGTCAACTTCTTCCGAGCTGAGCCCTCTGCAGTTATGGACGAGCAGCTGGCCATGTTCTTCACGATTGAGCTACTACGAACTGTCGAGGCCCTACACTCCAAGAGTATCCTGCACGGAGATCTCAAGGCTGATAACTGTCTTCTGCGTTTGGACGCACTGTCGGAAGACGAGCCCTTGACAAGCCAGTGGAAGGCTGATGGAACTGGTGGATGGTCATCTCGTGGTGTTGTACTCATTGACTTTGGTCGCGGTATCGACATGCGTGCTTTTGTGCCTGAGGTTGAGTTTATCGCCGACTGGAAGACCAGTGCACAAGACTGCGCCGAGATGCGTGAGGGTCGACCATGGACATGGCAGATCGATTATCACGGTCTCGCGGGCACGATCCACACGCTTCTCTTCGGCAAATACATCGAGACTGTACGATGCGATCAAGGCGGACTCGGCAAGTCTGGTCGACGCTACAAGATCCGCGAAAGTCTCAAGCGATACTGGCAGACTGACATATGGTCTGACTGCTTCGAGCTTCTGCTCAACCCAGGAGCTGCCGCAGCAACTGGCTCTGAGGATGGCGGCAAGATGCCTGTGCTCAGGTCGATGAAGAGCGTCAGGGAGAGGATGGAGACGTGGCTAGAAGCCAACTGTGAGAGAGGCGTTGGACTCAAGAGTGTTATGGGCAAGCTTGAGGCTACGTTTGGCAAGAGCCGTAAGTAAAGATGATTAATTGGTGGTTTGTTGTCGTTGTTGTTTCTTGGTCTGGCGTTGGATATGGGTAGAAGGAGGGTGTTGGTAGACTCTGAACATTGTTTGCGCGGTTTGGGCGTTGTTTATCAAGAGATGCATGATGAGGAGTAAAGAAATACCCCTTTGAACGAGAATTAGACCCGTATGAGTTTTGCATTTGCTAGCATACATCGTCTGTAGCACGAACCACATAACGTATGAATGATATCTCCAAACTTCGACTCCGTGACCTTGGCTCTTGACACTGACTCAATGAAATCACCACTATTCAGTAGCCACCTGTACGATTTGCCTGGATATCTGATTACTTGAGGTCTGGAAGATATAGTGAGTAGACTGGGCACTTACTAGTTTCTAGAAAGTTATTATAATACATTACACTACTTGCGCCGGTCCATACAATCAATCATACAAGGATCACTCTCGTCCATTACGCTAGCAAACGACCTCTACTCGCTCTCATCCTCCGGTTCACCCTGCTTCTTCCTCTTACCACCTTTCTTGGCCCCCTTCTTCGCATCCTTGGCCGTCTTACGATCGACCTGGTCCTGTATCTTATTCCGCTCAGACTCGCCCTTGGCGTGTAGATCCTTCTCAAGCTCCTTGAATTCCTCACTCTCGGCATCCATGCCTACGAGCCGCTCCAGGAGCTTGATTTCATCGGCCCAGATCTTCTTGTCCTCAACGGACTTGCCGTCAGAACCTGTGCGGTCGATAGGTGTCTCGAGAACCATGGGCATGCCTGCGAAGGGTGCGTGGTTCATAATGCTGTGAAAGGCACGAAGACCGAGGAAGCCTGTGCCGATGTTGGCGTGGAGATCTCTGTTGGAATTGAAAGGCGCTTTGCTGTCGTTTACTGAGGGATGTTAGCTTCTATGCAAAAGGTTGGCTGTAGAGGAGGAACTTACAATGGAAAGCCTTGAGATACTTGTGGCCGACAATGTCGTTGAAAGAATCAACAGTTGTCTTGAACACCTCTGGTGTCCTCAGGTCGTATCCAGCCGCAAAAGCATGGCACGTATCAATGCAAACACCCACCCGTGACTTATCCTCGACCAGGTGAATAATATCCCTCAAGTCCTCCCATGTTGATCCAATGACATTTCCACTTCCAGCCATATTCTCAAGAACTGTGACCACCGTCTTGGTAGCCTTGTGCGACTTGTTGAGCTGTGCAGCGATACGTCCAATTGCTGCTGATCTAACATCGCCACCCGTTGACCCCGGGTGGAAGTTGTACAAGCGAATGCCTAGTTGCTCACATCTTTGCAGGTCGTCAACAAAGGAGGTGTATGCTTGGTTCGCCTTCTCTTCGTCGGCCTGCGCAAGGTTGACGAGATATGAGCCGTGCGGGAGGGCGTGTTCGCCTGCGCTGTAGCTGTGGTCTTTACACATCGAGATAAACTGGTTCTTGGCATCCTGGTCGAGAGGGGGGTTCGTCCATTTTCGCTGCGACTTCAAGAAGAGGGCGAAAGCGTTTGCGCCAATATGGACAGCATTGGTGACAGAATTTTGAACTCCTGAGATACATAGTTAGTTAAGCGTATATGTTGCAGCTTTCAGGAGAACATACCTCCCGCAGCACTAACGTGGGCGCCAATATGCATAGCAGGTTTGAGAGTAGTGACAGATGTCCGATCTGCTAGAGGTGTCGCATCTTCATCCTTGGCCTTCGTCTTGCGCTTCTTGGTCACCTTTGCCACTGGTGCAGGCGCTGCACTCTCTGGCTCAGGTTCGGCTTTTCGTTTCGTTGCGGTCTTTGCGGTAGCAGTTTTTGTAGCAACGGTCTTCGTTATAACCCCCTTGGTCTTCTCCACAGCCTTACTAGCAGCCGCAACAGCCTTGGTCACTTGGGGCATTTCGCCGTCGTCGTTGTGATCCTCGTTATAGCTAACTACCTGCTTTTTGCGCAGAGAAGTGCGAGCCATTATCGAATGGAGCTTGAGGCGAAAGGAATTGGCGGATCAATTGCGCTTGTATTAGGGAGAGTAGTTGATGGGCTCGTCGGGCACAATATTTGGCCTAGATGTAAATAGGAGGTCGTTGTTGGAGCAATCTGCAAGGGTCTGCATTACACTAGATATGTGACGCGATCCACGCGCTTCCTCCTTTAGATTGCAGCGCGAGATCACGTGGGCGAGATTTGTGTTTGAATAGCCTCAGTAGACTTATTAACATGCGGCACGGAGGCATCATAAGATTTACATGCCTTGTCATGTTCGTCTCTCCCGTATGTCCATCCTCAGTGAGCAGCTAGTAGGTTTATTCTTACTCCTTTGAATAATACTACTTGGACATTTAATTAAACAAATGAGATGAGAAAGGTTACAGATACGGTCTTTCTACCGGTCAAGCAGCCCTTTCCCTTTTCCATCGCCAATAGTTAAGGCAAATCCCGTATCTCAAAACAAAAGTATAAATCCTACAAAACTTTTCCAAAAGAGACAAAAGAAATTTTAAGCAAAGATCTCCATATCAGCCTTACGATTGGTCGCAAACTGATCCTTATACGTCTCCCACAATTTCTCAATCTCTTGAACATAACGCTCATGCAGCTCATCGATATCCTCTTGAGCTGGCTGCGATCCATGAGCTCTCTCAACTCGGAGTGGTCGTCCAATGACAATGTTGACCGGACGTCGGTAAGGCATGAGGCCGACATCGTAGTTAAGCACGCCTCGGCCGTGAAGAGCTGGTACAGTAAACTTGAAGACCTTGAGTAAAATCATTTGGATCCGATGCACAATCGGATGTGTCTTGGGGCTCAGCTGGTCATATAGGTCGTTTTCGCCAAACCCAATCACAGGGACTAGGTCGGCTCCAGTGCGAAGTGCCATTTTGACAAAGCCCTTGCGGCTCTTAAGGATCAAACGAAGGCTTCCTGGCTGAGCCTCAAGCGACTCACGGGCACCTCCAACAACAATAGTAACAGCGCGACCCTTGCCGTCATTCTTGGGGCCGCCCTTGGACAGGAGATTCCAGATTGACTCCTTTGAAACTGACTGCAGACCAAGGAGCATGATATAGTCACGGTAGAAGGGAAGGCGGAAGTTGGAGTCGAGAGTAAGTAGCGTGTTGGTGATGCCGGGGAAGAGTTCGCGGAATCCAAGAGCGTTGGTGCCAAAGGCCGCGAAGGCTCCATGGGAGATGATGCCATGAGGATGATATCCAAAGATGTACTTTCTATCGGTAGGCAGTTCATGCGTCTTGTGCAATTTCATGGGGAAGTATCCGGTAAAGAGCTTCCAGATCTTCAAGCTTCGGACCCATTCTGAACGGTATGTCAGGTTTCCATTTGTTCCTGCAGTCGACAGAGCAAGATGGATCAGGTAAGGAATGATGATGGGCCAGGCGAGAGGGTTAGCACATATCAACCAAAAGGCCGAGACCAATGTGGCGATAGACATGCAATGAAACAGGACTGCTGCAGTTTGTAGTCGTCGCTTCATGGGCACACGTAGAGGCGCGAAACGGATGCCTCCCGCGCGCAAGCTTACAGCCTTGGGGTCATCAAATTGAGCGGTGATGGGTAGCTTGGGGTAAGACCACCCATCATCATCTTTGCTGTCATTCGCGTCCCTGTCGGCAACAACATCGGCATAGCTCTTTTCAAGACCGTTAGTATCTTGGTCTTCTCCATCCTTCTCATCTGCTTCGGCAGCAACAGCAGCATAGCTCTTTGCAGTACTATCGGAGTCTCCATTGGTAGTTCCATTGGACTTTTCATTGGGCGTTTCATTGTTTGAGTGCATCATATCATCAAAATCAGCATTGCTAGTAGAGATGCTTGACTCGAAATCACGATCGGGTAATGGCGGTCGCTCTTGACCATTCTGAAATGTTGTTTAGTATGGATACTTTGATGACTCGTTTAAGTTCTTGGCACGTACGGCTCCATTTGTTGCGTCTTGGTTTTGCGACTGCTCCGGCTGGGCCGGCTGGTCGTTTTCCGGATTGGGGACTGTCGTCACCTTCTCGTTTGATTCGGATGAGTGAGTTCCTTCAAGTTGTGTTAGCAACTGTCGAGGAAGTTATGATGCTGAGGCTTCTCGGCCCAAAGCCTGTGCATATATCGAATCCCGATTCGTGCTAATACATCCTTCGCCTGCAGGAAAGACAGCGCAGACAGGGAGCCCTGGGAAACAGCACACACGTCTGAGGAAGATCAACGAAAACTACTCACCATTTGGGACCGGGATCCCGTCAACAATGGGGCTCGGCATGATAGGCAAGGCAGCTTAGCTGTCGCTGCGTCGAGACAAAGTAATAGCCAGAGATGGAGGGGTAGAAAAGACGAGAGAGACGTGAAGTTTGGGGGGAATGGGTTGAGAAGATGTCGGTCGTGCGCGCAACCACGTCAAACAGATATAAGATGAAGGGACAAGAAATATCTCAGCAATGACGACAAGAAGAAGATTTTTTGTTTAAAAAGGAGAGTCTTCAATCGGCAACAATGACACGGGCATTAAACGCCATGATATCGTTCGTCTTACGGGGGCAGAGGGTGGACCTGGGCCGCTTTCGTGTTACCTACCTATGCTGTGTCAAAGCTAAGTAGGTGCAGAATGGTCGCAGCTAGTAATGACGTCGTGTCGTCACAGTCTTAGCTTAGGGATTGACACGTGAAATCAGAAGCTACGATCTTGATCTGTCCAGGGGCAGTAGAACACGGGCTCCGCTTGCCTCCATCTATCCACTTCTCACTCTCTACCACTTGGGCAGTCTGTACCTGGACTTTGAGTTCACTTAAACCTCGGCATGTGCCGATCAACAGCCAACTCGCTACTAGGTACGTTTTGCGACACATGTAATTTAGATGGACGTGTTCAAACAACAAAACAAATGCTTTTGAGGCCGGCTGCGGAACCGCCCAAATGCAACATAATTTAGGGTCATACGGTCAATAGAACATCTATATACAAAGCTCTTGACTTTGCAGAACTCTTTCCACCTCTACTACGAGATGAACTGCTGCCGCCACGAAGCACACTCCCAGACAACCACATATAATACATACGTACATGAAAAAACACCCAACAAATAATTCATAACTATCCCATGCCCCTTTCTTTTGGTGTGGAGGTCCCTACCATCCACAGAAATAGAAGAAGAAGAAAAAATAGAAAAGCAGGTTCCCATTTCCCAAAAACGCCTCCCTGGAGCACCGTGCCAAAACTTCTCAAGGTAAAAAACGAAGGTCGTCTCAGTATGCTTTGGTTTATAACGATATAATACGACAATGTTCAAATCACGACATGCCGCACTCCGCTATACTTTTGCGACAGCTGCAGCAGCAGCATCGCGCGTTTCCATCTGTTGTTTCAGGTCTGCAACCACATGGTCTAGAGTCGAAACCTTCTCCGTAAGCGCCTTGACCTTGTCCTCCAGCGTCTGAACATAAGCCCACACGCTTGGGTCACTCTGGGCAAACATATTTCCACTATCATTAGCAGCCTGTGCGCCGCTCCCGCTCCGGGCATGGTTAAAGCTGTTTGATCCGGGCGGCGCGAATTCGGGATGCGACAGGCCCGGAAGCTTTGGCCGAGACTGTGTGTTATGCGGCGATTGCAGGTCCGAGGCACGACGTCCAAACTGCGCCTGCTGCAGCTGCTGGGTTAAGCTGGGCGAGCGTTGTCGCGCCAGATTGTTGCTGTCATGTCCTTGCACTCCAGGGCTCAATGGTTTAGGGCTCTCTGTGATGCCAGTCTGGGAGTACATGTTCGCATTCGCGGCCGCAACGGACGAGATCCCGGCGGTTCCATTGTGCCCAGCGATATTGCTACCCGCGGTTTGAGATGAGTTGGTGCTTGCCTGGCTTTGACTGACGTTGGGAGGGTAGAGTCCTCCGGTTCCAGGTCTGGCACCGGGTGGTGGGTAAGTCCGAGCATGCGCACCGTAAGCATCAGCTTGACTTACAGCAACATGCTGGGCGGTTATACTTGGTAGGCTTTGGCGCCTTAGCTCGTCTTCCTCGACGTTGTCGTAGGCCAAGCCAGACATGGCTGATTCATCAGCTTCCGCGATGCTATTCTCTAGATCGTTGTCATCAACGAAACTACCCATGCTGGACCGCCGTCCTGCGCAGCCGCCGGCACCCTTTGAATGGCGAGCGAGAGCATCACCTCTGGCGAATTTGCGATCACACTTGGGACAGACGTGAGGCTTCTCGCCGGTGTGCAATTTACCGTGGCGCTTCAGGTCATGAAGGCGGCGGAAGCGCATTTGGCATTCTGTACAAACGTAGGGTTTCTCTTGGCTATGCGTCAACAAATGGCTCTTAAGATTGTGATGACGCGTGAACTCAGTATTGCAGTAGGGACATTTATGCTTTTTGGATCCGGATGACGTGGGAGAGGTTTGGCCTGTTGAGGGCATTGGGAAACTCATGCCCCTGGTCGGAGTTTCCGCCATACTTCCTGTGGCCTGAAGAGAACCGGGATACGAAAGCGATCCTGGTTGATGCCTCTCTTCCTGCCCGACTACTTGTTGCGATGATTGTTGTTGTTGGTGCTGATCAATTTTTGATACATCCACTTCCATTGGAGTTGGGCTCTCGGTAACATGAACGCCAACAAGGCTATTGGTGCTTTGCGGACTTGTCGCACCATGCTCTTCGACCTGACTTGTCACGGTTTGCGCGAGCGACACAGGATTTGGAGCCTGAGGAGAAGTATCCATGGCGGCTGTTGGTGCCAGCTGAGGCGCGTCGGCAGGACGGCTCATAGCCTGGACACCTCCAGACATGAGTGAAGTCAGAACCCTGTGGCCCGGGTTATCGCTTGTGGGTGCTGGGCCTCGTGTCCCGTCGTCGTGATATTCTGCTTCGCGTCGCCGGCGCTCGTCTTCAAGGGCAGCCGCCGCGGTCAAAGGCGTCGGGGAAATACTAGACGCGAGAGCCAGGCGGGCAGACTTTGCCGGAGATCCAAGACCCAGAAGGCTATGGGACTGCGCGGCAAGTGAGCGCGGCGATGAGGGAGATGGTGAACGAGGCCGCTTGAGTAGCCTAATAGCAGCGTCTTCTGAAGGGATGATAGCAGGAGGGGTTGCGTCTGGGCGCGTTACGGGCGGGGGATCGATCGCGGCAAAGGCGGAGGCGTCCGATGCCATAGAGGCAAGTTCAAGCCAGATGATTGGAAAAATTCAAAAGTGAACCGAATCCAGCATGCGATCAGATTCGAGGTTTCAATGTCGCAACAGCCTTGGGTCAAAGGCACATATCGGGGCGTGATTGATAAATGTGTGGCTGGAGAACGTGGCGAGAGCTGATATTTTTTCCCCCCGTGGGAAGTTAAAGAGGCGAGTGAGGAAGCTGGCACCGAGTGGGCGGGTTTACGCTGTGGGCAGGTGGTGGCTTAGGCGAGGAATGTAGCAAGACAGAATTGAGGCTCGATAAGGCGGCAGTAGCATGCAGAAAGGCGATGGTTTAAAGCTGATAGTCGGGGGAAAAAGAAACAATTCGGAAATGTACCGCGAGGATAGCCCAAGGGTAATGACGATGTAGCGCCAGAAGAGAGAGTTGTGCAAGGTAGACGTAGAGAAATACCAAGTTAAAGAGGCGGCCGGTCAATGAGAGATGCGAGGCGAAGATGGGCGATGGGCGATAGTGAGGGCCTCCGAAAGTGGGCAAGTGGGCAAGTGGGCTATGCGGATATTTGATTGGTCAACTGATGAGTTGGGTTGAGTGAGTGGGGTACGTAAGAGGGAAAGAGCGCTGGAAAAGTGTGTGTGGGCGTGTGTCAGTGGTTAGAGTGGCTAGGTAGAGTGGGTTATGGGTTATTGACAGCTGCCGGGCTGGTGTCCTTCCAGCAAGGCCCGTCTTTCAGGTGGGATCGTGCCAGAAACCTGGTCCGACAGGTACAATGGACCCTGTCAGGTCACCTTCATAGGCAGTACTAATTATCGTGGACTCTCCGCCTCCATGATCTTTGTCTTGTCTCTTCTTCAGCGAGATATCATATCACAGTTGCAGTATCCGTAGGGTTTAATAAACAACACATGTAATCCAGAAGCAGCATGGAGGCCTAATTGGAGAAGTTTTGGGAGCAAGGTAATGATGATTCCTAGCAACACAATGCTTCCTCCTTCTTCTTCTCTCCCGCGCACCTGCACAGCACCCGATACAGGCAACGAGATAGGTATAATATTGCTAATGTGACGAGGTCTCATCTTGTAAGGAAACCACCAAAAACACGCCAGTGACGCGAAAGCCGGTGGAAACATGAAGAAAAGGGGAAACGCGAGCCTGGTTGGGGAACGCCACGGCACCGGAACATGGCCACAGCCCAAAAGGAAGAACCAACGAGCGCAAAAACGGACAGAAGTGGGTGATGCGAATACGTTTCTGGTATGGAGCGGCAAGCTAAGAACGTGCTGGGGAAAGGTCTAACTGAAAGTGACTGATTTTTGTTTCAAGGTACTTTGACGTCAGGTACCGCTGTCCCCTGCTCGGGAGAAACATTGGTCAGCCAGCCAAGACAGCCTCCGTGGCCTATTTGAGAGACTGATTTGCGTACGTAGCATATTTCACAATCGACATCCAATGAAGTCATCATTAACAATCCTTTATTGGCCAAATTCCGCACTTATTCAATGGTCGTAATTATCTTTTTCTCATGTTCGACGGCTCAACACGAACCTGGCTTTGTACAGCTGGGCGTCAAGATCTGTCGCCTCTCATGGGGTGAGCATTATGATGACAATGACAGTAACACATCCCCCGCGAGATGAACGCGAGGCGGGAAGAAGCTTAGCAAAGACCTCCCTCCTCCACTGGGCGTGAATGACGACAGTTGTTGCTGCCGCCGTTCTCCCTCTAGACGCGGGCATGCAGGTACTTCATCTGAGGGTACATATGTAGCTTTAGCGTGGCCCATTGGCTAAGGTACTTACTTACCTTAAGGTTCTTCCCCAAGTCGACAAGGCAAACAAACGGGTTCCACAGACGAGGCGCTGCATGTCACTGCTCTATCGCGGGTTGGGAGGCGGATCGAGTACTCCTGAAGGACAAGAAATAAGAAACAGGAAACAGGAAATGGGGAATAACAGAGCAACATAAAGGCTTGTCCATCACCCACTCCGCCTCCGTCAGAGCTTGCAGCATTGTGTTCCTCTGTATCAAAATCCCATGAGTTCTCGTCTCCGTACCATCCAGGCTATGATTGTTCCCCCAATGTCGAGGAAATCGAGGCAATCGAGACAAACGCCAAATAATGACCACAGTCCCAGTCTATCGAAACGCCCCAGCTGAAGGCTTGTCTTTACTCTCCTCTATTCCTTCAGCCACGGTATGTATGTAGGTTACATTTCTCGACGGCAGGGGGCCAATAAAGCTGAATTAACCCTTGCTCTACTTAACTTCCCTCAGGTGAGCCGAGAGGTGGCGGTGCATTCAAACGCTGCAGAATGGACGTCAAATCCATGAACCATGCCTCATGCCCTGTGGCACCCCTGTGTGTTGGAGCCTAGGAGGTCTGGGCTGCCACTCGCTGGTCCGTCATCCGTCGCATGTCGTCTGTCTATCAATGGACATTAATGGTGTGGCTGATCCTAGCAGCTCGCCATCCCAGCCCCTACTCCGCCACGCCTGTCGTCACTGATACTTTCTTCCCTCACGCCTCCATCCCCCATCTCGTGTTGAGAAAGCTGGTGATGCTGGAAAGCCCGATGCTTTGAGGGTTTTGTTCGATCGCGATCCGCACGCCACAGTGTGCGCCACCCTTGTGCAAAGTGCTTATCTACTTGTCTACTTGTCAGTCTTTGAGAAGACAGCCAGACAGGTCAGCATCATGCTTGCAAGTTATTATGTGTTATGTCAATCACAATGATTAAGTATCCTGCTTCCCCAGTTCATACCCGGTCACGTTTCGATCGATATTGAGGCAGCAAGTTAGTGCAGAGCCAAGTCCAATATGGCTTAGCATACCGCCAATGTGCCTGCGTGCCTCGGAAGGCTACAGATAATGCGCTGATCTTACCAGCGTTCCCCCAGTTCTAGAGGCTTTAGCGGCTCAATTCACCGTCAACGTCACAGTGATTACACAAATCCGCCCACTGGTTGCTATGGCTTTGAGACAGGTAGCTTCGGTTCACCGGAAACAATTGGAGTCGTCCGGCGCTTGTCGAGGCCAATCTTCGTTCAACAATTTGACCATCTTTACGGATACTCCGTTTGTTGAACCAATATCGAAACCTCGCATAGACGAGGATATTATTAAATTCTACCCATCCTCTGTGCGTGTCAGCATAAATCATACTCTGCTACTGACATTGCCATATGTCGGGTACTTCATCTGCATTGGTAATTTGGGTACAGACAAACCTGGCCAGGTTCGAATACCGGTCTCGCTTTGTTGGAAACGCTGCCACCTTAGGTTGGGTTATCTGGTTGAAGCCTTTCGAGGTCAGACATCCTGAGATGCTTTAGTCCGAAGCGGATTTGCTATATACATACAGAGTACGGATATGCATTGTAACTAATAAACGCACTGAACCCCTGGCAGGGCAATGACAGTTCTATGTCGTTGAACTGATTGGTCAGTATCCGCGTTTTTTCAGCTGTTATAAAACCCGAGAGGGCCTATCAGGTGATGGAAGTGCCCCAGCAACGTGTCTGATAACAGCTGCGAAGTCATGAACCAAGCCATTTGAGGGCGACTACTCCGTACCCAACAAGCTAACTAACAATGGATCTACCGTCAATAGTTGTGTTTTGTATAGTCTTGTTTGGCCTTGTTCTTAAGGTGCGGTTGCTTGTGTGGTGAATCATGTTGCAGCAACGTACACACTGATCAGCCAGCAACTAACACAGGAAGCGCATTGGTGGTTACTCAAGATGCTTTATTGTCGGCCACCCGTCAATAGAGAGATCTTCTACTTCGCTCATGCTCCTTTCCTGATTATTTGAACGCTTCTATTCGATAGTAGGTGCTCAACGGATGACGCCCTCTAATATATACTCCTAGTTTCTCACAACCTCGTCACTGTTTTAACTCGACAGTATATTGTATTTTAGCATATCATGATGTGATCTAAATCGACAATTGCTCATAATGGAGCTGTTCCTGTGGGTAACTATGGTGCTTCTCTGACGTCGATACAATATTATGTCGTTCGTGTGTAGGTATTGATTCCAGAGTGTTTTTTCCTTCGTGATACGAATCTGAGTCACTGCCGGCCCGAAGCATGTGACATAGCCGGTAGTGGTGAGCATTTCAACTGTTTCACCCTGCATAGTCAAATCTTTGGCATTTTATTCTAGCTATTCCTTTATCTGTTTAAGGTTGTTGTCTTGGGCACCTGTTGTCGCAAGTTGTCTCAGATGAGATATCTCACTCCATTTCAGTCACTAGCATGATCGGGCCACTCGAAGACACTTGCCCACCTGTTTGAAACCCGCATTCTTGCGGTCGAGTCGCAATTTAATTAGATGTGTAGCCATATCTGCGTTCTCCGTTGGTGGACATGATTTGTTGGCCAGGTATTGCGCGATACTGTCAGCAAGCTTGCACTACAACACTGCCGAATTCCGATTCCTACGCATATCGGTAGTTCTGCCGGATCCGAGACAATTATCTATATCAATATCAGAATCCATATACGATGACAGCATGGAGAGTTTGGTCAAGATGTCCAGAATTTGGATCAGTCTAAATTGATGGTCGTTCAGTTGTCATGGCGTTGAGGTATAGGGTATGTTTCATTTTGTTGGCGTTAACGGGAAGTGCATTCATGGTATTTATGGGATATATTATCAGCGCCACTCGTTTTGAACGAAGACTTGATATCACTGTTGGATCCTTGGGACTTGTCTCGGAGTATCGGCGGGACTTTGGTAGTCAATGGCAATGCCCAAATAGCGGTCCATATGGTTGAAGTACGTTTTGTATTCGGCATCGTTTAATAACAGCCTACCCTGCACCCCAATAAGAGTTAGGAAACCACATTGTTAAGATCGAGAGGAATTCAAGTTGTTCACCACTTTATGCCCTGAGACATATAGCTATACTGTCGAAAAAATCATACGAAGTACAGCTATTGTGTTCCGAGACTGGAATGTGGTTGACATGTCAACTTCGATTGAGAAGTCTTGACAATTGCTACCCATAGTAACTTAAGACAACCGGTCATTGTGGAATGCGACTACGCAACGAACGAGTTGTCTCGATTGATCACATCATACCACAAGACGGAGACCCCGTTTCTAAAGTACAGTCATACACGAGGGCAGGGAAATGCTACATCATCTCTGTAGCTAGCCAAAACGCGTGGTGCAAGGCATCGTGAGACATGATAGCGATATGATCCTCCAAGGACGCAGTATGGCCCTTCTCACGTTATACAAGTATATTGGACACACGCGAGATCCTTGGTAACTGATATGTATGGATATGGTTGCAAGACATGGAGTACAAACGACAACTTACAAGACCATGATGGTAAAACCAAAGGGCAAGACGAAAATGGATGCTTCGGCGTAGTGAGGAGAACCAACAAGGCTAAAAAGAACCCTGATATCCGGCCAGATTCAAGGCTGTGAAACATATTTAGGAATTCGGCCCATGATCTCTTCAGGCCTGGCCTGGTTGCGTGCTCTGGCATAACGATTTCAGACTGGACTGCGTGGAACAAGATCCAGGCGTAATTGTGTCTAGGCTACGGAGTACCGCAACAAGCGTTGTATTGCAACCGAAAAGACGGCGCTTCAGGCGGTCCAGGTTCGTAGGTCTAATGATAGACAATCGTACTAGACAAGGTCCATTGGTAGATCGTTCCAATCTATTAACTCCCGTGGAGCATCGACAAGGGCGACGCAATTCTTGCTCCAAGGAAAGGTAATTGAGGGGGAAATTAATATCTCGAATAAGCCTTCACTTACCGAGGCCTTGTACTGTCAGGCTGTCAGCCCACGCGGCACGAGACCCATTCTAGGCATTCAGCCATTGCAACAGAGCGAAACAGGGTGGCGGCGGTCGACGACGACAGTATCTTCAAGTGATGGGAAGTGGACGAAATTAAGTGCTGACGCGTGTGCCACCGGACCGACGATGTTGAGCGGTAGCGGATGCGAGACTCGAAGGACTAATGATGCAAGGGGAAGAGACAAAAGTGGAGAGACTGAGAGTGAGAATGAGAAGGGTAGGGTGGGATTGTCTACGAATAGCTCACTGAGAAAGAACTTTCCTTATGTCTGCCAAGAAAACGAACAGTTCGAAGTCTCGGAGCTGTCAAAAAAAAAGAAGGGGGTTTCAGAAAACACCAAGAAGACAAAAAAGACAAAGAAGGGGGGAAATGGAAGTAGGATCTCTAAGCCACAAAATAGTGGAGATGGTCCTTCGAATCGCAAACAGAAGAATCAGGAGAGACAATAATGACTCGAGCAAGGTACTGTACCAAGATTAAAGTATTGCCGAGCCGTTGTCGATTGGACACCATTGACTGGTATTTTCGCATCTGACAAGGTTACTATGGCAAGTATCCGTACATATCACATGGAGAAGCGGGCAGGCGGGCTGGGGAAGTATTCAGAACTTGTCAAGACACGGCAATGCCGATCTGATCTCATATTGGATGCTCCGGGGACGAGGATCAGAGGAGACGTTTTCGCTCCCATGGTCAGGTTGTCAGTTGTCAGTGAGGGGGGGGATGGATATTCGTCATGAAGCACATGAACCTGAATCACAAATGCGAATTTGTTATAGAGCCTCATTTAAACTTCAGCCAACCATGTTCTGGGATCACATCAATCGGAGATCATGTTTGTTGTTGGCGGCTATCAATCAATTTGAGAGTTCATTGTCACAATTCGCTGCCATGATTGGCTTCATCCTCTGGCCTCATTTCTGAAACAGCCAACGATCGACCAGAGGACATTTGACTTTTGGGGGACCAGTTCAGGTAGCACCGCTCGAAGCTAGCGTCAGGTACCCGAAAGTAAGATATCTTACGGTGTAACAGCTGAGGCTTTTGTTTTATTTTACTTACTCTACCTATTTCATAGCGGCTAACAGCCTCCGGGATAACCAAATGTCTAGACTTGTTCTGGTCTCTTGTATTCTGAAATATATCCACGATCACTAGAGCAAAAATCTGCTACATCGTGAATTGAAAACGCGCGTGCAAGACAACAAAGCTGAAGCCACTTGAAGGCCAAGACCTCTAGGTCGTAGTTGGGTTCAGGCCTAAACAATCGAAGAGCTGACGACTTGTAATAAGACGGTGAGAAGGGGGGCTGGTGCTGAGACTTAGCGGGGCATACGCTAAAGTACGATGTACCGTATAGTGTTTCTTGGTAGAACGGGGTCGGTTACTTGGGAGTAATTAGCGGTATGTAGCCGAATGTACGGATAGGATCTGTAATTATATGAATGTATTGCAAGGAAGTCGGCTGGTTGCTGATCTAGCGACCAACCTCGACGGGGATCTGCTCATCGCAATTTGTGCCATGACGACGACTGCGATGGGTAGGCAAATGAAGTGGTTGAAAGGATAATGCGTCAATATTATAACAATTTTGGTAAAATATACGGAGTAGGAAGCATGTCAAATCACGTATTGTTTTGTTTTGTATTGTATTAGCCGTGGGCGGTACGCAAGGCGCATGCAACCAGCAACGGGCCAAAGTGCCATCGTCTCGTCTCATGCATAAGAAAACAAAAAGAAAAGGGGGTAACGGTCGATCACATTTATGGGGGAGATTTCTTGGCATGGACAAAACTTATAGAGCTACGATTGGCTAGGTATTATCAGATGAACAGAAACTTGCGCATCCATGTTTGCATTGATTCTTTTCATTGTATTTGTATTTATCAGGCGAGTGTTGTTAATTTGGTAACAAATCTGCCCTGTTTTGGCAGGTGTTTTCATTTGCTGCGCCTGGACTGTTCCTGTCGTTGCTTCTAGAGGGGAGGGGAAGCCCTGAGCGAGTAACTGGAAACCTCCACTAGCACGGGCTGTCCAACAGTAACAGCGGATCAAAACAAGGGGCTGGCCAACGAGGGGCACGGAAATGTGCCTGTGACAGTCGCCAAAAAAGACGATTAATTTCCCTGTCCTGGGCAGTCATAACTTTAGCAGGAACTAAATACCAATTGGGTGTTCCAGCATGAACTTGTCGGACAGTAGCCTCCCGTCGTCAGGCCCCCCTGGACCGCTCGCTGTTGGCCTCTCTTCCTCTGTGAATCTCCCGGATGCCCCCCTGGGTCCTGGGCCTTGGATTGGAAGTCGGTCAACCCTTGGAGACGGTCCCTAAATAGGAATTCCCTAGACAAAGCTTAGGATGGACATCATGATCTTATTCATCCGGTTTGCAAGCCGGAACTTGGCCTAGCCAACTGAGGGAGAAGCAACCGCTTCTGGTATTTGCACCTGGTGTCATGTCTCACTTGACGCAGTTAACAACGTCTTCTCGGACATGTTTGCGTCCCTTCCCAGACCTCATCCCGACCGGGTGCGCATTCATACCAAATTAATAGTGACAGGCTGCTTCATCCGATCCAGTCAATGCCAATGCCAATGCCAATGCCAGTACCAATGCTAAGGAAATGCTAACAACGCCAATGCCAATCTCTCTACAAGGTACTGACTCCTGCCCAGGTTCTTCTTTCTTAGTTATTACCTAGCATCTCGCTTCTTGGATTCAAACACCCCCTGCTCCTCCTCTCCTAGCTCTCCTCTGCTCCTTGCCTTAGCTTGCCCCCCTTCCAGGCCTCCCCTACTCCTCTAATCCCCTGGTCCTTGATCCCCTGGTCAAGACATACTGGACCTCTTTTCATTCTTATCCCCTTTCGTCTCCGTCGACCCCAGGCGCTTTGTTCCTTCTGCTTTCCTATACCTCTTCCCAGCCAACTGAGAGTTTCATCTTTATTTGCTCTCTCCCACACTCATTTATCCATCTGGTTTTGTTTTTTGGCCTCTTGCCTCACCACATTCGCTTTTACAGCAGTCGCTCACTACAGTTGGGATATTTGATTTTTAATTTCAAGTACTATATCATTACACTTGCAAAAAAATAAGAAAAAGGTTAGTCGAAACATTGTGCGAAGCGTGTGTCATTGGCATTGGGGAGGGAAACGTAGTGCAACGGCGGATCACAGTTCAGAGGTGAAAAGGAGAACAACATCCACGAAGTTCAACAACACATCGAATTCCGAACCAGCACGAGAAACAACAATACGCCCTACTAGGGAATGGAAGTGACCGTCGGCGTTTAGAGGAATACGACCAGAATGATATGGACTGAGCTGGCGACATTTATGTCAAGGGAATTAAGAACGGTACAAACCGTACCTCAACCACAACATCTACATCCAGATGCACTGGATTTCACTTTAGGATTATTCTGACAGTCAGGATTGTCCAATTCAACTGGACGGACTTTCTTCAACCTCTTACAACCCACGGAAGACACTTGGATTCAGAAATGCCTGCGATAGTAACCGTTGAAACGCCCAAAGCTAATCATACTTGTATATAGACATTTTTGTTCCGCCACCATGAAGAACCTCATCACTTACACTCTGGCGGCCACGCTTGCCGCCGGTGCCACCGCTCAGCACCACCAGCACCAGCACATGCACGCCCGCCGCCACGCTGGTTCCAAGGTTGAGAAGCGCGAGCCTGACGTTATCACCGAGTACGTTGTCGCCGCCACTGAGACAGTCTACGAGCTCGGCGGAGAGCAGATCGACATCAAGGACGCCAAGGCCGGTCTTAACGGAGGCAACCTCGTCGTTGTTGGCGAGTCTAACCCCACCTACGCTGCCCCCGTTGCCGCTGTGACTGCTGCCGCTGTTCCTGAGAAGGTTGCTCAACCCAAGAAGGAGGTCGGCGCCCAGTTCTACGAGTCCAAGACTGTTGAGATCCCTACCACCGTCGCCGAGCCTGTCTACGAGACTCCCGTCACCAAGGCCTCCCAGGCTCCTAAGGCCTCCACACCCAAGGCTTCCAAGCCCAAGACCGGAGGTTCCAGCTCTGGCTTCAACGGCGCTGGCACCGGTGTCGACAAGACCTTCGAGAGTGGTGTAGTCGACTGCGACACCTTCCCGTCCGAGTACGGTGCTGTTGCCCTTGAGTGGCTCGGAATGGACGGATGGTCTGGCATTCAGTATGTCCCTGACTTCACCTTCGCCTCCAAGGTCATCTCTCAGATCGACACTGCCATCAACGGCGATGGCTGCCGGCCAGGTGCTATGTGCTCATACGCCTGCCCCGTTGGATACCAGAAGACCCAGTGGCCCGCCGCTCAGGGTGCTTCCAAGGAGTCTATTGGTGGTCTCTACTGCAACAAGAACGGCAAGCTTGAGCTGACCCGTGACGGTTACGACACCCTTTGCGAGTCCGGAATGGGAGGTGTCTCCATCCAGAACGATCTTGACGAGGATGTTGTCACCTGCCGAACCGATTACCCTGGAACTGAGAACATGGTTATCCCCGCTGTTGCCAAGGCTGGCAGCTCCGTCAGCGTTTGCAACCCTAACCAGAAGAAGTACTACAACTGGAACGGCAGCGGCACCTCCGCTCAGTACTACGTCAACAAGAAGGGCTACAGCGTTGAGGATGCTTGTGTCTGGGACAGCCCCAAGGGTAAGGATGCCGGTAACTGGTCTCCTGTTGTCCTTGGTGTTGGCCAGGCTGAAGATGGCAACACCTACATCTCTATCTTCCAGAACTCTCCCACTAGCACTGCCAAGCTCGACTTCAACATTGAGATCAAGCTCAATGGACAGGAAGAGTGCGAGTGCTCCTACATCGACGGCGTGTGGAGCAAGGGCGGAGACGGTTGCACTGTAAGTTATTTCTTGAATCCTTTGCCATTGACTTCTTACTAATCATGTTTACAGGCTACCCTCCTCAAGGGTGGCAAGGCTGTTGTCCGATACTTCTAAGAAAAAAAGTCTTTGGGCTTGTTGGGTAGGATGTGCGTTTTTGGAACTTCTTGTCAATATTCTGGGCGGCAGACCTTTGGGACCTTTCGGCCGCGGGCCACGGACGAGCGCCAGCATTGGCACATGAGTTGAGTCTGTCGACGGATTGTACCGACTGCTGGCACGGGCGGGCTTGCTCCCTTTCAAGCTTGGTGGAGTCCTTTGGATATAGATCAGATGATCGCAAGGACCGGAGACTCTGGACGACCGATCTTAACTCTAGTCTTGTTCTCTGGGCCTTTGCCCAGCCTTATTTCTTTTTGCTTCATTTTCCCTATGTCAGCACGTACTCCATATATTGCGTTTTGTACTGTTTATTTAAACAGCAGATTTCTCACGGATTGACAATGCCTCGAACCATGGTATAGCAGCGGTCGAATGCAGCCAGCGATTGCGAATTACTTCAGCATTGGGAGGAGCCGGCGAGGCGTTTTATACCCCGAAGAGAGGGCGTTGCGAGAATCTCTCGGAGCATGAATGAGATTAAGTGGTCGACGTCGTTGGGTCCTGGATGAAGATGCCCCTCTTAGAGTTTACCTTGTTTATGTAATGTCTTTGAATTGAATAGTGTATAGTGTCTTGAATTCAGTTATCAAAAAGTCTTGAGGTGACGAGTGTTGTGTTGATGTAGTGTTGCAGTCACAAGACGTTAGACGGGATAGAATAGCCCCGTTCCGTGATGTGGTAAGTTGAATTGAGCTTTATTCCAACAATGGACGCCACACCCGGCAATGATAGTGGTCTCTTGGACCTGGTATAGTGCCCGTTGTAGGTAGGTAGCATAAGCTTCAGTGGACTCTCCAACCACAACTCAGCATCTTGCAGTATTGTTGCTGCATGTGACCCTTGATCGGAACCAATTGCCTCTGTTTGTGTGCCGCTACGTGCGTCATCTTGGATGAAGGAGGGTAGTAAGACATCTTGACAGGTCTTTTGATGGTACGGATAAGCAGTAGTAATAAGCTATGAGGAACCATCTTCAGTCAGTTGAGAGAACAAAAACGCGGGGTATGAGGCGAAACGGGAACAGCTATGGGAACAGTCACAGCCAATATTGAAGCTCTATGGCTAGGAATTGATCTTGGCTCTTGTTCGTTGCAGCTCAGCGTAGTATTTGTTAGTGACAAAACCTGTCATAATTAAAAACTCCAGGCAATGGTGAAGATAATGATGGGCGCTAAAGAAGCCTTACTGCATGTTGCCGTCTAACTATCCGTAGTGGCGCATTATAATCCCATGCTTCTATCGTCATTGACTCCACACAGATTAGAGGCTTTAACTTATTAACCGGAAACCCGCCGTCTAAATAAGTACATTAGACAGCCTTTTCCTTTGTCGTGTCTCCCAGCTTTTTTAGATCTCCCCCCTCTCTCTCATAACTCCCGACTCATTCCATCGTCGGCACAAGAGAGAATGTCGCTGAACCGTGTTCAAAGCATCGAAACGCTGACGGCCCCGCCGGGTCGTGGAGCTTCGATCGAGAGAAGAGGAAGCGATGCGAGTTTGAGGGTTCGACGATTGACGTTCAATCCTGTACCGCAGGACTTCGAAACGGCGTCGCTGAGACCAGATGAACAACATGCGGAAACTGTTGGGGCATTTGAGGTTCCTCAATGGAAGAGATTGCGTAAGTTATCACCATATCGAGTATCATGATAAGAACCATGAAGGAGGGATGCTAACATGTAAACCTAGTCCAAATCGGTGCTGCAGTTGTGCACTGTCTCTTTGCTGCAGGCATAGGTAAGTCTCTCATATCAAGGAAACGCTGTGGCTTTTGGATAGCCGCTGATAACGTTTTAGTCTTTGGTTATGCCGCTATCAAACCTGTCCTCAAGCTCGAAGGTGCATACTCCGACGTCTGCAAGCTATCCCACTATCAGAGTCCAACTAGCGATATAAATGCTATCTCTGATGACCCTCATGATACGTGCGTTGAAATCAGACTAAACCTGATGTTCACGGTCGCTGCTGTTGGGACCAACGTCGCAGCTCTACCTGTAGGCGCAATTCTTGACCACTTCGGTCCTCGCGTATGTGGCTTGCTTGGATGCCTTTTCCTGACGATAGGCACGTTGCTCATGGCATATGCTAAAGCTCTACCCTTTGATGGTCTCCTTCCAGGTTACCTGTTCCTTGCTCTCGGCGGTCCGTTCACGTATATTTCGTCTTTCCAGCTCTCCAATGCCTTCCCACGACACTCGGGTCTCATTCTTGCGCTCTTGACTGGTGCTTTCGATTCGTCGAGCGCATTGTTTCTCATTTACCGCTTGATTTACAATGCCACTGACGGAGGCTTCACTTTGCGCAGCTTCTTCCTTGTTTACTTGATAGTTCCTGCTGTGATCTTTATCAGCCAGATTCTCATCATGCCTGGACAATCTTACAAAACGGTTGGAGAACTTGTCGATCAAGCTGCCGAGGCGGACGAGAACATCGTCATTCACTCGACAACAAGCACCCAGCAGGAGATTGACGAGCACACGGCGCTGCTCCGTGATGAGCGACGTGAGGAGAGAGAGCGACGCGAAGCAGTGGTTCATGACATTGAGAACCTCCTTGGGTCATCCAAAGGTGACGACCAAGTTGAAGCCAAGGAGCGAAAGCATGTTGCATCTGGTGTCTGGGGAGTCCTCCACGACCGCACTGTCCTCGAGCAGATCAGGTCTCCGTGGTTCATACTTATCTGCCTTTTTACAGTTGTTCAGATGACGCGTATCAACTTTTTCGTTGCCACGATCCGACCACAGTACGAGGCCATCTTCGGAGACCATGAAGTTGCTGTGAGGATCAACACCTTCTTTGACGTCGCCCTGCCAGCGGGTGGAATCTTCGCCATCCCCTTTATTGGGACAGCTCTTGACCACGTCAGTACCGTCTTGGTGCTGGCAGCCCTCGTCGCATGCGGTACACTCATTGGTATCCTGGGCGTCCTTCCCTATGAATGGGCAGCATACGCCGGTATCATTCTTTTCGTTCTTTACCGCCCGTTCTACTACACTGCTGTGTCCGACTACAGCGCCAAGGTGTTTGGCTTCCGAACATTCGGAACCGTGTACGGACTTATAATTTGCCTCTCTGGCTTATTAAACTTTTCCCAATCGGGCCTTGATGTTCTATTCCACCAAACTTTCAACGGTAACCCGGTGCCCGTTGATATCATGCTTCTGGTCATAGGCCTTGCCATCGGCGTTGCGCTTGTTGTATTTGTGGCAGTGAGGCTTCGGAAAACGCAGCAGAAGGCCAGAGCAGGTATAACACAATAATGTGATATGAGATTTCATTTATACAGCAAAGTTGGTTGTACCTGCTGTTGGTGAATCACCTCCTTCAGCTACACCCTCCCACACCCCTCTATGGATAATTGCCTTCGTCAATATCATCACATCTTCCGAATATAGTCCAAAATAAGAGTATGCTCTAGCACATACGACCAAAGGTAGTGGAAAATACGGGATCCCGTCCGCTCTCCCATAGTCAAGCCACTAACCGGCGGATTAGTAGTTGGGTCGGTGACGACCAGCGAATCCCCGCTGTTGTATGTTTTTTGCGTTTTGTGTGGATATAGCTATACACATAGTATTTATTATTCTTTTATGTGGGGAGCAAAGCGTCTGACACAAGAATGTTAACCAGAACCTGCATTTATATAAATCAACAACCTCATCATGAGGCTTTGACATGAATATTCTTTTAATATTTCCTCAGTTGTGACTTGTTAGTGACCTCTAAGGCTTTGCACCCCCCTGTCCTTCAGATCCAATATCGGGTTTAACTATCGGTGTCGTGACTGACACTGAACATGAATTGACATACAAAATGCTCCAACCGATGTACTTACTTTTATTCTTAAGGAACTCTATCAGATACATAGTTCCAAGGCTCTAGAGCTCCTCAAGGAGTCAACACTCTTGGAAACGAGCATTTCCTGGCCCTGTAGCTACTTAAATAGTCATCGTGATCAGACATAAGGACTAGCAAGGAAAAGGGCTTGAAGTCTCGCTTCTTACACAGGTTTGATGACAGATATTGATTTGTATGGCGCAGCACTTTGACTGAACGCAGCAAGCGACTGGATATGGCATATATATATATGCACTGAGAAGACTACTAGTTATTCATATTAACATCTAGGTTCAAGTCGACGTTAACAGCCGAGAAAGTATACCAGAAGCCGAAATGCCTTCGCCTACACAAAACTTTACTCCTTGATAACAGGAGTGCGGAAAGGCTCTTCGCCACAGTACTGGCCCCAGCCGTCAAGTTGAGCAGAAGCCCACTTAATAATCTTGCTAAAATCCTTATCCTCTTCCTTGGGCGTGCAGTAATAGGTCTTGTCGGATGAGCTGAGCTTACCTGTCTTCTCGACAGAGGGAGGATACTCGATCTGGAGCACAGGCTTGCCAGCATCAATATATGTCTGGAAGTCCTCGCAGAAGGGCCAATTCTCCTCTTCGGGGTCGGTAGTTCCGCGGCAGGACTCAAGGACAGCAAAATCGAGAGACGAGACTAGGTCATCTGCGATTTCTGGCGCATTTTTCTGGCCAACAAGGAGCAGGTTGCCGTCCTTAGTCTTGATAGAGTGGGCGTACTGAGCAAGACTCTTAAGGTACTTGGTGTAGTCAGATGACTTCAAATTGAAGCCTGTAGGATCCCCTTCATCCTGCTGCCAAGCATCGACATTGTCGGGGTCAACAGCATCGCATCCGATCTTGGCGGCAACATCAAGACGTGCTTTTTGGAGCTTCAGCACAGTCGAGTCGCGAATGTCGAGGTACCACTCTTCGCTATCGTAAGGATAGGCCAATGAGTGTCCAATAACGGCCTTGGGAAATTTATCTTTGTCGTCGTCCCAAGCTTGGACAGCGCCGGCGTTAAAGTAACAGATGACGAACTTGCCAGCGCTCTATTTGCATAATTGGTCATTCAGTCAGGTTCTTCTTAGTAGTGTTTAACACTATATGCTTACCTTGAGTAGAGGAATCATCTCAGGATAACGACGAGCATGGCCCATATCAACGTCCCAGACCTTGGCCTTTAATGGGATCAAGTCGGCGGCGCTGTCATGTTTGATAGGCTCATGAATAACTATCTCCCATTGAACACCAGGTTTAAAGTCGGAGAGTCCAAAAGATGAAGGAGAAGAGGCAGTGGCTGCGGGCTTTGGCTCTGCAGTTACAGTCTTGACATGGTCAGCAACACGACATTCGCCTCTACGACGAGCGCTTACAGAACCACCAAAAGTCAAGGCAGTGAGTGCTATTTTGTTGAAAGTGACCATGGTTGCTGATGCTGAAATGTAGGAGCAGAAACCAGGTGTCAAAGAGGATAAGATAAATGTCTTCAGTCTGCAGTCTACAGTCTGGCGATGGTTGAAGTAAGCAGTGAAAATTAAGTCCTAACTAGGACAGGTGTGGGTATAGATGAGGCAAATCAGGCAGGTAGTCTTGACGCTGCGATGAGAGACAGTAATGATAGTCTTGGGAAACAAAAGCTTTGATGGTAAAGGTGACGGTAGAGATATTATATTGATCATCATGGCTAGATCTTATCGTTCGATTGCTGACAACCTCATAATAAGTACCTTGTCAAATACAAGGTATAACAAGCCCATTGCTTCAAGATGCCAGCTGCGGAAGGTGAGTGCAGAAGGAATTTGTGGAACATGATGCTGCAAGAAGCAACAATTATGTACTGACACAGTCGTGTTTCCGAGCAATGGCTTGTTTAGTGGTCATATGTCAAGGATCCAAAGTGCTATCTACCTGTATATAGTAAGGCTAAATGTCAGATAGTGGGTCGAGAGTGAACCGGTTTGCAAGTGGGAGATTCAAGGCATCCTTATTTCAAGCGCCGTTGCCGTAATGATCGTCGACAGGTGTTGTCCTTGGGCAATTGATCTTTTCGGCTCCTCATGGCAGCTCCTCCAGGAAGCTTGGCTGGCTCCGCCTAAGATGGTCAGATCCTGCTCAAGCTTTATCGGAGACACTGAGACGCCACATTTTTAATGACCAGGACCATGAGCATGATTATTATGGCCCACCCTAGCCCTGCACACCGGCGTATGAGTGGTGAACGTTGCGGTGGATGGATTCTAAAGTTGCATGGCAGTTCCTACCGCAGCTTCTCGTGCTCTGCGAACCTCGTCTCGCCTCTCGTCGTTCTCCTCCTTGAGCCGGTCCTCGACCTCGTCTCTAATACCGCCAAGATCAGGCGGTATTGTTTGTAACTGGACGCTTGGTGCTGCCTCCACAAACCGAAGTTGTTCTGTAACATGCTGAACGATTTCCTGTAAACGTTTTGCAGTGTTCTTATTCACTCTGGGTTCGCCGAGAATCTGCTCTAGAGTGGGGAAAAGGGTGTCCTGCCGGAAGTGATCGCGCCAAGGGGCATGCTCCGGAAGAATGGTGCTGATCTTGTCTTGGGCATTGATAGCAATACTCGTCTCGTAAGTCCATGCCCTGGCCACGTTACGCGGGGTATATCCTCCACCTCCAAACAAGATCATGGGAATTCCCATCTCCTTGCAGAATTTGACGCAAGCTCCATGGCCTTGGACCTGCAGATTGAACCTACCAAGCCGATCGCCAGCCAAAGAATCCGCACCACACTGCAAAGCGATGGCGCCAGGTCTGAACTTTTCCACTATTTTGCCGATTACTGTGTTAAACAAGTGATCATATTGTTCGTCAGTGATGCCGTCGTTGAGTGGTACATTGAAAGCATGGTGCGAGCCTGGGTTATGCTCGCTTTGCGGACCGTTGTCATCGAGAGCCCCGGTACCAGGGAAGAAGTTATTGGGATCGTACTTGTGAAATGAGACCGTCATAACTCTGTCAGTTGAGAAAAATGCTTCCTCGACTCCGTCGCCGTGATGCACGTCAATGTCGATATACAAAACTCGAGGGTAGTGGCGTAGGAGCTCAAGAATAGCAATCACAATATCGTTGATGTAGCAGAAACCGGAGGCTTCAGACCTCTTGGCATGATGAAGACCGCCGCCCCAGGAGATAGCAATATCGGACTGTTTGGAGCAGATCTTTCTGGCAGCATCAAGAGATCCCCCGGCAGACAGTGAACAATAGTTGAAAAGGCCATCAAAGAGGGGACAGTCAGAACCACCCAGATTAAACTTGAGGTCTACTCCCTGATTTTCCAGATCCCTGGGTACCGGCTCAGGCAGCACCGTTCCAAGAAAATCTAGATAATCGGAAGAGTGAAATTCCGCCAGCTCCTCATATGTTGCAGCTCTGGAGATATAGTTGTCCATGGCGAAGGACATGCCGTAAGAGTAGATGAGACTCTTGGAAAGAGTCAACCGCCAGGGTTTCATAGGATGAGTGACACCAAAGTGATGCTTCTCAATGTCCGGATTGCAGTGGAAGGAAACATTGTATCCTTTGGGTTTGGTGATACCAGAGTCCTCGGCCAGGCGTTTGCATTTGTTGTAGAATTTGGCATTGTCCATCTCACTCGCAAGACCCAGTGGCGTATTGGTGAACTCTTCCACAACAGAATTATCACGGTCCTCATCTGCAATGTGTGGGAGGTAATTGGGCTTAGGTACCCGATACCTATAAGTGTCTATGTCCATGATGGCGAATGTAGAAGTAGTAGTTTGATATCTCAGAAGTCAAAATGCGATGCCGTTGGTTGGTGAGTGACTGAGTAAGCGCTTTTTGTGAGTCCGATGTCTTGTTTTGGCTTGAACAAAGAACGATGGAGACTGGGATATGGGCTATGATGATATAAAGATAATGTGATGGTCTCCTGAACGCTCTTCTTTGAAGGGCGTATGGCAAATAGGCTGTGTGGTAAGGTTGATGTAGGTGGTAAAATGGATAGCTTTCAATTCTCAAGTGTCGAAAATGGACAAATGCAGGCAGAACCCTGCCCGTGAACTGTGCTGCGTGGTTGGTGAAATGGGGGCAGGCTGTAATGGAAGTAGAGCTAGGTGTATTTGAGAAAGAATTGCCTGCAAGACAGGGCCTTTACAGAGCTCAGAGACTTGCGAGTACTTTGCTGCGGAGCAAATCGCCAGGAACCAACATGCAGCTTGGGCCTTTCCAATGGAGTTCGTCTTGGTCTATACCAAATACGTGCTAGCACCCACCTGAATATGTGGCTGAGGAAGATGGGGGAGAGGCTGATGAGAAAGTCACTGGGCGCTTCTTTTGCTCCTTCTCAAAAACCTACACCAACCAACTAACCCCTCCACATCTCATCTCATCTCTCTCATCCTCTTTTAACCCCTCCATCAATATCATTCTCGTGTTCAAAGAAAGCGCCCACAAGGAGAACACGTTCGCGGCTGCTGTGATCGAGCAAAGCAGAGCAGAGCACCGCGACTTCCACTTCTCTCACGTCAAAAAGAAAGGACAAGCGAGGAAGTGGGTATCGAGGTGAGCCGAGCCGAGTCATTCATGTCGAGTTGCTCTCTGCGTCCTTCTTTGAACTTGGTTACTTCATCTTCATCTTGAACCAAAACCAATCAATCATCCATCCATTTCTATCGCATACTGTTTTGCAGTTTGCTCGCGATAACCACACCATACCCCTGCTCTACTCTGTTCCCTTCTATTCTATTCTACTTTATTTGGCCTCTCTACTATACTCTACCCTCTGTAGTTTTGGCATCGAATTTATATCCGCCGGATCGGACCACTTTGGGTTCAGTGTCCTTATCTTGTCGTGCCTTGCCTTGTCTCGACTAGGCCAGAACCATCAGATCGTCTCCGTCTGCTTGGCTATCTTTTTGCTTATTTTCATCCGCTTCCATTGTGGCCTTGCATAGTGTCGCACATCTGTTTGGCTTGCATTATAGGTCTCGAGGGCTTCGACGCCGTCACATTTCTCTATTAGCACTTGCCACGCGACCTTCCCATCATTAACAATCATGCCTAGAGACGACTTGTCCATTGACTTCGTCAAGAGGATGCCTCAAGCCGAACCCGTCGACCCCGGCTTGATACTCGACGACTGGATCAACCGTGTCCAGAACCTCCCCGAAGAGATCCGTTTCATGCAAGAAGAGGTTGCCGACAAGGACCGTCAATACAGCGAGTGTATACGTACAATTGAGGACCGTGACGGAAAGATACAGAAATGGATCAAGACGAATGGGAGCCATGAGCCAAACCCTAAGGAGGATCTGCTTCGGGCGCAGGTTCGAGAGAACTTCGTGCGAGCCGACCAACTATCACAAGAGAAGATCGCCTTGTGCCAGAAGATGCAGCTCATAGTAGACAAACATTTGCGAAACTTGGATGTTCAAATCAAGTTGCTTTACGACCGAGCAGAACCTGGCTTCACCGATCCCGACGAAGTCCCTTCTTTACTCCGACCGAGCGCAGCAAACCACACAGCCCCTTCGATCCGCGCTATCAATCCAGCGAGCCATATGACGACTGCCGCCGGCCCTTCTACCCCCCTTGCCGCTGCGCAAGCATCGTCCAATCCTACACTAGCTCGACTTCCGAATCATCCGAATGTCCGTCATGCTCAGGCCCTGCAACACGCCGCGTCCGCCCCAGCAACACCCGCAGCCAGCATAATTCTGAATAGACAAAGAGAAGGTTCCGCAGGACCCATAACGAAGCGTGCCCCTCGCGTAAACCCAGCTTTAGGAACAGTATCAACTGCATCAAGTGGCTTGGCAAGACATTCTTCACTCGGACCGGGCACTCCTAAGGGCAGTACAGTCGGAGGGTCTGGTCTTGCTAGAGCGGGTAGCGCGGGCCCAAGAGCTGGCTCTGTCAAGTCGATAGGACTGGGTAACAGTCGCCGCGGTACACCCACCGGCGGGACTCGGAAGAAGATCCCACATAAGTCGAATTTGTCACGAGTGAAGAAGGCCTCGAATAGGAACTCGCCTGCGGCAACGAACGATAGTGAGCTTTCGGATGTCGACAGTGGCAGTGGGGAAGACGAGGAAGGCGCTGATGGTCGGTCAAGAGGTACGCCCGTAGCGGATGGCAAGGATGTTGACGGCGATGATATTCTAGGAGATGCTGATGATGATGACGAAGAGGGTGGTGACGACAAGAAGTATTGCCTTTGCCATAACGTTAGCTACGGCGATATGGTGGCGTGCGACAACGATAATTGTCCTTACGAGTGGTTTCACTGGTCTTGTGTTGGACTCAAGAGCGAACCAAACGGGACTTGGTACTGTCCGGTTTGTGCTGAGAAGTTCCAGAAGAAGAGCAAGTAGTGTCAGAAACAGTCACGCATCTTGGCGGGCAAGACACGGTATTTCTGCTGGAGTGCTTGCCTGAACTTGGAGGTTCCTTCCTGCAATTGGCTCACGCCTTAGTAACGGCGTTTTAGGGGCGGCAAATACCCATATTGTTTTCAATAAATACCATGTTCTTTTACTCTTCTATGTAAAGTTCAGAAATGTACAGATTACTTGATATCTTGTTTTGATTATTGTGTAGAGTTTGTGCTGTCTATGTGTGTTCTAGAACACACTGAACGACACCACGTCGCACTCCCTCTGTCTCTTCTCTTAACTGCTCTACCTTGGCCCCCTTCTGCCGTGCCTTGTCGATGAAGTCATCCAGCGAACCGCCAACGCCGAAATACAGGCGTTTCGCTCCTATATACGCACCTGTTTCACTGCCCTCGGTATCCCGCTCTTTCTCCAGAATTAAGAAGAGAGTTTCAAGGAAGGCCTGAAGCGCAAACGGAGAGTAGATTGTCTCTGCACCGAGAAGCAGTGTGCTGCTTGGCTGGCCGTCTCCGCAAGGTAGGGTATAGATTAGATCGACAAAATCCCGAGACCAAGCGCCAGACACGAAAGAGAGCGTGACGTTCGATTCCACGAGAGACTGCTGGAAAGCAGCGAGAATATCAGGGCCAAGCTCGACTTCTCCCTCGATTGAGAAGGCTTCGTGAAGAGCGGGCAACTGAGAGTTGTTTAGGGCCCATGAGAGGATGAAGTTGGGAAGAGTGACTAGTTGGAGAACGGAAGGGTTGTAATCCGCAAGGATCAGAGACAGAGGTTTCTTTTCTGACGCTGAGGTCATGGCCCATTGGAAGACGGCCAGGGATGGCAAAGCAGTACCGCATCCAAGCTGTTGGCGAAGGGGTTAGATAAAGCACATTGCACATCTAAGTCAATCTTACATACCTCCATAACTCGGAAAGGCCTCTGCTCTAGCGCAGATATAGCATTGTTAGCAGCCAGCACTTTGACAAGGTCAACACTGCTTTCCCAGCTCTTGAAACCGCCCTCATAAACACCCGTCTTCACATCATGACTGCCCAGGCCCTCAGACTGTGCACCGGCAACATCTTCCTCCTCTGCCATCAGCTGCACTCTCACGTCCCACAACTCCCTCCGCGGCAGTCGGATGGTGGTACCATCGTCGAGCGTAACATCTAGAAGACTGAAGGCGATCTTGGACGGTAGCTGAGCAAGAAGATCGGACAGTTGATGCACGGTTGGTGGGAGCTGAGGCTTGCCAGGAACAGGAAATGCGCTGCTGGTGGAAGCGGGAGTAGGGTCAGGCTTGACAACAGAGGGAGCCTGCTCGTCGTCGGATATATCGTCACCGGCGAAGCCAAATGAGAAAGACATGGTGAGTGAAGTTATACAACTTGCTTGTTTTCTATGTGAAGGACTCGAAGACTTTGATAGGTACCAGGTAGGCATGAAAAGTTGCGAGTGTGTGCACTGTGTAGTGGGGCTTTAGAGATGGTAGTGATAATGTGCCGGACACTGTGCCTTGAGAATCTCGTCAACTCCCGCGATTCTGTCCGTCATCAACTTTGACGACTTATTTTTAACTGTCAACGCCACTACAGTCGAGCCTTTATTTCAATACATAAATCTTACATAATCTCATATAAATCTTCAATCTCTCACTTCATAATGCGTCAATCACTGATGAGGCTGGCATCAGCAGCCAATACTCAGCGCGGACTGAAGGCAAACCCCACGGCTCTGCTCCCTCCCATCCCCTTGTATCGTCGTCTTTTCCGTGCGCATCGCAAACATCTACCTGCTGAGATGAGACTGCTTGGAGACGAGTACATCAAGGCTGAGTTTAGAGCGCACAGAAAGGTGGACAACCCGGCACATCTGGTGTGTAATTCCTGCGAGATAGCATCAAGGGAGCCATATGTTAACCGATGATCAGATTGGCTTTTTGACCGAGTGGCAGATGTATGCGCAAAAGATTGAGGGAGATGAATGGGTGGGAGATAAGTTGGATGAGCAGAAGCTGTCTAAGATGAGTGGTGAGTAAGACTGAGTATCGTCGTGAGGATGGTCACTAACAACTTAACAGATGAGCAAATACAGCAATTGTATGAGCTGATGCAGGCTATTCAAGCTAGAGATAAAGAGGGTGGCGAGCAGTAATTCATAGACATATCCTAGATCCCATTTAGAACTATTGTACAGCACCCTTTGTATAACATTAACTAACTCCTGCTCCTACAAGACTATCTAAACCTCAATAGCTCGGCCGCGACTGATCACAAGATAATGTAGGTGATAGATGAAGCGAGTTTTATTAAATAATAATATATATTGTGCCTTCATCTTCTTGACCCATACCTCTATATACCTTGCCATCCGATGGTCTACTTCTCTAAAGCCTCAGCAATCCACGCCGCCTGAATAGAACTGACCTTCTTGGCGTAGTTTTTGTTGGTATAAACATGCTCGAGGAACATGATAGCCTCCTTTTTCTGACCATGTAATACGCTGGCGGGATGGATGGCAACAACGTGCTTGCCTTGAACCGTAACAAAGCTCCCGTCTGGTGCCAACATAGCAGTTTTGAGAGCGAAGCCCCGTAAGAAGCACTTGAGGACTTGCTCAGCACGTTCTGGAGAGATGGGAACGAATGGTTGGGGATCGGCCGGCGGGGCCTCTTCCAATAACTTCTCTTTGAGACACATACCGCGAAGCTGCCTTCTGATGTTCAAGGCCTGTTTCATGTTGCGCATGTTGATCTTTCGTTGTTTGCACCAGTTCACCCTGTCTGCATTCTCCGCCGTGTACTGTTGGATGGTAGTGAGATACGTGATGATATCTCCTTCGCGGCGCTGAAGCTCTTTTCTGAAAGTTTCTACCTCTTCCTGGGCTTCTTCAGATTGGATACTCAGGAAAATATCCTCTCCAGAAGTGATGCATGAGATAATGTCGATTGCTTCGACCAGACAGTCAAACTCAGGATTGGCAGCAGCAAGAATCACAGCTCCCAGCGGTGCAGAAATAGGGAAGCGGGCCATGGTTTCACCAACTGTTGTGATACTGCCGTCATCATTCAGCGCACCCAGGAAATGTAAATGGATCAGAGCCTTCTCGATGGCTTCTGTTTCTGGTGGATCCATGAGGGGGAAAGCAAGAACATCCTGGATTCCGCGCGCTTTCATGGTTAGGACTGCTCCCAGTACATCGTTGCGGAGGATCTCTGGAAGATCAGAATCTTGGAGAGTCTTGAAGGCCGCCTCTGGGTACAATCGAAAGCATTTACCGGGGCCCTCTCGGCCGGCACGACCAGTTCTTTGCACGGCAGACGATTTGGAAATGGGTTTGGCGAGGAGGGATTCCATGCCTAGTCGCGCTCGGTATTGCTTCACCTTGGCTTTGCCACAATCCACCACATACCTGACTCCAGGAACAGTGACCGATGTCTCGGCAATATTTGTCGCCAGCACAATCTTTCGAGTAAAAGATGCCTTGACTGGTAGGAAAGCTTCACGTTGCGCGTCCATCGATAGCTGACCGTACAGGGGGAAAACCTTGATCTTGGGTACATTTGAGGCTAGGGTTGCCGCGTATTCTTCGATCAGCTTTTGCGCCGCCTCAATTTCCTCTTGACCTGTCAGGAAAGCGAGAATATCTCCAGGGAGTTGCTCCTGCAAGTGGATTTTATAGATCGTTTTTAGGAGCGCATCCTGGATATCGGGGACAGGTCGCGGCTCATGATGAACCGTAACAGGATATTGTCGTCCTTTGATATTGAGGACCTGAAGCGTCTCCTCGCCTTCCTTCTTGGGCCGAACGTCCTTGAAAAACTCCTGGATGCCCTCGACGTCTGCTGTCGCACTCATGATGACCACCTTGAGGGGAATGCCACCACGGCCAGATAAGTCACTAGCAAGAATCTGCTTGAGAAATCCGACTAGGAGATCGACATCGAGACTTCGCTCGTGGATTTCATCAACCACAATAGCACTGTAATTTCGAAGATTAGGATCTCGCAACAATTCCTGGAGCAACATTCCCTCGGTCAAAAACTTGATCCTTGATCCCTTTGGAACCTGGTGATCGAATCGAACTGAATAACCGACCAGGCCGTCTTGTCGTCCCTTTCCTAGCGGTGTGCCGGCTTCTTGAGAAACTCGGTGGGCCAAAGTTGTCGCAGCGACTCTTCGGGGCTGCGTAATGGCGACCATACCGCCCACGGAAATCTCATCATCTGAACCAGCAATCTTGAGTTTTTGGCGTTTACACCAAGGCTCCTGGTAGAGAAACTGGGGGACCTGTGTACTTTTTCCCGAGCCTGTCTCACCCACTAAAACAAGAACATCGCTGCCAGACTTTCGCAGCGCCTGCTGGATCTCCTCGCGATATTGCCATATTGGAAGCTGTCTGCGTGTCTTGAGCAACTTTGGGTCCTCCCGACTTCGCGACTTCTCATTCTGGCGGTCTTTAAAGCTTCTTCTGGGCCTTTCAGAAAGATGAATTTCTTTTCTCTCCTTTTCCTCTTTCTCTAGCTCAGCAGCAACAGCTGGTGTTGTGGGGGGCGCAACTTTCTCTGGTTTGGGTGCAGGTGCAGTGAGGTATCCTTCGAGGGAAATGGTCTTCCCTCCTATCGTAATAACATTTGGGTCTTTGGTCTTTGTTTTTCTCCTCTTGGCCGGAGGAGCGGAGTTCTCGGTCGTCATCATGTAGATGTTTGATTTGCGTTGAAGGCTATGACTTGAACAGGTGAAATTTTCAGTGAAGTTTGTCAGTGAATCACAGTGCCGAAAATCCGAACACTGTACGTCCCCTACCTCGGTAGGTAGTCGCCTGATTAAAGTAATGACACAGAAATGTAGAATCTGTATAAATTATCGTCTTCTAGCTTGGGGAATGTGATTCTCTACTCATATGATTTAAAACACTCTTGAGAATAATTAAAGACTTTTCAATCTTGGACTGGACAAGATGAAAGAATGTAAGAAACTGCCGGGTTCCACGCCCCTATTAGCTAGACAATCCACGAACACCAGCATGTATTCAGAGATCACTTATGAGGTTCTCAGATTGTTGTCTGATACAATATCTCTTCCAAGCATTGGTCCTGGGCTGCTGTGTAGAGAAGATGCAGTGTTTTACTTTTGACGATTTGAAGCAATTTTGCGATTGCCAGATAACACAACAATAAATTCGTTAAAGTTCACAGCATCACACAGATAGCTTACGTAGTATTACCTGTTCAACACCAGCTGCTTATCTCAACAAATCCTGGCCAAGACGAATCCTTCGAGTATAGTTACCCTCTGGGCTGAGATTCATCATCTCATAAGTACTAATGCATACTGCGCTTGGGTAGCTCAATAAAGCCGTCAACCCGGTCGAACTGGCCTTGAGTGTGATGTAAGGTAATTGATTATATCAAGTACAGAGAACACAACATATCAACTTTTGAAGGAATAACCCCCATACTAATGGGTTGTGTTTGAAAGAAGTTTCGTTTTCATTGCATACATATATCCCTTACCATGCTCCTAAGAACCATATCTTTTACTTGGCTTATATGTTTGGACAAGAGCAAAGCAGGACTGACCATCAATTATTTGGTGGATGTGCCTCAAAAGGGCCAATTAAATCTGAATGCGCTCATTCTTCCTATCCTAACGAATTCTATCCCGTCGTCATATTGTGCATGAGCCCTCACTTGATACGGGCCAAGCGTTCTCGGTTCATTCTCGTAGCATCATCAACAGCATCGCTCTGTTTTGAATGTTAGTAATATGATCATGTTGGTAATATTATGGAACGGGTCACTTGCCTTGTTCATAATTCGGTCGATCTGCTTATTCTGCGTGTCAACCTCCTTGCCAATGGCTCTGCCGACCATGTTCATCATGGACACCTGTCCTGAGAGTTCTTCGATACCATCGTCGATCTGGTCCTCCAGTTCCTCCGCTCCCTCTTCATCATCTAGGTTGAACTTGCCGTAGTCCTTCTTGCGGGGTTGCTGTCGTGGTCTGGCAGCGCCGCCTATTTCTTTGAAATTGCCCTCCATGCGCTGGTTGGCTTGGAAACCGTCACGGCGAGTTGCCTCTCGCTGTTCTCGTTCGTTTCGGTGACGCGTCATAACTTCCTCGTCCGCCTTCAACTTGCGCTGTTTGGAAGTGAAGGGGTTGCTAACATGAACAGCGAACATGCTGCCATTGAGTGTCTTGAGTTCAGCCGCCCGATCCTGGGCGATCTTGTTCTGGTTAGCAGCCAGATCAAGATGCTTTTCAGTGTTGTTCAGACGCTCGCCCTGAGCTCCCAGACGAGCAAGGGTGGCTCGGCCGACTTCGTTAGCTTGTCGAGCCATTTGCACTGATCGGTTAACTGAGGATGCGCTGTCCTGCTGAAGTTGTCGCTTCTCGGCAAGAATAGACTGATATTCGATTTCTTCTTGCTCCTCAGCCGTCAACTCGCGCTCCTCGCCGTAACCACCATATGAGCCACCAGCGGCTCCTGATTGTGGCTCATTGGTGGCGGGCTGCTTCTGGGCTTGACGTTCCTGAGCACCAGCGAACAAGTTATCTCGGTTGCTGTCAGGTTCGCTGGGGCCAAAACCACCATAGCCACCAGGACCTCTTGCACCAGGAGCCGGGCCAGCGTTATTATATCGGTTCTGTGGGGCAGCATCGCCGTATCGGTTTCCGCCGTAACCACCGCCGGATCCATATCGATCAGCACCGTATCCGCTCGGGGGTTGAGGGCTGTGGCCTCCTTGGGCAGGAGAGGGAGAGGGGGCATTGTAAGACTGGGCACCAGGACCTCCGGGGCCTCCAGGAGCGTTGTTGACGCCAGCGCGGGCTTGCTGGTAAGGAGTTACGTTGGCGTATTTCGCATCGTCGGCGTATGGATCTTTGCCGCCTTGTTTGGCGTAGGGGTTATCGGAGGAGACGGATTGAGACGACTTCTTGCGACCAAAGAGAGCGTGGCGGCTGGCATCCTCGCCGTCGTCGCCTTTCTTTCCAAAGCCAAACTTCTTCATGGCCGAATGTGTTGAATGTGTATGAAGCGAAATTGGAATGATGTTCGAGAAAATTATGGCAGTCTTGACAGGAAAAGAAAATGTGAAATATAAGAGTAAGAAGCTGAAAGGAGAAGAGGACGGTAGCGCTGCCTTATGAGAGTGCTTACCTGCGTTGCCTGAGTGCTAACTTTAGGTGCCGGTGGATTGATGCGGGCCTTCCATCCATTCGATTGAGATATTAGCCTGGTGGGCGGTGACCACCCAGGTCCCCGTATAAGGTACCTAAAACTATGCCTGACTGTAACCTACGTCCCATGTACCTTTTATCATGGGGTGGACGCATGTAGTGGCGTGGCTACTAACCCATTAATTCAGGTATCGTTTCGGGGATGGATCAGACGCTCGTTAAGCCAAGACTGACAGAGCCTGTAAGGTTTGGATGCGCAAGGGGGCACTTATTTTCTTGCTGTGCAATAGGCGCCCGACAAGCGCCTGAAGTTCAATGTACGGATACACACGCCTGGACCCTTAGTTCCATTCCAGCCCCTGCCCGGTATTGCAGATTGTATATTGCAGCCGCAACCTCATGCAAGTCCCCGAATTCTTGGATCTATCTGTTTTATGGGTAGACATTTTCCAGGTGGTTGACCATTCAGGTCTTGCAGCACTAGATAACGCATCATAAGACTCTTTCAAATTTGAAGATACAACTTCTCACGAGTGAGGCATGTATGTACGTGGCTACTGTCCCGAGTGGCTCAGCGCTTTTCTTGCGTCAGCCCGTGGCGGCGTCGACGTTTACAGATAGGTCTAGTCAGCTTAGAACCTTCGGAAAGGTGCAGAACTTGCTCAGCATTCTTCGACCCGTGTGAAGTTTGTCTTCGCTGAAGTGAGGCATAGGCTTTGAGGGTAGCTCGCATGGAAACAAAAGTAAACCGAGCCATTGTTTGACGGGTATTAATAAACGAAACTCCTGTATCAACATAGTTTCACGAGTGGAGCCTGACGGACAATGGTTGACTTAGATTCCACAAAGCTTGTTCCAGAAAGGCATTGGAATGAATACTGAGCAATTAGTCTCATACGATGGAGACTGTTCGAGATAACAAATGGACATGGGGCTGATTTCAACTCTTCTAGACTATGACTTAATTGGATCATTGTTTGAGAAGAGGATACCGATGAGTTGTGGTCATCAGCCTAGAGCAGTGTAAGAGCGATGCAGGGTAAGACTTTTAAGTGACTCAACGATTCTCGTTAGGTATCTGTAGTGAATGCTCGCCTTCCTAATATCAACTCTACCTAGGTATGTTATTCATTTTGTACAATGATCGCTGCAATTTGGAAAACATCAGGTGCTCACCATGAAGGTCCACGTCTAAAAGCTTGCAGTAGTCTGTAGAAAGAAGGTTGAACTCATTTTCGAAAGGTTTGGCCGGTGATTCATGATTTATAGGTAAAGTGTAAGAGTTAACCCTACTCTGAAGAGCGCAGATCTTCCGAGTACTCGACGGCGGGTGCTATTATCTTGATCAAGTTACAGTAATAATGCCGTGAGGAATTTCGCAAATACTTATCCATTATTCTGGCCCCTAAGGTTTCTTTGCTTTTGGGGCCTTCTGAAGCAACCTACCTATACCCCAGAGTGGCCTCCATTGATCCACTGATGGTACCCGCTAAAGACCCCGCCTACATCGCCGGGAGCCCGAGACAACAGCTAATGGATGGATTTAAGGACCATTGAGGCGATCACGGTATACTAGGTTTCTCTTGAAGCTTTCATGATTGGTCGCCTGGCCGATGCGTCACCTCTGACTCGCTCCCGTTCTGGTTCAGTCAGCAGCTCGCAAGATAGACTTTTGATTTCACTCGACTGCCGTAGACTCATCAAAAAGGTGTCTCCTCTTTCATCCCGATCCTAATCCCAATCCCAATCCCAACTCCAGCCAAACCTATTTACATCGCAGATACCCTACTCTTAATCGACGTCATGCTTTTTGTCTCCTGAGCTGGCAACTGACCGCCTCAACCCAGCCTTCTCAGAGTCGTGATCGATCCATTATCACCGCACTCTTGAAACAACTCACAACACCTTTCAACAGAACCAACAAGATGATAATCCGAATAAACTTCGCATTCCCTTTTCTTGCTACTAGATATCTCGCTCTGTTATCATATCTCATCCTGAATCATTACTCGATATCTTCCTATCAATAGACCTGACCTAGCTTCCCACTTGGAAGCTTTCCATCAACAGAAGCATAACTATGGCTTCAGTATTCACTTACGACCCTGACCCTCCAAGGGTTCACTCTCCTTGGAAGAAGCTAAGAGAGTCGAGCAAGGACGAGAATGGCCATGGCGTAGGCTCAGAGGATTCGACATCAACTCTGCAACTCCAATCAGGACTACTTTCGGAGTATGGACTCACCAAACTCGAGGCGGAGCCACAAGAAGGTCCTATAGAATACAAGCTTCATCTCCTTCTTCGGCCTAGAAGGCTCTTCAAGAGCATGAGCACCGCTGGCAAGTCGCGCCATGCTCGACTGGCCAAGCCCTCAACCCCCTCTCCTGCTGCTTCTAGCCAGCCTCGTCAACAAAGGCTTCAACATTTGACGACCCAACTCTTATGGAGACTACAACAGTCGTCCCCATATCATGCATCCAGCTCAAAGGAACTGGCTCTCCCTAGACTTCCAGACGACAATGTCGATCTCACAGCACCTGTCAAATTGAACAAACTTGTTCCAGGTTTGGAGGAGTCTAGGGGGGCGATATACGAAATAGGTGTTGCCGACGACGGTAACCTTGTCGGTCTCACCAATGATGAGATGGAAGAGAGTCTTGCAACGTTGAGAGTCATGGCTGCGAGCTTAGGATGCACTGTTGACGTTCGTGTAAGAGTCGTAGTCGGCGACTGCGAATGGGCCGAATCCACGGAAATAGTTGACGGTTTTACAACCTCACCAAATGAGGTTATCAGAAGCGGTAAACTGTGGGTTGCTGAAGCAGAGGTCAAGCCCAACCTTGGCTTTACGGAGACCGCAGCTGGAGGAGACAAATCTTACAGGGACGAGCTGTCGACAACCGAGAGTATGGATGTGCCTAGTCGTGGTAGTTCGATGACGCCGCAATTGAGAGTCACTTTCACTGGACCGACCACTTCAGGCAAGTCAAGCCTACTGGGAACATTGACCTCAGGCGCCTTAGACAATGGCCGTGGTAATAGTCGACTTAGTTTGCTCAAGCATCGGCACGAAATGGTCACGGGAGTAACCAGCTCAATAGCCCAGGAACTCATTGGTTACAAAGATGGGTCGATTCTTAACTACAGTCATGGAAATATTGAGTCTTGGGTTGATATACACGATCGTTCTGAAGGTGGCCGTCTGGTCTTCGTCTCCGATTCCGCTGGTCATCCAAGATATCGCCGCACAGTCCTTCGTGGGCTGATGAACTGGGCGCCACACTGGATCATCTTGTGTCTGGCTGCAGATGATACCGAGGTAGCGCTCAAGAGCTATGGGACGACGCCATCAACACAAGATGTTCTGGGAGTGGCAACTGGTGGACTTGATTTAGTCAAAGCACACCTGACGCTTTCTCTCAACCTGGGCATTCCCCTAGCTGTTGTAATTACCAAGCTCGACCTCGCGACAAAGAAGAGCCTACCCAGAACCACGAACAAAATTTTGTCGGCCATTAAAGACGCTGGAAGGAAACCCAAAATCCTGCGACCTGACCAGAAGGAGTGGAAGCATACGGATCGAGTACCGGACGATGACTCCGTCAAAGTCAAAGACTTATTGAAAGAAATTTCAGAGAGCGAAAACATGACGGAGTATGTTCCAATAGCATTTACCAGCGCCGTCAAGGGGAACGGGATCGGTTTGTTGCATGCACTTTTGGAGAATCTGCCATTGCCACCTCCGCCAACTGCTCGAGATTATGTGGGAATGGCGTTGAATCCGGAGCAGCCCAAGTGCCTCTTTCATATTGACCACACCTTGAGTCTATCCGAATCTTATAGCAGCTTGGCCTGTAATCCTGGGGAACAGACCAAGCCAGGTATTGTGGTGTTGGGATACCTCAGGTTTGGGCGACTTTCTATTGGGGACAAGATTGTTATTGGGCCTTTTCCATCGGACGACGATGAAGCACTTCGTGAATTGACGCTGGAGGATAGACAATCCCCTGGTAGTTATGGGCTTTCTGCTTCACACCCGTCCTCGGCAGAACTGGCACGTATCGCGATGAAGAATGCCGTGTCTGCGTCGACTATTACAGGGGAATGGCACGACGCCCAAATCTCCAGCATACACAACTTGAGACTTCCAGTCCTGACACTCGAAGCTGGACAGGCCGGATCAATCGGCCTCAGGTTCCAGCCACGTTCGAGTCGTTCTAGGAATGACAGCTCAAACTCTAACATCGCGATTGAAATCCCTCGAATACGTCGTGGCATGATCTTGGCAATCCCTTCAAAGCACATGGCTGATACTGGGTTGAAACTGCAAGCTGCAAGCGGGTTCACAGCTATTTTCGACGATTTGGATACCCAAACCCTGCCAATCGGCTCCTTTGTAAACATTTACATCGCTAGTATTCGTACGGTGGCGCGCGTACGTCGTATATCCCGTCAAGATAGAGGATGGGGAACAAACATGCAGGAAGCAGATGAGATGGAGGAGATATTCAACCTCAACGATGATCTCGAGTCAAATAGTGAGAGGGAACCTGACCAAACCAAGGATGGGGTTGAGATGGGCTTAGAGCTGCTACATCATCGAGAATGGATAGAGATGGGTTCGCGAGTTGTATTGTTAGAAGGGGGAAGTCAGGATAGATCTGGATTAGAGGGGTTTGTTGGTAAGGTTGTTGAGATTGTTGATTAATCATTTGAGCGTGCTGGTTTTTTTATTAAGAGGATGAACCACCAGCGGGTATTTCTAGCTTGATTTTTTTGTATGACATGTTTCGAAATACAGTTTGTTCTCAGACGTCACAGCGTCGTTTCCAAAGGTTTCTCATCGCAACTCCAAAGACGCCGTAAATACATGCATGTACCTGATGCTGCTACCTATGCCCTAACTAGGCCATAAAATAATGTCCATGTCAAGACAAAGCCCGAAATTCCATTAAATATGCCGCCAACCCAAAAATCGAAGAGGCCGCGAAAAAACCGGGAAGGGTCAAGAGGAGCGTGGCCCTTGGGAAGCGATTCGGGAGCAACCTTGAGGAAGTAGAAGAGGAAGGTGGTGATAAAAGAGAAGACGATGTAGATAAGGAAGCCGTAGTATGATTCGAGACCAAGGACGCCAGCGGTGACTCCGAAGAGAGATGCAGTGAGACTGTGAAGGTTGGAGAGAGCCTGCGTACAACAGGTTAGCCAACAGAACTCACAGGACAAGCAGTACGTCGCAGGATGTAGCGATATCAAGAATAACCCACCTTTGTGTTATGGACCACCGACTCAGGGACGACAGGGCTGATTTGAAGTTCGCGTTCGGAAGGCATTGTCGCGGATATAGACGGAGTGCTCTTGTTATATTCGATTGACCGCGTGATGTCTTTAGACGGGGTAATAATCAGGCCAATGTCGTGGGAATAGCTCTGTGTCTCGAATGAAGCTATCCACGCGCTGGCTTGCTTGGTCGTAATGACAGCGTGTCGGTCCGTCCTGACCTCCGAAGACCGACAGCGGTGGAGCAGGCCTAGGGTACCTAGCCGGTTTGGAACGAACCCTGCCAATCTGGAGTTCCCGGCTGGTGACGGCAGGACCCCTCCACTATGATTCCAAATGGGCAGTTTGCTTGGCGGGGTACTTTTAGTCTAGTTTAAATGGAACATCTTTTTAAAGGTCCCAATCTGTAACTTGCAGTTATTCCTGAGCTACCGTACCAACTTCAATTGAATAGTTTTTATTCTACTTTTTCAGTCACAATGTCACAGGGTTTTGCGCCTCTCAAGAATGATCTGTTGCTTCGCACAGCGTGGGGTGGGTTATCCGCGCCTCAGTTGTGAGACTCATTGGGAAAGTTATACTGAGACTTGCTGTGTTGCGACTTAGGCCAGACCGTTGAGCGTCCGCCCATGTGGGTGATGCGACAAGGTGAGAATGAAATTGGAACACATTAACAACGGTGGACAAGATTGACAGTTTCGATTGACAGCCGGCCGCTACCTCCCCGAGTACCACGAAGCCAAGGGTAAACGAGACTTCTTCGAATGTTGCCGTGACCCCGAAGTTGCAACAGAAATCACCCTCCAGCCCGTCCGCCGTTTTGCAGGCCTGATCGATGCCGCTATCATCTTCTCCGACATTCTTGTTATCCCTCAGGCCATGGGCATGACTGTCGAGATGGTTGATAAGAAGGGCCCGCACTTCCCCAACCCGCTCCAGAACCCCGACGACGGACAGTATAGCGAGGTGCTTGCCAAGGACGTCGACGTTGCGGCTGAGCTCGGCTACGTATACGATGCCATCACCCTGACGCGCCAGAAGCTCGAGGGCCAAGTGCCGTTGATTGGATTCTGTGGTGCTCCTTGGACCCTGTTCTGCTATATGGTCGAGGGTGGCGGCACTAAGCTGTTCGCGCAGGTCAAGACATGGATCTACAAGTATCCCGAGGAGGCGAAGAAGCTTTTGGCCAAGATTGCTGACATCTGTGTGGATCATCTGGCTCTGCAAGTCAAGGCCGGTGCCCAGGTAAGAAACAGCTGAAGCGCAGGGACTACGGATCCTGAAACTGACTCACATACTTTTATAGCTGGTGATGGTTTTCGACTCATGGGCAGGAGAACTTGGTCCTTCCTCTTATCGTCAATTCTCAGAACCTTACCTCAAGCAAATCGCAGAGAAGCTTCCCGCCAAGCTCCAAAGTCTCGGCCTGGATAAGGTGCCCATGACCGTATTCCCCAAGGGTGCTTGGTACGCCCTCGACTCTGCCTGCAACCTGGGTTACAATGTGGTCGGTATGGACTGGCTGCATGACCCCAAGGAGGCCGTCAAGATCCGTGGCGACCGAAGCATTGTGTTCCAGGGCAATGCTGATCCCGGTGTGCTGTACGGTACCAAGGAGGCTATCACAAAGGCTGTGGAGGAGATGGTTGGGGGTTTCTGGGTCGGCAACAAGGGTTGGATTGCTAACCTAGGCCACGGTAAGTTGTCCATGATACAGGACAAACGAATAGCGGCTAATTAACACAGGAATCACCCCCGGCGTGAATCCCGATCACCTCAAGCACTACTTTGAAGAGATTCATCGTCTCACCAAGAAGAACTAACAGCCCCAATATGTAATGTGTTGAAGATGTGTCATATAAAATATCACATGTCTAAAAACCGCTAAATATTGCAACGAGATCAAAAAAAGAGCAGGATAGGTATCGGAGATAGGCGCTCTGAAGAATAGACTCAAAGGTGTAAAATAGTAAAACAGCATGCATTGTCAAAGCACTGAAATAAATTGACTCTCTTTGCATATCATTGAATTCGTGGTATGGTATCTTTACTTTTCCTCCTTTTTGTATCATCTGCGCACCCATTGACGCGATCCACACCCGTTTTCTCATAAATGACTAGCCAGACCGGACCCCTCCTTTGGAGGTCAAAGGCGCCAAAACACCAAGCTTTAAAATGACCAGACAGAATAGCAGCGAAGATGAAACGTTGGGTCTCTTGGAATGAGACTTGAGACTTGGACCTTGGAAGTCCTTAAACCTTCTTGCCAAAGAGCCAGTTCTTGCCCTTCTGAGCCAGTGACTCGCCACCAGCACTGGGCGAGTTGGCAGACTTGGGCTCCTCGTCGTCAGTGATGGCGCCATCGTTGCTGGCCTTGCGAGCCAACTCAGTCTCCTTGTCCTTGAAGATGTTGCCAGCGCCACCGCGGCCACTGTATTGGGTGCCATAGGAAGGACGTCGAGGGACGCTTTGTCTTCAGTTAGTAAACATATTCAAAAACAAAAGGCTGAATTGCTGAGGTTGAGAGCTTACGCTTCGACATCTTGGCGCTTGCGAGTCTCTCGAGGATCGTCGTTCTTGGCCATGTTGCCTGTACCACCACGGCCGGTGGTTACGACAGGACCCTTAAGGACAGGAGTCTGGAGCTTGCTGGGGTCTGTCTTTTCTGTGTGGGCTGAGTCGGCCATGTTGCCAGCGCCGCCTCGACCGTGTGAAGCGAGCATCTTTGTAGTAATAAGATAGCGAGAGTGCAAAAGTTTTTGCGGTTGAGATAGTTTGAGACGTTGTCGTTGCTTGTGAGTGAGCGACGATCAAACTACTATAGTAAGTGACTTCAGGGGTTGTTGTTGGATAGGTAGACTGAGAAAGGTATGTGAAGTATACGATCAAAAGACTGTTTCCTTCAAGACTTGAAAATCAATGACAAAGAATAGGAATAAAAATTCTGATACAAAGGAATGGACATTCGTAGAATGCGGAGGGTCACACTTTTTAACTCAGTGCCAAGTCCCCTTGTGATGTTGTTACTTGCTTCTAAATTTTCCCCTGCCCTGTCCAAGACTTGATCCCATGATCAACAAAACAGGGGGCGGCAAAGATTTTTTCTTTTCTTCGATAGGTGGTGCGGCCTTTCTTCCCGCCCAGCCAGCGAGCGCATGGCCTAGACTGACTAACTGACTGGCCTTGCGCTTACTAGGCCGCTCCGAAATTGGGCCATGGGATGGTGAGGCGAGGACCTCATCAGCTGGGCGTTGGCAGTTTGGCTTCCTCTATTGGTTTTTGTTTTCAGGGCTTCTTGCAGCTGCACATAATTCAACGAATTCTAAACTCAGGCTACAGGCTTCTCGACTGAAATACCCCTTCCTTTCATCTACCCTAGTACATCCAAGAGTGAGGCTCAGTTAAAGCTCGGCCAGGTAAAGCCAAAGTAGTTGCAAGTATCCGTTTGCTGGTTCCACTTAGTGACTGTACTAAGAAGCCACGTCCAGTCATACAATATTGGTTGCGTAATGAATTCTGAAGGCCTCGTGCTGCCCCAGATCTTGGCGAGGTACTTTGGGTGTACGAAGTCAATACAAGCTTTGTTAAGGTGCGAAGGGGTTCTAGATCAGACGCAGCTGAAGGCCACTTGATGCTAGTAATTTGAGATTATTCGTCCGTCACATATCTCAATGCCAACATCTTATTTCAACCTCTCGTGATGTTGTACAAGATCCGGCCAATAATTGCAAACGGGTATAGGCTTTCACACAACAATACCAAGATGATCCATACTGAACCAACAATGTCGAGGAGGCAGGAATCAGGTAGGAATCAGGTAGGAATGGAATGAAATTCATCATCACAATGACAATACGGAATTCCAACAACCTTCTCTTCCAACTTTCTAAGCTCATGTCCTTCGGTCAAGTGGGAGCAAGTTGGCCGAAACTCTCCTCCTTCTCACTGCCAAGAGAATTCTATTCAGAGCCCCATCTTCCTTCGCCATCGCCTTCACTATCGCCCTCGCCCTCGCCCTCGCCGGACTCCGAATTCTCCAGCGGCGCTCGCTCCCGTTTAAGGCGCAAACTCTCAGCGCAGCTTTGCAGCCGTTTCTGTACTGGCGTGCCCCCCCTTCGAGGGCCCGAGACGGCGGATTGGGTTGTCTGGTGGCTAACAGCTTGAAGCTGCATCTGCATCTGCAGCTACCTCAGGGAAGAATCTGCATGTACAGAAGCTTAGAGCTTAGAGCTTATTCAATCAAGCCTTATGACCTCAAAGCATTGCTTTGTGTCGGCTGTATTCGTTGCTCGGGCCCTGGTAGGGCTGTCCTATGCCGATCATTAGACTACTAAGACCCTGAAATTGATGGCTAAGCTTGTCTGAGCACGATGACGTTTGCATTTTGGACCCCTAGTTCTACCAGAATGCGAATCATGTTTACCAGTGCTTGATTGCTTGTTTACCCCGTTACCCTACCTATTACACTAAGCCTCAAACACTTTTTGTTGGCTGGTGAAATTCAATTCCCAACATCACCAACACATTGCGAGCCAAAAAGGCATGCCCAATAACAATCAATTCCCAAAACGCCGACGCTGGCATCTCTGCTCAGCAGTTCATGACACCACACCTTGATTCACAAGGACTGCACGTATCTACGGATACCACTACACCTGTTGGCTATGCATCTGCAAAACCTACACCATGAGGGTTATGGCTTGGCCCTCTCCTCCACAGTCGTTGCCCCAATCTCTATGCCTTTTGTATTCCATCTCTTACGGGTATCATGCCTTTGAAAGATCTAGGTTCGATAACTAATTCCTGTCACCGATATGGCGCCAAGCGACATTCCTCCACGACCAGTGGGCCCTGGTTAGATGTTCAGTTTTGGTCGTACATGTCCTCATCGCCTTCGCCCTTGATATTTGTGTCTTTGCGAATCGGGATTTTGATACCTTGACCCGCGAATGTCTTGCTCAAAGGGGTGCTTTCGCACACACCAGGAAACTTCTTGGCTGAGTACACAGAGAACTCCTTACTGAAGCATGACGATAATATTGGTGCCCGGCCTTGGTTAACATTAGCTCCCGGGCCGCCGGGACCTCCGGGTCGGCCAACGTTGACGAACGAGAACCTCAACCTGCAACCCATTGTTAGCAATTACAAATCAGCTGTCACAGTCATTTGCTCATTCTCACCGAAAGTTTCCTTCAGTACGAACACTCAGATCCTGCAGGACAAACCAGATACCTGGTTTTCTCTCTGTGTCGTTGAGGCGGAATGCACTCGCAGCCAAACTGCCAATCAAGTTCCTTGTAAACATCCCCTGAGGCTGACCTCCCACCACTGCCATTCGAGTAAGCGCATTCTGATCCTGGCTGTAGCCACTGCGGAAAGGGGCGCCTGGCGGAGGGGCGGGAGGATCGGCACTATAACCGCTGTGTCGCGGGAAGTACTGCTGAGGCGGGCCGTAAGAACTGCTCGACGGGTACGACGGTGCTACTTCAGTGTCAGATGGGGGTTTGTTTGCGAGTTTTTCAGCTTTGTTTCCCACTAACCTTGCCCATAGCTTTGCTGTGCCGGTGGTGGGTAATCCTGCCCGTATCCCATCCCTTGTGTCTGACCATATCCAGATTCACGGCTTGGAGGCAGGGATTGTTGTTGATACGAAGAAGGTGTACCTGGCTCCAGGGTAGAGTATGAGTAGCTATTTGACGATGCCATAGCACCCGTCCCTGTCGAAGATCGGACCAGATTCACTTCTTTAGCGCCGTGCCTGTCCCAGAGGTCGACCGACAGTACGAACATGGAATGATCAAGGTTACTACACACATCATGTTAGTTTGAACAAGATGTTACGAGTTTTTGCAAGGAGATCAACGTACACATAGTCAACTTCCTTCCCTGTGTTGGTATCAAATATGACCAAGCGAACACATGGTGGCGGCGTAATTGGGCGACGATCCTGGGTCGAAACAGTGAGAAGGATGCTCAGAACTCAATGGCAAGAAGGATGCAAACATACCTTGTCCCCAAAACCACACATGCGTGCACGTATGGGTTGTTGTTGCACCTCGAGACTACAAAACCGTGTTAGCAGAATGGCCAAGACATACCATGGGAACACAAGGGGTGACAAACCTGTATTTCAGACCAGAGCCTTCTTCAACCTTGGAGAACGATTGAGGTTCGTATTGAGGATCAACAGGCTGATCGTTAGGGGATGCTTCCGAGGAAGGCGGAGGAGGTTCATCGTGTCGTGAAGGGGGCGGAAGTTGTTGGTGTGGTTGAGGTCGTGTGTATTGACTCGGGTGAGGCTGTTGGTATGAAATTGGAGGGTATGGCGGATGCTGAGATTGGTGGTGCGGCGGTTGAGGGTGGTGTTGATGCGAAGATAGCGAATGGGAAGAAGAAGGAGGTGGTGGTGGTGGCTGCGGGGGGTGTTGGTGGTGAGGGTGCTGAGTTGAGGGCGGCGGTGGAGGAGGAGGATGAGACGAATGGTGAAGCTGGCTCGGAGGTGGTAGAGATGGCGGAGGATGCTGATGCTGTTGGTAGGCGTGGATAGGCGGTGGTAAGCTGGAGGAGTATCCAGGACCAGGACCAGGCAAACGTTGCGACATGTCGGGCGGGTGGTAGGCAGAGTTCATGGTAAATTGCGATCGATGGTGAAGCCAGCGAGTGATGCTAGGTTGGGTATGAACATATATATAAGGCAGATCAGATATCCGGAGAGGGCGAAGCGAAGGTGGAAAGTTAGAAGTTGCGAGGGCAGGGCGAGCGAGCTATAAGAGCAAAGTGCTCCGATAGTTGCGTTGTGTTGTGTTGCGTCGCTTTGCGTTCCCCGTCCGATTCGTCCAAAGCGGGAAAGAGAGGAGGAAGCAGAACAAGAACCAGACAAGACAAGAGACAAGAAAGTGTCAAATTGGTCTTGGAAAGCAAAGAAGAAAAACGCCAAGGGGCGAAGCCACCAAAAGGAGAGGCCGACGATAGATGTGATGTGATGTGATATAGTGGAAAATACGGAGTCGGGTACCTAGGTTCCTTGCGAGTTAAGGTACCTACTGCAGATATTGGATGTCGTCCATCGATGTCGCGCGGGCGCGCGGGCTACGGCAGGTGGGGAACCCAGAGGCCCGGCTGAAGGTAAAGTGTAAATTGAGAAGCTCAGGGTGGAGGATTAGCTCCCTTGGCCCTCCTAGCACTCCAAGTGGCGCGGGCCGGGAGCGCTAAAAGAGGGTTTCAATTCCCTGGCTCGGGTCCGTTATCCCAGGAATTATTACCGTGAACTCTGATCCCCACGACAAAATACAGTTTCTCATCCCAAGGCAGTGGTTAAGGTATGGCATAGCATATCTAGGCGTGCCCGAGAACTTAGGCGTAGTTCATAAGATGGTTTGAGTTAAGCCAGGTATTCGAGCCAAGATCAGAGAGTGAAAGACGAGGCTAAAGCTTGAGCAAGACCTCCAGCTCTGTCTTTTCCTACAAAGGGTTTGTTCGCGCGAACTGAGAACGAGTCCGAGACCGAACACTAAAAAAGATCAGAGACCAAAACTAGGTAAAAGTGAGATCTGACAAGGACCAGGTCTTCGGATTTATCTAGTGTGCAGTCAAAGGATGGGGAAAAAGAAAGAAATGCAATCAGGTCTCACGGGTAGCGTGCCTCCAAGAGGGAGTACTACGACGCGAATGGACAGGCAAATATGCAGAAAGTTGAGGAAAAGTAAGGTGCATATGAACGAGTGCAAGCCACATGATGATACCCTACAGTACTTGCTACCCAGGCAGAGCACTCCAGCTGAGCAGTGATAGCAAGCAAGCTGTCGTACCTAGCATAAGTAGCACACCTATGGAGGCACACCACCTACCTTATTCAGTCCAACACCTCCAGCTAGAGAAGAGCTGTTTTACAGCCAGCCAGCCACTCTTGCTCACTGCATTGATGGTATCATCACGACGCCCTACGATAACAACTACTGAGATGTCATGTTTAGATAGACTACATTTTTAGATATACCAATGTTCTACTAAGACATTGCGGCGGCCGATGCCAGAGTCTTATGCTTGCCATGTCTCATCCCAACCATCTGTTCGACGCTTTCTCATTGTGTCTCAACCTGGTACTCGACTCGACTGCTTGTTGTTCGTCCCGTTCCATTGTCATGGCCATTTGTCGGACCAACCTCGGATGAACCCCTACCTAGTTGAAGCGAAAATGATTAAATTGCATAATGCTGCCTTGCTCCATACCAGATATTCGTGGTGGTTGGGTACGTTCTTAACGATGCGACGTTACCACAGCTCACTCAATTGGGACCAATTGCGGAAGCAAACTTCGTTTGTATTGCCCGAGAATAGTTTGAGGCAAGGAGTAAATTACAGTTACCGTTACAGTTACAAGTTACGGGATGTTATGTACTAATAACGTTCGTATTCAGATTGCTTCAGCGTATTGGACTAATAGGTAGGTAGAATCAGAGTATTTAATTCGTGCACTTAAAAAATGTGACTCCAATTACAGAATAATTGTTAACTACCGTAATCACCAACATCGTGTTATCTCTACGTCTTCCAATTGGTGGGCCTCCCGAGAAAAACCCCGATGTTCGGTCGCGTCAGTGGTGTTATGCTCATGCAGTACCTGATTAACACCCCAATCACATCACTCCAACGTATCCATGCATTGGCTGCATGGATGAATATTGAGTGCCACAACGAACGTTGATGCCCCGCCATCATGTTGACAAGCCCCGCAGTCGGAGTCACTAGCAGTCATCGCAGAGAGTAATAAATTCCCCGACTACCTTGCGTCCCCTGCTGTGATTTACCTAATTTATACTGAAGTTCGAGGGAAGAATCATTGTAGTCCTCAGTAGCCAGCCATGGATCTTGTCAACAGGTTGGTTCGCCCGATTGGAGCAGTTGGACATGCCCAACCCGTTACATCTCACACACCATGATGTGCAAATGCTGATACAAAATTCCCTCCAGTCTCGAAGGCCGCCTTCTTTTTGCCGTACCCAAGAGTGAGTTGACTCTTCCTACTTGCAAACATCATAACCATGCTAATATACTGGCAGAGGGTCGGCTCAATGCTGCCGCACTTAACCTCCTCGAGGGCGCCGATGTCCAATTCCGCCGCGAGAACCGCCTCGATATCGCCCTCGTCAAGAACCTCCCCATTGCCCTAATTTTCCTCCCCGCTGCCGACATTCCCACCTTTGTCGGCGAGGGCCGTTGCGACCTCGGTATCACCGGATGGGACCAAGTCCAGGAGCACGATGCGTCGGTTCGCGCCTACAACAACCTACGACGCAGCTCCGTCGACATGTCGTCTTCCGACGAGAAGACTGCTGGCTCTGACATGGTTATGGAGTTGGGCTTTGGTAGCTGCAAGCTCCAGGTCCAGGTTCCCGAGAAAGGCCAATATAAGACCCCCGAGGATCTCATTGGCAAGACCATCGGGACCAGCTTCGTCCACCTTGCAGCCGACTATTTCCTGAAGCTCGAACAAGGCCAGAACGGCGAGGGCGAGGTGTCGCCTCGCAAGATGCGTACCAAGATCGTGGAGCTGAGCGGCAGTGTTGAGGCTGCTTGTGCTCTTGGTGTTGCTGAGGGTATCGTCGATCTTGTTGGTATGTGGCAGTTGCCATTAGTCCTTATTTCGCTCAACACGATGTGCCATGGCTAACAGTGAATGTTTAGAATCAGGAGAAACCATGCGAGCTGCTGGCCTCAAGGCCATCGAGACCGTTGTCGATTCCACCGCCGTACTAATCAAGTCAAGAACCCCTTCAAACCCCGAGCTTATCGACCTCATTACATCACGCATCAAAGGTGTCATCACCGCAAAGAGCTATGTTCTTTGCCAATACAACGTTGAGCGAAGCCGCCTTACCGAGGCCACCCAAGTCACCCCTGGGAAGCGCTCTGCGACAGTCACGACTCTTGATGAGGAGGGTTGGGTTGCTGTAAGCTCCATGGTTGAAAAGAAGAAGATTGCCCTGGTTATGGACAACTTGACCCGAATTGGTGCTCAGGACATCCTCGTACTCGACATTCACAACGCACGATAAAGGGGATCGATCTGCTAGATTAGAGAAGCAAGCGTTGATATGCATTGGAACCGGTAGGCATGGGATTCATGGGCAAAAGGCGCTCGGGGAAATCAAAGGCTGGTTAGCTAGGGTTAGGCTCAAAGAGAAGGGAATGACAATGGATGGCTGCGTGTAAAGACCATTTTGCCAATGTTATACTTTAATGAGGTACCTTTGTCGGGGCCACCATGACTTTATTTTGCACCCACAACTGAAGATGGGAGAATTGTGTCTGTACCTGAGACTACCGGTAGTCAGATACGAAAGGATCGGCACTGCACATACGTCGTACCGCGATGAGGCTGGTTTAATGCGGGATGGTGGCTTGGCAGGAAGCTGAGGATATTCATGGCAGTGCAACGGAGAATGGCATGGCTGAGCCAGTAGTCACAAGGCTTAGTGCGTAGAAAAATACAAAATATCAATTTACCGATTTCTTTTTGGCTTCTACAGATATTATTTTCAAGTGTAGAGCTCAGCAAGAATGAAATCCAGCAGTAAGGGTGTGGATGATCGGGAGGCTCGGGAATCCTTTCTTACCTAGGTAGTCTTATAGCCATTAGCAACCACGCGATGACCTCACTGGTGGCTACGTAAGGCAAGTGAGCCACAACCGCCGCATCAGCTCTTGCAAGGTCTGAATCACTCCTTCACTGGCCACTTTGATGATCAAAAAGGATACCTACTCCATACATAGGAGGTCATTTTCCGTCTGAAGCTTATTACTTAATCCCCCTCAAGTCAAGAAACTGACCACCTAAAATTTTTATGACGCTCGTTATTCCTCATCCATCTATCTTCAAGTCCATCATGGCCAAGATCGGTCCTCCACCTGAGAATGCTGGCAACCAGCCCTCAACTCTCCACTCTGTGAGTCTCTCCCCGTCAAGACATTATCTGAGGTCATTGTACCGCGAAAGGAGATGTCCTCTCATTATTCTCTTCTCGAGTGTGCCACTTCTCCCATGTTGGCGTGATGCCGATGGGTTTCGAGACTATGCTCATCGTAATAATACTAACATGGACCTCTATAGCTCATCATGACGCCTATCAATATTACCGTCTTCCTTTTATCACTCCTCCTGGTCGATTTCCGTCACACTGCCGGTCGCAACAACTTCTACGGTACTGGTAACCGACAATCAAAATGGCTGCCCCGGTGGCTTCTTCAACCGTATCAGCACATTGGGCATGCAGACCATGACGCTCATGGTCGCTGGCACTATCACAGCAAGCAAAAGAAACTCTTGAGAATGGAAGCAGACGAGGCTTTTCAGATGCGATCTACTGTGCTCATGTTAATGGCGTTGACTCTGGCTCTGGCTACGATTGCTGTTTGGTTTTTATCAAGCTGGCTGTTACATAGCGTCGCTGCTCTTGTCGAACCTCATACTGGCAACCAAACCATTCCACCTCCAGGGCTATGAACATGAAAGAGCCAAGGAATTGTGGATGTTAATGGGAGTTCTGCCAGGAGGAAAAGGTCCCCCTGTGCTTTGCGGGGTGGTATCAACCGTCAACCCCATACAATTAACGACATTGTGCGGAGTACGGAGTACAATCTCCTTCCTAAAACCGATACAACATCTTTCTATCGGATCAAACAAGCGTCCCAAGCGACCACTCCGACGATCATCATCGACTCACTTCGAGGACAATGGTATTCTCACTTTGTCGTCGGAGTTGATCTACGGCGTTTTTACGTTTTTAGCGACATGACCACCCGAGCTTGAAGTGTCGATCAAGAGTGGCATCATGGTATGGTGGACATTGACCTCAACGTAAATATCTCAGGGGCGTCTGTGGGCCGTAACATGCGTTTCACACCCTTGAGCATCAATTATTAGTCAAAGGGGCACGGTGTATGGAGTATGAATGAAGTGTGATGATAATGAATGATACGGGTTATTTTGAATCTTGAGGCCAAACAGAGCAAGCAACAGTTGGGGAGGTTCTGAATTTGAGCTTGAATTTGAAACTTGGCAAGATTGTCCATGTATCTATATGCCATACCGAGAAGCGGCTCGATGAGAATTGAATAATAACTATATACCTAACACAAACGCCCAGTTGTAAATACCCCCAAGGTTGACCTGCCAGAGATCCGAAAGGCAAGCCCAACACCACATTAAACCCGCAGAAATGAATTCTTGAACGTGTAACCCGTAAAGCGATCTGTCACAAGACAAGTCGTGAGAACCATTGCATTGCATTGCATTAACGCATGCGTTCCTCTACGCTGCCCCAGTAGACAATGGGTCTGGGCTCAAGCAGACTCAGCTCGCTGCCGAAGCTCCTGCGCTCAGCCTCTAGGCTCAACAGAGAAGGCTGACGAGAGATGATGTTGTTGATGGCAACAGCAGTAGATGAGCTTGTCGTGTTGACTGACGAGAATGAAGCCTGTGTGGAAGTGGACGCAGATGAGCTGCGGCGCAGAGAGTCACGCAGACGTGATGGTGAGAAGCGAGAAGTCATGGTTTCGAGGCGGGAGTGGTGAGCCATTGTGTGTGATTGTGAACGTGGTGTTGTGTGAATAGGGGTTGAGTTTTTGGCGTATCGGGCGTTAAAGATAGTGTTCGTAATAGTCGTTTGAGTTGGGAAGAAACGGCAAACTTGTCCAGCAATTGTCGTGGTAAAGGCCAGATTCTTGAACGAGTGAATGAGTGAGTATGAGAGGATGGAGAAACAGAGGCACAGCCTATCGTATGTTTCTATCAAAGACTCTTTTAACGAAAACGAACTGTGGTTCTTTGAGGGTATGCAAATATAGACAAAGAAAAAAAGCAAAGGCACAAATCAAGAGGCACGACCTTGTGTCTTTATTTATCAACTCTACAGAGTACAACAGTACAACAGCGGGCAAAGACCCAGAAAAGAGGGCTCTAACTCCGTACTCAACGGCACGAAGATCAAACTTACAGTAGAGTACCTAGACACGGTCCTTGCATCAGGATATGCCAGGGGCCCGGCCGGAATGTGGGCGCACGGATCGTTTCAACGTCGTAACTAGCGGCTGAAACAGTCGCAGCGCCCATCAATCACAGTTGGAACGTCAGCAGGATTGCGAGGCAGGGATCTTTTGTCGCAGCCTCCCGTTGATCAGACTGACAAGGAGTCAGGTCTGATGCCTGGCTATTGCGTATCGTTGCACTGGCTTGGCTGAGTGACACAGACACCCACGACGCCGTCTTAGTTCCGTCCGTTTGCATGAAGAATGTATGTCTATTTTGATCAACCGAAACTGAACATCTGGGAGCACCTTGCTCCTCCTCTGGCCCCTGTATGATTTCCTATTCCTGCACTGCCCTGGAACGCCGTACCTAGTTTTGAATTATGCCATGAGTTCAACGTCCTGAAGATGATGGTCATCTATGAGTTAATGCATAGCTACATCGTTTCACCGCTAGGTGGAACCTCTCCGCTCTTCTTCTTCTTCTCCTCCCGAAACAGACCCAGACCTAACCGCTTCTCGATCTCATCCCAAGTGAAAGCCGTCGTGACCACGTGAGCCTCTGCTCTGTGTTTGTCGGACTGTCGCGCTACGGCGGATACTTTCACCCCAGATGGAATCGTCCAGCATCCCCCGTACTTGAACGGGGCTCGTAAGATCTAAGTGATTACTGTCACGCCCTGTCGGCGCTGATGTTCTTGCTTGCGTAGTCGGCTGCTGTTGTTGCTCCTGGGGATCGTCATCCTCAATCTCAAAGCTAAAGGCCAATGGCTGAGCAGGTGTCGTGGGTGACGGAGGCGCAGCTCTAGGGAAGCTGAGAGGATGGCTCCACGATGTGTCGTGTAACGACAGATCCACCGATCCCAACCAGTTTCGTGGTTCGCCCGCGTCAACACTTGACGGACGCGACGCTGGTGAGAAGGGAGATTTCGGTCCTGCTCCGCCAGTTTCATCATCACTGAGATCATTCTCAACTAGAATCTCTGGGATGTTCAACTGTGGAACTGCAGTCATGCGTGCCGAGTGTTTGCGCAATATGTGCTTCTTGAATTGTCTCGAATAATATCTGTTTCCATGTTAGCCAACTGCACCATGAGAAATATTAGTTTGTTAGCTTACAATGTGTCGAAAAAGCCCAGTACCACGCCACGTCGGACTTGATCGTCTACTCGCTGAAGGCGTGCTCGACGTCTCAAGAATTCCTCAAGTCTATACGGTTGATGTCAGTATAGGTGCGGGCAGGAGAAATTTATCGAGACTCACCTCAAGCTCTTGTTGTCACTGATGATATTGTAGTGAGCCAAAATCATCAACACACTTGTGAAAGATATACCCCTATCAGGGTCTGCAGACACCAAGACCTCCTCGTAGAAAGTATTGTACCGCCGACGCTGGTTACGGACCTTTTCGCCGTCGATCATCCTCAGTCGCGCGTTGAGTTTATCCAAGTCGATGCCACTGAACCCACTGGTTGTTGCAATAGAAGCATGATGCGTTAGTTTCACATCGTCTCTGATATCCTCCAAAATAGAGTGCACACTGTCCTCTGGATCGTAGATACGCATTTGAAAGACGCCAGACAGCTCGCCAAGTAGACGAGGAAAGGCCTCTTTTGTGATATATCCGGTACCAGCCGGGTCCACGCTACGCCAAGCTTCCTTGAACCTTCGAATCTCATCTCGGTCCACAACAGCCATGCCACTCGATCGTTGAAAGACGTAACTGAAGCTTTCATAGATAAGTGACACGAACAAATTGACGAAGATGTACATGCTGACAATATTCCATGCAATGAAGAGAATCCTTGCCCATGATTCACTGCCACAATCACTGTCGAAGAACCGGGATTCGTCGACGCACAGTGGCGGCTCAATGCTGGCATAGTCTTCCATCACTGCGTTCCATCCCTCACCCAAACTCATTCTGAATAAAAGAATCAGGGCTTTGGGCACAGTCCTGAAATTGATGTTTTCCGCTGTCTCCTCGCCAAATCGTGTCAAGCTGAAGGCTTGGGTCATGGCAATGGCGAAAACAAGGAAGAACACCAGCCAGGTTGCAAGCAAGTTGCCAATGACTGTCAGACTGGCTGCAGCGGTCTTGAAAAGCTGGTCCAATGCGTCGTTGCGGGGAATGAGTAGCAAGACGATGGCTACCAGGAATACCTTGTGCAGCTGGACGTAGGCTTCGACCTCGGTTTTCGAAACCAAGAGTGCAAAGGTTGAGACAAATGCACCAAAGACGATAAACAGTGAGTATAAATCCCAGGAGCTTCGCCGGAAACGGACCCAGCCCAAGCCAACGATGCGAATGACGATGTTGACCGTGTATGCGACGATGAAGACAAAGAAAACTACGTCGCGGTATCTTGTCCACCACCATGGCTCACCCGCGAACTCGGAGACAAGCACAATTAGGTGCAATACTAGTATGATAGTAATTGTCTGGTACCACTTGCCCTTCTTCTCGATAGCTCTCTTATGGCACCACTTCTTCCAGCTCTGCTCAGAGTTGTCATACGAATTTTTCGATGGCGAAATTTGCCGAAGAATCTTTCGTAGTTCCAGCCATGATCGCTGCTCCGCTGTCAGATAAGCGACACCCGTCTGTTCCGTGTAGTTACGCATGAAGACAGAGATGAACAGCGTAAGAACGAAGACCGTGGCCAGGAGATTGAAAACGATGAGAAAGACAGCATTTCCCTCTGAGGCTAGGTCTTGAGGCTGCTTCATCCGACCTGTTATGGCTTGAACGGTAAAGGACACGTCCGTCCATCCCTCCTGACTGACAATCTGGAAAAGAATGAACAAGGATGCACCAAAATCGTCAAAGTTAAAGAAGGGGTTCGCAGCGACACGAGGAGCAAGCATCGGCCAGTCATCACTGAACGGTGTGCTCTCAAACTCGCCATAACAGTTATCCATGGTTTGAATGCCATCACCACCATCGTTACAAGCCAACAGTAAGCCGTTGAATAGGTTGAGTCCATAAATGGCAAACGGGATAAGCAAAGACATCGAAACGAACGCGGCCTAGTGAATCAGTTAGCAACGCACATGCTTGCCCAAGGAAGAATGCCAACTCACACCCAGAATTTTCCACCAACCAACAATGATGAGATCGTGGAAAGTGTTTCGAGCACTGTTACTAACATTCAACAAACGCAGTGCGCGGAGAGCCTTGAATGCGCCAATTGCTCGAGAAATAGCACCGTCGTTGATGAGTAGCGTAACAACGTTGATCCAAAGAGTTATGAGGACAACGGAGTCCATGAATCCCCAAGAACTACGCAGGTATGCGTTTGGAGTCCATAATAACCCGTCCGCAATGATCTTAATCCCAGCTTCGAGAGTGAAAACAATTGCAAAGGCCATGTCGGTCCAAATGTACCAATTCCTAAAACTGAACTGATGCTGTTCTTGATACTCCTTCTGATAAAGAGGAGTGGTAACACATGCAAGGACGACCATGGCCACAATTGCGGCGTAAATAAATATTGTAAAAGAGTACCAAAGAACGGTGTCAGGTATAACGCCGTCGATGCGCTCGATGCCACGAGATGGTCCAACAACTCGCTGGCAAAGCCGGCGCAGACTATTGTTAGGTGAAAAAATGTACAACGAGTTGTTGTATTTGGGATATTTAGTAAGATACTCCCGCTGAGTTCTTTTTCGAGTCATTGTAGCAGACATAGCCTGTTCTGCCATCTGTCGGGGGTCTGAGGTGTCGTTCGCACCATCAAATCGTAGGCTTGAGTAGAATGGGTTAGGTTCTCTGTCGCTAAACCACCCCTTGACCCTTCCCCAGGCAGCTGAGAGACGCCCTGGTTTGATTTCGCCTCCTAGCAATGTAGTTGCGCTCCTTATAGGTGCATGATGTAGCCGGTCTTCTTCAGGCTTGGGGTTCATTTGATCGTCCAAGAACTCACGGACCACGGCGTCTTTAAGAAGCATCTCAACTGTCGCCGGCCCATAGTCGAGGGGATCTTTGTTGCGGTGTTTTGAGAATCCAAAGATAGTTGATAGAGCTAGGTTGCTGGATGATGTGCCAAGGTCTCGCCTCTGGAGAAAGGCCTTTACCTGCTGAAGACGCTTCTCGTCTTCAGACACATCGAAGTTCTCCTGAATGACAGCAATGAACATATTGACCAAGATAAAGAAGGCCACAATAAACCAGCCAATGAGTAGAATAGCCCCGATCCATGAAGTATTCTTATGTCTGGTGTATGAAGTGACGGTATAAAGGATGTCCGTCCAATTCTCACTCGTCAAGACTTGGTACATGCCCAGGAAAGAGTTGTAAATGGTGTAGAATGAAATGCGGTTGAGGTCACCGTCGTTATATAAGGGGATCTCACCCCTGAATAGTTGTGCAGCAAAAATTGCGACAAGAAATGTCATGAGAAACACAAAGAACATGAGATTGCCAATACCAGCCGCATTGCCCAAAACAAGCAGAATAAGCTCGCGGGTCACAGGTATTGCTAGTACAATACGGTAGACTCTCAGAATCTGAAAGACCGTCAACCACAAATAGGCTCGGGTGTGGCGAATAGGGGGAATTAATATGATGGAAGTGATAATTGCAAGCCCAAGATCGAACAGATTACGCCAGCTCCTATGGAAATTATTCCAGTCGGTCGTAATTCGAATGATCATCTCAATATCAAGAAGAATTGTAACGATAACTTCTGCGGTGTCGATGATAAGTTCTCTGTTTTTTGACATCCTTGCACTGCGGCAAGCCTGACATATCAACCCGAAAGTGATGACAAGAATCCAGAGTGCCCTGGTTTTGTGGTGTATGCGTTGTAAAGAGGATGTGCGGCGAAGCCTCTCGTCAGAGCGAGCTTGCACAGGCAATTCTTGACTCACTGTGAACGCACTGCCCTTGCTTTCTTCGCGAATGACTTGGAAAGATGAAGTAATGACAGCAATCAACAAGTTCGTAAGCCAAAGCATCATGATCATGATGCCGGCACCGAAAAAGAGGGCGGCCTGGAAATAATCCGAGCCCATGGTTTTGTACATAATATCGGAGAATGTGTTGGCGCTCATGATGACGAAGACGAGTTCCAATGAGTTGAAAATGTTGTCAAAGTTGACTGTCCCGTTATTCGGGTTGGATTGTTGAAGACAGATGGAACCTCGAGGGCAGATGGACCCCTTCCCTTCGTTGGTTCCATTCGTAAGGTCTGCCAAAGACTTCGAACCGTTGAATTTGAGCCATGGCATGATCTCACCCGTCAAATTATTCAAGTGACCCCCACAGAAAGCTTCCTCGTTTGTGTAAGACGCATCAAGGTCCGTTGGTTGAAGAGGATCAAGCCAAACACACTGCCGACTCAAACTGGCTTTGAAACTCTGTACGCCAATAATGGCGAAGAGTAGCCAAAAGAATGTGATCAAAAATGCGACACGTACAAGCAACGGTGTTGCTTTCTTCAAACTCCTGAGAATGATCTAAGAATATGTAAGTTTGGACAGTCCGTCAAGTCAAAGAATATAATACTTTACTTACTGCTGTACCATTGGTAAGAGCTAGTAACCTCAAAATTCGTAGACAGCTCAACATCCGAAATGCGTAGAGATCATGTTCAGTCTCAAGTCCGGAAATACTTAGGCAGAAAGTAATCCAATACGAGACGACAGCAACAAAATCGAACCGATTGAAAGAATGACGTAGAAATGCTCGGCGAGCAAGCTGGAACCTCTGGTGTTCTTCCAAAGTTTGCGGCAATGCCTGCTGGCCCTGCATGAAGGTTGTAAAAGATCGGGAGATAGCGGATGGTTCTGGCCGGTATTGTGATGTCTTCTTCACTGATTTCATCCGCTCAGGCTGGAAGATGGACCGATACTGGTCCGCAATTGCTGCTCGAACTCCCTTTTTGCGATCGATGGTACTGTATTCTGCCGCATTCAACACAAAGCCAGAAACAATGATACGGGAGATGATCTCCAGAGTAAAGATGATGAAGAGTGCAAGCATGGCCCAGTCGATAGGATTTTTGCCCCATCGTTCCGGGCGCCCTTTCTCAAACACATTCGGAGCAGACTCAACGGCTAGAAGAACAGCCTGCAGGACAATCAGCAGAAGGAGAAAAGGTTCCGTATATGGGTTGACTAGAAGGTCGCAAAGGCGCAGTCTCAGAGGATTGTTCGGAGAGAATATTCCCAATGATTTTCCCTTGAGGGGGTTTGGTAAAGGCGGCCTATGTAAATCTGGTTCGGCTTCAGTCACGTTGAAGCGAGGTTCTGCGGACTTCTCGCTTGATGAACGAACAAGTTGTGGTTGATATGATGTATCGGCAAACATTGAGGTCACGGTGTCTCGGTTCCTATCTTGGTCGTGTCTGCTAGGTGAGCGTGAACGGTGCCTTGAGGCTCGGTGATCAATGATTTCGGTTTCTCCGCTGATATTGACGACACGCTGTGACATCGCCCGTACAATTGATCCCGCGCGTGATAGAGCGCCCGACGTTGAAGGTGACCTTGACCTCCTGTATTCGTTTGGGGTGAGCGAGGCACCAAAGTTGCGATTTCTTGTAGATCCATAGCTAGCTCTTAGGTCTTCACCAAGACTCCTTGTATTGCGGCCGCGTGAAGGGCTATTCTCTACACTTGATACCGTCTGAAAGCTATCTCGGTTCCGATCATCCAGATTGCTGGCGGATAAGGAACCAGAAATAGGCTCGGCGCCAGATGTCAACGGAACTCTGTCGGATTCCGCGTAGTCGGTACTCGGCGCATCTTCGACATATGGAGCGGGAGGATCGTATGTTCGGACTGGAGTAGAGGGCAGTGGTGGACTTGTTTCATGATAGTCCATACCCGGAGGTAAAGCGGCTTGCAAAGCTATCGGATCTATGGGCGATCTTGGACCAATATCGTCGTTGAAATGATCGTAGGGTTGGTCCCAATATGTCGAAATACCAGGAAGGTTGGCGGACATTTGAGGAACATCGCGGGATGAGTCTGGGCTCGGCTGCTGGCGTGACAGCCCGGCCTGGGCCTGGTGGTTATCAAGATGCGATCCATGGAGATTCTGTAGCGGGATAGACTGGCGCCGCGCAGGGCGCTCGTCTTGATCCCAAGAGTTCGAAGACATCGACCAACGAGAGAAGGACTAATGATCGCCGAAGGGGCCCAACATTAAAGAAAACGAGGTGTGTTAGTATTTTCACTAACATAAAGCATCGTAAATGCTTCAGAAGTGAGGGAAGCGAGTCAATTGTGGTTTGTAAATACTCGGCAAGTAAAGAGGTAGCCAGTTCCTACATCCCAATTAGGAGTCCTGCGTAAGATGGGTAGGTCCCTGGGTGTAACATAGGGCCCTTTTACACACTGTATATACAACACCCCGTATGACTTTGGTGCAGTAAAAAGCTAGGTGCTATTTTAAGACCAAGTCCTGTTACACTGTGGGGAGTTCCAACCCCTAGAAAGTGCAGGTCGTAAGCTGCCGGCATGTGGTGTGGCTGGCTACGCCACACTGCAACTTTTCGCGACCTTGAAACGCCTTGACACGCTTCTGACGATTGTGACGCGACTGACTATTAACCTTCCATCGACATCATCAATTTCAACCATGCCGTCACGCAAGCGCTCGCTTGCTGCCATCGATGGCGACGATAGCGAAAATGAACACTCTATCCAATACCGTATCCGAAATATGTGGCAATTTGCGAACCTCTGCCAATGGATTTATATATTTGGCAAAGCTGCGAAGATCGATGAGGCAATCGATGTCGAGGTATGATTACCGAACAACACAGATTTCTCTATGCGAATGCATAGCTTCTCACACAAACTCTATAGGAGATCGAAACAGAATGTCTAAAACCGAACTCAAACATCCTGGCAGATATCGCCCTGGCTCTCCTCAAACTCGTTTCGTCGCATCGAGGTTTAACGTACGTTTCTACAAATCGACAGATACAGTTTCTCGACTAATAGATGTCTCAAGGCACGAGATTTTTGATGACCAAGCGCGGAAACAATTCGTCAACAAGTCAACAAATTGTAATCCTTTCGGCTCTGGTGAAACACCACTTAGCTTCAATGACTTTGATGTGTTTACCAAGGTATGCGCCAATATTTCTTTGGGTTTATGTCTAGCCACCGAAAACTAACATTTGATGCTTTTTTAGATCATCGTTATGCAACAATTAACCCAATGGGTCATGCTTCACCCTGAGCGCATTCGAGACAAGATGGAAGAGCAAAGGGATATTGAGCAAACAAGTTGGGCAAGTACTCCTAGCAACGGGAGAACATTGATCACCGTCGACTAACAGCTCATTAGCGAATAGAACCGTATGGATGGGATGCAGACGATCGAACTTATTTCGTGCTTGATGATAACCGTGTATACCGCCTCACAGAACCGCCAGTAGCTACAAGACCGACCAAACCCAAGAAATCGAGGACATCTTACGGAAATCGACGCTCTAGCAAACGACGCCGCTCTGCATTACATACTGAAGAGGAACTGGCCGAAACAGACCAAGATGTGAAGGATAATATGCCTGACGAAAACAATGGTCTCGGTGGAATGACATGGGAATGTCTTGCCGTAACTCTAGACGATGTAAGATCTCTTGTGGAAGGTTTCCGGAAGACACGCGACGAGAACGAAAAGATTCTACGAGATCAACTAGAAGAGCATCTCGTTCCAATCTTGGAAAAGCAAGAACAATCTCGACAGCGCAAAGAGTTGCAACGAGAGCGAGAATTAGCGAACGCCGCCAAGATGGCAAATGCAAAGCGATCAAGCCGGATTGCTGGGAAAGTCGAACAACAGAAGCACGAAGAACAAATTCGCGAAGATGAACGTCACAAACGAGAAGGCGAAAAGAACAAACACCGAGAAGAGCTGGCGCAAGCGAAAATGGAGCATGAACGTGATAAAATATTGATCTCCCGGGAACAACGATTACGAGAACGCGAGGCACGACGTATTCAGCATGAGGAAGAACTTGCGCAACTCTCAGAAGACAGTAGGAGCTTGTCGAATGGTAGCGGACGAGTGTCCGAACGGCGTCTTCAAGTAGAGATCGAGAGAAACAAACTAGCTCTGAAGGAGCTTGAGGACGAAGAAGAGGACTGGATCTTTGACTGCACGTGCGGTCTCTATGGACAAGTTGATGACGGAGCTCACAGCGTGGCTTGCGAGAGATGCAATATCTGGCAGCACAGTAAATGTGTGGGATTGAGCGAAGAAGCTGCCGATCAACCGGAATTCCACTACATCTGTACTTCTTGTATCCGGCGCGATCAAGAAGCGAAACGTCCCAGGCCAACTATCAAGCTGAAGCTCAACCGTCCGGCCAGTTCAGGCGCACAGACTGAGCCATCTCGATCTTCTGGTCACGATGGGCAGCCTGATAATGGCGTGGAGGCTCAAAAGGTTAATGGAACTGGAGATGGAAGCCACAGAACATACAACGACAACACGGAACAGAGTTCGACCCCGTTGATCTCCACCCCTGGTACTAGTTTCAATGGCGCTGGTCTCGCCAATACTTCAACCGATGTTCGCTCAGGGCCGAGCAAGGGTATGTTTGGCACACCAAAAAGGACGCCGGTGATCCCGGCACCTGTCAAGCTGGACGCTAGTATCCAGGGCAGTCCATCAGGCAATGCGGCCATGACAACTCCAATGACGTCTTTTCGAACACCCAGCCCTTCTAAAGGCATTGACAGTTTTCAAGGGGACAGGGCAATTGAGTCCGCGCTGAGCACTCCTAAGATCAGCCGCGAAATCTATCGCGCAGCTCACGAGCAAAACGGCACACTACCTTCCATTGCTGGGCTTTCGCCAACCAAACATTCACCACCTCGTCCCAATGACTCGGCTAGCTCAAACAGATTCAAAGTGGCCACTCCAATACTACCCCCAGTGGCACTGTCACCGTCTCCTCAGCATCAGATTTTGACACCGCCAGTCAAACCGTCAGACCCGCCTAAGCCGTTCGAAAACCGATGAGGACTTCTAGCACCGGGCTTTGCAACAGCCCAGGTCTAGGCGAACGCCACAGCTGGCCAAGAAGTTCTCCAAACCCCGTTCAGATATAACATGGGACTTTTCGGCTAGCCATCTGACAACAACACAAAAACAGCCAATGCCAGATGAGCATTAACGAGAAAAAAATCGAGCATTTGGTTCTATTGGAGAGATTCATGGTGTTCCCAGCAACGACATGTCATGGGATCTCAAACAGGACGATGGCCCAAGCACATCAAAAATAACACTTTACCTCATCTGTAGGGTTTCTATAGTCGCCTCTCGAATCAAAATAGGCAAGTGAGCAACCAACAGGACCCGTGGTTGAGAGCACTGCAGCAACGCGAGACGCGAATGTCCGAACCTATACCGGAAATAGGGCGTCTACAATGGTAGGCCATGTCAACATGGTGGCCAGGAACAAATGGCCAAAGCTTCGAAAAGAGGCACATTTCTGTTCTCTTTTCGACGCCAGGACAGAACAGTCCAGACGGTGGAGACGATCTGCCAAAACAGAACCAACAGATCAGGCTGGAGACAGGGATAGATCAGGCTGGGCATGTATGAACTATCTGGTTGGTCAGTTATTCGGTTACCGCGACACATCAAACGGACATGCTATCAGAACTATGAGCGGCCGCATGGTCCCAGCTATCCGGCACTTAAGCAAACATGATGCAGCCTCCCCCATTCATTCAACAAGCCTGGCAAAAAATGAGACAAGACAGAACGACCAAGAGGAACGGAACGGAATAGCAATGTATCATACAGGAAAAATTAGAGTACCGCGCTGACAAGGCAAGGCGCCTTTGGTCATAATCAGGAGAAGTGGATAATAAACAACATCAGAGAGTTTGATCAAACAACTTTAAACAGCGTCCGAAGTTGGGATGACAGATGACAGAGGGTGGGGTCGGATGTGTACGTCAAAGGAATGCGCCATGGCTGGACTAGCGGCATGCGAATAAGGCGGCGCAGAGAAGCACAATCATAAGCATGACATACTGTTTCTATTGAACGGATTGCGGCTTGACGCCAAGCGAGCCATCTCTTAAACCTATAGGGTTCATTTTGCAACCGTGCTTCTTTGATATGGCCCTTGCGCTGTGTGGTGGATGGTTGGACAGTGGAAGAGCCGGCCAACGACACATGTAAATGCAGCTTGGAGAGGTCTGCCCCTTTGGCAACGGTCCGCATTGCGGTCTGTTTCCCAGGGAAGACAGTCGTCTGCTCCGGTCTCTTTGAGGCCATGAGCACCAGGACGTTGCTTGTCTATTTGTGGGCATGGTCCTGGCGCTGTAGACATGTCTAGGGTATCAGAACGTTCCTGGGCTAGGTATGAGATGCACATACAAAACCATAGGACAGCTCAAAGGGACTTGACAAAGACCAACGGGCTATCATTGACCGCATAAGATCAACATAGCTACTATCAAAATATCATAGTCGTTCCCTCCTCTACATTGTGTTCATTTGGAAAAGTTCAACTGTCTTTACTCATCCTCTCTGTCAGTCAATAGCTCAGCATCTCACGCCCACCAGCTCTACTTCACCTCTTACCAGGGCCAATATCAGAGAGCTGTGGAAGTCTTGCGACATGCAACGGCGGATACTTCCAACACCACCGTCTTCCTCTGACGGTTTCTCTAAACAACCAGTGGCCGTCATGGACTCACACACACCACACCCGCAAGGCTCCATGAGCCCAGAACAAAGTTTTGTCAGTTACCACTATCCCTCACGATACTCTACGCCGGTCCGTGAGGACGACTCTTCAGTATACGAACCCTCAACTGTGTATTCTCAAAGAAGTGATGTCTCGTTTGTAAGTGCAACAAGCTCTCATCACCCATACCTAAAACTGATGATGAATGATAGCAGGCCAGTTACACCGGAGGTCTAGGCATTACCAGCAATCCTTACCGACCTCTGCCAGATGAGGTTGGCTACAATGTGAGTAGTGTCAGTAGCATAGTGCGAGTGTCAAGCTGACCCAGTAGACTCACCTCCCATACACACCCGAGGCATCGCCTCCAGCACCTTGCCAGACCAGCGATGCGATCACCACTCGCAGTGGACTTAGTATTGCTAAGAAGTCGCTCGCAACCAAGTCACCGGCAGTAAGGAGTGGTCGAGTTCAGAAAAGAAGCCGCGCCGAGAAAACCAAGAACGCATCCAGTATGCTCTCAAAGCCTCTTTCCGAAGCAGCCAAAGACTTCCCCGATATTCATGTTGCTGATATCCAAACTTTTGTTCAACGATCCACACAAGACAGGCTGGCTGAAACTTCGCTCAACAAGAAAGCTGGCCAGATTAAACGGCCAATGAATGCTTTCATGCTCTACCGGAAGGCATACCAGGAAGTTGCCAAGACAAAATGTGCTCAGAACAACCATCAGAATGTCTCAAAGGTCTGTGGTGCCGGTTGGGTTTTGGAACCATTACACATCAAAGAGGCTTTTGATCAGTGGGCGAGGACTGAGCGTGTAAACCATCAGCAGGCACATCCTGGATATAAGTTTACACCCTCAAAGCCACGAAAGGTCCAACGTGAAGGAGATGGGGATGAGGAGTATTCAGACAACGACTCGGAGTGGAACGCTGGACGCGGACTTTCAAGTGCAGTGCGCAAGTCCAGATACCGTCGTACTACACGACTCAGCGAAGCTTCTTCTAACGTCTATGGCTCTCCTGGTAACGCAATGGGCGACGCATCCTTGGCACCTTACCATGACATGTATGCATACCCACCGCCCGGCCGATCTCAGGCCTCCCTTTACGACCAGATGTCGCCCAATCCCTACGATATGAGCATGCGGCAGTACGGTGGCCTTAAAATCAACGAAGGCATTATTAGCAGAACGCCTTCTCCCGCGAACTTCGAATATACGGTGCATGGGCTAGATGAATTCCCCAACAACTACTATGGACCTCTGGGACCAAACTTCGACAATGCGGCCCCTCCCATGTTCGGAACTGCTCCTTATGATGTGTACGATGGGTTTCCTGCAAGCGTTCCTTTTGGACAAGAGAGTTGGACTACTCACATGGGAAGCGGTCACGACTTGATGCCAGTCATGAGTGGTTATGAAGATACCGCAGCGCAGGACGCGTACCTCAAAGGTAATAAGGATGACTGGAAAATCGAAGTTTTGGACGAGCCAGGTCACTTTGAAGACTGGTATACGCAGACCGAACAGGGTCTTCAGTAAACGGCGTTGGGGTGTAGCTTTGTAACATATTTCCTTGGGTAACTCATTGGGCGGGCGGTTTTTGGCATCCTACACTGGATCGAGCGGGTTGGTTTAGCCTCGGTTTTTCCTATCAGGTTTATTTTAGAAAGGGTACATAGAAAGATGTTGGAATTCCATCAAATTTCTATTTAATTCGAGTGTCAAAACCAAGTGCAAGGGATTGATATATTACTAGGTACGGATACCTAGTCGTGAAGTTATACTCGCTGTATGTGAATGTGGTATAGGGGTGATGATAAGATTAGTCATCAGTCTCCGCATCCAATGGATGTCATCACAGCTCAAAGCTGCGACTTGTCCCCAAAACGTACAACCTCAACACAGTTACAAGCCACCCCAACTGCAACGCAATATGACCTGGATCTCCAAAACAGTGACCGTCACTGGCCTCGTGCTTCTAGCGCACGCGTAAGTTCGGGGTTGCTAAGTCTTAGCAACAATTAGCTGACAATGATTGTAGGTGTTACTCTGCCCAGGAACACTCAGTCATCTCCTCAACGGCAGTGCACCATGGCCAGCCGCAGCCACTTGCGACACACTCCCTCCCGATCGATATATCCATCGAGGCGTTGGTAGCGACCTTAGTGGTTGTGCTGGGTCTGGTTATGGGAACTCCCAAGCTTCGACCCATCAAGTGGCACGAATGGGCCGGAAAGATTGAGCGCGAAGGAGAAGCTGGCTTCAAGACAGGGAGCGGTGAGGTGGAAAAGGATTACCGCGGGAACCCTTTCAGTGTTCTCGAGACGCGACCTGGTTTTATCGATATTCGCAAGGAGCGACGTGAATTCACCAACTGGGTCAAGGGAGCAGAGAAATAATGAAGATGACATGGATGCTGGCATGACAAGCAACTGGAGCCTTGTTCGTTTCACGATACCACGGCTTTTTCCTTGGAGCTCCCCGGAATTGTCGCCGATATCCCGTTGGGCCACTCAAAGGAGACTTGTACAAATCATAAATATGACGAGATGGGTGATGTCTGCAAGAGCGAATAAAGCTGATTCTTGTGCCCTACTGCTTGCGATTCACATAACGACAACTGCTTTGAAGTTGCAGATCCCTGTAAAGTGTACCTGAGCTCACAGCAAGACTTCCATCTGTTGAGTGGTATCTCGTTTGACAAGGAAAGCCCAAAAATGAGTTCCTGCCAGCATTTGTTTCGCTCCTTCCTACTCCGACTGCGACAACAAAGAGGAGGAGGGATTTAAACCTGAGGAAAACCTCCGACAAAATTAAGGGGAGGGAAGGCGCCTATCATCTCATCTTGACGTACCTGCCGTCTGGATACCTAAGGAAGGCAAGTACTGACGCCCCTCCTCTCTCGATGAGATGACAATGGCTTATCCCTTTCTCCTGGCATCATATTCCAGTCGGTTGAGTCGTAAGTCAGTTACAGCCGTGTGAAGCCAAAATGCCTAGAACATCGGGCTCCAGTGCTTCCAGTTCATATCGGCGTGGTCGAGGTGGTAGAGCTCGGCAAAGAAACACTTCTACCCGAGGGAGTAGCATCAGATCATCCTCAAGAGCTAGTTCAGCGAGGCAACAGACACAATCAACAACACCTTCAGCTGCAGGCAGACACATGGCAAGACCCTCTTCACGACTGTCATCCTCAGACCGCACGAGTCCTGCATCTCGCAGCCGAGCACCTCATAACTCAGATTCACGTGAACCGTCCATCGTCGATAATAGCAACACCAATAATCGAAGCAGCAGTGAGCCCGTACTGCACGAAGTTGTCATGGCCATTGATATGAAAGACAATTCCACCATTGGATGCGCATACTTCTCAACTACAGATGGCATTCTCTATGTTTCGGAGGACATTGCCTCAGCTTCCATGGATATTGTCGAGCAGTTCCTCATTCATGTTCAACCAAGCAGCCTTCTCGTATCTGCCAGAGCGCCTGCCAGCTTTCGGGACCATCTTGAGAAGCTTGCAACTCCAGAAGGTGAGTGAGCTTAGAGCTACGTACCCTGTTAAGCACGACCGACGGCTAAGAAATAGGATTGGAAGATGTCTCAGGAGGTGTCATTTTCAGGGGTTTGCAATCGTCCGAGTTCTCAATTGAAACGGCCCATGAAAGGCTTGTCAGTCTCGACTCCCATGCACTGTCACCTACTGGTATCATTTTCTCCACGGGTGTTGACGATGGCGCAAATGAAGAAACCATACCGGGGCTCTCGCAGCCAGAGTCTCGTGTGTTCCGATCGCTTCGCTACGGAGGATGCATAAACATGAATAGCACGGCCTCGGTAAGTGTGGATCATTAGAACAACTAATAGGTATGGTAATGCTGATCTCCATCAGCTGGGATGTGCTGGAGCCTTGTTGGGTGATTTGCTTCGTCGCAGGTCTGCTGGTTTTCTTCCAGATGGACAGGTAGCTGGAATGCTCTTTCGTGTAGCGCATATCCGCATGTTTTCCCTTTCGGCTTACATGTATGTCAGTGCGGATGCTCTACTATCGCTCCAGATTCTTCAGACTGAATTGCACCCTAACAGTCAAGCGTGGGGATCGGATGCGAACAAAAGCAATGCAAAAGAAAGTCTCTCAGTTTATGGACTTTTCCATCATCTCGCCTGTACACCTCAAGGCCGTGTGCAGTTACGTCAAATCTTCCTCCGACCGCTGTTGGATCTGGATGTCATTTCAGAGCGGCAGAGGACCATTGCAATATTGCTTCAGCCCGACAACATCGACAAACTTCCACAATTGGCTTCGACTTTACGTAAAATCCGAAATATGCGTACAACCTTTGCACAGCTAAGAAAGGGTATCGAATTTCCATCGGCTGGACAATCTTTCGGTAGAGGCGTTTGGTCAACCATTCAGAAGTTCACCACACATGCTCTTACTCTCAGAGAGATGATGGCCCTACTCAACGACGGTGCTGGGGTAGTTCTTTTCGAAAGAGTGAGTAGCTCTTGTGTTTAATCCTTTGTGAGAGTACGAGCTGAGAGTGTTGGTATAGCTTGTCAAAAGCCTTGAGCCTGCAAGTCTAGTGATTGTTGGAGAAATGATTAACAAAACAATCGATTTTGAACAATCCAAAGCACGCCATCGATCGTCAGTGAAAGCTGGAATCGATCCACAACTTGACGAACTCAAGAGACGGTACGACGGTATGGATAGCTTTCTGACAGAAGTTGTGAACCATATCAATCGAGAATTACCAGAGTGGGCTCGCAAGTATGTTCGATCATGCATCTTTCTACCCCAGATCGGATTCCTCACAGTCGTGGAACCCAATCCATCGACTGGAAATGGGCAATATGAAGGAGAAGGTACAGCTGGCGGTACATGGGAAAAGCTATTCATTGCAGATGGTGCGGTGTGTTACAAAAATAGCTACATGAAGGAGTTGGACAAAGAATATGGAGACATGTACTGCCAAATTGGGGGTGAGATACGAAGTTTAAGACTTTCTGACCCAAACTAATGGACTATAGATCGAGAGGTGGAAATCGTTCACGGGCTTGCCAGCAAAATCTTGGAGCATGAAGAGCCCTTACTCTCAGCCTCGGATGTGTGTGGTGAGTTTGATGCAATTCTGGCCCTTGCACTTGGTGCTGAGAAGTACAACTGGCGTGCCCCCCAAGTGGTAGAACCAAGCATCATTCGTATCGAGGAAGGTCGCCATCCTTTACAGGAGCTTGTGGTGCCGGCGTTTGTCCCGAACTTTTGTCATCTCTTTTCGGGACCCTTACACACAGCCCAACTGGACGATGACTCGCCCCAGGCTTTAATTCTTACAGGACCAAACCACTCAGGCAAGAGTGTGTATTTGAAACAAACAGCAATAATTGTTTATCTTGCTCATATAGGCAGTTTTGTACCAGCAACCCAGGCAATAATTGGCCTGACAGACTGTATCCTCACCTGTATTTCACCTCGAGAAAGTATGTCCGGCGGTGAGAGTGCGTTTGCTAGAGATATGAGGCAAGCTGCCTTATCCACAAAATCCTCTACACCGAGAAGCCTCATCTTGATAGACGAATTCGGTAAAGGAACTAATGGTGACGACGGTGCCGGGCTACTAGCTGCATTATTAGATCAGTATCTGTCACTTGGGCGCGACTGTCCTCGGTTACTTGCTGCCACGCACTTTCATGAAATCTTTGAGGGCATGTATTTGGAACATCATGGCGGCCTACGCATTGCACACATGAATGTTAGACTGGATTGGGAAGCACATCATATGGACGAGCAAGTCACATATCTCTTCAGCCTCGAGTATGGTCACAGTACATCGAGCTTCGGAGGTAGGTGTGCAGCTTTGAATGGAGTACCGAGTGTTGTCGTCGAGCGCGCCGAGAACATCTCCCAACTTCTTGCTCGAAACGAAGACTTGAGTGCGGTTTGTGCTCGCCTATCTCAGCAAGAGGAAGCACGACTGGAGAAAGCAGAGATGACTGCACGGCTATTTCTGGGCCAGACCTTTGGTGGACAAGACGGAAATGAATGCAACGAGGAGTCAGTTGTTGTTAGAAATTCTGCCATGGATACATTGGAAGCCATACTTTCGCCAGATGATTGAGAAAGTTGCAGTTAAGGGCAATACCTTATCTTTGCAGTGGGTATAGAAAGGGGGATACAGTTGATACTTGTTTCTATTTCATTTCAAAAGTGCTGACTGAGCAATAAAAGTCTGATGATATGTGAGTGATGAATTTCATAATAAAACAATTGCCAAGATATGTTGCTTTATCAAGGACATCCTTAACAAGCTGTCTTTATAAGAAACTTATTGCGTCGTGACCGATTTTCACGATAGAATATCAAATCAGGGGTTTAAACCTGTGCTATCTAAATGTCTAATTGTCTTGATTATCTGCATTTAAAATGGGATGTGTATGGCTAGCTGGTGATATCAAGTTGTTGCAGAACTACTTCAGATGTATGGATACCCGCCAACACATGCATTCGCTTAGTGTTATGGAAGTGAGATTTACTGTTTATGCTTTCATGTCAGTGGTCTGTGCCGTGAATTATGTTACAAAGATGAGCATGATTTTGGGAAGACTTTGTATGTTGCAATGAACTGTGACAAACAAGAGTGTGTTGTTGGTAACAGCCCAGCTCTTTGCGTCCAAATTTATCCCATTCTTCTATATACGAATCTGAAACTGGACAAAGTCATAAAGCGCCCATCATTCAATGTCATGTCCTATATACAACGTAATAAGCACGCTTCGTATTCCCAAGCTATGTGAACTTGGGACTTTCATAATGTCGATGAAGTCACCTGGCTTCATTATTGTCAATATCATCATTGAGCATCCAGACGAGCATGTATGTGTTGCTTCCCGATACCTTGAGGGAGCAGGCCATATCGCAACTTATGCGCAGTTGCGCTAGTAGTTAAGTTGCTTCTTGTCTGCTGGCAAGGATCGCGCCCATTCATGAGGTGCCGTATACTTGGCAGGCTACACAAGAGCGTTGAGCATCACAACGCCTGCGCTGAGACCCACCAGCCACAAGCCAAGGGCGTTGGAAGACGAAGCATCGTTTCCATAGTCCGAGCACTTATCTTCGTTCACGCTACCGCAGGCACGAGAGCTCAAACTAGAACAGACTGCGGTTGCTGACGAGGAGCCCAGAGCCTGTCCACCACCCTCAACTGTAGTGCCCCCTCCGCCTGGCACAATAATGGTAACGCCATATTGACCGCCATCTCCCAGGAAGTTGACACATTGATCGTAATTCTCCTCGCAAGCGTCAACAGCCGATGTACAAGCAGCTTCGTTCGAAAAGGTCGTTGCAGCGTAGGGGAAGGCGAAATACGAGTTCGGAACGTATGATGCTGAGGCTGTTGCTTCACCAGTTGCCGTGGCTGGGGCTGTACCTGTACATATCGCGCTGGGTATAGTATTAGCAACCAATTGTTGATTGAACGCAAAATAAAAAGCACTAGAGAGTAACTTACCCTGAGGGACAGCACGCCGGTTCATCATCTGCGTCAACGGCACATGTTTGGCCGTTTTGGCAGCAGATGTCGCGAAATCGCTCGCCAAGCTCCTCAGAGCATCGAAATGTGTTGGCGGGACATGAGTCGTCGCGTTTGAAGATGACCGAGGCAGGTGGAATGTATGCCGGATAATATGGTGCGATCGCGGTCGCTGTCGCTGTCGTCGTCGCTAATGCTGGCACCTCTGGGATGTTCTGAGCAGATGTTGAAGCTACGACGAGGCCGAGCCAGAAGCTGCTATAACCAAGCATAGTGGTTGTGCGAGGAAACAAGCAGAAGGTGGTTCAGCTGTTCGGACGAGGCTTGCGCACACTGGCACTGGGGAGGTAGGGCGGATGTGTTGAGACGTTAGAACGTTCTACTGCAGATCGTTAAGCATGCGAGGAGCGTAGGTAAGTGGTAGAGGTTGGATGGACTGGTTAAAGTAAGTCCAATAGGGTCGTTTTCTTTTTTTACACTTTCCCTTCCTCTCGTTTACTTCCTACCTGGTAAGTTAGCTGTTAGACTACCTCCCCAACCTGGGTACCTAGTTGCCAGGACTCCTGGTCGGGGACGACCTCGAATAAGATCGGTGGGGTCCTCCACTGAATCCTTGTCCCATAACGTCTAAGTGCATGTTGCATGGTTGTGCAGAAACTCAGAGCCTGCTAGCCTGGGCTGTTACCTTGTTCCCGTGGGCAACACGTCCATGGACTAAGCATTGAGCTGAGGTGATGTCATTGGCTCTGTTGGCTGAGCAACATCGAAACTACCACAGTCACGAATAAGCTGGTGAGAATTGAATCCGATAAATTCATATACATTAGTTTTTTATACTACATATCTAGAACCTGAGTTGTCTTATCATTGTGCATCAAAGGATGGCCCTTTCCCAACCTGGCTTCATCAAAATCCTCGTACGTGAGCAAGAACCTGTGTTAGTCGATCCAGCGCCTTAGTATCTGGTGCAGCTTCAGAGCCTTGGGCTCTATAGTCTTCAACCTCTCTTCGGGCTTCAGCTATCAATGGTTCCAGATCGCCCCAAACATAGTTGGCATACCCATTGAGTACGTTGTCCCATTGCTGGAGCCAACTGCTTCTCGCTTCGTTGGTATCCGTTGTTCCAAGGTGGAGCTGTCGTTCAAAATCAGCCTCGGTTCCGGACTGACTAAGGAAATCGGGATTGAAATTGAGCAAATCGTTCAAGCGAGGGCCAGAAGAAACCGAATTGGTAGGGAAAAGAGCTTCTCGTAGCTTGTTCGCCGCTTCAGTTGTCAACCCTTCATATTTGGCATTGGGGTCCTCAGCCCCCAGTAGGACGGCGTCGAGCTCCTCAGATGGACCATCGAGAAGGTCGACAACGGCAGCACCGTCTAACTCCTCCTGCTCACTAACAGCATTTTGTATATTCGGCAGATCGTAAGTTTGGGGTTGTGACTTTTGATATCGATTGGTATCTTCAATTCCCAACGTAGAGTCGCCTGTAACGAAATCGTTAAATGCTTGTGCGGATGCTCCATTATCTATGTTCATCCGCGAGCGCAATGATTCACCCTGGACCGTTGAGCGCAATCTATGCGATGATGCTTCTCCTGCACTTGACGATGTACTGCCGACATTGTTGATACTATTTGAGCTGGCTTTTCCCGCAGGTGACTGACCACTTAGATCTGGTCCTGTGCCAAAAGCGTTGAGCACCAGTCTGCTAGAAGCCTGAAGTTTGTTGGTGTTTGAGCCTGAGTCTTCAGCGCTTGCATCTTTGGCCTTTCCTTTTGAGTTTGTAGAACCCCCATTGTCTTGAGGTGAGGTCTGGGGTTGGTCGTAGTCTTTACTCATATTGTGCTTGAATTGGAAAGTGTAAATAGGCCTTGCTTAAGCGGGTATCAGACAAGTGATGTGATTCTTATGAATGGCCTGTGATGGGTCGCCCGTTCGAGACCTAGTAAATAATCGACCTGAATTGAAAATATACTGTTTAGGCCTCTAGAATGTGGTTAAGCTTTCGCGTCAAATATAAGAAGTTGGTGCCGGGGGCACATGTCAACTCGGCCCCGGACGGATGAGCGGGTGCCGATCGGCTGGAGTTTGGCACCGGAAGCCCGAGATAGATAGTTACTAGGTAGGTTAATGCCCGATACCCCTCCTACAGTAATTTCTAGGAGGTTTACACTGAAACGACTCTTGTAAGTTATGAGCCCTGAAACGATACGGAAGCCTGCCTATCTACCCCGGACGAAGATGATATGATGTTTGTTGTAGCTGAGACCAGAACGAGATTGTCCACCTTCCTCCCATGGTAGTGCTGTTGAAGATATGATGTCCAGGGATACCCCGCGGTTGCATTGAGTACTGGATTTACGTCTTGGAAACACACAGAGTACTAGCTCATCGATCGAATACCATATTCTATGCTCTGCAATCTCGCATTGGAGGAGTTGTATGTGTGGCTTACACACCTTTGTTGATTTGGTTAGCAGAGTCTCGTTACCGACCTCGTCCATGCATGCTTTAAGGAGACTATCATTATTGAATATTCAGCTTTATGGGCTGAACTTTTGGAGTCGTTAGCCCCTCCAGCGTTAGGTAGGTCATTGATTTTATTACGCTGGCGGGGCTTATTATTCTTCAAGCCAGCAGAAGCCTATCTCCTGACTAGATCCAATAGACAAGTACCCAAGGTACTCAGCTCTGAGAAGTTGTTACCTCTCAGCCTGTAACACACTTACTTGCAAGATACTAGGTAAGTGCCTACATAGTGGCTGGGCAATTGCTGAGCGCCTTGCATGGAGACGTCCACTCTAGGTACTAAGTTTACCAAATGACAAAACCACACCCGATGATGAAAGGAACCTGAAAATATCACCCCAAAGGCGATAGGGTCCACCATAACCTGACCTCATCCATCCAGTGGCAGCCAAGCCTAAGCCAGGCCAGGCCAATCCAGAACCGAATTGGATCAAAGCAAGAAGCAAAGCAGCTCGGCCTTTTGGTTATGCTACCTACTGCGTCACTTCCCATCCCATCTTGTCCTTGATCTTTCCTCGTCATAACTCATTACAAGAAGACTGCACTACACTGCACGTTTGCGGTAGCCTTTTGCTGTTCATATACATTTTTTCGAGACTCGATCGATTCGGCTCCAGACACAATACGTTCTTTCATATACCTAAACATACTACCTTGCATCTAGATTCATTGACTTGCCTGGGTTATTCATAGGTACTTACCCAAGCTACCTACTAAGCCAAGTACAGTACTGTCTCGCCAGCGCAGCGCAGCTCAGCTCAGCACAGACTCCAGGGTGCTGTGCTCTCTCCCTCCACTCCCTGTCTCCTCCCTCATCTCTTTGGCCCGCCCCTCCGTTACTTCTGCTCCTTCTGCTGTCCACGTCTACGTCCACTTCCACGCCCACACCCAACCAGTCTGCCTCCACCACCACCCATCACCATTACCATTACCACCATTCTTCAGCCTTGGACGCCTGCCAACCTTTCAACACCGTCCATCCACCGCCGTCCTACCTCCGACATCACTTCCTGCCCCCCGAACAAGAAATATTCTTGGACGGTTCCTTTAGATCACGGCGGCGATATCTTGCTGGACCCCACCGCGGCGCCGACAAAAAGACGATATTCAAAACGACACCACCGCCCATCCACTCACTCACTCACCACTTTGCTTCACCTTAGCTATCCGCCCACCGCAAGACCAGAAGCGTGCTGCTGAAGCTTGCACCACCCTTATATCTTCATTCACGCCTCCTCGCCCGCGTCAAGAGCTTCTCTCAAGCTCCCGGCTCCGATCAAATCTCACCTCCGCCTTGGCCCCGCCATTCCCACAGCTATCGATTCTGACCTTTGCCTCCCTCGATCTCTAACCACAACCCCTCCTCCAGACCCCGCCCGCGCTGCTCACCAAGATGGTTGATAGCGAAGCGAACTCGCCCACGTGGAAGTTCACACAGTATGTCTTTATTTCCCTTTCAGTCTTTGTCTTCCTTCCGTTCCTTCAGGGTTGATGCTGAGCTCTTGTGTGCAGGTGCTTTGGTGACAAGGGCGATGTTGAGGACATCACCGAAGGTATGTCGTCACCCCATCTCTACTTCAGAGTTAGCTCCTCATCCTAGCATACTAACCACCGCTTTCCTTCCTTTATAGCCGATATCATCTCGACAGTTGAGTTTGACCATACTGGAAACTATCTCGCTACTGGCGACAAGGGTGGTAGGGTAGTGCTCTTCGAACGAAACGAGACAGTATGTCACCATCACGCCGCTCCTACCAGCACGGCCGTGTCGCTAATCGTCAACACAGAAAAAAACATGCGAGTACAAATTTCACACCGAGTTCCAATCCCATGAGCCCGAATTCGACTATTTAAAGTCACTCGAAATCGAAGAAAAGATCAACAAGATAAAGTGGTGCAGGCGACAAAACGCCTCGCACTATCTTCTGTCTACCAACGACAAGACGATCAAGCTATGGAAGGTCTTTGAGAAGTCCCTTAAAGTCGTAGCGGAGAACAATCTTTCTCATGATGTTACACCTGGAAATGTTGCAGGTGGTGGTGGAGCTCCCAAGCCTCTACCTACCCATCAGTTCAAGAATGCTGCTGATCTCAAGTTGCCTCGCCTTACACACCATGACACAGTTGTCGCCGCTGTGCCACGCCGGACATACGCCAATGCACATGCCTATCATATCAACAGCATTTCAGTGAACAGCGACGGAGAGACCTTTATCAGCAGTGATGATTTGCGGATCAATCTTTGGAACCTCAATATTCAGGATCAGAGTTTTAACATTGTTGATATCAAGCCTGCCAACATGGAAGAGCTCACCGAAGTCATCACGGCTGCCGAATTTCACCCCATGAGCTGCAATTGGTTTATGTATGCTAGCTCTAAGGGCACTATCAAGCTTGCGGACATGCGAGAGAGCGCCCTGTGCGATCAGCACGCCAAACGTTTGTGCACCCCAATTGCTGTCACTTCCTTGCATCCCAATAGGCCTTGCTAACTGATTGCAGTATTTGAACAAGAGGAGGACCCCTCCTCACGATCATTCTTTTCAGAGATTATTTCCTCCATCTCTGATGTACGATTCTCGCATGACGGTCGATACATCCTATCTCGTGATTATCTTACCGTGAAGATTTGGGATATCAACATGGAGCGACAGCCAGTAAAGACGATACCGATCCATGAGCATCTTCGACCACGATTGTGTGACACATACGAAAACGATAGTATATTTGACAAGTTCGAGGTTGTCTTCTCCGGTGACGCGAAGAATGTCATGACAGGCAGCTACAACAACAACTTCATGATCTATCCTTCAGACCCAGACAAGGAGGTCGAGGTGGTCCTTCAGGCCGATAAGTCGGCTTTCAAGGCCAAGAAGGTTGGAGTTCCTACGCCAATTAATTCAGCAACAAGCCCTACCGCAACAAACGGTAAGAAGGGTGGCTCTAGAGCTGGAAGTCCAGGTGGTCAGGGTCAGCGGATGCGTAAGGAGACAGATGCGGACCAGATCGATTTTAACAAAAAGATTCTGCATATGAGCTGGCATCCGTTCGAGGACAGTATTGCAATTGCGGCTACAAACAACGTAAGTGACGCCATGGTTTGTCTTGGTCTGTGACTCGTTGCTAACATTCTGGCACAGCTATTTGTATTCTCAGCCCTCTAGACCATCATATCGGTGTTCGTCTCATAGGGTAGGTCAAGGGGAAAATACGTGGCGAAGGGTGAACACCGCAGCTGCAGGAGTATAGGCACAGCCGCCTTCGTCATGGTGAGATAAGTCTAGTCTTGCATGAGCACGACACGACATCTCAATGGTGCAGGAAATGATGATACGGATCAATATAGCCTACTATACTTAGAAGCGAAAGCACAGAGCGTCAGCGGTGCTTGGGGTGAATGCCACACGAAGTGGAAGAAAGCTGGAAGAGGCCTCTTGGATGTGGCCGTTATAGCAGACCGAGGATGCGAGTTGCCGGCTATTCAACTATAAACCACGCGAATGAACGAGCGAGAAGAGCCACATGGGATGGAGATGAGCGTATGCATGGGTCGGCGTTTGGTCGCCACGTGTAGGGGAAACTACAAAGAGAATATTGAGAATCAAAGAAATGCCACTCATGCCTGAGACGCAGTCTAAATGACAGGGGAGACAGCTCATTCGCCGCCAGCCAGACCTAGGTAGTTTTAAGGGAGAGTGATCGTGAGACAATATGAGAGTTTGCCAATGCACAGAAAGAAAGATTCAACCCCGTTGAGGCTCACGTAATTGTTTCCGCGACTTTGTCAGAACCAATCTGAGGTCTATGGCACAGTGAAGACCTCTTTTTGCCAATATCTGAGGCTCTAGAGCTGCCACGCGTCTTATGTGACACAATTAATTACCTGTTAACCAGTTCCTCCCTGCATTAATAAGTCCTGGAAGAATACTTAAATTACCTACGATAGGTAAACGAGAGACTCTAGCTCGTCTCGTGTACACAGTACCGTTTTGGCTCAGCTAAATCTGGTGGTTAGGTATGCAGGTACAAAGATACCCCTCAATCGATGCGGGTCCTATCAGAGTCCCTAAACGTTAGTACCTAGACTAGATCCTCCACCCTATCTCATCTTGGCTCTTCTGCATTACCTGGCAAGGACACAAGACACAAGGGCAACACCAATAATAAGACCAATAACTCGACTTGGCCGGATTTTTGTCAGCAAAGCTCATCACTGAGAGATATCAGCTGCCACTTCCCTTTTTACTATTTTCACCTCTCGTCCTACAAAATGACAACTGAAATATCTTCCCACAACCTCCGCAAGAGGACACCAGCGGACATGGCGGTTCTTGACGACTCGGTTCGTCGTGGCAGCGGCTCACAAGAGGCTCCTGCTGGGGATCTCGAGCATGGGTCAACAGTGCCCTCAATAGCCCATCGCATTGCCAAGCTAGTGGGCCATGAGATTGGGCCTTCATTGCTGACGGTTGGTGTGATGTTGAGCTTAATCTTTGGAGGATGCTGTTCTAATGTACGTTGTTGATCGGCTATCAGTCCCCCACCCACGACTTGTCTTACAGACACTGACTCAAATATCGCCCTGCTTATAGGTTTACGCTCTTGAAGCTATCGTCAAGTGAGTTTCTCAACCAGATAATAATATTACATCATGTCTCGTAGCTAACTTTATACGTGAAGCTTCGAGCCCTCAAGTGGTACGAAATTACCCGCGTTTATCTTGTAAACAACAATACAATGTCTCTCGAACTAACATATGCTATCTTAGGAACTCTTTTGACATTTGTCCAATTCCTCTTTGTCGCTGTGACAGGATTCGTTGCTCAATTTGACAAGAACAGTCGCTTTTTCCTCACGCCTAACAAAGTCCCCATAAGCCGCTGGATTTTCAACATTATTCTCTTCTTTACTATCAATATCCTCAACAACCATGCGTTCAGTTACGATATCTCTGTACCAGTCCACATTATTCTCAGATCTGGTGGAAGTATTACGACTATGGTTGCGGGCTATCTCTCTGGCAAGAGGTATTCCCAAACTCAGGTCATTGCTGTTTTCCTCTTGACCCTAGGTGTCATTCTCGCTGCCTGGTCAGATGCTCAAGCTAAGGTGATTACCCCTTATCCGATCCTGTCTGCGTAGCTTTGTGCTAATAGTATACGTCTAAAATCAGGGCACAAGTGAAGATAGTGGCCGGCCCGCATTTGGCACTGGACTCTTGATCCTCTTTGTGGCTCAAGTTCTCTCTGCCATCATGGGACTTTACACCGAGGCAACCTACGCCAAGTATGGTCCCCAATGGAAGGAGAACCTTTTCTACTCACATGCATTGTCCCTACCCCTCTTCATCCCATTTGCCCCCTCCATGGTTCGTACTTTTTCACATCTCATGACAAGTACACCTATGCAGTTGCCGGGGGTTCTAGGGTTTACGAGCACCAAGATCCTAGTTCCTAGTCAGATTGTCTTCCTCGTCACGAATGTTTTGACCCAATATGCTTGCATCCGTGGTGTCAACCTTTTGGCCGCCGCGTCGACGGCTCTCACCGTTACAATTGTCCTCAACATCCGAAAACTTGTCAGCCTGCTCCTGAGCATCTGGCTGTTTGGCAATCAGCTGGCTCCCGGCACACTGCTCGGCGCTATCGTCGTCTTCGGCGCTGGCGGGCTGTACTCAGTGGGTTCGCGAAAGAAGGCACCTGCAGAGAAGGAAGCTCCTGCTAGGGATGAGAAAGCGAGTTGAGAGTTGCTGCATTTATATGTATCAGTAAACGACTATATGCCACAGGGTCAAAAATGGGTTATAGATGGCGTATCTGGTTTAGTGAAGTATTTCATTAGAGGGAAGAAGCTTCTGCTCAATTGGATCGGTTATAGATTTGCGTGTTGGTGAAGATGGCCACGATGGCATTGCTGCATGTCATTAGCTGTTTCAATAGATGTCAAAGATTCGCGGAGTATGTAGATAGAACGATCCCAAGACCTATTTGATCATCCTTTAAGCATCCGCCGTGCTTCATCTCTAATGCTAGCAGACACGCACATTCCAAAGTATAACATGGCTTTATGCAATTCGAGAGCTGAAAGCTATGATCAAGACACAAATAAACCCTGATTTCTACTCTAAGCGCCGTATGAAAGTGGTATTCCATTTAACAGGGTATTTCTCGTATTAAATAAGGCAGTGAACTTCTCCTTCAGCCATACTAGTTGAGTCAGTCAAGCCATCATATTGAGAAACTGTACCAACTTGATTAACTCTATAAATCTGATCATTGCTCCAGTTTGATGTAAATCACGATGTAATTACATGTTCAGGACGCACAGTAGCCTCGTAGTTGAGCTTGACGACCTGAGTTTGTCTAGGTTTATAAACGTCTAACCTAATGTATTCCTTTATGGGACGGGTTAAATATTAAGCTATAAATGGTGCCAACTGTGGACAAATACACCAACCAAGCCTTGCGCCTTGGAGTGGTTGGACATCATCGTCCAGCCACATCCTATAAGTTTGATATCAGGATTGAAGCACTTAATACATAGCTAGTATTTGTTTACCTTGTCTGGCCGGAGACAACGAATGGTACTACAGAGGGGGCCAGTATCCTTAACTTGTCACTGGCTACATACTAGTTAAAACGATGACCAGATAAATTAAAAGGAGTTTTGGCCCAGTCTCCACACTTAATACGCCCGTATCACTAGGTAGACCAGTTCTGTGTATGTTGGAGACCTAGCCCAATGCTAGCGATGTGACAACAGGCCTTGTAATGTGAAAGACAACTTCGATATTAAACATTAGATCTAAATGACACTTTTTGAACCTTTTATATCCTTTTATATAAAGAAGCTGGGCGCCAGGCTTTTTTTTACCAACATAGTAATGGTATGGGGTGGCTAGGGTGGTCAGTTACCTATGCATCCGTAGGTAGGTAGGTAATCGATAAACATCCTGGTAAACTCGGTATCTAACCCAAAAGAGTTGCTCTTCTTATCCCCTAGCAATAGCTCAACTAGTCATGATAGTTTCTACCGAGCTTCGTACATAGTACACACCAGCATTGAATTGCGTGGTTAGGCTATGGGAAAGATATCGTTTACTCCAGGTCAGTGTTCAACCTTGTGTTCCATGGGTAACTTGGATGCCTATGTAATTCAGGGTACTATATGCAGCCCAATGTATATATTGGATAGGTAGAGAATGGAGAAAAAGGCTACGTAATGAGCTATATTATGAGTATCTTGACCCAACCAGGCACCTCCTTCATCTGGTATGGGTAGACGACCCAAAGGTCTACTATCGGGTGGAGCTGTAACTCAACATCGAGCAGATGCCTCAATAGGCTTAGATTCTAGATTGTTGAACTTCTTAGCCTCAGCATACCTTACCTACCTGGCGTGTGCATTGCGCCGACGCATTGTCCCGCTATGACCCACTAGAAACCCTGGTGTGTCACACCCGACCGTCATACCTACCATTCTCACGGGCTGCTTTACCTTTGCTTCTCTTACTGCGGGCACACTTCTGTTAGTGCGAATATCCTCCTCTGATTCCTTCAGCCTGTCGATAACTGAATAGAATCAACCGAGTACCCTATCGCGCATTGCCTGGGTTAGGCAGTTACTATAACACCATCATCGTTCTGTAGTAGAGTCGAGTATCAGACCAAGGATTCGCCATGCCTGGTACGTATCTCACAGCTCGCCCTGCCCCTCCTCCACTGCGCCAGACATGATATCACGGACCTTGCCCTCGACGACCGACACAGCAATTGGAAAGTTGACTGACCGAGAAAACACCACAGGCGGTCCTATTTTCGAAGAAAGCGAATCAACCGCCCTCGATGTGCGAGCACGAGAGTCAGATGAGGAGGTAGACGAGACTAATGATTCTGGTGCAACCGGACATGGCGCCTCGCACAATGAGACCGCCTCTGACGCTGGCTCACAAGCGGGCAACGATGCCGAGGAGCTCGAAGATGGAATGCTCCTCCGTGATCTGCCTAAGCGGACGACATTTTACGACCCTGTCGCTGAGCGTCAAATGAGCCAGACAGATGCAAAATACTTCTACCACCGTAACAAGACTGATGCACGAAGCGGTGGTGGAGCTGGCAACCAATCTATACCTCAAAGCCCTTTCCTCGCTTCTGGTTCTCGCCCTGCCACTGAGTATGGTGCCGATTCCCTGGTGTTGGAATCGAATGGTCGCCGGGCCGATTCCTTTCCACCAGGCTTGGACATGCCGAATCCTGCCATTGACCCTTCGGGTTTCACTCAATCACCTACAAAGCTTGATGCGCAATCTACACCATTTCCATCGAATCATTCTACAGTTCCCCACGCTGGCCATGTAGCCCAAGATCCACGACTCCCAGATGGTTCCAGTAACGGCTTACCCTCCGGCGGCCTCTTCGATACCGAGCCTCATATTACATCAGAACTGAGTGCTATCTCGAAGAACATCCAGAGAATTTTGGATACTAGGCGCAAGTACATCGCACTTTCTAACCAAGGCCCTGACGATAACCCAAGAGATGATCCAAACTGGGAAATATATCCGCCTCCGCCAGAACCAGCTTGGCAACAGTCTTCTGCACAAAGAGCAAGTGCCACGGAGCATGTACCCGGGCAAGAGAATATTGGGGCGAATTCCTTGCCTGGAGAGCCACCCCAGGATCGTCACGAGGGTAAGAGGTCGGCGCGGCGGCGAAAGCCGGGCCAGGATATCGGAGAGGACTTCGACATGGCCGACGTATTACCTTTGCCAGGCAATGACGGGCGTTCGTACAGATTGGATGACAGCGGAGTCTACCAAGTATTCGAGAGCGATGATGCACAAGCGCCTGCAATTGAAGTCCCCACCATTAGAGAGTTTTACATGGATTTGGACGACATGCTGGATGTCTCGTCCGACGGACCTAGCAAGAGTTTCGCATTCCGACGTCTTCAGTATCTTGAGGGCAAATTCAACCTATACGTCCTCCTTAATGAGTATCAAGAGACTGCCGACAGCAAGAAGGTTCCTCACCGAGATTTCTACAATGTTCGAAAGGTCGATACTCACGTTCATCATTCTGCGTGTATGAACCAAAAACATCTGCTACGCTTCATCAAGAGCAAGATGAAGAAATTTCCCAACGAAGTAGTCCTATTCCGTGATGGAAGACATCTAACTCTGGCAGAGGTCTTTGCTAGCATTAATCTGACTGCCTATGACCTCAGCATTGATACTTTAGATATGCATGTAAGGCTCACAATTCATTCTTCTTGGGATATGGCTTGCCGAATTTGCCGCTAACAGTTGTAGGCTCACACCGATTCGTTTCATCGATTTGATAAGTTTAATCTCAAGTATAACCCAGTTGGAGAGTCTCGTCTCCGGACAATTTTCCTCAAGACGGATAATTTCATCCATGGCCGTTACCTTGCCGAGATAACGAAGGAAGTCATTTCTGATCTTGAATCGAGCAAGTATCAAATGGTTGAGTGGCGTATCTCCATCTATGGTAAATCCATAGATGAGTGGGATAAGCTTGCCGCCTGGGTGGTTGACAACAAGCTCTTTTCTCACAACGTCCGCTGGCTGATTCAGATCCCCCGCCTTTACGACGTCTACAAAGCTAGTGGCTTGATGGATACGTTTGAACAGGTGGTGAAAAACGTTTTCCAGCCACTCTTTGAAGTCACCAAAGACCCAGCCAGCCACCCAAAGCTGCACATCTTCCTTCAACGAGTGATTGGTTTCGATAGCGTCGACGATGAAAGTAAAGTTGAGCGTCGACTCTTCAAAAAGTTCCCAGTGCCAAAAGTCTGGGATACCAAGCAAAACCCACCGTATAGCTATTGGATATACTACCTCTACTCGAATCTGGTGTCCCTGAACTATTGGCGGAAGAAGCGTGGGTTCAACACACTCGTTTTGCGACCCCATTGTGGAGAAGCTGGTGATAGCGAGCACTTGGCTGTTGCCGCCTTATGCTGTCACAGCATCAGCCATGGACTGCTTCTCCGCAAGGTACCTCTTCTTCAGTATGTGTTTTACTTGGACCAGATTGGTATTGCCATGTCGCCGCTGAGTAACAATGCTCTATTCCTTGCTTATGAGCGTAACCCTTTCCACCAGTACTTTAAGAGAGGTCTCAACGTGTCGTTGTCAACGGATGACCCTTTGCAGTTTGCTTTTACTAAAGAGCCCTTGATTGAGGAGTACGCAGTTGCAGCGCAGATTTACAAGCTCAACTCGGTCGACATGTGTGAGCTAGCCAAGAACTCCGTCAAGCAGAGTGGGTATGAATTGTCTATCAAAGAGCATTGGCTTGGACGTGGTTGCAACAAGCCTGGAAAGGAAGGCAACGCCATGGTCAAAACCAATGTTCCCGATCGAAGAGAAGAGTTTCGCTATTTTACGTTGATGCAAGAGAGGGATGTGTAAGTTGTTTACCAGGCTGGCCTCCGTTTATATTTTGTGCATTCATATTGCTAATATGAATTTCTCCAGACTGTCAAAATACGTCACATACAATGCTGCCAGCGACTATGTTGCACAAGCTGCAGGTAATGACAGCAAGATGTCGGAGTCAGTAGCATCGATCTCTGGCCAGTTCTCTGGTATGGGTGTGACGACAGGCAATGAAGCAGCCAGTGCCGAGATGTCTCCTCCAGCAGGCCATTCCATCACAAAAGTTGCGTCGCAGGTTGGACTATCCACAGGCCGGGATCAACCATGGCCCAGTGATTCTATGGCAGACCATCATCTTTCAGGCAGTGATCCGAGAATGTTTCCCGGCATCTTTACTCGAGGGCACCGTACCGGCAGCATGCGAAACCTTGCCCAGGCTGGTGATGAGCGGGACACTGAAGACGATGTTCTCGAGTCTGAGACTTGATCTTACCTTGGTGTAGTTATTTCTTACATATGAATAACTACTGAGCATCGTATTTATGCCATTCGCAGGGATTGGTCCAGTTGATTATTTGGATAGCACGATGTGCGTGTATAAAGAAGAAGAAGAAGAAGAAGAAAAAGAAAAAAGCTTGATGGCTTATCTGTACATGTCGTAGGCGAGGACAAACAGTGATAACCGTGACAAGATTATTCAGACCAGGCATATGTTTGTTTTGGTGTTGCCGCTTGAATCCAACGATATCAACTTTTATCGCTGCCAATCTCACCCTGAAGTTGGAGAGCTCTGTAGTTCAACTGGTATCACCAACAGAGCACAGTGTGATAAGTGTCAACTTTGGCACCCATTCGCTGTCAGGTAAGTAACTGCTGGAGTTCCAGCCCAACCTCCACTGCTTATTTCTCAAAAGGGGTGGTGCACAACCACACCCATGTTCATTATTTTAGGTGGATCTAAGCTCAAATTAACACATAGTGGCCCACCATGAGTAAGGGAAGGTTGCTGGATTTGGTAGGGGAAAGGTACTACCGGATCAGTCCCTCTGCTCACTGTTACCTACTACTAACCTGCTACCAAGGTAGCCGTTGCTTGCTCCTCAGACAAACGACGCACTGCGTCACTTCGCATCGCATCGCATCGCATCGCAGCGCTTCATTTCTTCCCAGCTCCTCCCAATTCTTTCCAACTTTCTTTTTATAGCTAATATTGAGAGATCCCTTTCTCGAGGCACATAGGCCCGCGGTACAGCCGATCGAGCCTAATTACGACTTGCCGCCATGGGGTTTCTTGGAGTCTACCGGGCTCTCTACGACTACGTGCCTCAAGCCCAGGGCGAGCTCGCCATCAATGATGGGGACCTACTCTATATTCTCGATAAGAATGAAGACGACGGCTGGTGGAAAGCAAAGAAGAAGGCCGGAGCTGAAGACGAAGAAGAGCCAACCGGCCTTGTGCCTGCTAATTATGTCGAAGAGGTAAGCTGTCCCTGAACAACCAAGCCACAGGACCATCACAGCATCCGTACTAAGATCTCCTTTTTCGCAATCAAGGCTCAACCGGTAGATCACGCTCGCGCTCTTTTCGACTACACGCGCCAGACTGACGAGGAGCTATCATTCCATGAGGATGCTACTCTTGCTGTTTACGATACGTCCGATCCTGACTGGATCCTGACTGGCCTCGATGGCGACTACGGTTTTGTTCCTTCTAACTACATCGAATTGGGGGCACCCGTCGAGTCCGCTGAGCCCCCGTTGCCATCTCCACCGCCCGCGCTCCCTTCAAGACCACGAGCTCCCTCGATTCCCGAACCCGAACCGGAAGCGGCTTCTCCGGACCTACCGAGCGACACTGCGCCTCCTGCCCCGAACCCTGCTGCTGCTATCGCGGGTGTCATGCATAATCGTTCGGTTTCTCAGCAGTCTCAGCAGTCTCAGCAGTCTGTGGCCCCTCGACAGCCCCCTCGCGCGTCTGTCACGTTCAGCGAGCCCCCAGATGTCGAAGATGAGCCTGTGAGATCACCGACACTGCCAGCACGACCACGAGTGCCAGCGCCGCCATCGCCACATTATGATGAGCCCCCTTCTCCTGTCCCTACTCGTAGCTTTCAAGACCATCGGGATCCCGAACGGCGCCAAGACGTTGAGCGTACCCCTGGTGGGTTTCACATGTATAATATCAATGAGATGATATCTGTCATGGGCAAGAAAAAGAAGATGCCCACAACATTAGGAATCAATCTCATGACAGGCATTATACTGGTTGCTCCCGAGCATGCTTCAGATGGACCCTCGCAAGAATGGACTGCCGACCGCATGACGCATTATTCGCGAGAGGGAAAGCACGTTTTTATGGAGCTTGTGCGCCCAAGCAAAAGTGTCGACTTTCACGCTGGAGCAAAAGATACTGCCGAGGAAATTGTTAGCATGCTAGGCGAATTAGCTGGTGTTATACGCTTTGAAGGACTTCGTGAGTCGATGATTGGAGGTTCACAGGGTGGTAGTGGCGGTGGTTTGAAGAAAGGTCAGATTCTGTACGACTTCATGGCCCAGGGCGAGGACGAGGTAACTGTTGCGGTGGGAGACGACGTATTCGTCCTCGACGACACCAAGAGTGAAGAATGGTGGCAAGTTCGCCGCCTCAAGAATGGAAAAGAAGGAGTGGTCCCTAGCAGCTACATCGAGATAACCGGCTCCACCGCGCCACCAGCCTCTGGTGGTATCAGTTCGGCCAAGTCACTAGTGGAACAAAACCGTCTCGAGGAAATCAGGTTGACGAAGGAAGCCATGAAGGCTAGCAAGGAACCTCAGCAGGTAGGACCGGGAATGCCTCTCCCTGAACGGGGCAGTAGCCTTACGGCACGAGAAACTGGTAGTAATTCGGGACAACAGCGAAGCCGTCGAGAAAATGGACGAAACGATGGCGGCAATCAAAGCCGATCAAAGGCCAGTAAGTACCATCGAATCGCAGTCTCGCTCTTGTACCATGGTGCTACCTTGGTATTTTGAAGCTCTTGCTAACCTCAAGCCTTAGAGCCAGACGCGTCCAAGGTACGAACCTGGACAGACCGGTCTCGATCTTTCAGTGTGGAGGCTCAGTTCCTCGGTTTGAAGGATGGAAAGATCCACTTACACAAGATGAATGGCGTCAAGATTGCTGTTCCTATCACAAAAATGTCACGCGAGGACCTCGAATATGTTGAAAACTTTACAGGCATATCTTTGGAAGACGACAAGCCATTGGCAGATGTTAAGCGTGCTAGGTCTGCGGAGAAGAAATCCCCTGAACGGAGCCCCTCGGCAGGAGTGACTATTGATAAAGATTCCAAGTCTGACTACGACTGGTTCCAATTCTTCCTGTCCTGCGAGGTCGCCGTGGGCCTGTGTGAACGCTACGCACAGGCTTTCATCAAGGACTCGATGGATGAGAGCGTACTCCCCGATGTCGATGCCGCTTCATTGAGGGCGCTTGGAATTCGCGAAGGCGACATCATCAAAGTTATGCGTACCTTGGATGCCAAGTACGGCCGCAGTCGTGGTGGAAAGAGGGGAACCGCCGATGGAGCCGATGGCGAAGGGGGTCTGTTTTCTGGGCCAGGTGGTGCACTACGAAACAACACTCGTAAGGGCAGACCTGCACCTGCAGTTCAAACAAGCGATGTTGTAGATGCCAGTGCATTCTCTCGAGGTGAATCATCCAGGGCTGGCGACGACGATGCGAAATCACCACCACCAACGAGCCCCTCGAACAAGAGCCCCAGACTTCCCCAAGCTGCTAGTTCAGGATTCGACGACGATGCTTGGGATGTCAAGCCAAGCAAGCAACAGTCGTCGCCGCAGCCAAAGCCACAACCCCGTGCTGAGTCTAGCCAGAAGCCTGCACCTGAGCCTACCCCAGTCGCGCCTCCTCCTCCGGCCCTTACCGGTTCTATGCAGGAGTTGTCCTTGCTGTCGACACCTCTCGAACCCACCAGGGCCGAACCGGCACCGGCGCCAGCACCCATTCTCTCATCTCAGCCGACTTCGTCGGTACCAGCATCGCAACCTCTTGGTGGAGCTACTCCCTCATTCTTTACATCTGTTGCACAGGCACGCCAACGTCCCACCCCGCCACATGGATCTGCAAACCAAAGCTCTCTTGTCCCACCGCCTCCTCAGAGACCTCTATCGGCCCCTCTGTCAGCTCAGCCTAGCGGGTTTGCCCCTCCTCCCATGATGCCTCAGATGACAGGCGCCTTACAAGGTCAAGTTGCTCCTCCTGGCCAAAGCCTTAGTGATCTCACCCAGGCGCGTCTGCAGCAACAGTACACGGCTCAAATGCAACAACACCAGCCTCTCCAACAAATGCAGCCTAACATGACTGGATTCCCTGGACCGCAAGGCCCTGGCATGATGTCTTTCCCCACCGGTGCCGGACAATTTATGCAACCCATGATGACGGGTATGCAGGGGCAGAACCAATTTGCGCCTATGCAAGCTCAACCTACCGGCTATCAGCCATCGTACCCTGCCACGCAATCAATGTACGGAGCCCCTACTGGAGGTATAAACAGTTACTTGCCGCCAGCCCTCGAACCCCAACGAACAGGCATGCCTGGCTTGCAGCCTCAAATGACCGGTATGACGAACATGGGTGGTATGGGTGGCGTGGGCGGCCTGAATAACGTGCCGTCCCCCCAGCCTCTGCAACCACAGCAGACAGGACCGCCTCCTGCTGTGCGATTTGGTGTGACAAACGAGACCAAACTGGCGCCTCAAGCCACTGGGCGAAGGGCCAACCTGGCGCAAGCGAGTATGTTAAACTGCCACTCCCTTCACGTCTTATCATGCTAATAGTTATCACAGCTCCCCAGAACCCCTTTGGTTTTTAATTTTAGAAAGCTTGTATCGATTGGTTGTTGGTGCTCGTTATTTCACCACGTTCGCAAATATTCTGGACACATTTATTCATATCTCGCATGCATATGTCGACTTCATCAGGACCCTTTACCTGTGAATCGACTATGGAATAATAATACTATATTCATAACTGCTCCTTACCAAGCTGGGCCAGTTTCTTCTAACAATCTGATCTATGAATCTAATTTGCAAAGTCATGAGTACCTAGACGTAAAAGCACTTGAGTCAGTCGAACGCTGAATTAATTATCCAATTCGAAGTAAGACGTCAAGTCAAAACCAAAAAGAGAACAACCACAAAAGATGACCTAAACACGGAAAATACACATATCGATCTGTTTCCTCTCTACTGGCTTTGTGTATGTCTGGTGCGCCCGTGCCACGTGGTTGGGACTTGACCAACATAGGTACTCCCGACCCGGATGAAGAACGTAAGCCAGGAGTAGTCGCGGCCCGGCTTGATGGAGACGAACATTCCAGGACTTTCGAGCGGCAAGGTCCCCGACAAACTCGGCAGGCATCGACCGACCCCTTCGTCAGGCAGCCAGAGGATTCTATTCCGAGGCATACAAAAAATGAGATAAGTGCTGTTACTGAAACACTGAAATCATAAGGCCATACTATTTGGGTAGTAGATGCCGCCGTCATGTTCCCGTTCGATCATGCCTTCCGGCGACGACCGGCCCCGGCTTTTGATGACCCTGTTGCAACAGAACAAAGGTCGATTTCTGTTTCAGTAACACGGCTTTTTTCGGTCTTCTCCTGTGAGCTTGACGAAGGCTCGAAACGCTTGCGAACAGCTCGAATCATCATGAAGAACCAGTAAAAGTTGAGGCTGTTCAGGGTTATGTTGCTTGCCAGATATGCGACCCCAATCCACATAGGTACTGTGGAGTCTGGGTGTGCAAATGTCATGGTCGGCATCATGAGTGCCTTCATGTCAGGAGTGACATTGATTGCGGACCATACGTCGCGATAGACACGAAAAGATGAGTATGTTCCGTACACAAGCCGGCACGAAAAGAACGTGAAGAGGAGGGCGAGGCCGTTATACAGCTGCGCTCGTGTGCCAGTCATGCTCATCTTATCCATAAACCAGTGGACGTTGAGGAAAGGTGTAGACAATTCCCATAGGATGAAGACGCAGGCATAGTGGTTCAGGAACGGACGCTTAGCCGAGCTCGTCAGCACAACTAAAGGAGACAGAGCAGTGCTTGAGAAAACTTACGAATCCGAGAGAGTAGACAAGCAGCGCAGCGACAGCATGCGCGAGGGTTCCTATGCCAAAGACATCGAAGTTCAAGCTGGTGACAACCAAGTCCCAGAGGAAATATCCAGCCGCGAGCGCTTGGATAAAGCCGGCTCCACCAGTATAACCCCAGATGCGCTCTTCCCATTGCATATTGCTGAGTTCGGTATCAACGAACATAACCCATATGGCGAGGCTGTTGATCAGGCAGCTCTGAACCATGGAGACAACGTGAGCATCCCAATTCAGTCGCCTCTTCCGGGACAGCTTGGAGTAGTGTTCCGGAGCTAAAAAGTTTGAAATCAATGGCGAGATTGGCCAAAAGACGACCGAGTACAGTAGCGCAGCAGCAAATACTTCATGTATATGCATTGGTAGAGTAGGAAGGTCGAAGTAGTCGGCCCATGGTTGTGTCTTTTCGGAGAGCCAAACCGAAGGCGGGAAGGGAAATGGATCTTTCATGATGGATTAGATGGGTTGCAGGCACCAAATGAGTCGAGATTTGTTATGAAGGGTTCCACTACAGAAGAGAGACAAGGAGAACAGGCGAGGGAAAACGAAGAAGTATAAAAAAAGACCGAGGCAATGGATACGTGAGATGCTAAAAGGCTAATTACTTGGTGTTGCCCACTAGCATTACCTACGCTGGTCACGTCTGTTGGGGAGGCTCACGTGGGAGCGCCACGGGTAAGGGTCCGCAGGGTCGCATTTTGATCTGTCTTTGGAGCTTATTCTGCTATTCGTACCGTGCGTTGACCCCTTCGAGACCGAGCTAACACCACTCCTACCAGGAACTTAACGCTGAGAGTTAGGTAATCAGAGGTAATTAGGTAGCTAGAGTGCCAGGGGGGTGCGTGCCACCATCATTCTACCACCCCACCAGATCCGTTTAGTCCAGCTGCCACCTCACTCGTTAGAGCAACACATCGTTCTCGAGCACATCCTCGCGGTCTTGTGTTGGAGCTTGGAAGACCTGTGTCTCAGTACACGGCGCACTCTCTTACTCACACGGTTATCACCCTGGGCCTCGGTTTATTTGCTCGTCCAAGTTCAGCTGAGTCGATCTGATCACCGACCGCATTGTTGTTTCGCATACATCTATCTAATTATATCGATCGCATCGCATTGCGTTGCGTGTTATTGCGTATCACGTCACATTGCAACACTTCCGGCAACATGGCAGAGGCTCTTCGAGATTTGTTGGCCCCTGACCAGGCTAACGATCCATCAGCTTTGGAATATTTGACCTATCTTGCAGAACAACAATCTAGCTTCTTGCAAACATCCGAACCTCAAGTTCTGTCACAGACGTCCCATTCCCTCCTGCTTGCCGTACAAGCACTTTCGAAGAGGTCGCATAAACCTGTCGTCGATTCAGCTGCCAGCCATGCTTCGTTACGAAACTCCCTCCCGACTCTGGCCCAACGAGCGTCCGATCTCGCCCAAGCAGTACCCCGTCTGGATGCACAGGCAGAACACTTCTCGTCGTCCTTTGGTAAGGCCAGCGAGAGCAAACTACTTGCGCGAAGGAAGGAGGCTCTACTGCTCCTCCGAAACTCGGAACGTCTCGTTGATGTTATGGAAATGCCTTTACTGCTCTCGTCTGCCGTTTCGACCGCTCCAGTCAATCATTCCTCCACGCTTGAGCTCTACGCACATGTCCGACGCTTGGCATCGCTCTATCCAGACTCGCCGCTGGTCACATCAGTACTGGGAGAGGCAGATGCCGCCATTCGTCAGATGGCAGCGGATCTTGTTGGGACTCTCAAAGCACCGAACCTCAAGCTCGCGGCAGCCGTTCGAACAATAGGCTGGCTGAAACGTATCGTACCAGATCTCGTAACTGACGCATCAACTGAGGATGCACTTCCCGCTGTGTTCCTTGTTTGTCGCTTGTCTACACTGTTGACGACGTTGGAAGCTTTGGAGCCACTTAGAGATTTGGCAGATGAGGAGCGCCTTCGAAAAGACAAGGCTGCGTCCACATGGTCAGGTGGACAACAGACGGAGCGCTATCTCAAACGATTTATTGAGATCTTTCGCGAGCAGAGTTTCAGCATCGTCTCCGTGTTCAAAAGCATCAATTCAAGTTTCGCATCTCCCACGAAACATGACGAGGATCCCTTCGGAGCTTTACCCTCTCCAATGGCCAACTTCCCTCTACATATGGTTGAAATGCTGGTTGAAACGTTGCGTATCTACCTTCCTACTGTCAAAGATCAAACATCAAGGGAAAGTATTCTGACACAGGTTCTTTACTGCGCTGGAAGTCTGGGGAGACTGGGAGCCGACTTCGGCATGCTCCTTGCTTCAATTGGAGTTGACGAGTGGGTTGATCTGGTGAAACGCCATCGCCTCTTGGCTGGACGTCTCGAATCAGTAATAGGTGACTATCGGGGTAGCCAGGCCAGTGGCGTTGGCGCGAACTAGATCCTTGCATATGGGCGCTGAGCGCTGAGCGCTGGGCCTTTCTTTATCAACACGTGCAAGATGCATCAAAGCGGGCCCGATTCTTGCAACGGGGTGCGGCCTTCCGGTCCGATTTTATCTCGTCACGTCACTCATTCAATCACTCCGATGAGTGGTGGCTAGAGTGTGACAAGCCATGGGTATCTCAATTGCTACTTCCCCAGCTCAACACAATGACTCCGTTAAGCCCTCACCAATGACTGAGAAACGAGCTTCTCGTTCGGCCAATTCAGGTACGCTCCGAAATCAATGTTTAGCTCAAGACCAAGACCAGACGCCTCGGTGTGGTTCGGCCTTCGTCGGCTTCAATATTCACCATCTAACACAACTTGATAGCTCGACACTTTGTATCAGGTCTTGGCTCGGGTGTTACATCAGCTGTTCTCTTGCAACCTCTGGATCTTCTCAAGACACGAGTGCAGCAGTCTAGAAGCTCATCACTGGGCGCTACAATACGTGACTTGAGGAAATCCTCAAGCCTCGTGCAGTCACTCTGGAGAGGTACCGTCCCCTCCGCGCTGCGAACGGGTTTCGGCTCAGCTCTCTACTTCACCACCCTCAATGCCATTCGCCAGCATGCACACCAGACAGGCATTCTTGGTCGCCGTCTTCAAACGCAGGGCCGTTCATCAGTTCTGCCCTCACTAACAAATTCGGGAAACCTCATATCCGGCGCAGTTGCAAGGACATTTGCCGGTTTTGTTCTAATGCCCCTCACCGTGATCAAGGTTCGGTTTGAATCCAGCTTGTATGCTTATCCTTCTATCATGTCCGCTGTCAGTGACATTCGGCGGACCCATGGTTGGCGTGGGTTCTTCTCGGGATTTGGTGCCACGGCATTGCGTGACGCACCATATGCTGGCATGTACGTGCTCTTCTATGAGATGCTCAAGACACGCCTGGGATCGCTGGCCTCTAAACCGATCGTTTCGGGCGAAGGTCCAACCAGGATGCAAGCTACCCTGGCTAGCTCGGTCAACTTTGCCTCTGCTATGCTTGCTGGCGCAGCATGCTCGGTAGTGTCAAACCCCTTCGATGCGGTCAAGACACGCATCCAACTACAGCCAACAGAGTATCAGAACATATGGCACGCTTGGTACAAGATGATAACACAAGAGGGTGTCAGGTCATTATGGGATGGACTGGCGTTGCGGATGAGTCGCAAGGCTATGAGTTCCGCACTGGCTTGGACGGTTTATGAGGAGTTGATTCGCAGAGCTGGAGCAAAGTAACTGTAAAACATGTACAATAACTGTAAAACAACAACTCGTCTCAAGAATAAAGATAGGGAGCTGCCGGTTCTGATATGAGGCTGAGCAGCCTGACTCGTACAACTCTGATCGTTCTGTATCTATGCTGGTCGTGCACCAGCCAAGTACATGAGCAATGATGGTGACTTGCTTCTGCGGCGACTGTGCTTATCAGACTTCTTACGCACCCACTCAAAGTCCGGCTCCTCTTTTCCGTGTCTCTTCTCCTCCACCATGAGCATCTTACTGCGACTCTCGCGAATTAATTTGGTGTGCTTCCAGAGCCGGTCTTGTTCCCACTCGGGAACCCACCGCCTAATCAGCAAGTAGTCGGGATCCTAACAACACAGTCAGCTCAATATATCCTACGTGAAAGCACAGCATCTTTTGGGAAACCCCTACATACCGAATCAAAATCGAATTCGACACCAAATTCACGCAGTGACTCGATAGACAAATGCCGGCGGGCCATACGTGTGTAAGTTGGTCGAGCAACTTGGCCAGTTGGAGGAGGCGGCGGGACATTAACAAGCTGGTTGACTGGAGCGAATTGGTGGGAGGGACCAGGCATCGCGTGGTGTTGTAAGGGTCGAGGCTGAGGTTGGGGTACAGCTGGTGCTCTTTTGATCTTTTCCTTTTTCAAGATGGCTTCGATGGCCTTATCATCGAGGCCAGACTTGACAAGGTCTTCCCTGAGACGTTCCTGATACTCCTTGTCCTTGGCCTCTCTTTCCGCCTTTTCCTTTGCTATGCGATCTTTCTCCGCTTGCTTGTAACGTTCAACAGCTTCGGCAGCCTCCTTCTCCTTTTGGTCTTTGAGCTTCCTCTCCTTAGTGACGCGCTCAAGTTCCTTTCTCTTGTACTCTTCAACAGCAGAATTTGCCTCCTTTTCACGACGTCGCCTCTCGTCTGCCATGGTATCTTCCTCACGAAGGCGTTTCAGTTCAATCTCCTTCTTGATGCGGTCTTCTTCATCCGCGCGAGCTTTGCGGCCTTTGATCTTTTCCAGTTCGCGCTTGGCTTGCTTGAGCTCTTCTTCCTCGCGGAATTCTCTCAAGCGCCGACGCTCTTCCTCGTCGCGTGTGTGGGAAAGGTGCAACTTTTCTAGCTCTTTACGCGACTGTTCCGCTTCCCATTCTTCGCGATACCCCTTAACGAGCTGCCGCTCGTCTTTTTCACGTTGCCGTTCGTCCCTTTCACGGGAGCTGGCAAGTCGATTCCTCTCAAGATCTTTGCGCGCCTGTTCGGCTTCCCACTCGTCGCGATATTGCTTGACCATTTTACGCTCATCCTTCTCACGCGCGGTAGCGAGACGCAAGTCCTCAAGCTCCTTGCGGGTTTTCTCGGCTTCCCACTCTTCTCGTGTCATGTATGAGGATGACCGAGACCGTGAAGATGATGAACGTGAGCGAGAGCGTCTACGTCGTGAGGACTTGGCAACTTGCTTGTGACGACTGTCATCATCGTCGGAGGAGAGATCATTGTAAATCCGGTTGTTGATTATCACAGGAACAGGAGCTGGGGGACTGCTGGCTCGACGCTCTCGAGTTCGGGAATGCTCTCGCGAGCGAGACCGGGATTGAGAGCGATGTATGGTCGAAATGTTGAGGCGATCAGCTCCAATGTAACTGGGCCTTGGGGGTGCATCGTAATAGTTTGGAGCACGTTGAGGGTTCGCAACGTAGCGAACACCACCGGGGGACGGACCACGTTTTTGGAAGCGGATGTCGTAATCATCCTCATCGTCGTAACTGTAGCTACTTCGGCTCATCTTGGCAGATACCAGCAAGGAGCAAGGTCAACTCAAGTAAGTTCGATTGCGGTATGTGGTAGGTATGTTGGGTAGTTGTGAGGTTAGATCTGGAGTCGAAGATGGCAGACAGCAAAGCAAGCCTCAGCGAGAGACACAATAGCGGACCAAATAAGGTGAAGGGGAAAAGAGAGGAGCGGCGGCAGCCGCCAAATGGAAGGTCATACCGTTTAAAAGATCATAGGCCGCTGAGAGGGGGGGCCGCGATATCGCTGTAGGGCTGGGCCTTTCGGGAGGGGGCGGGGGGCTGAAACTAGGTGGGGGCCTAATTCCCCTTCGGATGTAGGACGTGGTCCCCTGTCTCCAGTTCCAGGCGTCAGATCAGGTAATGCAATCCTTCCAGCTTGATGATGACTTTGGCCGTGAAACCAGCGGTGAAAGGCTTGGACTACAAGAGACTGCGACAAGGTCGCCATCGTGGTAGACCAACTGGTGATGTTCTGAAAAGAAACAAACCACGACTCAGTTGTGATTGGCCGATCCCGATAACACATACTGAAGCTATTAAAGGCTACAGAGTGAGCTATCAAAAGTGCTCTCCAGATTGGGTGTTGGCGCCATGCTCTGGGTCTTGAAGCCACGAAGACGATCATACCCTAAGGGGACATAAATCCACCCGTAAGCACAGCCTCGGTAGTCAGACCGACCATGTGTTGGTGATGAGTTCGTTGCGGGCGCATCTATAGGGCTGGCCACTGGTAACGCAAACGAACCCCAGCAGCCAGCACCCTGCGGCCTGACGCCTGATGAAACACTTCTGCAAATCTTGTGGCAGCGGTGCGGCGCTACCAAGTAACAACAGAGTTGATGGGCAATAAGAATGCCAAGTGAAAATGGAGGAAACGTTGACGGAGTGGACGTGTACTCGTCGTCAGTATTCAATTTATTTAGTGCGGAGCATCTGCTCGATATGCTCGCGGCTATTCTTGTGTGTTGTCTCCAGATACAACAGGCGCTGGCTCAGCTTGTCCACATCACCCTCCAAATTCTGCGTCTGCCCATCGAGCTTTTGTCGAAGTGAGTCTACTGGCAGTGAAACGAACCTATGAAGGGGCGCAAAAACAGTTAGATGTTGGAGACGTTCAATTTGACAACTGCGGGGTCACGACAACATGGCAGTAGTAAGGAGAGGCAGGGAGTACATACATCTTTCCAACGCCCTCGTAGACCACTGCATCCTGGGGAAGACTGGCCATTTCACTCAGGGTCAACTTGACAAGACGCTGCTCTCGTTGCTTTGAGTTCATCTGTGTACGGGCGAGACCGATCTGCTGCTGGGCTACCAGAGCCTGGCTTTCAATCTCCCGCACCAGCTACATTTTTCGCATTGTTGTTAGTATGAGTCGCGTTGGACGATACCGATAACCATTACGGAACAAGGGAATGAAGAGGACATAATCGAGCACACCTTCTGTAAAGCTTCGTTGGGAATGGACATAGTAATTGAAAACCTCTTGATGAAATTGATCAGTGGAGTCCGGGAATGACTGAGCGAAAGATGACACTACTAAACGACGAGAAGTTGTGATTATGTAAGTTAGGTGTGGTAGTAACGCGTCGCGGGAAGGGGGGTGGGGTTAACGTCTATAGTTGACAAAATAGGGCCCTGATCGGCGACTTAAGAAGACCATTAGAAAGATACATATAGCTTAAATTATAGCTTGATATAGCTATGCTAAGTACTATATTAAAAGGTATTTAAGTTAAAGATATATTGTAATTCTTTTTAACTATGTTTAGCTATAGTTAGGCTATAATAAGTAAAATATATACTTTATATTATTTCTTTTAATATTAGTTTAAAATGTAATTAATTAATATTAAAGCTATTTATAAGAATTTATTTCCTTAGTTAATAATATTATTAATAATATTATATATTATACTATAAAGATAGAATAAGATTTTAAAAAGGGTTATTTATATTAAGTTTAGTAAAAATATTAAAAAAGAAATCTAATTATTTTAATTAAACCTTTAGAAATATTAATTATAAAGATCTTTATAACTCTTTTTTTACTTTAACCTTTAACTTTATTAAACCTAGGCTTTTTAAGTCTCTAAATAATATTAATAATAAGAATAATCTCTTTTAAAATTAAAACTTAATAATTAAAATAATAAATACTATATATAATAACTAAACTTTAATTAAATAGTAATATATATAATTTAATTATCCCTAGTTAATAATATTATTAATAATATTACATATTATATTATAAAAGTAGGTATAATAAGATTTTAATAAAAGTTATATAATCTAATTTAATTCCTTAGCCTAAAGCTACCTTTAACTTTAGGCTACCTTAACTTTAACTTTAACTCTAAATATATATTCCTTTAAGTAATATATTAACCTTCTACCTTTTTACCCCCCCTTAATGCCTTATATATAACTTCTATTACTTTATTTTATACCTTTACTAGCCTTATTTATCTATTTAATTTACTTTTTTAAGTAATTATATTAAACTATATAGTTAAGCTTTAACTTAAATACCTTAATAAAGAAAGTTTTAGTCTTAAAGAGTATCCTTTTTAAAAGCCTTTTTTTTAAGCTTTTTAGGTTTTTAAGTTATTTTTTATGTACCTTAAACTTAATATTTTTATTTAATAAGATTTTTAATTTAACTATATATAAGAAAGTACTAAAAGCTTATAATTAAAGGTAATTAATTTAATTAAGCTATAGTTATTTTATTTACTATAGGGAGGTATTAACTAGCCTTAAAAGTCCTATTTTATTTTAATCTTAAGGTCGTTAACTATATAAATAAATTATTTATACTTTTCCTTATTATAGTTATTAATTACCTTATAGATTTTATTATAGGTTAGGCCGAGATTTATATTACGGTAGGTATTTATTATTTAGATATTTATTATAATAACTACGAAAGGGGTTAATAATATAGACCGAAGGGGGTTAATTAACTAACTATAGCTATATAGGTTAATTAACTAGTTTATAATATAGATTAGTTTAAGGGGTATAAGAGGGAAGCTAGCTTTTATATATATAGCTATTATAAGTATTTATTTAATTAGAGTTTAGTTACTATATATAATATCTATTATCTTAATTATTAAGTTTTAACCTTAAAAGAGGTTATTTTTATTATTAATATTATTAAGAGTTTTAAAAAGCCTAGGCTTAATAAAGTTAAAGGTTAAAGTAAAAAAAAAGAAAAAGAATATAATTTAATTATATATATAAAAGCTAGTTCCTTCCTTATTAAGGTTCCTAACTAGTCTAACTAGTTAATAACTTTAATTATTAAACTTAGTATATTAACTAGTAATATAAATATTTAATTTATATTTAAACTTAACTATAATACTTTATAAATAATCTTTAATATACCTTTTAATTTATTTATATTAAGTTTAGTAATACCTTTAAAAAGGAGATCTAGCTATCCTAAATAAACCTATAGAAATATTAATAATAAAGGTCTTAATATAAACTAAAAAGTAATAATATTTTAAATTTAATAAAATTACTTACTATATTAATTATAACTTTATTTCTTAATAGTATAAAAACCTTTATTAAGGTTTCTTTTCCCTCTTTATATTTTACTTTAATTAACCTATTTAAGCTTATAAAATAAAGATTATAATAAATAACTTAATACGTACCTTTAACTTATTTATAAATTAATTTAATTATTATAATTAATTTAATAAACTAACCTTAATTATAATTAATATATTAATTAATATACTTACCTTTATTTATATTAAATATAATAATACCTTTAAAAGAAAGATCTAATTATCTTAATTAAACCTATAAGAATATTAATAATAAAGGTCCCTATATAAATTAAAAAGTAATAATATTATAAGTTTAATAAGGTTATTTACTATATTAATTATAACTTTATTTCTTAATAATATAAAAACCTCTATAAAGATTACCTACTAAGGTTACTTTTCTTTTTTTATACTTTACTTTAATTAACTTACCTAAGCTTATAAAATAAGAATTATAAGAACTAACCTATTAAGTCTATAAATTAATTAAATTACTTTATAACTAGATTAATAAAGCTAACCTTAATTATAATTAAGATATTAATTAATACCTTAACCTTTATATTTACTTTTTATAAAAACCTTTAGCTAGTTAATAATAATAATATAATTAAGGTATATAAAAAGGAATTTTAATATAATTAAAAGATACTTATTACAGTAATAAATAATAATCCTAATATTTATAATAAACTATAAAGCCTACTTAATAAAATTAAATAGTAATATATTATTAAGGTAGGTATAAAACCTATAAATTAAAAGGCTAAAGTTATACTTACTATTTTTAATTATAAAGCTTTTTAACTATATAACCTATTTATTATTAATAATAATTATTTATATAAAAATGTATCGTTTATAATAAAAATATTATTTCTTAACTATTTTATTAAACAACTTAAATTATATAATATAATTAGGCCGTTAAAATTAAAATATTTTTCTTTTATAAATTAAATAAAAATAATATAAATTTAATAAAAAGTGAATATAAAAAGTAATAAATAGGTTTAGTTATAGTAATAAATTTAATTAAAGAATTTAATTAATATAAAAAGACTATTAAAATTAAAGTTATAAAAGGAAATTTATATATATTATAAGATAGAGCTTTTTATCAAAGGTTAAAAATATAAAGATATTAAGAATCTATATAAAGTATTACCTTAGTTAAATATTAAATATTAAATTCTTTAATTTAATTTATTTAAGAAATCTTTATATATTAAGCCTTTATAAAAGTCTTTATAAACTAAAGTCTATTAATATAATCAGACCTATTTATTATTTAAAGTTATTTTAACTTATTATCTTTTTATAACTTTTTAATTTCTACCTTATAGAATGGTAATATAACTTAGAATAATAAATATATAATAAATAATAATTATAGCTAAACCTATAGGTAAGTTATAATTACTTACTATAAGGTTATTAATTAAAATACTAGACCTATTATAATAATTAATTGAAATACTTAATAAAGACCTATATAATATAATAACCTTTAAAGAAAATAATATTTTTAATAAGTTATTTTAAAATATAAAAAAAAGATTTATAAATATTTCTTTTTATATTAAAGATTATAATTATAATTTTAAAAAAGCTATAATATTTTAATAAAGAAACCCTTAAAGAAAATATTTTTTATTTTAAAATACCTTATTAAGATTAAAATTACCTAAAGGGTATTTACTTTAATAAGAGTATTAATTTAAATTATTATTAATAAAAAGACTAAGTAATATAAATAATATAATTATAATAATAATAAAAGTTATAATTAAATAGTTATAATAATAAGTAAAAATAAAGAAGTTTATTTTTTAATAACTTATTAAATAATTAATAGCTTAATATTAATTAAAGATAGGAAAAACCTTTATTATATAATTATAAATAAGTAAAAAAGAATATAATTTTAATACAAATTAATAATTAAATTAAAGTAATTAAATTTAGAAATAGGCTAAAACCTAGTTCTAACTTTGATTAATAGATTAAATAGGTAATATTATTAATCTTATTTAAATTTTAAAATAAAATAAAGATCTTTTAATATTAATATAAAAAGTAACCTTTTTTAATAAAAATAATTCTTAGTTTTTATAAAAAGGTAATATATAAATCTAGTCCTTTAAGAAAGGATAATAAGGAATTAATTTATATAAATTTAATAACTTTATAAAAAATTATTAATATAATCTTTTATAGAATAAAAGGTATTATATAACTTTTTTACTATTTTAAATTTTAAAATAAATAAAAACCTTATATATTAATATTAATATAAACTTTAATTAAACCTAAAGTAAGAGTTAAATAATAATTATATCTTACTTAAATAAATAAGGTTTATTATATTTATATTAAGTCTAGTAATACCTTTAAAAAAAAGATCTAATTATCTTAATTAAACCTATAAGAATATTAATAATAAAGGTCCCTTTATAAACCGAAAAGTAATAATAGGGGAATTTCGATATAGCTAAAAGGTATTTTTGAAGGTAATTAATAGGGACCTTAATAGATATTAAGAGCTATAATATTTACTTTATAAAAGTAAGGTATATTATATTATTAAGGTAGGTTAGGCCTATAAATTAAAAAACTAAGGTTATACTTACTATTTTTAACTATAAGGTCTTTTTATTACCCTATCTCTTTACTTATAATAATAATTATCTATATAAAGAGGTATAGCTTAAAATAGACATATTATTTCTTAATTATTTTAAAAGAAGGCTTAAATTACTAGGCCTAATTAATATATTAATAAGGATAGAAACTACCTTCCTTAACATATTAAATAAAAATAATATAAATCTAATAATAGGTAAATATAATAAATAGTTAATAGGCTTAATAATAATAGTAAAGTCAGTTTAG